CTTATTAAGTATAAAATTTTATTATTATTATATTATAATAATACTCTAGTAAATATAAAGTTTAAAATATTAATTTTTAAAATAACTAGTTAATTTTAATTAAAGAATCTTAATATTAGTTCCTTAATAAATTCTACTTTTAGTATTTTAAAAGTAGTCTAGTAGGTTAAAGTTTATAAGAATAGGGTTCCTTTTTTCTTTAAGGTAATAACAGGCGCAAGAATCTATAAGAATCCTTTAATAAAGTATTAGTAAAATCTAGTAAATCTTATAAAACTCTTAATATTAATAATTATTTTAAGTAATTTTTAATCTATTATAGTCTTGATCTTCTTAAAATCTATATAGATACTTTCTCTTTTAATAATAATATTTAGGAACTTAATTTCTAGCTAGTAGAATTTATACTTAAATATTTTTATATATAAGTTATTATTTCTTAAGATTTATAATATTTATTTTAAATATTTAATATATTTTTTTCTTATATAGCTATAAATTAAGATATTATCTAGAAATATATTATAAAATATATTTATATACTATTATAAGATATTATTTATAAAATATTAGAAAATAGCTAGAGTACTAGTTAGATTAAATAATATAACTAGAGACTTATATAGCCTAAAATAGGTTTAAAAAATAGTTAGGTACTCTAATCCCTTCTTAATATAGATATTATTAAAGATAATTATTAGATTAATCTTAGAAAAGTACTATATTCCCTATAGATTATTTAGGATTTCTTTAATTAGAAGTAATAAGTAATAATTTTTAATTAATATAATATTTAATCCTTAATAATCTATATATAGGTAGAGGCTACCTCTAGATTTATTAATAAATAGGATAAGAAAAATAATTAAAAATAAGTTAGAATATATAAAATCTTTCTTTAGGTTTTCTTTTAATTATTTCTTTAAAATAATTAATTATACTTATAATATTAAATATAATTTATTAAATAAGGGCTATTTTTCTTCTTAAATCTTAATATTATAATTATATAATTAGTATAGTAATAGCTTCTCTACTTCTTAAGGATTAAATATATCTTAAAAATCTTATAATTCTAGAAGAAATATAAGTAATAATTTAGGACTAGTATCTCTATATTTTAGTTTTTTATTAACTTTATTTAATAAGATCTAGTATAATTTTTATACTAAATAATAAGTATATATAACTAGTACTTTTAAAGATATTTAGTATATTTCTATAGGTATAAAGAGTTTTAATTCTAGTAATTTTTTTTATTAATTTAATTACTTAAATTAATCTTTCTAAGAAATATTTATTAGGGCCCTTATTTTTATAGGCTTAAGAAATATATTATAGTATTTATAATAATATTAGTTATTAAATATAATTATTTAATTAAAGAAATATATTTTTAAGTTATATATAGTAAACTAGGCTAGTTCTAGAATAATTAGGTAGTAGAAAAGATAAGTAATATAAAAGATAGATTTTTAATTATAGTAATTATTTAATAATAAATTAGCCTCTATATAATAAATTATTATATCTTCTTTTATTTCCTTATTATAAAAGCTAGATAAGGATATTAAATAAGAGAGTAGAATAGTTTTTAATTTATATATTTTTATTTATTAATAATTTATAAAGCTAACTTCTTTAGCTCTAGAATTAATTATAATATAAGTTAATATTTTTAGATTTTCCTAGTATAGTTATACCTACTATACTATTAGATTAGTATGTATATAATAGGGATTAAAAGAGTTAGTTAATTTAGTAATAATATAGGATAGGTAGAGTAATATATCTAGTAGTAAGGGCTTTTATATATATTCTAGTATTAGATAGTAATTATAGCTAGGTAGACTCTATTTTCTAAGTTAAGTAGGGTATTAAAAAAATATAGTTAGTTAGGTTTTTCTAAAATAATAAGGTAATTATTTTAAGCTATAATATAAGAAGTAAGTAATATTATAATAAAGATTAGGCTAGAATAATATATTAATATATTTATTTATTTTTAGATTTATATAAAATATTAATTAGATAAAAAATAATTTTTTATATAATATATTTTATTTTTATAGTAAAAATATTTTTTATACTTATATTATTCTTCCTTAGGAGAGTATAATATATAGTAAGTATAGAATAGATTTATAGTATCTAAATCTTTTCTAGGTATAAGGAGTATAACTAGGTAACTAGATAAGATAGAATTAGGAAGATTTCTTAGTACTACTAGGCTAGAGTAATAGGAACTAAATATTAGGTAAGAATAGAATATTTATAGCTAGTATTAATAATAGTAATTTTTTAATAACTAGAAATAATTAGTATATTTTTAAAAGTCTTAAGATAGAATAAGATTATAAAGTAATATATTTTAAAATTTAATTAAAATATTTTAGGTTAGGAAAGATATTAAAAAATTATTAAATATTTTTTCTTCTAGAGTAAGATAATTGTCATGGCATAGCTGTGTACCTATCTGGTTAGATTCTGCCCTAACTATCTGCCTCTACTCCTGTATTTAAGCTATGTTACCCCTGATCCTGTTATAACTCTTCAAACTATATCCTTATCCTGACTTGACCTCTATCTATTATACCTATATATAGATAGCTTGAATATATACTCTACTATTAGTTATACTTACTGCCTACCTGCTCCCTATAATATTATATAGCTCTTATTCTAGGTATAGCTACTACTAGTATATTAAAATAATCTAAACTACCCCTAATTATAAACTTAGTTAAGAAATTTATAAGCTATATTATTAATAACTTTACTACTTAGATTATTTATCTTAGATCCTATAATAAATATACTAATTCCCTAAAAAAGGAGATTTATACTCTCTAAAACTAAGTTAATAAAGCTAGCCTAGAGCTAGTTAAGAAGGAGGAAGTAGTACTATACTAGAAAAAAAAATTAAAAATAATCTAATAGAAATTAATTAAATCTAAATATATATTTACTATATTATAAATTATTACTATTTTTACTATACTTACTCCTATTACTATCCCTATTCCTATTAAATATACTTCCCTTACTAAAACTATAGTAGCTAATATAATAAGAGTATCTATACCTATTTCTACTAGCCCTCTTCCTAATATCTATCTTAGTAAGAAACTCCCTAATCTATAAGAGTTTAATAGTACTTATTCTAACCTCTACTACTTTATATAATAGATCTATAGTAAAATAAATACTAATCTAGACTATTTTCTAGCTACTAAAGCCTGACTAACCTATATAATAGGATATCTAACTAGAAAGGCTTATAAACTAATCCTACTTAAAATAAGACTTAATATTCTCTAGTTCCTAGACTATCCTAACCTACTTAACTATCTAGAAATAGTATTTAGAGACCCTAATTAAGTTTAAAATACTTAGAATTATCTCTATAATTAGAAATAAAGAAACTTAAACTTTAATACTTATTTTATAAAGTTTTATTATCTTGCTTTAGAAGAAAAAATACTTAATAACTTTTTAATATTCCTCCTAATCTAAAATATCTTAATTAAACTTTAAAATATATTACTTTATAACCCTACTTTATTCTAAGACTTTTAAGAATATACTAACTATCTTTAGTTACTAGAAAACTACTACTACTAATACTAGCTATAAGTATCCTATTCTTACCTAATATCTAGTTCCTACCACTCTAGCCTAGTAGTACTAAGGAATCTTCCTAGTTCTATCTTATCTAGTTACCTAGTTATACCCCCTGCACCTAGAAAAGATTTAGATATTATAGATCTATCCTATACCTGCTATATACTATACTCCCCTAGGGGAGAATAATATAAATATAAAGAATATTTTTACTATAGAGATAGAGTATATTATATAAAGAACTATTTCTTACTTAACTAATATTTTATATAAATCTAAGAGTAGATAAATATACTAGTATACTATTCTAGCCTAATCTTTACTATAGTATTACCTGCTCCCTATATTATAGCTTAGAATAACTACCTTGCTACTCTAAAAAAACCTAACTAACCATACTCCCCTAATACCCTATCTAACTTAAAAAATAGAGTCTACCTAGCTATAATTACTATCTAGTACTAGAACATGCGCAGAAGCCCTTACTACTAGATATATTACTCTATCTATCCTATACTATTACTAAATTAACTAACTCCCCTAATCCCTATTATATGCATGCTAACCTAATAATATGGTAGGTATAACTATACTAAAAAAACCTAAAAATATTAATTTATACTATAACTAATTCTAGAGCTAAAGAAGTTAGCTTTATAAATTACTAATAAATAAAAATATATAAACTAAAGACTATTCTATTCTTCTATCTAATATCCCTATCTAGTTTCTATAGCAAGAAGATAGAAAAGAATATAGTAATTTATTATATAAAGGCCAACCTATTATTAAATAATTACTATAATTAAAAATCTATCTTTTATATTACCTATCTTTCCTACTACCTAATTATCCTAGAACTAGCCTAGCTTATTATATATAATCTAAAGATATATTTCTCTAACTAAATAGCTATATTTAATAACTAATATTATTATAAATACTATAATATACCTCTCAAGCTTATTAAGGTAAGGGCCCTGATAGATATTCCCTAGAAGAATTAACTTAAGTAACTAAATTAATAAGAAAAATTACTAGAGTTAAAACTCCTTATATTTATAAAAATATACTAAATATCCCTAAAAGTACTAGCTATATATACCCACTATCTAGTATAGAAACTATATCAGATCTTATTAAATAAAGTTAATAAAGAATTAAAGTATAGAAATACTAGTCCTAAATTATTACTTATACTTTCCCTAGAATTATAAGATTTCTAAAATATATTTAATCCCTAAGAAGTAGAGAAGCTATTACTATATTAACTATATAATTATAATATTAAGATCTAAGAAGAAAAATAGCCCCTATTTAGTAAATTATACCTAATATTACAAGTATAATTAATTATTCTAAAGGAATAATTAAAAAAGAACCTAAAAAAAGATTTTATATATCCTAGCTTATCTCTAGCTACTTCTTCTATCTTATTTATTAATAAACCTAGAGATAGCCTCTGCCTATATATAAATTACCAAGAACTAAATATTATATTAGTTAAGGATTACTATTTATTACTCCTAATTAAAGAAACCCTAAATAACCTATAGAGAATATAATACTTCTTTAAGATTAATTTAATAGCTACTTTTAATAATATCTATATTAGGAAGAAGTTAGAGTACTTAATTACTTTTTAAATCTATTTTAGACTATATAAATCCCTAATTATACTATTTAGTCTAACTAGTGCCCTAGCTACTTTCTAATATTTTATAAATAATATCCTATAATAATATATAAATATATTTTATAATATATTCTTAAATAATATTCTAATCTATAATTATATAAAAAAAGAATATACTAAATATCTAAAGTAAATATTATAAATCCTAAAAAATAATAACCTATATATAAAGATATTTAAGTATAAATTTTACTAGCTAGAAATTAAATTTCTAAATATTATTATTAGAAGAAAAGGCACCTATATAAATCCTAAGAAAATCAAGACTATAGTAGATTAGAAGCTACCTAAAATAGTTATTAATATTAAGAATTTTATAAGATTTACTAGATTTTATTAATACTTTATTAAAGGATTCTTATAGATTTTTATGCCTGTTACTATCTTAAAAAAGAAAAGAACCCTATTCTTATAAACTTTAACTTATTAGATTACTTTTAAAATACTAAAAATAGAATTTATTAAGGAACTAATACTAAAATCCTTTAATTAGGATTAACTAGCTATTTTAGAAATTAATACCTTAAACTTTATATTTACTAGAGTATTATTATAATATAATAATAATAAAATTCTATACTTAGTAAGATTCTACTTAAAGAAAATAACTCTAATTAAGTATAATTATAAAATATATAATAAGGAGTTACTAGTAATTATTTATTATTTAAAAAAATAAATCCTAAAACTAAAAAAATACTAATATCTAATTAAAATTATAACTAACTATAGAAACCTAGAATATTTTATAATAATTAAGATATTAAACTAATAATAAGTCTAATAATCTAAATTCCTATCTTACTTTAATTTTATAATTAATTATTACCCAGGCAAGTATAAAATAAAACTAGATAACTTAATTAAGAGATTATAAGATTTCCTTAAGAAGAAGGATAAATACTTACTATATTAGAGTTAAATAATACTAAAAAAAAAAAACTTAGCAAGCTTCCTACCTAAATACTTAGAGAAGTTATAGAGCTAGTAGATACTATAATTAATCTAGCTCTAAGCTATTACTAGAAGGAAGTTAGTATACTTCTAGCTACCTAAGCCTAAAGAAGAAGAGACTATCCAGCTCCCTAAATAATTAAAAGAATACCTAGACAAGGATTATAAATAAGATCTAGCCCCTAATAATATTCTAGAAAGCCTAGAAAAGAGCTATAACTACTATCTACTAATTATATTATCTAAGTATATCTACTATTCTAGACTCCTATTTTACTATAATTAATTATACATCCCTAATATAGAAGAATTAAAGATAGAACTAATATATAAGTATTATAAGAGTATAGTTACTAACTATTAAGGTAAATTAAAGACTTATAAATTATTATTATAATTATACTACTAGTCTAGAATACTATAGTTTATAAAGTAATAAGTTTATAATTACTATACTTATAAATAATCTATACTTTATTAAAATAGATATTAAGAAATACTTTATTCCTTACTTATATTTAAGAATTCCTAGAAAGATATATCTATTAACTTTATTATATATCTATTTTATAACTTAAGCTTTAATACTATTATAGTAGTAATTAACTAGTTAATAAAGTTTTAATACTATATTCCCTGTAATAGTACCTATAATACTAAGGGAGTTACTTACTTATTTTAAAACTATATTTAGAAATTTTATAAATTCCTTAAATCTATTATATTTAATTAAGGACCCTAATTTATATTAGTATTTTAAATATATCTAAATTATATTTTAAAAATAAGATCTCTTCTATCTATTACTTACTACTCTAAGACTAATAAGTAAACTAAATATATAAATATTATTTTAAAATAATATTTATAAATCTATATTAATTACTTATAAGATAATTAGGCTAAATAGCTATTTATAGTAGAATTTACTACTAATAATACTAATTCCAAGACTACTAAATACTCCTTATTCTTTACTTTATATAATTTTAACCCTTATATAGGATTTAAGCTTATCCTGCCTAATTACTATCTATAAACTTATAATACTTACTAATTTACTCTAATTATAAAGTAGATATAGGAATATTATTATACTACTATAGTTATTACTTAAGCCTGCTATAAATACTATACTAACTAGAAATACTACTCTACTAAATATTATACTAAGAATTAATTAGTCTAATTAAATATTAAGAATATTATAATCCTATACCTCTAAAAGAAATTAGACTAGAAAAATCTAGATTTTTTCCCTATTAGAAGGGTTATTAACCCTTATACCTATAAACTAGACCTACCTAAGAGTATAAAAATATATCTAGTATTTTATATTAAATTATTATACCTAACTACTAAAAACCTACTACCTAGATAAGAGGAAATTAAACCCCTATATATTAAAGTTAATAATATTAAAGAATAGGAGATTAAAAAAATAATTAATTTCTACTAGAATTACTATAGCTAAGGTAGCTATTTATATTTAAAGTATACTATTAAGTAGGTTAAATACTCTACTATTATTAAAATTCCTACTAGCTACCTAAAGAATACTACTAAATATATTACTACTTATTATTACTACTACCCTAGAAAGCCTAAACCTTAGGAATACTTTGCTAGAGCTCAGCCTAAGAAAGGGGATACTATTATAATATAGCCATGTACCTATCTAGTTAGATTTTACCCTAATTATCTACCTTTACTCCTATATTTAAGCTATATTACCCCTAATCCTATTATAGCTCTTTAAGCTACATCCTCATCCTGACCTAACCCCTACCTATTGTACCTGTACGCAGATAGCCTGAATATACACCCTGCCATTAGCTACACCTACTGCCTGCCTGCTCCCCGTGACAATAATAGAATTCTATAAAATAAGTATTAAAGTCTAAGTTCCTTTATTTCTAATTATAGAGATAATTTTAAGTATTTTAAATTTAATTAGGGTCTCTAAATATTATTTCTAGATAATTAAGTAAGTTAGAATAGTCTAGAAACTAGAGAATATTAAATCTTATCTTAGATAGGATTAGTTTATAAGTCTTTCTAGTTAGATATCTTATTATATAGATTAGTTAGGCTTTAATAATTAAAAAATAATTTAGATTAATATCTATTTTATTATAGATTTATTATATAAAGTAATAAAAATTAAAATAAGTATTATTAAATTTTTATAAGTTAGGAAGTTTCTTACTAAGATAGGTATTAAAGAAAGGACTAGTAGAAATAAGTATAAATACTCTTATTATATTAATTATTATAGCTTTAGTAAGGGGAGTATATTTAATAGAAATAAAGATAGTAATAAGAATAAGTATAATAAAGATAATAATAATTTATAGTATAGTAAATATATACTTAAATTTAATTAATTTTTATTAAATTATTTCTAATTTTTCTTTCTAGTATAGTACTATTCCTTCCTTCTTAACTAGCTCTAGGCTAGCTTTATTAGCTTAATTTTAGAGAGTATAAATCTCCTTTTTTAAGGAATTAATATATCTATTACAGGACCTAAGGTAAATAATCTAGATAGTAAGATTATTAGTAATATAACTTATAAATTTCTTAATTAAATCTATAATTAGGGGTAGTTTAGATTATTTTAATATATTAGTAATAACTATACCTAGAGTAGGAACTATATAATATTATAGGGAGTAGGTAGGTAGTAAGTATAGCTAATAATAGAGTATATATTCAGGCTATCTATATATAGGTATAATAGGTAAGGGTTAGATTAGAATAAGAATATAGCTTGAAAAGCTATAATAGGATTAGGGGTAACATGGCTTAAATACAGGAGTAGAGGCAGATAGTTAGGGCAGAATCTAACCAGATAGGTACACGGCTACGCCGTGACATTTAGTAAATATAACCAGCACTATTATAAAGTAGTATCACTATAAAGAAGAAGATAGTAACACGTGACTACTCTATGTATTTAAGCCACCATTTCCTTCTAGATCTCCATGCTTCTTCCAAGCATCTCTCTATTTCCTAGTTAGACCAATTGAATCCATTTCGGTCAACTTTCTACCATCATAGTTTGACGACCTCTCATCATGATATCTATCTATCTATCTATCTATATATACGTCACACATCCGAGCAGACATAATATGATGGATAACAATAGAACCTGGTTTAGATACGCCACTACCAAATTTTAGCCATCGTGTAGTCTAACTGCATAGACAGGAGAGACTCGCCGGTGAAGTTGGTATCTAGTAAGAATAGCTACTTGAGCAGCAAGGACCTGGACCTGACCTGATAACTGGATCAATCTATGTGATGTAAGACTTTTTTGCCACGTACTCCATAAACACTACAGCTTGGATAGGATGATATCAAGGGTTCCAATACTATCACCCTCTCAATGGAAATTCGGCTATGATCCTGGCCAGAAAAAAACAGAGCCTGAGAATAAATAGTACTCTAGTAGGTAATATGGTTGTGTTTATTCAAAACTAATATCACTCTGGTATCTCGATAGTATACACATTTCTTTCCTCTGGAGTCAGTTATCACGAAGCTTTATCTAGGATAACCAAGGGTATATGCTTGTCTTCTGATACCTTTTGCCCGTATATCTTTGCAGACCCACTGTGACCTAATAACCGCCTACTTAGCTAGATATTGCCATTAATTAAAACAATTGATAAGCAGAGATTGGAGAAAAAATTACTTTTCGTAGTCGAGTTATGGCTTCGCAGGCATCGTTCACTCATATTCTAGCAAATACATCGGCCCAGTAGAGATTTCATGTACTGTAGGTAAACGAGCATTGGAAGATAGTAGGTATATTTGCCTGTTATAAGCGACGATAAGCTGGATATCGACAAGATACGCCATGTAACATCACGCCTTGGTGGCTTTGATAACTAATGCTTGGATGGCAGCCAAGTGGGTCAGACGGCGCGCCAGGAATAATAAGAGATCAATCAGATGCCCCTAGGAACGCCGCGTCTAGTGCTTGATACTATCTGAGGCATACTCATGAATTACCGGGTACTACCTTACGCTGCGAATTGCTGATGCTAATCAATTGCACCTTCCAATCTGGGGTTGGCCATGCGCGTGGAGTTAACTGACTTACACCAGGTGGGAGCCTGGATTGGTATAAAGGGCTGTTGGTTGCGCGACCTCGGGATTGTAATCCGTTTCCCTGGACTCGGGTCGATTTGTCCAGCTTAATACAAGATAAATTGATACAAATCCACCGGTCATGATTGTCTTGCGGGCTGCTGTGCTGTCCGCATTGGTAGTGCTGTCAGTCGCTGCTCCTGCGCACACACCAGCCAAACATGTACTTCACGAGAAGCGATCCCGCCCTTCTGCGGACTGGCTTAGGGGCGAGCGCATTGAGAGCTCGGCAATCCTACCGATGCGCATTGGCTTGTCCCAGTCAGACTTGCACAAGGGGCCCGGTTATCTCAGTACGTGTACCCCTGCATTTCCTGAGAATCAGTCTGCTTGATTATGCTAATCGTCTTCTAGGGGAGGTGTAAGTGGCTATACAGGCACCCATATGAAAGCCTTTCACACTAACTGTACAATCCGAAGAGCGGATCCTCGCTCCGAGAAATATGGTCAATATTTCTCCATGGATGAAGTTCATGATCTCTTTGCTCCTATCCAGGAACATGTCGATGCAATTAAGGACTGGCTGTACGAGTCTGGTATTGACAAGTCTCGTGTTGTGCATTCCGAGAACAAGGGCTGGTTAGCATTTGATGCTACGGTCGAGGAAGCCGAACAGCTATTCCTAACCACGTACTACGAGCACGAACATATGCAGAGTGATCGCGTCCGTGTTGGCTGTGATGAGTAAGTTACCCTTGGTTCCTAATGATCCTTTCGTAAGTTAGGCATGAAGATTTTGAGCTTCAGCTAATGCTAATTAGGTATCATCTCCCTGAGCACATTGCGCCGCACGTTGACTATATTACCCCTGGGGTCAAAATGACCCAGGCTGTTAAGCGCACTGTGAAAAAGGCAAAACGCAACAGCCAGTCTCGTGCTAGTCGTACATCTATGAAGACTGCACTCAAGTACGACGTCCCAGAGAACTGGTCTGCGCCGAAGGGAGTCCCTTCGGACCTTGCCCATTGCGGCTTCAATATGACCCCCCCGTGCATTCGGGCTTTGTATGATATTCCAATGCTAACGCACAAACCCAACCCAAACAATGCCCTCGGTCTATTTGAGCAGGGTGATTACTTTGCCAAGTCGGATCTAGACCTCTACTGGAACAACATCTACGATGAAGTACCACAGGGCACATATCCCACGCCCCAGCTCATCGACGGTGCCAACTACTCTGTGCCAGCGTACAGCTCATGGAACAGTGGCGAGTCAAATATCGACATAGAGATGACGTACTGATCCTTATTCATATCTTTTCTTTTTGTGGGACATTTACTAATCTTATAACTAGATTGTCCCTGATATACCCTCAGGAGGTGGTTTTATACCAGGTTGATGACCAGCTGTATGAACCCGCTGAAGTTGCTACCACCAACCTGTTCAACACTTTCCTTGATGCTTTGGATGGAGTACGTACCGTGTTATCTGCGTATCCTTCCCCTATTAACCGCTCGTCACTTAGTCCTACTGCACATACTCGGGCTATGGTGAAACGGGAGACGACCCAAGCATTGACCCTGTCTACCCTGATAACCGTGCAGGAGGCTACACAGGTAAACCATTAATGGATATAAAGGACGATAACTCGGACACTAACACGATATAAAATAGGAGAACTCCAGTGCGGTGTTTATAAGCCTACCAACGTGATCTCGGCATCCTACGGTCAGGCTGAAGCCGACCTCCCCATGAAATACGTTGAACGTCAGTGTAACGAGTTCTTGAAGCTTGCTATGCAGGGGGTAACTATTCTCTTCGCTTCTGGTGATTACGGTGTCGCCTCCTTCCACGGTGACGGTCCCAACGAAAACGGCTGCCTAGGGCCTAATGCCAATGTTTTCAACCCGCAATACCCATCCGGCTGCCCTTGGGTGACCTCCGTCGGCGGGGCCATGATATACAATGACCAAAGTGTCGCCGACCCAGAAAGCGTGATGCAAGTCAACCTCGGCGGTACAGCGGTTAATTTCTCCTCGGCTGGTGGCTTTTCAAATTACTTCACTCGACCTTGGTACCAAGAGTCTGCCGTGGAGGAATACTTCCGCATTGGTGACCCCGAGTACCCGTACTATTCGGGATTGAATGTGGATGTCAATACTACCACTGGATTGTACAACCGTATCGGGCGTGCTTTTCCTGATGTTGCTGCCAATGGGGCTTACTTCCCTTCGTTCTTGGATGGAGCACTGTACCATTTCTTTGGATCAAGTTTGGCAGCTCCGTTGTGGGCATCTGTTATTACTTTGGTATGCCGTCTCTTTTCTTCTCATAAATTTTTCCCCAAGTAAACTAACCTTAGGTAGATCAATGAAGATCGTCTTGCGGCTGGCAAGTCGACTGTTGGATTCTTAAACCCAGTGCTCTACGCCCACCCATACGTACTAAACGATATCACCAACGGTACTAATTTGGGCTGTGGCACTGAAGGATTCTCGGCAGTGAAAGGCTGGGATCCGGCTACTGGGCTGGGCACGCCTAACTTTCGGAAGTTGAAGGAATTGTTCATGCACCACATTCCTTAGGTTTTCTGGAAATGTGTAATATAATTTTCGGTGGCCAATTTTGCCATGATTTGACTGTCAAAGAGTAGGGCCAAGGTTGCGGGTATTTTGCGCAAAGTATTATAAGGCAGCGTGTTTCGTATGATATCAATCTGGTGCTCCTCAGTTCACAGACGGAAATTTAGAATACTGCCCATGATTTTACAGTATCTAATCTATTGTTATATCTGAACTATATAAAACCCGGCCTAGCAAATCTAACAATGCCATTAACCGTTGGTACATGACTTTATATGACTGATACTAGCCACTTCTTGATAGCTCTAGTAGATTCAAACTCGGAACGATCACCAAGCATTAAGTCTAGAACTGGAGCAACATGGCCTTCACCTACCGCCGTAACTACTTGAGTATTATGAGGGTTTGCCATCTGAGAACCATGTTAAGAGAATATTTCGGGTTTGGGGTTGTCCGTGCAATGAAAACCTACCGTTAGTTTCGTCGCAAATGCATTATGAGAATCAACCATGATATCATCCTCCCCAGATATAAGCAGAAGCTGCCGAGCGTTTATCCCAGTCCACCAGTCAAACGGCGCCCTTAGAGGTTCATTGTAGTTGTCCGATTCACTTGTACCTAGAAAGTAGGCCGCAGTGATGGTTGACGGAATAAGGGCAACGCAGTCCTTGTTTTTGTTTCGTTCAATGGAAGCCCACGTCTGGTCAAAGGTTACCCAAGGGCATATCATGAGAGCCCCAGATAGATGCCCTTCCAAGGAAAGACCACCAGTAATATCAGGGTGTGGGTGGGAGAGGTGTGACAGGATGCCTAAAACGAGGTTACCACCTGCAGAGTCCCCACCAAGCACTATGTTACTGAGAAGCTTGTTCTCTTTCTCAACCAGGTGTTGAAGCACATCCAGTCCTTCACGCAGCTGCGATGGATACTGTGCATGTGGCGCCAATGTGTATGATGGTACAAAGACAGCCAATTGTTTTCCACTGAGACAGACTGCGTCGACTATGTCATGGAGAAAGGTAAAGTAGGCAGGATGGGCAGGTGAATAGTAGTTCCCCCCTGAGATTTCCAATTAGCACCGGTATTCAAATGCGTAGGTTTGCAGTCCCAGGCCATACCATGGAACCAAATGAGAACCAATGGGGCATCCCGATTCCCAATCCAGTGTCCCTGCCCTTTGGTGCCCCAGGAGGATGTTTGTGGAATCATACGTCTCGACTTGGCGAATCGCTTATACGAGGCTGCCGTTGTGCTAAGCCTGCAGATAAACACGGTGGTCAATTCGGCATATATTCACATGGAAGCTTATATCGATTCTGTTGCTATTAGCAAGATAATTCTGCTTACTGTATTTGCCTCAACGTAAAACTTCTCGTGATCTTCCTGAGAACAGCGTGCATGACATGGGCTCGGTATGTCTTCGAGCCGCCCGCTCCACGAAATGGGAATGACAACGCTGCCGACGTTCCCACCGCCACTGGCCATGATAATTCGTATGTTTAGCAACTTCTTGGACTGGACTGCAATGCCATTGCCGTGTAAATCACAGGGGTCCACTTACAGACCGAAAGTAGCTTCCAGGCGAGGTCGAGGTGCTCCCCAGGCGTGAGCCTGGAGGGATAGGGTAAAACAGTCATATCGAGCGACATTTTATGATTTCAATGTCCTAGGCTTCATTGATGGTATCTCCGAAGGATTTATGGTCAACGCCATTCCTATAAAGCGCGCTGTGGCGAATCGCTTTATTAAAATATGGTTTACTGGCACCTTTTGGCTCCCTTTGGAACTTGTGGAAAACTGACTGAAAGACCTCTAAACTATTGACTGACCACGGTTGATACTGAGCGATTAAACTCGAGGATTGAAACTTAACCAAGCAACTTAACGGCAAATCCCCCTCTTGAATGCATCAATTCCTGTTAGATAATCAGCTGGTTTCACGAGAAAACTACTCTTCCACGCTCACATTTCTACTAAGATTGATTATACATGGGAAGAGCAGTTTTTGGGTTGCTTTAAAAGACAAAAAATCTTAGGAAATAGTAGGTAACGGGAATATTAAAGGGTAGAAATATTATGCACCGGCTCCCTCCTCTATAGTCATCGCCACAGCCGTATCTAGTGATTCTTTGCTTGGTGGCTCCCATATCAGGTCCCACTGGAACAGATTAGGCAATGTTAGATTGCATTGCCTGCAAAGGGCATAGTAATACGTTAGTAGGAATGGTGAGGCCAAGGATGGCATTAAATCCGACCAGTTCCAAATGATGTCTCTTGCACTTATAAGCCTCCAGATGTGCTTCAAATACCGTGATACAGTGACATTCTTATGTTCCCACATCAGCATCCCGGGAATTACCTCACGGTGTATTGCACCCCCAGAGGATGCATGTGGCGGTCTAATGACATCCTCTTTCAACCGGTGCGTGAATGCCAGGGCGAGCGATCCAGTGCCAGACCAGAGATGAATGCCACTTGTTGCCCGGGGATTGCTGTCAATTGTCACCAGTCTGTCTTCAGTCTGAACAAAGTCAAGACCTATTTGGCCATGTAATGGATATAGGTGGGCCGCGAGTTGCTCAACGTATTGATTGATTTTGAGATGGTGGCAGGGTTGAAAGTAAACGCAGGAGCTACCGTCAATTGTTTCCAATACAGGATATACTCCATGCACTTTCAGCGTCCCATGGTCAAAAAGACTGTAGGAACAATATCGATTCCCGTGTATCCATTCCTGGGCAATATACTGACAGTCTTCGCTGATGCCGATCGGGGGAATTCGATGGCCAGGTTTCAGGTGATAAACATTTGTGTTTGCCCGGCCGAAGACGGGTTTTACAGCCCATTCTTTCTGTGGGTTAAGGCTATAAACTTCATCCATGTTTTTGCAGACGTAGAATTCGGGGACATCGAGTCTAAATTGGCGCATCATCTTCGCATAATCCAATTTACTGTGTAGCCGTAAGAGAACTTCCCAAGGCGGAGCGTAGAGTTTATCCAGAATTTCTGGATCTCCTGATGCGGCCAAATAAAACTCCTCCTCGTGTATTGGTATAATATACGTTATCTGCCAGTTCTGGACGGCCTCTTTTACGTCTTGCACATATCCCAGAGGGTCTTTGCGCGGGGCGGACACCACTTTGCTTCCAGTAACCATCCTGGAGAACCAACAAATATGGAACTTCATAGGGTCAACGCAGTAGACACGACAGCCTGAGAGTGTGAACTGTCTGGCCAGGTCAAGCGACACCGGGAATCGACCGTTGGTAAGAAGGACATTCTGCGGATAATCGGGGTTATTCGGCTGTTTCTGTTCATCCTGGCGTCTATCTTCCTGCGACTTCTTCGAAGAGCTAGTCGGTCGTGATATCGCGTAATATCCACTGAGTTGGCGATAGAACGCCCGACGATGTTTCATTTCGTTTAAAGCGGGAAACAACATTCGAAGTTGGGGGTATCAGATAAAATGTGGAAGACAACGAACTCGCATCATAAACCCGCTATGCTGTCATTCTGCAAATACCCTAGAGTGAAGTCACTTGATCATCGACTGACATTCTTGGAACCGTGGTCGAGCTGTGGCTCTTTCTTGGTGGCTTGGTCAAGACCGGCTAGAGGTTCATATATATTTATAGTGTAGAGCATGAAAAGCGGTAGAAGAGATGAGGTACTCTGATTACTAGATTCTGAGACTATGAGAATCGCTATCTCAAAATCATAGCTGTTATAAAACATCTTTCAGTCATCGCGGGCCTTAATCCTCATGCAGCTACCCTCTATATGTCCTCACACACATCAATGCAGCGCGGATCCTTTAAGAAATATATCAAGGGATTGGCATTTGCGTATAAGATGGAGTAGCAATCATTTTATCACAGTACACTGTTTAGCCCAAGTGAACAGTTTGCCAAATTTTGAGGCATTCCATCATATCAACGGCGGCTTGAGATTCAGAGCGATCTGCCTGCACAACAATGGCAATCATGGCAGATGCATAGCAAAACCAGATTTTATTCTCTTTCAAAAAGTCGAGGTCCTGTTGGTTAACTCCACTTCGTTGGGTCCACTCATGCCATCGATCAAGCACTGAAGTGATACATTGGGCCGCTTCTTGGTCAACCACCATCAGGTACAGAACAGCCTTCACCAAATCGTCTAAAGTGTAGTTGTCAGGAATATGATTCGTTTTGATGAGGTAGAGTCTGTTTTTCTCTGCGACAACTGCATTTACCAGGGGTTGTGAATTCAGAGCAGCGATAATCCGTCGGTCCTCATACTCCTTGCGTGCTTTCATCAGCCGCAGACTCTCATTATGAAAGGATTGAGTCTCGGCCACTAAACGTTGCCGTCTAGCCTCTTCAGCCTGGGCCGGGGGCATACGACTCTCCAACGCACGCTGCTTCTGGCCGTCGAGAAACCTTTGATGCCGTTCGAGTGGATCAACCTCAAAATTCGGAGGCGGTTCGGTGAACGGGGGAATCTCATCCTCGCTCAAAAGACCCAAGACCACCATAATTCCCCCCGGAATCGAACCCTTCGCAAACCCCATGATATCGGTAGGTATAGATACGTTCCAAAGGCCCGAGTCGCTTTTCTGACTCAACGCAGATGCTACCATGCCAAACCATTGCACATCGGGCCTGCCCACATTCCAAAGAACCTCAGTTTCCCCGGTCGGAATCCCTGCATGTTCAAAGTACACGCTGTGGACGTAGCCTTCGACCGCGTGGAATCGGATGCCATCACTCAGGGACCGGTTGCTACCAGACTTGTGCCTTTCCTGTATTTGCGCCAGCAACGTTGGGGGTGGATGCCCGTTTCCAGAATGCGCTTCAGAGCCAAGCCCAGTTGACTTCCTGCTGAGCCCCGGTGACTTTTCCGGAGTCACATCGCCCTTATATATCGGGAGGATATGCTGCGTATCGACATCTTCCTCCCATATTGGTCGTACTAGTCGCATCCAGAACGGGGGCAGATTGTTCATGTTACGCCGGTCCCATGCACTTTTCCAGAAAACCGCAAGTCTTAGGATTCCATCTCCATCGTAGGGGGGAGCAAGTCTGAGGACAGGAGATCCGTCCACCGGTGCCCGTAGGAGCGTCGTGCCTGTAGGGGTCCATAGGCCGATGGACTTGAGAACTTTCCACCCCTTGGCGTCTGGAACGGCACCGCGATCTAAAAGAAACGCCACAAGCTCCTCGAAACTAATCTCTGCCGGTGGAACCCGTAGCTCTTCTTTGTACTGGCATCTATACATGGTACGGCCAGTCAAGATTTGATTCCAAGAGAAGATGGCCCAGGTGCCTCCGGGTAGAGATATTTGGTGAGGATTAAGCGTCCAGTACGCAGGGTCCAGTTCTCGATCGAGTGGAGCGATTCTGCGCCGGGGGATCTCCACTTCAACAATCCCGGACATCAAGCTCCCGCGAGCGATGGCAGTATCGCCTAAGCCATTGGCTTTGAGAACACGCTGGATAGACCGGAGCGCTATAATGGAGCGCATACACGTGTAGAATATCGGAAGAACCCCGAGGACCGCCAGGGGGACTCCCACGTAGGTGATCACGTCCGGTGCACTGACCATGGAGTCGAATCATACATGAACTGCTAGAATCAGAGCTGGATTTTGCGACAATCGGAATCAAAAGATGTTCTCTAATTCAAGGCGATGTTGCAAAACCCCCAGACGCGCGGTCAGCTGACCAATCCACTCGGGCGCCTAGATAGTCATCCTCCAAGGCGCACACAGGCTGAATTAGCGTGTATGTTGTTTTGCTTTTCGAACCTTCAATTTGAGTGACTGAATAAAATATATATATAGTTCCGATGAGGTGCACAGAGGATATACATGGATGTTGTAGAGCACTTGGAGCTCTAATTCATCTAGTTGTCTCCTGGGGTTTCATGATGATTTTACAGTAGCCCGTAACAATATATATTGGAACCACAAGGCAACTGACCATGGCTCCCAAGCCCAAGGCTAAACTAAACAAAGCAACGTAATACTTACCTAGAGAAAGATCATAAACAAAATATTTACTCTCTAGATGGAGTACTAATCCAAAAAATCCCTGTTGGTGATTTAACTAATTATAGAGTATACAGAAAAGCATGGGGAACAAGGTTCTTCCGATCCTGGGGACGAACTAGATATATCCAGACAAACAGAGCAAACACTGCCATATAAGGCTTAGCTCCAGGAAGCATTCTTCGGCCACAAATTAATATGGAATTAATTAATTATTTTCCTCAGGACTCCGTAATGAACTGCAGCTACTAACTAACATACATTGTTACTCTGTACTCTGTATGGAGTATATTAATCTCTATTAATAGTCCATAGTGCTGCCATATTCCGAGGAGGCATTCCATTCGTTTTGATCTTCTCCCGAAGCTCCCATGCAACTTTATTCCACAATCAGATTTCCCTAGACGCCTACCGCCAGACAAGAGCCCCCCAAATCTTCCCTTTCTTCCGATTCATGCTGGGTTGGGCTTTAGAGCAGGATTTCACTGCAGTAGTGTATCTTTCTGTCATTTATTGATGAGCGTTGAAAAAACAACCGTGTGAATTCAGTAGTTAGTGGTCCAAGGGTCTACGAACCCGGGATCAGCGTACACATCTTAAGCATTGGACAAGCATCTAGGAACCCCTGTACGGAGTAAGCATTCTCTCTTGGCTCATTGGACGCGGCCCTAAGATCCCGTTTTAGGAATTGGGAGTGGAGTTACTCCGTACTATGGAGTACATAGTAAAGCTAGAATACATAGAATCCACAACAGTTCGTCCGATTGGACACATCTCACAGTTCTGGGCTACAAAATAAGTTCAAGTACTCCCTGTCGAAAGTTAGGTGCAGGATCAAAAGAGATTATTATCCTGGAAAGACTGAACTATGGCGTGATAACGACGGCCGTGCCATCGCGCAATTGACGGCAGTTCGGGGGTGGATAAAATGCAGCGGATTCCGTATAGATGCTTGAACCATGAAAAAGAGGCTGCGGACAAAACGAAAACCGACAGCCCCTTGAAAATTTTTTCCAGGTTAATCTATTTCAATTGCCTTCCTTCGGGTTCAGACTTTCAACATGAAACCAATATGGCTCCTACTCCACAGCCTCAAGATTGGAATTCTTACTAGAAGGCTCCCTCCCTAATCATTGCACCACCCCTTATGTACGTTAACTTCCTCGGGAGCTAATTCTTGACACTGGTAATTTCCGTGGTCATGTCGGGAGCTCCATGGGGCCCAGGGCAGCGACATAAATACCTCCTGGTTGGCTCCTGACGCCGTGCTTTCTTTCAACATTCAACTCCATCAAGGTATCCATCGTGGACCATCATGTTATTGGAAGCAACAAGTATACTCAGCGTGGGCTTAACGCTCCTCCCTCTTATCCATGCGCAACAACCCGCACAGAGTTCTCCAGAAAACCCATCGCTCACGACCTGGAAATGCACCACTGCCGGCGGATGCGTGCAGCAGGATACCTCTGTAGTTCTAGACTGGGGATATCACTGGATCCACACAGTTGGCGGATACGAGTCTTGTATCACCTCGTCGGGGGTCGACTCAACCCTATGCCCCAATGAAGCTACGTGCGCCAAAAACTGCGAAATCGCAACAGCCAACTATACAACCGCCGGTGTTGCTACATCTGGAGATTCGCTCACCATGCATCAATACCTCCAGAGTGACGGTGTGACTACCGATACTGGCGCACGGCTCTACCTTCTCGACGCCGACGGTGACTATGTCATGTTAAAGCTCCTCGGGCAGGAACTAAGCTTCGATGTTGACCTGTCCACCCTTCCTTGTGGAGAGAACGGCGCTCTCTATTTATCGGAAATGAGCGCTACAGGGGGTAGGAATGAGTATAACACAGGCGGTGCTGAATACGGTTCGGGGTATTGTGATGCTCAATGCCCTGTTTCGACATGGAGAAACGGTACTCTCAACACTAATGAGGAAGGATACTGCTGCAACGAGATGGATATCTTCGAGGGCAACTCTCGCGCCAATGCCATGACTCCGCATGCCTGCAGCAGTACTGACTGCGATAAGGGTGGCTGTGGATTTAACCCATACGCCATGGGCCAGGAAAACTACTGGGGACCGGGAGAAACAGTCGACACCTCCAAGCCATTCACCATCACCACCCAGTTTATCACCAACGACGGCACCACGACCGGAACTTTAACCGAGATCCGCAGACAGTATATCCAGAACGGCAAGTTGATCGCGAATGCGAAGTCCTCCGCAGGGGTCAGCGCCATTACGGAATCGTGGTGCGAATCAGTTGACAGCTCTGCCGCAACATTTGGTGGTCTGACCACCATCGGCGAGGCTTTGGGCCGTGGAATGGTCATGGTCTTCAGTCTCTGGAATGACGGAAGCAGTTATATGAACTGGCTGGACAGCGGAACCTCCGGCCCGTGCAGCAGCACCGAAGGAAACCCATCACTCATCAAGTCAGAAAACCCGAACGCTCACGTCGTCTTTTCAAACATCCGCTGGGGAGATATTGGATCGACTTATACAGACCCTACTGGCTCTAGCTCTAGCTCAACGACTACCAGCGTTGCTAGCAAGACCACCACAACGAAGAGTAAAACAGCAACTACGACTACGACGACTACTACTACCACCACCACCACCACCACTACCACCGCCACTACTACTACTACTACTGTTACTACTGTTCCTACTACTAGTAGCGGGGGTGCTACTCAAGGCCATTGGGCGCAATGTGGAGGAGAGGGATGGACCGGGCCTACGACATGTGCGTCTCCCTATACGTGCGAGGAACAGAATCCTTGGTACTCCCAATGCTTGTAGATAGAATAGCGGAACCGTCATAATTTGGCTCCCATCGGGACAACTTCTTACTGGGATTTAACACTGGACAGTAACAAGTACCTTGAGGGCCCTGTATATTACTTGTTTTATAGATATAGATATTGCGTACAGAATGTTTTCATTCCCACTAGTTATGCCGGGCAGTTTACTATGTTTTACTTTCTCTATCCTCCACTTACATAGACTAATCAGCTGTTCGGCTCAGTGACCCAAGTGATTAACGTACATTGTATTTACTATGAGGAACCAATCGACCAAAAACAGACATAGTTAACTATAAAGCTTTCGCAACGCTGACTCAGAAGTTCCTTTGGAAACTACCTTCTGTGTGAATGATTGCAATTACAATTATTGCAAGTTATCCAAACGAATGGTGGTGTTAGTTACCATATCTCAACAATTCTTCCATAGCAATACTTTCCCCCAGCTTCATCAGTCAATATACTCAGCACAAATAACATCACCGTGTAGGTTCATCACATCCGCAACTGTAACATTAGGCACCAAGCCCTCGATCCATAGGATGTGCCGTAGAGTGGTTATGTTGCCATTATCTCCACTATAATCGACCAAGGATCTACTGGGGCTCTGTAACCCAACTGAATCCAGAACTCGCTGGTCAGGGACATTTGGCCCTCCCATATCATGTAAGCGCCTGGGTAAGTCCATCTGCTGCCATTTCCACCACAAGCGGTCCATATATGCATGGTGTAGATAGAAAATTGGATCGCCGTTGCTCGCAATGGGATCATACATCTACTCAGCAAGGTAGTGTAAGCATCTTTATGTACAGAGCCACATGGAGTGGTTTGCAGCTTTGGGTCTCGTAATGTCAGTCCTCCAAGGGAAAGCAAGAATCACTCACCAGTCCACCCACACCAGCGTGTCCTGCGGCATGGGGATAAGCATGATAGCAAGCCCAAGCGGCGGTATAGTTTTGTATCGAACGACATTCATCCAAATAAGTACTGTTGGCCCAGTCAAAATTCGCCTGGTGAAAGTCGCGCGTAAGGCAGTAGCTGGCATTCTTTCCGTCCCTCCCAATATTTAAAACGAGATTCTTGAATGGCCCATCCTCAACGCATTTACTGTCTAAATATGGGGTTAGGACTTTAATCAGGACCTTGTGATGAAAGTCTATGAATGACGGGGGAAGGAGCGGAGGACTTACCTCCTATTCCGTTTCCCCCGAATCCAAGAGTCGAGTCGAAAATTCTTGATTTATTCAAAGGGCCTGATTCCCAGTCGGCAATTTCATCCCAGTAGGGATGGGAGCCTGTGTAATTGCACAAGGTCTGCAGGAGCAGTTCATGCGTACGTACGAGGTAGCGGTGCCAGGGCAGAAAATGCCCGACATAATGAACATAGTTCCCTTGCCAGATATGGGTATGGTGAAGTTCGTCCCAGATGGATTTAGCTCCTTCGACTGTGCCTAGCAGTGGAGGGTGGTTCATCAAGCATATCTCTGCTCGGAGATATTCTGAAATTGGTATGCATCAGCAAAGGCAACGCTCAATGGCGATAATGTCGAGGGCATCGGCTCGTTATCACGGTGGGTTTGAGAGTGAAAGTGGCGCTCGACGGGATTATACTTACCAGCCTTTTCGTCATCTGTCAGAACAGTCCTGGTGCAAGCCAGCTTTAGTTTAGGATAGGATACGCCTGCTGGAAGAAACCAAAATGGGGTAACATACCAAGACTTTCTCTTGTTTAGGGAGCAGCAGCTCCTCTCGATTTCCTTTCCCGCGTACACAAGCGACGATGTGAGAAGTAGCGCCAGAACCGCTACTCTTAACAACGCCATCCTTGCTTCAGGACTTGGGCAAGCAAAGTGAAGTTTTGCCTGAGAACGTTTTAAACACAATTCAACAGGTACCAATCTGGTCTTCACCTCTCCTTTTTCTATTTTAAGCGGCCTTCGTCCGGTGGTTATGGGGCAGGCCTTGAAATTCCAGTGCACGAACTCAAGGTTATGGGCATTATGCCATATTCTAGGGAAGTACTATATATACCAGCTCTCAGATGCAAGTAAGTTGCTTTTTTCGAAGTGTAGAGCATCATCAGCATCCTAGTACGCAGCTGACGACAGTTTCCTATCGTAAGGCCTGTGAGTTTCCACACTGCAGTTTAGCAACCCACCTGAATGTCCCCCTTAAGCCCCTAGACTCTTATTATTTAAAAAAATAGACTAAAATCTGACAGGCTGGAGTAATAGGCGATTTGTAGAGCATAAACCCGAACCCTGAAAGCTCACATTAAATAACTACCTATCATATTCTATCTTGACATTACTTTCATAAGGCCGTCTCCTCTGACCGATGGCTTTCGCAAGCCGAGACAAAAAGTCACATCTATTCCTCCTACGGCTTCCTGTATCCTAATTTTGCCAGGGATCTGTATGTTTTAGATCTAGCCCAACCAAGCTAGGCCAAATGACAATCATCACGAACCTTTATGGTCTTGGGTACTGGGGTTACGGCAAGGGTTCCCATCCAATCATCCACTGTTTTGAGCTAGGAATTCAAGTAGCCTGCATACGGGCACTGAGAATGTCTTGCAAGACGTTGTGACTGCTGGGATTTTTATCCTCGAGGGCAGATTCTTGTCTAGAAACTAACCCTACCACATGGTTTATACTACTATTTGTGGACGACCAGTTCCTACCAGCCATGGAAAATGATTTGCCCAATTTACATTGCCCAAATTTGAGAGAAACACCGATTAGCTTTACTGTCTCACTCCGTCCCTTTACACCCAGGGTGCGCTGGAAATCCATCACTGACTCTTTCTTAGTGTTAAAGATAACAGGGGAGTGGGCTCCAAGACAAGCCTCGCCTTATTACCCCGTACTGCGTAGGAACATCACTAGCAGGATTGCGCTAGGAGGGTGGAAAACAAATAATACCTATAACTCAAATTATAACTTTTACAGGGGGTGTTTCCGGCACGACGCATAAACCAAGTACTACCAGTAGTATTGCAAGGCAACAGAAAATATAGAACGCACTACAAGAAAGCTTAGAAGGAGACAAGAGGCAACTGCACATTGAAAAACGAGGATGAGAGAATGACGCTGGGAAGAAAGGTTGGGGGGTTTTACACTTCTAGGCCAATATCAGGGGCTAATACGGAGTACTCAATCTAGGAATGTAAAATATAGGTCGGGTACAGCATCCTTGACTAACTAGAGGAATGGGGGATATTTGCTAGATAGGGCAGGGAACACTCTATCTCATGGATTAGCACTCTTCCAACATTTGTCCAATTCCTGGCAAAGAGATCCTTGCTTGTCGAATTTTAACTCCCCCCGTGGTTGACACAGATCGTGGTAACTAACTAATATACACCTGAATATGCTATATTTGACTCCGCTACCCCTACCAGATAAACCTATAATTCTGACATTGACCCTGGATTTAAACCCTAGTATTCTTGATCTTTGACGGAAAGAAACCTATCCAACTAGGCAGCATGCTGTGATACACGATTGATGCCTAAAGCTGCAAATATCAGTGCCTTGCATGCGGGATTTCTGGATTGTCCCCTTGACCTCATATCAGGGCAATAGCAGGTGGCTTTATGGGAGTTTTCCCGGGGTTATGGGGATTTCCTCAATAATTGCGGAGTACGGGTATATTAGTTGAATACAGTTATCATCCTATGCTCCCATTCTTGCCTGAGAGCCATAGTCTTAGGTTACAGCACTAGGCAGGGTAGCTCACCAATTATCGTCAAATATCAACGGTTATCGCCAGACGGGGGATGCATGAGGCTCTTGATAGACTGCCAAGGAGAGTTGTAACGCTGATTTGCAAACAATCACGCAGGATGAAGGTACATAATATGATAATACCTCCTGAGACATCCTGAATAGAAGGATAAGTCTACTAAGCTTCCTCGAACCCCCCATCCATCCATGGGAGGCGGGACAAAGCGATTGACCTTCAATGAAACAGTAGTCAGCCGAGTAATCTCTCCCACGTTGATCTCGATGCAATAGATCGCCACCGCGGATGATGGAGACTACGTCTACCAGGAGCCGGATGGCAGTCTGAACATTGAACGCATTGTCACCAATCAGTCGCGAACCATCATTCCACCCGAGCAGGTGCCAAAAGATGCGTATAGCTACCGGATTCACCCGGACCTGTCATTTGTGCTCTGGGAAACTAACTGCACTAAACAATATCGACACTGCTTCTTTGCCGATTACTACATCCAGGATGTGGCGACATTTGAATCTACCCCTTTAATAGCCGATCGAGTTGGAGATATTCAATACGCAGAATGAAGCCCGACGGGGAGTTCCATTGCATTTGGTCGCGGGAATAACCTATATACTATAGGTGGTTCAATGGCTCGATTCCTGCGATCACCTCGGACGGTGGTCCCGACATGTTCCATGACGTACCCGATTAGATATACAAAGAGGAAATTTTGGGCGATAGATCTGCACTATAGTTTTCTCCCGATGCAGAATTCCTGGCGTTTCTGAGCTTGAATGGGACAGGTGTCCCCACTTACACTGTTCCATATTACATGGAGGATCAGCAGATCGCGCCCCCTTATCCCCGACAGCTTAAGATTAGATACCCAAAGGTTTCGGGGACGCACCCACGGTGGAGTTGAGTATCCTCCAGACCTCCACTTGCGCGAGAAAGAGCTATCTAAGATCGCCATTGATGCCTTTAACCCCACAGAGCTGATCATCGGGGAGTTGACATGGGCGACGTACACCCACGCCACTTTAGCTATAAAGATCTTTAACAGAGTGCAAGATCGGCAGAACGTCGTGGCTGTGGATACCACACCATGGCAGACCAACGTTATTCATGAACGGGATGGGACTGATGGATGGTTAGAAAACCTCCTCTCCAGGAGCTACATTGGCTCTATATGTCGTAAAAACGTCTCGTCGACTTATTACATCGATATTCCTGATCGTTCGGGATGGGCCCATTTATATCGGTTTCCAATGGCGGCAGGTGAACCAATAGCCCTAACGGAAGGTGAACGGAAGGTGAACGGGAGGTGGCGCCGGTTGTGAGCATTGATAGGCACTATCTCTCTACCCAGCACCGCAGCACAGAGCACCAGCTGTACTCAGTGTCTTACTACACGTTTCAGATTACGCCTCTTGTTAAAGAAATGTATTCCGTGGAGCGGCCTGCACCCCTTCGTACTGTCACCAGCAATATGGCAGTGATCGAGAAAATAAAGGAGAATTCTCTGCCGAGAATTAGCTACTTTGAAATGACGATCCAGAGAAACTCGACGTAATGCAACGACTCCCGGTCAACTTCTCCCCGGAGAAGATAAATGAACTACAATGGAGATACCATGTTTTTGTACAGGCAGCTGGCCCTGCAGTTGTACAACGAGAAGAGAACGACGAAAGGAGGCCATCATCAATGGAGTAAGAAAACTTGATTAGAAAGTTAACCACGTAATTGTATTCTGAGGATGTAATCCAGACCCGCTTCAGATTTGACAAGTGAGTGTGGTTTTCAATTGCCTCGAGGAACTGCTGGTCGGCGTTGGTTTCTTATTAGTAGTTAGCGCATCTTTGCGTATAAAAGATGCAAATGAGACCGCCAATTATTACAGGGTTGAGGGTCGATTGCCTTAACATAGGCTTTGTTGGGATCAACCTACAGCTTCATGGTAGCATAGCGTGGGATAACGAGCGGAATGTTGCATCACCAAAGCCATAGATAGGCCCATTTTCGTCCCCCACATGCTAAATCCCCATCCCGTGTCTCACACTCCGCGGGGTGCTCAAGACATGCGCCAAAACCTCCTTTCGTCCCGTTAGGTTTTCACGGTACTCGTAGTAAGCATGACCGAGTCCAGGAACCAACTCTCAGAAGCGAAGACATCGATTCCCGTCCTGCAGACAGGCCACCAAGGCTTGTGATACATGCCGCCTCCGAAGGTGAGAGTCGTAGGTTTGGCCCTGTCAGCCCGGCGATTTTTCAGTGAATAGACGAACTTAGGGCCTGGATTCGAGCCAAAGCTGTGAGACCTGTACCTTCCGTTGTGTCAATAACAAAGAGGATATATTGAACACGCTTTAAATCAGAGCTGTAGGGCCCCTACAGTATTCAATGTTTAAGATCCTGTGTCTCTCCCTTTAGTGAATTTTGACTTATAATCATTGTACTGAAGCTCCCGGAGAGGAAACTCAAGTCTTTACCGGCACCAAGTATTCCCACATTCTCCAAGTAAACTCCGGAGTATTACCATGAAGCAAATTCCAAGGATCATATTATCGTGAATTTGCACCGCATCATTAGAAAATGACATTCATACAACGCTGGCATATTTGTTCAAGTTTTATCATTTACTACGCTTTCTATTGCCATCCAGTTCTCGGTGTTTAGTGGTAACCTCAAGGATTTTAGAGATATTTAAAAGGCAAGGTACCGTAGTAGTGAAAGTATCATGCAATAATCGGCCGACATAAAAGTAGACTCTAACTCTGTCCTTATGAGAATTCCACATGGCTGTCAGAGCGGCTTTAGTGGGAGTCACGGTAGAATAGAGATAGAAGATGCAAATATGCTCAGACGCCCACCAAAGCTCGTAGACTTGCTTAACTTGTCCTGTAACACTTCTGTGTGAAACTCACGGGTGTCAACAGTTTTGAGGCGGACTTGAGCAGCCCGATAGAGGTATGACAACTTGATGGCGGACTTTCATTCCGGTGCTATTTTGTGACGAGTAACGGAAGTTGTATAGCTATTAATTGCCCGAAGAAAATCATCCAGGTGTCATCAAACCTAGGATTACACAATAACACATGTTATTAAGGTAAGAGTCTAATGTTTAAACGGATTTGTTTTCCGAGTGTCAGAGATTCCTCTCATCACCAAAAGTATAATTAGATTACTTATATACATAGCACTAGAAATTTGCTCTACTGGGATGAGGAATTTCTCATATATCTGACTTTACACAGATATATTGCTAACGATTTTCTAATTTCCCCATTGGAATGTAGCTGGATTCAACCGCTGTTCAATTATGCAGTGCAAATTTTTGCCTTGAACACTAGAAACAATTCTCCAGCTGCTTGCTTTCAGTGACACACAGCAAACTACTGTCTTGCCTCGACTTGCTCCAATAATCATTCACACTTGTGTGTTCACGGCTCGATTGATCGAGCCTGACCTTGCCATCAACAAAGGCTACACCGTTTTCCAGTGGTGTTTTCCTCCAAAGTTTTTGGTTACATGGATCATCTTGCGCACTGGGATCAGTGGATTATCTCGCAAAGAAATGTAGTTGTTACGCACTCAATGCATAGTGTTTGCCAGAATTTATATTCTCCGCCTCTGCCCCGTAAAAGGGTTGATATTTCAAGCGGCTAGATTGAATCAAAGTCCTTGGTTTTTCTTTATATCGCCCTCTCCACCCGGAAGCCCATATACCGGCACTTTTACCTTCCTCTCACACCACACTGAATCTAAAAACATCTGTAAAATGCGTTTGTCTAGATTATCCCTTTTGTCCCTTCTCAGTTACGCGAGCATGACATTTGCTACCTATATGATACATGATGACTATGGTGATTCTGCGTCCTTTTTTGACCGCTTCACTTTTTGGACGGTAAGCTCTGGTCAGACCTTTTGGCCCTCGAACATTTTTTTTTTCTAATCTATACTGACTACACCTTCCCCCGGTAGGAGCCTGATCCCAGCCACGGCTATGTGCAGTATGTTGACCAAGCCACGGCCGAAGGCAAGGGGTTTATATCCATGTCGGACGGGGTCGCTTACCTAGGCGTCGACTACACCAGCGTGGTGGTGAGCGGTGGACGACAGAGTGTGCGACTGACTAGCAGAAGCCAGTACAATCACGGGCTTTATATCCTAGATCTTAGCCACATGCCAGGAAGCGTCTGTGGGTCCTGGCCCGCGTTGTAAGGAACCATTTCAATCCCCATTGCGGTTATAGATCTGTCTGATTATTTGAAGCTGGATGGTGGGGCCTAACTGGCCACAGGGAGGCGAGATTGATATCATTGAGGGGGTAAGTCAGTCAACAAATAATGCGATGACTCTCCATACAAGCGACGGCTGCAGCATTGCTGGCAATGGGTTCACCGGAACCATCCAGTCAACCAATTGTTTCGTAGGTGCTGGCGGGCAAGGATACAATACAGGGTGTGGGATTCAACTGACATCAAACGCGTCTTACGGCGACGGCTTGAATAATGCGGATGGGGGGGTCTACGGGATGGAATGGACCAGTGGTGGATTTAAAAGTTGGTTTTTCACACGAGGCAATATCCCACTCGATATCCTGTCAGATACCCCAGATCCATTGTCATGGGGGACCCCGGATGCTGCTTTTGCGGGAGACTGCAATTTCGACACACATTTCAATAACATGCAAATTGTCTTCGATACAACGTTTTGCGGTGATTGGGCTGGTCATCCAGATGTGTGGGCTTCTTCAGGAACCTGCCAAACCCTGGCACCAACATGCGAAGAATACGTGGCGAATAATCCTACCGATTTCCAAGAGGCATACTGGGAGATTAATGCGCTGAAGATATATCAAGACGCACGAAACACTACAGCCAGATTGCCACGTTTATTCCCCTATCACCCATAAGCGTTTCCAGCGAAAAGATTGCCATACATAGTACTACCCGTGGTGTTCGCATGGTATATCTTCTTGACAAAATTACTCGCGTTGGGGCTACTTAGCCCTCCATAGCTAACTACTATTGCCTGTTTTTGGTTGTTATTTAATGGATTTGGCATATTCTAAGTGAAACCCGCGGGCTACCAAAAACACTTCCGTTAAACCGCCTCCGAACATAAAGAAGCATATAGTCTTCAAATCGCCTGGACTAAACGGCATGCGCGACGTCGCCCCTCGGGCCAAGCGCAGCTCGTGGCATGTATATAGCAGGGAAACACCGCGTCCCGAGTCCCACAGTGTGGATACGGAGAAAACACTGAATCATCTCCTGTAGACATGACATCAAACGATTGATGAATCAACCAGTATTATCGGGGAAGTTTTATAGACCTAGACTTGGGTAGTATCTACTCCAGACAATCACATGAAAAAGGGTCAGATGCTGGCATGTGATCGAGGCTTCCGAAAGAGGAAGATCGATGGACCTGCCCAGTGAGCTATATATATTAGAAAACTAGTAGGGGACCGGGAAAGAGGTCGAAAAAGCCATTGAGTCTTGTCCTTGGGCACAGTTGCTTTCATTCCTTTAATCACCACATTCTCCTAGACGACATTTATAGAGCGGCAATCGCCATGGCAATCCCCGCAGATATCACTCTCAAGACCCTCAAGGGCTCTTGGGCACTGGTAATAATAACCTTTGAGACAGTACTTGATTGGGAAATATTGCAGAATTAATTTGTTTTGTTTTCATAAAAGGACAAGTCTGTGGCTGATGATGCGGATCCGATCCTCAAGCTGGTAGGGTTACTTGCTGCCCTCCGATGCTTGCCCGATTGCCGCTCAGTTCCATCATTGTTTAGAAGAAGAGAGGCGGCGTTGTTGAGATCAATGACTAATGTTCATCGCTATCTAGCAAGGCGTCGGCTGGTTGATGAGAAAGGCAATTGGCGCTGCGACCCTTACCTTGCATTTTGCCTCATCTGCCGAAGACAGCACTGTCCGTCTCGAAATGCGCCAGACTCTAACGGGCGGCATCCCAGGTGCAACAGAAGAGCGCATCATGGATTGGGCCGAACGAGAGCGCAGCAATCATGTTTACGGCCATACCTTGACTCGCAGCCAATTCATTAACGGCGTAAGGGGTGCCGATGGGGATGTTCAGCCCGATTTGAATTTACAATCTAAACCACCATCCGCGGCAATCGAGGCTGAAATCCAAAGGTTTCTGTGTGGAGGCATCCCTCAGCTAAATGACGCGTTAGAAAGTGAAGGATACAAGGGTATCTACATTCACGATTTTGGGCGCAATGAACAGGCTGGTTGGACGGCGGAACAGGTACAGACGCCATCCAACTCGTTAACAATAACATTACAACTGACAAGCGATGGAAAATAAACCTAGGTATGGAGTCTTGAACTTATTTCCTCTCAGGCGTACCTGACACGGCGTGTTGTTGTTGTCAAGGGTGGTTCATATGAGATGGCTCGCTTGGTTTACAAGTTCACTGCACTATAGTTATGCCTGTATTGTGTATGGTATGGAATGGGTGTTCCTGATCTGCCATAGGAGACAAATAAATTAAACTTTCATGGGCTTTTGGTCTCTGCTTTCCTCCATATCCTCGCCGGGTTCAACTGTGTATACCGAAGTGTGCGCACTGAAATACGAAAACCTATTCACTACGTTATGCTATTGTCGACCAGTGATCTCCCGCGCTTTTCATACCTTTACTGCCATTCAAAGGCCCAGATTGTCCGGGCAGATACTACCTGTTACTACAAATAGTACTCAAGAGATATGTTTAAAGCCCGACACTGTTCCAAATCAACTAACGGTACCACGCGGCCAGGCCAGTCAAACAATCTCAGAGAGAGGCTGTCCGGCTTTAGTGGATTCCACGCACCTGCAGCTTCAATATCCTGGGTTGTATTAAAATACTGACGAGCCGCTAGGTAGCCTGGGCTTGGAGTAGGGTTTCCTGTGCGCACGAAGCTGGTCCAAGAATCAACCACCAACTGCTCAAACGGCAAATCAAATTCATCTCTCAGCGGAAGGCCCTGCCTGCGCACATTGCCAAAGACGTAATATATCTCTCCAGAGTGACATTTGAAATATTCAAGACTCGGGTCTCCAGCGGGATGACTCGGTGTTACCGGAGCCTCACAGAGGGGCGGATTCGGAGAGTATGATGCTGTCTGGTAGGAGCGATTGAATTCATAAAAGTGAACGGATGGAAATATCTGGTTTTTGATTCCTGCGTAGGCAGTAGCTTGATCGATGCATCGAAAAATACCATCTGTTGCCATTCGCGACGTGGTGTTGAATTTATTGAGCGTCGTATTGCGACTGGCAGGGAGAGGGAATAACCCGGTCGAAAGGGCAGAGGATGGCAACCCATAAGCCCTGATAAAGGTCTCCAAAGTCTCCTCCATCGAGGGATATCCAATCATGGCCGCACCATCATCGCGCATTATTCCGATCAGAAGTGGGACGTGGGCGGTGGCCTGACGGTGCTTCAAGTCAAGCTGATTGCCTGTCAGATACGTGCCATCAACGACAAGGTATCGAGCTGTGGCGGGCAGATTAGCAATTGTCCTTGCTGGGAGCTGGCGGAGGCAGTCGACCTGCGACGAGGCATTGCTGCAGTTGGTTGCGTCCAGGATTGGCTGCCCGGCCACTTCCATCTGCTCCTCGACGGTGTAATAATCAGAATACGTGGTGCCATATCCCAGCCCACCCAGGTTGCTCTGCATTATGGCTCTAGCAAACTTTCCCCTGGCTTTGGGCGATGCCAAAAGTGCTCGTACTGATCCGGCGCCCGCAGACTGGCCAACAATAGTCACTCGCTTGGGATCTCCCCCGAAATCCATAATGTTCTTGCGCACCCAGTCTAGCGCTGTGACTTGGTCGGCCAATCCAAAGTTTCCATTTGTCTGGCCGTCATGCAAAGCCAGGAATCCCAAAGATCCTAATCGATAGTTGATGGCCACGACCACGACATCTCCACGAGATGCCAGGTTTGAACCATCCGTGTAAGGGTGAGAGCCCTTGCCACTCATGAATGCACCTCCATGGATCCAAAACAGAACAGGTCGGAGTGAGCTTCCCAAATTAGACCTTCCGCGTTGGTTTGGCAGATATGGGGTCCAAATATTCAGAAACAAGCAATCCTCCGCGCCGGTTGTCGGCCCCTGTAGACAACTATTTCCAAACTGCAGAGCGGACACAGAGCTGCCCGAACCTTGGTATAACTTGGAATACGTCCAACGCTCAGGCTCATCAGCATATCTAATACCCAGAAAGCGGAAAGCATGTCGGTCCCGGTAGCTATTACGATTCCATTAGCGAAGGCCTATACCCGCGACACAAACGACACAGATGCCTAACCCAGTGATATGCTCTTTATTTGAGTCGATCGTCACCTGGAAGTCTGAGCTGGTGTCCGAAAATGTCTCGTTTGAATACGGCGCAGATTGTGTGCAAAGAACCGGCAGCCGCTCCCTGTCCGCCGCTGGAAGAATGAGACCAGTACGGGTGATAGTGTGCGGCCGTCGATGCTGGACACCTGAAGAAATCCAAAATCGCTGTTCAGCGCTATATCGGCCTTGATATATGAGGTAGTCGAGATGAGGCTTAATCACGCTGAATGGGGTTTCTGGTGTCCATAATGTTTCTCCCAGCGCCTTGCAACTTTTTGCAGCCGAGTCCAAATCCATCGCATCAAGCAGTAAAACCCCCGACCCACTGTATGGGCTTTCGGACTCTGTAGATCTCATTAGTTTATAGGGCCATGCTAATCTCTGTGTCTATATTCACCCAACAGGTCATTGGTGATGAGAATTGAGATGTCCGATCTCAGTGATCTCGGACTCGTCGCAGTTCTCGCACAGGTAGCTGCCAGCAAAAGGATCGCCAACTTTCTGTTCGGCATTGTGTGATGATCTTACAAGTACAGGAAGCCTTTATGGGGCAAGCTAGACTGTGCCTGTTATGGCTATTTAAACAACTCCTTCTGTCATTCAGCCTGAAGTAGTCCTCGTATTCTGGAAGTACGGAGTAATCCTGTCCTCTTTTTTTCCACCGACTGGAGAGATGTTTACTTCTGCTAATCCGATAATAATAATTTTTGCTTGACGCCATTGGATCATAAACAACTAGTCCGAGGAATTTAGCATAATGGACAACGTTACGATGGATGTCGACTTGCAGTTGTATCCTCTTCATAACGATCTATCACAGCCTCAATAACCAAGTAAGTAGCGACAACCTATATCGGAGGCAGTAATCGAATTAAGCATTACGTTACTTTCATCTCTCATTAACCGTATAACGCACATCCATTGTCTACAGTCTCTACGTCTCGACATTAAATCCGGGGCTGCGAGAATCTAGTCGAGCCAAAGAGGTTCTTCTCCACGAGCAAAGGGACTAGATGAGAGTGATTTGAACAGGTTGTGCCACATATCAAGTTCCAATCTCAACGCGCAGTCCCATCCTACCCCCAGTGTGATACTGTGAGTATGCAGCTGAAGATAGTATGAATCAAACTGATTACCATGTTGGTGAATTCCTTTTTAATTCTAGTTTCTTTATAATGTTTCCTACGCAGTCTATACGGTATACTTGTCCAGACTTAGGTCTCATCTCATATATTACCATACCCTCTTCTCAGCAGGCAAGCCGCATGCACCAAACAAACATTGCCACGCAACAACAATAGATAAAGTACTATTGCTGCATTAGTACATACCTTCCAATCAGCACAGATCAGCACAACCTATCATCTGAGATTGTGGTTCTAGGTGCTTGTTGTCGTGCTTTATATGCTCCATTCCCGGAGTTGTGGATTTTAGGAATGAGTATTGTCCATATCCCTGATGTTGCTTGAAATACCACTACGATCTCTCCTTGATCCATGGAAGTCAGATTTGATCTGCTGGCAAAGGTAGTGCCTATTTTAGAAAGACATCCTTATATGTCAGCATATAGAGCCGGCACTCAACCCCTATTTGGATTCATTGGTGTCGCCCATCCATCTAATCAGAGCATCTGCAATCTAAGATTGGTATAAAGTTTAGATCTGGCTTGAGTGGCATGATAAGACCATGCCTCTCAATCATAGTTCAGAAGCTCATGGTTTTGGGCGTCGAGGCTATAGGGCCGTAGACGGTGGTATGACTACACTCTGGGGAGTGCCTAATTTTAGCACCATGAAACTCGATGGACCTTCCGATGTAATGATAGGGGCGTTGTTTCAGGGTGGCTACACTTGAATACATGTCTGCATGGAAGTAGAATTACCTGTTTCCTGAAACATGACGCCAACTCTTCAATGTAACTTCACAGAAGGAATTTGTTTCCATATCCACACTAAATCACTCCTGTCTGTGCATGGTTTCATCCAGTTTAGTATGATTATATCCTCGGCAGCATGTTCGATTCCCTTTCTAGCCCCGTACGGGGGACAGACAAGAACGTTCATTTTTCTAGACCTCATGGCCCCATTTATCCATCCCTTTCTTTTTTTGCTTTTTTTGGCGAAATACTTACCTAGAATGGCATTCGGCAAAGAACTACGGAGTACTAGCTCGAAGATCCTTGAGCTCAGGATCAGCATGCTGCGCCTCCACAAGTATGTCGAGCAGGAATATTGGTAAAGTGGAGTATTATTGGTAAAAAACCCCAGGTGGCTCTTGATCCCTTAATGGCCGAACACATGGTCAATTCCGAGGTTAATATTGGGGCTCATTGAAGATGAAGATGAAGATGTTGACCGTAAATCGGAACTTCAACCACGTAGTGACTGCGGCGTGGCGGATATTGTCTCTCCACAGAGCAGTCACTCATTTTCATGTTATCGCTGGATTTTCTGATCTTCTCAGTTCTATGCAATGCGTTCTGATAGCAGAAGAAGTGAGATTTGCATGTGAATTCATCCTCTAGGAAAATCCGGTTCACCGGAAGGATCCTTATAACAGAAGTTCACGATTATCTTGTATTAGTCCTGCGAACTGGGGACCAGTGGCATTTCTGAACACAGGGAGCTTTAGAGCACCCAAGCTCAAGGCCTACCGGATGAGACCAAGATAGAGAGAGGGCTAGAATACTCCATACAACTTCTAACTGCAAGGAAATGTCTCAGCCTCCAAAGTTTAATCAGTACTTGGTAATACAGAGTAGTCAGGTTTGACGTGTCGCACGAATCATACTAGCATTTCTATTTTTTCCTCTCCGCGAGGGGAACCAGACCAGACTGCTAACAAGCGTCGATCACGAAATTCAGTGCGGATCCATCTAGAGTCCTTCGGAATCGGTGAACTCTCGAGCTTCATCCGAGCAGGATCTAGATGCAAGCTAGCTGCATTAGGTACTCCGGAGTCTTGCATCAGGACAGAAGAGTCTGTGATTATGCAAGTCAACCATGCAAATGATGCGCGAAAAAAAAAAAAAAAAACCTTAATCCTCTTAAAATACATGGGGCCAAGGTCATTCCGGCCCAGGCAAAGTTGTGCGTGGCGAGATCAGGGAGTGGCATGTGGATTCCCGAGAGGGACGGAGGAAGATGTGCAGGAGCGACGACGATCGAACACGCTGGAAGGCTAGGATCCGGTAGATAATCACACCTACCCAGTACAGGGGATGGAGAAGGGAGACCCTATTCTATAGGGAATCCTATCGAAAACCTATAGTATAGTGGACGGGGCAAGGCCCCACGTTTTATAAAGGGCTTGAATCGTGGCTGGTGAACGTTGGAAACTGCGCTTCCTTGACCCGAAACCCTACATCGGCCCAATTGGATGTCGCATGGCGAAAGGATAAAGGAGATCTCTCTAGCTATGAAACTAGTGAGGCTGGGAAGTTGGTTCCGCTCGGGTCGATACGCCCTGATCCGTAAGCTAGACACGCATGTAGATTACTAGGAAGAATATGGTATACATAGCGAGATTGAGTAAAAGATAACATAACTTGAACTAAACTACGTAATCTGGTATAAGGGTGTAACAAATGCATGTACAGGTGGGTCTTTGGCGTAGGTGAAACACGATTGTGGGTATGCATCATCTGGCGATGGAGTCTGAGCATGCAATGCCGGTAGTGGCAGTGAAGGGCCATTAAGCAGCGGTGCGAGGAGATCGGTCATCACCGGGGAGACTTCCTCCACACGTTCCTTGTTGGGTAGTGGGAAAAGATGAGCGTATGGAGCGGATTGAAACTCAGAGCTGTAGTCTCCATGCATTCCCATGTAGTCTGTCTCAAATTGATCCACCAAGGGCAGAGGCGTGGGCTCTGGAAACCCCCCCATAAGACTGTTCGGAGAATAGGGCGCAGCCACCAGGTTCTGTGCCCCGAACCCGGGAGGGCTAAGGTCACCGGGGCAGAAAAATAATACCGGTTCTACGGCATCACTGCTGCAGGGAATCCACTCCATCCCATACATCGTCGGGGTTCCTGGGATGGGGGATGTCTCAACATTACCTGTCCCATAGGGGAGAGACGTTGTAATTGCTTGATTTGCCTGTAGATCCTCGCGCGGAGGGCTGGAATGATGACTGTAACCCCCAGTAGGGGACTGTGACACCTCTGTGTATGAAGTTGATGGCCCGGGGATCTCGACTGGTGCCTGGACGCCAGAGCTCTGGTCTCTTGTGTGATCCCCACAGGCGGAAAATCGTGTCGAGCTGTATATCCGGGATGAAGACATCACAAATGATCGAGTATCTGTGTGGCTTTGTTCGGCACGGTTCTTTTTTGATCCTGATAATCTCCTAGATCCATCATACTTTTTGCGTGATGGCTTGGTGATTTGCCATTTTTTCAGGCGGCTGCGTAGTTGGGATTCACTGAAGAAGAGAGTTAGCCATGTTCCACAAAGGATTGATTGCAGTGTTCGAATCACCTTGGATGGAAATCTCTGGTCTGGACTAGCTTGATGACTTGCTTCAGCGGCCACTCCTCCTCCTTGTATAGTTTGGTGATAAGGAGTCTCTTGGTTTCCCAGATGTCGGGGGGGATGGCACTCTTCATGTTCGCGATGCGAAGTAACAATAAGGGCGGAACAGATAGTAGTTTGAATACGGGGAGAAGAGTGGGATGGTTTGCCGTGGATCTGTCAATGGATCTCTCGGCATAGATATATACAGAGGAATGTGAGATGCTGCTGCGCAGTCTCAGTTTGGGGGAGATCTGCTCCCTTGGGGGATATTGGATATTCAGGAAATAAATGCCGCTACTGTCAATAGCTGCGCAGCATATACTGTGACAAACCTGGGTTAAGCGAAAGTTAACTGCTGGGGACTAGATCCAACAGCGCCATCGAGGCCCCATGAAGCCCTACTCTGATTTGAAACCAAACGTCTGACGAGCACAACGGTCTTTCTCTTCGTACCTCCCCTCCGGCAGCGAAACTGCACCGATTTACAGGCATCTTACAAGGGGTTGATCTCTGCACGTGGGTCTTCGTCTTCATCCATAGTTAGCGCTCACATCTGTTAATCGATAGGAGTGGAATCGCTAATTTCCCTGGGTGTCTAGTAGGGTTCATCTCATCAGGAGGGATAACGCCCGATCAACCATTACTTCCGGGATGTGGGTCCAGAATGCCGTTTATGCTATGTAGTAGTTGATCGTTAACTTTCTACTAATACTAGGAGGGAATAGAACGCGACTCCCCCCCCATTGCGAGCAGGCGTGGATCCCATCCGGATTTCCTGGTCCAAATTTACTACCTGCCTAAAAGAGCCATGAGGACGCCTATCTATTTCGATCTGTGCGCCATTCGAGTGACTCCTGGATTGCGATGGGGCGTTTGAGAGTGTAGTTATGTAGCTGGCCGGGATTGGATGCAAGAGCAGTGGTTATGGGTCGTTGTCAAACGGATTATGGGCGGAGAGTAGGATGACCCTCTTGAGGCAGTAGTGCTTATTAGCCCTTATCCACCGTTGCTACGTGGTTATAATGTCGAAGACAAGCTATGAGCTGGTGCCATCGTGGAATGCGTCCCGGAGTATCAACACGGGCGTTTTTTGGTAGCTCCAGGTCTTTGCGTTGGCGATATCCTACTACTATCACGGCTGCAGAATAGAGATTAAACGGCGAAGTGAGAATTCACATGGAGAACCCAAGAGGGACTCCTGCACCGTACTCGAACTATATAACGCAGTGATACATGTGACATTCACTATGTAATCCAACCGCAAGCCCTATTTACACTAACTGGCTTATGCTAGATTCTGCAAGTTTACCAGGTCAAAGTACCGACCGCGCTTCCTAAGTAGCTCGCTATGCGTCCCAGACTCCGCAACCTGGCCATTAGCTAGTACGTAGATCATGTCTGCCCGCTGGATGGTGCTGAGACGATGTGCTACCGCCAGCGTCGTTCTCCCCCGTGCCGCCGTATCAAGTGCAGCTTGGACAACCTTTTCAGATTCGGAGTCCAGCGCGGATGTGGCCTCATCTAGCAAAAGAATCCTAGGATTGCGGAGCAGTGCCCGGGCAATCGCGATCCGTTGCTTCTGCCCTCCAGACAGCATCCCCCCTTTACTTCCGACGGTCGTGTTAAAACCTTGCCTGTATAATGTTAGAGGGCTGTACAAGCCCCAATGTAGACCAGACGGTACTTACGGCAGTGAAATAATAAACTCGTATATGTTCGCATCGCGACAAGCTGTGATGAGTGCACCGTCCGAGACCTCATGAGGGTCCATGCCCAGCAGAATGTTCTCACGAATGGTGCCCTGGAACAGGGCTGGTTCTTGTCCTACATAGGCCAGCTTCTTACGATAAGACTGCAAATCCAGTGTGCTAATGTCCTTGCCGTCCACTAAGATTTCACCAGCAATAGGATTGTAAAACCGCTCCAGCAGCGCAATCGTAGTACTTTTCCCACAGCCACTAGCGCCGACAAATGCGATAAATTGCCCTGGCTGGACGGTTAAATTTAGCCCCTGCAGCACGGGATACTGAATCCGAGTTGGATATCGGAAGTATACGTTGCGGAACTCAATGGAGCCCTGCAGTGACCGCACGACCTCGCCGCCCACGCAACCCTGGATTTTGGGCTTGCGGCTGAAGAGAGCCTTGAGTTCGGCTGCGGCGTGCCTCGCCTTGCTCATTCCAGGTGCATACGAGAAAACAGTGCCGGCAGCCTGTGCGCCGAAAATCACTTCGCTGAAGCAGACATAGAATTTGAAGATGGTGTACTCGTGGTGACCTAGCAACATCCCACCATACCAGAAGCCCAAGGCCATGCAAAAGAATTGCAATGCCTCGGAGCTTGCATATAGATATGACGACCGGAGAATAGACGGGATATCGGTTTTTACCTGTTGCTCCAGTTGCGTGCGATAGGAGTCCAGAATGACCCGTTCCATTGTCAAGGAAACAACCGTCCGGATAGCCGTGACAGCTTCACTGACTTCGCTGGCAGACTTCTGGTGCATTTTGCGACCTCGTACTTGGAACCTACTGAGTATCCATGTCCGGAGAAATCCACTGAGCAATAATACTGGGACCGCCGAGCTGCACACGAGGGCGAGTTTCCAGCCCAGGGCCATGGCAACTGCCAGCGAACCAAAGAGGTTCATTGTCACGATCAGCAATGTAGCTAGGGTTGCGCCACTAATTCCCGCAAGGTTCTTGATATCTGTTGCAAGAGCAGAAGTGAGGGCTCCCGTGCTATTTTCTTCCTCGTCGAAAAAGGCAATATCCTGGCCGAGGAGGACCCGGAAGGTCTGGCTCCTAGCGCGCCGAATTAATTTCTCGGAGCTGACGGCGAACATAACCCCCTGTGTCCCGAATAGCACAAAGGTCACCAGCCCAGTCATGAGGAACATAGACGACCAGAAGTTGGTTTCGTGGCGTAGCTCTCCTGGCTCAGTGTAAGGCATAGACATTGCGTTGACAGCTTTGGCCAGCAAAACCGACTGCGCAGGCTGAACGCAGCCTGCAAACAGCGATATGACAAGGGCTAAGCCCATGATATATCGCTCAGGATGGTTGAAGCTGGCAATGAATTTGATAAGGCTCCAGATTGAGAATTGTGTGGCTTTGGCTGGGGCCGCCAGCTTCGGCACGGTTACATTACTTGCACGCGGACACAAAGTCAACGGCGTAAAATAAGGATCATCCGCCCAATAGCGGTCGAAGTCATCCTCTTCATCAAACCAGAGAGTGGCAAGCGTCTCCTTGTCGTGTTCCTCGTCCTGGTTTCCATATGCATCGCTGATGCTCTGGGCTTGGACAAGACCGGCGTAGGTTCCGTTTCTGTCGAGCAGTTGCTTATGCGTTCCTTGCTCTGCGATCTTCCCGCCTACCATCACTACAATATTATGTGCTGACTTAATGGTAGAAAGCCGATGGGCAATGACAATCGTTGTGCGTCCCTCTGCCGCTCGATCCAGTGCTGCCTGGACTAGGCCTTCCGACTTCGTGTCGAGGGCAGATGTAGCTTCGTCGAGGAGTAAAATCTTCGGCTCCTTGACAATGGCGCGCGCGATTGCAATTCGCTGCTTCTGTCCGCCGGAGAGAGCGAGGCTTCCAATGTTCGTTTCATAACCCTCGGGAAGAGCATTGATGAATTCATCGGCATCGGCGATCTGGGCTGCCTTGATCACCCGCTCTCGGATCTCTTCAGCCGTCTCGTTCTCAAATTCGGATCCAATCAATCCGTATTTTATATTCTCAAAGATGGTTGCGGAAAAGAGCTGAGGTTCCTGGGAGACTAGTGAGATTTGCTGTCGTAACCACTGGAGGTTCAGCGACTGGATGTCATGTCCGTCAATCAACACATTCCCTCCGACTGGATTGTAGAACCGTTCAAGCAATCCGATAATCGTACTTTTCCCTGACCCAGAAGGCCCAACGAAGGCGGTCGTTTTCCCGGCTGGGATGCGCAAATTAAAATCCTCCATGACGATCACCTCTGGTCGTGAGGGATAGGCATGCTTGATGTTCGAAAATTCAATCCACCCTTGAACTGAGCTTGGCCGGTTCCCTTCAGTGGACAAGGGGTTTAGAGGTGACTCTCGATCAATGGTCCCCAGGATTTTCGTCGCTGCAGCTACTGCATCAGAGAAAGCTTGCATGTTGGGTGCCACATTGCCTAAACTATACGATCCTAGGATGATGGACATCATGATAGTGAGAATATCTCCCGGGGCGATATGGGCTGGGTCTTCGATCAAGAATCGCGATCCCATCCAGAGACCCAGTCCATAATTCAGGTACATTACTCCGAGAATACCTCCAATCACCAAGGCAAAGGTCATTTGTACAACCCGGCCAAAGCGTTCTGCATCTTGCAGATGACTATCATACTTTTCTGCCAGGGCCTCTTGCGCACCAAAGGCCGCAACTGTCCGGATGGAATCGAGGACATTATCTGCAATGCTGCCACCCTTTCCGTAGCATTCAATGGACTTCTTACTGTATATCACCGAAATGGTTGAGCCAATGCCCATGATAAGTAAGAGGACAAAGAGCGTGGATGTAGAGACCAACGCAAGTTTCCAGTATTTGATGAATGCGATAACGAACGCCGTGACGAAACTGGACACCCCGGTCAACACCAAGCTAAGTTTTTCGGAGATGCCGTCTTGGATAAGATGCATGTCGCCTGTGATCCTGGTGGTGATCTCGCCCGCTCCTAAGGAGTCGAAGAACGCGATGTTCTGTTGCAAAATCGCCTGGAGATATCGAACGCGGATCTTCTGCGTAACCGAGTTTCCTGTGTGAACAAAGGCAAATGTGGCAAATCCTAGTGTCAGAAACTCTCCAATACCCAGGTAGATGAAATAGTAGACGTTTGTCGAGAGAGTATGATAGAACTCGTCATACGTGATGGCATAGCTGGCAACGTCTCGAAATGTCGACGTGATATTGCCAAAGAAAACCTGCGTCAAGTCAGCTCAGTCTACTCAGTCTCCTATAAGACATTTTGGTTCATTCTGACAGTGAATAAAGGCAGTGCCGCACCACCGGCTACGGCGCAGATAGCTCCAATCCCCAGGATGACCCAGTCCCATCCGGCCGCATAGCTATAGATTTGGAAGTAGCTCACTTTCGGGGTCGGCATCCGGATCTGCTGCTCCAGAATATCTTTCTGGAGATCGGACAGGAACAAAACCGACCGCCGTGCCATCCTCACTGACTCCATCGCAATCTCCTCCCGGTCCTCCATCTGGAAGAGTCTGGTTTGCCGGCGAATTCGCGGCATTTTGGTCTCACTTGCACCCGACGTCGATACCATAATCGGAAACTGGTTTTTTCTTCAATGGTGTCCCTAGTCTGATGGCGACATTCTCGCTGGAACTAAACAGGTTAAGGTATTTTCGACACTCTCTCAGGTGAGTGTGTTGGTATACCCAAAGGACCCTTCACTGTACGGGTGGATCGCTCAACCTGTCGATGAGCTCTTGGAATGTGAAAATAAACATTCACCATATACCCAACGGTCCGCAGAAAGATGCGGAAAGAGAGGGATCGCGTTCGGGCAACACCCAAGTCAGAATGCTGGGTGGGGAGCAATCCGCGAGGCGTGTCTTACAGCAAGATCTGACTCTTCTTCGTCCCCCCACAATCCTCTTTCCACTGTGTGCCGAAAAAGAGTGAGCGGCGCTCCAGGAGCCGATTTAGTGGCAGGGAGTCACCATGGCTGAAACTGGGCCCGGTGGGCTGTTCAATGGGGAGGACGATCCTGCTACAAAGTTCCTCGGATGCAAACCCTTTGCCTAGGTATAGCCAAATTTTGGGCTGACGAAACCAATCCATTTTGATTGAAATACCGTTTTGAAAATAATGGGAAAAAGGGAGCCGGGGGAACAAGCAGAATCAGAGTGAAGACTTGGAAACATCGGCTAACGAGCGCGCTATCTGCACTTGAGCTGAGCGTCGGTTCATGTGAAATGTCACAGCCTTGAGTACCAAACCAGATGAGTCGTCCAGTATATGCATCAGAAGTGTTTCGACCCCTGCCCTGGCTGACACGATCGTGAGGATTTCCTTAAACCACCACTGCCGAATTTTGCAGATATTGACTCGGCAGACAAACCATTCTACCCCTTCTATACCGATACCATCCGGGTTGTGCGTAGGTTCCATGTGGGATGAATGCCATCCAATAGATAGGTAGGGCAAGACCATTCCCAGGGGTCTCTGGTTGAAACTCGAATCCCAGTGGAAACGATTCATACTACATTGCCAGATTCAGAACCCTACTCATGGAGAGAGCTACCAACCAACTTCTTGGGTCTGACTCAATTCAAGCTCACAGCCCTACGGGATAGAGAACTAAGAAAAGCCGCATATGACAAAATAGTTTCAGACTTCGATCTCGGTAGATGATTCCTTAAATTACAAGCTCTTTCAAAACGATAGTTGCCATATGTGAAACCAGTACGGATAGCCCACTATGAACAAACGAAGAGACCATACGCAGCAGGCCTCAGCTTTGTCTGTTCTAGATCCTAGATGGCATGCCTTGAGCCACCATCGCCTGAGCTTTCAATTATGCTTCCACCATGCACTCGATACCCCGAGCTCTTCCCGCTTATATCGCACGTAAGGAAGTAGATATACTCATTTAGGAAGAAGGTCTCTCTCTACAGCTGAGATCCATTCGACTTTTGAAAATTACCACAAGCTGTAATATGCCTAGTAAGCCAGGTACCGGATTTCCCAGAACAACGGACAACCAGGCACAAGATTCCACCTGAATCGGGAGATGGGATCCTTGTGATTGATTCCCTCATGCAATGCGTTTGATCAAATGCATCGAACTGCCAGGGCGTGAAGATCCGCTATCAGGGATGGCAGACACAGTGAGTAAATTGGCCAAGGTACGGCCCAAAAGACAACAAACCCTGCCTCATGGGATATGATGTGCCTCGGACGTTCGTTCATGGCCCAGGTGCACACGGAAGTCATTCACGGGTATTATTCCAAACTTTACTCCATACAACTAGAGGGGAAGGAGGGGGGGGGGGGGAGCCTTCGCTCTGTGGGTGTTCGAAAATGCCGGCCAGGCCCCGGAATGATGATCACGACGAGTTTGGGAATCCCACGAATACAGAATACAGGAAATACATGGAGGACAGCACCGGATCGGCAGTGCCTTGCTGAGAATTTGTTCCCCGACGCAACTACAAGGGTAATCACAATGCTCCTGCAAACTACTAGGTACTTTGAAACTCTCGTATCAGATTGCGTGTGATAGATTAGCTCTCCAGGATGCCAATCATGGGGCCATTTGGAAGTGGACTCGGGCTCGTAAACATACACGGCAACATCCCGCCGCGGCTGCTTTGGTGTCGTCTTGGATCTCCTACGGATTACGGAGTAAAAAGGCGAATATGTATAAGGTTTCCTGTGATTATGGACATTGTGCGACTAAAAGTGACTAAAATCCTCCGAATGAACTGATCCTTTACCTTTCTTTTTGCTTCCCCGGATAGTTACTGTGTAGTTACCAGAGGAAAAGCGTCCACAACATGAAGCTCTGCAATTTCCCGAGCAGCCATAGCATCCTTCATTGTTTCTCCACAGCCAACACATCAAGGGAATAGATCTTAGTGATAAATAATAAAAAAGAAAAAAGGAAAAGAAAATTGCCATATCTCCACGCGCAATGATTTCCCAAACAGTGGAGATTCTTTCCTTGCTGGACCACGAAACGCTAACGGGCCGGCAGGAAGGACTTCATGACCAAAAGAGTAAAAGCCCCGGCATGGGGATCCTGATCACAAGCCCTTCTGCTTCTTGCTGGTTAAGCTTCGCGCAATCTTTTGATACTGCTGTGGGACGCGGGCATTATAGGTGGTCAGATAGAATGAAATGAAGAGCAGGAGGTAAGAGCTGATGATAAAGACGCCAAAGCCTGCTGCGTACTCCTCGCCCATGCATTTCCCGGCATTGGGGGCCCAGGGGAAGTAGGTCGAGGCGAAGTATGTGTAGGAAGCAAAGTAGATGAAGCCTGGACGACGCTTGCTCGTTAACCCTAGTAAATCGAGTGGAGTGTAGGAGGAGACGCACCAATATCAATAACAAATTGGATGATTTGAAGAATAGTAATATACCGCTTCCACCAAATCCGAATTCCACGGGCACTTTGGAAGTAGTACCAATACATTACCACGTGGACAGTGAGGTTTAATGTGATCGGAACCCAGGATACAGAAGTCTGCCCAACGAGCTCCACATAACATAGCAGTGCAGTTGCTCCATGGTGGTAGGTATGGAGAAATGTCAAGGGCTTTTTCTTCAGGACCAAGAACACCGTATCAAGGAGCTCCAAATATTTAGTGAGATAGTTAAGCTGGTTCAATGCATTCAGCCACCGTTCCGTCGTCTTACCCAGGTGAAAATACGAACAACTTACGTAGTAGAGCAGTACCAACTCATCGGTCCAACCACCCTTAGCATGGCAGATAGCAACAAACACTCCATCCTTCCAGAGCGTTGGCAGCATCTGCTCGACAAATAGCACCAACAGACCGCCGCTGATCAAGGTAAGAATGAAGTTATGGATAATAAACGGTGTTTGCAGCTTGAAGGCAGGAAAGCCTTTCATCAGCTGTCTCCCTCCCAGAATCACAAAGTAATAACTCGCAAGTGACACGAGAGTCCCCTGGAGTGTAGTCATTGGCGTAACACCCGGGATCATTTGAAAGTCAGACGGCGACTTCCCTGTGACCGCAGTGAAGCCGCTGCTGAAATAGGGCCAAAGGTGCAGCCCAAAGGGGCGATCAAGCGTTGGCATAGACATAATGAGCGTCGATTGGAAAGAGTGATAGTTAGATGCAAAAGCAATATAAGCAAATACGGTCAGATATCGGTCAACAGGCCAAGAACGAAATGAAATACCAGCCGTTGAGGCTCCGAAGGGAAGAGAAGAAGTAGTTATATCGGGAGGAATCTAACCGGCAGTTCAGAGCTTCTGCTGAAATTTAAATATTGCAAAAGACCCCCGGACTATACAATGTCACCATCGAATTCTAGAGGCTCAATGCGTGACGCCTAATGCATGAAGTAGGTGGGGATGGGGTTTTCAACTGGTCGAGATGACCCAAATTCAAGCCGAGGCCGGCTCCTCTTAGTGAAGGATGGGAGAGAACATGTCAACTCGGAGCTAGGATATGCCTTCAAAAATATTCTCTAACAGCGGGGTCAATCGCAGACGATTGGTGTGATTGCAGCTTTTTTTTATTACTGCAAGTGCCTCTCGGAACTTACCATGTATGTACTGTACTATATGTCCTACGGGGGTATAAGCGGATGATATATCAAGAAACCCTACAGGACGGCGCTCAGGGCCTGCCCAGCTCGAGCCTGCGGGTCTTTTTAATGCAAAACTTGGGAAAAGAATATACTATCTGAAATACTGAAAAGGAACTACGTGCATGAAAGCTCTAAACTAACCAAATCAGATCAGTGCCGAGGGAATCCCTATGCTCGATATCACAGAGCAACTCCTCGATCCCGAAGGTCGACCTTCAGATCGGGAAGTTCCCAGAAAGCGTAACATCGGCTGTCACGAGTCCAGTCTTTAACCCTGCCGACATATTTCCCGTCAAACTGTACAAAGAACGAGGCCAACGACAGGAGCATCATCTGTTGGGCGAAACTGTGGCACAAGTCGTGGTTAGAGGCCGTACCCAAAACTCAGGATCCACTATAACTTACTATTTAGCAATGCAAGACCGGCTGCCGATCAGGAATGGCTGAACGGCCTCTTTACGATCGGTAGAGTTGGGATCGATCCATCTTTCGGGGTGGAATTTATACGGATCGTGGAAATACTCGGAGTTATGATGCAAGGCGTAGAGCGAGGTACAGATCTCAACCTACACGCCCGAGAGTTGAAGGTTAGTAGTGGTTATCCTGTATGATCGGTAGCCAACTTACGCCAGCCGGAATATAGGTTCCATCAACATAGGCTCCGGGCGAGGTACGGGGCCCTCCCAATGGAACAGGTGGATAGATTCGGAGGGTTTCCGTGATCACCGAATTCAACCAAGGCAGTTTCTGAAGAACCTCCAGAGAAACGTCATCTATAGATTTGAATGCCGTTCGCAGCTCCGTAACCAGGTTAGAATGTGTCTCTGGATGGTTTAAAACCAGGCAGATGGCAGCGCAGATTGCGTGGGAGGTTGTATGGAACCCTGCCAGCATGATAGCCGAGAAATTTTCTGCAATCTCGTTCTCTGGTAACTGGCTGGATTCGGCTCTCTCCATAACCTCGACCATAATGTCCCGCCGGGTATGGGTGGCTTTCAATTGCCTGCCAGGAATTAGTATTCGTGGAACAACGACTGATGGGAGGAAGCTCATACTCGCGAATCAGACGCATCCGGGCTTCTTCACTTCTCAAGCGAATGCCTTTACGAAGAACTTGGCGAAGAATCCACTTGATAATAGTCGGTACTCCAGATCCTTCAAACTGGTCACGAATTGTGGCCCAATAAAAGATACGAGGGAGCTGTTCAGTCCAGAAAAGAGGTCGCCCTGCGCAAGATGTCAGAGCACGAATTATTAATGTGCAGATGCTGGGAAAATCCGGATATACCTCTTTCCAAGCAACCAAGGGATTTCCCTAGGAGGACTTCCGAAACCATATCGACAGAGAGAGAATAATACAGGTCGTTCAGGCTCAAAGTGGAGCTTTCTACCATCCTCTTTCTCATCAGGGCATGCAGACGGCCAATGCAGCCCTTAATGACTCCTTCGTGGGCTTGCATACATCCAGGACTCAATGAGGGACTGAAGAGTTTGCGAACGGTGGCATGGTAGTAGGGATCAGTCGCCGTGAAAAGATTCCTCCTTGATATAGCTCGATAGAAGCCCGTCTTGAGGAAAGTGTTGCTCTTCCCTAAACCAGCTCCGTAAATGTTTCGAAGCGACTTGACAGTATTCGTGGAGACCTGCCCCGGGGCGAAGCGGACCATCTTTCCTGTTCATCGATCCAGGCATAAGCACTTACTGAACAGCTAAAGCTATTGATCCGTTGACCTACCATAGCGCTGGTGAAGGGATTGGAATCGAAACGCGCTCTTTCCCGAGAGGAAGGACAGCTTGGTGTCAATCTGAACAAGAACATAGCGTCAGTACCTGGATGCGCGTTATACAGGACTGGTTTATCTACCCCGTAGAGGAACCGCCCACATAATGGCCCTGGCACACCCTTGATGACAGGTCCCTTGGGCAGTAGCTGCAAATAGAGGATAATAGCGGTTGGAATCTTGAAGCCACAGGTTTAGCACGGTATCTAATTGAATCAACGGAGGTCCTAGTAGAGGCACTTACTAACACTACTCCCAGGGCCGAAATCCAGAAGGCAGGGGCATCATTCTCAAGGAAAAAGCCGGCAGGCAGTTGCATGGCGACGGACATGTTTGCAAAGTTTCTCCTGGCAGGGTCTTGGAGGAATCCCTCTAGTAGTCCGACTACCTGCAAGAAAGGACTTATATATCCGAGTCAACTGTCTCTAACCTTGATAGCATTGCCATATCTCAACTCCGACAACCCCCCGGTTTACACCCCCTCTTCGAAGAATCCCCTCCGAAGCCGTCCGCGAAATGTTAGATCTGCCGCAAGTCGAGTAAAGCATGCACTCAACTCAATACCAATAACCGGTTGGATAGGACTGAGCTGCATGGTTTCGATCAGCAGTTGCCCCCCGTCTCTCCCCCTCCCAAAAAAATTAGGTGACCAGTCAACCCGGGTGTTCATATGCCCCCAAGCCGAGGACCGCGTTCCTGGTTCCTGCAGCTAGTTGAAACGTCAACTGTTTAAAAGTGCTTGGGGAAGACTATCGGCTTAGTTCGTTCGGTTTCATTGGGGTTGGAGGTCGAAATTACATGATGTATTTTTCAAACCTGCGTTTTCGTACATACCCTGAGTCTATTTTATGTAGATTTTATTTATTCCTCTCCCTGTTTTGATTTAATTTAGTCTGTGCGGAAGCAAAACTGATCTACACGGCTGTGCGCACAGGAAAAGCGACAGGAGCTCGGCTTGGACTCGACACACTCGACTGGCTCGGGTGAAGACGTATCATTCGGTCAGTCAGAGAGAGTCTCGCCTTATTCTGTCGTCATTCCGGAACCCTGCCGTCTTGTATATATACTTATCCCGTACCTCGTTGTGTTGCCTCTCCTCGAAAAGAGTGTGCACCTGCAAGTATGGCGACCAGCGTGCTGTTTCTGGCCAACAGCGAACATGGCCAAACAAATCTTATTCTGGCTATTATTCATGAACTTCTCGTGCGTGGAGATGTAAATGTCCACCTTGGGTCATTCCCCGTGCTAGAGAAGCGCCTCGAAAAATTGCTGGCGGACAATGCCAAAAGCTACGACGCGAATTACAGGTCGCGCATTCATTTCCACCCTGTCAGTGGTCCCTCGAACACGGAAATCTTTATTCGGACCGGTAAGCGAGGTGCATTTCACCCTCCCGGCTATACAGGGTCCATTTTAGGGTTCAAGTCGCTCTGCGAGGACATATGGAGCTGGGAGGAATCCGAGTACGTGGACATCTATCAGAGCTGCGTCGACATTATTCAAACCACGAAACCGTCGCTTGTCGCCATAGACTTTTTCTTCCTGCAGGGTCGAGATGCTGCATATAACACGGGACATACCTATGTGCTTTTGAACACCACCTCACTTAGTCACATCGTCCTAGGGTTGCAGCGCAATGGTGCATGGGCATGGAAATATCCATTGTCAGTCATCCCACCGGTAGTTGATGATGAGTTCCCAAGCTAATTGTTTCCATCAGGCCTGGGACTGGCTTTCCGTACCCACTCCCGCCGCACCTGATTCCCTTGAACACAATGGCGGTCATTAAGACTGCCAGGATGTACCATGGGAGCGGCAGACGTCGCGAAATCCGAGATTGGCGGATCAAGCACAAGATACACGGGAGATTCCCGTTTGCTGACGCCTGGATGCCTAATCGGCTGCACCTATCACCAGCTCTAAAAGAACTAGACTGGCCCTTTGAAATCCCTACCAATGTGGTCCCGTGCGGCCCCATTTTATTGCCTGTGGCCCCTGTCAAAACACAGGATCCGGAGATGTTTCAATGGCTACAACAGGCTCCTACTATCCTCGTCAATCTAGGAACCCTATACGCACCCGAACCCATGGTCGTGCGGCAGATGGCGCTAGGCATCAAGATGTTTCTCGAGTCTTTCCCGGACCGCAAGATCCAGGTCCTATGGAAGCTTCCCAAGCACCCATGTGATGAGGGTGAGATTTACAACCAGTCCGTTGTCCCGCTTCAGAATGAATTAGACCATGGCCGGGTTCAGATCCGCTCCTGGTTTGAGGTAGAACCCCTGGCGATGCTAGAAACCGGGCAAATTGTTTGTTCTGTCCACCATGGGGGCGCTAACTCCTGGTATGAGGCAATTCAGTGAGTTCCCTTTGCCAGGGTTTTGGCACATCCCAGAACATTAAAGTGAAAGATATCCTAATGAATGCTAGAAACGGCGTACCTCACGTTGTCCTCCCCGCCTGGCAGGACTGTTACGAGAATGCTGCTCGTGCCGAATGGCTGGGCATTGGAGTCTACGGGAACAAGACCCGGGCACCGAACATCGACGCTAAGGAGCTCAGCAAGGCCCTTCGAAAGGTCGTTGGAAATGATTCTTATCATCAAAAGGCGACTGAGCTGGCCAAGCTCTGCCAGATAAAGGAAGGCAGGTGTCTCGCTGCAGAGCGAATTGTTGATCTTGCCGTCCGCCCAGACAAATCAATGATTGAGGTCCCAGCAGCGAAGGACGATCCCAGCCTGCGTAGAGTACAGAATTCCTCTGGGGAGACACTGGACACCTTTGACACTGCGAGTGATACGCAGATGCACGCAAAGTAAGTGTAACTGACACCCATTGCTGGCGGAAATGAATACGGGTGGGTAGTGGTGGATCATAGGGCTCACACCACATTTATGATAGATCACTTTTACGCAGAATGGCTGAAACGCTCGCCGTCACATTTGTCTCGAATTCGTGGGTTCTCTTGCCCGCGGCAGGATACGCATTGCTTCTCATCCCCCATGTGAGGATTCTAGCTCTTGCGTACATCATCTACATCAAGTTCGTCTCGAATGCGCACAAAACCCGCAATCGCTCCCGGAGTCACCGATTCCGTTCATCCTGGCTTTGGAGGCTCCATGCAACCTATTTTCCGATCAAGTTATATCGGTCAGCTCCATTGTCACCGCGCCGAAAATATATTTTTGCTGGCCATCCTCATGGTGTAGCCATGCACGGCTTAACCGGGGCTTTCTCAGCCGATGGAACCGGATTCGCCAGGCTCTTTCCCGGCATCAAGAATACAATGCTGGTCAAGGATCAAATGTTCACGACCCCGCTGCTGCGAGAATACCTCTTCGCTCTCGGGCAGAGTGGCGTTTCCCGTGATTCTTGTATCCAGCACCTCACCCGCGGCGGCTACGATCTTCGCGGGATGGGAAACGCCATTACCATTAGTGTGGGAGGAAGTAGGGAATACCGGATCGCCCGTCCGGGCACGATGGGAATCGTCGTCAAAATCCGCCGAGGGGTTGTCCGGCTCGCTATCGAGACCGGCGCTGATCTCGTCCCTGTCCTAGTCTTTGGAGAGAATGAACTTTTTCACCGGATCGAGACCGCGGGATTCTCGTTGAAAGCCCTCGTTGCCTGGGTTTGGGAAAAGGCCGTCGGACATAAGGTGGCCTTTTCGCTCGGGCGGTTCAATCTCTTTTGCCCTTACCGCGTGCCGGTCCATGTTGTTGCTGGCCGCCCAGTTACCGTTAGGCAACAGCGGTTCGATATTGAAGACTCCTATATTGATGAGATTCAGGCCCAGTACATCGACGAACTCAAGACGATATGGGCCAACTGGAAGGACACATTTGTCGACGATGCGTCCGTGAAGTTTGAGATTATTGAATAAATTGGTGCAATATATATTCTATTGCTGTGGTGTTATACTGTATTTGTAAACAATCTATCTGCATACTCTGTTGATCAGTAGATCTGGCTTTAACGCCCCAGCATCCGCTAAGAATGATTCATATAAAAATATTTTGAGCAACAAACAAAATACTGTATCAGGACGAAATGGTTGTCTAGGCATCTTGTTAACTGAACGGTAAAGTTGACAAAATACCACCTGGTGCTGATGTATATATATATTTCATCGATTATCACGCCACACAAGCCCGCATTTTGTGTCGTCAATGACAAGCCTTCCCATATTTCCTCAAGCGGAGGTAGTTATAAGGCAACGGTGCTAAAAATCCAGCTCCTATCGAAAGCGCTGCAGCTAGCCAAAAGCGTGGCTCCTGGAGAGCGATGACTCCGCCAGTGAGATGATAATCTACCAAGTTCTCCACCGTTTCCATGGCAAGCATAGAAACCAGGCTCATACCCATCGCCGTTCGGACTGCCACTGGCCACGAGAGCTTGTCAACTCCGTGTCTGAGAAGTATCGTTTCTAGAAAAATCGACGTAGTGATACCGGATACCACTTGCACTTTGTATGAGCGCCTGTTGGACTTGGATGATTCGCGTTAGAGTTGGAAACACTTACTCGATAGGGCCATAATAGATCCCATCCCTATATCTGGCAAATATGTCTGGAGCATCCACAGCGCGGAAAAATCCCCAGCAGTGCAGCCAACAAGACATCGCAGCGTGTTAATACCCGCGCGGCGCCAGGTGGAGCGACAAGTCCAGAAAGCAAGTCGAACGGGAGAAAGCAGAGAACCGGTCTGACGAGAAGAGTTGCATCTCTGGCTATAGGACCGAGTGATTGAGCACACATTTAGGCCATGATACATGTAACAAGCTTGTATACGGGCGAAGGGTAAAGACCGCCTTAGAGAAGCGCGTGGCAAGAAGAACACGGATCCTAGCACTTGTGGAGATGCCGGTAAATGTAAAGAACGAAACATCCTGTGAACTGTGATTATGGAAATAGAAATGAATTTCATGGCTGTCCTGCTACTTATTGGTGTCAGATTGAACGTTCCATCACGCAAAAATGGCGCACCAAATTAGATCACATGATCACACCGGCGAGCGGGCTTTTGTTCCCTCGGGGACTGGAACTCGTTCGAGTAGAATCACTCCTTGAGGTCGCTAGTTGACTTGTTTAATACTCCGTATACTTTGTATACAACAAGGGCATCAATCCTACTCTGTAACGGGAGAAAAGGGGGAAAGGGCATGGCAAGTCACGCGTCCAATCATGGTTTGGATATTGAGACATCTGGCACAAGCTTCGCGGGAAAGCCTTCAAGACTCCGGGAGCACCGCTACTATTTACTGCCTAATTTGTCGAACCCCCAGTCCATATATACAGATTCTTGACTATATTGGCAAGCTAAGCCCGCAAACCCATGAGCCAAGACTCGCAATTTCTCCCGAACGCGTTGGTGGAACAATCCCTGGTCATGGTGATCTCTTAAACCCTGAGTCGTTTTCTTTGTTTATCTGCGGAGTACATGCAGAGGCTCAATAATGGCGTTATTCAAATACTCTCCTGGAGCCTGTTCTTGGGGTAATAATATCTTCTCTTGTGAGGTACGGAGTACTGGACCTATAGATTATCTCCAGCTTCTACCATGCATCTCAACTCTTATATCGCCGTCGGCCTCGCAGCCCTGAGGCTCACAATTGCGGCGCAGGTGGGCTACTTCGATTCCGAGACATGCGCGGACCCATCGGGGTTCGCTTCGTGCTACCATGATGCCGATTCTTTGGCGGCGGACTGTACCAATTGCTCCCGCCTGAGCGTAGATGATTCCGGCCACGCCATAGACGACGACTGCGGCGACGGCTGCGAATGCGTGCGGCAGTCAAGATACGTGGACTGTGCAGTTTCGTCCTGTTGGAACAAGGTAGGAATGGGGTTTTGAGAATTCTGTTCTGCTTCGCGGTTTCTAACCCTTTCATCAAGGTGTATAGCTGCGAGTACCAGCTCCAAGTCGGCGATCTCATCCTGCATTGCGGCGATCCGCCACTCGAGACCATCCCGTTCTGGCCACCACCAGACAATGCGGACGGGGGGTGCTCATGCAACTACGGCAGAGTAACTTACGCCTGGGCCCTGGCAGAGAAGGTTTTTGTTCGCTGTACTCATAACCCACCTGGCCAGAGCCTGGACGATCAACAGGCTTACGAATATGGGTGTGTATGCTGCGGATACAGTGCTGGACTATCCAGGTAGTGATTCTCCTCCATGAATCCCAGGGTGGCCGTTACTGACAATAGCATTTCTTCCCTCTCGACGCATAGACTCCCAGATATCTGCCCCGGCCAAGACCGCCACGAAGTCGGAATTGATAAGTTGGAACAGGTATTTAACGACGTGCGGCCGCAATGGACCCAGTGTGGCCCACATTTAAGCTCTTGGGACTGTGTTGCGGACTTCGGGTATCCCGACAGTATCAAAACCTACTACAAGCCCGAAAACCTTCCAAGTGGTACTGAAACCCTACATAATACCGGCACCCTAACCACACCGGTCAGTGCGACTGTCAGCTGGGCCTTTGGTTCCGTTACGCAGGTGGTGACTGTCACCTCGAAGGACGCGGCGGTGTCAACAAATACCACGGATGTATTATCTGCAAATGCTAGCCAGGGGGGCACAACCACAGGAACTGGAAGTGGTCAAGCAACTGCGACGAACGAGACCAAGGACGATTCGGCCGTACATCAAGAAGCACGGCATCCATTCCTCATAGCGATTCTGGGTATGGTGATTGGCATCTTTCGGGTGTTTTAATGTATACAGCAGAGCGCAGTTGACACAATCTGTCTATTTTTATCAAGCTGGAGCACCGCAAGCCCGGGAAGACGATCGGTAGAAGAGAGACAATTTGAATGACTTTATTAATATAGCTACATTGAGCAATCTCTGTGCATCTTGAAGTAGAGCACATGTAGGCATCAGAACCGGGATCAAAAACTACCTAGCAAATACTTATTAGTCTCACCAATTGACCCGGCCACTGCGGAATAAACCAACTAGACCAATGGGCAAAAGTCCTGGGTCCACGATGTTAAATCCACCAAACCTGTCGATAATCTCCGGTCCGTATAGTTGCGCAACCCATCTCCAGTAGGAATTCATTTCGCCCCAGCTAGGCTTGATCCCAGTCAGGCTGTTTTGGCCGTCGAGCTCACTAACCGCTCTGAACACGGGTCCGTGGTGGTCACATTCGATGAATTCTTGGGTGGGACGCTGGAGAAGCTTGTCATACACCTCCACCAATTGGCCGCTAAAATTGTAGTCCAGCAGCTCGCGGTATCGGATGTATTCATCGAAAGACATGAATTGGTCTCCATCAGGCGGACAAAATCCCTGGTTCAGTGCAACTTTGCGTTCTTTATCTGCAGCGTCAAACCGTTGTTTCAACAAAGTATAGTTGTCGCGTTCTGCCTCGAAAAATTCGTCCAAAAGCGTCTCCGGATTTCCAATAACCGAGTCGCGTAGACCGACCAAGTTGATAAATGAGCTAGACAGCTCAAGACCACCGAGATCGATGGGCAGAAAGAAGAATCCATCCGGAATAGATGAGATACCAAACCGCGAGCTGATTGTGTCCCGGAGATAGGTTATTACACTGCGGTCATGCTTACCACCATCGGCTTCGAGGGAAAAGATCTGGCGCTGGATTCGCTCGTGAGTTTGTAGCATCATGTCCACATGCTCCCGACCGAAACAATTCACGGGTTTACCAAAGTTTGACGTGAAGAACGTGGTTGCATACGAGTTCCACGCCTGTATCCATCCAAAAATGCTCTTTTTCTTGTCCTGCAGTTGCCTGCGGAGTTCTTCTATATGGTGGTCCACCATCTCTTGATCAATCTCGAACCTCCCTGATTCCGGGTTAAGATAAAGCATGCCCCATCTGATTTGCCCCGAAGGCAATACTGGGGAATTCTCCCGCGCCGTGCTAGTCTTATCTGGAGTAATCTGCGCACTGCCAGTTTTAGCTGTGCTCAATGAAACTCCCATTATTTCGTTGAATTTTTCAATCGCCTGCCACGCCTTCACGCACGCCTGCTCGTCTGACGACCAGAACCACAAGTCATCATGGACTCGCCAGAGAAGCTGACCATCAGTTTCCTTGTTCACCAAGAAGTCCAGGCAAAACAGAATCGTCTCGCCGAACACTTCACTTAATACGTGGGATTCTGGAGTACCGCGCTGGCGGAAGCGCGGCTCGGCATGATTATTATCATCGACAAACTTCAAGGGGGCTCTTAAGAACCGCTCAAAAAAGCTGGTCCACTTTTTCGATACTCCTAAAAAGCTCAGCACGGTGAGAATAGCGGTATGCGGCAAGTTGGGATTCCACGATTCGTACTGCGACCGGAAGCAGGTTACTGCCCCGTGAATCCGGGTGCCGATTAAAATATCCGCGCTTAGAAGAAGTAAAAGATTTTGTCTTGCTTGCATCTGGTTAGGTGGATCCATGACGCTGTTTGCGAAGCTATCATCATAGTATTCGTCTGGGTCATGGTAATCGTCAAATTGGCCGCCCGCGCTGCCCTCGCCGGACGCCTCATCGTCACTATCGACCCCCAGTTTTTCTTCAAAATATGAGGGTGCTTTCCGCGCACGTTTACCAGCCATGGCCACCTTGACCTTTTTCTTCTTGAGAACTGGTTCTGCGGCGAAAGTCGCAAAGTCAGCCTCTTCTTCTCCCTCCTCACAGCGTCGGGCTTGTTGTTCGTGGTTAAGCAGTTGAGAAACGAAGTATCCCCGTTGATAAATGCGTTCCTTGGTGATCTGGATGTTAGGTTTATCCCGACGGCAGTCAAGAAAGAACTGCCGGCGCTTCTTATCAATAGCAGAGATTTTGGCCCGCGGGGATTTCCACACATTCTTTGTCTTTTTGAAGTCTGTGAATGCTTCCTTGAACATAACAGACCACCTAACACCTAGATATTGTAAAAATATCGCTTGGATAAGATCTTCTTGCACACAGATTTGATACGACCCATTTATATGCCGGCGTTGCTCAACTGGGACTTCGGTACCCCAGGACCATGCGTGGAGGGCCGCCAGGCGCATGTTCAGGACATCGGCCAGTTCTTTCAATATAATATAGTTATTTTGGAAGTCTCTCAGCACTGCTCTTTTCTGTTCAGTTAGTAGATCAGATTGAACCAATCCTGTAATTACCCAGCTTAACGTAGCAGTATTGAATTGAGAAGGACTAGCCAGGGAGTTTTCAAACGCGGATACCCTCTTACGGAGGCTTTGTAGCGCCTTGCCGACATTCCTCGTATTGTCCCATCCCTCAGCAATGTCTTGCCCCAGATTGTCAACTGTGCCCTTGAATAACTCTTCAAGGAAGTTTGTAATTGTATCCGGGTCACGTTCAACCGACGTGAAGACAGATTCCTCCCATCGCTTTCTAGAATCTATTTTCTCGGAGCCCCCAGCCTCTCCAAAGTCATCCGACATGGTGACATCTTGATCTGATAAAGGGTGGCTCTTGCTGGCTGACAACCATTCCATAGTCAACTGGGCGAACAGGGTGGCGTACTCGTACTTGACAGTTTGAATATCAAGGTATTCAACCAAAGACTTCTGCCAGCGGTCCAATATATCTGGCGAAATCGAAGGGTCATACTGAGCCTGTTTGAGAAAACGATCTAAGTTGGCCAGGGCGATCTCAATATTCCCAGCTCCACTGCGATCACGGATCATGCACACATCCGCTACCGGAATACCAAAGCATAATTTCACCCCATTGGAGAGAGCATGAAGCTTATCGATCGCCGAGTTTAAAGCCTGTGCCTTTTCCAACGTGGCAGCTTTGTGACTAAGAAAAATCTTGCGTTTGTTGGACAGTTCATCAAGCTTAGCATCCGTGATATGCTGTAGCATTTGCGAAAACTCCGTGTTTGAAGAAGCCATTTCCGGGATTATGCAGGAAGCTGAAAGTGATTATAGTAGACTAAGACCCAAAAACGCAACTATAGCCCCGACAGACCGACTGACTAACGTTTCGCGAGCGGAAGCTAATATAATGGTGAAGGAAGACACTAGTGAGGGACTCTTGTTAAACTGCCCTTTTGATAAAGGGCAAACGTTGGCTCCTGGGGGGGGGGGGGTAGCAAGATGATGGGGTCTTACAAGAGAGTCGAGAGATGGGGTGGTATGCAGCTTTATATATGTGTTGATCGTCTTGAAGTGGAGTCTTGCCGTAACTCGCATTGGCCAATTAGGCGTGCTTTGCATCTCCGATTGGTCATGAGGCTAACCTTAGGTAGGGGCAAGTGCGCGTCGAGGCAACGTTAGCCTCAAGTACTCCGTATACAGAAGTGCAAATCAGCCGGCATTGCGGTACAAGGAAATCCATCATTCAATAAAAAGAGATGTAGATGTGAATGACTGAGGTAGGCGCCACTTATTTTGTTACCCAGGAGGAAGATTCGACTATCCCGCCCTTTATAAAGCAAATAGGCCTTGGATCGTTTGATCTTGAAAACCCCAGTTCATTTGCTCCGTGCCGTTGACGTTGAAACCCCCATCAGACATCTAATACGCAGGTTAGCAAGCCTTGCCTGATTGTTTTTGCCCTCGACTTACAATAAAATCCCACTCTTCCATCAAGCTAGGCGTCATAGTCATAGAAGTTTGGGTTTTTCCATCTCGATTGTCCAGCATGCTGTTCTGAGAGGCTTTCTCCTCTAAAAATGTTAGGCATCTTTCTTCGGCGTCCTCTGCCGCCTTAACTAGTAACTTTGGGAATTCATCAGAGTCTAAACCCTGTATAAGCGCCTCAATCTGGGCGCAAATCAGAGACGTAAACAGATAACCCTTAATGTTTGTCTCCCCCGCCTCAATATATTTCCAGCTATGCAATTTCGCATCGGATAGGATAGCGAGTAAGTCAACACGATAAGGGCTTGGCCCGACGCTTTCTTCTTGGAGTTGTGCCCTCAGCTCGGCCGCTATAAATAACCCCGAAAGCATGACAGCAGTCCGAAAAAATCCACTTCCACAGGATACAAGATGTGCGAAATCGTCCTGCTCAACCACAGCCGTACCTGCACATGATTGGGCAGCCATGAGGGATGAGTGTGAGTATGCTGTACACCAGATCTTGACCGAGCTCTCAATCGCCACTTTCCTGGAAAAGGCATACTGAGCCTCCCGCAATGCAGGGGCAAAAAACCGCATATGCACAATTGAAAGATAAACATGTATAATGAAATCTACCATGCGAATTTGAAATTGTGAAGGAGAGGAGCCGGGCCCCACGCTGTATTCCTTCATCATTCGATATATGGTTTTGTATGACGCTCTGAGCTCCGCATCAAGTGTCAACGTTTCTTCATATGTACCATAGGAACCAAAATCGTTCATATGCTTTAACATTGCCAGTCTTTCAGGGACGGTCTTCCGGAGAACTATTGCAATGGACGTTTGAGTAAAAACATTATCTGGCTTCGGCATGGGGTCCTCAGCTAAAAGTTGGTCGTCATCAAAGTTCCCGGGGGGTTCTGCGTCGAAATCAGCGAGGGAAATAAGAGGCGAACCTCCCGATATCAGACTTGATTGTAGGGTTAGCTCCAGAATCGAATTCCAAAGCCTTCGTCGCATCTCAGCGAGAAAGATTGACATATACGGGAGACGGGACGGGTCCCTATGGAGCCCCAGAAACAACGCTGTTCGGAGAAGCGCGCCGGCTGATATCCAGGTTGCATCCTTGCCCACATTTATGGTTTCCCGGGCGATTAAGAGCAGGATAGTTGTCTGCAAAGATTGGATATTCAGCTGAGGCTTGAAATCAGGATCAGAAAGCCATGTGTGAGCCTCGTAAACCCATCTGATTGCATACGGCCGCATGGAAAACTCTTCATCGAGCGCAGTGGCTCCTATGGCAAGCACTAATTTTAATTGGACAAGAAACGCCGTGCTAGGTTTCACATCGGAGGCCCAAATTGAATCATAGTCGCTTCGGAACGTGGGAATGTGCAAAATTCGGTACACAGTTTCGATGGTCCGAAGGTAACCCTCGACAAGCTCGTCAGCAACACCCTTGGGAGGTAAATCAGCGGTTGGTGGCGTAGGCCAGGGAGGGGTCCGTTTCGATTTTATCACTCTAGCCAGGTCCTTGCATTTCTTCAGCTGTGAAGCCACCTTTGAAGTTTCCTCTCGCACATGTGGCTCAATTGCCTCAAAAATATCGCCGAACTAGTGGCTGTTAGGACACCTGATTGTTTTCAAGAAAGGCCCAAAACCTACGAGGGTTGCCGCGTGGGCCCAATGGCTTTGGCCAAATAAACGACTCTTGTGCATGACACTTCGCTTTACTGCATGGGCCTTGCCCACTAAACGGTCGTCATTGATGTGAAAAGTACCTGTCACCTGAGAAGTGGATGTCTGGAAGCGCACATTGGTATTTGCGTGGAGTGACTGGACTGGTTGTTGGGCTACTTTGGACAACTGCTCCTCCAGGTTTCTGATCTTACTTCTCATAGACTCAATTTCGGAAGTGGATGCCTGACTTGCCAGGGCCCGGGAGTGTTTAGAACTTCGCGGCACCGACCGGGAGGCAGAGCTTGGAAATTGTGGGCAGATGTCCTCATTCGATTTCCTGTCTGCAGACAAAGCTGTATTCAGCTCTGGACCGTGAAGATCATCATCAACTGGATCCAACCCCAGCGCGCCACTAAACTTGACATCTGCCTGTTGGCGTAGTGGTGGTGGATACACGCAGTTCACATTGCGGGACTTGAGGCAATTACTGCAGGGACTTTCCCGATTGCACTTGATTTTCCGCCTCCGGCAGAGAGTACACGACCTATTGTAACATGCTCAGCTGTTGTTATTTAGTAAGCTTGAACAGAGGGGTTCCAACATACACCACGGGCCGTCTCCGACGACGTTCTGGTCCAGTGGTACGAATCATCTCTATTGTTCAATTATGCTGCTCAAGCGGGTCGGGTGCATGCGTTCGGGCAATTTCTTCCCACCAAGACAGGATCTCCGATGCCTTTTGTCCGGCGTGTTTGAATGAATCGTAGCCAAACCTCATGTTGGAGAAAGAGAGCGAAAGAGGAGCTGATGTCGTGGGAGGAGAATCGGCAATTGCGCAGTTGGTCCGTATCACTTACCATTCTCCGAGTCCGACAGCCGCATCCGTTTCCGGATCCGATCTTATCTCCGCGATGCTTGAATGAGATCCATGAGTATATAATGTTGGAGTGCTGCACTCAGTGAATGCAACCAGCACCACCATAAAGCAGCATCACCATAAAGAAGAAGATAGCGACACGTGACTACTTTATGTATTTAAGGCCACTATTTCCTTCTAGATCTCTATGCTTCCTCCAAGCATCTCTCTATTTCCTAGTTAGATTAATTGAATCTATTTTAGTTAACTTTCTACTATCATAGTTTGACGACCTCTTATTAGGTTATGAGCCCTCCTTAAGGTTCTATTTTATACTTTATAAACCTCTAAAACTCTTATCATACCCCTGTACTAGAAATCTGCTCCCTAATTAGATAGAGATCCTGGTAGAAATATTACTTACTACTGTTGTGTTACACTACCTATACTGCTATTATGTTACTCTACCTGGGTGATAGTATGTGGAAAATTTCTATAATTTAACCAAAATAGTAACTAAACCTACCCCTGGTAGATATCCTAATATCCCTAATTTACTATACCTACCTTCGACGGCTACTACCCTATTTACTAATAGCCAAAATCAAGTGACAAAGCTAAAGAATAGCATATTTAACTTGAGCCTGATAATAGTATTAGAAAATAATTTAAAATTTAAAATTTAGGCTTTATTTATATAAATAGAGTTAAGGCTTTATAAGATAGATAAGTTTCTTAAAAGTAATATTTCTAGACTATAATTTAATAATTTTAAGTATAAATTATAGGAACTTTTTTTATAAATAGTAGCTAGTTAAATATTATATTTAATAAGTAAGAAATTAGTAAAAAAACTACTAATAAATACTACCTTATATATCTTTATAGATAATTTTATATAGAAATTATAAAGAATAGTTATTAATAATAATTAAAGATATATATACTAGATATAGAGAGAAGTTATTAAGATTAAGTATAAAAACTATATAATTATTAATAAGTTTATATTAGACTTTATTTAGAAGATAAATACTTCTAATAGATTAAAAATAGTTATTATACTCTATTAAGTAGTTACTATAATATTTTAGGAGCTTGAAAGGAATAATATAAGCTTTATAGATTTAATCTTAAATAATCTAAGTAATAATCCTATTAAAATAATAATATAGAAGTATTTTTATACTATATATAATATAGTAAAGGATAAAGTTTAGGAGAATCTATTATTAAATACTATATTTAATATTACTATACCTGCTATAAATATACTAAGTTCTTAACTAATAAATAGAAGAAGGTAGCAGTAATAATAGAAATATATACTATTATAGAATATAATAGTTACAGGCTATATTAACTATTAGTTAAAATAATTAAAGAAACCTAGAATACTATACTTATTTTATAAAAAGGAAAAATATAATATTAAGAACTACCTATATTTAGTAGTTAATAAGTAAAAGAAAGGGTAGAGACTAACTTTAATACTTTAGTACTTTAAGCTATATAAATTAAAGAATAGAAATAATTTAACCTAAAACTAAGTTATTATTCTAGTTATATAAGCTAATACTATTCTAGATACTAATAATTTTATACTATCTAGAGTTAATATACTAATAGCTTTAATATTAACTATTTTTAGGAATAGGTAGTTATATAACTCTAGAGTAGGTTATATAATATATAATAATTATAATCTCTTTAATAACCTAATTAAAGATCTAAATAACTTTAAGAATTATAATTTTATTACTTCTAATAGTAAGGTAGTATATCCCTAAGATTATAGAAAAGTAATAATTTAATTTAAATTAAATAATAGTACTTTAATATTATACTAAATAAAATATTTTTAGAATCTAAATATACTATATAACCTAATACTAGTAGAAAGAATAAAGGTAGAATTAAGAATCTATTTTAACTTAAAAAATTAATATATTTATAAGATAGTAATAGACAAGATAATTAGATATACTATCTTAGATAATAATATTTTATTTTTAGTTCTAAATAAGGTAGTGACTATACCTATTATATTAATAAACTTATTATATTAATAATTAGGTTATCTATCTATTAAATAATTAAAGTATAATAAGGTAATGCTTTATAATAAAAGTAATAACTTGGCTACTAATAACTTGCCTGCTATTAATTAGAATATTAAACCATACTATAAAGTATATTAATTATTAAAATTAAAGAAAAAGATATCCTAAAAACCATAACTATATATAATAAAATTATTATAATTTATATATATAAATCTTCAAGAAATTAAATTAATTAGAAAAGATAGTATTAAGTATATCCTACTAGTTCTAGATAATTATTCTAGATACCTTTTTGTATGATATTTAAAGGTAAAAAGTAAATCTTTAAAGGTATTAAAGAAAATATATAATAGTTAGCTAAATATAACTAGTATCTATATTAGAAGGGTTAGATTTAACTCTGCTCCTGAATTTAATAAGTATACTAGGTAAAGTAAGGATTTTGGTATTATATATGAACTAACACTACCATAAACCCTTAAGAAAAATAGTGCTATTGAATAGTTTAGTGGCTATATAATCTAGACTACCCGCATAATATGTATATAAGTAAAAATAGAGCTAACTATATGACTATATAGTATGGATATAATAGTCTATATTTTAAATAAGTTAGTTAGGAAAGGTAATAATAAAGAAAAGTTACTTATATAACTTTTTTATAAAGAATTAAATATCCTAATTAAAGATATTAATCTATAATATATTTATATATAGGAATACAAGGTATTTGTAAATATCTTATATAAAGATAGGATTAAAAGTATGAAAATATTACCTAGAGTAAAAATTAATTAACTAATTAGATATAATAGAGATTATATCTACAAGATATAGTATCTAGATATAAAGAAGATAATTTAGTTAAGGGATATAATATTTAATAAAGGTAATATTAATAGAATAGATAGAATATAACCATAACTTCCTAATAGACTAAAACTAAATAATAATAGTCTATCTAGAGTAACTATACCTATTAATATTAAAAGAGGAAGAATAACCTATAATAGTATATCTTAAAATAATATTATTTTCTAAACCTTACTATTAGTAAATAATAATAAGATTATTACAGGAAGAATTTAAATATTAATACCTAATCTAGCTCTACCTAAACCAAGCCTACCTGACCTAGAGGCAGGTATTAAACTCATCATACCAGAGCAGCCACCTATCTCTGGGGCTGCCCCTAGGACTATCTCCAAGACTACCAAGCTTATTATACTAGAGCAGACACCTGCCTCTAGGCCTGCCTCTAGGGCTATTTCTAAAACCATTACCAAGCAAAATAATCAAGTAATTAGTAAGGATATAGAAGAGATAGTAAGACCTAGTATAAAGGAATAATCTAGACAGGGTAGATATAAAGGGATAATTAACTATTTTACTATAGATAATCTATATACTAGTTAACCTATTTTTAAAAGGATACTAGTATTATAACTAATATAAAGATTTCTAAAGTTATTTACCTAATATAGGGAGATCTTACTAGTTTTAGAATCTTCTAAAGATAACTATACTCTAATAACTCTAGATATACTAAAAAGAAAGTATTTAAAGACTAGAAAATAGATTAAATTTAATATTAGAAATATAAAAATAATTAACCTAATAAAGGTATAGAATCCTGCTAGTAATAATACTAGTAGTAATATTACTACTCTACAGAGATCTTTAAGATCTATAAAGGGTTAATATTAAAGTATTTACTTTAAAGATAAGCAGGCAAAGTAATTATAGGAAGAGGAGGTAAAATAGGAATAATAATCTTAATTCTAATCTATATTACCTCTAAAAATACTTCTAGAAATGCCTTATCTACTAGGATCCTATCTAAAGCTAAAAGAATTACCTAATATAATTACTATAGTATTACTAGATCCTAGTAATTTTATACTAGAGATCAAGCCTATAAAGACTTATAAAGTTAGAATCCTATAAACCTATATTTAAGTAATAAAGTTACTATAAAAGGATTACTAGATATAAGTAATATAGAGTTAAATTAGCAAGCTTAAAGCTATTTAGACTTATAAATTTATATTATTACTAAAGGATATAAAGATCTTACTAGGAAAATAAATATATAACTTAAAATTAAATATAGATAATAATATATTATAATTCTATATAAGATAGGTTATGTGTAGAAACTTTTAAAAACTAGATATAGATTTTAATTAAGTTTACTCTCTAGTAGTAGTAGATACTTTAGTAAAGCTATTTTTAAGTATAATTACTTATTTTAATTTAAAATAAGCATAATTCAACATAGTAACTACCTATTTTAATATAATAATTAAGGATCAAAAAATCTATATATATTAATTAACTAGTTTTAATAAATAAGATAGTATAATATATCTACTACTCTAAGCCTTATATAAATTATAATAGTTAGTATTTCTTTAGTATGAGGAATTCTATAATATTTTAGTAAAAATTAGTATAAAGGTAATTAATAAAGATCTATACTTTTACTATAATCTAGATTAGTAGTTAATATTTATTATCTATATTAATAATATAATAATTACTAGCCCTGATAAAGTAAATATTTAATAATTTATAGATAAGCTAGAAAAATATTTTAAATTAAAATAACTAGGTAAACCTGTGTAATTCTTGGGATATAATATTTATAGACTACTTAATAATTTAATATTAATATTTTAACATATATATATTTAAAAGATACTTTATAAATAGAATTTCTATAGTCTTTAACTATATTATATACTAATAACTCTAGGATAGAAATTAACTAGAGAGATACTAGATACTAGTAATATTATTCTAAATACTATATATACCTCTATAGATAAAGATGATATTACCCATTACTAGAAGCTAATTAAATTATTAAATTAGATTACTATTTAGATCTAACCAGATATTTAATATATAATAATATAATTACTATAAAGAAATTATAATCCTAGTAAGTTAGATTATAATATAATTAAACAAGTTTTCTAATATTTAAAGAAGACCTTAGACTATATAATAGTTTTAGATTATTTAGATAATCTATTATATATATATATTAATACCTCCCATGTAGATTATAAAAATAAGAAGTTAATAAAAGACTTTATATTTTTCATATTTAGAGTACTAATTATATAGAGATTAGTAAAGTAATTACTAGTTATTCTAAATTTAATTATTACTAAATTTATTATATAGGATATAGTAATAAAACTAGCTATATAATTATAAAAGCTATATATAGCTATTAGACTAGAATAGTCTATAAAAGGTACCATACCTTTATATATTAATTCTACTAATACTATTATTTTAGTAAAGAAGCTAAACTATATATCTATATTTTACTAGATAGATATTTACTACTTCTTTATTAAAGAAGTAATTAAAAATAGTAGAATTTAGCTATAAATAGTTAGTAGAGAGGATAATATCACTAACAGGCTAATTAAGATACTACTAACTATAAAATTTAATAAATTCATCAAGAGGTTAGATTTTAGCAGGTTAAAGATAGACTCTAAATAGCTTCATATAATAGATATGTTACTAAAGGAGGTATATTAGAGTACTATACTTAGTAAATATAACCAGTACTACTATAAAGCAGTATTACTATAAAGAAGAAGATAGTAACACGTGACTACTTTATATATTTAAAGCTACTATTTCCTTCTAGATCTCCATGCTTCCTCCAAGCATCTCTCTATTTCCTAGTTAGACTAATTGAATCCATTTCGGTCAACTTTCTACCGTCATAGTTTGACGACCTCTCATCATATAATGTTGAGCACCAAGCAATAATACTGTATCAGGATAAGATGGTTGTCTTGACACCTTTTTAGCCGAACGGTACAGTTGACATATAATATGCTGTCAATCTCAGGGAAAGTACCATACTGCCTGGGCGCTGAAGAACCTCCAATTCGACCCTCTTCCGAAGATTAGGGCTGCATTCCAGCGATACGTCAAGGCGATGGTCAGCCGCTATAGGGACTCTCTCGCAATCATGGCCGAGACCTCACCAATTAGCCTCGTCGTGCAGCGGACGGTATGCGCAACCTTCATCGTAGCAGTGGTGGCTGTATCCTCGAGGGTATGATAGAGTGGATCGACTAAATAAGCACCTTCATCAAGAGACTGGATCCCTATCATCTTATCACTTGGGGTGGTGAAGGTGGCTTCAACTACGATCTAGAAGACTAGGCGTATACCGGCTCTGATAAAAAACAAGATCGTGGAGTGGGCGGATCAGTGCGTTGTTGAGGAATGTGGTCCTTTCTTTGGGGGTTTCAAACCATACTTCTGGCGGCTAACAAAATCAATAGGATGGCTTACCCCCAAAGCCCGTATTGAATACCTGAAAATGCAGACCATCACTTTGCATGAAAAGATGCCTGGTCTATACTGGCATACGGCTACTTGTATTCTTCATATTGTCCCATGTTATGCACCTATAGATGGCAATTGAAATCATGGACCGGAGCTTAGCATTTCCTTGAGATAATAATGCATCCCTATGCCTTAGTCCTAGTAGTCCGCAGAGTCTTTGTTCTTCTTCTGTATAGTCCAACCTTGATATTAAATGCTTTCTGTTGGCTGGTCCGACGTCTCCAGGATTTTCTCCCACACCCAGCGAATTTCATCTGCAAGAACATCTGGCCGGACTAAATGAACATTATGGCCACAGTCTGGTATTGGGATTAAATGGGCATTCGATGACAGCTGGAGTTGCTCTTCCTGAAGCATGCGATTGGTCGTGTCCCACCGATCCAGTAACTCGTGGAACGCCCGTCGTTGCTCTTGGGTGCCATTGCCTGCTTCCACTCCCTTTTCATAGATCCGCTCATAATCCTGTGCGCTGTTTGCACAAATCACACTGAGTGGCTTACTACCTAGCGCTTTGTTTCTATACTGTTCCTTTGCCTTCAGGGTTTCACAGACATCTACGTAAGTTGCGGCTTCGGCTCTGGTAGCGGCCACTGAATTGGATATCTCGATCGCGCGGGTGCGCCACTGTTCACGCGAAAGCTTGGAATTAGCCCTGAGGCCGGTGACGTCTGCATATTTCAAATCACCCATTACCGCGACAATGTTTGGATCATGGAGTCGGAAATATTCATGGGTTCGCTCTGTTGCAGCGTCGCATAGGACCATTCCTGCTACCTCATCGGCGTACAAGTGCAGGAACTCCCGAGCCACGATACCTCCATACGAGTGACCCATAAGCAATAGCGGAGGACTGATATCGGCCGCCTGTAGAGGCATACGTAGCTCCTCTGCTGCTCTCACGGCACTGGGGTCTGTGGGGGGGGGGGGGGGGGGGTAGATTGGCTCTGACCAAGACCGGAGCGATCATAGATCAGGATTCGCGAAAAGGAGGAAACGAGTGGTTCGAGTGCAACGTAGGACGAGGCCACATCCCCGGCGCCAGCAATAATCACCACGATTGGGTCGCCCGGTTGACGAACAGCACCGGTGATAGACATGTAAAGGCTGTGAGTCCCAATAGAGACCATGGTCGACCCTGTCTCGGTAGTCCAGCCATGCTGGGCCGAGGTTGGTTTCATAACTGGGGTTTTAGATAGCTAGCATTTAATCGATTGGGTGAGTATTAGACAAATATTCCGACTGGGTATGTACGGAGTAGGGAATTGTTTATTATCGACACTATTGTTGTTAGTAGGTGAATCATATCTGCCTGACACAAGGTGGGGATTCCAGTTGTGCGATGCTGCAGACGAGCCCGATTGGTTGACTTTTCTAACTGCTGCCAGAAGCGATTCTTTGCTGGTCGTGGACTGAAATAATTCTTGAATATATTTGGTCGATCCAGGATTTTGATATCTGCTATGGTGAGGTTCTGTTCGTGCTCAGCCATACTCCGACCCCAGGGCGACGAATCCAGCGAGAACGGGAAATACATATATTGTCAAACGATCTTCCCGGATTTACCCTTGGCCATATTGGGAGATTTGAACTTCTCCGGATATCAGTGGAGAAAAAGGTGGAAGGGTGGATGGGTGGATGGCTTAGCAGCTCTTCGTCTCTCTCCCAGCAATGACCCAAGCCTCGTATTCGGAAAAGTTTGAAGATGGAAGCAATTATCCTCTATCAGCTATTGGATATATCGTCCGGATTGGTACGTTATTGATTAAAGTTCTGAGACAAGCAGCAAAAGCTGTATCATGCCAAAGATTGTGGGTTAAAGTTGCCCAGTGAGGCCCAAAGGCGATGATAACTGTTCGACATGCAAAGGAACCGGTAATGAATTGCCTACAGTTACTCAGAATCCGGTCCGTCGTCTCCTCTGTCGCTACTAACAGGGCCCAACAGATCTTGATTAGGCCGAACGCAGGTCTCGGGCAGAGTTCTACCAACACAGCCTTTAGCGATCTGCCCCGGAGCCACTTCTGGACCGCAGGAGCACAGTACGAAGGCACTTTAGAGAGGAACCAACAATCGCTCACTGCTGCATGGTTGCAGTGCAGATAATCTGCGAATGAGGGTTTTGTGGAGCACCGCTAGCCACCTCGGCGTACCAGAGTAGGGTTATCAAGACAGGCGATCCTCTCGCCGGTTAAAAATAGACGGTGCATCACAAAAAAACTTCACAAGCCCCGATTCTTCCCTGAAGGCTCCTGGACTGACGCCAATCACTTGGCGTTTCTTTTGCTGCTATCCAACACGCCTTGGCCGTCTCGATCGACAGGGTCCATATTCCGTACGGGCAACTGCCTATCAGCTCTCCAACCTACGCTTCTCTTACAGGCTTCCATCTGCCCTGATCGGCCACAGGTCCGCATCTAACCCTGCACCACTCGGAGAACACACTGTCTCCAACTGGAAACAATGCAGAGTGTATTTCAAGATATAAAGGGGACGGTTTCCCAGCTCCGGGTTTCAATCATTCACCTCGCCTCTCACCCGGAATAACCTCACCACCCCCAAACCTCTTTCTAGACAACTCTACGCAATGCGTTTCCTTCCCATTCTTCTTGGGTTCGGCGCTCTCGTGTCTGCCCGGTGCGGCACCCACCAGCCCTCCGACGAGCTCAGATCCCGCCACAAGTCCTATCAGGAGCGCGAGGCTAGAGCCGGCTTCAAACCCGCATCTCGTGACGTGTTTCAGACCACCATTCAGACCTACATCCATGTCATCCAGACCGACACTAGTATGACCAATAGCACTTCTCTCCATGCTCAAATTCTCAAACAGGCGTGTATACCTTGCCCCATTCCAAGCGAGCTACGCCTGCGGGAAACGCTAATACTCTTCCCAGATTGATGTTCTCAACGAGGATTATGCGCCCACTGGATTTTCTTTCAATCTTGTCAACGTTTCCTACACCCGCAACAACGCCTGGACTTCAATTGAAGATGGCACCCCCATTGAGTGGGAGGTTAAGAGTAGCTTGCGCCGGGGAGGTTACACCGACCTGAACCTTTACGTGGGCACTATTGGTGGTAGCATTCTTGGTTATGCGTGAGTTTTCTGGCATCGGCCACGGGCCATTTGGTGCTAAATTGTCCCCCAGAACCTTCCCCAAGAACGATGCCACCCTTCAAGAGTTCAAGCTGGACGGAGTGGTGATTGATACTCTCTCTCTCCCCGGCGGCACGGCTCCTTACGACCTCGGAATTACTGCTGTTCATGAAATTGGCCACTGGCTGAACCTCTTTCACACCTTCCAACCCGGAAACGACGACATCAATGCTGAGCTCCCCGGCTGTCTTGGTTCTGGTGACTACATCCACGACACCCCCGCTGAGGCGTTCCCTAACTTTGGATGCCCCAAGGTGAGAGATTCCCGCGTTGCAACATGGCGCGCTTTTATACTAATCCCTTTTCGCAGCGCGTGGACACATGTACGGGTGTTAACGAGACTTCGAACCCCACTTCTGAGCCTGGTCCTGACCCCATCCACAACTTCATGGACTACTCTGATGACAAGTGTCTCAATCAATTTACCCCCGGCCAGGTTCTTCGTATGCAGAACTCTTGGGTCGATGAGCGTGTCTCGTACGCTCCTGCTATGGTTGGCCGCCGTGCTCGCCCCGGACTCAAATGGTAGATGATGAAAGGGACTCTGCATTTCTTTCCTCTTGCATTTCGTCGAGATTATGGGTAATAGAATGTGACATTATATATGAGGGTGATTGTAGCATAGTGGCTTGGATAGAGTATTGGGATAGTACAGAGACGATACCATTCTGTCAATATAATTTTCAATTTCATCAGAGATTATTGTGCCTCTTCGGGGAAAATCCACACTTCTGTTATACCCTACTGCACTCCTTTCTAGCCATGGGTCTGGATTGCCACGAAAAAGACAAGGGAAGAAGGGGATCGACAGTACCTCCCTGTAATAATTGTCACACTAGAGATTCGCCCTTCTCCACTTGCTTCACCGGTCAAAAGCTCGCAGCCTTGGAGGTAGTAATTCCACCGCATTAGCACCGATTCTTCCTACAGTTGGCTCTGGAGTACGAAGATCTCGTCTTGGGGACGGCCCATTCTAATCACAATAGCGTCGCGTTTGAGGTTGATGCAATAACTAACCAGGGTCTGAAGTTCGAAGGTTGCAACCGAACAAGACGAAGCCAATTTACGGCTCGGGTCTCAGTATGCAACGTCGTCGATTTACTCTGAGTATGTTTTATCGTACGCTCGGTATCTTTCCGGGCCCCTTTGCGTTTGCAACAGGCTAAATTGCGATCCGTTGTAAGTACTCCTCCAGTGAGGTCGCAAATCTCTGCCAGGATTGCCAACATTCTTCCACAGAGTCTCCGTTGGTCATGAAACGTGTAATTTCAATCTTGACCCTGGTAAGTGCGCATGCTTTCTCGTCTACCTCCAGGGACTATTATCGTATCATCTACGAACACAACTTGGTTTATCCCTTTCCCTGCTCCAATCCTGGACGTCGCGTAGAGACTAAACTTTAACTTTGCAGCCCTGTGCGTACGTATAGCGGCTCAGAGACAACTTGCCATTGGTTGGACAACTTTGGGATATTGATTTGAAATCCTAAAAGTCAGAAAGCTAGCGGCATGGTCGCAGCAGCCTTGCGATGGGTCTCGTTGGTCTTCCTTTCACCTACTGAGATTATGCTGACAGTCTGCTTTTTAATGGTCTCAATGAATTTTTGAACCGTACATGCATTAGGGCCCAGGCTCTGCTCTACGAAAAGCTTCTTTCACACGAATCAGTTTGTACGGAGGAAGGAGTAAGATGACTCTGATTCTTCATTTCTAAAGGAATTTCAACCTGTCCTATATACATGACCAGCAACCAAGCAGAATCTCATTCCTCCCAGCGATCCCTTAATTTCCCTGGATTAGGCGAGGAAGTTCCGAAGATAATCCTGCTTACCCAAAGGCACACCCTTGGAGCGCAGAATGCTGTACGCGGTGTTAATGTGGAAGTAGAAGTTGGGCAGGGCAAAGTTGACCGAGTACGATTCTGGCGTGAAGTCGAGCTCAAAAGGCCCAATCGGAGCCTTGAATGCGGTTTGCTCCTTGCCCACAAAGGCGCTGACCTCCACGACCTTCAGTTTCTGGATAGTCTCATCAATACTCTTGTAAAGGTCCTCAAAGGTCTTGTCGTTGTTTTCGACGGTGGGGAGCTCAGTGAATGTGGATCGGGCAACAGCCTTGAGCGTGGGCATGACGGCCGCGTACACCTGGAAGGTGAGTGGCCTCATGTCCTCATAGAGGCGGGCATTGAGGAGCTCATCCGCCGGGATGCCATTTTCTTTGGCGTAGTCTTCACCGAGCTTCAGGATAGCGGCCAGGGTTTGGAGGCCCTTGATGAAGGTGGGGATGGTGAAGTCGTAGACCGGTGAAGACATCGTGAATCAAGAACGAAGGCGGGCTGTGATTGGTAAGAGCGAGCGTTCTTGGGAGCTATGGAACCAGTCCCAAGTCTGGAAGCGCTTCTTTCTTTTATATTTGAATATTTTCTGCCCTCTAATAATATAGTTAGTCAGTTAAGCTGTCATTATTAATCTGCATTCCATGGAGTTCCACCACACCCACGCCTCTCATGGACTAACCACGTAACCAACCATTTCGTGATGACATGATTTGTCGGACATCCGTGGTAGTCAACTAACTAACTAGTTAGCTACTAACCGCAAGTCCGGTTATCTCCAGAGGTACTCCGTACAGAAAAGCTTATATTTGTTCTTTGCAGACCTTGATTTATAATCTCTGGTCTCAATCAGTTGCACCTTTGCATGCATACCGAAAAAAGCAGTGAGGAGGAGATTCAGGCAGTGCTTGGTGGACAAACTTGACCGGACGTCTGGCGTTATATTCCCGGCCTTATTTGCCAAAACACTGGGAGGTCCTCGAATAAGATGTATGGCCGGGTTAAAGAGTCAGAAACCTGAAGTACAAGCTTCACCTTTTACACACTCTTCATGCATTGTTATGTTGTAACCAAGTCAACCAAATTTGACTACTCGGTAGTCCTCCATGGATGAAAGCAGAAAATACTATAAAAAAAAAGAAGATTACATACAACAGTCAGGATTCGCATGTGGTCACCCACCATACTACTAACTGACCGGCAAGTGGCTTGAGTACGGCTGAGCGGACGGGAAGCCCTATTTTCCACTTCCTATGGTCGTATGTATCAGAATACTCTGATGGCTGGCTTATAGAGCATCAACATTCTTGAAGTCAAGCAGTGAGAGCAAAATGAAATGCCCACTATGCAGTACTCATCTTGGCCAACCAGAATGAAATGTGATGTATCATAAGCCAACGAGTCATTTACACATTGACTTAGTACGGAGTAGTCAAATCCCGTCAAATCCCCTAATAGTTCGCCTGGTTCTGTTCCTCTGACTATGGTCAACTAAGTCGTTTACAAGTATAACCTCTGTAACTTCTGTCTGGAATTGGTTATTTTTTTCGTCCCAATATCGCCTGATAAAAGATGTACTCCTTCCTGCCTGGCATTGGTATACAAGATATCAAGGGATATGGGACAAGTGGAATGGCCACATTGATCCCAAATACTCAAGCAATCATCATATTTCCTGTGTTTTGATACATTCACTCTGCTATATAAGTTCCTTGTTGCTTTATGCAAGTGCTATTCAAACCGTCTCTTGTAAACTAATGAAGTATGAAATACCGTACTGTTGAAAAATATCAAAAATTGGTGTAATACACCATCCCTAGCTGGACATTCCTGGGGTTACGCATCCTGTCGAGCTGCATTAAACATACTGTGAGTCTGTGATTCTCATTCCAAGCCTGGCCAGAAAGGCCGTGCACGGGGGCTATACGTTGCTCAAAGGTTGCAAGAGACAATCTGAATGGCGAGGAATGGAGATTAGGAACTTAGATACCTTACATTTTGTGGATATGATTGTACAGGACAACTGTTAGCTGTGATTGACTGGACACTCGCATCTTACCATCACCTACCTGTAATAGGACACTGGACATCCGCTTCTGGTCCTTGACGCCATATTAATTAGGTTGAAGTCTATTTGGTGGAAGATGCGACTAGAGTTTACCCCAATTGCTATCAGGGAGAGCTAATTAACTTTGTTAGAAAGAAATCTTAAATGGATATCATGAAGCTGAACTGAAGCGATTCTCCAGGCATTCTATGTCTGACTTTTGGCCTGCTGCAATTGATGAGTTTCACTTCTAGGTCGACCACTATGAGAACCCTAACCCTAATATTTTCAGCAGTGGCGCCGATATCATGCAGCATGCAAGTCAGAAAATAAGTCTCATCGGTAAATTCCCACTCGGGGACCAGATAGCATTTCATGGCAATGCCGTAGTGATAGACTCTCGTGCTGTGGTGATAGGTAAGGGTAGGTAGGTGGTCGCGGGCATATGCTTGGAATTCTGCGCGCCAAAGGCGTATCTGGGACCGGTGTTGAAGAGACTGGAAATGCAACGAGTGGCTGCTTTTCCTGCATTCCAGCCGAACTCCTTGACAGGATCAAACGTAGTGCTCATATTGAATACGACAGAACGGGGTGAATTGCAAGAAGTAATAAAATTCCTCGTCCCAGTTATGGCTCACGACTTCGCTGAGTTAGAACGGGTGTTTAACCCACAAAAATGATGATGATATCAATACACCTCCACGAGCTGGTGGCTCTTCGGCCCTCATTATGTCATATTTGGCGAGCTCCTTCGTCTCAGGCGAATTTACTATCAAACTCAATCTAACACCCGGCGATCTAGCCATTGCCCTTTCGTTCGAGTTAAGCTTTCAACCTGACACCTGAGTTATAGTACCAGCCACATGCCCCAATTATACTCCGTAAAGTGTAGAAGAGATGAAAGAAGCTCAATGAATTGCGATTCAAACAAAACGTAACGCAGAAGCATGCTGATATTGAAAGCTTTAGAATTAATAACCTGGTTATGGGCCAGAAATCCCTGACTATTGAGAATCTCCGAGGCCAACCCTTGGGATACTCCCACTGTGACTTTGAGACGAGGGTTGGGACCCCGTTTAATTTATTGATTCATATTCTAGATGACTGCTCATCCAGGCTTGGAGAGTACGAGACCCTTCGAGACTGGAACTATCCCCAGAATAAAAGGATCCTTGCTCTCTTTGAGGACAGGAGTGGTTGATGTCAGCGGTGCCTAGGTATTTGTATTGGTGAGACATTGTCTTCAATAGGTGGTGGCATATACATAACTAGCATCCGCTCCAGTTGCTATTCATCCCCCTTTTCCTCCTTCACCTTGCACGCTGCTCTCTCCCCTATTTTCGTGACGTCCTGTTATTCTCAATGACGAGCAGGTTCTCTCCATTCGGGGGGCTATTCCTACGTAGGTTGGATTTTCAAGGTGCAACATGTTGCGGTGCGAACCGATAGAACTTGCCCAGAGGGAAAGTACCAGTATCCTCTATAGGAGGGGCATGCTGCGTATTCCGTATAGAAAAGCGGGATTATCAAATCCTCCAGCGTTCGGATCAATAGTCTTTTTGATAGCAGGCACTTTCCCCACCGATTGGATGGCCTTGTCAGCGAATGCCTGGACTGTTACTGTTACGTACATGGCTTTGCTAGTCCATAAGTGGTGCAATGTCACTCTCCGCTAATGATGACTTGCCGAAGCCATAAGCTTCTAAATTCATGTCTATCTTAATGTTTTATATGACTCTAGGAACGGAGGGGCGGGAGGCACAGGCGCCACAATCGAATTGCACACTCGGCCTGGCAAATCCGTGGTGATCTCGGCGATAATACACCTATATCGGAAAGGTCCAGGATTGCCCAACATAATACCCTTGTTGCAAAGCCACTTGATTTCAAGGTCTATATTGGATACGGCCCGGGATCAAGGAAACGCCAATGGCTCTTAGGTCCACCCAGGAATATGGAAAGCAGTTTATCAAAGTCTTTGGGTTCAACCTTTGTGCATCACTGGGTAATAAGAGTATATTAAATTACGTCTGGGGATCCCTCAAGGCCAACCCTTACTTATGGGATCCGCCGCCAGATTCCGTCTGAAAGCTTTCTCTCGGAAGGGCAACGAACTAAATAAAATACCTTCATTGCGGCCGCTTTGGTTTCCCTTTCCAGTATTTTGTTATGCTCCATTTGTTTCCATGTTTATATCATGTCTGTCTCGGTTCGTGGTTGGGAGATATTAGCAATTTCCTGGCCTCTGTTCAGTTTGTGTGCCACTCTTATTGCTCTCCGGATCTGGGTGCGCATCAAGGTATTGCGATCCTACGGATGGGATGATGTTTTTATTTCTCTTGCTCTGATGTTTGCTGCAGGAAACACCGTCCTGATGACCATCAGCATCTACTATGGCACTGGGCAGCATGCAAGTGATTTGAGCAAATACCAGCTTATTGTCTCGTCGAAGTATAACTGGCTCTCGCACGGGTTCCATGTTATGTCTACCACCTGCGGGGAAATATCTGTGGCCTTTTTCCTTTCGCGCATTATCAACAAGGCAAAGCATCATAAACCGGTCATCTACATCGGGATTTTCCTCCTGACGATAGTCAATCTAGGCTGTATATTTACGATGTATGGCCAATGTACACCAACGGCGAGGTTGTGGAACCCAGAGGTGGACGGGTCTTGTTGGAAGCCCGAGGTGCAACGAGACTACGAGTTTTTCCAGGGCTGTAAGTGCACCTTTTACAGAACAGGCATTGATGCTGACTCTTCCTGAGCATTCTCGGCTGCCTCTGACTTCGTTCTTGCGGTTTATCCTCTCTTTATGATCTGGAACCTACAAATGGCTGTGAAAGTCAAAGTCGGCCTGGGAATTGTTTTGTCCTTGGGTTTCATGTAAGGTGTTCGGGATGATAGTGCTGGCTGATGGTAATTGACTTGGATAGCGTGATGATTGCCGCAATAGTCAAGACCGTACACTTGGCTTTGCTCTCCAGACAGACCGATTATCCCTGGAATATAGTCAACCTCATTATCTGGATCACTGTCGAACAGTATCTTATCATTATCGCCGCCTGCATCTCGACTATAACGCCTTTATTCAACATAACGGTGCGGCAACGGTCTGCCAAACGCAACACGCACATGAGCCACCGAGGAGTCCAGAGTCGAAGTCGGCAGTCACGCAGACCACACCGCTACGGGACCTTCACGAGCATTACGGATGATAACCATGAATATCCACCTTCCGGGGCGTGTTTGGAAAGAGGTAACCACGATTGTGAGACCCCAGGCCCTACGATTCTGGGAAGCGAGAATAACAGAGGAATCCTGATGACAACGGAAATCAATGTGGAGACGGAATCAGGCCACGGAATTGTAATGCAGATGCTAGATGAACAAAGAGCCTGATTGTAGAATTTTTCTGAGCTATATCTTGCGCTCTATCCTTTATTCTGTGATACATATATCCATTCCTGTTACACAACACCATATGAAAGTAGATCGGGGCTGGATGTCGCAATCGGGGCAAGAAATATCCCAGTTCGCGCTAGGAAGACCCTCCTCCTATCACCCTTAGCAACCTGGACGACATCCCTGCCGCTTGCTATATCCCCTTCCGGCGTTGTATCCCGCGTTGCATCCTATTCCTTTCGGGAGATGCGCATAAAGTGGATGCTTGGAAGTTGTACTTCGACTCCGAGCGTCTTGGTCGCAAAGCTTATACGTACTAATCGGCTAGTGTATTGGCTCCTAGAAGGTCTTGCATTTATTCTAGACCTAGTTTCTAACAGGTGAAACCTGTCTCTGGCGTTACTGGACGAGGAACCTGCCAAGGCGGGATATTTTCACCTGGCTTCCTCGTATCCTGGCGGTTCGGATGACGACCGGAGATAGCTAAGTAAATAGTGCATTGGAGATGACGGGCTGCCTCACTTCCGAGCAGCTCCTAAGCGGCCTCTGTGATATGCGCTCGTGTTATGCTTATTACTCCGTACTCCGTAGGACTCGAGGAAACTTGTTGCCGCGCAGATCCCCGCCTAAATGACCATCATATATATCCTTGTGCGGATTTACCAACACCATGATCCCACTCGTAATCTAGTAGTCTATTAGTTACTTATTGCGGTCTGTGGGACTGTGGATCCTCTCCTACTGCGCTCTTTCTCGTTTCTTTTTAGCATATTACTTTTGGCTCCACGCTGTCTCCTATACTACCCTGTTATTCCGGTACCTATGGATGTCGAGAAAAGCCCTCCCACGTCCGCGGGATGCGTGTCGTATGGAAGCCAAGTTCAAGAACCTGTTGACCTTGAAGTCCTTGGGGAGCGGGAAGGCTATGTGCTCAATCAGTCCCTTGCGCAGCAACAGAACCTAAAAACCACTCAGGATGGGAAGACAGTGCTGATTCCACAGCCGAGTGATTCCCCGAATGATCCCCTAAACTGGCCCTCATTCCGAAAACATGTGGTTCTTTTGGTGATTTCAGCTACTGCCTTCCTGCCAGATTATGGCAGTGCAACGGGTGCTGTCACTCTTATACCTCAGGCTGCGTACTTTTCTCTACGCCAAAACGTTGAATGCAATGTAACTGACCAATCCAGTGCTTGGGGAATGACTGAAAACCACGTCAACCACTCCCAGGTTGGGAACATTTTTATGTTAGGGGCTGCGGGTCTCTTAGTTGTATCCCTCTCTGCATACTTCGGGCGCTACCCTGTGCTTTTCTGGTTTGTTGTGCTTGCTCTGGCGACTGCCATCTGGTGTGCTGCCGCTCAATCATTCGAATCGTTTATGGCCGCTCGTATATTAAATGGCTTCTTCTCCACGGTGGCCCAAGGGGTAAGTCGCCCATTTGACCTGGATGCCCTCGCTAACTAACCCAGGGCGGACTCATGTTCATTAAAGATATGTTCTTCTTTCACGAACAGGCCCGCAAAATCAATATCTGGTCCGGCTTCATTGTGCTCTCGCCTTATATGGGCCCACTATTTGCAGCATTTATCGTCAACACCCAAATCTGGCAGTGGGCCTTTGGTGTTTATAGTATTGAGACAGGTCTGTGTTTGATCGCAATCATCCTCCTGGTGGACGAAACCTACTATGATCGAAAAAACCACGAGTTCGAGTTGGTGCCTAATGCCCCTCGCTGGAAGCGTATGCTGGGTATACAGCAGCGACAGACAAAATACATCAAGAACACAGTACTCGATGCCGCGATGCGACCTATAACAGTCATTTTAAAGCCAGTGGTATTTTGGGCTACGCTATACTATCTCCTCACCTTTGCCTGGGTGGTCGGCATCAACACCACTCTTTCTATCTTCCTAACCCCCCTATATGGATTTGGTCCAAAACAGATCGGTAAGCGCCCTGCGAATCTCCACGTTCTCCATGTCTGATAGATCTAGGCTTCTTCTACTTTACTCCGGTAGTCGCTGCGGCCCTGGGGGAGATAGCCGGTCATTGGCTCCACGATATGATCGCAGCTAATGCCGCACGCCGTAACAATGGCCATCTCGAGCCCGAAGCCCGGCTAATCGCTACCTGGTTCGCAACGCCGTTCATGGTCGCAGGCTTGATTCTGCTTGGATTTGCCCTGGAGGACGGATACCACTATATGCTTACCTCTCTGGGATGGGGGTTGTACGTATTTGGCATCATGATTGTCACAGTTGCAGTCAATTCTTATGTTCTAGACAGCTACCCAGAAGCCAGTGGCGAGGTTGCAGCTTGGATTAACTTTGGTCGGACGGCAGGGGGATTCATCGTCAGTTACTTCATGGTTGAGTGGGACAATAAACAAGGTGCGAAGAGGCAGTTTGGAACGATGACGGGGATTCTCATCTTTGCATTCCTGACGGTTCTTCTATTGGGCCGTGTTGGGAAAGGGTTAAGAAGATGGGCTGGACCCGTCAATTTTAAGACTGCATGAGTTGGATACATGGTGGGTTGAGCTCGAGAGCTGAGTACTGTTTAAGGGCCAGGGGTCATGTTCCGGATTCATGGAGAATAAATGGATTCCGCAAGTCCTTCAAAGATGGAAAAAGAGTGGCATCGATCATCATGAAGCTATACGCTTACCACTACCTTTTTGCTCTCCTCAGATGGGTCGATAATCTGGACTTGAAGAACGCTAAAGCTACTATAGCATCAAAGGTGCACTATTTGCTATCCCCTTATACATCCATCTCCTATCACCCACACAACGGTTTCAACCCAAGGCTTGCATAAATCTCCTCCTCTACCTCATGGTAGAGTCTAGTAACTTCAAAGTCTGCTTCTTGGTTAACGAGCGTTATCAGTGTATGGAACCCAAGGAACTCACCTCCATCGGGCATAACCTGCGCAGCCAAAATCATTGCGACTCCGTTCTCTCGGTCCACAAACCAGTGAACATTCGCTAGGCCTTCCCACCATGCCGAGCGCATTGGCCTTCCAGTGGGACTTACATCATGGCTTAGTGCGAAGGTAAGTCCCCATCCATCGCTTGGGTTCCCAGGCTTCGGTATCACCGGACGCGCATTCGCGAGGCTCGGTTTTGCACTTGGGACGAATTCATTATGAAAAAGTGGGAATTCAGGGATTTGATCCGTGAACATTTCTGGGCTACTTTAGCATCGGAATATGGCATATGAGTCTTGAAATCATACCTTCCACTGTTTCCGGCCTAAGGAGTCGGGCATGTGTCTTGGGGGACTTTCCGTTGTTGAGGAGAACAGCGAGGATCGCTTTTTCCAGTTAGATAAAAGCAGACATACGAATCGGATGACTGGGATGACATACTGGCATAATCTGGCGCTGTCCCGAAGCACCCGCATCCGCCCATACAGAATGAATTCCTCGGGTCGTATTGACTCGACAGCAGGGGGTATCGCAGAATATGATCAACGACGGTGAGTGATCCATCTGGCCCGCGATGGTGCAGGTAGGCAAGTCGGGATATCATGTCTGGGCTTGGGAAGAAGGAAGTATTGTTGATTTCGAGGGGGTTGAATATGAAGCGTTGGAAGTAGTCTTCAAGGGAAATCTTCGCCACACGCTCGATGACCACGCCAACCCAGTCAATTCCAACACCGTACTGCACACCCGTTCCCGGCTGAAAGACCAGCGGGCGGTATAATATATCGTCCCTGCGCCCAGAGAAATCATCAAGGCCAACGGGTTGTGACCATTCACACAGCTCGAAACTGTTCATGGCATAGCTGAAGCCGGCTAGATGACATGTTCAGTCAACAAGAAGCCGTCGCATCATGCCGCAGGTGGTACTTACAGGTATGTGTGAGGAGCATTCGAAGCGTGATATACTTTTCCTGATCCACTAAACTGAATCCCCCGCTCTCATTTTTCTGCAATACTTTTAGCTCCCGAAGCTCGGGAGCAATTTGGTGGAGTTGCTCAGCATCGTCGAGACTGAGCTTTCCCTGTTCGACGAGTTGCATAGACGCAATCCCCGTCAGAAGCTTTGTGCACGATGCCAGCCAGAATACTGAATTAAAATCCATAGGCTGACTGCCACCCAACTTGGTAGACCCGGAAGTGTGGGAAAATATCGGATCCCCGTTCCTGTCTACGGCAATGCACACGACTCCAGCGATCCTGGGATTAGGGCCAGTGCATGCATCGTTGATCTTTAACAAGGCATTCTCTAGGATTAGTGACTCTTTGGCCATTTTTATGTTTGCAGACCCGCGTGGTTAGGAACGTTGAGGAAATTATGCGGACAGTTGACACAGGAGGTGAAAAATCGGCTAGGTACGGCAAGCTATTAGGAGGAACCCGAAAATATAAGTATTTGATTAGATTTTACTATTATACATATTTTATTTATATAAAAGGAATTTTATATAGATTTCTGAGTTGTTGAGATCCAAAATTATATTATAACTACTAGTAAATCATTGAACCCCTAGTATTCTGTCAGTCGAACTAATTATATATATATGTAGTACAACCTCGATTGATACGCGGGTAGAATGAGGATAGTACTTACCTGGCGAATATCTGTAGTCTGCAATAACGCTGCCAATCTATAATTTCCATTCATGCGCGTTGTCAAGCCCATGGATTCCCGACAAGTCGCCTGGATCGAGATATCCACAGATCCTACCAGTGGGATCCCATTTACGGCGAATGTCCATCAGTCGACGGCCATTGCTATCTGCCCAGTACCGAGTTTTGCGTTCCTGGAAATCCGAATCTCCTAGATAGGCCCCAACAGACTTGCGTTCGACCTTCTTCATCACATCGCGTACCCACTGTTGACACCGTACATCATCGTTCTCTTCTTCCCAGACCGTATAGAGAGCAAAGTAATGATCGGATTGCATGCTAAGGGCCATATCCGGCAATTGCCTTTGGCTACAGGGGTTCATCGCATACCAGAGGGCGAACGCCTTTCGGTGAGGGAGGGTGGTAAACGCCTCTTCTAGCACCTTGGGGACATCTGCATTGTTTTCGATATATGCGTTCTCTGCGCAGTATCGGTGCTTCTCCGGGCTTGCATTAGCCTGCTTCACGTACTGGTTCTCTAGACTGTCTTCCTGGCAGAACCACTCTTCGATTGCGCCTTCTGGCCGGGACTGATGAGCGGGCGCCAGAGCCTTTTCTGCCTCCTCCACTGTAGATTTCATCGTGACTAGTAGAATGAATAGGCATATTTCATCCCGGCCTTCTGGGTATAAGCCAACAGCAACAATTTCCGTGTCGCGATCGAAGCCAGGGGTTATTGATATGATCCAGCGAAATGCCTCGTAGTACTGATCAAGGGTGTAGAGATATGCGGACGATCTGAACCCTTTCTCGGGGTATGTCATGAGGTCCAGATGGTAGTCAGTAACCACGGCAGGGAATCCTATCACATGGTTAGCGAAAAAGCAATACCTTCGCCATATTGTCCGCCGGCCTGTGAATATAATTATATACCTGGTCCCGCTCCTCTGGCAGCCCAATAAAGGTCTGCATTTTGGTGTTGATTACAATGAAGTATCTCGCCATTTGCAGTCACCACATCGACTCCTTTGACTCGTTCACAGGCCCAACCCCATCCCTGTAGTATAGGGCGTTAGTAATGTAGCGGATAGGGTTCCATGCGCAGGCCTACCCGGCAATTCCAGCCCATTCCTCCCTGTAGGAGAAACCCCCCAAGTCCTACATCAGGACAATGTCCTCCCGGGAACATGAGCCCGTATTCTTGAACCAATTTTCCGTTGACTTCTCTTCCCGTCATGCTGGGAGAGGCGCGGGCAATTCTTTTCTCCGGATCGACTTCTAGGTGTTTATAATTGCCTAGGTCAATGAGGATCGACTCATCCCGGACACTCCAGGCTGCCCAGGAGTGGCCACCAGAGCGTACGGCCACTCGACATTTCTTCTCGGCCGCCAGTTTAATGGCTTTTACTACATCTTCCGCGCGGGTAGCTTTGACTACTGCCAATGGATACCTTCGTGGGCGACGGTGATTGAAGACACGTCCGATGCGCGCCTCTTCATAGACAGCTGGATCTGCGGAGTCTCTCCAGATGATTTGCATCTTGTTGCGTCGTTTTCTTTCTAACTGTATCGGAATTGCGAATTGTGGGAAGTGTGTACGATCGAGCTCAAGGACCGGTAACGGATCAGAGCTCTATCTCTCCACATTGTCACTTTTTATCGTTTGTATCTTTCCTCGCCTACGACAGCCAATACCCCACAATTACGTTGCTATGGCATATGCAGCTGTAGCCTGTAGGTGGGGCCGAGAATACGGGGAAGCATCTGTATGCGGAGCCGATAAACCGGGGAGCCGAAAAAGGCGGGGAAGGGTAACCAGTCTTCAATCATCACGATTGGAACCTTTATGGCAGAAGTTGCAAGGTTCAATTCCAATTGAAAGGGTCGGTAATCGAGAACCTCGTATTCCGTGGCGTTTGAAGCCATGGATGGTATCTCATTGCTATTGCGCTGTCCCGACTAGAAAGTAGTCGGAGGGAAGAAAGCACGGCCCTGCTTCAGCATTGAAATAGGGGGCATATCCTTTGGTACCTCAAGGCTTCTGCAAGCTTTTCCAAAACTCTCGCCAAAACTAACACTACTGCCAGAAATATGGGTCCTACCCAGGATGGAAAAGCAGAGCGTATGCTCGGTGACCTGCGTCTTCGACATGAGGAAACGAATGATATTATACTCATTCCTAAGCCATCAAATGACCCAAATGACCCCCTGAATTGGTAATCACTGTCGGCTCCTACTCCTTCCTCACTTACCCTGAGTGAACCTGCAGCTTATGACTAACTGGGATATTGTGTGCAGGTCTCGTCCATTCCGATACTACATCGCCATTGTGGTTTGTCTGGCTGTCTTCTTCTGCAACTTCCTCGCTGCCGGACCCACAGTTGCTATTGTAGAAACGACCATTGACTTTACCGGCCCTATGGGACCGGATTTCTCCGCTCATATATCCAAAATTGCCTTCTTTTATAGTACTACCTCGCTTTGTCAAGGTCTAGGAATGCTATTATGGATGCCGCTGATCATCAAGTACGGGCGCCGCCCTATATATGTGTTCTCCTTCATTCTCTACCTGGGTACTGGTCTCTGGTGCGCGTTTGGGCGCGACTACGGCGTCGAGCTGGCGGGGCGCATCGTGATGGGGTTTGCTGCGGGGGCGGGGGAATGCCTGGGCCCTCTTACCATCGCGGATTTGTTCTTTCTACATGAACGTGGAGCGATTATGGCAATGTATACGGCAGCTCTGTCCATGGGAGTTGCCGCAGGAATCATCATCGATGGGCTGATCACCATCTCCCATGACTGGCGCTACATCTACTACGTTGCGTCTGCGCTGATCGGAGGCGTTACCCTCTTGGTCTTCTTCACCTTTCCGGAGACAATGTTTGATCGGCGCGTTGCGTTCCAAGCGGAGCAGGTTACGGTGAATCAACCAAGAAACCCGGGTATCTCAGATACCGCTAAGACCTCATCAGAGCACAGCGAGTTGGGTCAAGGGCAATTCCGGGTACTGCCAAAGAAGCAGGGCTATCTCCAGTCATTGGCTATTTTCAGTGGTGTCCATACCTCTGAATCACTGTTCCGGGTGTTTATTAGACCCATTATTCTTATTGGTCTTCCCTCGGTTCTATGGACCTCACTTGTCTTTGCTGTCACGATCGGATTCCTAGTCGCGATTACCTCGAACTTTGCAACTGCTTTCTCACAGACATATGGGTTCTCAGCTTGGCAGTCCGGCCTTTGCTTTATCTCTAGCATGATTGGGTCCTTCGTGGGCATTGCCTTTGGAGGCCATTTGTCCGATTGGCTTGCAGACTGGTTCACCCGTCGCAATGGCGGTATTCGCGAACCAGAAATGCGTTTGCCTGCCATCGCAATCGGAGGTTTATGTGCTCCCGTCTCCCTCATATTGTACGGGGTGGGAATTCAATGCAAGACCCATTGGATGCTCCCCACCGTCGGCCTGGGTTTGCTGAATTTCGCCATCGTTCAGGTGACTAACGTGACAATGGTGTACGTGATTGATAGCTATCGACCCGCCGTAGGTGAAGTCACAGTCTCTATTTTGGCATTCAAGGGTAAGTCGCATCTCCCTTTCTGTGCTCAGGAAGTTGAGCCCTTGCTAACGAATATTACAAAAAAGCCGCTTTCGGATTCCTTCTTTCGTTCTATACGAACCCGTGGATTGACCTTGAGGGCTATATCGCGGCCTTCGGAGAGATGGCTTGTATTTCCGGGGTCGTCATTTTGTTTTCTATCCCATTCTACTTCTGGGGCAAGCCCTTGCGATATCTAACGTGGAAGTGGCGGTTGATGGAAAAATATGCGCACTGGGATATGGACCGGGATGTAGGAGAGTACGACATGTAAAAACCCTTGGAAGAATAATGGTATCGTGTGGGATATTGAACTCGTACCAGGCCTTTTCTTGTGGTCACTATGATGTCTTGGGTTAGAGTTCTACCTGCTTTCTATCCAATGAAGAAAAATCTATAATAGGTAGTGTGTACAATTCCTTCTCCTAAGGCCCGGTTCTCTTCCGTATCCTTTTCATTATTTTCCTTCCGAATTACCCCTTTCCCCACCTCGGGTCGCTATGTAGAGATTTGCCTCCACCGGCTAATACCAGCTTTATTGTAACTGGCTGCTGGCTGCTAATACATCCATGTATAAGACTCCTCCACACGCGGAGGACCGAAAGTAAACTGCGGGGGGGTTAGTCCAGGGCTCCCGATGCCCACCCTCGGGTCTAGTAGTGGAACATATTCGTAGTCGTCATTGACTGTTCGAGGATTAAAACCCTCTGATATGGAAAAAAAACCTCACTCCAAGGAAAAGTGGCTATAGTTGGTGGCTGTTCATTGATTAGTGTCACTATTTTATGATGACTAGATGTGTTAATACGCATATTATACGATAAATCTTCAGCTAGGAAGTGAACTACACGGGGCTAGGAAACATTGCAGACACCATTGCTTGAAATTGGGCTGGAGCTTAGGCTTGTATGTGATAGGTAGTGAAGTAGGGTTGGAAGTAATTTCCCCAGCTCAGAAATCGAGGCCAGTGAAGACTAGAGGAGGATAAGCTGCTGCCCTCTAACTATATCCTTGATTGAGTGGCACTTGACTTATTGATAAGACATTCTATTTCCCATACTCGAGCAATACTAAGGACAAAAATACCCAGGAAACATCCCCAAACCCATATCCAACGTAACGAAAATACCCCTTCTTGTGAAAGGGATTGATGAAAATGCTAATGCACTTTTCTCTATTCTATTATTTCAAGTGCTGTTCTTCTCAGCAGGCTTCATCCTAGAATGTGTCCGTATCCGCTCCCCGAATATCCTGAACAACACTGGTATAGGGCTAAGACCCAATGCAATAAACGCAAGGAGGCTGTTCCCCCACCCGAGGCCCAAACGGTCATATATTTGAAGCCCACATAGGGGAAGAAGGGAGCCCATCAAGCTCCGTAGGACGGTATTTGCGGCCAGAGCGCTTGCAGCATGAACAGTGAACGCGTCGACAAGATAAGTCTGGACAGACATCATGATAATGATCATGCCCGTTCCGATAATCGCAGTTCCAACCTCAAGAACCATCCAGTGTGCGTGCTTTTCTGCGCCCCAGCCGTAAATGAATAATCCAGCGGGTAGGCAGAGACATGCCGGGACTGTCAGAAGTAACGGCAGCCTGTGCTCTGGTTTTAGCGATACCCCTTTGGCTTTTTGTCTCTTAAGCAACCGATCACTAACTATCCCCGAGACAGCAAGGCCTGTGATCATACCGACGCCGCTACCGAGAAACGTCAACCCGGCGGCCGCGGACGAAAACCCATACACATCCTCGAAAACAAAGGTGAATGTCGTGAAGAGGATGTAGAGAAGGCCGTACATCACCGCAAGATAGATCGACATACAGGTGACAATCGGGGAAAACAGAAGCATCTGAGTAGGTCGAAGGACACTGCTAAGAAAGAGGTCTCTTGGTGCTAGGTCACTGGCGAGTTTCGAGCGGTAATTGTTATTCCCAGTTTCTTTCCGTAAACGAGCTGCCTTTCGCTCCAAAATAACAGGCGCATATGTCTCGCGCAAAGTGAAAAAGGCAAAAATCAAGGTTGCTCCGGCCTGCAGTACGAATCAGTATGTGTCCGGTAAAAAGTGGCCATGCAACCCTGTATACCTACCACAATGGCAATGACCCAAAACGCCCATCTCCACCCTTTCGCCTCAATCAAGAATCCTCCGGTCACAGGTCCGATAATTGGTCCAAAAAGCGGCCCTAATGACCAGATGGCAATCGCGCCTCCCCGTCTCTCTTGCGGCATCAGATCCGCAACAGTCCCCCCACCACAAGTCAGTGCAGTGACGCCAACAAACCCGGCGAGAAATCGGAAGGCGATCAACATCCCCATGGTCTTGGACTCGGCGCAGGCGATTGTGAAGACCAAAAATAGGACATTGGACACGTTGTAGATAATTACACGGCCTAGCACCTCACTCAGTGGAGCGACTACCAGCGGTCCAAATGCGAAGCCAAGTACAAAAACCGACACGACGAATCCAGAGAGTACGCTGGAGCTTGTGCCGAATTCTTCCATTACGTCCGGAACTCCAGGCGCAAACATAGATGATGCTAGAGGCCTATGGGGTGTTAGCTGCACATTGCCTATCGCCCATTAGGGGTGACACTCACGTTAGGAAGCTGATAAACGAGACCACAGCGATGATACCCCATTTTCGCGGTTCCGACCAGTTCATCGGGTTGGTTGGGTCCTCTTCCTCGGGAGAAGTCCACCAAACCACAAACCGATCAGGATCCTCCCCTTGTGAGCTGCCATCGTCGGCTCGGTACGTTGGTGTATCTGGTCTGTTGGATGGGAGGTGTTCGACATTTGGGAGACCGGCATCATCGACGTGTCCTAGTAGTTTCTCGGGGTCGCGAGATATGTTCGACGGTGATTGAGTATCTGACATTGCGACAGCTCCTAGAAGTTGCAAATCTAGTGTTTTTCCCTCTGCGCTGGCAATTATTGACGGTCTATGTCTGGCACGATGAAAATCGCTCTGTAGTCAATGGAATAACCGTGAGCTGTAGCTGTCATGCCGGCCTTAATATACCAGCTCAGGCCGTCCATCAACGCCGGATGCAAGCAACCTATATAGGGCCATTGTGCATGAATCCACCAGGCATAACGCTTGCTATGCAAAAAGAAGAAAACTAGAAGATTATGTGGGCTGGGGAGATCATTTCAACACACTCGCATTCGGGTTCGGTTTCGGACTCGGACTCGTTTGCACTGCCTGCAGAGGCTGAGGGTTTGAATCTCCGCGTCCGGGTTAGCAAAACCCACTCGAAGTTTCAAGATTGGGGGTTTCCCTCAGTCGGTAGACATTGGTTGAACAATACTGCTCGTCTGTGATTCTTGGAGGCGGTTCCGGTGCGGAGATAACCTAAGTCTATCAACGAGTTTCGAACGTAGCAATGGGACATGCTTAGAGAATCAACTAGGGCACCAAAACTACAAGAACGGGAAATAAGAGATACAGAATCACAGTTGGAGAAGAACTATCTTGAGTAAAGATGGTATAGATATTGGTCACGGGAGTTACCCGGAAGCATTTGCAGAGGTAGAGCTAACTGATAAAAACTATTCAAAAGGAACGAAAAAGGATACACAGTGGGAGTATCCACGAAAACAGGGGCTAACAAGGACTATCCTAAGCGAAGAAAGCATACATCTTGATCTCGATACTCTCTCGGGGAGGAGCATCCAAAAATTCAGGATCGACGAAAGCACTATGAGCCACGGTAAACCCTCCTTGATCAGCGGTCAAACTATCGAACTGGGTAAAAATAAGAGGCTCGGTGGGTGCCTGGCGCCTGAGGTAGAGCCACTTGTGGTCCTTGCTATGCGAGATCTTCCCGAGCTCATTCCAACCATGCGGGAAGATAAACCGGTGCGCGTTCCATTCCTCGGATGGCTTAACGGACGTCCAGTCACAGACCGCGAGAGGGTCCTTGGTGACGGTTCTAAGGGGACGCCACACATTGATCACCATGACACGACCCTGCAAGATCTGCTCCAACTCAGCGGGGTCTTTGATGGTTGCGCGAAGGTTTTCCATAGCCCCCGCAACAGTAAAGTCCGAGTGCACGCTATGAGCTGGGGCTCGGTTATCCGCTCGCTTCGCGGCATCAGACGCGAAGCATCGAATCCGGGTGGTAAAGACCAGAGTCTTTGTGGCACCGGTGCTGTGACCATGTCATTGTCAGTCCCCTGGTTGGGTTGCCTTCTAACCTACAGAGCAGTACAAGTGAAGACGAAAGAAGAAAAAACATACATCTGACGAACTAACTCCTCGGTCTTGGGGACTAGGACTTCCTTGACTCTCTCTTCGTTGGACCATTCGTCAAATCCCTCAATCTCGTGGTGCACATATTGAAACCCATTTTTGTCTAGAGTGTAGTTGGACTCCTCTCCGCGAATATCATGGATGATAGTTGGATGCGTCTGGTCAAACTTCGAGAGCTGCGCAAATCGCTGCTCCCCATCAGGCTGGCGGAAGTCAATCTCCAATTTCTGCCCTTCCAGCACTTCGGAATAAACCAAGTTCGCTTCCACATCCTTTCCACGATTTTCCGAGGAAGGAATGGCGAACCCAGGGGCATTGGTAGCGGTTGTAGTGAGCATTGTGTCTGGTAACTATTGCTGTGAGGCGACTTTGGTACAGGATTTCGTTTAGCGGCAGGATTAGTTAATTGATTTTCCTGGAGAGTGTGTTCGACTTAAGTACTATCCTATGTCCATCTAGGCTACCAAGTAACTATCCCCATGTATTATGCGCCGCCATGGTCGTATTCGGATTCGGGTTCCTCCTCGATAGATCATCGCGGGCTGTGATGATCTTCGCTATAGTATAGGATAATATGGGGTTGGGCAAAGCCCAGTGGCATACGTAGATTGTCCAGACTATCTTAATATACATAGCAAAAGAGAGGATTTCCTGTTTATCCACAAAGCGACATAGACCCAAAAACGTCCAATCTACTCTGTAAACTTCAACCACCTAGCCCGAATGTTTCTTCACCACAGCTCAACCCGCAAAGCCCCCCAATGATAGCCTAATGGAGCGATCAGGGAGTAATCTTCCGGTCCCATACTTTGAGGTCACAGTCGGGGCCAGCTTCACCCCTTTGCACCCCGGGAAAAGCCCAACAGTTACCAAACGAACCTCCATATATGCCAGGGTTAGCTCCAGTCCCAAAGGGTGAAAATGCTATCTGAGTTTGGTTGACTCGCTAGTTTCGCCTTGAAACCATCTGGATAAGTCAAAGGGTTCATCTTGGTGGATAGTATAGCTCTGGGTACTAACAGTGATACCCTGTGCCTGTGGGATGAAGTACCCTGAAAATGTTGCCCTCCTTCGGGGATTTCCCGAGGCAAGGAACCAGGTGCAGCTCCGTGCAATCCGAATGTTTCCTTGATCATAGCGTTGGGAATCGGTAGCTCTCCCAATGCTTTTTCGTTATAGTGTGCATTCGGGGTTTTCACCTCTTCGGCCAAGTCCTCGCGTAACTTTGGCTATGAGACAACCGCCCATCCCGTGTCACAGCTGTTGTATCTGGCTGTGCAGTTCAAGTTTTGAGAATGCCCTAGCAAATACCTTTCACTTCCGACTGCATGTTCCGTTGGTTCCCGCATGGTGAAGACACCCTGTCGTCCGGCAATCGAAAAATGTCTCACACGATTTTGTTTTCAGAACAGGGAGCCCTGCCCTGCACGAATGATTTCTCCGAGTTTGCGACAGAGGAAGTAGATATCTCACGCGGGGAGATACGACCAATGTGACCAGACTTCTGATGGATGTTATGGATACGGAGTACAGTGGAGACGACTTCTTTCCGATCACGATGAAAATCTGTCAGGTATTGCACGGAGGGTAGAATGACAGACTTCCGTAAAACCTGATGGTTGCCAGTGCTTCAACTTGGTAGTGTCTTTACATTTACCTAGAAGTAAGAGACCTTACTGGAAACCCTAAAGTGCGAACGCACTGGCTACATAGCTATCAATATGTGATGAGTATGTAATCTTTGAAGGGCCATTAGTATCGCTATATCGAGACAGCGGGTGGACCAGCTAGCCGATGATGAATCCCTTAAGAGCAGTCATCAGATGTGTTAATATTCCCGACCCATGAAATATAGAAGCTCTTCCCTGCGTTAGCACTCAATCTCTTCGGGGTTTCCATGCCCGTTTTGGGATATAACAGCTCATCGGGTTGATTCAATAGTATAATTGGCTAATCTTGATGCGTACGCCTCAGTAAAGCTCCTTTTTACCACATATCATATGATATATACCTTGCCCTCAGAGTTTCGCTGCCACATAAAACGGCAATTGGCTTGTATATAGATAATCCAAGTTACTTCGAGAGTTTAAACATATGGATCCCATCTCTCGCTGTCCTTTCTCTTCTCCTCACACCGTCCAATAATGCCATACGATATTTCCAAAGATGAATGGAGCAAAACGGGTGATTCTCCGTGCTCCAGGTCAGATGAATTGTCAAGATCCTAAAGAATTCATCAACTTATATCTTGCAAGATTTCCCGCATGAAATCGCCGACTATTACTTTATCTATTTTGTTTCTTATGGAATAGATATCATGGCATGGTGGCTGGTTATGCTGGTCTTTTTGTTACCATTAGGGCTTACTATGAAATCCGAAACCCTCGAGAATCCCTCATACAAAGCGACCAGCCCAGCTCCAGATAAATAGATTATAGTCTCTTCTACCAGTTGCCTCACCTTTTGTCACCAGGGTACTTGCTACCTAGGTGGCCTTCCAAAATCAAAATGGCGGTTGAGAGTAGCCAGCCTTGGGGCTATTGCTGGCGCTCCTCCCAGGCTTTTATCAGACACCACCACGGTCTTCCGGGGCAGAAGAAACTACAGGTCTGCTAGCATCGGTGCAGGAAGGGTATCTCTCCCTCCAACAGGATCCCAAAACTCCAACTACCAAGTATCGCCGTGGATCCTCTAGTAGGCTGGCGGCGAGATCGCACCGGATTACAGTATCCTACGACAATAGCCTGGGGTCTGCTCGTCCCCATACTCGGGCTGTTAGCGGTTCCTGGTGCAAGTTTCGATTGGGCTCGGCCGAAACATGGTGCAGCGGTTATTTTCATCATCTCTATCATCGGAATTTGTTTGGGCTTTTCATTCATGAGAGTAGCGTGACAAGGTCTAAAAGGTAATACCACAGACACGCATGATCGTATGTTCGCCGCATTGAGGCGTGTTTTATTTACTCAAGTTCATATCGTACGTCTTTGCCCGGCAACTCCGTGTATTCTCGTTCCGGCATCAACTCGTACCGGTCCGTCGCATCTGTTCCGGAAAGCTCAAGCGGCTTGTCATTTGGAATTATTGGTTCCGTGTCTGGTTTGCTGTGTCCGGAACTTTGCACCGGGTTCTTATTTCGTCTCCAAATGAACCACCCCAGAAGAAGGATCACAATTAATCCCCCTACCCCTCCCACAACCCCGCCGACAATGGCTCCCGTCGAAGAGCGGTGTCCCGAGACCTGATGTCCGGTGGGCGTCGGTGAAGTAGCGTCGGATGTAGTGCTTGTCGCTGTTGAAGTGCTACTCGTGTCGGTGGCTGTTACTGTAGCAGACACGTCCCTCAAGCTTCGCAATATGGCATCTCCAATCCAGGAAATTGAGATGGTCTCCGTATCGTAGTGCCCATCGATTTCCACGTAGGTCAACGACCCAGCCGTGTACATTGTCTCCCCGCTTGACCACTTTGTATCCGTGCAATCGTAATCGCGCACATTGAGAGCTGGCCATGTTCGGGTATGGCATATTTTCGCGTCGCTGTAGGTACACAGCATCACGAGGGGGTTGGTCGTTTGGGAGAGAAGCGCCGGTGTCGCCGAGATCTGGGAGTTGTCGAAACATGTGCTGTAGATAATGCATGGCGTGCTCGTTGATGTGGTCGGGCAGCAGCCGACCAGGCCGGGAAATTCGGAGTCTGAGGCATGGAAGACACAGGCGTTGGGATAGTTGCAGGCAAGTCGAGAGTCTAATCTCATCAGCTCGTTTTCCAACTCTAGTATCTGGTTTGGGGGAGGACTCACCTTGGGAACCGCCAAAGAATCCGCATACACTCGATTCAGCGGCCGATATGGTGCTGTCGCGACGGACGAGCTCAGCATTTCCCGGGGAGAGAGGTACAGCCGTGGGTTCGGGAAAATCAAGCGATTCCACAATCTTGTTGCTACGTCCAGTGGCTTCCGGCGAAGGGAAGGCAATGGCATTCACTGCCACCGGAAGGAGAAGAAGCCACATCAGAGTCATGTTCTTCGCCTGGAGATACACCAGGAACAGGGTTTTGAGACATCTCCAACGAGATCTGGAGGAGGCTCAAATACTATTATTAAATATCCCCAGCGAAGGAAATCGAAAAGCGTTCTCTTGTGCCCCCCCTGTGCAAAGCCCGCCGATGCGCCTAGTACATTAGCGTGTCTCATTGCCGGAAATCTTAGATACTCTGGGAGAATCTTAGCGAACGCCCTCACTTTTGTCCCTTGGCTCGCAGGTTTGGTCTTCCAATCATAGAGTGTTGCGATTCAGAGACACGGCGTTGGTTCGCGGAGTCCTCTCGTCGGTTCATTTGCTACTGCGTGCTAGTAATCTCGCACCCGGAGATCTTGCCGGACAATGCTCGTTTCAGGGCTGGTTTTCCTATCCCGAGACGTTCCTGAATCTGCCTTGATCGGGACATCGTAGAGTGGATCCATCTTTACCGTCGAGATCCCTCGTTAGCCCGCGGCATATTCCAATCATCACATACAGTCCTTCAAAAGGATCAGAGAAGTACTCCATACGTTCATTACATTCATCAAAACTAGGCAAAAGGAGAAGAAAAACAAAAACCAACTTCAATCATCAGAGCCGTACTGGAGAAGTCAAGTAATCAACAAGACAGACCAAATGCCGTTGATGCACCAACAGCCCAGTACCGTTCTGCTTCGGTAGTATTGACAATTCCTTGGAGATTCATTCCGAAATACGAGGGACAGAAGGACAGAGGCAGGTCGGATTCTCGCCAGCGATTATTAGTTGAAGTGCCTAGAAAAGGGGGGGGGGGGACCTTCCACTCCAATCTAAAGATAGACTACTCGGACCGATACGAGCCCTCTGAGTCTGCATGAACAAATGGCATCCTAGTGGCGGTCGTTGCCTGCCGTCAGGCCCAGCCTCTGTAATATGTTGTCGTCCTTTGGCCTGGATTTTGGTTGATTTGACCGAATATTTTCTCCCAAGTGCATCCTGGATCTTCATGCGTGGATTTCATAACCTCGTAATGTGGTGGTGGCTGAGCCCTAGACCCCCGTTTTTATTGTCAACATGAGCGTCGTTCAAGGGAGGTTCAGCTCCCGGGTTGGTGAAACATAGACAAGGGAACTTAAAGCAGTACTAGTTTAATGTTTCTATGAAATGATACCGATGGCGAGATTAGCCCTAAGTAAGTGCGTCATTCTATCATCTCCCATCTTCCAAAATAATAAAGATCCAGTCAGTCATACGGCTTCATTATCTCTTCAACTTCAACTGGTCGTATGGAACGCGGAGATTCAATCCGTTAATCATCACCCGGTTGTGACGGATCAGGTTGAGACCGTAGGAGAAACTTGCATTCGTCCAGCCAAACCTAGAATCATCAGCATAGGTTTAGCCATCTTAGCTCGATCAAGCATAAACTTACCCTTCGAGATTCGCGCCCTTAAAGGCCAGTCCCTGGTTCCCATACTCGGAGTCTGCCCGAGCGGGATTGTCCAACTGTGTCACGTCGTACTTTTCGGTGATGGCGGAGTTGAGGTCCATGGCAACCTGGGTTATAATCTGCAACCAGCGGTACACCAGGCGCTCCATTTCTTCAGTGTATCCGTAGCGTTGCAGTCCGCGCCACGCCAGCATTTGATGAGGCGCCCATCCAAACGGATAGTCCCATTGTCTTTGGGGGCGAGATGCAGTGATCGGGCCACGAGAGGACGCTGTACAGCAGCTAAGACCGCCAACACATTCGAATCTCGCAAGACCCTTAGGCACAAGGGACGCGGCCTGAGCTGGGGTCGCGATCCCGCTCCAGAGAGCATACAGTGTCGTCACGTATTCATATGGGCTCTGCTGTTGAGTTGCTGTTCCACTGGTATTTGCTCATGCGCTGCTGACGCTCCGATGCTCGCTGGTTCCAGTCTGCAGCTTTTTCAACATGACCATCTGGTATACCAGGTGAACACCAGGGCCCGGCCACGGTCAAGCTATTGTCGAGAATATGCTCCAGGGCGTATGCGATATCTGTTTCGTATTTATACAGCAAACAGTTGAGATCAACGGTGGCCAAGTAGGCCGCACCGGATTCAAATCGATGACTTGTGTAGACCAGTCAGCGTTGTTCTCAGCAGTCAGGTCTGAAATACACCCACGATGTATCATGTCCAGATTCTCGTACTGCCCGATCATGGCGGAAAAAGTCATCGAGTGTTGGGCTCTTTCACAATACCCTCATTATACTGCTGAATGAATTCCGGGACAGTAATACCGTGCTTCTCCCCATAGGGCAACAGAACCCAGTCAAAATGACCTTCCTCACCCTGGGGTGGTACACCCAGGGCAGGCGGACCATATCGCGACAGACCAGAAACCGGGTCGTATCTGGGCTCAGAAGTCCAGACCTGTCTATATTCTTTGATAGCTGCTAGGATGGCTGTTCGCAGAAAGTCCACGGCATCCCTTTCAGACTTGGTCGCCTTATACAGCCGTATGGCAAGATCACTGATCCGGCGGGATGTAGATACGAGGGCGTGGGGTCTCCTTCCAGTCCTTGGGATCTACCGCAGCAATATCAATCAAGGACGCGTCAAGTCTTCTTGTAAGACTTTTCCAACACTGTTCTCTGATTTTCCGATCCACTCTATCAACCGGATTCTCAGTTATAGCACTCCAAGAAACAAACTCAAGCCCCCGTTTCTCCCGTATCAAGTACAGTGTCTCCAACAGATTGGCGAGCTGATAAGTACCACGCAACTGTCGGGTTCTCACGGAATCGGAATTGGTCGTTCCAAGGGCCATAGCCTAGACAATATGAACTCGTAAGTATGCCAGCACTGGCCAATTATTCGGCGGGTCGAACCTTTGGGCCCTTGTCCTGAGTGGTAATCTGGCTATCATTATTGGTATCCTCCTGCGCGAGAAGCCTTTCAAGAGTTTGCTTAACATTGATTTTAAAGGTAAATGGGAGTATGTTCTCCTCATCTATGCGGGAATTAATAAGATTTCAAACTTAGCACCGGCTCCTACTCTTACCATGATCAGCAACCACCGCCACTACCACCACCTCCTCCGCTGCCTCCTCCGCTGCCCCCTCCACCACAAGCGGAACTGCTTCCTCCACCGCCGCCGCCCCCGCAAGCCGTGCTACTGCTCCCACAGTTGCAGCCCACATAGCTGCTATGGCCTCCTCCACCCCCTCCCCGTCCACCAGAGTACGGTGCAAGCGCTGCATACTGACTTCTAGACCCACAACCAGAGCCACAGTTATGCACCGAGCCCTTGGACGCATCATCATCGCCAGCGCTGTTATCCACATTATGGAACTGCCCATCCGCACACTGGTAATCTGAGTTAAAGTTCGGGTCCAGTGTTGCAAAATAATACGGATAATAATTGTCTGCTGATCTTGTGGTAGCATGGTCCTCTTCACGTCTTCCCCGGAACCTGGAGTAGACCAAAGACTTCGATTTCTCTGTCGTAGTCGTGAACTTGGGGTTTAAAGAAATCTGTCGTGGTACGCCCGTGAGCTGCATACGTGCGTTCCGGAAGGTTTCATAGTACTCCCTCTGCTCCTGCCTTTCCATCATTGCCCACTGGGCGATGAAGAAGTAATCGGACGTTCCGGCCTCGAAGTAATGACTGAACGGTTGAGCGCGATGGATGCCACCGAGTTTGGCGCGGGTGAGGGATGGGTCGATGCGTCGCAAGCCCTTGTGACTGTGGTGGAGCCAGGCGGTTGTCTTGCAAAAGCGCGGGGATTGGGCCATTGCTGTTGCGACGCGGTTGAGGACAGAAGAAGCCGTCAGAATGTGGTAGCGGGATTTAACCCACTCCACTTGCGTATTATTACCACTTCCGTCTTGAAACAATGGCTTGGGGTAAAGATGTTCATCCCTTTGAAGATGGAGCGCAATCATGGACCAGGCGTCAAATGGAAACGCCCAGACATGTTTGGCGATACTACATTCGCCACACTGTATAGGGCAGCGCTTATAGGCTTCTGAACAGTCCCATGGGAAGACCTTCTGATACTCGTATAATGGGCCATCCCTAAAGGCGCCCCAGTCATACCAGTATTCCTGCAGGACGTCAATGATATCTGAATCTTTGTGTCGACCGAAATAGAATCGGTGGAGGTATTCTTCTGTATGACTGTGAGGGACATCGAATTTACTCATCACGCGATGCTTTGGATATTCCTGGATTGTCGCACAAAGGAAGCTCATGAGGTATAATGGGGATGCCACCCCAGGGATGGCATGTGACGGCCCATTGACCAGGGGCTCAAAGATGGCTGGATCAAGGAGAGAGGAGCAGAAGCTCAAGCAATTATTGCGGATTGGATTCCAGGTGACCGGCATGTCAGGGTCGAGAAGCTGCTGTGTGATGCTATTGAGGTAGACTTTGACACGAGTTGCCAGAAGGCCCTTGAGCCTATTGAAAATTGGGTCCAACACCTCGGCGAGCTTCTTCTGTTGCATTGCTACTGTGAATTTAGGGTCATCAGACACTTCCCCGCTGGCAACAACGAGGAGTTTGATGATTTCGAGTTCCAGTTTCCCTTCCAGCGACTTCTCAGACAGAATGCCAGAGAATGGTGCCCCAACAATCTGTTTCATCATGAACTTATGATGCCTGGGGGTCTCAATTGGGCGTTTATGCTCCCACAACACCCTTGCAGAGTCTGTACCAATACAAAGAGCGTGTCGGCGGGGCCGTATTGGGTCAGCAACTCTGCCTGGGAAGCGTTCATGATAGACGGGAGGGTCTCGTAGAGAGATAAGAGCCCCAGCATGGGTCCTGCCGCAGCGATTAAAATTTGGTAGCGGGAGGGAGAAGTGTAAAACTTACTTGGATACTCCGTTTTCTATCACAACGGTCCCAACACGTAATGCGGTATGCATATAGCCGAACGGATTCTTCTCGACACACTGACGGAAGAATAGCGGTACGTCCTCGTCTGCCATGCATCTGGCAACGGAAACATCTAGGCTGAGCTCGGATGAGACTTTTCTATCTCCCACGGATGTCGTTTCGGACTTTGACTGCCTTTTTAGTCGACTAAGCATGCGCGAGACAGATGACAGTGATTGCTTAGGTGGAGTCTTCCCTATTGTCGTAAGAACGGCATCGTACTTTGCTTGGGCAATGCGATGCTGAATTTGCGCAATATGGCATGAATGACCGGATTCAAGATTCCAATGACGTCTTTCGTTGATGACAACTCCAGACGAAGAAGGGACAGACTCTTTACAATTGCAAGATGTCACCTTCGCCAAGCTATCTGCTACTACAGCGTGTTTATATATTTTGCTGTAAGAGTTGTCTCCGTAGTGGTGGAGCCAATAGCATTGCTCGCAGATGCTGGAATGATCAGGATCATGCGAGCTAGCAAAGATGCTACTTGTGATGGGGTTTTTGCATTTTCTACACTTGAGTGACTGGAATTCCGGTTCTTTGGATGATGATCGCACCCGCACTATCAATGTTAGCCATACTGTCCTCGTGGTTAATGGATGAATTGAACCACAATCATACATTGCGGTATTCCTGGACGTTTTTCCGATTTATCCCACATTGATCGATGCTCAATAAGCATATCGATATCAAGAAACCCTTTTCTTTAATTTAGCTTAGTGCCACAAAGACCATACAGTAGACTAACCGGCTGTTTGCATTAACATCCACGCTAAATGGTGTGAACCGGATAGCTTTGGGATTGCTATTTAGTTGTAAGCGAATTTCTGCGGACATTCAAGGTCGTAGCTCACTGGTTAAATTCCGTCGGACTTCAGCTTTCACTTTGGCGCTACTGTGTTCAGCGATTGCGTCGAGGGCAACCACTCGAACTACATCGTCGCTATCCCGACCTGTCGTATTGCCTTCGAACTTTCCCATTTCCTCCCCTGGACAGAGTTAGCGTATGTCTATTCATGTGCTGATGCAATGCGCAGAGAAAGGAATGACAAACTATATCTAATTGCGAAAGCCCTAGCTTGCTGGTTGACCTGATCGAGGAAATTATCATAACCCTGGATGGTCTCATTCTTATCCTCTTCAAGTGCAACGCCTGCATACTCAGGTCGTTGCCAGATTCTCAATGTGCGAAGTATATTTTCGAGCTCCTGGCGCGCTCCTTCCCAGTACAATTTCTCCAGTTCCTGGGCTAAATGCTCTTTTCCAGGCCCGATAGCTGTCCATGGTGTATCGGGTCCATCAGTCAGGTTTGTGGGAGTAGAAATAGTCTTCAGCCTCTCGGGGAGCATCCGCCGTGTGGACATGGCCTTCGGCGAGAACAATTATTTTCTAGTCTCTATCCATCGCATCGAAGGTGTTGCGTAAAATGCGATGTGAACTTATATAGAACCATAAGCTAGGTAGCGACTTTCACCAAGAAAGAATCCGACGCAAGTAAGATGCGAATTTGATTACGCCCTTGCGGCTGTGCTGGGCGTGCGACTGGTTTTCATCATTCGGGGGCTTATCATTCGGTGCCCCGGAAAGTGGATAGCTTAATTAACCTCGTAAAGGTGGGTTTGGTGCTTAAAAGAAAGCCTAATCGTATCCTGATTAGTAGATGGGGCTTGCCCCGCGCCCAGGGGATTTTAGGTCCTGCTCAAGGCACCCTTGAATAATAGGGAGTGGAGGACCGCTAGGCACAAACGGACATCCAAAGTGAGTCAGTCTTCAGCCCAAGATATATTATCTCGAGAGGCAACTCCAATATCAGACCGCGGAGTGTATTCCAGTTTTCACCAACTAGCCATGGCACTCGTGTCACCCATAAACATCGCGGCCCTTCACCAAGCCGGTTCAAGTCAGACCCATGCATTACAGATGGGAAGCTCTAAGAGATACCCCGATGCATGGGAGAAGTCTGAAGAGCCCGTTATTCCCGGCCCTGGCTTATTCGAAAATCTTCCGCAAGGAAACCAAGGACCTGAAGCTCTCCCTACCCCCAGTGAATGCGCTGTACATTTAGAGATGCTTGAGGTTTTCCACGCCCTGCGCAATGAAGTCATCCAGTCACAAGACTTGGATCGATCCTTTAATATTAAACCAAAGAACAAAGTAGTGTACCGCCCAAAGCGGGAAGGCGCTCGATATGTGGCCGAGCCTCTTTCTCTAAAGGATGGTACTTTTGAGCGACGGAGGAAGGCGAAATGGACGTATTACTTGGAACTTGCGGTGACACGATTTCACATTTGGATTGCGCAGATTGATATGCATCTGGGAGAATCTAAATCGAGTTCAAAGCAACTTCCTCAGCTTTTCTTACTGCCACCTCTTGGTAAGCTATTGATGCCCCAGAAGGGTGAACGGATAGTGATTGACAGTCAAGCTAGATGTGCTGGTTGTGTGGCATGCCTTTCTGCTAAATTGCTCTGACTTCAAGGAATACTGCAACAAACGGAAGCTAGAGCATATCCAGGAGATTGCCTTCCCTTGGTCGGAAATAGTAAGTGTCCATTATCATGTGGTTTATGTGCGGGTGCTGACCTTGTAGCACGATGCCATCGACTCCCGCAATTGGAGATACACTCTCCCAGCGACACATGCACAATGGCTCCTCACCGTCGGCGGAATCCATCCCGACCTATTAGATGCTATTGTTAGAGCCGAGCTGAAGAGTAATGTCGCAAAACGTCTTCTCACCAAGTTCAGTACATCATTTTTCAACCGAAATAACACCAACACCCTAAATTTCAATCACGACAACGCTGGAGATAGGATGGCCGCTTTCGCTGGGATGGTCTCGACCGCTGCTGCTGACCAAAAAGAGAACAGACCTCTGGTCGAGAATGTGGAGCGTCAGTGTGTATTTGTTGACAAGATGCATGCCCATCGATGGATTCGCAGCCCTGCTGTGGAAGGTACGATGCGTCGGGCTGTCGATCGATACGACAAATTCCTGCATCTCTTCCATCTCTACCCTTATAGATTTCTCGTCCCAACACTAGACATTGATCTCGTCTGGCATACACATCAGTGCAGTGCTGATCATTACCGTCAATTTGTGACCACGCGGGCTGGTCGGTTCATTAACCACGAGGACAAGATCAGTCGGGGCACGCTGGACCATGGATTCACGAATACAGAGGATTTTTATCGATTGAGCTTCGGCGAACAGTACCAGGTTTGTCTGTGTTGGTCTTGTGAGGCAATTCTGTCTGCAGTCGAGGAACGAGAGGAGGAGGATATCCTGGATACGACCACCCCTGATGTTAGCGATCTAGCAAAGAGTGTGGATAAGAAAGTGCACTACTACCAGGAAGTTGAGGTTTGTAGGAGGATGGGACGACGGCTTCCAATTTGGACACAGGACGCAGGGACTGTGATGTAGCTGTCATGGATGTCCCTGTTGATTGAGGATTAAGTATGTATGAGTATAACAGTTTGGATATGCTAGCGCTCCATCATTCCTTCTTAGGTATTGTCATGGTATTCACGCAACTACTTTACGAATCCCATGGCCCTGAAGACACTCACGATTTTTACCCATCCATTTCAAATCTACGACTTGTGATCCCCGTTCTTACTCCTATTTACATACTCATTCGGTAACGATGGCCAGGGAATTACTGAGAGAGGCCTGAAGCAGCACATCAATCCAGATGACTAAACACTGACTAAGCAATGGACTTCGCACCGACAAAAACCGGAGATATTGCCGAAGCACACGTGCCGCGCGCACCACGTGGGCCGGTGTGTGGCTGCTTTTGGTTGGTGCATTTTTGCTGGCTGCTTTAAAACTCTGGGAAAGTGTGCTGTTAGGGTTCAGTTCCGGGGCCTCGTGGAGGAGCCAGTCGTTCTCATTGCCTCCTGTTTTCGTCGCCAGTTCTACGCGTGTTGGATGTGAGAGAGGACGGCCAGGATAGACCACTGTACTTCTTGCCGACTGAAATGAGACTTTGAGCAAGGAAATTGACACACCACGATCCAGTTGTATACTTAGGAAAGGATGTATATATAAAACTCGGCACGTCAGTCACCCCAATGAACAGAAGATAGTATGTGGACAACGGCACTGTATCTTGTGACTACCATTCCTCCATTCTGTCTTTCCCGTCCTTGTCTGTAAAGGGGTTTTTTTTTACGCATTGATTCAACTACCGCATAAGATGACTTCACTAGGATCCAAACTCCGGTTCCTGGTGATTGCAGGGGTTGGATTCTTTGCAGATGGCTATCTGAATTTGACCATTGGCCTTGGTATGTGGAGACGGGTAGCCATCCGCACTAGAAGTAAGCTGACGGACATCACAGTGGTACCAATATTGGGCTATCTATATTTCGAGGAGACTAAAGGTTCCATCCCTGCTGTTGATGGCGATGTCATGAAAGGCGGGTTAAGCTTGGGTATGGTCGTCGGACAGATCATTTTTGGCATTTTGGGAGACGCCTGGGGACGACACACCATTTACGGAAAAGAACTGCTCATCACAATTCTGGGGACCTTCATTTTGATCATGATGCCATGGAAGAGCATGTCCCCTAGTGCTGTTACTGCTTGGGTGTCTGTTTGGCGTGTGGTAACTGGTGTTGGCATTGGAGCCGGTAAGAAAGACTGCTGCCCTTATACTCCTCGAGCGTATATTAACAGTCCTAGACTACCCTCTGTCGTCCTCTTTATCTGCTGAACATTCCCCATTGGGGTCTCGTGCCGTTCAAGTGCTAACGGTGTTTTCAAACATTGGACTTGGGAATTTCTCTGCCAGTATTGTCTTCCTTGTCTTGCTCCGAGCCTTCAAGGGAGCTATAGCGTCCGACCTGTACCATCTGCAGTGGGTGTGGCGTCTTCACCTCGGTATTGGCATTATCCCCGCTGCATTGACATTATACGCTCGATTAACTATTGGAGAAACTGCCCCGTATCGACAGTGTAAGTTATGTCCGGCTATGGTCTAACTCTCTCTCTAACAACACATTTAGACGTGGCCGATGCTGCTGGAGGCGAAAAACGTGGACTGAAAGAGCAATGGGCCGATTTCTGTGATTACTTCAAAGAGTGGAAGCACGTCAAGATTTTGTTCGCAACCAGTGCGTCCTGGTTTCTCTTGTAAGCCCCGAATGGCCATGTACTTGTTTACAGAACTGAGTGGTTAAAGTGATATTGCGTACTACGGACTCAACCTGAACCAAAGCATCATTCTGGCCAAAATCGGCTACTCAACAGGCTCCACACCCTGGGAGAAGCTATGGAAAACTGCTATTGGAAACCTGATTGTCCAGGCGGCGGTAAGCACGGTGTTTCAATCCAACATATACCTTTTTTCGTTTTTAACCCGCTGGATGTAGGGCTACCTTCCCGGCTTTTACGTCGGTATTTTCCTTCCAGACTATATCGGACGCGTCCGTCAGCAATTCTACAGTTCAATCATCACCTGCATCCTATACGCAATTTGGGCTGGCATTAGTGCTCCTAGCGCACATACCTCCACCGCCGGGCTGATGGTAATTTTCACGATTGGTCAGTTTGTCATCTGTGCCGGTCCCAACGTCACGACTTTCTTGATTCCTGCTGAAGTCTTCCCAACCCGTGTTCGTGGTACCGCACACGGTATCTCTGCCGCAGCAGGAAAATGCGGTGCCATTCTCACAGCGTTTGCCTTTGGCACGGTTGAAGACGCCATTGGATTGAGCGGAATTCTTGGTCTGTTTTCGGGAATCATGTTCCTCACGGCTCTAATAACGTTGATGATTCCGGAGACAAAGGGACAGACGCTAGCTGAAATCGAGGGATGTGGGTTGCCCGGCGGATCGCCCAATCTGGAGTCGTCAACGGATGTGGATGGAATCAGCCCTTCAATTAAGGCTCAAGACGCTGGAGATGGGGTGGGGAAGGTGACTTCTATGTCATATCCCGTGTAGATCGTAGAGGTCCGTCTTTCTTTCTGTATGAGACAAGGATAGAGGTCAATTTTTTCAAGATAATAAGCTTCAGAGAAATGGAGTATTCACCCACAGACTACTTGATTTGCAATTAATGAGACACCAGAGTAACCTCTCAGTATTTACGAACGCAAAACTATAACACCCCTAGGTAGCTATCTAGTGACTAGTGATGTTCTACTTCGAATTAGGGTTGTTGAGCAAGTTGCTCAAGTGACAGAAGGTTGAATTAAGCTTTCAAAGGCTAGGCCGTGCACTCCAATGCAATGAAGGGATCAGAATCAAGAAGAAGGCTCTCATTTCCAGGTATCTACCTGGTAGTTAGATAGGTACGGTAAAAGAAGAAAAAAAAATCAACCTGAATCATTAGGCCAGTGGCTGCCGCACGTGCCGGCGTCCACGTGTACTGTAGATCGGGATCGCTCCTTCAAATACTTTGGCCTCTCCACCTCGGTGCGAAGTCCTGCTTCTACTCTCCTTCCACTAACTATTCAGCTTTCAGAACGAATCATTCACACTGTGATTTGGTTTCTTGAGTTGTTCCCTTGGTTTTAATTGCGATTGGTTATGTGGACAGACCAATAGACCCCATTTCTTTTTCTCCCCCGCTCATCCCGGAGATCTTGGATGACTCGGAGCTTTAGCAATAGGATCAACGATTGACAACTCATCTTCGACTCCAGACAAGCGGCAATGGATCTATCACTGCTATCGCCGCCTGCGGTTAGTGCCCTACGAGACTCATTTGGGGATCGAAAGCCGCCAGACATTACCCGCAAGATTACAGCCTGTGTGGCGTGTAGGAAGCAAAAGGTAACCCCGCCGATATCTATGCGTGGTGTCGTCCCGTTAATTACTATAGGTCAAATGCCATATGCGAGAGGGTCAAACCCCGTGTACCCGCTGCCATAAAAGAGGTCTCTCGTGTACAGTCAATCGAAGTTTGCAGATGATACTAGAGGATGATGCAACGTAAACAAAGGATTTTTGGCAGTACCTCCGTCTCTTGCTGATCTGTTCTAGATGGAAGAACTCTGTCGTTCAGAAGATTCGCTGGCTGGATGAGACCGTAGCTAAGATCGCAACAAAAGTCGATCTTCCAGAGTTACAGTCATCGTCCTCGCCATCTCACGTTGTTTCGCCAGAGTATCACCTCCCGCCAATGCAACATCATACACCGCCGACGACGAGCGAGCCAGAGCAAGCGCAGATCTGGGAGGTCGTTATGGACCCTCAAGGTGGACCGGCTTCCATTCCCGCCGCCTGCGTATCAGAAGTTCGCTCCACTCGTGCATCTGGTAGTTTTACATCTGCGGGCCGACCCGATCTGATTTCGATCGGTGTCTTGTCCCTACCACAAGCCCTTGCTCTTTTTGACGTCTACTGCCTTCGACTGGATCATTTCCTTTACCGAATATTAGGTGACCACACAAGTCTGGATTCGATCCGCAGAACATCTCCTCTATTAACGGCAGCCGTCTGCACGGTTGGGACGCTCCATTCGCGATCGCTGGGACATCTGTTCGAAGCTTGTTATCGGGAGTACAAGAATGTAGTAGCAGCGCAGACATTTTCCTCGAGCGTTAACGAAGATGATGTCCGTGGCCTTTGCATCGGTGCCTTCTGGCTTCATGAGCTGTCGTGGGCCCTGATCGGAACTGGTATGTGTCTCGAACCGCTCCGCTCTTCCATCATACTAACTTCACTAGCCGTGCGAATTGCGTCCGACATCAAGCTACACCACGGAATTTACAGGGCCTTACATGGCGATAGAGTAGGCTACCTGCAGGCCCGGCTCTACTATCTTGTCTATGTATGCGACCATCATTTCTCCGTCGCGTATGGTCGCCCTCCAATGTCTCGAGAAGGGCTTATTATCGACTCTGCTGGCCGATTCCTGGAAATTGAGCATGCAACCGAGGATGATGCTAGGCTAGTTAGCCAAGTCAAGGAATGGTCCGTCCTGAGCCAGGTATTCGATACATTTGGCGTTGATATCGACGCTCCTGTTCCTGCACAGAAGTTGCCCCAACTCCGCCGATATTCAATTGCCCTTGACACCTGGTACGCAGACTGGAACGAAACATTTTGTTCCAATCGAAATGTCGGCAATTATCCCCAGAAGGGCGTGGGGTTTCATTTCCACTTTGCCAAGCTGTATCTCTGCTCTCATGCATTTCGGGGAGCAGCGACGCAGGGAGGGGCCCCTTGCTTGACGCCCGACATGGAAGAAATTGCTAACACCGGCGTCCTTTCAGCCATGTCAATCCTGCGGGTAATTGTATCGGACGAGGAGTTTCGGTCTTTCTTGAACGGGCTCCCGCTATACTTCGATACCATGCTCGCATTTGCCGTTGTCTTCCTCCTCAAGGTGGCGACAAAATACGCCACCACCATCCGAATCGACACTGGCAAAATCCTATCGCTCGTAGCCAAAACTGTTGAAGCACTCCAGGAAATTACCCATTCCATGCACCGACAGCATATCCTTGTGGTCATTGCAGACGGTCTAGGCAAGCTGCTCAGCAAATGCCAGGAACCAACAACCCATCTTGGCGAGGCAATCCATCCATCTCCAGCTCCGGAACAGCCCTCTCAGGAGGATATGACCTGGATGGGAAACATGACCAACTTTGATTTTCTGTCTAATATGCCTGATGTAGACGACTGGCTGTTTCATTATAATACATCGGCCGGCCCTACAGGGCCTGCGATGATTCCCCCCCACTCATAGATCAATATTATGCGCAACAATTGAGCACCAAATCAAAGATATCGTAGTTTCTCCAGTTCCTTGCCCCTGCCGCTTCAGGATCTTTAACCGGTCGGGAGGTGATAACTGGTATATCTTGCTCGCTAAGGCCCCCATGTGACCGCAATGGATGATCTTTTACAGTCGAGAGATCATGCTTCGCCCTGCTGCTCCCAATGACGCTATTCGCAGTCGAAATGACTACGATATCGCCCTCTCGATCCGGAGGCATGTCGTACTTTCTAGCTGCTTCATATCCGCTCAACACTTCCCAAACCTCAGGAAGAGACCGACAAACAGAGATCACTGACTCCAGTTGTGTTACATCCTTAAGGTACACGCGTACAAAGGAGCCCAGGGCGCCATGGTGCCGTACGAATGGATCTGTAATGGGACAGATAACACGGGTCGCTTCAACGCCGAACCTCTCATTCAGCACGTCCTCCAGGAAGAGGATATTAGGTTCTCCGTTGGCATTGGATTTTGCGCTCATACCATGGTCTCCAGTGGCTCCGACCACGGCCCCAAGCTCCACCAATTCCCTCAGCCGGTCATCAATCCCTTTCATAAATTGATCCGCCTCTTTACTCCCCGGTTCATGCTTATGCTGGATAAAATCGGACAGAGTGAGATAGAAGAAGTCGGCTCTTTCTTCTTGAAGTAGCTTGATACCCGCGTCCAGCACGTAGAGCGAGAGGTCGCCAGAATACTGGCTCGGCGCGGGTCGACCCAACCACTGCTCTACACCAGATATTCCATTCTCTTCCACCGTGCATTCCGCCGCCCGCTCAGAGGAAAAGCAAATTGCCGGCGGCGTTTGACACCCGTGGGCGAGAATCCTGCGCAGCTTATCCTTCGCCGTAATGGCTGCCACGCGCACGCCCCTCTCGGCCATCTTCGCGAGGAGAGTGGAGCCCCGCAGAAGCGTGTCGTCTGTAATCATCCGTTCCTTGCCGGTAGCACGGTCCAGGAAAAAGTTCCCTGCGATTCCATGCATGGCCGGAGGAGCACCTGTGATTATGGAGACATTGTTTGGATTAGTGAAGGAGGGCATGCAACTTGTCGCTGTTGCGTGAAATCCGTTCTCTACCATGGACTTGAAAGTAGGAAGATCGTTTCGCTCGATACCGGAGGCAAGGTATTCGGGATCGAAACCGTCAATACAGACGACCACCGTGGGGGCTTGAGGGAGGTGATACTCTCGGGAATGGAGCATGAAGGTGTTGCGTGATTCTACTTCGTTAGTTGGGTCATGAATACGTTAGAGACAGCGTACCCAGAAGACACTCGTATGCCAACTGCCGATATTCTTCCAGCGGCGGCGCCGTGAAATTCGGGTCCTTAGCCTGGTCATCCCATCGTCTGACAGCCAGTTTGGCATCTAACAGACGATCCGCCTGGGCTTCCTTGATCTGCTCTGGAGTGAAGACTCCGCCCTATTATCCCGTTAGTGTCACGTCACATTGGAAAGTGGAAAGAACAGGAAGCACCTCCCTGGTAGACCAAAGTGCGCTTGCTTGTCTCACTCAACCCATCATAGTACGCCTTGTCCGTGGCAACTAGGTACCTCTTGGCCATAACATGAGCACCAACCAGCGCGCAGACCTTCTGGCTAAATCCCAACTCGCGGAGATAATTCTCGCCGAGAATTTCGTGACTCTGTCTCCCAATAAACTTGCCGTCGGTTCCGACCATCCGGGCCATTTTGTTGGCAGCAGGGATGAACCGACCGACATCATGCAGGAGGGCAGCTAGGACCACTTCCTTGTCGTTCCCGTATTCAGGCGACTGGCGCGCGAGATGGGCGCATTGCAGCGAGTGCTCGAGCTGCGTAATTCGCTCTCCTAGGTAATCTCCCTGTCCTTGGGCCTCGAGAAACACGAAGAGGGCGGAAATCGCAGCCTGAGTGTTTGATTCCACAGACGACAGCATTTTCACTCCAGTGCCTAATCTTGGATTTCTTTTTCTTTTACTGCTTAAGTGGTGTAAAGGAGTACGTTGTTTTACGAGCATATCTACAAGTATATATTTTGGGTAGTGGATAGGAATAAAAAGAAACGAAGGGGGGAACGCCGTCGTCGGGGGGAAGAGCAGACTTTATATACAGTAACTACATCTGAGGGCACCGGCTGACGTTATACATACAGACCGATACTAGTCTCTCAATCAGGGTAGAGAATCCCGCAGGAGTCGGTATAACACGGCACTCTTCGGAGTGGTTTGATGCGTTACCAGTTAAGCTCCTTATTCTGGTTGTATACAGCTTTTGTGTTTCTTTCCTTCGAAAGATAAAACAGCAAAAACAACAATATTCATGTCCTTCCGCCGGGGCTCGGGAGGAAGCCCGTTATACTCGGCGGGAAGACCTTCGCCGTTGAAGATGAGGATACTCAGTGCGAAGAGGACAGCATTCGAATTCACGTCCTTACGTATAAATTTGTTCATCTCTCTTCACAGCAATTCAACTCATCAGCAGTCCAATTGCAGGAACTCGGGTTCGAAATGTATACACCAACTCCAGAACAAATCGCCTCCTACCATCAAAATGGATTCCTTCTCCTCCGCCAGTCTGAGCACGGGCTTGTCAACCCCATCGAACTTCGGGATTGGACGCAACAGGTAAAATCCTGGCCGCGTGAGAAAGGAAAATGGATGCCCTATGACGAGATCAACATGAACGGCGAGCGCCAACTCATGCGCACGGAGAAATTTGTCGACTACCACGCCGAATTCAAAGGTCTTGTGTGCGGGGAAGCTCTGGGGAACATTCTCGACACTCTTGCAGGCGAGGTACCGCCCTTTGTGTTGTTTCTATCTCTTATAGCTTTCAGGGGAGTATGTACTAAAAGACAGAATCATCATACAGCAAATGCTCCTCTTCAAGGACAAAATCAACTACAAACAACCGCACGGCAACGGCTTCCAGGCGCACCTCGACGCCCCTGCATACGATCACATCGGCCGCATGGAACACGTCACGGCCAACTTCGCCATTGATGCCGCAACCGCCGCAAACGGCTGTCTCGAGGTCGTTCCGGGCTCCCATAAAATGGACATTGAGTTTGCTGCAGGAGGGCGGATTCTACCGGCGTGGGAAAACGCACACGAATGGGTCTCTGTCCCGCTGGAGCCGGGTGACGTGTTGATCTTCGGGTCCCATTTGGCGCATCGATCAGCGGAGAATAAGACAGACAAAGGCCGAGCTAGTCTGTACGCGACATTTTATCCTAGGAGCCAGGGGGAGGATCTGCGCGAGCGGTATTATCGGCATCGTATGGAGAATTTTCCTCCCGATCATGGTATGTCTCCCTCCGTGCTGTAGGTCTTTGGTGGTTGAGATACTAATGATGATGAGTAGAACGCGAAGAAGGAAAGGATTATGCACAAGGATATAAAATTTACGGTTTTGCGGCGCCATTTTCGAAAATTGAAGACAACCCAATTAGTACGCATTCATAATATATATATTCGCTCTTGGAGAATATTAAAAGGGGATTTAGAAAACCAGTTTTCTTGTGTTTCTTGGACATATTGATGATATGTGATTCTTTAGTATTAGCCAACGGATATGCGAAGTGAAATATTACGATGACATGGACTTGTATAAAAGCCGGCACAACCAGTGACATACAACAAGGAGAAATTAAGCATCAGCCAGAATAACGTCCGCAGCCTTCTCACTGATCATATAAACGGGCAAGACAATATAATACCCCGGGATCTTCGGGAACACCGACGCATCTACAACGCGGAGGCCATCAACACCACGTACCCTAAAGTCACCATCCAGCACAGCCATGGGATCGTCATCGGGTCCAATAGGCGCAGTGCAGCAGGCGTGGTGACCCCATGCCTCGCGCTTGATAAAGTCCTTCATCTGCTGTTCGGTAGTGACGTTAGCGCCGGGCCAGGTCTCGGTGAAGCCATCGTCAAGAGGGACGAGATCCTGGAAGATACTCCGGGAGAACTCCATGGACTCGTAAACCGCCTGCAGATCCTTCTCGTCCGCATTGTCGCTCGTTACGCCCTCATCGAAGGAATGGAAATTGATAATCGGGGTATCCCGAGGATCTGCCGAGCGTAGCTCAACAGTGCCGGCGTTATTGCGCGACCGGGACTTGAGCACAATCCAGGCCCAGTGCTGAGCGTCCTTTAGGGAATCGTGCGCGTATCCGGGGAAATAGCCCTGGAAGTTGGCCGGCGCCCCCGAGATCAGAATATCAGGCTCGTCGTATTCCGCGACAGAGGACTTGCGGAGAATGGCGATGGCAATCCCGTTCGTCATGTAGGTGCCCTTGAAGAGCACGCCGTTCTTCCAGTCGTCGTAGCAAGGGTCGGGGAAGGTCTCGAGGAAGGTGCATTTCTCGGTGAGGACAAAGGCCGTGGGCGATTTGCCGATCAATGTGGTCTCGTAGCGGTCCTGCAGGTTCTTGCCAACCCCGGGGAGGTCCACCAGGGTAGTGATGTTCCATTTGGCGAGCTCGGCTTTAGGGCCAATGCCGCTGAGCTTCAGGAGCTGCGGGGTGTTGAATGTTCCAGTGGACAGGATAACTTCCTTCTTAGCATACACGCTACCCGGGGTGCCGGCGGTAGCGTTGACATAGCGCAGATCCGCCCGGTACAGACTCTTCCCTTGCAGGTACTCGACGCCGATCGCCCGAGGACGAGAACCAGTTTGATTGAAGATCACCTTCGTAACCAGGGTGGTGAGCTGGATATCCAAATGATATCCGGCATTGACGGTGTCCATGAGGAAGTCTCGGGGTCCAGTCCGCTTGTAGTCGGGGACCTTGACGGCGAGAGGAACCTGGAAGAGACCTTCGGACTTGTCGCGCGACGGCAAACCCGTGTTGATATCGCGAGTGAGGATGCCCGCTAGACCGGTCACAGTGCTAACGAGCTTCCCGACAAGGTCCTGGCCCATCGCCGTACCACCGGCGACGATGAGTGAAACAAGCTTGAGATCTTGCGCAACGAGCGCGAGCTGGGTGAGGGAGGTCTGCAGCCAGCCGCTGAACCCGTGGTTGATGATATCACTGGGGGCATAGCGGTTATCCTCGAGCCGTTCGAAGTAACTGCGCATGTTGGACGCGGCCCAGGTATTGTTGCCAGTCAGGTTAGCAAGGTAATCCCAGTCGCGCTCGTAGGGATAGATCGTACTTTACTCGTTAGTGTCTAGAATCTCTACGGATTATTCAAGTTTGGGGGGGGGGGGGAAGTAGTACATCATGGCATTATGGGCTGTGCATCCACCGAGGGTTCCAGCACGCGGATATAGGATACCCAGGGGCTCTGACCCAGCCGGAGGATTGGGTCCCTTGTGTAAATCTCCCGCAGGGGTGCGGTATACCATCTTAGAATCTTGCTCCTGGCGGGCAAGGTCGTCGTAATGGTTGACAAAGTAATCCCATCGCTGAGGAATATACTCGGTGGACTGAAGCTGCATTGCAGGGATCATCTGCGTCAGAGCGTCCCCTTGGTCGTCTCCGGCATCGATGAGGAGAACTTTGTAGCCCCCCCGAGCGAGACGAGCAGCGAGAGGCCCGCCTCCTGCCCCGGAACCGACGACGATATAGTCATACTCCGTGGTATTTTTGGTGGAGCGGTGTACATGGTGATGCACAGGAACATGAGCACTACCCAGTCAGCTTTGATCCAAAGGCTATCTGTGTCTTGAAGGAGAGACATACGTTCCCAGCACCGCATTAATAAGGGAGAAGAGTCCCAGGGCCTTGAGGACCAGCATGATGCATGCAAAGAAATGACTTGCTTGGGAAGCAAGAGAAATAAACCAAGGACAAAGAAGCACGGAGGAACGCAAACAACCAGAAGTCCTGCCTGCTAATTATAGAGCTATAGATATAATGCATCCCCTGTTAATTGTAAAAGCTTCGCCTCCCGTATTGGGGGGGGGGGGGGGGGCTTTTTTTCTCCTTAGTACGGAGTACGCTAAACGGGTTTCAAAAATGAGGTATAACCACGCCACCAACTCATGTCGATAACTACCAAACTCAAATAATACTAATCCCTAACTGGTGTACAGACCACTGTCCAGGCGATAGGGGGATTCCCAGTGAGCTGATGTCAAACACTTAGCACTCAGTTTAAGGGACTTAGACCTAATCTCGCTCCATAGCCCGAAACCAGCCTCCACTATCAAATTTTTCTGGTGCAGATGTGCCTCGTTGATCGACATCTAACTCTCTGAATCGGTAGAGGTCGGACAGGACTAATTAGCGTATTCCCGTGTCAATTCACGCTAATTTAAGGCAAAGGTACTGATTGTACGGAGTATAGAGAGATGACTCCAACGGACATCCCAATCTCGCCTTTTAAACGGTATGCATAAGCCCCATTACGCTGGGGCTCCTACTACTACTACTACTACTACTACTACTACTACTACGACGACGACGACGACGTATCTACTACTAATTTTTATTATTATCATTATTACTGAAAGTGAATTGGATTCAACAAAGTTTCAACTAGTCGAACGTCTAAGCTTCAACCCAGGTTCTCGTATATGCCTGGTTCTGTGGACCGGTCAAATGAGACTGGCTCGAATGGCTCGCATTGTCCATGTCAACCAGCGGCACAAAACTATCATCGGGGTGCTTTGGCCTTGAGGAAACCAGCCCCGGGCCGTCCGTCCGTGATCCTGTTCCTAGCGACCTGGATAGTGATGCTTTGGACTTTGCAAGTGTTGTATCGCCAAAGATTCGAGGCCAGACGCGCCGGAAAAGCGCCCGGATTGCAGGGAGACAAGCACAGATCACTCCCACATGGCATTCAATTGTACTCCAGTATCCGACAGTAACATAATCCCCTTTTTTGGGGGGGCGGAGGGGGGTCTTAGTGGTGTTTTGCTTCAGCGGGGACTCGTCAAAAGGGCACTCACATGTCAGGTTTTGCGTGTTAGAGAAAGTAATCAACGACTCCAGACGCAGTATACTGACCAAAGTCACACTAGTCCTAGAGTCAGCACTGGGAGTCATATCTTGTCTTGAGGCGTTTTGCTTACAGCAGTCCCAAGCTGAACATAAGCATCACATAAGCCTTCTTCCGCGTGGATAGGTTCAACTGATACAGTTCCCGTAGAGGCAGTCCCATCACCACAATATCTAGGATCATGTTGATCGCTGCCGCGCTCCATCCCTGTGCGTTAATGTTACGACATTTAAAATCCGTTTCATCGTCCCAGCGTTCCCATGCCCCTCTGACAGGGTCGCACTGAAATATCGAGATAAGATCAAATACAAGTACATATGCAATGTTAACGGCAATAACAACGTATACGGCAATGCGAAACTCGCGTCGGGGGAATACACGGAGGTAGAAGCAGAGGATGGAGATTTTTGTCAGGGCGATTGTCGTGAGATAAAGGCACTCGTCGAAGAAATAGATCTGTCTGGTCAGCGCATAACCCTAACTAACGCCTTTCAATCAAGACACTCACATAGAGGATGTGAGTAATATTGTCGAATGGAACCGTCCACATATCTTTCCCCAGTCCAATCTTTGCCACTGGTTGGATTAGTATCCAATGCCGTATCAAGGTGCGTAGATACTTACAAGGATAAGAGAGCACGGAGAGGGGAATCATGCAACACTAGGACAGTTAACAACTGACATACAGTGAGGCGCGAAATAGGGCCCTACCATGGTTAGAGCCATAGTCCAGTCGTCCATTCCAAACTGGCCTCCACAACAAGGAAGCCGTGCCAAAACCCGTAGAAGAAAAGCTAAAAGCGCGATCCCCCCCCCGGTGAGTCCTGCAACGGTGATTACCGTGCTGCGATCTCGTACAGGTGCACCACAGGCTGTGCTGGTGACATTCTTGGTGGCTTTGTATTGTTAGTGACGAACAACTTGCCGGCGATATACAGTTTCCTTCACATACTGAGTGACTGTCGGATAGTGCAGCTGCTTGCTACGCAGAGTTCAATCTGTTCTGTGAACGCCTGATTGGTACACATACAGACCTGGTCGGTAACCTGGCATGATGACTGCGGCAACACCTCTGCAAAGCATTTCAACTGATCTCGATTTAGCACTAGCTGGGCTTGAGAAGCTCGTCTAACGTACAGCACATGAAGGCAATGCGTTTGCCAACTCGGCAAGGCCGGCCTCGGCGGGATATATGAAACCCAGGGTCGCGAGGGCCACAATCCAGGACCACCTCATTCTGTAGGAGGGGCGAGAATGTCGACGAAGTCCAGCAAAGGAACGAATAAAGGTGAATAAAGATAGAACGAGAGAAAGAAAGAAAACGAGAGAAGACCAACAAGGGTGATTTCTCCAAAAACGTTCCTGGCACCACGGTTTAAAATAAATGAATGAAGCTAATCTTTTCAATCGTTCCCACAGCATGCATTGTATCTATGACAATTCGATAACAACTTAAATTTTCGAAATATGGAAGAAAGGCTCTCCCGGAGTAAAAAAAAAAAAAAAAAAAGGGCTAGGGGATACAGAGCGTGCTGATCAGCATCCTCCTTTCGATGTATCGAAGGATTCCAGGCTTTTCCGGCATAGATAATTCAGACCAGCTTCACCGTGAATATCGCCATATACTCTGTAGTCTGTATGATCATGAACCCTCCCTAAAGCTTGGATAGTTTCCTTTCCAGGAATTGGCTTCGTGGAGAAAGATTCCTCGTCGACACCATGCCTATTCGTCAGTGGCTGAATCTCTAACCACGCCGTCTCGCCTCTTGAAAACCCCAATATAGACTCCGTTTGGCCTCACTTAGCAAGTGGGACTAGGCCGAAATTAGGATCAACGCCAGCTTAGCCTGTCATGGTCTACCCCAGATCTTTCCGTCCTAAATCCTCCGCCCCTGTTTAGCTGAAGGTGGATGGAGTTTCGGCAGTCGCGAAGAATCCAGAATTTCTACCGGCCCTTGACGCGGCCTTAGGTTGTTATCATCTCATACTGATCGATATTTCTCAGAAATCATGGGCCAAGTTTATATTGCGTGCTGCTGGTTGGTGGTCATGGACAACTTCCTTCCTCTTCTGCCCACCTGGTGTTTCGCATTTTAACTACCTATCCCCTTCTTTGACCTTAGCTACCTGTGAACAATCAATCTAGAACACAGGATAACCCGTCTCGGCAAGTGTATCCCTCTCATTACACGCTTGGAGCTTGAAATAAGCAAGGTGAGTAATCTCCATACCCTAACTAGTTAACTAACCTCCCCGGAGGACGTAGATTCCCTTTCGGGTATATGCACGACGCGCACACCACCGCAGAGCAAATGAGAATCGGGCCCAAGAATGACAGGAAACTTAAATTCTTTTCTGGATTCCCGCCCATCCTGCTCCAAATGGCTCCAGAAACGAGGCGTGAGGCACTAACGTGAGACTAGGGGGCGTGCTGGGCTGCACGCTAAATATCGCACCTCTCTTGCCCAAAAAAAGGGTACTCGATGTCAATCCTTTGGTCGAGTCGAACCCAATACTCTCTCCCTAAAGACATTCGTGACTTCTTTTACATCCAATGAGCCTGGGCTGGGATAGGAACTGCAACCCCGGCTCAAAAGGTCGTGCAGGAGAAATCTCGGGTAAAATAGCTCGTGCTGATCGGCTGTTATTGTTACCATGACTTGAAACTTGAAACCTGCATCGTAAATCTTTCAGATTTGGCGACGCAAGAGAGAAGCTGTCATATTGCCCTAGAACAATGGAACTGGCCCGTGCCGAGTCAGGGAGAAGTCTGATACTCTCACTCGGCCGGACATGTAGAACTGAGCCTCGCGAAGAATTGTGTATCAAGCGTACATACGTCCCGACCACTTCAACTAGGGGAAGCCCATTAGTATCCCGAGGCTGCCGATCCTCCTGAGACCATGAAAGGTCGGTCCTTGATGAATATCATGACACCGCATATCGTCTGGGTTTAAGTCCTCATTCGCCTTCCCTTTGTAGAGCTGGTCTTGTTCTGTTTGTTAGTTTTCTTCTCTAAACTTCACACTCCTTTTTTTTTTTTTTTTCACCAGTCATTCTTTTCTGTATTATTTATTTCAATTCTTAGTCACTCGTTTGTAGCTAGTTACCATGAAGAGATGGATACTCGTCCTCGGACTGGGGGCACTCGCTGCCAGCTTTCCCACGGCTGAAAACACCCACAGGATGGGTATGTACGGCAACATCGACAAACGCTGTCCCCTGGCAGAAATACAGGCTCAGGTCCAGTCTCAAGCCAAGGAGAAACATCAGGAGAAGCGCCTTCTCTCCAGCTCTCTGGATACCCCGGTGGACAGTACGTACTCCCCGGGTCTATTCTTCGCAAAACCCTAACAGAGTTTGTGTGTGTGGCTATCAGTCAGTGGGGAGCACGCGTTCCAACCTCCTGATTTCGCGGCCGGTGACCAGCGCGGTCCTTGTCCCGCTCTGAATGCTCTGGCAAATCACGGATACCTTCCGCACAATGGTGTGGCTTCAGTAAGGTTCTCTCTTCCATGTGTGATGGCATGTGTTTGACACTTACCCCCCACCCCCCCCCCACAGTTTGGCGAGGCTGTTGCCGCTGTCAATCAGGGTAAGCTTGTCCTTAGACGTTGCATTCATTGCCTTTCTTAGCTGGTTGCACTAACTCTCCGAATAGTGTATGGCATGGGCCTTGATATATCGCTAGTTTTAGCCACCATGGGTACCGTCTATAGCGGGAATGCTCTATCCCTTGACCCAGGATTCTCCATTGGTGGACCTGACCCGAGGGTCAGCAATATCCTTGGCAATGTTCTCAATTTGTTTGGTGAGAGGCTCCCTCTGTACTTCTGTCCTGTATCTTAATTTAACAGTAGCAATAGGGGAACCTCAAGGTCTCGATAGATCCCACAATTTCGTCGAAGCCGACGCCTCGAATACGCGTAATGACCTTTATGTGACGGGGAATGCCTGGACCCTCAACATGACACTATTCAACGAGTGGTACGAAATGTCCACCGACGGCACCTTTTCCATGGAGCTCATGGGTGAACGGGCCAAAATCCGCTTCGACCAGGCCAAGGCAACTAACCCGAACTTCTACTACGGTCCTGCTACTGGTCTGATTTTCCGTAATGCTGGTTACCTCTTCTCTGGCCGGTTGTTCCGAAATCACTCCCAGGATAACACCGAAGGCGTTCTGAGTATGTCCCCCCTCCCCCTTCCAAACTGCGTTCTGGTAGTCAGTCCACTAATAATAATGATATAGCCAAGGATATCGTGCGCAATTTCTACGGTATCTATGGCGAGGAGGGGAACTTTACCTACCGTGAAGGATGGGAGCGCATTCCGGAGAACTGGTACAGGACTCCGAGTGACTGGGATATCGTTAATTTCAACGCTGATCTCATTCCGTGGCTTGTGAAGTATCCCGAGCTGGCCAGGTAAGTTGCCTGACCTGATTATTGCATCCATGAGGCCGACGCTAATGACAACAGCATTGGTGGTAACACCGGTACAGTCAACAGTTTTACAGGCGTCGATCTATCCGACATCACCGGGGGCGTCTTCAATGCCACCACCCTTCTCGAGGGCAACAATCTTGTGTGCTTCGTGTTTGAAGCTCTCAAAGTCTTCAGCCCCAACGCCCTGGCCGGTCTTTATAAAACTCTGGCTGTCCCTCTCAAGCTTCTTACCGACACTCTTGCCGCCCCGCTGCTAGACCTGGCTTGTCCTGCTTTTGATGATATGCAACTTGGTGGTCAGCCTCTGTGGACGGCTCTCCAGGATCTCTTCCCAGGTGCACTGAAGAGTAGCAGTGCGCTTTAAACTAGCTGTTGTAGGTTTGAGTCCTGGCTGAGGGTATCTCCGATGCCTTTTTTTTTCTCCCCCATTAAGGAGGAAGCCGTTTGTAAACTGTTAGCTGCCAGTTCTGTAAATTCTATATATTCATATTATAGAGGTACAAATTTGATTCAGTTTCAACTCACATATAGTTCATATTCCACCGCCGTACCATGAATTCTTGAATTGTGAAGATTTCCCAAGGCAACTCCTGATAGAGTCTCCAGGTGAGAGGATTTTGAGATACTTTCCTTTCACTGCTATAATAACACCCCTAATCAACACACACAAGGCAGGTATTGACAGTTGGAAGGAGGAAAAATAGTTACCCCTCTACAACTCTTCCATTCTAATCTATTTATTTTCTCTTTCCTGTCCATCTGCATCTACCCATTCATTTCCATTTTGACACAAGCACACCCCTTGCACAACACCTCCACCATGACTGTCAGTTGGACTGTGGACAAGAATGTCAAGGTGAGATTCTAACAGTATTGTTCGACTGAAAGCCCCGTTACTATGGAAATTTCTCATATATGGAATAGCTCTTCCTTGGTGTTTTGGAACAGCTCAAGGCCCATAAGGTCAAGGTGGACAACGCTAAACTGGCAGAATACATGGGGCCTGGTAAGCTGATTCTGATGAAACGAGCTTATTTTTTTATTTTTTTTTTTCTATTTTTGCTAAGCTCTGGTGCGGAATATCTACAAGTAGGATGTACTGCCCGTGCGGTGGAGACCCAGATAGCCAAACTGAAGAAGCAGGCTGAAGATTCCTCAAACGGTCACAGTCCCAGCGGTCCTTCGACTCCTGTGTCAACCCCCAGAAAAAGGACGGCAGATCGCGGTTCAAAGACAAACACTCCTATCAAGAAGGCGAAAGCGTCCCTTCCCCTCGACCCTGGCGGGAGCAGTGAGGCTGATGAAGAGGAACTCTTTGCGGGGAATATGAAGATGAAAGTGAAGAAAGAGGACTATAAGCAGGAAGATGACCAGATTAAGGAAGAACAAGAAGAGATGTTCCTGGACTGGGCGGATTCAGCGTGAAATGAGGTGGGAAATTCACATGTTGCGTTGGTGAGGAGGAGTTGGGTGACACAGCCAAACCCTAGGTAGTTATCAGAGCAGGACTTGACTTCCACCTTGCAATGAAATCCAATGAAAACAAAAGAAATGTCTCGGTCACCGAGAGTTTCCGTCAGAACAAGGACGCCTGGTTCATACAAACCTGCACCAAGTAGTCACGCTTGATATTGGATCCACCAGGAAAGAAACCATGACGGGAAAGTGTTCTGGAAACCTTGCCGATATTCGTAGCCCTACAATATAGTTCTATGTAGATGAACTACAAGCATGTTCTCAATACATGTTGTAGATGGTTCGACGATGGTTACGAGCACGAGAGCAAGGTGAATTAAGATATCAGACGGTCAAGGGAATGAGAGAAGGGCTTAAATCTTGCTTTTTTTTTTCCTTTTCTAATTATACCCTGGGGTTTGAGCGAGTACTTGTTTTCTATGGAGATGTATCCACCCACACTAGTCTTAACCCTTCCCATTCACATCCGAAGCAGCAAATCGTGCCAATATTATTATGCACCGCATAATTACATCAGTCCTAAGAATACTACAGAACCGCCAATTTGCTTACTGGAATATCTCACGCCTAGAACATGAACCAAAGTCCGTGCTTACGCCTACTCCCCATTTTGGGGATGTCAAACACCGCCTGCATGCCAAATATGCATGTTGGAGTGTTTGCTCTTTGTCTCCGTTGTTCCTGATGTCTAGTACTCTTTGCAGTAGCCAGTCAGTTCGATATTATAGCGGGGGCAAGGTAGCGGGGTTTGCATAACCCCCCTCCCATCCCTACACCGAATGCTGTATGATATTGACTTGGATTGCGTATTGGCAATGCGGGGTGACGAAGCGTTTCGAATGAGATATGTTTTGCGCTGATCTATACAGTACAAATGTGACATGCAACGTGAGTGAGGGGTTTGCGCGAAGGATAAGATGGCACTCAAGGGTGACTTGCTCCCTCCTCGTTCCAGAAAAAGTCTCAAGCTCCAAAACCAGAACTTAGCTTTCATCCATTACAATCATAATGAAGTCCAACCTTCGAGAATTTGCGCCAGTTCGGGAGAAGGAGGGCTCCGCAGTTGAATTGGATGTGCTCATTATCGGCGCTGGGTTCAGCGGCATTTATTGCCTGCATGAGGTGCGAAAGCTAGGGCTTCGAAGCGCCATTTTCGAAGCCGGGTCCGATGTCGGGGGCACTTGGAGATGGAACTGTTATCCCGGCGCAGGAGTCGACTCCGAGGCGCCTGAGTATCAGTTTTCTATTCCGGAGACCTGGGCCCATTGGAACTGGTCCACAAACTACCCAACATACAAAGAAATCCGCGCGTACCTTGACCATGTCTCCCACGTTCTGGATATCCGCAAGGACTGTTTCTTCGGTGCTGTGGTCACCAAAGCCGAGTTTGACATGCAATCTGGGCGCTGGTCGGTGGAAACCCAAGATGGTCCTCGGGCTACTGCCAAATATCTTATCGTTGGATCAGGATTTGCTACAAAACGTTACGTCCCTGCTTGGCCAGGCATCGATTCATTCAAGGGGGTTATTCACCACTCTGCTTTTTGGCCCGAAGATGCAGTGGATGTCCGTGGGAAACGATGTGCAGTGATTGGCACTGGTGCTTCTGGTGTCCAGATCACCCAAGCTCTGGGGCCTTTAGCTGGTTCGTTGAAGGTGTTTCAGCGCACGCCAAACCTGGCGATCCCGATGTACCGCCGGGAGTTGAGTGTCGAAGAGCAAGAGCGGATTAAGCCAGTCTATCCAGAGTTGTTCCGCCTGCGCGAGAAATGCTTCGGTGGGTTTTTTTACACCTGGGCAGAAAAGGAATTAAGTGAAGATTCGGAGGAGGAGCGCGAAGCCTTTCTTGAAAGCCTTTGGACAGCTGGTGGGTTCCGATACTGGCTGGGCACATACAAGGATGCACTGTTCAGTCCGCAAGCAAACCGAATAATATACGATTTTTGGGCACGGAAAGTGCGTGCAAGGATTCATAACCCCAGTGTGCGAGATCTTCTCGCACCAGAAGAACCCCCCCATGCGTTCGGGATTAAGAGGCCGTGTCTCGAGGTCAACTACTACGAGCAGTTCAACCGTTCAAATGTTCAGCTCATTGACATCCGTGAAAACCCTATTGCCAGCGTCACTGAAACAGGGTTGAAGCTTGCAGACGGCACTCAGCACGAGCTTGATGTAATCTGCGTTGCCACGGGATTCGACTCCTCAACCGGTGGGATTATGGACATGGGTTTACGCAGCGTACATGGTAAGACTTTAAAAGAAGAATGGAAGGATTCTGTTTATACCCATCTTGGAATGACAATCAGTGGGTATCCAAATTTATTCTACACCTACGGCCCGCATGCACCAACGGCATTCTGTAACGGGCCGACAGGAGTTGAAGTTCAAGGACGCTGGGTCGTTGATGCAATCAAGTTGATGGAAAGACGAGGGATTAAATACATCGATCCCACTCCAGAAGCATCGCGTGCTTGGAAACACCGCATTGACGAGTTATCAAATCGGACCCTACTGCCCACTGTCTGCTCCACCTATATGGGAGGTACAATTCCGGGGAAGCCATTCGAACAGCTGAACTACACCGGTGGTCTGCCAGCGTACACAGATGAGATTCGACAAGCACTTCCTGGGTTTCGAGGTTTCGAGGTCTCCATGCACGAGGAACGTTAAGGGAACACCAGTCACTGCGGTAATACGCGGTTAACAGCTTGGGTTAGGGTATACAGATATCTTGATCAGGATGCTTTCGTGCTTGCCAGTTTCGTATAATAAAACCAATCATCCGAGAGTGCAATCAATATCTCTGAGTCTATCCATGAATTTATATAGTAGTAGTAGTACAGGTAGTATCTGCGTCGGACCTCGGACTTCGGACCTCGGACTCGGAGGAAGCTGGAGTTTCCTAAAACGGGAGTAGCGTCAGCTAACCGAAGCACGTGTCATTCAAACTACCCAAAATGGAACAGTGCTATCTGTAAAGGACCAATCAGCAGTCAGTCTCTATCAAATCCGTTTTGATCAGATTAGATTATTCCGCATCGCCCGACCAACTCCGAACAATCCACCACCACCCCTAGACACCTTGCCATCATCCTCCCTCTCTCTTCCTCTCCATCAAGCAGTATTTCTATTTCTCCTTGTGAATATTATCATCGTGCTAATGGGGTTCTCTTAGTACACTTCTCTGCACATCTCCATCAAGTACCTACCCCTTATTGTCCTCAGGTGCCTTTCCCCAGTGTAGTAGTGGGCCTAAGGTGGCTTCGCAAACTCAGGCCGATACGGGTTCCAGAGAGAATTCAGTTCCTCCCCAAGCCATTGCCCATGGGCCCTCTTCCTCTTTTTCCACTTCTCGAATGCACCAGCCATGCGGCTTCTCGCTTCTCTGTCACTCGCTTACTATGCTAGTGTCGCATCAGCAAATGTTATTCCCGCAAACGAGCGCTGTGTGACAGCAATCTACACCGCATATACGTATATCGCCTTCAGTGGGGAGTTCGAAAAAGGGTGGCAGTCACACTGCCAGAATCCTCTTGAAGTCACCTCCATCTATGCCTCGTCTGATATCTTTTGCCAGCCGGCTGAACGGTCAGCCGGACTCGCTCAACTCGCTTCTATATGCAAAAGCTATGGCCACGTCGATCTTCTACCTCGGGAGAGTGTCGCAGAGAATCTTACCGGCGATGCTATCAGTAGCATGAAGGTTGTAAATTACCTAGAAATCCCCAGGAAGTCGTTGGTTGATGCACCTGTGCTCCTATCTCCCTCGTATTATCAAAGTGTATTTCGGACTGTGGTGAGTAACCTCCTCTGTCTGCCTACAAGTGTGTACTTAATTTCAATAACCCTCCAGGATACTTGGCAATTTGAAACTTGGACACATTATGCTTATGGGTATGACCGTATTTCCTCTTGGTGGTGGCTTACAGTCTAACTGGTCCAGATACGCCGGCTACGGTTACTGGGCCGTTGTCTTGACGGTCGGGATACTTCATAGGGTGCTTCAATACCTATTTTTTTCACTATACGAACGGTTACCCCATTATAAAATATCATTTTTGTTGGCCCCCATCCGGAATATGTATATCTGGACACAAACTCATTTGTTAGTCCCCGGTCCTCTTCCATCTCAAGGGCGGAAATTCCTATGGTGGACGTTTTCAACACGCATTGAAGCCATTGTTATTCTTCTATTTTGGCTTCTCAGTGTCGCTTTTTGCTCTTTCAACTACCGTCTCTTTCCTGGGAATATTTAGTAAGTTTGATGAGAGTACTGTTACTGCTGTCACTGACCAAGTGTGTAGCTGGCCAGAGCCCTCAACACAGCTCCTGCGCTATATTGCTGATAGAACTGGTATTATATCATTTGCTAATCTCCCTCTCATTTGGCTCTTCGCGGGTCGTAACAATGTCTGTGCATGGGCTACAGGGTGGAACTTTGCAACCTTCAATCTATTTCACCGACATGTCGCCTGGATAGCTACTATTCAAGCCGTCGTGCACACAGCCCTCTATCTTGTTCTATTCTTCCAGAGTATGTTAACTTTTGTCCTTTTTCAAAACAGGGATATCTCCTCTAATATCGTGGTGTATAGGATCAAACCCCATGCAGAAGCTTCAGAAGTCATATCTTTCCTGGGGAGCTTTGGTACATTATGTCTACATTACAATCTCTTATCTGCAAAACACTAATGATGCTGTAGGGTACGCTTCTGATGCTGCTCCTTCTACCCACTGCAGTTAATTGGTTTCGCCGTCGAGCATACGAGACCTTTCTTCTTATCCACATCATTTTCTCCGTAGGCCTGCTTGTTTGTTGTTTCTAGTGAGTGTCTATCATTATTCCACTCGCATGCAAGGTATTCCTAACAATCCGACAACAGCCATACAATCATTTTTGAAGGCCATGAATACTGGTTTTACTTGTGGCTCCCCGTAGGTATCTGGGGATTTGATCGACTTCTCCGCCTGATCCGGTTGGTGTACTGCAATCTTCATGTTCGAATAAATGCCGGGTCTCTTGTTCAGTACACCACCAGCACAGCTAGCTACTATAAGGCAGCCGATATTGTACGGCTTGATGTCGCACCTGGCTCATCACGAATTCGCCCTAACCCCGGTCAATACTATTTCTTATATCAGCCTTTCCGTCTTACCGGGTGGGAAAGCCATCCATTTACTCTGGGATGCTGGTCACACCAGGGACGCAGCGCGTTGTCCCCGTCCCCCTCCTGGATTGCCAAAGACAATGAGGGAGTGGACGTTGCGCAAATGCCTCTTCTTTCCGATAGCTCGTCTGATTCGGGAAATCGCTCCACTAGGGAACCGCTACCGTGTACAGATTCACAGGAACTTAATCTAGGTTTCTGGATACGTCCATTTGATGGCTGGACGCGTCATCTCCGCGAGCAATGTATGCAATCCCCTGACCAAACAGTTGATGTAAGAATCCTGTTGGAGGGCCCTTACGGCCACGGGTTCCCTCTGCGCAGCTTTGACTCGGTGTTGTTCATTGCGGGCGGGACGGGGATAGCTTCAGCGGTCCCGTACATTCATGACCACATTTCACGATCCTCACAAAACCCAGACGAGACGGCAACACGCGTTCGAGACCTACGATTAGTCTGGGTAGCTCGCCAATCTGCCTTCATTCATCAAGTCGCAACGCGTGAATTAAGTTCGGCTCTCGGTCGTGATGATTTCCGCGCATCCTTTTATTCCACCTCGCCCGTCACACAATCTGATTCAGATACCATAAGTGAGGAATCGACAAGCTTCCCCGCTGGCGCTGTGACCGAAAAAGATATAGAAATTTCACAGGGTCGGCCTGATATTGACGACCTCATCTTATCCCATGCCAGAGAAGCTCAGGAGAGCAGCTCATTAGCCGCAGTCCTTGTGTGCGGACCCCCAGCCATGGCAGATAGAACCCGTGCCGCGGTACATATGGCGATGCAACAAGGTTACCAGTCGCTTCAATACATCGAGGAGTCTTTCAGCTGGTAAATGATGATATTTACGTCTTTTATCGTGGAAAGCCCGAGGGAAGGACTCCTCCAATCGATTCAAAGGCCAGTAATTTGCAGCAAAAGGTGGCATAGATAGAACATGTCAAATGAACGCCTGCTTTCATTCTCGATAATACACCCCATACGATGCTACGCGCAGCTTCAAATTCGGTTTCAACAGACTTGCCTCTCTCATGCTGGACATCTAGAGGCTGCCAGGATTATTTACAACAGAAATATTAGTGAAAACCTGAGCAAAGCTTGGATAATGCATACCATCAAATGTACAATATCTGTTCTTCAACTACACTCGTCTTCAGCGCTTTATTTGCTTTGGCATATCCTATGTTTAGTTGTCCTGGTTATATATTTATATATGTCCGAGTGACTACTACTAGGCTAGATTTTTCGTCCGCCTCCTCTCCTAGCAGTCACGAACTTTGAGCATTAATAGTACTGATATAGCCTGGAAACAATATACATTTCTTCTATTTGGAACGGTAGAACAAAACATAACCCAAACCTTCCCGTATACTCTACTTTCATCCTTTTGATACTTCGTATAAAAAGGCATCCGATTTATTTGGAGTAGTTTTCCCTTCCAATTACTCCGTACTAGGCTTTGGTAACACTGCGTATAAAAGTTTGGAAGCCATCTACCTTAAATTGGAAGAGATTTAAGCACCTTAACCAGAGAATAGTCCCACGCTCTTTACTAGAGCCTTTACAGAAATACGGCGTCCGTTTAAACCTTTCCGCAGTCAGTAAATGCGGGGGAAACGCCTCCTTGAATCTGCGTCACGCAAAGCAGCATCTAGACCATAGACCAGACCAGCCACCTTTCATTTATCGTCGGTTCGCCTGACCATATTTGGGGGTTTTGGGTTCTTGCTCCGGAAGTTCGAGGCTGTGCCAAGCAGTCAATAATAGCTTCATTGCGCTGCAAATCTGGGTACATATCAAGGGATAGGTTGACTTGAGGATTATTGCAGCTTTTGCTTCTTTGAGGCTTTTGGCAAACTAGAGTTTACACGTATATTCCCAGGAAAGGTCCAGGGAGACATCACTGGTGATCTTGACGCCTGGATACGTCAATCCTTGGTGATTAGTTTCCCCTGAGTGAGGCTCAAGATTCCTTTCTGAGCTTATATACGGAGCAACCCTACCTAGGTACTGACTAGGGAGTAATTCTGGACTATTGCTAGATATTATGACTAGTAGGAAATAGAACTGTGGAGTAGATATATGATAAACACGACTGTTACGGGCAGAGGCCAGTGATATATCACATCCTCCCCTAAATGCAATGAACGCCCTTCTCGATTCTGGGGGTCTCCATGCGGTGTCACGGAAAAAGTAATAAGTGAATAGGTTCCTGCATGATTTGGATAATATTGAGCCACCGCGGAGCGCACTCCCAACCCCGCAAGTGTAGGAACTATTCGATATGTAGCCCGTAGACTCGATAATAGTAACTAGTACTCGTTCCAAGTATAGAAGGTGGAAATATTGAGGTGTTGATGCAAGGGTTTTCCCAAACTGCACTGTTGAGGCCATCATCAACAACAATGTCCGTCTAGGCATCCTGTGGAACCAGCACGGGGGAGACTGGAAACGCACTTGTAGAAAGGTATAAAAGGACCTCAAGATCCTGACATTGGATTGGAAGGATCAACTCCAACAAGAACCAGCAGTTCAAGCATATCTTTCCAGCCTCAGCCCTCCCGTTCAAGAGAACCATCTCTCGTTCATCTCGCAATCTCCAACCCAACAAAACACCATCCAAAATGAAGTTCTTCGCTGTCGCTGCCCTCTTCGCCACTGCCGCCATAGCCATGCCTCATGAGCCTTCCTATACCGCGGTCGACCAGACCCAGAACATTTGCGGCAAAGCCCAACTCTCCTGCTGTAACGCGCTCGACAGCAGCGCACATGTAAGCAAGGATGAAGAGAATGATCTCCTTGCTCTCCTTGGGGAAGGTCTCCTCAATAACGGCGGCGTCCTTGGAAAGTACCATGGATGCAGTCCTTGTAAGTTCAGCCTATCCGGGAGGTTTCTTAGGGCTGCTCAGCTAATGTTTGGCGCAGTGGTTTCCCTTGTGGGCAACATTGGTGAGCAGTGCGACAACCACGTCGCGTGCTGTAACGATGTCAGCTCCAACAATGTATGTCTTCCCATACTCTACTGTCTACCTCATATGCTAATAGCCTTCTAGAACGGTGTTGTTAACGTTGTTGTTCCCTGCTTGCCCGTCAACGTCCTCTAGAGTGTTTCGGCATCGACTGAGTTGATTCCAACCTTGTACAGTGCTTTTTTTTGGAGCTTCAAATAGAGACAGTACAGGGCGTACAGCTGTGGTCTCTACCCTGTGAAGAATTTGTTCTGTTCTTGTTCGCGAGCGGAAATGGTTGCCATTTGCATTCCATGTCGAGTTGCTGCATATTTCACTTCGCTCCCTTTGTACACTTTAGTCGAGCCGGACAGGTGTGAATATACTACAATAATACATTCACTTATCATATTTCCAATCTCATCCCCACCCCCTCTCCCAACATAATCAGGGCTTTGTCTAGTTCGCTCTTCATATCGGGTGAACAAGGACCGAGGGATTTTTCCGTCAATACGAATGGGTTACCTAGGTAAAGCTAGGGTCCTCGACTGGGGATTTCCCCCGCGATTGCTCCTTAGGGCACTGGGGTATGCGGGGACGACTATGAATATGAACTAAACCGGGCCTTAGTAGGGACTCTGTAGGCTGTCTCGATAGGATGGAATTTTTTTATCCCTAGTATAGTGATCTCCGTATATTGCAATGCAAAGCTTGCCCTTTTGTTCGGGATAATCTGGCCCGGAAATATGGTTATAGTATGGGGAAACCTGCGCCGGGGATATGCAATTATAAAAGCTGGAGGTTGCTTTCTAAGATGCGGCAACCCTTGTTAGGGTTATTAAGGGAAGATCTGACAATATTCTTTTGTCTCTGACGGACGCGAGAAGAAAGGAATGAAAGGAAAAATGCGCCTGGGGATTTATTCGGGCCTCGCCTCAACATGGGCATCTTTGGCCACTGCAATGCTCTCAGCGACGCAGAACGATGCTACAATTACCCTGGTCAATGATCGGCTAACGGCCGTCTTTTCCAAGTCCCAAGGCAGAGTCGTGGATCTGTATCTTGATGGCCAGGATCTCCTTGGTCCACAATCAGGCTCTACAGGTATCGGACCCTACCTTGACTGTTACTGTATCCCCTCTGGGTTTTACACTGCTGGAGCATCAAATCCTTTGATGGAATTGGTTCAGGGAACCGACTCAAGTGGAACCAAATACGCCGGTGTTATCATGAATGATACATACGTCCCAACTGGGCAGCAGTTCCAGCAATACTGGTTCCTACGAGATGGTGAGACGGGCCTACACATGTTCAGTCGATTGGCGTACTATAACGAGAGTACCCCGGTCCTGCGCAACCTGCAAGAATTCCGCACGCTCTTCCGTCCAAATACAGAGCTCTGGACGCACCTCACGTCCAGTGATGTCCAGACGGCACCTTTGCCTGGTAGAGACGCGATTGCACATGAGGTTGTCGTGCAGGATGCAACCTGGAGATTCAACAACACGCCGAGTGACGCATACTATACACAATTTGCCGAATACTTTACCAAATATACGTTTTCCAATCGTACGCTTGTATACTTGGCCAATATAGTCTGCTTTCTTGAGACGCTAATCACTCTCCAGAGTGGCGAGACAACGATGTCCACGGCATCTATGCTGACGGGTCCACCTCCAATGGTTCAACATACGGCGCGTGGCTGGTCATGAACACAAAGGTTGGTGTATGCGTTATATCAAGAACGAGAAACAGTTGAATTAGCATCCTCACATTCTCCATTTCGTTAGGATACCTACTACGGAGTACGTGCGAAGACTTTATGTCCAACAATTGCCCTAACTCACCACTGCAGGGACCGCTGCACTCCGATCTCACTGTCGACGGCATTGTCTACAACTACCTTGTCTCAAACCACCACGGGGAAGGCACTCCCAACATCACCCACGGGTTTGACCGTACATTTGGTCCACAATTCTATCTTTTCAACGGCGGCAAGAAGCCCGGCTCACTAGAGCAACTAAGGGCGGAGGCTAGATCCCTTGCTAGTCCAGGCTGGAATGTAGATTTCTATGACTCCATCGCGAAGCACGTTATCGGCTACGTTCCGTCGAGCAAGCGAGGTAGCGTACAGGGCACGGTCAAGCTCCCTCGTGATGCTGCAAACGCCATTGCTATTCTTACTGCTGATGGCGAGTACTTCCAGGACAACTCTGTCAAAGCTTCTGCACACCAGTACTGGGCGGAGATTGGCTCAAAAGGACAGTTCACCGTCAAACACGTCAGGGAGGGTAAATACCGTCTCACCGTGTACGCTGACGGAGTATTTGGGGACTACGTGCGTGATGGTATTGTCGTCAACGCCGGCAAAATGACTGCTATTAAGGATACCTGGGTTGCAGAATCGGCCGGTATCGAGGTTTGGCGTCTCGGAACACCCGATAAATCTTCTGGGGAGTTTCGCCGCGGAGCCACTCGCGACCCCACGCACCCGCTCCATCCGCCGGAGTATCTCATCTACTGGGGGGCATACAATTGGCAATCGGATTTCCCCCATGGGGTGGACTATACCATTGGAAAGAGTGACCCAGCCATTGACTTCGGCACGGTGCACTGGTCGGTGTTTGGGCCAACTCCCGACAGCCCGAATATCGAGTACAATACGACGAACGACTGGAAGGTCCGCTTTCCCTTGACGGCGAAGCAACTCCAGAGACGGAAGAAAGCCACGTTAACCATCCAGCTTGCGGGTGTCAAAACAGCGTCTGGAAACACCGACGTGTACAATCCGGAAGAAACGTACAACAACCTTTTGCTTGAGAGCTACATCAACCAGAATCAGGAACCCCTAACCATGATCATCGGGTTCAACCAGTCCAGCAGCTGCATCGTGCGATCAGCCGTTAGCTGCTACCAGGTAAGCTCACGCATGGAGTTCCCGACGGAGTGGTTGAAGGTCGGAGAAAACCTGCTTACACTGCGTCTGCCGTACAATGCCACCGATACTGAGACGGCAATCCTGCCTGGAACGGTCTATGTGCAGTATGATGCGTTGAGACTCGAGCTAGCGTAGTTGGTGCATATAGCAGGCATGAGCCGAGGTTGTTTAGAGACAGACCGTTTGGCAGGGGATACATAGCAGACGCAAAGAAGGCGATGACTATCAAAGTAGTTATTGAGCTATCCTATCACCACCACAATGAAGATACGGAGTACTGTGATTCAAGGACATGAATTTTCATCAGTCTTTCATATTATAACCCCCCCAACGCCCCTGTTCCTGAGCGCATAACGAAAGCGAGGATATCCGGAAGAGTTTCCCGATCAGGCAAAAGCCTCGGTTCCCCGCTGCGAAATATTAATCGTCCTGCATCTGATTTGTTGCTGGTGAACGGAGTAAGCAAAAAGGTGTCATTCATCCAGTGTGGTGTGAGGATTGTCGATCAACCGAGTGAAAAGGCATTGGCTTCCAGGGATGTAAGAAATAAAGAGAATAGCAATAGCCGTTATTTATATGCATGTTACTCCGTACCTCTCTGGCCTCGTGTCACTCTCTTTTTACCCCCCCCCTTGCAGCTTCTCTCTCCCTTTAGTGATCCTCCACCCCCATCTCCCATCATGTCCAGGACCTTCACTCGCGCTGAGGTGGCCAAGCACACCTCCGAGGATTCCCTCTGGTGCATTATCGACCACAGCGTGTATGACCTCACCGATTTTCTAGACGCCCACCCCGGTGGCAGTGTAGTGCTCGCGCAGGTCGCCGGTAAGGACGCCACGGCTGACTTCTACAACCTCCACCGTCAAGAGGTCATCGACAAATACCGCGAGGATCTTTGCATCGGCACGATCGAGGGCGAAACCCCCGAAGTCATCATCCCGGAGCCCGGTAGTCTTAGCCCTGTCCCCTACGCGGAGCCGCTATGGTTGCGTCCGGGTTTCAAGAGCCCGTACTACAAGGAGAGCCATCGACGTTTACAGCGCGCGATCCGCGAGTTCACAGATCTGTACATTACCCCTGAGGCGCAGGAGAAGGAGAAGGATGGCACCTACATCAGCCAGGGGTTGATTGATAAGATGGCAGAGACGGGGATTTTGGCCATGCGTCTGGGACCGGGAAAACATCTCCATGGACGGACGCTGCTGGGAGGCGCCGTGGATGGGAAGGAGTTTGATTACCTGCATGACTTGGTTCTCGCACAAGAGATAGTCAGGAGTAATGCTAGAGGTAGATTCCTGCTTGTTCTGTTCGGATCAAGCTGTTGATGGCGGTTACTGATCACCAATCGCGTTGTAGGCTTTCAGGACGGCAACATGGCGGGTATGGTTATCAGCTTGACTGCCGTTCAGCAGTGGCTGCGCAACGAACCGCTCCGCGCCCAGGTCACGGAAGAGGTTCTCTCCGGTAAGAAGAAGATGTGTCTTGCGATTACGGAAGCCTTTGCCGGTAGCGATGTCGCTGGCCTGAGGACTACAGCGGAGAAGACCCCCGATGGAAAATACTACATTGTCAACGGTACCAAGTAGGATACTTCGCCATTGGTTACGGACAGACGGACAGACGGACAGACGGACAGCTAACGATGCCAGGAAATGGATCACCAACGGCATGTTCGCCGACTACTTCGTGACCGGTTGTCGTACCGAAAAAGGCTTCTCCGTGCTCCTCATCCCGCGCGGGGAGGGGGTCGAGACGAAACAGATCAAGACCTCCTACTCCACCGCCGCGGCTACGGCCTTTGTGCAATTCGAGAATGTCAAGGTGCCCGTGGAGAACCTCCTCGGCGAAGAACACAAGGGTTTCATCGTGATCATGAGCAACTTCAACCACGAGCGATATATGATGGTTTGCTCCGTCACCCGCATGTGCATGACGGTGGTCGAGGAGTGCATGAAGTGGTGCAACCAACGCCTCGTGTTTGGCAAGAAATTGATCGAACAGCCGGTGATTCGACAAAAGCAAGCTCGCTCGCTCCCTTCCGCACCCTGTTCTTTCTTCCAATAGACAAAGTCACTAACGAGAACTTAGACTTGCCCGCATGATTTCTCTCTGCGAGTCCAACCAGGCCTGGCTGGAGTCGATCGCCTACCAAATGTGCAACATGACTTACGCCCAGCAGTCCGTCCATCTCGGCGGGCCTATCGGTCTTCTCAAGTCCCATGTCACCCGGTCCGCTCAAGAAATCGCCGAACAGGCCACGAACATCTTCGGTGGGCGTGGTTTGACCCAGACCGGAATGGGACGAGTCATTGAGATGTTCCACCGAACCTACAAGTTCGATGCTATCTTGGGTGGAACTGAGGAGATTCTGGCGGACCTGGGTGTTCGCCAGGCGATGAAGAACTTTCCCAAGGCGATGTTGTAGATCTTGCAGTGACTGGAGTGTTAGAATAATATAAAAGAATAAAAAGACTATTAAACTTAACTATAGAGTGCGGAGTACTTTCATAGTAAAATTTCCTATTATCATGGGAGGCGCTAACATAGCACCAAAATGCCCAAATTGATAGATCAACAGAGCAGCCATGTTAAGCGCCCTATATCGTCACCCAGGCAACGACAACATCATCCACACTCGGAATTTAATCTATCCCACGACAATCTTAAATCCAAAGATAGGTCTATTAATAGTAGTACGGAGTAGATACTAGACTCTATGATATATATAGGACTACTCGACGAATTTAAGTATATTTAGGCAGATCAAGAAGAGTTCCGAAGTACGGAGTACTCCGTATTCCTGAAAAGCCCTGATCATGACGGAACATAGTATTTCCGTCAGGCGGGGAGAAACACGTGAGATGACGATAAATCCATCGACGCCCAAAAAGCGACAAGACCAGATTCAGGGATTAATAAATGTCCTCGAAAAAAACCATCCTTGAGACAGACGCACGAATTTTCTCAATAGCTTAGCAATCATGGCTGGAGACACGGAACCTTTCAGCCCTAATAATGTAGTGGGTCTGGCAGCCAGAGCTCTTCAGGCAAATGGCAGCTCCGAGGTTAGCCTCAAGACTCCTTACGAAGCTGTCGCTCTCATCGGCCATGCCTGCATGATTGCTGCCGGTTTCAGATTAGTCGGCCTCGACGAAGAACATAGCATAGGTTTGTGGAATTTTGAGCAATCTTATCCTACTCGCATCCTGACCAGTAACCAACTTTTAAAGAAGGCCGCCCCGAAGGTCCCTCGCTTCCCACGGAATGGAATAACAAGGCTACACTCTCTTTCCGATATGCCCATTCGCAGTCCTCAATGCAATACCTCCTCAAGGTTGATCGATTAGGGAATAATGTCGTGGTTTTTGCTTTGGCCTTGGGCGATGACAGGACGACAACCTTTGATCTTCCCGTGAAAGACTGGATCTCCGCATCAGCTCTACCTCTACGCTCCACCGCTGACCTGACAAACTCCTTAAAGGATGTTTTCATTTCAGATGCTCGTCTCAGAGATTTGATCGCAACCTTCCGAACCCAGGTAATACAGAAGCTTGCTCCAGGGTTGGGTAAGGAGGGCCAGGAAACCTCAACCCGAACTACCGAGAGACAGCCCGAGAGAGCTCCTCAGCGCGACCCCCTGCGCGACGATACACTTCCACCACCGGCTGCTCGCCCATATCCATTTAATGACCCCCTTGCAGTAGTACCTTCCCGCCGACCCGTGCCTCCCGGCGATTTCCCCCCACCAGGGTTCGAAGACGAGTTCGAGATCCAACGACCCGCTCGAGGATATCCCCCTGGGTTTGGCGGTCGGAACCCACTAAATCTTGGAGAAAGAGATCTGTATCCTGCCGGCCTGGGACCACACGATCCGATACGGGGAGGAATTGGCCCTGGTCTTGGTGGTGTGGGTGGTGGTGGTGGCATGCATCCTACCTTTGATGATCCCCTTTTTGGAGGACCCAGAGGCGGCGGATACGATCCCCAGGCACCCCCAGGAGCACGATATGACCCAGTTGGACCTGGTCAAGGTGCGCCATTTGGTCGAGGACGCGGTCCTTATGGTGGACAAGGCTCTGGTGGGGGATTTGGCGGATTTGGCGGATTTGGCGGTGACATCATCTAAGCGGGCACAAGAAAGCTTCCTGAAAAACGAAAAGTGGGAAATTCTGCATGAAATTTACGACCAGACTGAATGTGTGTATGAGTAACTATTATTGAGTATTGTACGTATAATGAATAGGGTAATGAAAATAATGATTGATGCCTTTCAATCCTTTTTTTTTTTTTTCGTGTCTTTTTCTCCCCCACTATGAATCAGGGTTGTGTGTGTGGCTTTGCAGCGGTGTGGCGTATGGGGCAACAACCTGAGGCCAACTTGAGACCACCTCCAAGTCTGGCCGCCAGCAAACCTCCCCTTCCCTTCCTGTTCTCTCCTCCTCCCCTCCATCTTCCCATCTCATCATTTCACAAAACCCAATCTCTTAATTCTCATCGTTCGTCTCCCTTATTCTCTTTCTCTCGTCTTTCCCTCTGCCACCCCCCACCTCCTGCGCCCACAACACAAACCAACGCCTTTCCTCACGAGACCCCATCCCGTCGTCTGGCTTTCCCACCCCTCCTCGGCAGCCGTTTCCTTGAACTCTACCCTTTTTCAGCTGCCGTAGGTCGTCAATCCAATGGATAATAACATGGAAATCGATGCGGCGCGTTCGCCAGAACCACACCATCTGTCCCCGACAACCGACCCCGGTTCCATCCCCACCCTTGATGGATGGATCGAGAATTTGATGAGTTGCAAGCAGCTCGCGGAGGAGGATGTGCGGAGGTTGTGTGATCGGGTGTGTGGCCCTTGCGGGTGATAATTCCATCGGTCCTCAAGGCTTTTCTAATCGTGTTGTTTTTTGCCTGGCGTAGGCGCGAGAGGTGCTGCAAGAAGAGTCGAACGTTCAACCTGTGGTATGTGGTTTGTGTTGTGATATTTGCTCCCCCACCCCTTTTTTTTTTTCTCCTCGCCCCTTTCGACGGTGGGTGGACCCTCGCGTTGTGTGCGATTCATTGACCTCGATTTACAGAAATGCCCTGTAACCGTGTGCGGCGATATACACGGCCAATTTCACGATCTCATGGAACTTTTCCGCATTGGCGGCCCCAACCCAGATACTAACTATCTGTTCATGGGTATGTTTCTCGGGCCACCTGCTGCGGAGAACGCTTTCCAGACTGACGGTTTTGTTAAGGTGATTATGTCGACCGTGGCTATTACTCCGTAGAAACCGTCACACTCCTTGTTTGCCTTAAAATCCGCTACCCACAGCGCATCACTATTCTCCGAGGAAACCACGAGTCTCGCCAGATTACACAGGTGTACGGGTTTTACGACGAATGTCTGCGGAAGTACGGCAACGCCAACGTTTGGAAATACTTTACCGACCTTTTCGATTACCTACCCCTCACCGCCCTCATTGAAAACCAGATTTTCTGTCTGCACGGTGGTCTAAGTCCATCGATTGACACTCTAGATAACATTCGATCCCTGGACCGAATTCAAGAAGTTCCGCACGAGGGACCTATGTGTGACTTGCTCTGGAGTGACCCCGATGACCGATGTGGTTGGGGAATCTCTCCCCGTGGTGCTGGATACACATTCGGGCAGGATATCTCCGAGGCATTCAATCACAACAATGGGCTGACACTTGTTGCACGAGCGCATCAGCTGGTGATGGAGGGATATAATTGGTCACAGGACCGAAATGTGGTCACTATTTTCTCAGGTAGGTCATATGTTTGCGCTTTGGGGTTTGCCTAGCAGGAACTAACCCCCGCCTTAGCTCCTAATTACTGCTACCGTTGCGGTAACCAAGCCGCGATTATGGAAATCGACGAGCATCTGAAGTATACGTTGTATGTGACGATTTCTTTCTCTCTCTGGAGTTTGTGCGCCGCTGACCCTCGTCTATAGCTTACAATTTGACCCTTGCCCACGTGCGGGAGAGCCCATGGTCTCGAGGCGTACCCCTGATTATTTCCTGTGATTTTATAGTGATAGACTTCTCTTCTCACCTCTGGCGATCTGAGGTGTTCTCTTCGCGACCCTTCGAGAGGGCTCCAGGGATGTTGGATCCAGTAGACGCCACTGTGCTCTGCCTACATAATTGTATGTCCGTATTTCGCGCCGTGTTGATACCATTCATGAAAATAAAGACATGTCCCAGATTCTTGAGGTTAATACAGCTCTGAAATAACTCATTTTTTCCATTCAGCTGTAGATTTTATTGCCCGGTCCCTGTTCTACGTAAAACAAGCTGAAGAGAGAGAGAGAGAGAGAGAGGGAGGGAGCAGATTAGGTTTATATATGGCTTTTGATATTCAAAGGCACCCTAAAAACACCCTTTGGAAGGCGACAAGGATGCCTAATTGGGTAGATGTGGCGAGTATGAATTATGGGCAGTATGCTGGGAACCCCGCGTTAGGTTCGGAGTGCAAGCGAATGAAGCTAAAAGATGGTCTCGATCAGCCACCTAATGTATGCTTGCTGATTGGCGAGGATACTTAACTATCCATTCCATTATATAACTAAGGTAGTGAGCATTTATTAGTTACTTAGGTGGCAATCTCAGCCCCAAGCTGCAAAAAAAAAAAAAAAAAAAAAAAAAAAAGGGCTTGGTGGGAAATTTATATATCCCAGAGAGGACTAAGAGCCAAAGGTCAAACCCTAAGTTGAGACCCTAGTTATGTGTATATCTATTTCTCTTCGCTAAAATCTCCCTGTGGAATGGTGCCAGGGATAGCTTCAGAGTGAAATCTGTATAATCCCCATCAGCGTGCTAAACATGTGGGAGTTGCCAAATCCAGCTGGGTAGCGACGCATATTTAGCGGATATTAAGGACAAACCTCATTACGGATCATTCTTTCTTGTGTTAAAATGAAGGGGAGTAATATAGCTATATATAGACATGGTGATATGTGCAATTTATTGGGGGAGGGGAGGTTTACATAGGCTGAATCATTGCCCCCCAGACTCTGGCGGTGGGAGTCTATCTATGTATGGATCCCGTGGTTGTTTCCTTCGGAACAGAAAAACCACCCAGAAACAACAACACAGGAGGAATACCTGATACCCCAACGATCAACACCAATACCAATGACATTGTCCCCCCAGCCGGCGCTATTCCGGATAAACCCAGCAAGGAAGGGGCCAACAAGCCCACCCGCTGCGAAGGCGGAATTCAGCACTCCATATGTACGCGAGCGCCATTGCTCCGCCCTTGCCGAAGACATCGGGCGTCTCTTCCTCTTTCTCCTTCACCACATAAGATGCCTCTACCATAACAGGTGTTATAATGATAGCCAGGCAGATCCCAAGGGGAGCTAAGAGGGTACAAAGTAAAATTTTCTGGTGCATGGAGTTGTCCGTAACCAGGCGAAGAAGCACGAGAACGGGAACCGCTCCGAAGAACGCCCCAGCAGCGAGATAGCGTCGAGCCTCTTCGTATCGGTCATTGATATATCCGACCAACGGGTCAAAGACGTGAGGAACCGTGAGGGGGATGAATATCAGGCCCTGTGCGGTTTGTTTCCAGTGGAATGTCTCCTCGACAAACAGCGGTAGTACGCTGTCAAAGGAGGTCAAGATAACAGACAAGATAAAATAAGCCCACACGCTCACTAGGATTCGGTCCGCAGCAAGCAGAGTATAGAGGGCACTGTTGCGCTTTTCTTTTCGAACTGCATTCTCTGGCTGGTCGCGAACACTCTCATCAAGCGGTCCGCCTAGAACAAGATTGATGTCCATTTCTGCTCTTATCCCCAAGATCAGCGCAATCGGAGAGTTTCAGTCTCCAGCGAGGACTTACCATCACCTTCACTTAACCCAACCCTTTCGTGCAAAGCAGTCGGAGTAACAGGCACAATCTACAAATGTCAGAATTCTGCAGCCTGGTAAAGAACTTCCTAGATAACCACATACCCGTCCATAAAGCAACATATCCTATTAGTATTTAATGTGAGTAAAATGTGAACCTTGCCAACGGGAGAAATCCAGTGGCCATACCGTAAAGGCAGCGAAAACAACCACAAAAATGATGAATCCCTTGGATGACCTCCTTTCTAGAAGAAACGGGCGTGTTATCTTGCGAGTCGATCCATGATATGCAAACATCCTGATGATGAAGAAGATGATGAAGATGATGGCAAAATATTTTTTGACATCTTAGGAATCACGAGGGGACCAGTCGCTAATTTAGATATGAATCTTGGGCTTTAGAGTATAGATCGGAATTTCGAACATGATACAATCAAATAGGATTATTAGTATTTGTTGACAAAGAAAAGATATCCAGTTGTATGGATTTGCCCTGGTGTCTGCATCACCAGCAATAACAAACTGACTTGGTAGAGCACCGGACAGGTAAGGAGTCTGGTATAGAAAACGCCATTCTTGACAGCAGTGGAAAAGGAATCCGTCTATCCCGCGCACAGCATATATCAACCCCTATGGTACAAATTAGATCATCGGCGCCACCCTCGTAGAGAATGATAGGAAAACGATCCCCCTAGAAACGATGGATGCTGTCCTTTGAGTATCCAAGTTGTGCCAGGATTCCCTTCTCCCCCTTTCCGCCAGGTCCTACCAATGCTGTCTCCATAGCGGGGGGTCCACAGACAAAGATCTTTGTGTCTTTTTCACCGGGTCCCTGCATGACCTCATCAAGTAGTTCCTTTGTCACGTATCCCGAGCGCACGCCCTCGTTAGATGAGAAATCCTTGCCCGGTCGACTAACTGTATAGTGGATATCAAATCGATCGGGGAAGCGCTTCTTATACTCGTTGAATTCGGACCGTAGTAGCAGATCTGCTTCGGTATTCACCCCAAAGACCACGGTGATTTTTGTTTTGTCTGCCGGATTGTCGAGGATGCCTTGCGTGAGCTGGTAAATAGGTGTAACGCCCGCACCTCCTGCAATGAGATAAATGTGGGAAAACCGGTTGGCTGTCCATGAAAATCCTGGAAGCGTAGCCAAAATAAACAGGCTATCTCCTGGATTCAGACTGTGCAAATGTGTGCTGGATCTGCCATTGGGATATTTTTTGATGAAGAAGTCGATGTATCCAGGCTCGTCTGCATTGAATTAATGATATACCAAACAAACACCATGGCATACAGATGGCACAACTTACCAAGTTTACTAACAGGCGTATATGGTCGAATGACAGGAACCCAGTTCCCTTTGGGCCACGAGAGTGTGAGAAGCGCAGCTGGAAGCAAGGGGTTTCTTATTAGCTATTTCCCAACCTTCTTCCTCCTCCTCCTCCTCCTCCTCCTTGATTTTCTGGTATGAGACTCACAAGTAAGCCTTAGACCGCTTTGCGAACTCTCCCCCCCAGGTAATTCAAATCGAAGGCGCTTGGTATTGTGATTGATGGTTTCTGAGCTCTGAAGTCTCACATATTTGAAAGCTGGGCCCATTCCAAAGATCTTTTTTGGCTCTGGGGAATCAGCGAATGCGGTTGGAGTCAGGTATCTGGATGCTGCGTATGTGCTAAGACCACCGACAGCAAGAACCGTCACAGTATTGGCAATCAGGCGATGATTGAGAGCACTAGCCATTGTGTGTATGATGGTTGATTGCTCATTAATCTTAATTGATTCAAAAATAATGAAAAAATGAAAAACTGTCCCCCAGTGTTCAGATTTCCGAGGGACTCCGTGATTCTTAAATGGTGACTTGTGATTTCAGCCTCGGTTTTTGTCGGATTTTGTACCACACACGTCTTTGGTCTCATTTTTATCCCCCTCCACACTTTGGCTAAATCATACCATTCCACAAGACATGCAACTTGATACACATCTTCATCAAAGTGGACCTCTCATGTTATCCCCGATCGAATCATCCTAGGTACTTCTCCATGTGTTGGCAAATTCCCAGCACGCAACGGTGACAGCTGCGTCAGATTTCGGACGCCGAAATTGGAGCTGGGCCGGTGGAAGCAGAGCCTTGCCATCCATCGATCCGACATTTAAAACTACGGGGTTAAGGACGTCGATTTCTTGAGTACTTTTGAGAGCTCTCTCTCGCGTCCCTATTGAGTTCAGGTCATGCATTATTGCGTTTCAAACATGGGTTCGAATACAGACGCTTCAGGAAACGAGTAACCTCATCAATGAAACTGACCGCGAAGGCTAACATTTGACAGAAGGCTGAGATAATGGTGAAGGAACAAGTCATTCTCAATGCAAACCAGAGCGGCAATTCGCTTCAACCTATGCTTTCTTTGCGCTTGACGACTAAACCGAGAGACCTTCGGACTTTGCCCGAGCAGAACTTGCGTATTACTGGGAAAGTTGAGTTGCGCTACAGCCTACAGCTATTCACCGCTCGCTATAGACATGTACGTGTCAGCTGAAATATTTGACTATGGACTCGCATGGTTACGTCCAAGGTTTCGTCCGGGGTCATATGTAGCGGTCATGGATCGCCAGCTTCCACCGAGATTCCCACATTATTCACCAGGCTAACTACTTAGCATTACGTCCCTCTCTCTCTTCACTTAGTAGAATGGAAGTCTTACATATCTAGTCTTCCAAATGTGGATACAGTTGTTTTGACAAGATCTTCCATCGCCTTGGAATCTCTAATATTAGTTGGACAAATATAGCGGATCCTTTGTATATCTCACCCATCTCTAGTCGCATTCAGGATTTCACATTCACGTCTTTCGATTAGCACTGAGTCTGCCAGTCGATTCTCGAGGTTAGCTTATTTAATCCTGGGGTATCCGGTCACTCCATCTCCAATTAGTCCCCGGATAGCTCCAAGTTTCGTCGTTTGGAGGAGTGTCGCCATTGTCTAATTTTCGACTCGACTTCCTGTGAGATGCACCGTTGGGGAGGATGCATATTCTGCTAGAGATCGGAGAGGAGACAAGCCTAGCAAGCGGGATGATGAATTTACATGGAGAATTCAATAGTGCAATACACATGGCCGTGAGTACTTTCAAATTAGGTGACTATTAAAGAGAACTTACTCAAGGGACTTCACCATAGTTCACTCTGACATTGTTTATACTATATGAAATTGGTGGCTACAACAACCCTACGCCCGACAAACCACTTGGAACACTTGACTTCCAAATCCAGAATCAGTCTCTGGTTAAGCATTCCTCTGATTGCATCAGCTGAAAATATGTTCCTTTATTGTGTCATAATGTTCCACAGTCTTAGAGGAAGCAGGCCCAGATCGACAACTTTTAGCATGATTCTGCATGTCAAATATCACTCTACATGCTCGCGTTTAATGGGCCGGTCAGGTCGAACACTACTGATCTATGTGCTTCTAGAAGATACTCGAGAGCATACAGACTACAGAGCTATGACGCTGGTATCCAGAGACGAGCGGCCAATACTTGTAAACATTGACATTAGCGGGTTCGTTTGTCTCTTGGTAGGGACTGGATGCTGAGGTTCTTAAAGGCTTTAGACTGGATTTTCTAGTGGCAGGACCAACGAAGATCTTGATTATTGAACCCATTGCCGACAGACAAAAGTCCTCGCAAATCACATCATACACATGCTACAATAATCCACACTCAACTTGGTCCTGGTTGCACATTACAATATTCCCCAATCACAAAGAGAGAACAAGGCCACAAAGAAGCGAGTCAAGGTATCACCACCCTACACACGAAATCAGCCGGACCCTGAAGAAAATGAAGCCCGTGATAGGTAGACGCTAACACCAAGTTCTTTTTAGGTCGGATTAATCAATGTAGCAATTTCTACACGACCGGAGATTTACCCTAGTTAGCCTTAGTAACAAATCCTCCGTGAAGACTAACTATAGGATTCGCAGAAATCCTACTCCTATTTAGGGTCAGGCGCCTATTGTCGACATCCTGCTATACCTAGCCCCCAATTTTCATATGCAACCAATACATGATTCAATCCAGTAGCATATGGCACCAAGCGAAACTCACCGATGAGCAGATGCTACGGAGGGGTCAAGCCACAGATCTACCACAAGCATTCTTCTAATCCCGATTAGGGCTGGAACAAAGGCGCATGACCAAACCTGCCGCTCCGCTGTCTATAGCCGTTCGCGCTGCGGGCACTACGGGGCACTACGGGGTGACTAGGGCCCCTGACCCTGGGGCAATCTTTGCTTCTCAACCACATTTCATATCACCAGCATGTGCTAGACCTTATGATTGGACATGATGGGCACAAGAAGGTATAGCAGATTTAGGGGTCTAGCCCCGGAGTATTATTTTCTTAAATTGAACTTTCAGGGACTGTTTTTCTCTCTTCCCACTTAGCATCACACTGGACTTCGAGGAGACTCTCTGCTAGGGAGGTCAGATATCAGGCTCAAAATGAGGCGCGATTATATGCGAATCGCATTTCTCGGTTTGGTGTCGTTCTCAACGGCATGGGCTTCTATCGCCTCATCTGGCCAGGGCGACCACAGTGCCGGTCGGTCGGATTGGACTCGTATCAAGCGCGCGAGCGACGACATCATCTCCGCTTGCAATCCAAATGATACGACTTACAGCTCCGAGAGTATGCCCGCAGGAAGCTACATGGATTGGGGACTTTTAGATACCGCCTCCCTCACGAGCGGGAAACAATACATCACGATCGTCAATCTCACGCCGCATCGATTCAAACTCCAAAGCACGCACTCGTACCAAATGGACGTCTTCGACTGGGGAGACGTCCCACCCGGTCGTGCCCGCCAAAATCTTGCACAGTATACAACAGCTGCTGGCAAGGACGCTGTGGATGACAACGGCGAGGCATATTACAGCATCGAAGGTACAAGTAAACAGTTCGTCATCCGGGCAACAACTCATATTCCCGATACTCACTGGCGCCGTACTGTTATTGACCTCAGTGGGATGGGCTTGGGTCAGCGCGAATACTCAGACCCGGCAGCAGAGACCTCGGTTACGTTGGTCATTACCGGGAGTGAAAGCTACGGCTTCATCACATCCCTGACCTACGGCGCGGTGAATTGGATGAAAGAAATATACGACGTTATCAAGGATAGGCCACTGCAGCATATTGTCATACCGGGTACGCATGACTCGGGGATGAGCACTATTAGCGATAAGATTGTCTCGTTGGGGACTACACCCAATACCCAGACTCAAGCTCTCAGCATTTACAACCAACTGCGTGTGGGCGCGCGATGGTTCGACTTGCGTCTTATGAGCGTCCACCAGTTAGATACAAGCGATTATGAGTTTTATGCTGCCCATGTCAATGATGAGACGGCCGATGTGCCCGTTGGAAATACAGGGGAGAGCTTGAGCGACATAATCCAAGAAATTAATCAGTTCACGTCAGAGAATCCCGGCGAAGTCATCTTTTTCCACCTCAGATACCTAATTGGCATCCGCAATATCCCCAGCGGTCCGATATACTGGGGCAACGACACGGTGGATGCCTTCTTTACGCAGCTGGAGAAGATCAACAATCGCTGCGGGAATCTCGACACAGACGTGCATTTCCAACATCAAAAGACCTCGTACTTTATGGGCCAGAATGACGGCTCTGGGTGTGTGATTTTCCTCTTGGATGGCTCTAATCTAAAGACCGGCGTGACAAGTTCCTCCGTGTCGGACGGCTTCTACCCTGCTGGACAAATGGGTATCGACGACCACTGGTCTGATCTGGCCAACACGCAACCCATGGCCGAAAACCAAATCTCGGTATGGTCAGGAATCGAGCGAGTGAAGCCCTTTTCAAATGACGAGTTTCTCATCAGTCAGTGGCTTGTCTCTGCTGATGTCGTCACTACAACTGCACTCACCATCCAAAACATTGCCATATTACCTACGAATCCTGCACTTTATTGGGCAGGGGTAAACGCTATGAGTCCGCAGAAATGGCCAAACGTTCTGCTGGTTGATTATATTGGCGTTGTGGTCACTGATCAGTTCGCTTGGTCACAGCTGGGTGCTGAGTTATATACCCTGGCGATTGGGCTGAATCTCTACATGATCAGTGAGAATTGCGATGTGAGCGATGAGCGATCTCCAGTTCTGCCATCCTTGACTTCATCCACAAGTAGCCAGACCAAGAGGGCGGCTTCGGGCTGGAATGGAATTATTTATGCAAATGGGACTGTTGTTGATCATCCACCACGGAATCTGCATCCCGGTCGCGTGGAAGTGCTGAAGGCCGGGACGGTATTTAATAACGGCACGGTCCTGGAGCAAGACATTCGGAACCCTAATTTCAATTCCACTGCATTCTAGTTGAGTGTAATTGAGTGGTTTTATTAGGGTTTCGCTTTCTTTCTTAAAGCGTTTCTATATCCCATGTTTGCAGGTACTTTCATTATCATAGCAAAGTTCCATGTCCATAATCTGCGTTGTTAATGGTTGGGATATTGAAAATTAAGCCGCGCTCAACAGCATATGCATATATGTATTATGCAAGTATTTCTACTGCACGCACTAGTAGCCTAGAGCAGTCATATCAGACTCCGACATCAGGATTGGAAATTCATGCTGTATCCGCCTGTCTTAGGGTCCTGCACAAAATTAAAGTTATCCGTCGATAGCCCAAATGGCTTTAGGATGCCATTCCCCAACTAAAAATCAGTCAGTTCGCAAACTCACATTGTAGTTATTGCAGAGACTTGCCTCTTTAAGCTTCCCCATCATCTCTGCCATTTCGTTCTCCCGGGCTTTCTTTATCGTCTCGGGGAGCTCCCGGAGCGCCCTGTTTACGATCCTCTTATCATCCGCTGGAAGGTTATCCATAGCAGCGAGGGCTTTGTAGTCCTCCTCCGCCCCTTGGAGACTTCCCCAGCCTCCCAGCTGTGTCTTCGCCTTTGCTCGTCGCATCAGAGCCTTGGCTCGAATTCGCATAACATCCGCCCGTTTTTCATCCATTTTCTGTAACCTCTCTAGTTCTTTCAGCTCATCTTCCTCATCTTCACCACATATTTCCACCACGGCCTCCGTTGATTCCGAATTCTGTTTTTGAGTACCCGAGTCTTCTTCTTTCTCCGGCTGTGTTGGCGGCGGTATTACCCGGTCCAAGCACTCAATACAGGCAGTTGCACTATCTACAGCTGCTTTCCAGTCTTCCATCTTCAAGTAGCAAGCAGCCATATTACTCCGAAGAACGGCGACTTCATAGTCGAGATAATTGGGGCACGAAGCGAGGGCGCGATCGTACGTCGAAATAGCTTGGTTATAGGACGCAACGGAGTAAAGTTTATTAGCTTCTGCTTTTATTGTACGAGATTCTTCTAGAAGGCGCTGTGCGTTAGAAGTCCCGGGTCAGTGTTGTTGCCTTTTATTGAAAGAGGGGGGCGGAGTATGCCGGAGAACTCACGGTTTCTTCTTCGACGGGAAAGTGGGCATCGTGGAAGATATCTTCTTCCTCGCTGTTACTGGAAGCTGAGTTCCTTCGATCCCTCTGCTTCTTGAACGGGTCAGTTGTCGACATTTCGTAACAGTTCGTGTTGCGAAGCTTCAAGGAGCTCAAGTTGGACTGTGGAGTTGATTTCAAGATATTTGGTTGACATCGGAGACTCGGACTTGGAACCCCGAGCTCTCCTGGCCTGAGGCAGCAGCCCCGCGGCAACGATCTTTGGTTTGATAAACTCGAGTCACCCAAGGAAATGCAGCAATTCGAAGCAGTAACAACTTTTCACTCCTGTCGAAGAACCGCCTCAAGTCCACCGATTGTTGAATTCCTTACCTAAGAATGACGAACTCTATTCCAGAGTAAGCATAAGCACTCTTCATCTCGCGCTGGTTTTATCCAATTCCAAGTACTAATGTCCCCCCCCCCCCCCCCCCCCCCACTTTAGTCTCCCCCGCGTTCGGGCATGTCTGTTTGACATGGACGGGTTGTTGATCGACTCGGAAGACAGATATACTGCAATCACAAACAAAGTTCTTGCAGAGTATGGCAAGCCAAATCTCCCGTGGTCCATTAAGGCTCAACTTCAGGGCCGGCCCCAGCCAGAAGTACGTTCTGGCTCTTCCTGACTTGTCTAACCTACTCCACTTCCTGCTGCTGCTAGATACAGGAGAATTATGGCTGGCTTCTACATTTCTCAATCCTAACCATGATATCAATTAGGCTGTCAAAATCTTCAGCCACTGGGCTCAGCTACCAATCTCCCAGGACGAATATGCCGCCAAGGTAGCTGCTCTGCAAGCCGTATACTTCCCCGAGTCCCAGCCTCTACCAGGGGTAAAGACTCTCCTGTCGAAGCTTGTCTCAACACAGGCTACCGACCAGCCAGTCTATATCGCACTAGCTACATCCTCGCATAAGAGGAATTACCACTTGAAGACCGATCATCTGCAGGATCTCTTTTCTGTTTTCCCCGAACCTCAGCGTGTCCTGGGCGATGACCCACGCATTGGGAAAGGTCGTGGAAAGCCACTCCCAGATATCTATCTGCTAGCACTAGAGACTATCAATGCGACCCTGCGGGAGCGCGGAGAGAAGGAGATCGCCCCCGAGGAGTGCCTGGTGTTTGAAGATGCCGTTCCAGGTGTAGAAGCCGGGAGGAGAGCCGGCATGAGAGTTGTCTGGGTTCCTCACCTCGGTCTGCTAGAGGCATATAAAGGCCGAGAGGCGGAAGTTTTGGCCGGCCTGACTGGACAGCATAAAGAGGAGGAGAAGTCAGAGCCGGAGAAGGAGGCTGATGAACTCACAGCTGCGAGAATGCAAAGTTCTGGGTCGCCTGGCAAGCTTAATGATGGATTGGCCAATTTGCTGCTTACCCTGGAAGACTTCCCTTACGAACAATACGGCATTCGCCCGGCATAGACTTCAGTGTAAAGATCTATCTCCCCATAATAGAGCTGTATTTAGATTTCCTCGCTACACTAATTGTCTAATTCGCTCAACTACTATCCATACGGAGTACACCAAAACAGATGAACCCCCCCACGTCTCCATCTCACTGCGCAACCACGCCCGGATCCTTCTCATCCACGATACCATCCTAAGCATTGCCCAGATAGCCTTGGCCTTGGGCTCGTTCAAGGCAAAGAGCAACGAACTAAACTCTCCCAAGAATTTCCCTGGACTCCATTCGAGCACGAGGTATCCTTCCAAGAGTGGCTTGTCGCATAGCACGGCCCCAGGAACTTGTTGTTATACGTGTAGATATTTCCCACAAAGGAGCCAGCAGACGCTTTAGCCCAGTCCGATTTCGGGTCACACTGATCAACCCAGTACCAGTTTCCGTAGAAGGACCAGGACTTCCAGCATGCATTGGTGGCGTAGTTTGCCACGGTTGTGATGTCGTTGCAGACATCTCTTCAAAGGGTCCATCATATGTTAGCTTCCATTGTCTAGAATCGAAGTCGAAGGAAGCTACCCTTAGGTACCTCGGGCTAGTACTCACCGGCCAGTGTAGGTCATTTCCACATCAAAGTATGAACCGCTGCACCAGTCTGTTGTTTTTGTCGTTAGGCTGAGTTTCTTAGAGAGAGGGGGGGGGGTGAAGTGAAGTGACTTACCGCCAGAGCATGTCGTGTAGAAATGCTCCCAGAAAACAATGTCATTGTTGGATCGGGTTTCTGCAGGAATGGCGAGTGAGCATTATCTTTCAGGCCACGAGTAGTGGATATCATGGATACAGCATACCCAGTGCCGGTGCATCAGATGCCGTCTCGTTATGCGCAACCCAGTCGTCGAGTTCCGCTTTGGTCAAGAACTGTGTGTAAAGTCAGACGGACGAATTCACAATTCAAATATTGGGAAACAAACCCGCTCTCCAACAATTTCTCCCTCCAGGTTGTGGAAGACCAGCACTTGGGTGGAGTTTTCACTCGTGTTATCAACTGGTCTGGCGAAGACAGGCGTCAAGGCAGAAAGAGCCAGAAGAAAGGCACTGGTGGCTTGCATCTTGTACCTTATTGAAAGTGTTCACTGGATTTCTGATCAACGGGAATTCTGGGTTGGGCATTCCTGTGCAAATGTCGGGGATCTGGCGCAATATATCCTTTTCCCAGGCTTAAAGAGGCCATGGCCTATATTCTTGTACCACTTGTACAGTATAGCCAGCGCTCTTCCCTCAATTGGACGGAAAATCTCCAGCCCAGCGCTGAGTAAACTCGAGTCAGCGTTGCAATGGCAAGCTCTAAAATCTGACTGTTCAAATATGCTGTATCCGGAATTGCCAAGCTCAAATATGGCGGCTAAAAGCGAACTATCGTGTATTTCTTCCTCAGCTTTTCTGGACTATGAGTAAGTACTCCAGACCGCATTCCCGCACTTGCATCGCGTCTCCACCACAGGGGGTCCGAGATACCGCAAGTACCGCAGGGATTCCACTGATCAACAGAACATAATTCAAATCTATGGACTCGTTGAGCGATTGAATGAAATCCCGCTAAACCCACACTATTCAACCTTCTCGCTACATGGCATGGCGGTCGATCGATCTCGGTCCAGACTCCCCCTGATGTATCCGGTAATCTTTCTATTCTCCAGGCTAGCGGGAATCTACTAGTGTAATCATTCTCATAAACAACCGTCCGAACGAGATATCAAATAGCTCTATGAGTGGAAATCTCTAGTCTTCTTGGCTCCGTATCCATACATATATATATATATATAGCAATTAACCCGAAAGCAGCCCACCTTCTTCATTAAACGTCTTGCAGTCCAGATAGCTCATCAATCATTTCGCCTTGCGTTTCACATTAGTAGTTCCTTCAGCGAGCACAAACACGCTCCGCACCTCCTGCACGGCCACCCAGAGTACCCAAAGAGGGATCCAGACCCAGAGCGTGTTGAAAAACACCAAATAAAACCACAAGTACACCGCATTCCCGGTCTCCAGCTGCGTACTCCCGGTGAGCCACTCCGGCGCAAAGGTCATAAATCCACCGTAGAGCTCGGCGGTCGCCAGCGCGGTCGCAACCAACCAGAGCTTCCCTTTTGCGGGACCCTTCACTTCTGCACTGTACTTGGGGCTCGATGAAACATAGAGCAGATAGCAGATGTACACCGCAGCCGGGCCTCCCAGAAAAACAGTCAACATTTCAAGGGAGATCACGGTGGCATCGGCAACAGCCCAGCGGTGGTCTGCTTTTGCGTACTCTTGCCAAAGGCGCGCGCTGGGCCCGGTCCCGTGTGCGGCGCCATAGACTCGGTCTTTAATACCCAGGAATGCGACTTCTTGGCCGATGCCAGAGGGCAGGGTTGCGTAACTGGTGAAGCACTCGTAGAGGAATGAGCCCTCGATAAAAACGTGGGTGAGGGCGTCGTAGGCGTGCCAGAAGAAGAGGATGCGATTTCGTGGGTCCTTTGCGGGTATCAGAGTCGTACCGAGTATATAGGCGATTGGCATAAATGATAGCGCAAAGGCGATGCAGAGCATCGTTGGCATATCAAGATTGAAGGGGGCGGGGGTGGACATGGTGAGCAATCAAGCCAGTTTGGCTGGCTTCTGCGCGGTGTTGTATAGGTTGCGACAGAGTTACTCAGGAGCTTCGAGATTGTATTGATCAGGATATATATATATATATATATATCTGCAGGAAGGAAAAATCTCGTGTTCAACCAACATTGATATACTCTCAAGTCCGTCAATGGGTTGCGGCGCGTGCTCGAAAGAAATAGATTTTTCGTCGTCGGCCCCTGAAAATGTCAGCGCGATGTTTACGAGATCTGCAGCCTAAGGCACCAATCAACCCTGGATCGACAACCTTCATTAAACTCTTCAACCTCGACGTCTCCTTTTTATCCATTCGCGTCGAATTCAAGGGGGGTGGAAGAGCAACCACGATGTTTTCTTTGAATTCAAAGAAGAACAGCACCCTTGCTCTTCCAAGCTTCTCGCTCTCCCCCTGTCTCTTACCCCAGACAATAAAAGCTTCCCGCCGTCGGTACGGAGTATGGGCAGTCAGCTCCTAGCGCATCTAGTCCGCTGCTCTCACTGGACAAATAGACGAACAGGCTTAAAAAAAGGGCGCTTTCATTCCGCCGTACGTCATTCAATGGTTTATAGCGAACATTGTGAGTATCCTCTCGGACCTCTCTGTTTAACTGCAATAATTACTGACCCTGAGGAGCGCATAATAGTTCATGGATCAGACCTTTGTTATCTAGTCTGGCTTCCCCTCTAGCATTCTTCCCGATCCCAATTCCTGGAGATCTGTCCATAATTATAACGACATGGGTCTTAGTACAGGGTGCATATACTCCGTACATACATATTTATACAGTCACGTAGATAACAAAGCCAAGTCAGGCCAACAGTTTACCTCGGGATTGTAGACGAGTCAATTAACTCCAGGATCTACTCCGTATAGGGTGGTCAAAAGAAAAAATGGACAATAATTTTATTGTTCTAGTTCCAGAAATATACCTAGACTAGGTAAGTATGAATCTCATGATTTACTTATCCGTCCCTCTACAACCCATGATTTGTCCAACTGACAGCCAAATACCGGCGAGCCCATGCATCAATCAGCGTGTGGATCAAAAAGTCCAAAAAAATATATATATATATAACGATGGATTGACGGAGATGAATCACACAATGTTGATCAATCAGAAGCATTAAAAAATGACAAAAAAGTAGTCACGCCCGGGATCGAACCGGGAACCATCTCGGAATTGAATTCAGCTGATGTGAACGAGATATCATAACCATTAGACCACGTGACTGTTCATGTTTACTTGGGGGACGATATTGTTTAATATCCCATGAAAATTAAGATCTACCAGGATAGAGTTTTGGTATACCTCTGTTAAGCTCGGGTGATGTTATCCAATGTTCTTTCGGTCCCATAGGAGGAAGCACATTAAGCTTTTGCGGGGCGATCCGCAGCGATATGTTGGCTGACAATGCTCCTTGGTAGCGAGACCCTGTCATGCATTCCCAAGATCTAGGGTAAAACTTGCAGCATCTTATCACGAACGTATGCTGCGACGAAAAAGCGATAGCTTAGAGAAATATCGAGAACGTGCCTGAAATTTCAATGCGACATTTTCCTTTCAGGCCTTGTGATTAGTCGCTCCCAAAGTTGCCTAGTCAAACAGGCTTAAGAGCTTTTTATGCGATGACTCCATACAAATCCTATTCCATAATGCGAAACCGTAGGTGGGTTACAATACCGAAACCCCGTGAAGCCCTTGTACTTTCTGTCTCACATCTTGTGTTTTAAAACCGTCACCAGGGCGAGCTTCCTGCACGGCTTCTGGAGCGCGTGCGCCTGTCCCATACCGGCCATATGACCAACCAGTACCTTGGGGCTGAGTGGCTATAATACGGCCAGAGCTACTCACCTTTCCTATGAGCTTTGCTTTTTTCACTACTATGGAGCTTTGCCCGCTTAGTTGCCCGGGAGCTTCGCTTTGACATGACGGGAAACGGGGCTGTACCTTGCCACTAGTTTTGCTTGCTCTTCTGCCGGGATCACTTTACCCTCTATCTAGGGTGATATTGGTATTGTTTTAAAAGCCCGTGTCGCTCGTTGTGTCTCTTTGATACTGCCAGACTCAATCAATATGCCACACTTACTCCACCACCACCACCACCACCACCGACGCCGCTACTCCTGGCCCTACTGCAACTCAGGGCAGCGCCTACGTGAGCGACGAAACCTCCCTATTATCACGATACGGGGTCCACCTAATCAATATGCATCCCCTTTCTTAACCCCAGTGGTCTCAGAGGATCTACTTGAAGACGACGTCGTCTCCGCAGGGATCATGCATTCTCAGCCTCCACGACCCCTTTACCGACTCTGGTCCTCGTCTTCTTCTTCCTTCCCCGAAACCAGTCATATGGAGTACCAAAGTAGAGCTAAAGATTCTAGCCCTGGGTCCGGGCTTGGGTGTGGGTGCGGGTCTCTTCGTCGAATGACCCAGCCGCCATTAGACAGGACTCGCTCCCTCCTCGTGTTACCAACGACACTTTCTGCAGGCCAGGCGATGATATCACCATACTGGATTGAGAGACTTTCCGCCCACCCTATGCCTCATAGCAATGGGCCAGGGAGATTAGCAGAAGGCGATGCTCGGGCCCGTCTAGCGGTAAACAGAAACCATAGACGCTGTCACTCTGAGAGACCGCGTGCTTGGAAAGAGCCTAGTGAGAACTTGTGGACGCTTCAAGAGGAGTAATACATTGCCTAGTTATGTACTTCTCTTATTTTGTCATTGACGAATTACGTTTATCGATTCTTGTTTTCTCTTTATCGGTTGGGGGGGGTAGTTTTTCTGCTTTGACATCGATCAGAATGCATAATAAATGATAGGCAGGGATAGAAAAGCATATAAAGTAGCCGAATGGCAGGTTAATTCTACCATTTTTGTTTGAAAAGATTGCATGTTTTTAGAGTGCCTGATCATATTCAAATTTTGGAAATGGTGTTCAGAATGCGTCAGAGTGTTCTTGGGATTCTTGGGGCCTTCGATGAGCCGCAAGTAAATTAGCCCGATTCCGAGTCATGTGGGGGGAAATGACTCAGAAACAAAAAGTTTCACCGACACCAGGTGTTCACCGACAAGACTACACACAAAGCGGGAAAAGAAGTGCGAAACCCAGCAGGCAGAAGCGGTCAAACTTCCCGTCATCGATGGGGGCCAAAGACAGGGGACTTGCTCTCCAGCAGTCAAGAACGGGCACTAGACCTTATTGATGGGCCTGGAGGACTTGCTGGCGCCATCCGATTCGCCCTGGAGATACACTCTGGTATGGGTGCCCGGCTCGCACGTCGTCCGCTGATAGGATCACACGGGTTGGCGATAATGCTAGCGTCTGCCCTACAAGGACCATTCCCCAACTGACGGTCTGGGACTCGGGAGTCAGGATTAGATCTGGATGAAGCACGTTCCAATTAGATATAAATAAGGGTGTGGATTTGTTGAAGGTTGGACTGCACTTTTCTTCATCCCTCCCACTCTATACGCCATCAAACCACGTCGGCCTCTATACATCATCCTCCCCAAGTAAAGACTAGGCAGACAAGGATCGAAAAATCGCTCTCCCACTCCTCCTCCTCTTCCTTCTCTGTCTGGAAGCCCCAGCAGCAATCTACTACATCCAACTCCATTTCCACGGCCATGGACTCCAGAAGAAGCACTCGTTCTCACTCCGGGAGCATTGACACCTTCAATTCCCGCAAATCATTCACCTTCTCGTCCACAGATCGCCCATCACGCCCAGAAAGCCCTGCACAAATGTCTCCCGCCTTCCACAACAGCCGTCGCTCGGGCTCCTACCACTCCAACCACTCCCGCAAGAGCAGTGAGGACCGTCGTCGCTACGACAACACCGTATACCACTATGGTCGACACTCCAACTACTGGTTGTTCGGCGGGTTCAGCGTTCGAGACACAGTCCGTGACGGCGTCGACTGGGTCCGCCAACACGGGAAGAAGAGCTGAATTCTCATCTCACTCCCGCGCGAGAAAAGGGATTGAGCAGAACAGAATATTCAAACGATGCAGAGAAACCCCGCTTTCATCTCCTCCGATAAGATGCACGAGATTGCACCGAGTGTCGCAGCCATACTGAACGGATAGGCAAACATTGCGGCATGCCCTTCAGTCAGACTCTAATCAACCACTTCAAATCAAGGAAGATACGATGGATGCATGGCCGGTCGTTAATGCTATAATATAATGCACCCTTACCACCCGAGACCGCAAAGAGTTCACGCAAGGGAATTGAGATTCTCCGCAGAGCGCAACTCTCAATCTCCCTGGTTAGGAGGACTCTGTCTCCCTCAGTGGACTGGAATTTCATTTCTTTACAGCCTGCAGAGTTCTATACAGGCACTTTGGCGACTTATTCTCATTACTTACTTTTCTTATTTTTTACTTGGTCAAATCAAATTACACCAATTTATTTTTATTTTTATTATTATTTTATTTTCTCCCTCGTATTCAGTAAGCACGCTATTTGCGCACTATTAGTACGCTCTACTCCGTACCGATCAAGTACTTTTAGAGAAGAAGAAAAGAAAAGAAAAAGAGGGCCATGCCGAAGCCTCGGTTAAGGGGGGGGGTCCTAGTAGATAACACACTAGCTTTCTGGTGATTTCGGACATGGTAGGATCTGGGTTCATCAGAAATAGCATATTGCTATTGTTGACTTGGTGTATCTCGTATAAATTAACAGTAACGATTTAGTTGTAAATGGAGGTGGATATCATCATCATCATCATCATCGCTATAATGTGGCTCCGGTTGATATCTATTATTCCGGGTGAGGCGGGAGATGGCTTTTCTGCCTGCATATATATATAAATGGAATCAGGCCAAGTAGTTCAGGCTTTTAGGCTGATGATGGCGAATTAAAATGTCACCAGGAAAACTAGTTAACTATAGAGAGGCAGCACCTGTTCCCTTCAAGATATTAGCGCATCCTATCAGTAAAAAAATCCCTTACAAACAGGGCCCAGGTATACTAGAGAACGTGCACTTCCTTTTATATATAGCCCTATCAACCCAGAGGCTTGTTTCGCGTATCCACGTCAAATCCTGTTTAATCATTCACACACACACGCGACAGATATATAGTGAATCCAGGTATGTTACATACGTACCAAAAACATTGCTCTATAGGTTCTTCTCTATCAAAATGAGCTTGTGCAAGGCTCAGCTACCAGTCCAATACCGTGTGTCCTTCTCAGCAGGGCTAGATATGTATTCCCAAACCCATCATCTTCATCCGTTAGCGGGTATATTCAAATTGAAGAAATCAGTATAGTAAACGGTCTGCCAGGAAACGGCTGTCCTTGAGACTCAGCGGGATTCTGATCTCCCTTGTAATGGTTCTTTGAAAAGCATTACCGTTGGGACATTTATCCTGATATCAAGTTCTCCTGTCCCTTGTGATGCTTCATTCCGTCCCTGCTGAGATTGGCAAGATGAGAGAGTCTTCAGATGTTAGTCACATCGGATGGGCTTTGCAGGCCTTTGCCTCCTTTCCCGGAGGGGCCATTCTAGAGTGCAATTGCAGTGTCCCGGAGTCTCTGAATGGGGGAAGAGAAGGTATCTAGGGAGTAAGCCCGATCGGGACGACATCACATGCGCTCGGACATACTCGGACAGAACAACAAAGGGCAAAGGATGAGAAGGAACAGGGGAAGCTGTTTGTGTAGGATAAAAGAATTTATGTAAGATTGCTTTTGGTAGGTGTAATTGAATAGTTAGGGTTCCGTGTATGTACGTAACCCCACAATTGGTGGGAAAGATAGAAAGCGGTTGAAGCCAAACTCCTCGCTTCTCCTCAACACCAGACTCACACTAACTATGAACGCGAAACAGAATGTCAGAACAATAGAATAAGATAAGAGACATGAAGCCGTAAATCAAGAAAAAAAAAAAAAAAAAAAAAAACAATTAAGAATTCAAAGCCACAGAGAATTCACGCCTGTTGCCACGCAGCAATATCAGCCGAGGATATGTCGATATTCTCGGGGACTAAACTCTGCAGCTTAGACAGTTGCAGCGGCGCTAGTGATGAGTTTGTTCAAGTCAGCAATCGAATAGTTCAAATGGTCTCATACCTATCGAAGGATAGTTTAGATACGACTCTTTCCTGGGAGCCTGGAGAGTTCGACAAAGTACCTGAACCGGGGAGGAGAGGAGAGATTTGAAAAAAAAAAAAAAAAAAAAAAAAAAAAAGGGGGGGGGGGGGAGAGGGTACTGATGCAAGGTAAGAACATACTTGGATTTTGAGAAGCAGCTGCCCCTGCATGGACATGGATAACTGCCGACTCAAGGAACTCCCTCGTCGTCACACCATTGTATGAAGCAGCACCCAGCATGACTCTGAGTTTGTATTTCCCCGGCGCTCCAATTGTCAGTGGGCCGAAGCGAGCGTATCCGCTCGTGGTATTCCCGCTTCGACTGCGAACACTCGACGTGACCGTTCCTGTTAGGCCGGTGAGGGGCCTCGTGCCCGTCTCGTCCCGGAGAGAGACATTGGCCACTAACTGCTGGACGGAGCTGTTTCTTGTGGAGCCAACGGGCCGTACGGCGACAACAACAGGGAGGGTGAATGGTACACCTGGGCGGACTGCGACAGGAGGGGTAATTTCGAAAGTGATGCCGTACTCGCGGCTTGAGCTGCCACCGTCGGTCACTGCACTGCCCTGGACCATCTTTGCAGTACCTGAGGGGGGATCGAATGTGTAGAATATGGGGGTGGTCTCTTCCGAGTGTTGGGGGAGACAACGGAAGGCGAGTGAGTCTATAGAAACTATGATTTGGAACAAAGGGTTTAGAAGTTTTGGTATTCGAAGGCGAGAAAAGGACCTTACGCAATGAGGGAGAAGGGAATTTTTTATAGATCCGCCGGGCTAAAGCCAAACGGACGAGGCCAAAGACGCCCACAGTGATTGTGATTCAAATGTAATACGAGATTGTTACTGAAGGGTTCCCGGGAGTCTTCAATTATCAACGGAAATGTAGTCGATATGCTCCAGTCAATAATCATCATTTGCCACCACCAACGGCCAACTATGTCCCAGGAGATCTGCAAGACGGAGTATGTGTAGCATACAAAGGAAGGAATATATTGAGTAGAAGACGGATACTGGAACGATAATGCTGCAAGATGCAAAAAGGCTGTATACATTCCATTCTTCTATCGTTTTTTTTTTTTTTTTTTTTTTTTTTTTTTTTTTCTCTGCGCCTTTTCTTGATTTACCCTGCTTACTCTTTAGCAATTCTGTTTTGTCCACATCCATCAGGGTAATTACTAGTGTGAAGATGGTGTTGCCTTTGAATCTACCTAGCTTACTCCGTAGTCAAGGTTAAGAAAGCGATCTGTCAGATCTGCTAAATTACTAGCCACAAGTGAAGCTTAAACTTCCTGAACCCTGTAGTCTCCCTGTACCTTGGCGTATACAGGGCAGCAAATGATCCCGGGTTCATGGAAGATTTGCTTTTGCTTTCCTCGTTCTTTCTGCATATTTTCTTTTTTTTTTTTTTTTTTTTTTTTTTTTTCTTTCTTCTGTCGGGCGTGCATGTAGTTTCCTCACTCCTCACGTCACTATGTTTCTTTTTCCTTTATCCCTTTCCCCAGCTGCGACTCCAGGTGGCTGTCTGGGCCTTGGGACAGGAAAAAGCGAGGGTAGATCGATCGGTGTCTCCCATTTTTCCCCTTGCATGGATTCCGGTGTTCGGGAAGCAATGAGCTACTAAGAACTAGCGAATAGGGTACTAGCGGAGCACCCATCGCGACTAATATTGTTCACCACGTTCTTGACAAGTAAGAGGAACGTATCTCCTCCAAAAAGAGAGAAAAAAAAAAGAAAAGAAAAAAAAAGAAAACAGACCATGTTAGCTAGTACACACTTCCCTATCACTCACTTCCCCCCCTCTTTCACCAAAGGTAGATTTAAAATCCTGCTGTGTGTTTACCATAGATCAGGCACAGGATCAGCCATAATCCACCCTGGTTGTCACCAGAACTCAGCCGATGATAGGACCCCGCGATCGGAGCGAACGCCGCTTTACTTCCAAGAATCTGAACTCCACCTCAGCCTCAGATACGATACTGTGGCGCATGACTCCTGGAGCGGGGTTATACCAAGTGATCGGGTGCAAGGAACTCCTTTGGGTACGCTTGGTCTCAATAGTGTCTCCGCTCAAAAAGCAACATGGCCCACTGTTCATGTAAAAATTTTGCTTGTTGCGCGCGTGAAGATCCACGTCCCATTTCCTGGGTTCTGCAGTTCTGATTACTTCTGTTCGAGATCCCCCCTCTCTCCGGCACTAAAGTAGATCGATCCTCCCGTCTATAGATGCCCCCCCCCCCCCCCCCACCATATGGAGAATAATATACAGCATTCACCAATCATACGGGAGCTATTTGCACCAGGAACAGCCGGCCTTTGGACAGTCCTCTAGCGGTGACCACTTAGACCATCACAAATGCATAATAGTGCATTACCAGGGGCCTCGAAATATCCACTGTTTCCCGCATACTCGGTCGCCAGAGCCAAATCCTGAGGATTTAGTTTTACGCAGGATAAATTTATATGCTGGTCCGAGCAGCTGCCGCAAAATGGGCGCTCCGTATGCCATATGCCATTACAGTGCGGCCGTCTTTCTTTTGCCATCTCGTCCTTTTGATCTGCAATGCAATGCACGATCCATCCATGGATCGGCGCTACGCATTAGAGTTGGGGCATTACTAGCCACAGCTGAGTGGCGGTGTATAGAAATCAACGGTCGTGATGTGGCGGTGAAGTATCAATTCCCTCACTCCACGAAAGCTAACATATCACATTCTCAGGTGTAAGTTCAGCACATGAATATGACGATTCTGGCAAATAGTATAGTGTACCACGCAATGTTACGCTAGTTCTTCCATCTCCAAGTGCTAGAAATACATCCTTGCTCAGCTGTCTGGGCAAGACATACATACTCTACCATAATGGATCTGTTGTGAAGTCGACGGCATGAAATTAGGTAAAAAAAAAAAAGAGCGCACCATACTTCTATGTCACGGTACCATTAGCCCATCATCCTCTTCCCCTTGTCATTGGTACTACCTGAAAACGTAAATGGCCATTACCTAGAATTTCCCGTCGTATCCTTTGAGATCGGCTTTGTTGCGATTACGATGCAGATCCCTGCTAGCCTGATCTCATCTGCGAGTCCTGCGACCCATCGAGTCATAACTTAGCGCCAAGGCTACGTACGTACTTATGTCACCCCATGCAGTGTCCATTCCTGCGGGAAAAATCCATCCTCCCTCTGTCCGGTACTGACCATCGGAAACCTTGGGAGGGAAAAAGGGCTGTTAGCGGCCTGAGGCTGCCATTCAAGACATAGTCCCCGACGAGATATCAGTATTTCATCGCATCGGCAATTCACCGACAGAGTAATGCATTCTTTGCCTAACAATCTATCAAGGCTTTAGTCGCGTCGAGGGAATTACCGGATATCGTCTACGTAGTTGTATAACCATGTACAATGGTTTCCGAATCAGCCTGAGACAGATGAAGAAGCCCGGTTTCTGTTTGGGGATATGGTTACAAATCAAGATCAAAATATATAAACTTTGTGTTGTGGCTAAGGAGTCTGTGCGTGCAGCTACCACTGTATGTAACTGGCTGGAGTCTGCATGCAAAGTGCAAATATTAGCCCGATTTGATTTGGGGAAGGGGTTCTCTATATGATCAACAGTCAACTTGCATTGGGATCTTCAATAAAGAGTCAAAAAGGGTCTAGAGGCAGACCCAAGGGAATGGGTGCTTCGGCCGAAGGATCCTGCACTCACTTCGGTGCGGTGTCGGAACGAGATCCCGATTTAGGACTGGAAAGTTGGTTGAATAAGAATCTACATTAAACTGATCCCACCCGATAGATACACATCTCCAGGGTAAGCTGAAACTTCCTTTGTTCCGTCTTCCAAAGTTGATCGTGTTGTCAAACGCCCATAGACCAAGGTAAACGATATCATAAATCCACAATTCTACCTGTTGTCACCCTCTCCATTCTCAGCTCAGCAGCTGGCCCTACTCAGCAATGTGTCGTGGGAAGTCAAATTCACCATCAAAGGTGGTTTCTCCCAGATGATGAACGACCTTTGGTCATCCCAGGCATATGAATCCTTTTCAAGAGTCATATCGAAATTCCACAACAGCTTCGTGACAATCAGGCCCATCTCCGCATACGCGAGGCTATACCAAATTCTTTAGTTCAGGTATGCCAGGCTTAGAATTAAGTGAAGAGTAACTCACTTTCTGCCCAGACAATTTCGGGGCCCGATTGAAAATGGCTGCATGACGTCCCGGTTATCGAACGCGAACTTGGGATCAATACCGTCGAGCCACCGCTCGGGAATGAAAGAGTCTGGCTCGGCAAAATTGTCTTTCGAGTGAAAAGCAGAGAAAAACGCCATGGATACCACAGTCTACCCATATTCAGTGAGAGAAAAGCGTATAATGGATATCAATGGTATAACCTACCCCTCCAGGAACGAATTTATCATCAATGATGCTACCTCCATCGGGAACTATGCGTGTGATTATACCGGGTACTGGCGGGTACATACGCAAACTCTCCGCCACAACGGCATGGAGGTAAGGAAGCGCTGAAGCGGAAGCAACATTGATCTCTTCTTCACTTTGAAACGATCCTCTGATCTCGTCCACTAGTCTCTTATACGTACGTTCGTTCTTCAGGATATAGAAGGTGAGTCCACACAACAGAGAAGCTGTTGTTTCGCTACCGGCGAGAATCAAGATAGCCCCGTTGGACTCTATTTCGTTCTGATTCATCCCCTTCCCATCACCGTGTTTGAGAATATATGTCATGAAATCTGGCCTGGAAGACTTGACGCGAAGGCGACGATCGACCTTGTCTTTACTCATCAGGTAATGATGATTTCTCATTTGCTTAACCTTGGCTGGAATCATTTTGCCCACCAACCATAGTGGCAGGAGTGCAACAAGAGGTCTCATAAATACACCAACTTTTGCACTTTGAAAAACGGCCGTCACCCACGGATGGTAATCGCTGTTTTTAAGACAATCAAATGACTCCCCGAAAGATAAGTCCCCGATTATGTCAAATGTGGTATAGTTGTACCATTTAGTCATATCAACCGAGTTACTTGAGGAATCGACATGGCCTTGGAGTCTCTTGACCAACAAGTCCACATAGGATTGGAGGAGAGGCTCCTGCTCTCGTAATGCTTTATCAGAAAGTGCATGCGATAGTAGGCGTCGCATCCTCGAATGGTCTGCGTCGTTTGCGTTTAAGATGCTAGGCCCCGCGGGACCCTGGATGTACAATTCGGGGTCTTTCACGAATGAGTCCGCGCCGGCGTCACGGTGGCTGTAAATATCCTTCCATCCTGTTGGGCTGCGGTACAATAAGGTATTAGGGCCGAATCGCACGACATCGCCGTATTGATCGTGGACCTCCTTGATTTTAGAATGAAGCTTCCCCGATAGTGTCCAGTAATAGTAGTAGGCTTTCGAAACCACCGCCAGTTTGGGGCCGGGATATATACGTAGCGGGTGCAGATATATGTTGTAGAAAGCGCTCCATATTGGGTACGCCGTCACCTTTGCGTATTTGAATCTCAGTTGGTCCATCCAGAGAATGAAGTATGAGGAGTGACACAAAACCACCAATAATCTAGGAAAAGAAAGGAACACCAGATGTTTGTACTCACTATTGCTAGCAGTAAGGCCACAAGGTCTCGCCACGCCCATTCCAAGAGCACAGGCATCGCGACCAAAGCCATGGCAAGACGACTGTAGAGGAATAACTATCTAGGATAACCAGATTCCTGCGTCTATATGTATTTCGTATTCCCCCATCGCTGGACTTGCAGGCTGGTAGTATCTAACTAGCCGGGATATGCATAAATGACGTGGAGAAACGGCCGCGCATGCGCAGTGAAGTCGACCGCCGCGTGCGTAAAGACAGCTATCTCCATGTTGGATGAAGAATTCCCAAAGCATTTAGGGTCAAGGACCGAAGTCTCCGAGTTTCGAAAGAATAGGTCAATTGACCTTGTGCGTCATTAACGCTCATGCAGCAGAACCCTACACCGAGTATCTCCGATTTGTCGATTCCGCTTATTCGCAGATCATCTTCGCGCATAACCCCCACTGCAACCCGCACCTCTACCTACTAATCTAAACAACAGGCTTAATTACCTAGGTAGTCGTTATTCTGTTGCATCTGGTGGTGAATGGAGGGTGGTAGAATATCACTAACTTCGCCTAGATTCGAGGCATCGATCAATTTACATAACCCTTTCGGAAATTTTCAGAAAACACAACGGGGTACGGAGTTGAAACTTGAGAAAATACTGCCCATTCGGTTCAAATCTTTCCATAGATTGTAAAAGCCGATCACGGTCTCTTAGAAGCTCTAATCCTCATTTCTTCTGGGTAATAAGGAAGTTAATCGCCCACGATCATAAACTCAGGAGATATCACAAAATGGCCATCTAGTAAATAAAGTAGGCAGCGGTAGAACTCTTTCTAGTATTGATCTTCTAGAGGTGAGGAATTTCCTATTAGTGAGCGTGGGGCATCTGATAGCTGACGAGGTTGAAAACACTTAATAGCATCAAGTACCAATTGTAGGGGAGATTCATAATCAAGTTTATTATCAAGATATCTCTCTGAGAAAAGACACTGGTAATACCTATATTATTATATTAGTAGGTAGTATAAAGTAATATATAGACCATATACTTACCAACGGTGGATTTGGGCTGCAAAAACAAAGTGTATATCAGTATCTGATTTCTCGGCATGGAGCCACCCATTTGCCCAGACTTTATCAAGAGCTTGTTTCATTCCTTCACTCTTATCCTCATAGTTAGACCCATATATCCCGTCATAAACAATAGCTTCCTTGAGGACACTGGCGGGATCATGCTTTTGTATTATGGGGACCAATACAGTACTGTATCAGCTAGAAATGACCATCTTGACACCTTTTTAGCTGAACGGTAAAGTTGACAGCCAAGTACAAGGCCCCACCGTGAGGAGCAACTCGTGTTTGGTGGTGGTAGAGGGTGGTGTTAAAACCGTGTGGGAGAAAGCGAAGGGGTCGAAGGAGAGGAGGAAGGAGCAATAGGAGATTGAGGGGAAATAAGTTCGCCATCGTGTCAGTCATAGAACTGCTTGAATCGCTTGTCAACTGTCCCATTTATAAGACTTAGCTCTAAAGCTCTGTTGACAAGCAAATGCCACTACCACAAGTTTAACAGTGGCGGTTAGTAGTAATCTTGGAATTCACTTGGGTCATTTAAAGACCTGCCGGAATAGCTGACCTAGTATCAGATGTTCAGCTTATAAGGTAGGATTCTGAAGAAAAAGAAAAGGGGGGAGATGATGATTCTTAAAAGATTCTTCCAGTAGGGAGTGAAAAGTGATGGGTTTGATGATGCTAAGTTGTTGGCTTGTAGAGGGAGTAGTATCTATGTACATACGGAGTATATGTACTCCGTACGGCCGGCGTCGTAACCTCCTTCCCTGTTTGTTGGCTAACTTTGGATCTAAATAAAAATAAAGTCGCACATATCCAGATTAACACCAACCGTCTATTGTTATCAGAATGACTGCCTCACTCTGTTATTTTGTATTCATCAGATGGCACCTCTCTCTTCTCGACACTTGCATGCTCCTTTGATTTCTCGACCATCCAAAGCTTCTTCCGCGGGGGCATTGAAGGTTCTGCTTGAGCTTTTCGTCGGAACTATCTGCATATTCGTCCTCGCCGTTTTATTCTGGAAACTTGGGCGGTTTTTTCGTGCTTTCACCAAGGGAAAGGTCCTTAAACAAGGGAATCTTCCAACGACTCGGTACGCGAAAACTTGGTACGGATGGGTGTCATTGAAGCAGCACGAAGCCAACAAGAACTTTTTTCGGAATGTATGGTGCAGAATACGCAAACTCTCCTCATGGAGATCGTCAAAGGCGGATTATCAATGGGTTTGGTGGGATCCCGGACAGAAGAATTTTGAGACATACAATGAGAAACGAACTGCTTTACGATGCTTGCCGAAGCGGGCTAGGAGCTACGCATGTCCAAAAGCGAGTTCCATCTCGGACCCTCACGGATGTGCTTGCCATCATGCTCAGCCAGATCAGAGTTTAAGACACCAGTGTTCTATTGCTGCAACTGGAGCGCTTCCAATCCCTGAGCATATCCGATCTGTTGTTTGGTCAAGACAAAGCATCAGGCACGCGAGTATATGTATGGAGGAAACTCGCGGCAGCAGTTTATCTGCACGAACTGTAATCACCCATACACTAGAAATCACTGATATTTCTAGTAACCCCATTGCTCCCGGCACTGCCCCTGTCGTACTTATTGGACAGAGAGAGTTCATGTCGTTAGACGAGTCCGTTTGTTTCGTCAGCGCGAAGCGTATCGCTCTCGATCTCGGGGACTACATTCCATTAATCCCACAGAGTTTTTCGGTGCCATGTCTTCCTCGTCCTGTGACTTTCTCAGGGCAGTCACATATACGATCTAATACATCTTCCAGACCTAAAGTGCTAGGAGCCGAGGAGGCGTTCCCAACCTGTATGTCAGTGCTCCAGTGCTCACGAAAGTACCAGATCTGGTCCGCTCGGATGGGATTACAGACACTGCAATGTATCGGATACAGCACGCATACACTTCCAAGGCCTCCCCCCGGGAGCCCAAGGTCTACACTTCTTCGGAGTATTTCGTTCGATAGCATCGCCCTAGACCACATTCGACTATATGGAGCGCCGGCAAGACGAACTAATCGAAGGTCTTCTCTAAATCTCAACCGGCTTTCTCTCTCCAGCACTGAACGGGATTGTGGTTTTAGAGGGTCAATCTTAGAGAACGATCAAGAGCAGAGTAGTGGCCCACCGACATGGCACTGTGCGCGTTACATATCTAGTGAATCAACCTCGTGTCGCTCCCTACCAGGGCTACTCTCACACAAACGCCCTAGACATTGTCCGCATAGCCTAAGCACAGGATCTTCTATCAAGAAGACAAGAGGAAAGCAGCCACCGAGGGCTGCAACAAAAGCGGCGGAAGTACCTAGTTATGCTCTGCAAATCAGATATCTAAGTAACTGGGAGATACGTCTCATAGATGGCTTGAATCGAAAACTGAATTGGCTGTCGGACCAGTTAAGTCCTGGTAGACGGCCATTTCATTTTGCCCTACTTGCAAATCACTGGCTGAATAAGGAAACTTGGATTGTCTATGATCCAGCCTCGCGCACTAATATCGACACCAGGCGCAAACTAGGCGATCCGAGATTCAATGTCCCATATCCAGCAGCGAATTGGGCTCCTAAACTGAAGTACTCTCGGACTTATCACAAGCCGGCCCACACCCCAAATATTAATTCTTGGAGGGATTCTATTAACCGGAATAGAAGAGCGTCGGGACTCAAAGACCTAATAAAAGGCATCGATCTATATGACAGCTCAATCGAGGATCCCCCGGATGGAAAAGTCGACCCGGCCTGTTGGATGCTGCGAAAACCACCGCAGGGATTTCATCTTTCTGCCCACCAGAAAGAGAGATACTATGAGGGCGGAGCTGGCTGGCAAGAAAAATTAAACGACTGGCAGAAGGTTCGACGTGGCTATCGAATTCGAAAGGGAATATTTGAGGGCAAGGCCAATAGGACGAGGGCGAAAGAGATTGCAAACGGAATAAATAGGTATTACCGAATGGCAAGATCGAGAGCCCAGAGGTCCGAATCTCCTGTATCAACATAAACCTGGCGCTTCAGCAGGCTTACGGATTGTTTATGGTTTTTTTCGTGGCACTACAACAGCAAGATAGGTTGCAGGATATGGAGCACTTAGACCTCGTTATTAGGCCCATGCTTTCAATCTCTTGCATGGTAATATGAATTCACTCTGTTATCTTTGCCCTCGTTTCGACTTGTCAAACATGAAGCTGGTGAAGACTGATTTGAATTCTAGTGTAAATGCTTGGTAAAGAAATAAAAGATAATCATACAATCAGGGGCCGCTCCCCATTCCCAAGAACTCCGTGAATCCATCATATGTTCCTTCTCACCTTGGTGCTCTGCTATAAAAACAAGTACCGCCTGTACAGGCAGTGGTGTATCGTACAGTAATAGTGCAATTGTGCTTGCAGATGTCTGCGTAAGGGTGCCAAGGAAGATATCGAGCTAGATTTTTGCGACTGATGGCGTTTAGAAACCTGGAGGGTTGACACGCTGGCTGACTCTGGTCCATTTCGGCAACTCTGAGAAGGGACGAATTCGCATTAGCCTAATTCCTCGCGTTTTCCCCCTTATCCTCCCCTTATTTGACAAAATCGGCCTTGGGAAATTCCCCCATCTAAAGTAGCCGGGGGGGGTTCATCAAGAGGGATAACGTACTGTGGATACCCTTTCGGTAGGTCTTCTCCTTCTTATCGAAAATGGTGTATTTGTCCTTTGGTAGCATTTCCTCCTCCCGAGGCATTTCCCTGTACCACCTCTCGACTGCCTTGGTTGTTTCTCCATTGCGTAGTAGAGCTGCACTAAGGGTGTCTACAACTCGGTCGACGGCACGAAGACGCTTCCTTTGGCGGGCTTTCTGGGGCTGAGAGATACGCCATGGGATCTTCCTGTTCAAAAGATTAGTCTTAACACGGCCTGTTCCTGGTGTTCCTGGCGGTAGCGGGCTCAATGGATGATCACTTGTGGGCGGACTGCCGCCACAGCCACACGTCTACAGGGACGAGGAGGGGGAAACCTACCAAAGAAGACCCGAGAATAGCGGTGACGAAGGCTTGAACATCATGGTTATATGGCTCAACAGGAGAGAAGGTGGGTTCGCAGAGTCTCTCCAGTTGTAATGGACGATGATCTGAAGAGACTCGCAGCAGCAGCCGAACGGAAAATCCCGTCCAGGTTGGTTGGTCCGTGCGCGCGTCAACCTCCGCGGGCGCAAAGAAAATCCCAAAAAACAAAAAGGCCAATGAAGTCGCCGACTGCCTTCACGCCGCTCTCTCGGTTGTTGTGGTTCTTCTCTTCTCCTTTCTCTCCCTCCTGCAGCGATCTTTGTCTTCTCTTTCGATTTACATTCATTCTCTGTGTTGCTCCGTTCGTTTCTTAGGTTTTGTTCTTGATTCATATGGATTTCCTGTAGAACATCGACACCAATGTCGCGGCCTACGGATTCCGGTGCAACGGGCGAATGCCCTTCGCTCTTTTGGAGGGCGCTCTCCTCTACCACAATGGTTGGTGTTGCGGCGCTGTGTCGCTCGTTTCTGTTTGTGTGCAGTCGCCCTGAGATTCATGGCCTGGAACCGTTCCTGGAGCTTCTTGACTCGAGGAAGGACCCGTCGCAACTCACAAAGGGTTTGCTAACAGGTACGAATTAGTCCTCCGGCCGCGGTTTCGGTAATATAGCTGAGGATAGAGTAAACTGATTTGCTTTGACAGTCTCGAACCATATTAGCGTGTACGTGCGTGTAATGCGCCTCCACAACCGAGGCAGAATCTAGTGACCTCTACTCTACGAGAGCGCTGACTCGAGCAGTATGGATGATCCGCTGATGTGGGGGTTTCTCCCTCTAAAATACTTCTGGGGACTTGCGTCGACAAGCAAGCGATGGGGATTCGGTAGCCACGATATCTGCTATCAAACACGGTATGCTCCCCAGGCTATCTTTGCGACCATGCCTATACATTCCGCTTGCGCTGACTGGGAACATGACAGACCGCTGTCTCTATTCTTCTCGATGGGCCAAGTCATGCCCACTCACAGGCTCGCCCACTCGCCGTATGGAGGAATTGCTCAGCCTGCCGTGACACAAGCGATCCGACTCCTGTCGAAAGGACCCTTCCCCGCCGAACCTCATCTTGCATCCCCGGAGCGTCAGAAATGGAGCTTGCAGAACGTTTGTGTAGATCCATTCTCTGATCTCCCTACGGCCTACACCACGGACGGCGAAGATTCCCACCTAGCGCCTTCCGCTTACTCCTGCAACTCCTTCGCTTGGGTTCATATTTTCCCGGAAGGAAAAATCCACCAAGCCCCAAACAAAACTATGCGATACTTCAAGTGGGGTATTGCGCGACTCATCCTCGAAGCCAGCGAATGCCCCGACGTGGTTCCAATCTGGTTGGAAGGGTTCGATCAGGTCATGCACGAGAGTCGTGAGTTTCCACGGTTCCTTCCGCGGCCCGGAAAGGACGTGAGTATTACTTTCGGCCAAAAGGTGGATACAGAGGCTGTTTTCGGGGAGATGAGATCGAAATGGCAAAAGCTCAAGGCGAAGGTTGAATTGGCTTCTCCTGAGATCCGTGACCTCCCGCTCGGCGCTTTGAATGATGAGCTTCTATATGGGGCTGAGGCGGTCGAGCTAAGAAAAGAAGTTACCAAGAAAGTTAGAGACCTCGTGCTGGAAGTACGACGTTCCAGAGGCCTGTCTGATGAAGATCCCAAAGCTGGTCTTGTGGAAACCTGGATTCAAGAAGGCCCCAAGCGTGAGGGAAAGATGGACGATGAATCCTGGGTTCGGGATGTATGAAGAAAGAAAAAAAAAAAAAAAACATAGCTGGACTCTACTGGGCATACTGTAAATTAGGTGACAACGGGATAGACAAATGTACAAACAATTCAGAGATAGTTAGTTACTCGTGGCGCAATGTTAGAGTCAGCACTTAACTAAGTCAGCCCCAACCGACCCCTCATCCGCCCTCATCTACTTTTATCTTCTTCCATTCCCTCGCTTTTGCTCTCTTCTCTCCCTGACCTCAAGCACCTATGCCCAAGAAGCACTATAAAAACACCTTCGCAAAACCAGTCAGCACCGCTCATCATAGCTTAGCCACATGCGGGCCCCATAATAGCCGCTCATCCGCCGCCTCAAATGGAGAGCAACGTTCAGTCAACGATCTAATCGACCACCTCCGGCGAACCCAGGTAGCATCTTCGTCAGGCGATACTCCTGGCCCGTCTCGACATGTCGCGCCTCGATCAGTGCATCCTTCCCTACGAAATCTCCTTGAACTTCCCGAAACACCTCCACCTCGACCCCGTCCGGATACCCGCCGTGCTGGGATAATCGGGCGACGGCTGAGGAGAACAGCTGGGCCACCGCCGCCTGCAAGTTGGCTTGCAGGAAATAATGCTTCGGGCGATGCTTCGGATGATGGTGTCGATGCTACCAGCACAGCGACTGTTATTTATCGACTTGGCCGTCTGCCGGGGAGGGATTTTCCACCCCAGGGGAGCTTCCTGGATACTTTATTGAAGTCTATGGCTCTCCATTGGCCATGGCATGTCGCATATGACGGGCAATTTCTGGGCTTGTTGCCGACCCACGTAAAGATATTGCTTCTCAGTTATATCAGTTATTATGCACGAGATCTGCCACTGAGAGGGCTGATGCACGGCCTCAGACCCGTGTTCGAGACTCCGCAGGATCCTGACCACGACGGAGCGGATCAGCTCAGTAGCGATGCGGAGGTTACGCACCTTGATCTTGGGGGCGCAATAGGGCGATGGATGTCGTTGAAGCAGCTCTCCACTGAGCTTTTCGTTTCCAAAAACCCGAACATAGTCCAAAATTCCAAAAATAAACCCGTCCCTTCTTCTTGGGAGGACGAATACAATGACGGAGCCGAAGCCTCTCCTACCGGACGTGGCTTCCCCACATCACTCCAGGGACTACGCTTCGAGAACCTACAGTTCCTCTCACTAGCGCACCCGAACCCAGTATCTGTGAACTGGAACTCGCTCATCAACCTGCTCTCGCGTCTATCAACCATCACTCACCTTTCACTGGCACACTGGCCCGTTCCAACCGTCACCCCGAATGCAGTCAACACTCGCATCCGCCATCCCACACACAGGTCCCTGACGTTCTCCTACGGCGGTACAGACCCATACTCCGCCATAGAGAACAACTGGGCCGAGGCGGCCGGTATCCTCCGCAAGCTGTCGCGTGTAACGTATTGTCTGAAATGGCTAGACCTAGAGGGCTGTGGCGACTGGATCCCAGCAATAAACTGGGACGGTATCGGGCCAGATGGAGAAGCGTACACCACAGGCCCTGAGTGGACCGGATCGTGGAGAGATATCGAATGGATCCGTCTTGGTCCTGGCTGGCTTCCGCTTATCGAAACCGATGAATTCCCGACTCAAGAATCAACCGAGACTTCTCCAACCAGCCTGCCAGTGCCCGTCCCAGCTCCCCAGTCCCTAGCGCATTCTATCTATGCGCCCCCCGGCGCACGGGCCGCCGCCGCCGCCGCCGCCGCTGCACTCTCTACGAACGCAATTGAGCAAAATTGGGATGTAGAGGTGGAAAGAAGAAAATACCGCCTAGCAAAGGAAGTAGAACATTTCCGGGAGACGGTTCGCGCCGCAAAGGCAGTTCAGCAACGTGTGTTACAAGCTCGGAGGGAAGGGCGAGGGAAATGGGTCCAATTCTCATTTGGGCTTGAGGATCTAGATGAAGATTTACTTCAAAAGTTACTGGGTGCGGATTTGTATCGAGAGTTTTTGTGATTTTTATTTATATATATCTTCTCTCCTCATCTTGTTGTGGGATGGCGTAAAAGCGGTCCGGACATATATATAGATAATCTCACGAGTGGTGTTGTATCCATAAATTATACTGGAACGCGAGGAATATGACGTTATCTTAGATATATATATATATATATATATGCATTCAATGCTTCCATGTACATACAGATTGTGGATTCCATAAAGACGCCCTTCCAAACATTATAAATGATGTGGATAATATTGATAATGAGTTCGCTCACTTGCGCCCCCTGTTAAATGTTTTCAATGGGTCAACCTTCCTCACACCAGCCGGTTTCCTACCCTTCCCTTTCCCCCGATTCTTATCTCTTGCCTTGCGAATCCGATTCTCGCTCGTTTTCCTGAATCCAACAAACCCAACATCCTCCCTCGAGATGCCCTTTTTCCCCTTTGAAGGCATCAGGTAATCAGGGATGTGCTTGAGGTGCGGCTGGATCCGCGCAGAACGCAACTCGCCATCGTGGCGCAGCTGGCGGAGTTCCTCCGGGTTCTCTTCAAAATGGCGCTTGAGTTTCTCGCTCTTGATCAGCTCCTGGCGAATTTCCCTGGCGCGAGCTTCCTGCACCGAGAGGCGGGTAATGGCACGCAGCGCATCGGTCATCCGGTACCGGAAGGCGTCGACCTGACTCATTTCGAAGTGGTATGGTTTGACCTCGTGGCCAAGTTTAGCCTGGCGCTTGATTATCTTTGCGATGACGGTTTCGTCATGCTTCGCTGTAGGGATGGAAGTGGGTTTGTGCTTGCCGTATTGGTCTACAGGGACGACGAAGGAGAGCGCCATGCCAGTTTTGCCTCCTCTGCCTGTACGGCCGATTCGGTGGGTGTAGGATTTGGACGTGCTCGGAAGGTCGAAGTTAAGGACGCAAGCGACGTTCTGGAAATCGATTCCACGGGAGATACCGTAGTCCTTTGACTTCGCTGAGAGCTTGCGGCGCTTGGATTTGGTGGATGTTTCTTGCTCTTCTTGTTCTTCTTCTTCTTCGCTGGATGCCATGCCCTCATCATCTTGGCCTTCGGCTGCTTCCTTGGACTTCCTGGAGGGTTTTTGTGTTCCCATGACTTCTTGTTCGTCTGCGGCGATAATAATGTCGTAAATGCCTTTATTGAACTCCTGGACAACGTGGATTCGAGAGTTGACTGGGAGTTCGGAGTTAAGCACACAGGACTTGATTCCAAACTGTTCGAGGAACAGCTTGACTCGGTAGCAACGATCCACGTCTCCGACGAAGATAATTACCTTACCCTTGATCAACTGGAGCTTGAAGATGACATAGGTTAGAAGGAATTTCTCATCCTCAGCGCATCTGTTTCAAATGATTGTCAGTCCCCGATTCCCATAAATCCACGAGTGTGACTAACCTGACAACAAATTGACTAATCCCGGCGCCTTCGTCATCCTTCTCCTCCAGTTTCAACACCACTGGGCTGCGACAAAACAGACCCTTCAGGGTATCCACCTCCGCAGTCAAAGTGGCACTCATCAAGAACGTCTGGACACCGCGGGGAATAGCCTTCGACAGAGCGTTAATATCATCCTCGTATCCGTATGAAAGCACCAAATCGGCTTCGTCAATGACAAAGTGGGTAAGCTTGTCCAAGGAGAGGGCGGAATTTCCAAGATTCGCAATAACACGAGCGGGGGTCGAGACAACAATGTCGGGGTAATCGGCGAGCATGGACCGCTGAACAGCATCCGAGACTTTTTGGGTCAGGTTTACGGAGCGTACATCCTTTCCACAGAACGCAGAGAATGTAGTGACGACTTTCTGGACTTGCTCTGCAAGTTCTCGTGTAGGGACGAGGATAAGACCTGTGGTGGCTTTCAAGGAAGGATCGGTCTGGTAAAAGCCTTTATTAGCACACGAACTCGCCTTGAATCTACCGTCATCATCATCAAAGGAGGAGACATCACGAACCGTCTTTTTCTGAAGGATGGTGTGCAAGATTGGAAGAACATAGGCGGCGGTCTTGCCAGAGCCGGTCTTTGCGCGAGCTGATCTCGTTAGTACTTCAGGTACTGCCTCCAGAAAAGAACATTCCACAAGTACCTAAAATGTCTTTCCCTTCAAGTGCGAGAGGAATCGCCTTGGACTGGACTGGCGTCGGCTTGTTGAATTTCTCTTTGATCAAGGCTTGGCGCAGTCGGGGATCCAGGTCGAGGCTTTCGAAGTCTGCGGTGGCCACCTCTTGGGATTCTTTTCCATCTGTGACCTCCGGAGAGGGCACATCGTTAGCGTCGAGCTTTCGTTTCATGTTTTTTACCCTGTCTGTCTAGAGAAATGAATGAAAATCAAGAATAGGCTCAGGTTGCGGAACTTTTTGAATTGCGAGAAAGTTTCGTCCCAGAAAATCTAGAGGGCGGTGAGAATTTCCGCGGCAGTATTTTCAGACTTTTTTTTTTCTACTAAACGGAATCCACCTATCAGATGCTTCGAAGTATGGAGATGGAGTATAAAAAAACAGCCAAATGCTTTCATTAAAATATCCTATGACAATCTAGATGAAAGCGCAGAATACTATCGAAAGAAATCAAGGACAAATGGAACATATAAATAAGTGTGGGCTGTACCGAAAATTTCTGTCGTTGATAAGATCGCGAGTCACTGTCATGCTGAAAGCTCACAAGATACCCTATTGAGTGCAATAAAGACAAGCAGTAAGCCGTATGTCAGCTGGGAAGCGTATATGGAGTGGAGCATATTAGGGTTGTTTCGTCAAACACGTATTGCGGAGAGACATAAGGGAAGTATCATGAATGGGTTGTCGTATCCAAAAGAACGAAATATTTAGCTTCTTGAGAAGTGAGCCCAGGTGAGCCGGATTTCACTTGGGCCTACTAAATAGCGAGTTCGGGCCTTGCATAATTGAGGAATTTGCTCATGGATCGTGAGGCGATTTCTCCGATTGGCAGCACCTTCACATTGTGCTCGACCGTGTAGATTTTGCCGAAATTGAGTCTTGACATCTCATCCAGCCTTTCATCATACCGAGCTGGAGACACCTCTAAAGGCTCCTTGGTCATTTCCGGCTCGTGGACGCTCCGGGTTGGGCGTGTATGAGTCATGTAAACCATAGCATGTTTCGATGGATTGACTCCAGATTTAGCAACACCCTGTCCACCATAGGTGCTTATCGGGCTGCGACAAGGCCGTGAGATTTTATTTCAAGATATTCAACGTATATTCCAAGGGACTTACAAGCACCAGGAACAGTCACTGAATACCTTGACGACCACCATCCGTCGGATTGTACTGTAGATGGGCTCTCCAAATTTACCCATAAATTGTGTAGTGCTCAAGTAAGTCCCGGGCTTTCCACGTCCATCATTCTCATGCCATAGAACCGAAAACACCTAGGCAGGGCTCAATTTTAGCGCGGGGTTTAATGATGAGAATTTGTGCAGCAGGTGGAAGAAGTATGCCGTGTAAACATACCTTTCCAACTCTGAAGTAATGATTAGACTGAACGACATATCCTGACACTGTTAGAGATGTCTGTAAAGAATGGCAATGAATGACGCACTTGGATCGAGCACCGCCGAGATTCGATATTCGGAACGCTTCTTTCAATTAGATGACGGCCACGACATATCACTGGGTTGTTCAACCTACCACTACCCGTTGAGCTGCAGGCCTAGGGTTTAAACTAGGTTCTTGGGGCACTAGCAGGGTGTTTGGTGTTAGAGTCTGACTGTAGCGGACTGAGTGCGGTGGACTCTGAAGAATAGACCCGGGTCGATATGTATAATTCGGGGACTCTTCTCTGTTTCAATGATCCCTTCGATCAACCTCTATATTATAACTAAGTATCCTTGTATTTGAGCCGTTCCCATCAACTCACGTGTTCACTGGCTGCTCAAAGGGCGACGAGCCACGATACATGGAGTGCCCTGCTGTCCGGGGAGTAGCCCTACTTTAGACCTTAGTAAAGGGCAGTGATGGGGAAGAGAGTCAATTCATACGATAATGCATAGCCTGGCGCGGGCTCTGACAGATTTTGGTTGGCACCTACTTCAAGTGTAAGTCTAGGCCATTTTCAACCGAGCTCCTCTTCATACCAGCACGCGCACTGGCGCCTCTGTAATCGCGGGAGTAATGATGAGCAGACATCATTGGAGCATCGCCCAAGAGCCATAAACAAGCCCAGGGACAGCTTGAACAGGGAACAAACTGCCTTTCCGGATCTCCAGCCCTACAACCAGAACGAAGTCGGTTCGGGTGATGCTGAAAAAAAAAGAAAAAAAAGAGATATTCACCTGATAACGACATGCTTATAACTTATGCTTCAGCCAGCAAAGTGAACGACGGCATCTCTTGCCACATCCCCCCAGATGAGGCTCTTTTCCATTCTCAACCCCCGCTTCCATTTCTGAGTCAACCAGATCGACTGCATGTCCTGAGTTGTCTTGCATATTTGCACATGACGTGAACGCGTCAGTGGTGATTGATGATTGACCGGATGATTCAAAAACCCCCCATCCTAGCGTGTTCTCGACAACCACCAGCTCGATATCCGTTGGTTCAAGGCTGCTAGCGTGGAGGGAGGGATAAGAATAATATCGGACCGCTGATACTACGATGGAATGGATGGTGCGGCACTAAGATCCAACCAGACGGAGACCTCCTAATACGAAAACATCCGTCTGCTGTGTAATCTCCTCGCTCGGATCGAAAGGATTCCACCCCTAATCGTCTGTTATTCGTCCGGCGACTTGTTGTTCATTCTCGACTCCAAGAAACCAGACAAAGGGTCAGAAACTGAGTTCAGAAAAGAGAGAGAGAGAGAGATTTGCTTTTCATTGGGTTAGCTCCGGTAATGTAGAAAGGGGTACTTCGAACTTCTTTTCTCGGGGGGAGTGCGTCCTGAAGGATAGATGCTCCCATTATCTATCGAAAGCATTACTCGATCATCATGGAACTGACTATGCACCATGGTCTCTGGGGCGGTCTACTAGGTATCTAAAGCAAATAATCCTCTCGGTATGAAACAAAACTATGGCGTCCGTTTGGGGAATATGTCCCCTTGCTGGTGTATATAGTTGTATTCCCTCAAGTGTCTATTTATGAATATCAAACCAATACCTAGACCTGAGTACACCAATCATTTGCTTTTAGGACCGGGTGCAAAGGTCTGGAATCACAATATTGGCGCTGTCAGGAGTTGAGGCCGTTCTCACAGCAGCTCATACCACTGGCCACTATACTCTAAAGGATAGAATGTATTGAAGCAACTACCAAGGCAGCGGAAATGCCGTCCATCCCACATGCCATGCTCCAATCGTCCGGGGCAGACTCTCAGCCTTGCGCAACCTCAAGGATGGTCCCAATGCAGACAGACCATCCATCTCGGTGACTTAGTCTGCTGCAATCTGACGACAACCGATAACCCTTAATCCCTGATATGTCGGACATGAGAATGGTCGACATTTCCGCCTATGAAATACTCCGCTGCGACGGGAGGTGTCCAAGCGACGTGTCAGGTTTGTTTGCGCACCAACTCACGCTTCCTTTTTTTTTTTTTTTTTTTTTTTTTTTTTTTTTGGTTGGATTGATTATCCCCATCAGGGAGAGAGAGTACATAGGGCTGGGTTTCCAACTCTCTCCTGACAACCCTCCCCCCATTCTACCGCAGCCCACGCTAGGAACGAAGCTAACTCCAACGAGGATTCCAGGGGCGGCATAACTATTCTTATTATGCTAGCTGGCACCTTGAGCTTGAAGTTCGATCGTAAAGTCTGACCCTTTTTCAGCCCAGGTTGAAGTGGGTCGTCATAGTGTGAGCTAGTTCGTGTCTCCCCGCCGTGATGGGGATGCAGGAAGGGAGAGAAGAATGCTAGACTTCGTGGAAGCTCTCGGGAGCACTGTGTCGCATTTGCGGATCAGGGCAGCAAAGGGTCCCAAGGAATGGGTAAGAATGCGGACTTGAGCTTTGCCCCCGTTCCCGACTTCGCTAACGATACCCGCATTATGTATGCTGCAGTACCGCCGGAGCAAGGCCCATAATCCCATTAGATCTACGAGCATCAAAAGACATGATACGCAATTTTCAACCTCCTCTACTCAGTTGCGACGGCTCCAGCTACAGACTCCAGGCTTGGACTATACAAACTATCATGTTCGTGGGCCTGATGGGGAGGATAGTTGCGCAAAATCAAATCGGGAATCGGAGCCAGCTCCTATTCCCAATGGACCCAGTAAGGAATCCATTGGAGTTGTACAAGACGATCAGGACAATCATCTCAACGCAGAGGATCCTGGAACATCAGAGGAACAGAATCGCCAATCCGTGGAGCACTCTGTATCTGAACTGGGCGAAGAAGTCCCCAACCCTATAACCCCTCGCGAAACTGAGCTTCTCGCTGCCAACGAGAGGTTAACCGAACAGCAAAAGGATGTTTCGGCAAAAAGATTGCAAGTCCGCGAGTCACGTCTGGCCCTTAGATACAAGCGGGAAAAGGAACTGGAGCTCCGAGCCCGGTTAATGAAGGACCTCAACTCATTTTTTGCAAATCACCACCTTCCAGCGGGAGACCCGATTCTGCGCGAATACGAACTCCTCCAGGGAGCCAGCCAGGAATACTCGAAGATGGAAAACAACTACCATCAGCAAGAGGACGACCTAGAGATGGATGAGTATATGCTCACACTCTCCATGGAAAGTTTCGCGGGGCTGTCAGAAAATGGTCCTTGGCCAGATCTACAAGATCATCTTGCCTTACCAGCTACACAGCCGGAGCACGATGCCCTGGATGAGACACCTCCGTGTGTGATCAACTATCTATCCCGCATCGGCGATGAGCGCATGCTTCAGGAGCGTCTCTCGGATCTTGAATCAGAATGGTTCCTTACCATCGAAAAGCAGGCACAGAGACACCATCTTCAGTTACCACTGGACAAGGAATCAGAAGAGTTCCTTCAGAACTTTGATTCGCTACGACAGAAAGTCTGGAGGGACCTGAATAACGCCCAGCTTGACGTGAACGAACTACGGATCATCTGCGTGGACCAAGGTATCCAAGATTTCGACTATGAGGATCTGGCTTCCCTTCATCAATACCCAAACGAGACTGTTTTCCACCAGGAAAAGGATCCGCTGAAGCTCCCACCCCAGGCGAACTTTCATTTTTTTCTCGATCTTGACCCAGCAGACTATCCCACTGCCCAAAATCCGGACTGCCCCGCAAATTCTTACTTCTTCCTCTTCCGAGAGCTCGAGCGAGCAAAGGGCTTCGGTGCAACCGAGTTCATAAACAGGTGGATGCTGCACCAGCTCAGGATTTCATCCATGGGTATTTGGCAATTACAATTGCTCCTTGACTGGCAGGCCTTGCGAGACCAAGGCTGGCAAGATGGCGATATTAGCCAGAATGCCCTGGACAGGTGGTTTTCCGACGAAGCCGCGATGCCGTCCTCTCCGAGCGATTCATATACAAACAACGGTCGTCGTTCAAAGGCAAACTCTCTCGAAATGGCCCAGCACATCAAGAGCCCATCGTTGCCTTTGTTAACAAAAGTAGTTCCTGCGAGTGGTCGTCTGCGACGTCACTCGATTCAGTAAGTATTTATTCACTTGCTTATTCTCTCTCTCTCTCTCTCTCTCTCTCTCTCTCTCTCTAGGGTTTATCGCTTTCTTCTTTCTGTTTATCTCCTTTTATTATCCGTCAGTCCAGACATCTACTTCTTGCAGTAGGTACCTGGGTATTCTTCATATCGGTCCTATTTGGGTTCAGCATCCGCAGGTATTCAGGGTTATAGACTTACATCTGACTATTTATTTAATTTACTCTCTCTCTCTCTCTCTCTTGGGTTTGTTCTTTTTCTCTACTATTTTCTCCCTTCTCATATTACTTACTCCTGTATTACTACATGCATCATCTTCCGGGGGTTTTCACTAAATTGAATCCGTCATCCTTCAACATTTGTCAGGTGGTTATTATTACCACTACATTACTACTACTTGCTAGGTAGGAGGTAGGAGGTAGGAGGTAGGTAAGTAGTTGCTTCATCTCCAAACACACCTAAGTCTTGATTAATTTCTCCTGTCGTACATAACACTACGCTTTTAAAAGCATTTACTCTAGTACTAATACCTAGCTAAGGTATTATTACATTAGGATAATATTGAGGGTTCATCTTCCTTCGTTCAAGTTTGATATCAGATCAGATCAGACCAGATCAGGCTAGATTGTGAGGTGTATGTACCTAGGTAGGTATCAACGTTTATTTGTATGGGAAATACAGAAATAAGAACCCTGGCATCAAAGAAACAGAAACATTCAATTCGAAATTACACAATAACAATCAATCAATCAATCAATCAATTCGTCGGTTCCCATTATCCTTGTCGTAGACACCCCATACCATCCCAATTCTCGTGTATGTAAAGACTTAGTCATTGTTTCATTCGCTCGTTAATCCATTACCCAGGTTCCCATGTTATTTACAATTCCATCGCAGTGTTTCGACCAAGCCAGATCAAAGAAAAGAAAAAAAAAAAAAAAAAAAGGAGAAAATGATGTTGTTGTTAATTTATCGTTTATGAATATCGGGTTTCGCCATCACTGTCGCTCAGACTGTCTCTGCGTCGGCTATGTCCACCATCACGTCTGTAGCCCTTACTTAGGCCGGGGATCGGATGGTGATAGCTCATCGTGCCCAGGTCTTCTTCCTCGGTTCCAACATTAGAGTACTGGTACTCCGATCTTGAAGGGGCGGCGGAGGAAAAGTCGAGTGGCTCAGTGTAGTGGCCTCCAGAACGAGATTCACGTTTACGAGGGCTGCTTTGGCGAGAGGACGCGGGAGGATTGCGATGTCGTTCCCGGCGGCGATTTTGGCGACGAGTAGAAGCAGAAGGCTCGCGCAGCGCATGTTCTGCTGTTGTTTGGCTGATAGTATCTTCGCTTCCGGGGACAAAGGAAAAATTCCGGCTTTGTCTAGCAGGCTCATAGGCATAGTCACGGACCTCGGTCATTTCGCTTTGTTGATAGTAGCTGGGTGGGTTCGAAGTATCGTAGTCACTACCGTAGTATGTGCCGTCTGCTTCACGGTTAATACCACCAATTTGGGCCGGTTTCTCTCTGCGATAAGCGCGGACATCGTCATCTGCCTCGCCTTCCCAGTTCTCGTCCTTGTGCCGGCGGAGGAATTTTTCACGGAGGTTGCGTTTCTTCCTGGGTTCCTTCTCAGAAATCATGGTTCCGGTTTCAGTGTACCCGTCATCAGTATAGCCTTTACTGACAATACTGCCTCCGCCCAGCTTCGTGCTCTTTGTGGCGTTGGAAAGCGTGCGGCCATCAGGTCCTTTGCGTCGTAGAACGGTCGATTTGTAATCTTCCCAGTCACCCTTTCGCCAAACAAACCCGCCATTTTTTGCCCAGAAGAAGAACCAGATGGTTGCCAAAACGAAAAGCGCGCCAATAATTGCAAACAAGGCATACAGGCCTCGCATGTTAATGTCATTGGGGTTCACTGACCCGGAACCGGGGGTGTAGGTATTCTCGGCTCGAGCGATAACGGTATGAAGACCACCACCTGTGGAGGTCAGGTCTGTCTCCAAATTGCGAGAGGCATGTTGGTTATTGTCGTTATCAAGAATGGATCGACCAAGAATGCTGGAAAACCAAGTCGCGTGCTGGACAGGAGGCATGGTGAATGGAGCTGTCAAGAGCACACAGCTCAAGACGAAACCCTTTTGTGGAATTTCGTCAGTAACGGATTCAATAATATTTAATCAAAAAGTTGGTACCTAATGACAGGTATGGCAGGCTTCTTGAGTTGATAAGTTCGAGTTTAGCTCCACTCGGTCACTATCGTTATAATGGAAAGGGACTATAGTCCTCAAGACATATACTGGCCGATTTCGAGTCAGTTCACAGACACAACGAAGATTGACAAAAAAAAGTAAAACTGAGTAGTGAGGAGTAAGAGGAAGCAATTCAAGAGTGAGGATCGAACGACCGGGTCCCCAGCCCGAAATTGTGGTGGTTGGAGGAAATGGGGGAGGCTGGGGATGACGCTCTTTTGTTTGGGTGGCGGCGATGGCCCGGCAACTGGCTGAGTCAGCGATCTTATCACTGACAGGTGGGTTGGGCGCTAACCATGTACAGTTAGACTGGTTGATTCCAGATTTTTCTTTCTTTCGTATACTCCGTAATTAGGCACAGTAGGACTGTATGGGCTCTATAAAATAGCTCGAAGCAAAAATGCCATCCACCACAGCTCTTTTCCATACTCTCAATATCAGTTATGGCTGTCTTGGTGGGAGATTTGCTCTCGGATTCTAATCGACACCGCACTTTACCCCAGATAAACAAATCCGCCAGAGCAGGGTCCCGCCGAGACAAAATCTAGGATTTAAAGACACCGTTCCACAGACAGCTGGAATTGATTAAAAGTCTCATTATCCCCGCTACCTACCAGTCCCGATAGGGTTACTCCAGGGCGAAGACCACATCCTAATGAGGAATGGGCTCTCATATTTTGTTAGCTGTAGCTATGGTATACCCCGCCGATGAAGACCCGACATGATCTGACCCGTCTTGCCTACTAGTACAGACATTCGAGCTGGCAAGAGAAAGCACTAGAGTAAATCTCCTAATCTGCGGGATTATGGATATACCATATTTTGGTAGTGTAGCGTATTCGTTACCACGGATAAAAGGATATTTATCCAAACAACTTCCGCATCAACAAAGTAGGTGGTCACGATGCGTCCACTAGATGGAGAAGCACAGCTGCAGGTATGCATAAGATGCTAGAGTATGAATCTTCTCTAGAACATTCGCTGCCTTTTTTTTTTTTTTTTTTTAACAATGACGATTGAGGAATTTACTACTCTATGGAATTCCGGTTTCGGAGGAATCCATGACGAAGGCCACATACGTATTTATGCATGTATGTGTGTATGTATACCCTTGCTTCAGTGCACAGAACCAAGCCCATGTTGAGTATATTCTAATACTACTACTGCGGCCCAGTTATAGATGGAGGAACAGACTGGAACAGATCTAAATCAGATGGCAGTTCAGGGATTTAGGTTGTGCAGTACATTAGCTTGTCGAGTTCGACTGGATTGAGGACTTGGTTTGGAGTATCTGGTGTACTCCTACTACTCCTACTACTACTACTCGAGATGACTAGGGCATATGTGTGTATCTGTCCTGTGTAGTATGGATGGAGATATACATGATTTTACTGGTAGATACTTCTCCTACTGACAGTACTAGCAGCATGTATACAGACTCTACATATATGGATGAAAACACCTCGATATTGCTGCTGTTACCAACAGGGAGGTCATGCTGCGGGAGACGGCATAGTCTAATTTGCAAGGTGGCAAGGGTTCTTGATCATGTTTGGTAGAAACCTTGTAGAAAGTCGCACATAAAAACCTTGAGGTAGATTATAGTTCGGCCTATAGAGAAAAAAAAAAAACGCTACTGCTTCTGCGGTTACTACAATTAGATACATACGAATGTAGGAGGGTTTTCAAGACCCGTGACTCATAGAAACAGTCTTGGGCAGCAACGCTCGCTCCCTGGTCTGGGGTCTTTCGAGACACTGTGAGAGTCAGGCGTGCAGAGGATGAAGATCCATACTACTCGATGGATGACCCTCATCAAAGGCCAGCCAGTTGTGGCAAATGGATAGAAAAAGGATGGTCAATACTGTAGGAGAAAAAGAAACATCAAACATGGAATGCAGGCGTTGGGATGCAAATGACATAAAGCAAGAATTAAAGTTATATAGCAATCAGCCTCACTGGAAAGGATCCAGTACAGCCAATATTCTGGCTCTAAGATAAAAAGAAGAGGGAAAGGGAGTTTGTGGGAAATCGCGAGAACGACATGCAGATGGAAACTAACCAAGAAAGTGGATACATAGAGCTGACTCTCCACCCTGGCACCCAGTGCTGCTGAAAAAGAAATTGTTTACTGCCTAAGATGAGTCACCTCATAAGATTTGAATAGTACTGTAAGTATAAGACTCTTTGTTAGGACAAGGAATCAGACGGGAATATTTTTTTTTATTCTTCAGTGCCCGAGGTTGTTGAGAAAGAACATGGTTGAAATACTGTTGTGTAATCAACTACATAGAAGACTAGCATCCCCTGTACAGTGTAGGCAAATGATGGGTTGATTCGGGTGAGACAGAGAGATTCGTTATCAGGGCATTTGATATTCCATACAGTAAATAATATACAGAGTACACAAAAATGATTAATGGACTACGAGTAATTTGTCGGGTGGAAAATTTTCTAGCGTGCTTCGACTCCGTCTTCTATGCTCGTCGCTCACCGAGCCCCTCCGCTTTAGAGGCACACAAGGAATGTATGGATACTAAATTATTGGGAATTTTCCCTACCGTTTCTGAGTGGGGATTACTCCTTAGTTAGGACTGTTAGGTACCTAAGTAGATACCTAGGGAGTGGTATTGCCTCCAGACCGGTTCTTCAGAGAGGTGGCGAAAGTGTATAAACGGTCCTCTGTGGGTGATGAAAGAAGAAACCTCCCCCCTCTTTGTTAAGAATTGATAATTGAAATTTAAGAATTAGAAGAGATATTTTCAAGTCATCTGCAGATCCGAATGGAAACAAGGATGCTGGTGCCGGTGTGGAGGTGATCTTTCTTGGGCCGCAATCCGTCGCGGCCGTGTCGTCTGTAAAGTTTGGGCACTAACAGTTGACACAAAGTAACAATCCAGAGTAACTAAGGAGATATCCGGCACTGGATTTTATTCTTGAAGAACTGGAATTTGATTTGAATTTTGAAATCGAGGAGATCCTGAAGCCAAGCCGGCTCACTTGAGGTTACGTTGGAGGTGAGAATATACTCCGAGTAAACAAAGTCAGTTCCATGGTTGCTTCGATTTCAGATCCAGGGTTTCTGACGGGGCCGTGTTGGATTTGGTGGGTATGGAATTCATTCTTATTTCCACTATCACATTCTTTCCGCAACCCTATTTTAAATCATCATCCAGACCATCTAACTACTCCATACTCAACGAACTAACGAAAGTATTATGATGTAGTATAATGCGTCCCCAAGTACACCTCCAACCAAAGAACAAATAATATCAAACTAAGGATCAATGTCAATAGATCTTGCAGAAGCAAGCTAACCTGTTGAATGTATGGTCGATATATAGTAGATGTGGCAGATGTATCGCGACAGCAGCTTCTCATGTGAAATAACTTTAACCATCTTGATCAAAGCATCTCTCTCCCCCTTGCTTCTCCTCGCTTACTTCTGGCAGTCGAATTCAAGAGCATGACCACCATCCTTTACCCAAGGCTTACAATCTCTGTCTCTGTCATTGCACATAGCAACCTAGCAGGCAGCCAGTCTCCGCAGCATATTGCTTTGTAATTGTTGGATGGTTAACTATAGGTCTTTCCTATCATAGATTGCGAAGAATGTATCTCTCAGGGAGAGTGAAAGTTAACTAATAACAAGCCTTCTTCAAATACTCCGTGTCCGAAAACGAATTCTATCAGTTAAAATCAAATTCCTTTAGATGTTTCTTCTGGTGGTTGTTAAAAAAGTAAAATAATGCCACCAGATGTTGCGTAAAAGCCACCACCCCGGGGTATTTCCCAGCGAATACAATGTTGGATCTGTCAACGATGTATGGATGGAGTACATATGTATGTATTGTCAGGATAAAGGGAGAAAGGAAAAGCTCGTGCAGCTGCAGGTTTCCCGTCTTCTTGAGAGATGAAGACATGAAGAATCTTCCTTTGTTTTCAGCTTCAGTGGCGTGTAGTACATATATAACTTCCTAGGTAGTCATGATCTATTGAATAGATCAGAACCCAACTCTTTATACTTACTCTTCTATTATACATTGACCATACTCTAGTTAGTACTTACTACTTCAGTAACTAATCCATACTCCAACCAAACCGCTAGTATCTCATCCGCAGATCAGGCATCATTCGGAAGCCATTCGTCTTTTACCCACCTTGATTATTCCCTTCCGATTTTCTGCGATTCAGAGAGAGGGGAAAAAAGTCAATAATAAAAATCATAAGCATAGCCAGAATAATAATAATCAGAATCAGAAAATAAAAGTGGAGGACAGGAAATTTTCAAACCCTCGTCCGTACCCAAAAAAAAAAAAAAAAAAAGACTCACATCCAGAGAGAAAGAAGAAAAAGAAAAAGATGGTTGAAAATGACTGAGTGACTGACTGCTTCAGGCTCCGGTAATAATAATCCATCCATGTCATGATATGAAGATTTCCAACACTTCCTCCGTTTCTTCGCGATCTTTCAACCCATCCAGCTTATTGACTATTATAAGGATTGTTATAATAATATTCTGGCCTCTGTTGGGTTGCGACAACAACTTAAAACTCTCGCATCTGCGCGTGCCCTTTTGGCCTTGCATTTCCCCTCTTCCATCTTTCTTCATTCATTGTATGGGACGATTATCCATGTACAGTATTGCTAGACTCTATCCAGGTACGTATTTTTTTTTGCCCCCCCCCCTCTCTCTCTGTCTCTCTCTCTCTCTTTTCATCTTCTTCTCTTACTGCCTGATTCCCTTTCTTGTCTCTTCGCATATTATTTATTTATCATTATTATCATATTATCATTACTATTATTATTATTACGATTCTCTTCTTCTTTTTTTTTACACCCTCTCCACAGTAAAACTAACCCCACCGGGCCCTGTCCGTTGACTCCGTTCTCCTTCGTCAGGCCCGGACTTTCTCTCCCAGTTCCCTCCAACCGTCTGCTGGTTACACGCTGCTTGCTTGCTCTGACGGGTTTTATTACACCCACTGCAGCCCGTCGTCCGTTTCCTCTTTTAGCCCTCCACTCACCGTCTGCCAGACTACAACTGCAGCTGTGTGCGCGCCTCGTCTTTCTCTCTCGCCTCTGTGGTTGATGCACATTCATCCTGTCTGTCCGCTTGCCCCCGACTTGACTCTTTCCACCATCCACTTTGTCGCTAGTCCTGCACTTGTATTTTTCGATGGAGAAACGGCTATCTATGGACGACTTTGCATCCACTGTTCATCGCTGACAATCAACGATCTAGACGCCGTCATCGAACTACTTCTTACTAGTTGATCTGCAGGCCCTCTGCTCTGGTCCTTTTTTGGGGGACGCTCCTCTGAGTGTGGGTTCTTGGAGTGAATCAGAAGGAGAAGTGGGAAACGACCAAATTTTGTATTTGGGGCGAAGGAAGAGGGAAAAAAAAAAAAGAAAAAAAAAAAAAAAAAAAAAAAAGGCCCCCAGTGTGGAAAAAAAAAAATACCAAACAGGAGAAAGATTTTTTGTTTTCTTCTCATTGACTCATTTTGAATGAGCAGCTACAGCAGCAGCAGTAGTGGCTGCTGTAGGCGACCAAATCCCCGAAGCCTGTTGGATCACCACGTTTCACGTCATCCACAGTCGAGCCCTTACCAAACCCAGCCCCCCTCCCCTCCTTCGGGACCCAACCTGGGCCTTGGCCGCCGTCAAAGAGTCATGTCGAGCAAAGTTCCTCACGCCGCCTTCTGTGAGGAATATGATGAGGACGCCCATGAAATCCTCCCCGACACCCGTCTAGTTGCCAATATCACTGGGAAACATTCCAAATCTGATCTCAGATCCGTTGCAGTGCCCTTTGTTGAAGCTGCCAGTGATTCAGGCTATTCTAGTCGTACTGCGGCCACAGCAAACAGCACCCAATCTGCTCCGTCGGGCCGGAAAAGCCCCGTCCCTCTTAAAGTCGACACCACCCTCAGGAGGGCTGACCTGGAGCGAGTACGTCCAAGAGGCAAAGATCGAACCCGAGAGCACAGCGCTCGTCCAGCGCGCGACGACAGAATGCAGGTTGGAGCCTACCCTTCCACGGCGGGATATCCGCCTTCGACCCATGTTCCACGATCGCCGTCAAGATCCCAGCGGCGTGAGCGCACCTACACCCGGCACTTCCCAGGCACCTGCCTGGATTGTGATCGGGGGTTGTATCATGCCTCAACCCCCGTGGAGCCAAGACAGGTTGAGTATCCCTACTACCCACCCTCTCTTCATGACTACCCTCCGGCCTCGCCACAAACCTCGCGGTACCCTCCATCGGCCGTCGTCCAGGTTTCCCACAGTAGCCGTCCTCAGGCTCGGGGCACTCGGTCGAACTCCTACCATGCCAACAATAACCGACCGATCAGCTTCCATGGGGCAATGATGCCACCTCCGATGGGTGGTGGGATGGCGTACAATCCACCGCCAGTTAATCACTACGAGCACGGGCCCCCTCTGTCCTCTTCAGCTTACGCCAATACGCCGTCGTATGCCCCGTCGCCCTCCTTATATTCCCAGCCGTCGCCTTACTATGGGATGCCCGATGGGATGCCTCCACCTGATCATGAGGAACGGTCGGTGTCAAGGACAAGGGAGCCGCACCGTGACCGTGGACGTCGCCACTCTCTGTATGAGAGACCCCCGGTGGACGAATTTGAGTCCACCTCGGAAGAAGAGGAGGACGAGGAAGAGGAAGAGGAGGAGGAGGAACCACTGGAACAACCCCAACCGCCCCCACCACCGGCCCGCGAGCCGCGACCAAGACCCTCGGCCCATTCTACCCACGAAGAGTACTTCCGCACCATGCCCCGTCCGCCCCTCAAGCACAAAGCCGCACCGCATATCATCCAAAAGCGCCCGGAATTGGCCCGCAAATCAGCCACCACAGCGTCGGTCACCTCTGAGCGTCGTCCTTCCCGGACTCTCGATCTTGCCGAACTCAGAGATAGTCTCCCTCGGTACGAATATCGACGGTCATCTCGCGAAACTGTGATCCCGGAGCGGAACCGAAGTGTCCGTGAAAGCAGACGTCCCACGCTGTATCACGATTCTGGCCGTTCTGCTCGGGTCGCAGTCGAGAATTCCCGTCGACGTCAACCCACGGGCTATGACGATTATCCGGTTAATGACGAGATTGAGGACAAGCAACGGAACGCGGAAGCATACCAAGCCTCCCAGGCAACCAAACCCGTGCCCGTTCCTGTCCCTTTGACTGCGGATGCATTATACAAGGCTAAAGCGTCTTCCCAACGCGCTGAGAGCGACAGTGGAAGTCAGAAGAGCCGATCCAATAGCAGCCGCGGGAGTGATGCTCGTACCCAGAACGGGAGCGGAGTTGGTAGTCGGGCAGAAGAAGACAACAACATTGTCATGACGATGAACGGTGTCACAATGAGCTTTACCCAAGAGTCCGTCGGAGGAAAGCGGATCAGCGTTCGAGCCGGCGAAACGGGTGCTCTCGAGTTGAACATCGAAGGGAAACGACCGAAGAAGTACCTCACAGGAGGTTCTGAGTATACGGCAAGCAGTGCATCAAGGAGAGGGGAGTTTGACGAGCTAGTACGACGACCAAGGGGGGACCGCAAGTCTGACCGCGCCAGCCGCCGGTCCAGTCGGTCCACCTATAATGGACGTTACTAACTGGTTTGGTCTGTGAACTTTGGTAATTCTTTCTTGCTCTGCTGCTGCATCACTTCTTCGTTTCTTTCTCTGATGAAAACTCTCCCCGAGAACTCTATCCGGAGGCGATAAACGAAGACCATCAATTGCCAAAAGTCAAAAGTTATTGTCATTTCTGGGGCTGGACTGTGTGTACTTTAAAGAAGTACACAACATTGAACCACCTATATCAGCTCTGGTTTCTTGGGTAAAAGCAAAAGTTTTGAGGGTTTTTTTGGGAGAAAAATTGCTTTGCAATGGGAGGCTTTCTCGGTATTTGCTTCTTTGGACATCGACTATCATCTTCTTCGGAAGTCTTAAAGAGACGCAGCGGTTTTGGCATCCCATCACGTCTGTCATGGTGACATGATTGTATATGACTCTTGACGACCTGCCACGATTCACCACCATCTGATCTGATGTCTAGTTATGCCCAGGTTATGTTTCCACGCTCATGTTTTATGGTTTACGTTCATGTTTCGTCTTATACTTTCCCCATTTGCTCTGTGCCTTGCATCTGTATAAATCTTTCTTCAGGATGACCCAGCCCGTTTCTTCATCGTTTGTTTGCATTTTTGTCCTATGGTCAGTCAGCATTGAAGAAATGAGTAAGGATTGATGGAGGAAAAGATATACCCCTGTTTTCTTTTTTGCGTTTCTTCTTCTTCTTTTTTTTTTTTTTTTTCTTTTTAGCAATTCATATGATATATTTGTCTCACTTTTTTCCCCTTCATCTTCCTGCCTTTCTTCACTATACCATACTATACCATTCCACATCTCAGGTCAGGATAAGGGAAAGGATAAGCTGAGTATTATCCGTAGTTGGATGCAAACCCGGTTGTTTCATCTAATGACTCCTCCCTTCCTTTCTGCCATGCATGCATGCTGTGCCTGTCCGTGTACTTTTTGTCTGCTTCTGCTCCTGCTGCTGCCTCATCTTCTTCATCACCCATTCTACCGTTTGAGGCTCTGTTTGGTCTTGGGTTGATTTCGATAATACTTTTGTGTAACTTCAACAGTTCTACCCCTACCTATCTATTATGCCTTACCGCCAGTTTCTTTTTTTCCTCTCCCTCTTTGGCCCATGTTTTATGGTTTGTCTGTCTTTTCTTCTGTCGCTAGACCTATCCTATCCTATCATATTCTTACTTGGGTCTGGTTCGGTACCTGCCGGGCAATTCTAGTTACTAGTTGGTTACTTATTATCTAGTCGTTCTGCTATAATCGATCCGAGTCGATAACCTAGGTAGTTTCAAATGTTATACTAGGTGGGACCAGCCAGTAATTGTTTTTGCGTCCTTGCGAGAGGTGAGTTAGTTACTCTACATGTATTATGTTCGGGTTAAAAAAAGAATATACTTTTCTATATCTTTTATTGATATTCATTGCTTCTTTCTAGTCATGATCATCTCATCTCATCTCATATATATTATTATCTATCACACATTACCTAAATACCGACCTACATACATATATATATATATATATAGATATATCTAACCACCCGACAACAGACACCCCCAAAAACGGGGAAAAAAAAAAAAAAGAAGAAGGGATCAAGACCTCCGTAGAACAAGCGCAATATACCCCAAAAGCCTATACACGGCAATGATCCCAACCAAAATACCGGCCCATTTCCCGGTGCGGCCGGTCGCGTAGCCGTAAGCTTCTAGAACGCCCGTGCCGCGGATCTGGCACTGGGATGCAAGGTCGGTTTGGTACATGCAGTTGCAGCCAGGGGCGCAGGTATAGTTGCGGGAGGCGAATTCGTTCACCATCATTCCTTGGAAGACGTATGCCTTATCATCCATTAGTTCTCTCTCTCTCTCTCTCTCTCTCTCTTTTTATTGTTTTTGGGGGGGGGGGGGGGGGTTTACCTGGTAATCAATATAGTGGAAGACATATTTCCAGAACGGGTTCAGGATAGTAGGGGAGACGAGGAACCCGCCCACGCTCATCCAGAGCCCGTTTGCGAATGCGACGAGGGCCAGGGCAATGACGAAGTTCGGGAAGATGGAGGTGACGAAGACGACCAGGGACTCGGCGGCCACGAGGTCTAGGAAGAGCCACATGACCCAGGTGAAGAAGGCCTCTGCGTTGGGGCGGAAGTTGGAGAGCCAGTACGAGACGATCGAGAAGAGGATGGAAATTAAAACTGGAATTTCGGGCGTTGTTAGCGTGGAGGGGTTATGAGTTGGGAGAGGGAACGAGCATGCGTACAGAGGAACGGAAGACCGATTATAAAGTTGGATATGATGAATGGGAGAGAGCCATATAAGCCATTGGCTCGTTCTTTGGCGAACGTGGCGCGGTCTTCGAGGAAGGCTGGGACGTACGCGACGGCCATGAAGCTCATAAAGGCCGATCCGAAGAACTGGGGGCTGCTGTTAGTTTGGGTGCGAGGTAAAAAGGGTCGCAGTGGGAAACTTACGATTGCGTTGATGAAGGGCTGGATGTATTCCTGTTCGGTCTTGAGGCGCAGCCACACAGTTCCCATCATGATTGCCAGGCCTGGGAGAGTGAGCATCCTTGTATGTATGAGACTATATATATATATATATATATATATATATATAGCTAGGTTGAAGACTTACCCATATACATGACTATACGGATACCGTATGCCACAACATCGCGATAACTCTTGATAAATGAGCGGTGCAGCAGCGAGGACGTAATACTGAGCAGACCAGGATGGCTACCTTCATCCACTGCAACCTTCTGGTCCTTCTTTTCCAAAAGCTCGCGGTCTGCCAACTGGCTCCGCAGTGCAGTTTGCTCCCTAGACTGAACCCATGAAGATTGGATTTTTCCCACTTGATCTTGCGCAACTTCTGCGTTGGCCACGAAATCCGAGCTGATGATATCGAGCATGTACTCGGCAGGATTCGTCTGGGAGGGAATAGGATATCCAATCCTGTCGAAATATTCGGGGGCGGTTTTGACAGCTCCAAAATAGCATGTTTCCCCCCCGGAAAGAAGCAGCAGCTTATCGAAAAGCTGGAAGGTCGCAGTAGATGGCTGGTGGATGCTAGCTATAATAATAAGCTTTTACAGCAGTCAGCTACCACAGCCTTATGCGGGACATCTTTATACACACCTTATTGGCTTGCGCCAACTTCTTCACGTACGAGATAACCTCATAGCTCGCTGTCGAGTCGAGTCCACTCGTAGGCTCGTCCAAAAACAAGATCTTGGGACAGGTGATGAGCTGACTGGCGACGCTGACCCGTCTCTTTTGGCCTCCACTAATTCCCTTGCGGATCGGGGTGCCAACGAGGGTGGATGCTTGGTTCTGGATACCAAAAGCGTCCAGCAGTGTTTTGATTCGCTCTGTGCGTTGCGACTTGGTTACGAAGCTAAGAGTTCCACAGGTCAATCTCACATCCCCCGCCTCTCTCTCTGAGCCCGGTTGTCTTTGGATCGTATTCATACCTGGGTAGTGAGAGATCCGCCGCAAACTTCAACGTCTCTTGCACCGTCAGCGACCCGATCAGTGCATCCTCTTGCTCGACATACGAGGTGATTCGTCCGAATTTCGCATTGTCGATTTCGCCTCCGTTTATATAGCAGCAACCCGACGTCTTGGCCCCGGATGAGGCAGCGCGGCGGGCGAGGACATTGAGGAGGGTTGTTTTCCCACAACCTGAGGGGCCCATTAAAGCGACGAGTTCACCTGGTTTTTTTGGTTAGCCATGTCATATCGCTGTATTTCGTGTTCTTTCTTTCTTTTTTGCATCGACGAGAGCGAGACAAACCTTGTTGCACGGTGCCATTGATACCCTCGATAAGATTGCGCGGCTGCTTGGTCCGACGATCTTTAACGGTGACTGTGAGATCATTCCAGGAGAAGGTCTGAACGGTATTGTTCATGAGGAAATCATGGCCCTCATTGCGCTCCAGGTCGCGGTTGTCCAGGTCTTCGCTGGAGGAGCTGGATTCCATGATCGCAAAGCAACGACAACAACGAGGTCACGTAAAGATAATAACAATCGTAAAAGGAAACAGGCCAATGGGGTATTATATAGAAAATAAAATGGCAAAAAGAAAAGAAAAGACTCTCGAGGATCGAAAAGCAATCGCGCGTGTACACGGAGAGACAAGGTCCCAGGCTTCATTTCTTCGGCCGTGTAACTGGGCCAGGGTGCCCTTCTAATATTTGAGCAAGACGAGAGAAGATAATAAGAATAAGAAGAATAATAGAGAGGACGGAGTGCACACACACACAGTCTTTGTTTGAATGGTCCCCGAAGTATGCAAGTCGCAAGCCCGCCTGAGGAATAGAGAGAATACGGAGTATAATATTGACCAGTTAACCCCAAGCTTCGTGAGCATCAGTAAGCCTGGGTTAACTAACTAGTTAACGATAACTAGTTTCTCAGTTTTAATAGTCCCCGGTGCTGAACCAAACAACTCTAGATAAACGCCGTCTGTCCGGCTTTCTTTAAGGGGGAAAATGTTCCCCGACTCAGGCGAGAAGAGAGAGTCGCATTTCTTCGGTTTTCAACAGAGGAGCCCAACTCCACCGCCACGATAATACCTATAATCAACCCCCCCGCTCTGTCCCCTCCTTCTCTCTGACTCTCTCACAAAACTGACGGTTATTTGTCTTCATCGTGCGACTAGGGTCCCCTGGCTTCTGTTCTATTTGCGGGTGGTCGATTTTGTTTGGGACCAAAGGCGCCCAGTTTCTTGTCACTCACTCTCTCTCTCTCTCTCTCTCTCTCTCTCTCTCTCTGTCATCCTAACCGATAGGCTATCCTGCTTCGAGGAATCCCGGGCTTTTAACTATAACCGGTGAACAGTCGCCGCTGATCTCAGAGGAAGAAAGACGGGGACGGATCTAACTGATACTAGTGACTTGCCCTAATATTTCTTAGACTGGTTGATCAAGACCCAACAGTACGAAGTCATGCATGCATGCGTACAGACTACAGCGGAAGATAGTTTGGAGGGAGCAACGTGGATGGGAATGGAAGAGAAAGTATATGTCTGGTATTTGAAGCCTAAATAAAATTCGTTTAATATTTGTATATTTCCGCCCAATCACATTCTAGTAAACGTTAGTATTGCTCCGGTTCTTTGCATCCGTGAGAGAGAGAGAGAGACTTACCGGTTGACAGGGCTGAGACCCAGAATCCTCATTCCATTGTTGAGCACTTGTCGCGCGGACTCGTAGAGGGCCAGACGCGCCTTCTTCACCTCCGGTTCGCTGCCCACGACCTTGAGGGTATCGTACCCAGAACTCAGAATATGAGTCATGCGGAACAGGTAAGTAATGATGGTCGTTGGTTCGAGGGTCTTGGTGGTGTTCAGGAGCACATCGGGCCATTGCGACAACAGGCGAACGAGGTCGGAGGCATGCGTCTCCGTGAGGAGGTCAAGATCGGCCGATGGGAGCTCTTGGACATCCAATTCAGCCTTGCGGAGAATTGAGCAAAGACGAGCGTGAGCGTATTGCAGATAAGGGCCAGTGTCTCCCTCAAACGAAGTCATGGCTTCGAGGTTGAAGTCGTATCCGTTGATACTATTTCCGATGTTAGCAGGGAGCTGAAACCCAGCGCGAGATTACTTCTATACATACCGCTTGCCAGACATATCCTGCACCATAACAGAGGTGATTCCGAGAATGTCAGCAGTCTCCTCGGGGTTCGCAATCTGCTCGTACTTCTCGGGATTCTTCTTCATGACTTCGTGCATCTTATCCGCGACATCGCGGAGGATATCATCCAAGAACTTAACAGTACCCTTGCGGGTGCTCATACCGCGGACCATACCAAAGTTGATGTGCTGGCATCGGCTGGCAAGTTCCTTGTGGCCCATCAACTCTGTGATCTTGAAAAGCTGAGCAAGGTGGAGATCCTGCTGAGCGGCGACAACGTAAATCATCTTGTCGAAATGGTAGGCCTCGTCACGCTCGAGAATAGCTCCGATATCGCGAGTCAGGTAGAGGGGGGTGCCGTCCTTGCGGACAATAATAGCCTTTCCAAGCTTCTTAGCTCCGTGCTTGGTGAAATCAACAATGACGGCGCCCTCGGACTGCTCCGACACACCGCTCGTGACCAGGGTCTCATTGGCGGAAGCCATGCTTTCCTGCTTGATCTGAGACTCTCCAGAATACACATCAAAGTCGATGTTTAGGCGAGCATATGTTTGGCGGTACTTCTGGATACTCAGGTCACGGAATTTGCGCCACAGTGCCAGGGCGCTGGGGTCACCGTCCTCCATGCTCTTGAAGTAACGACGAGCCTTCTCATCTTCGCTAGCATCAACGAGCTGCGCGAGCTCCTTCTCGAGCTCTGAAACATCCTCGCTCTTCTCCTTCTTAGCCTTGATCTGCTCCTTCAACTCCTTGATAGGGCCCTCCTGCTCCGCCACAATGGCGTTAATCTTGACATAGACATCGAACAGATGGTTGATAGGGTCCCTGAGCAGGCTCTCCTCGTTACCGAATTTCTCGTATCCATTGGCAAGCAGACCATATTGCTTGCCCCAGTCACCAAGATAGTTCATTTTAATAACATCCCATCCCATCACCGTGTAGAGGTTGGCCAGGAAACCACCGATAATGGTACTCCTCAAGTGGCCAGCATGGAAAGGCTTAGCAATGTTGGGCGACGAGAACTCCACAATGATCTTCTTGCGGCCCTTGGAGGCGTCTGCAGGATCACGCAAGCCCTGGTTTCCATTTGAACCAAACGCAGCCTTGCTCTTCAGGATTTGTCCAACAACGGTCTTTGTGAGCACGGCGGGCTTGAAGAAGAACTGAAGATGAGGGCCAAAGGGGATGGGAGGAAGGACAAGGTCGGACTCTCCGAACTTCTCGGCCAGTTCTTTGCACAGTTCCTGGGGGTTCTTCTTGATTTGGAGGGAGGGCACCTATACACCGTACCTATTAGCGCGAAAGAAACAAACAAACAACGAACACAGCATTGCTTCATGCCGGTTTCATACCGGCAGGACCAAGTCACCCTTGTCCAGACTGTTTGTCCATTGCAGCCGGGTATAGATCTTCTCGGGCTCGATGCCGGCGGCGGCGCCCAACTTCTCCGCAATATGTTCACGGTAGATATCGACGGGGTTCAGGGAAGGATAGCAGTTGGCGAATTTGGAGGTCTCAGTAGAGGAATGGAGGGAAAGTCCCTCGACCGCAGCGGGGAGGCCTGCAATAGATGCCATGGCTGATGAGGCTACGTTCTTATTGTTCGCAACGGGCGCCTGGACCAATGTACCTGTACCAAAGGCTCGAGAAGAGGGGGGGGGAAGGTGGGGATTAAATTGACGAAGGGAATACGAGCAATGGCGCGAGGAGAAGCAACTGTTTTGCCGACGACAGGACTGGACAACCTGGAGGATGGTGGTTGAAAATCGTTGGGCCCCGCTTACCAGATTGCGACCCATAGAGGGGGAAATACTTTGAGCTTTCGAGGGGGACTCTTTTTTTTTTTTTTTTTTTTCCCCTTCTTTCCGTTGGCTCAATCCGGCAATCCTGCATATACTGCCTGGGCGGTGAGCCATTGGATACAAAACCCGTGCCCGGCTCAGCCCTAGCCCTATATCGATCTGTATCTGGTGTTCTCTGACGTCATTCCGGAAGACGGACTCGATCACGGAATCTATTGATATTGGTACGACCTCAAACCAATAGACTACTTCTACCTAGAGCGGGACCTCTCATAAGCCAAAAACACGCTCTGCGCCTGGCAGAGCATTGATTGAGTCCGATCCAGAGTTTCTAGTGACTGCGAACGTCCTGGACTATTTGCGGTTTTAATCCGGTGTCCGATGTCCTCGGAGGCAGAGTCCCTAGCGCGTGGGTGTGCCTCCCGTACATGGGAAGTGGAAATATCGGGCAGTAAGAGTACATGATTATAGCGACCCGTATATGAAATCACCATATATGTTTTAGGACCATCGATGGAAGCATTTCGATGAGTTGTGAGGCTGCACTTTGCAAACGCTTCATTCATATTAAAATCATCACTATCAATTGCTATTCTTCGCATAAAGTAGAGTCATTTTAGAATAGAATCAACCGGGGACCCGGTTCCGTAGTTTTCTATCGATATCTACCAATTATAGACCATGGGTGTTGCAACTTCAATCGCACTCGAACATAGTCATAACCTGTTTAGAAGCAGAAGACCTGGTCCTCGAGCTTGCTGACGGGGCGGGCCTTTGTGTAGCCGAGAGACTCGGTAGCCTTCTTCATGGCGCTGACCATCGGGGGAGGACCGCAGAGGAGAATCTTGATGTCGCTAGCGGCGGCGGGGAGGTGTTCCTACAAATCGTGCCGGTTAGCTCCCGCAAACTTGTTCTTGATGAAACTTTTAATCACTCACCTTAATCATGTCGGGGGTCACAAAGCCAACACCACCGGTCCAGCCCGCGGGGGGGTTGTTAAGCACATAGTGAATCCGGAAGCCATCATCTTCCTTGGCCAGAGCCTCTAGCTCCTCCTTGAGCAGGATATCATCGGGGTTCACGTTGGCAAAGATCAGATCTACCTGGGTAGTGTCGTTTCCACCGTTGCGGGGGCGGTTGCGGATAATAGCCTTGATGATCTGAAGCATGGGAGTGATACCAGTACCTCCAGCGATCATACCAATGTGGCGGCACATGTTGGGGGTGTAGACCATGGCACCCTTGGGGCCGCGAACCTTCATGGTCTGACCAACCTGCAGGGTGGTGAGGTATTTGGAGATGTTACCCTGGGGGTAGGCCTTGACAAGGAGATCGAAATAGCCAGCTTCATTGTCAGAAGAGATGGGAGTGTACGAGCGCACAACCTCCTTGGGCTGGCCCTCAATGGTAGCGGCGAGAGAGATGTGCTGGCCAATGGGCAACCCCAGGATATCGGTGGGACGGGGGAGGGCAAAACGGTAGATGGTCACGTTGTGAGAGATATCATTCTTCTCCTTCAGGACAAAGTCCTGGAATTCGGTGGGGTTGAGCACCTTCCTAGCCTCTGGGGGAGGAATGCAGGTCAGCGATCAATGGGGCATGTGACAATCACCGAGAGACAGCTAGCTTCGCTTCACTTACTGCTGCTACCACCGCTGGACAGCTTCCATCCGGCCAGAATAGCAGCCAGAGCCACGGCAAAGGGGAGCCACTCCTTCTTCACAATGAAGGTACCGACCACCAACAGGGTGGAGGGAATGTAGACTCCGTTAATATTCTCGGAGGAGAAGGCACTGAGTTCCGACATTGGTTAGTTAACAGCAATTGTGTGATCATGCGACAATGAGGTGTACACACCTCATATTGACAATTTGCAATTCCCCAACAGCCTCAGAAATAAAGCGAAACGGGATCCAAAGGGTATAGGATAAGAAGGAAAGAAAGAAGGAAAGAAAGAAAGGGGAACCTTAGGGAGAGATTGTGTTGAGTAAAAGTAGGTAAAAGCAGCAAGTCGCCAGACCAACCAACGGAAAATAAAAAAAATAAAGCTCTCCGGGGGGGTATTGTGACGGTAAAATTACCAGTTCTCCGAAACACCGTTGGGGATGATTCTTGCCAGGTGAATTCGGTTGGAAAAGAAGGATTCGGGAATTGAAGAGGAATTCTCACAGAAGACGAAGAAAGAGTTGGAAGAAAACAGGGAAAGAAAAAAAAGAGAAGAAAAGAAAAGGATGGTTATTATGATCGTTTTTACAATGTGTACAGAATTGCCCTATTGGGGAAGTTGTGATGCTTCTTCTCCGGTCTAATTATTTCACTCGATCCCACGTTTCTTTTTACCCATCTTGAGCAAAGATTCCGGTCTCTTTCCACCTTGAACATCATCATGATCCCAGAGGACCCTGCTTTCTATCTCACAGAAACAGACCGTCAAGTCCTGGCCCAGACTGACGAGGAATTCATCTACCATGACTGGAAAGAACTTCAAGCCATCATTGGTATCTTCCTCCCCCTCTCCTTCTCTCCGTACCTCACCCACTCAACACACCAAAATACAACCATACTTCTGGTCTTAGTTCTCTCTCTCTGTCTTTTTTTTTTTTCTATTTTTCTTTTTTAAATTGACCCTCTCAACCAATACTAGGATACTAGTACGAGTAGTAAGAATGTTAGTTAACTGTTTATTTCTTCCTCTTCGTCCGGGTACCCAACAGCGCGCAATGAACTCGGTATTCTGAAGCGGAAACCCTCCGATCTCCTCAGATATCTCCAATGGACCAAAGAAATCAAGAGTGAGTATGGTTCCATCATAAACTACATCTGCCAGCGTCGTCTGGGATGGAATCTACCGGAGACCACCACCACCACCACCACCACCACCACAAATGGCGCAAGTGGGCCCATGTCCCTCGCCTTCAAGAACCCGATCCCCTTTGCCGACCCCGCGGATTACAAGACCCTCCGCAATGACTGGCCCTACGGGTTGGCCCCGGGCATCTCCCATCTAGTCGTTTGGTCCCGGACCCCGATCGCCGTGAAAGACCACACGGGAGAAATCACTGAGGAGTCCCGCGTCCTGATTGAGGCCTTTGTGCAGAGGACTTTTGTCGCCCGGCTTGCAAAGGAAACGGACGCCTTTCCAAACCCGAACTCGCATGTCTTGTGGTTTAAGAATTTTACGGCATTGCAGAGTGTGAGGGGCTTGGAGCATGTGCATGTCTTGCTTCGCGAGGTTCCTGATCATCTGTTGCGGGAGTGGACGGGGGAGTAAGACATGATATGATGATTTACATCTTTTTGATATAGAAGGTCCTTCAAGCATAGTGCACTACTCTAGATTAGATAAGATTTACTCACTTTTAACCTGCTCAGTATTGGGAATCCTGCAAGAACCTAAGAAAGTACTGTACATACAGATAGAAGAGAAGAGAAAGCACCTTATACGATCAATATAAAGAAGAAGAAGAAGAAGAGAGAAAAAAAATATGAATCCAGTACGATCAAACCGGTCCATCGTTGATACGCCGATTACATTACCTTGCCTATACCAGATACTAACCTAACCCCACTGAATGAATCCCTTCAAGTCTTTTGCTCCTCGACGAACTTGAGCGCCTCTTCTCGAGAGACCACGTCAATGGTACTGGCCTTCTGTCGGAAACTCACGCCGTAACACTTCTCTGCTACATGCAACATCTCCGGCCGGAAGGTGGTGCAAATAAACTGTCCGTTTGTCGAATCGGAAATCGATTTCAGCATCTGAGCAACAGCCGTGCGGTACTGGGCATCGAGATTTGCATCGATTTCATCAAAGAGGTAGAATGGCGCCGGGTCACAGGCTTGGATAGCAAAAACTAACGCAAGAGCACAAAGACCTGGGATCTTGTGAGCAACTCCGAGGATACAGTAACAGTAAGAATAGGTCTGCTAGGCTAGGGTGCTTACTCTTCTGTCCTCCGCTCAGCTGCTGGATACGCTGCTGTTCATCATGTTTGCTATTGAAGCTGACACTAATGCCGACTCCAACATAGTTCTCGACACTTTGCTTGGCCGCCTCATCATCGGACTCGAGCTCATCGTCCGCCCGCAGAGCGCGATCAGTCTTACGCTGGATGACCAAGCGTCCACGACCTGCAGGAACAAGCTTCTCGAAAATATTAGCGAACTCGCGAGAGACCTGCTTGAATGTTCGCTCAATGGCCTCATCCTTGCGCTGATCCAAGACTGTGATCAGGTCGTCAATAGACTTCTGGGAAGCATCGAGTTCTCCCCTTCGCGAGGTAAGAGTCTCCCGCTGCTTCGTAAAGCTATTGTACTGTTCAAACGCTTTCTTGTTAACGTGTGAATATTTCTTCAGCGCCTCGTTGACTTTGTGCAGTTTCTTGACCACAGCGTTGGAGTCAGTGTTCTTGTATTTTGTGAACGCCTCGTCTGGCAGCACTCCGAGATCACGAATATTGGCCGCACACTCAGCCGCCTGTTTGGTCAGAGCAGCCTTCTTTTGCATACTCTTCTCCATGCGACGCTGATGCTTCTCAATCGACTTGGCCAGTTCCTCCAATTCCCGTCTAGCTTCTGCATTCCGTTGACTAAGCTCCGACACACGAGCATTGGCTTCGTCGATAGAGTCGTCTACCTGCGTAAGCCGCTGCGCAAGCTTGTCCAGCGCCTTTGTGAGGCGTTTCATCTCGCGCTGGGTTTCTTTCAGGTTTCCTTGGCCATCATCATCCGCCATATCCAAGTCTTGGCTCACGAGTTGATCAAGGCGGGGGTTCAGGTTCTCCCGAAGCTCAACCTCGAGGATAGATTTCCGAGCCTCCAACTCACTCCTCTGACCAGAGAGCTCCTGGTACTGTCGTCGAAGATCCTGGACGGTGACGCTTAGAGACTCCAGGCGAGCCTCTTCTTCGTTACTGAGCGCTTTCTGGAACGCTGAGGCCAATTCAGCCTCGAAGGCGCCAACCTGGTCCTTCAAAGCAGCTAGGTTGCTTTCGATATTTCGGAGGGCACGACGCTTAGCATCGAGATTATCGTTTTGCTTCTGGAGCAGATCACGCTTGCTCTTCAGTTCTTGCCGTAGAGGCCCACTGCTGTTCTGAACCTGGTGCTTTTGCTGTTCCAGTTTTTGCAGCTCCCCAACGGCTCTGGTAACGAGCTGATCAAGCTTCTCGAGCTCCTTGCGAATCTCACTCCCACGGTTCTTCTTCGTCTCATACTCATCTCTCCACTTTGTCAGGTTCTTCACAGCATCAAGGCGGGATTGCCGGGAGTCGTGGAAACCACCAGTAAGGGCACCTCTCTTATCGGAACGATCTCCCTCAGGCGTGATCGCATTGACACCATGGCTACGGGCATACTGGGACGCAACCTGAAGATTCGGGCAGATAATTGTCTTGCCAAACACATGCTGAAACGCGCTCTCATAGGCCTGGTCGTATTGCAGCTTCTCAATCATTGGGATTGTGTCACTCGCCTTTGGCATATTGAGTGGCTTCGACCGCAGCCGGTTAAGAGGCATAAACGTAACTCGGCCCGCCTTTTCCTGTTGAAGAATTTCCAGCACTTTTGTGGCAGTTTCATCCGTATCAACGACGTAATGAAACAGACTCTGGCCAGCGGTGACCTCTACAGCAGTGCGGTATCTATCATTTACCTCGAAGAGTTCTGCCAACGTTCCATAGACTCCGTCGAGATCATACTGTCTCTTGATCCTCCGCACAGCAGCTATCCCACGGCTCGTATTGTGGTCCATCATGTGAGAGAGATTGCGCTCTGCACGGTCAACTTCATTAGATGCGTTTGACAGAATGGAATCAAGCTTGGCTTCTTCTCTCCACAGCTCCCTGGGAACTAGTTAGAGCATGTTTCATTTAGTAGTGTGGGAGAAAAACTTACTTTCTCTGGTCCATCAGTCGGTCTCGCTCATCTTTTGCGGCTTGAACTTGCTGGTCGACGGATTGAATAGTATCACCACGACCATCGATCTGCTGGCGTAAGCGTTCAGTCTCCGGTTCCAAGAGGGCAATTCCATTCTCGAGCTCGTTGATGTCTTCCTGTGTTTGGGCCATGACTGCCTGTACACTGGAGATAGAGGTGTAGTTGTTCTTGATCTCCGCCTGTAGCCATTTGTCTCTCTCCGACTTGTTCTTGAAGCGCGAATTTCGGCCTTGCTTGGCATACAATCGCTGGCGGATCGTCTCCGCATCGGTAAGTTTAGATTTAACTTCGTCCTCTTGGTCTTTCGCCGCGTTGAAACGGGGGATGAGTTGCTGGAGCTCAGCCTGGCGTTCCTGAATCGCGCTCTGAACAGCATTCAAGTCTTCGTCGTGACGTGATTTCAGCGCTTGGGCAGCGGCTTGGTTGTCAGAAAGGGATTTTGCCAACAATTCCACCTGGGCGAGTGCCTTGGAGGTCTCGCGACGCTCGTCTTCTAATTGCGTTTTATCCACCTTCAAAAATTCGATCTGCTGCTTGCATTCGGCAATCTCCGCATCGACCTGGGCCATTTCCTTCTCTCCTTGAATAAAGCGGTCACGATTGATATCCGTGTCTTCGACACCAGTCTGTCTTTGTTCTTCAAGACTATCGAGGAAACTTGAGATTTCATGTTGCTCACGGGAATAGATCGTATATTCCAGGCACCTCCTTTCCTTGTCCTTATCTTGATAATTCCTCAGCTCATCCTTTTCCTCCTCCAATTCAGACAGCCGCTCGTTGATAAATTCGAGAAGCTCGTCGATCTTTTCCCGCTTATTGTTTGTTTCATGCATAATTTTTAGGGATTCCGCACGACGCGCTTCGTACACCTGGGTTCCTGCAACTTCTTTCAAGAGATTCAAGCGCTCAGAATCTTTCATGTTAGTCAAAGCTGTGACACGGCCCTGAGGCACGATATAGTATGGGTTAGACCGCGAAAACCCCGCCGATTCGAGTAGGTTCATCACATCCGCTTTCGTCGCATTCTTCCGGTCGAGGGTATACTCGTCTTTCTTGAGACCAATCGTTCGACGCAAGACAAGTTCTGGCTTGCCGGTAGGAAATCGATCGTCGGAGTTGTCAAAGATGATCTCAACGTAAGCCGACATAACCGCGGAACCCGAACCTTCCTAGTAGCTGTAAGCTTCCTGTCGAACGAACAAGGTCAAGGTACATACGTGCAGCAGAGCCTGTCGCTCTTCTCTGCCTAGGTGGGTGTATGCATCACTAAGGACGAAACGAATAGCCGCGAAGAAGTTACTCTTTCCGGATCCATTGCGACCGACGATAACGTTGTGCTTCGGAGAAAATGGTTCAATAACGGTTTGATCCTTGTAGCTACATCCCATCCAATGGCTTGTAAGTCTCCAGCCTCACCGGATGAGAGCCCGAAATCCAAAGCTCACGCGATAACTCACCTTTTAAAGCCCTGGATGATAATTTGCTTGACATACATTTTTGCCAGACAACACGAGAAATGAATCAATCACAGCGTCTGAAACATTCCGCAGCTCAGCTAGCGTCAATAAAACCAGGATCCAGAACTCCGATTATAACTACCGGGACAAACTGGCCATGAACAACGCCGTGAAGCTTCCGCCGTGCTGAGATGTTGGCCTCGACTTGCGGCGACACAAAACGCAAGCCTGGATCGAACGAACGCGCACCAACGCGTTTCGCCTGCGGGGTTTCTGCCGGGCGGTCAGCTATAAGTGTTGGTCCAATGGGAGAAAAAGTTCTTGAGATCGCGGGCACTTTTTTTTCTACCCAATTTTCCGTGTCGCCGACAATCGATTCTTCCAACACTCGTTTTTATCGGCCATTTCAATCATTATGGCGTCCTCGGACCCAAATGTCCCGGTTCCTGCCCTAGCAGATGGTCTATCACCTTCTCATGCCTATGTTCCTAACCAGGGCTATATAAATTCTGAAGGCACAGTCCCCGCCACGGCGGGGCAAGACCTGACGCCGCAGGAAGGTGAAGATGATTACGAGAACGACGAATATTACGATGACATTTTCGAGGAACAGCTCGATCAAGAAGACTTCAATTCCTCGAACCCCGCCGATCTTACAAAAGCTTACAACCGTCAACGCAAAGTAAACGAGCTGGCTGCCGATGCGAACGCCCCCAAATGGACCTACCCCAAGACCAATACCCAGAAGCCTACTGTGAACACATATGCCTCCGTCGATGATGAGATCAAGTCTTTAACTCGCCATGCCAACAAGATCAAGCTTGATAACATGCAGTCGGGTCTGGCGGTGCGTGGGGAGCGTGGTGCGGACAAGGCGGACAGAGCCACCTCCGAGCAGGTGCTGGATCCTCGCACGCGCATGATCCTTCTGCAGATGATCAATCGTAACATTGTTTCAGAGATTCACGGATGTCTTTCTACCGGTAAAGAAGCCAATGTGTATCATGCCATGCTGTTCCCGGAAGATGACCTCGATGCCGCCCCGATCCACCGTGCGATCAAGGTCTACAAAACCAGTATTCTCGTTTTCAAGGACAGAGATAAATATGTTACTGGAGAGTTCCGATTCCGTCAAGGTTACAGCAAAAGCAACAACAGAGCAATGGTGAAGCTGTGGGCTGAAAAGGAAATGCGCAACCTCCGCAGAATCTACACTGCGGGTATCCCTTGTCCAGAGCCCATTAATCTGCGGCTTCACGTACTTGTGATGGGATTCATTGGAAACTCGAAGGGTTTGGCTGCACCTAGACTTAAGGACGTCGAATTCAACCACCCCGAGTCAGAGACGAGATGGCGTGAGTTATACATCGAAATGCTTGGCTACATGCGTGTCATGTACCAAACCTGCCACTTGGTGCACGCAGATCTGAGCGAGTACAACACCCTGTACCATAAGAACAAGCTGTACATTATCGATGTTAGTCAGAGTGTGGAGCATGACCACCCCCGGAGTCTGGAATTCCTACGCATGGATATCAAGAACGTCGGCGACTTCTTCCGCCGGAAGGGAGTTGACATTCTTCCCGAGCGTACTATTTTCGAGTTTATCATTTCCCCCGATGGCCCAACTACTGTGAACCCGTCTGATGAAATGGATGACGCTATCGAGAAACTTTTTGCCTCCAGGGCGGAAACGACAGACGAAGGGCAGCAGGAAGTAGATGCTGCCGTCTTCCGTCAACAATATATTCCACAAACTCTGGAGCAAGTCTACGATATCGAACGCGACGCTGAAAGAGTCCACGCTGGTGAAGGAGACGACCTCGTGTATCGGGATCTGCTCGCTCGCGAGAAGCCCTCTGCGCAGGCAGCCGATAATGAAAGCGAGCTTGGATCCGACGTCAGCGGTGGCGTATCGGTAGAAGGTTCCGACTCTGAAGACGGTGATGAAGGCGAGAGAGACCCATTTGAAAAGAAACAACCTCGTGGAAAGCGGTTTGAGGATAAGGATTCTAAGCGAGAACATAAGCACAAGGTCAAGGAAGAGAAGCGTGAGAAACGTGCGAACAAGATGCCAAAGCATCTCAAAAAGCGTCTAGTGTCCGGCTCGTCCAAAAAGCGCAAGTGAACGATCTGAGCGGCGACTTGAAGCACATACTCAAGCTCTTTCTGAAGCGCTATTCGAACAAATATCTTCGCTTGCCTCTGTGGCCTGGTCCTACAGAGGCAGTCGAGCCAGCACATCATTCCCGGCATTTGGCTCACATCGGGGTTCACGCAAAGTGCCTACGGATCGCATATTAAAATTCAGAATCGGCTCCCGTCGATTCGTCAATTCGGCATATGGCCATCCGATACGAGGAGACCAGGTAATCCTCATCAAAAGTACCTCGTCATCTATACATACAGCTGCAGCGTTTAGTCCTGTAGAAGCATTCAGTATATAGACAGTCAAAAGACTAGCATATCTTTCTCACTCCCTCCTCTGTCCATTCTTGTAAAAGCCTGTTTCCCGACAATCCCGCATGATACTTCTCTGAAGCCCTATTTCTTCCACATAGCCGCCTCAAACCATCCACGAAACTTGTATACTCTTTAGTCTCCAACTTCTACTCAAAAGCATCCCCAAACCACTCCCCAGCGTATGTCCCACGGCCCATTGAAGATCCCAAGTCAAGTCCAGCAGCAGGAGATTCAGACCCTCTAGGTGCACCGCCTTCATAATCTTGTGCGGCGCAGGTCAGCCAGGGAGATCGATTGGGTTGTCATTTCAACCTGTATCTTACCTATTGTATATATATATATATATATATATATGTATGTATGTATGTATAATATGCTAGCTTAAAGCTCGATAAGTGGGTGGGAATGGTTTGGGTGCTTGGTAGCTTGCTTCAAGCCATGGGTTTATGTAGGTATGCATTTTATGCAACATTAACCATTTCGTAGGCATCATCATTTATTTAGGAGACAGATTACTCTCAAAAAGATAGTTATAGTCCTTATATCCTTTCCTGGTCGGAAACTAATTCAAGTGCTGATAGTTAGTAGACGTAGTACGGAAAAGTCCAAAATATGTATGTACACCACCAACCAACCCTCAAGCTACAACCCCATCCAGAAGAGACAACGCTTCAATTAACTACCGACTTTAATGCGGCCTAACCAACCCCAGATACAAATACTCTGTATCGAAGAGCCAAGTTCCACTCAAGAAACCCATATATCCCCGCAAAAAAAAAAAAAAAAAACAAACACCAATGGTTATGGCATCATCTCCATCTCCATCTCCATCTCCCCTCCAAAACATCCCCGCAATCACCCTCCTCTGCATGGACCAAAAGTTCATCACAGCATACAACGAAGCCCTCCCCAAATACTGGCCCTTACCCAGCAGCACCTCCCCCCCCCCCCTAAATCTCACCATCCAAAACACTTCCCTGAAATCCCTCCCGGGCTCGACCAAATTCGACCTCATCGTCTCCCCCGCAAACTCCTACGGCCGACTCGACGGCGCCTTTGACGACGCTATCTCGCGCCAGTTCTGCCTCCCCCACAGCCACTACGACACCCTCACCCATGCCGTCCAGAAAGTCCTCTACGACAAATACCGCGGCTTTGCGCCGCCGGGCACATGTACGCTTGTGCCCTTTCCCGCGGAACTACGGGGGAAGAATGACTGGGGGTGTAAATGGGTGGCGATTTGTCCGACCATGAGGACGCCGGACTCGGCGCGGTGGGATCGGGAGGTTGTTTATGAGTGTGTTTGGAGTTTGCTTTGTGCTGTTGAAGGGTGGAATCGGGGGTGTGCTGGTGCTGTTGGAGGAAAGGAAGAAGAAGAAGAAGAAGAAGAAGGAGATGATGGGAAGATTAGGTCTGTGCTTATTACTCCGATGGCAACGGGGTGTGGAGGAGTCACTCCGCAAAAGTGGGCGGCGCAATTTGTATTGGCGATGAGGCACTTTGTCGATGCGGTGGAGAGGCCGGAGAGATGGAGTCGGCTGAGTTGGGGGGATATATATGATGATACAGATGCAATTAACAAGACGTGGAAGATGTAGTTACTGAGGAGTAGGTGGGTTACGGATAAAATCATTATTCGAGACAGTCCCCTCCCTCTATTCGAAGTTTAATTGATTTTCTAGCTGGGAGTTCGACTATGAAAGAAAGAAAGAAAGAAAGAAAGAAATAAATAAATAAAACCCCCGCTGGATGTACCCATCAGAGCTCTCTTTGATCTTCATTCCAGACCTGCCAATAACTAGACAAGTACACCCGATAGCGTTTACATCCTGCAGTAGGATTGCAAGAGTATACGTCTAAAGAGTGTCTCATGACTCTGAAAGCCATGGCCTGGAATCAGCACAGGACGACGCCTATTCAAGTTCATCATGTAGGTTTATCCAGTAGCCGATGGGAGCTGTAATGCAAGCAAAACACCATTCCGCGTCGTTATTAAGTCATCGAGAAGTTGAGAAATAGTTAAGGAAGAAAGTGGATTAGAAATACAATGACTCATCACCAACATTGTTGTTTGAGAGGCACAAGATGCAAGCTAACTGACAGCTCTGCTTCGGCCTTTTAGCCGAGCAAGGGCTTGCTCAAATAGTGATTTTGGCAGCTCGGGGATGATTTCCCCTTCCCCTGAATCCTCACGCTGTGGTGCTGTCTTTGGTACAGCACCATCTCCAGGTTGGTCTATTTGCGTTTCGACATCAGGATTTTCCGCGAGAACCCCCTTCAGAAGGCCACCGGAGATGCGACGAAAGGCTATGCGCATGGGCTCACGGCCAAGTCCAGGCCAGATATCAGACGGCAAATAATCGCCTTGCTCCACCCGGAATGTCTCACGCGCATTGACGTCCTCCTCGTAGAGCTGGTCTAACTTCTGCCGAGTATCACGGAGAATCTTCTCGACCCGGTGTCGCACATGCCTCCGACGTGCTACCTCGATGATAAGGCCATCGTATGCTTCAAGGAAGCCATCGTAGAGGGAATTAAGATCCGAGAGATCCGCTAATCCGCCCTTGATACGGTCATGTTCCTCATTCCATACCCGGGTGAAATTGTGAGCCTCTGCTATATATCCTGGTAATCGAGCAGAGGAAAGCGATGATAAGTGGGTGAAGACACCCTTGGTAGCGTTGTATACAGCAACAAAGTTGTCCCGTTGTGCCAACAGATTCTCCATTACCGATTCCATTTCTCCGATTCGGTCTTGGATTTCCATCACGACATCCTCCGCCTCGGCGGCGTCATTGATGATGACATTCACCATTTCCTGATACTCACAGTCACTGAGAGGATCAAGCGGGGCGTTTAAATTGGAATTTATGTCTTCCTCAATGTTTGCGCCGCCACGACTACTGATGACCCCTGCAGGCATATCGCCGGTAATGGATTTGGCAGCAGCGCCCCCTCCTTCGGTATGCTTAACAGCGGTGACACAGAGATCGAAATGACGGACCAATGATTCTAGTAAATTGGCCATTTCTTGAGCATGCATCTCTAAAGAATGCACCATGGATGGCATGGAGGTTAGAGATGGTAGGCTGGAGTTCGACGCAGATTGTGAGGCAGACGAAGAGACAGAAGATCGGGAAGAGGCCAATTTGGTAGCGGCTCTGTAATTCCCCAAGGCCTTCTTTATCGCTTGAAGCTCGTCATCGAAGGCGAAATTGGAGGAGTCCAGCTCTGCTTGAGATGCATTGGTTCGGTCAATTGAACTTTTCAGTGTTGCATGGAGTTCTTCGACACCCCGTTCGTCCACAAAGTCATGTAAACTTTTGGGCTCTTCGCCTTCAGGGCGAAAGGAAGCATGGACAATCGTCTCTCGAAGAGACCCTAGTGTCTTCCTGAGCCGCGCATCCGCCGCGTCGAGACTTTTCAGTGCACCGGCGAATTCGGATCGACCCCTGAGGGATATTTCCTCCACCTCAGATCTTACATTGTAGAGTAACCTTAATTGGTTATTGAGACCATTACGCAGAAAGCCGGTCCGTGCGGAAACCACGACACTTTCTTCCAAAGTGGAACGAGCAGCCGTAACAATCTCGTTGGCACGCCACACGTGGTTGATGGAGGACAAGGACCTTTTCGCTGCGACTAGATGAGAAATGAGAGTTTCCAATCGAGGCAGTACAGACTCCTGCCCGTGTAAAGGGTCAGCGTCAGGAGGCGCTTCACTAGAGGCTGATGATGACTCTAAGGTAGACATTGTCCCTAGATCCGAGGAGATGAGGTCTAAAGTCAGAATATGAGGTCCTAAGCGGTGATGCAAGCAAAACCGTTGCCTTCTTTAACAGACGCCCAAGGGGTATAAGAACTGCAGGAATACCATCTACAACAGAATGTTCGCGACTTTAGTTCCGATCAACCGACCCGCAACGAATCAGATGGGTTTGCTTGGACCGGGGGAGCTATTTCCGTCGATTCTCAATCGAGATGGAATGCATAAATAGCTTGCCTGGAACTTGGCGGTGAGAGCAGACAAGACGAGTAGACCAGTGAATGGGAATTGTTTCAGGCCTCTAGAATACTTTCCCCAGAGGAATCCGTGTTGCGGTGTAATTGCCCAAGACAAAAGCACCCCCTGAAGGCTGAATGGATTTTTGGTGAGTGGAGTATCCCCAGGTGCGCAGAAGCTAAGAATAAAGAGTCTTTGGTGGCACCTGGTCTCTGGGTAAGCTGTGGATCAGATAGTGTCCACAATCTTCCCTGATCATGGCGAGTAATGACAAGTAATGGCAAGTAATGGCAAGCAATGGCAAGCAATGGCAAGCAATGGCAAGTAATGGCAAGCAATGGCAAGCAGTGGTGAGGAATGGTGAGGAATGGTGTCAATTTCTGTCAATTTCTGCTGGTGATTGCGCCATCTACACACGTGACTCACCCGACACAAGAGCACGAAAGACAATCATTATTTGCGTGATCCATGAGACATTGATCTTTTTAAAAGACACTCTCAGGGTCAATCTCTTCCTCTTCTACAGACATTAAATCTCTTACACTTCTTCCTCTCCTGGCTGGCCCATCATTGAGACCTCTGCTTTCATTCCGGTCCCTCTTACCCCGGACGAGTTTGCGGTTCCCCCGTCTCCAGCTTCGCCACAGGGCTAGGACTCTTAAACGATATACAGCGAACTGAAGCCGCCGGTTCAAGACTCATGTTGGATTCTGGTTTATATTAGAGACTTGTCGGACTAAAATTAGCTGGTGCATCGTTGTTTGTGGGATTGCGATATGCCTATTACCGACCGATCCTCCCAACAAGATGGTGCCCCTCACAGTCTAATCCAAGAAAATCGGCTAAACTGCAACAACACCATGGACGCCTCGCAGGCTTCTTTGAAATCGATATTTGGACCCTCTCATAGCGCCGACGATACAGACCTCGAATCCGACGCCCACCAACACGTGTCCCACGGCTTCAGCAATGTGACCAAAGCCCCCGCAAATCTCGCAACCGAGAATGTCGCTCCCTTTCTTGCCAGACACATTCCCGAACAATATGCTCCCCTCGGGGCCCAGTCGATCCTACCGGCAGAACTGAGCAGCGCAAACTCCAAATACTGCTATCGCCATCGGCCGGACATCAAATGTCGACGACAGGCGGATGAGCCCACCATGGATAAGCTTCAGCAGGTAGGTCAACCCTCTGGTTTTTTTTTTTGTAAGATTGCCTAGCATTGCGCAAGCTCACACACAATCAAAGGGGTTGGAAACCCTCCCTCAGGGTGATCAACAAAGTATTTCGCATATTTGGTCTCTATTTTCTGCCGCGCCCGCCAAGCACCGGAAACTCATTTTGCAAGGAATCCTGGCGCAGTGCTGCTTCCCACAACTTTCGTTCGTTTCGGCTACTGTGCGCGATCTCATCCGCATCGACTTTATTACCGCACTACCTCCCGAGATCTCTTTCAAAATTCTGTGCTATCTGGACACTACGTCACTTTGCAAGGCTGCCCAGGTTTCTCGACGATGGAGGGCGCTCGCTGACGATGATGTTGTGTGGCACCGGATGTGTGAACAGCATATTCATCGCAAGTGCAAGAAATGCGGCTGGGGCTTGCCACTTCTGGACCGTAAGAGGCTCCGAGAGTCCAAGCGGGAGATCGAATTACGGGCCACAACATGGGGAATGAACAGAGCGGAGTCCGAATCACCCCATCCAGAATCCCAAGCGAATTCTCTGGCTGAAGTGACCAACACTGGCAAGAGGAAGCAGGAACCAAGCAACGAGGATGCCGTGGTAAAACGCCATTGCTCATCATTGATCCCCGCATCTGAAGGAGATCACGATTACTTCAAAACCCGATATCGACCCTGGAAAGCTGTGTACAAGGATCGTTTCAAGGTGGGCACAAATTGGAAATATGGGCGATGCTCGATCAAGACCTTCAAGGGTCACACGAATGGGGTTATGTGTTTGCAGTTTGAAGATAATATTCTCGCTACCGGCTCTTATGACACAACTATTAAAATATGGGATACGGAAACTGGAGAGGAACTGCGCACCCTTCGCGGGCATGAGTCCGGAATTCGCTGTCTGCAGTTTGATGACACTAAGTTGATTAGTGGCAGCATGGATCGCACGGTGAAGGTCTGGAACTGGCGTACGGGAGAGTGTATTTCCACCTATACCGGCCACCGTGGTGGTGTGATTGGGTTACACTTCGATGCTTCGATATTGGCCTCTGGGTCCGTTGACAAGACAGTAAAGATCTGGAACTTTGAGGATAAGTCGACATTCCTTCTCCGTGGCCATACCGATTGGGTCAATGCAGTCAGAGTGGATACCATGTCTAGGACCGTTTTTTCAGCTTCGGATGACTGTACGGTGCGGCTTTGGGATCTGGACACCAAAACTTGTATCCGAACCTTCCATGGGCATGTGGGTCAAGTGCAACAGGTTGTCCCTCTACCCAGAGAATTCGAATTTGAAGAGCACGACGCTGAGTGTGAGAATGACAACCTTAGCACCACGTCTGGAGATAACGAGTCACCCTCTCTGCAAGCCTCTATGGGGTCGGAATCCAATTCTGCTTCCAACCAATCCTCGGATTTTGGCCCTTCGTTTGAGAATGGCCGCCCGGCACCACCGCGCTACATGGTTACGAGTGCATTGGATTCTACGATTCGTCTCTGGGAGACCACTACCGGCCGTTGCTTGCGTACGTTTTTTGGTCACTTAGAGGGCGTCTGGGCCCTCAGTGCCGATACCCTCCGCATCGTGTCTGGTGCTGAAGACCGCATGGTTAAGATCTGGGATCCCAGAACTGGCAAATGCGAGAGGACTTTCACCGGCCACTCTGGACCGGTGACTTGCCTCGGTCTGGGAGACAGCCGTTTCGCTACTGGAAGCGAGGATTGCGAAGTACGGATGTACTGCTTCCAGAGCTGATTTTTTTTTTCTGTTCGACCTTCACGTATTTTTCATTTGACTACCCCTTTATAATGACTTTCTATTTAGGTTTGGACGGTTGGCGGATACCCTTCAAGCGGCGTTGTGTGTGTTTTTTTTATACCTTTATTCCCTTGAAAACGGCCATATACAGACAAATTGCATTATTATGTTGGAAGCGGAGAACCTATGGCACACTGGTATGGGCTTCATGAGCTTTCTTCAACACGGGCCAAGGCTTTTTTTAAGCGCCTTGGGGGTCTCTGGATTTGTGAAGCTCAAAATTTTCATTCACAGTAGTATAAATAATATAATATCTTATCTTATATCCATGGGGTTCTCATCTCGTAGTCAAGTTTTTTTTCGAGAACAGTAGGGGTATCAAGCTCTGGAATGTTCGTTATATTAAACCCAAGCTTGGTACCTCTTCCACGCTCTATCTTCATAGTACTGTTTAGTAGTAAATAATATATTGAATGAGCAACAGCAGGGCCAAGGACAAAGTCATCCATACAGTCCCCTAAGTACCTCTTTGCCCATCAACAGCGCTACTACTACTTGGTACCTACGAGGTATTCCAGAAAGACCCACGCTGAACGTACGAGCGCGGGGTACTGAAGAGATGTTTACAATTTGCTCGATAGTGATGTGATCTCGAAGCAAAGAAAATCCTTTAGAGAGCGGGTAGGACAGTATCCAGTATCTGACTGGAGTGTTGGATGAAAGAGAAGTTTTCGGAGCCAGCCAGTATAAGCGAACTTTGCGAGGATCTAGATATGGAGGGAAGTACTATATTACTGGTGTGATAATAATACGTTTAGTGCAGCCACAATGCCGTATTACCACCGGATTCTATCAGAAAATCTAACCGCTCTTGTCTAGCACATTAACTCTTGAACAAATGCGGGAAGCACGTTCTCAGCTCCTCAAGATCACGTATCAGGAACTGCGAGACGGGGGCTTCGGGCATAGGAAGGCCATGTTCTACTAGATGGACCGTTTGCCAACCACGATCCGCAGCGTGCTTGCAATTCAACCCGGAGTCGTCTGTGTGGGAATCAGTACACATCGAAATAAAAACAACTACAGTGATAATGAGGAGGAAAGAAAACTGACCGACAAAATAGCACTGCTCTGTGCTCGGGGCACCCGCCTCTTTCTCCGCCTTCTCGTACATGGCCTGCGTGGGTTTGCAAACGAGCGGTGTCTGACCGTAGTCACAGTAGGTGATTCCCTCAAAAAGATCTTCGACCCCTAGTAATTTCACTACCCTATTCGCATGAGTAACATATGCATTGGTCAAGAGCCACATCTTCACTTTGTCCCGGTCAATGTCCTCTAGCAACTTGCGCAGTTTCGGGTCTGGCTTCAGGATCTGATCGAGCGGCAAAGCATCGTCGACTTGGCGGTTGAACTCTAGTGGATCGATCTTATGGTGACGTGTAAGCCCTTCAATGGCGAGGCCATACTCCTTATAATACTTCGTATGCAGCAGGTGGGCATCGTCAGCATTGAGGGAGAGGTGACGGACGAAGAATTGGTCTAGAACGGATGGACGTCATTAGTTAGTGGGCAGGGGAAAATGCGCATTTCCCGGGAACTAAACATACGTATCAGTTTCTGCATCTCATCATGAATATTACTGCCTGCGCGACGTCCAGTCAGTCCTCAATACCGCAGTCAAGTGTCTTGTAGGAAGTAGAGGGCTCCTACCCCTGGGGTAGAGCTAGATCTCCGTAAACGTCAGCCACGGTTCAAAAAAAAAAAAAAAAAAAAAAACCTCTCGTATTCGAAAACGTACGCAATTGTCAATATCGAAGAAGAAAACAGGTTTAGAATCCGCCATGATGCCGATTGTTTTAGAGACGGTTCCTCTCCTCGCAGTCGGGGCGGGGGATATAATCCTAAGACGGTTCTGGGGCGGCACCCGGATGGACTGGGGTAGTGATGGAGGCGGTAATTGAGAAGTACGCGACGCAGAAAAGAACCTGGAGAGTAGGGAAGAAGAAATGAGATAACTCATACTCCTTATATGAGTCACTATTTAGTTCCCCTCAGTAACATCTTCGTAATCCCTGATATACTAACTAACTAACAACTACCCTACTATAGTTAATAAGTGGTGGGAGGGCCATCATTCCGCACGCAGGTTAGCGCCGCCTGACTCCGAGAGCAGGTGATCTGCAGCGCCATTGACAACTTTTCTTCTTCCCAGCTCCAAAACGCGCTCCTTCTCTCTCTCTCTCTTTCTTACACCCACACACCTCGCTCTTTTTATATCACCCCTAGTCAGTATTGACACGCTGAGGTAGTGGATTGAATTCAGACGTTGCAGCCTCGAACAGGTTATGCCAAATCACTAATTCAGTTCCACTGGGTTTGAGATATCGGTCGCAGTGCACAGGGCAGGGAGAGCTAATCAAAATTTTCCCCTTCTTGCGCAAGCTCCCCGGCCATGGCAGCAACTCAACTTCCCACCAGTAGGGTGACTGCTAGGTTACCTGCAGCAGAGGAGATGCAGGAGTATGAAAAGATCTTGAAAATTAGTGAGGAGATTTTTTCTGGGACTCACCCTAGGTTGAAAGTTCCCCAGCAGTTCGTGCGCAAAGTCGCGCCTCGCAATCCTCCCGCGTCGGCCACAGCCCAGAGCAAGGCCGGCGGCCGTCCCGGTTCATCCCCTAAACCTTCATCCCAACCTGCCGTCTTGACGGCAAAGTACACAGGATCACAAAGTACAAATATTGGAAATGGCCCCCCTAGCACAGCCGCGTCTTCGCGGCTCATTACCAAGCCTACATCGGAGATTGATCCGATTTTCCTGACCAAGTCGGATGACCTAGTCAGGGCAGAGTTGCAGCTACAGCGCCAACGAGTGGAGAGAGTGTTACGGGACCAACTTGAGCAGAAGAGACTAGAGTCGAAGCAGAAAGTCTCCTTACAGGATGCGAACCCTGACTTTGACGTCTCGGATGTCCTAGCAAAAGCTTTGGAAATAGTCAAGCCATCCCCTTCACTCGATGTCTCCCGTGCTGGTGCGCCCAGCGATTCGTTTGACGAGAATTCGTTCTACTCTAGCAGAGCCCCTGACTCTCCACCCCAGGGTGACCAGCAGAAGCCATCCACGGCGCGCCCTTCTAACCCAGAGGAGCTTAGCGCTGAAATCCGTGGAGAAAGATATTCAGATGAGTTGCAACGGCTTGAAGCCCTCAACAAACCTGAATCGGACCAGGAAGTGCAAGTTACTTACCCCGTTGCAGGCCACCGAATTCTCTCTCACCATAGGCAAGCGCATCATGGTGAAGGTACCCCAACCCACAAAGTTCACGAAGTCCGCCAGCAGGCCGACGCCATGGAGGAGCCGGAGTACTCGCCCCCAGCTCCCGGTGTAGCACCAATGGAAAGGGTGGATGGCTATGAATCCCACACAGCAAATCCGACCCCTGCGAAGCGCCGTATATCCGATCGAGGCCACTACCCACGACGATCAATGTCGCCTGCAGATAACGTTCGAGTAGTACGGAACCATATCACATCCCCCGCGGCTCCTCAACCGTCCCGTGTCTCCCCGCTCGCCATTGCGAAGGTGCCTTCGGTACATCAGACCCAAGATTCTCACTCAGAGTATGACCCCGAGCGTCAGAGAAGCCCCGCGATGCCTCCGCAGCCTTTGGTGTCTAGAAAGCGTAGGAGAATACAGGACGAGAGCGACCGGTCCCGCCCACCACCATATAGAACGCAGGGTGCTGGGTCAACCAAACCCTTTATTAAAGAGGAGCCGGTTTCACCACCTCCTTTTGCTGATACTCCACCCTCATACCGGGCACGTGCTCCTCAGGAAAGGCCTGTTTACATTGATATAGCTTCTCCCCGCTATACCCCTGTCATGGAGAGAAGGGAGCCCGCTCTGAGGACCTCCACATATGAGTTAGATTCCTATGATGAGACTCATGGTGAAGCAGGGATACATCGTGCGGTTTCTCGACTAAGTACCCGACGACCAATGCGAGATGAGCAGGACCTGCGAAGAGTTGCGAGTTTGCATCAAGCTCGACAACCCGAATACGTTCGTGAATATATTGACCAGCATAGCCCCCATTCTACTCGCCCAGGGCCTTATACGATTGTTGAAAGACCACCACAGGAGAGAGCTCGGTATTATAATGAGCTACCAGTGGCCCATGCGACAAGGCGTTATGTTCCCGCCCCCGATTCGCCCGTGTCGCCCCAAGTCCATGAAACATACTACGAGGAAGAGCCGGCAACGCGTCTTATGGCACCACCTCCACGACGAATCGTGGTTGATGAGCATGGAAACCAATACTATGAAACTATCTCCGCGCCAAGGGTACAAGCTATGCCTCCACCGTCCAGTCGAATCCCAAGAACCGAGGTCTACGAGGAACCTCCACAAATTCGGCACGCCAGTGTGCGGGCAGCATCTGTCCTTGAGGATCCGTATGGTGGCCGAAGGTACGTGCAAGAAGTGCCTACGCAAGGGGTTTATCGGCGAGTGACCGACTATGCTCGGCCTGTTCCTGGTGAGCGGCGCCACTATGCTGCTCCGTTCGAGGCCCGGGAGCCCTTCCCACGTAGCAGCAGCGTGCAAGTCCACGAGTACACAACTCGACGGGGACCGTATATGGAGGAAGCTGAGCTTCCCCGAGAAAGAATTGTGCGGGTGCCCAGCGTTCGGCCGCCAACGACGCGGTACGACGAGCCACGCGAGGTAATTCAGCGTGTGGAGGAGAGTGTGCACCCTGGCGGCCGCGATATGAGTGTGTATATGGATGAGGAGACCCGACGTCCTCGGGAATACATTGAGCGGCCCGTCTACGTAACTACCCGGCCCCTGGCGCCGGGAGAGCGATACTATGAAAGTGGCGAGCCAGAGCGCGTTGTACTCGAGGGGCCGAGAGATGTTGTCCATCGAGTGTCGCAGCGCTACTGAGCGGTAAATTATTGTTGGGTGATATCAAAATCCTTTTGCGAATCTATCTATACATACGGAGCACGGAGTCCCCCTTTGTAATAAAAGGCAGACAATAGGAATAAATTTAGTAATTAATCTATTTTCGTTCCTAGTATCTTCAATCCCAAGCCCGCCGCATTGAGGCCACGAATCGCTAAGCATCGACGCTATATTCTTCACAGGAATAGCGGAAGGCGCAGCTGGTCCTTCCACCAGCACAATCCAACGAGTTATGACTGTTGCCTACCGGGAACTTGTTCCTGGTGTTGGTCACTGGGCAGAGTCATCCACTTCCTAGTAGTTAACTAGTTAACTAACTAGTAGTTGGTAATATGAAGAGGAATATGAAGAATATATATAGATTATAGAATCCAATGGCAGAGTGGGGTTCTCAGGAGAGGTTCTCAGGAGAGTGATGGGGACGTACTTTTGTTTCCCAATACATACTTTTTTTTTTTTTCTTTCTTTTTCTTTTTCTTAAAAAAAAAAAAAAAAAAGAATGAGTACGTAGTTCTTAGAAGTCAGGGGTGAAACATATCTAGATAGTTAGGTATGTAAAATTGTAAACATCCAGAATCTTCTCGTGTGCGTGCATATTAGATTAGGTTCGGTATTACGGAGTATATTATTGTTGTATGGAGAACTCGGTACATTGCTCGGATCCTGGCGGAGACACTCTGTTTTTTTTTTTCTATTTTTTTTTTTTTTTTCTATTTTTTTTTTTTTTTTCAGGGATCGGGGATGACGTCGATGAGTCGGACTCATTTTGGAGGGATTGTTTGTACGGAGTACTCTGTACCTGTTGTTGTTGTTGTTGTTTCTTTCCTTGCTTCGGAGTACATAGATGCAGTAGTTCGTGATTAACTAGATATATAATGGGATTGTTGGATTGTATGGACCTGACCGGGACCATGGATCATGGTGATGTTCTTTCTGAATCAACTTCAAGAGGGAGAAGAGAAGACCCTATTGTTATTAGAATATCGAAATGGGTTTGCAATATAGAATATTTATCATAGTCTACTCCGTACTTCCTGAGTCAATATTTAGATACCGGGATTCGGATGGGTGTTAGTTGCCTGGTAACGATAGGTTCCAAGCATTTTATTTAGATCCTTGTAGTACGTGATAATTAGACTACCTAGGTATACAAAGTTAATCAAAGACGCCATGTAACACATGCTCAACATTGATGCTGTAGTTGCAAAGTACTCCGTACTCCGTAGAATACTGGACGGCCTGTGTGGAATTCTAGTTGTCTTGGATAAATAGGCCTCTGATCGAGACTGAGAATGATGGACAACAGGAGGAGACTGAACTCCCGTGCGGATCCACGCATACCTTGTTTCCAATACACCGATCATGGCCAGAATTACCATTGTCCCTGGGTACTCCATGGAGAGACCATTGTGATGTCGAACAGCAATAAATTGAGTCCAGACCTGGCCATCGAGTCGGCCAATGCTTCAAAGGCAGGCACGTGATTATTTGCCTCGCTTGCGGCGCCCGAAACGGAAAAGCCGTTGGACCGTGCAGGAGTGAAGAATGGCGATGCATGTTCCCTATTATTGCTGGATGCAATCAAAAGGAGTCGATGATTGCTGCGGTGTCCCAAACAGACAGGGTTATGACTAGTAGTAGTAGTAGTAGTTCTATTTAAACCCCTCCTTTTCCGGACCCATGATGGGTTGGTTCCCCAGCTCCCAGAGTTCCCAGAGTTCCAGAATCTCTCACTACCTCTGGCGAGCCAAGATAAGCAATCCTCCTTGAAGGGGGATAGATTTTGAGTTTAGTGGAATGAAGAATAACGAATCGAGGATTTGACTCGGGACACCGGACGGGGGTTGTTGGTTCTTCTGCTGCTGCTGCTCCGAAAGACCGTGGTTGTCGTATCCCTTGTTATGACTCTCTCTTCCTCTGAGAATTCGAGGATTCAACCCCCTCGTGAAAAGAACCCTGTAGCCATGCTTGGAGTCAGGTGTTTGCAGGAAAGACTGCTGCAGTCGAATGATTGGGCCTAGACACTGGGCTGAGTACCCGCATTTCCCGCTTGATGGTAGAGAGAGAGAGAGAGAGAGAGAGAGAGAGTGAGTGTGTGTGTGTGGGAGTCAGAAAGAGCGAAACGAGGAGAGAAAAGAGAAGAGGGAGAGAATCAAGTAGAGAAGAGAATTGAGTATAGATCAAATAATTCTGTATGAATCCAGCAATATGTAAAGAATTCTTGTATAGAGAGAGAGAGAGAGAGAGAGAGAGAGAGAGAATTGGTGGTGTTAGCAGATGCTGACTCCCAGACTTTTGACCAGAGCTGAATTCAGCCATTCATTCATTCCATCATCTCATTCTCTCTCTCTCTCTTGCTTTCTCTCTCTCTCTCTCTCTTTTCTTTCCCTTCACCACCTCAAGCTCTTCTTCTTTTCATATCCCCTCCTCCCTTTACAATTGCTTCTTCATCCTCTTCTTTTTCTTTTCTTTCTTCTTCTTTCTTCTTCTGCTTTCTTTTTCTCTCTCACTTTCATTTGCCCTTGCCATCATTCCATTCTTCTTCCTCCCCTCTATCCCTCGATACCCGTTTTGGTTGCTGGATTGATTCCACCCATTCCGATTCCAAAACGCCCTGGTCCACCACTCACGATTCTTCCTGCGCGTCCATTCCTCTTCCATCTTCATCCTTGTCGAGAACGGCGAACCCCAGCCCTTTGAGTTTTCCTCCATCCTCTCCACTGCTCGACCGTCCTTTCTCTTTCTCTCCTTCTCCCCTCCATCTCTCTCTTTCGTTCGCCATTTCTGCCATCCTGACTCCGTTCGTCTCTCTCCCCTCGATTCGCTCAAGGGGTTAGAGATTCGATTTGACCCGGGTATGCACAAGATCTCCAACTTCACGGGCCAGGCCCGTCATGGTTGGGAGCGAATGACACCGACCTTTGGGATGTCGCGCCCTCACTCCGAGATGGCCTCACACTCCCTCCGCCGGCCCCATGGCGCTCCTCCTCCCATGACTCCACCTACCGGCGTCGACCCGACGGTCAACCTCTCCTTCAATGTCCCCTTCTCTTCCACCCTTGCCGGCCCGGAAGCTGATGACGTGCTGCATGCGAGCCCCGGCGCCCTCCAACGCTGGTCATTTCCCGAAGGTACCCCCGAAGGTACTCCTGTCCACCAGCTGCCGGTCCACACGAGCAACATCGAAGCTTTACGGAGACTGTGTCGTCAAATTACGGAGAGCAGCAATGGGAGAGCCGAGGCAGTCATTACATCTTCCGAGCCTAAAATCGTCCCATCTCTACAACGGCGACCCCAAGGACTAGCTACCAACGTTTGTATTACCGGCGATGGAGAGACCGTGCGAAAATTGCGAGCGAAGATCTTAAATGAGACGCCAATCTTGTTGGTATGTGTACCCCCGTCAAATTTTTTCTTTTCCGCACCCTGCGGGGTACTTACCCTGTAAAATGCGTTCTGTGACTAATTTTATAATTTCAATAGCGATGTGCGACCGTTGACGTTGATATGCATCTTGTTGTGGATGGCACCACCAAGGGGGTTCGGCCGAGTGTCCTAGAGCACCTCGACACTCTCGCTGCCTACACCGGTACGGACATCTTCCTGCTCAGCCCCAAGCTTCGCGATACGGATAGTGCGGTTGTGTCCTCGTATGGTTACGCCTCGGATAATGGGTTGGACCAGCGCTTCCGGGTTTCTATCTATGGAGATATGGAGAGTACCGAACATGCTAAGACTAGAGTCCTAATCATGATCGATCAAATTGTAAGCCTGGTGAAATTTTTTTTTTTTCGTCCTTCTTTTTGAATTTTCCTAACTTGATTTAGCTTAAACGTCATGTGGACGCTATAAAGTTGGAACTTACCATGCATACCCTGGTCTGTGGCCGAACTCGAAAGAATATCAAACTCATCGAAGCCGCTACCGGCACAGCGATCTATTTTCCGCCTCCATTTCCGCGCATTTTTGGCTACACTCCCCCAGGCGCTCACCGTCGTAGCGAGGATGAGGTTTACATCACTGGTGAAGCCCAAGACCAGATTACTCGCGCGAAACAGAAACTGAGGGAGCTAGTCATGGGGGTCAAGATCTACGTCAAGGATGTCATGGTCAACTCCAACAAAATTGACAATATTCTACTTGATCGTCTGGACAAAGTTCGGAAGGTGATGGAGATGAATGGCTCCTACGTCCTCTTCCCTCAACTAGGTAGCCAACGGGGCCTCGTTCGTATTCAAGGAACCGAAGTTCTGCATGTTGAGCGCACCGTGAGGGAGATTATGGCCTTGGTAAGTTTCTATAATCGACCTGCCTTTATGCGTTTTGCTGACCATCCCCTAGGCTGGTCAATTCTACAGTGCCTCCTGGTGGATTATTGTCCCCGACCCATCCCCCGGCGCAGCCCGCACTCCATCTCCCGTAGATATTCGGACAATGCTGTCTGATATCTGCACCCACTCTGGGGCTGAGGTCAGTTTCGACAATTTGACGTTCACTATCAACGGATCCGACGACGCCGTGAAAGCGGCCATGATGGTCATTAACCAGATCCCTTTTGTCCAACGCAGCCAGTACCAGATGCGCGTGAAGATTGAATTGGCAAATGAGCACAAGGAGTTCGTTAGCGGCAAGAAGAACGGGAAGATTAACAAGATAATGGGTCAAAGTAAGTCATTGGCTACATCTAATTCACCTATGAACATTCATGTTAACAATGAAGTAGGCAACGTACAAATCATCTTCGATGGTTTCAATGAGTACAACTTCTACATCGATGTGTGCGGAAACCAGTATGAGTCCACGAAGAATGGCTTGGACCTGGTTGAACAAGAAATGCCTGCTTCAATCTCTTTCCATGTTCCCGACCAATACCACAAACGCATCATTGGCATCGGAGGCCAGCACATCCAGCGTATTATGAAGAAGTACTCTGTCTTTGTGAAGTTCTCCAACGCCATGGATCGTGGTGGCATGGGTAAGGAAGACGATGACATCAAAGTTGACAACGTCATTTGTCGGACGCCTGCCCGTAACGCTCAAAGTCTGGATCTTGTCAAGCAGGAGATCATGGACATGGTTGAGAAAGTGGTAAGATATGCTCTTTTTCCCTTTTTTTTTTTTTTTTTTTTTTTTTTTTTTTTTTGGCTGGTTACAAAACGACTAATACTAATTGCTGTTAAAAGGATGCCGAGTATGTTTCCGAGCGTGTTGTGATCAACAGATTGTATCATCGTGAATTGCTAGCTCGGATTTCAGAGATTGATGAGCTTGAGAAGAAATGGAACTGCAAGATTGAATTCCCTAGCACTGAACTTGCAAGCGACGTCGTGACAATCTCTGGGCCTGAATATCAGGTCCCGCAAGCCGTCGACGCCTTGCTGGTATGTTTCCGGCTACCGTATGGCGTGTAAATGAAGTCACTGACATATTTCCAGGGAATGGTTCCGGAAAGCCACGAACTTCTCTTCCAGAGCTCCCCTGAGTTGCGAGAGTTCTTCCACGGCGCCGACTTCCGCCAGGATGTTTGCGCCAAGTTGAAGGAGCAGTACGAGGTTGATACCACTGTGGATATTAGCAAAGAAAGCCCTGTGCCCGAAGGAGGCACAGCTTCGCCCACCTTTGGCCCTGAAGACCGTGTTGTACTCGGGTACACGCGCAATAATGCAGGTGGACTCAAGGATGCAATTGATTTCCTGATTTCCCGACTGGTTGCCCATGGCCTCGATGCAACTACTGTCAAAGGCGCTATTCCACGGCCCAAGTCGGATTCGTTTGAGGAGTCTCTGCCCTTCTTCGACTCGAAGCTGTTGCAGCACGCACCCACTCCCATTGCAACAGATTCCCCAACTCGGCCTAGCTTTACTGACGAGACAAGCGAACGTGGTTCCATCTTTGAGCGACTTCGCAAACCTGGTAGCATTTCCTCTTTCTCCTCGTTTATCGGCCGCAAAAACCACTCGGCCTCCCCCGCTTCATTCTTCAAGCACGCCTCGAGTAATGCCTCAAAGGCATCTCTGGTTTCCATGGAGTCCCGAGACAGTGGTTACCGCAACCCGTGGAACGACTCGGGCGTGAACCTCGCCGAGGACGATTTGCCCGTCCTTGGGAGCTCCCATAGCCACAACAGCAGCAATGGCTGGCCCGCGCGCTTTGACACGAAATTTCCATTCGGTACCGCGCCGGGGGACATGACTCCCAAGCATGACCTCCGCGCGTCTTTTGATAGTGGTCGTCCTAGCACTTCCAATTCTACTTCTGGATACCCGGCCCCCATCGGGCCACCGCGTTAAAAAAAATCAATGTCAATTTGCAGCAGTATACCCCAAGAGAATTCATTATACCATTTTTTTGTTCTTTTTTTTTTTTTTTTTTTTTTTTTCAGATTGTTCGCAGCGATTCTTTGTTTCGGAATTTTTCTTTTTGTTTTTGATACCACTGAGAGCATGTACCCAAGATGGCGGGACCAGAATCCCGAAAAAAAAAAAAAAGAAAGGATGGTCAAGGCTGGTGGACGAGAAGACGGAGAATGAAGACTTGAATCGGACAGCAATAGTGACATTGCTCCCGTAGGCTATCTCTTTTTGCTCCACGACGTACTTCTCGTCTCAAGTTTTGCTCCTACATGATGATTTTGTGTCTTGAGCAATTTTGTTAGTTCCAGCTGTTATCTGGGAAGCACGATGAAGGAGCGGCTCTCATTAAAACATTACAGATATGATACCAAGTGAAATGATGGTGTATGATGGTGTTCTCGTTTTCTGCCTTTTTTTGAGAGAGAAAGAGAAAGAGAGATAGAGAGGGAGGGAGGGAAGGAAGGAGGAGGAGGAGAAATGCACCTCGATTACATTACTGACCCTTTTCCTCTTGGAGTTTCCGCTCGGCTTAGTCGCAACTCATCGATTGTTCTTTTTTTTTTTTTTTTTTTTTTTTTCCTCGTGTTTTTATTTTGGATGGTTCTATCTATATACCTTGATGAGCACAGTATTCCAAGATTTGATTAGTGTAGAGAAGAATGAACGAGTCTCTCTCTCTCTATATTTTTTTTTTCTTTCTTTTCTTTCTTTCTTTCTTCGTATTTTCTGTCTCTTCTTTCTCGTAGTGGGCTACAGAGAGAGTGTGTATAGATCTAGATATGTTCACGTAGTAGACAGGCCAACACCAGACCAGTCTAACCTTACTTACTGCCTTACTACTTAATGAATGAACGAATAGATGAATGGGTGGGCGGATACATACAAAGTAAACGTAAACCTCTTAGAATTGGAACGCAAAGGCTTCAAATATAGTTTATGATGATGATCTAGGTAAGTATGGAGCGGTGGTGGTGGTGGTGGTGATGAGAAGATGAGATATGAGATGAGTGGGAGAGATAGATACATATATAGTTAGTTAGTGTAAAAACAAACCGGCAAGAACTTTTCTGGTCTGGTGGGCTAGGAATTACCGGATGTATTAGTTGTTGTTGTTGTTGTTGTTGTTGTTTATTCGACATCTATTCTTCTTCTTCTTCTTCTTCTTCTTCTTCTGCTTCTTATTATTACTGCTGCTACTACCACCCTATAGTAGTATTTTGCGAGCGGCTGACTGGTTACTGGTTACAGGTGAACCTTTTGAAAGCAGATATGGTGAGATTAGATTGGATGATAAAGTAAAGCAAGGCAAATGAGAACAAAACGAAGCCGGTGGATATCCATTCACACATAGGCTGGCGGAGGAAAGAAATAGAAGCTTGGGTATCAAACGTGCATTGGTATCAAGTGACCTATGATCGATGGATTTTGGGAAGTGAAGGGCGACTAAACAGGACAAGCAGAAAAAAAAAAAAAAAAAAAAAAAAAAAAACACAACAGGCCATGGAATTGGACCACCCTGTGATCTGTAGCGATATATTAAGGGACGGATGGAGCTCCAGAGCCTAGAAGAGGGGAGTGCAGTGCTACCCTCGCTGTATGGTTCATTATACACATGGATATGTATATCGTTGAACATGGGGGAAAGAACAGAAGAACTAAAAGTGCTTGCGACTGGGACAAACAATCAATAAGCTACGCCGATGGCAGAGTGGCGTTGATAACTGTAGGAAGTATACTCGAGACCTTCGTAGTGTGTTTTATGCTGTTGGCCCTCGTATATAGTAGGATGGGTGCGGTCCTCGGACATGGTCTGTCTGGAAGTATAAGGACGCGAAATGGGCAGCTCCAGCTCCTTTTCCGTTCGGGAATCGAGAGTAGAGGTTTGAGCGGCTGCTGTTGCCGCCGTTGTGATGCTTGATAGTGGATGGGTGCTTTTGGGACCTGGAGCCATGCTGGTGACGGATGGGGCGAGGGTTGATCCGCTTAGCGTACGGGTGCGGATGCGGAAGGAAAATTTGTCACTGAAGCTGCCTTTCCATGGACTTGAGGGGGGGCTGGTCACCTTGGCGCTGCTGGTTTGCAGGAGCCATTGCGTGACACGGTTGGAACGAGATGGCGATGAGTTGAGCAGTGGATCGTGGGGACAACTATCCACTGGTGTTGCGGGAGGATCGTACGGGCTGCTACCGTACGAAGGAGACCCCTTGGAGGGGATTGAGGGCAAGGCCTTCTCTTGTCTTGTCTTTGCAGTGGTTGATGCGGGAGCATAAGTTGGTTCAGGACGGCGCTCATTCTTGGACTGAGTCCCGCTACCCACGAAGGAATCCGGCAAAGTGGGAGGAGAAGAAAGAGCGCCAGAGGCCAGACCAGTGGCCACAGAGGGGGTAGAAAGAAGTGTCGAGAAATAAGGGATTAGAGGATGGCTGACGGGGGCTTGTTTCTCCATCAGTAGCTCCACAGTTGCTAATGACGACCGACGGGACCCGGATCCAACAGGCTTTCGAGGCAGGTTGAAAGAAGACGCAGGCCGATGACCTCGAGAATGGGATTGGCAGGAGAAATCAGTCATAAACGAGAAGGTTTTGGGTGGACGGGTTAGAGGTTGTGTTTGGTCATCAAGTTTGAAGTCATTAAATTTAGGGAGATCCGGCAAGGGGTTGGCTGGGCTCTCGAAGCTCAGCTCCAGAGGGCAGAATTCGGTTGGCATTGTAGGTATTGTGGTCAACGTAGTGACTCGTCTGAAGTCAGTTGGTGCGCTGATGCGCACTGGAATGGTTGACTTTCGCTTGAGAGACATGCTGGCCCGGTTGGAGGCTCGCGCTGCGAGGGTTCTACTTTCCTCCATCACCCATGTGGGAAACGATGAGGTTCGTGGAGGTGGTCCGGGGCTAGGCAGGTCATCATAGACAACTAGCCTCATTGGAGGAACAAGATGAGGCTGGGAGTGACATATTTGCATCTCTCTCTCGGAGCCTGGGAAAGAAGCGGTGTTAAATAAGAGAAGCGCTCTGGATTTGAATACTGTATCGGTATAGAACAGACATACCTTTCTGCTTCATGGCTTGCTGATGACGGGCGCTTTCATCATCGCCACCGGAGTCTAGGCAGAACAAGCAGGATGTAATCCAGCCAGCGAATATGGATCCTGCTTGTTCAATTGCCCGCTGCATCGCTGCCGGAGCTTCAGAGCTGTCGGGCCATGCCCTTGAAGCGGGGGTAATACTGCGGGGACCTAGGAAAAAGAAGAAAGAACGAGGAAAAGAAGGAATTAAACAAAAGACAAGTAAAAGCAGGTGAGGGATTAGAAACGAAGGACCGGGCGAGGAATCAACCTTCGCTCACAATAAAGCACTTCCGGACTCACCAAGAGGCTGGCTGGCAGCACAAGGAACGCGAGAGTTGAAAGGGAAAGGAAGGAAACAAGGGAAATCACCCAACGACGGCCGACAGAGAGATTATTGGATGGGGTTACCTTGTGATCAACCCCCCTCGAGTACTCCAACGTCGAAGTGGTCCTGCATCCCGTTGGGTATGGGATTATGTACCTCTCGACTGATGCAGACGCTGAGCCGGGGCCATTTATGCAACGTGGGCATCCATCAAACCACCTCAGGCACCCTCTTGTTCCGATAAGACCATGGCGGAAGATTCTGTCCAGCCAAAGCGCTCCCATCAGCCAGTCGTTTGCGCAGTGCTGGATGCCCCCATGCGGGCGTGTCGAACTGTTGATTCTCCATCCCGCGGGATCGGCGTCTCATTCGTTGGACGAGAGTGGAGATATCACATCAACTAGACTAGAGGCTTGCCAGATCACCTGAAGCTAATTGGGAGACGCATCCAGGTGGGTGCATCCCGGTGGGCGCGTAACGGTGAGCTTTAATTGCTTGTGTCGGTCAAGTCAAAATATGAACTCATAAGGGAGGCCGATCCTTTTGGTTCAAAAGGGTAATTTTGTGCTGCAGAAGTGCGCACTAGTACCTTAAAAGGACAACCTAGTGATAGTCTTGATGATAGTTACTGATTTGGTTGATTGTTAATTCTGTGGAGAGGAGGGTAAAGGAAGAGTTGGTAGGTCGGGTGTTGTTGCTCAGGCAAGAAGATTCATATGGAGGGGAAATTGCAAATTCCTTCTAGTTTCATGCTATTTATATATATAAAAAAAAAATCTCAATTTCCAACTGAACAGCTGAGGTATCAAGCGAACATTAAGCGCTTCCGAAGTTGTACAACCAAGGAATCGACATAAAACTGTAAAAAAAAAAAATAGAAAATAAAGGAAGATGAGGTTTCCACATATCAGATATCAGTGTAGTGCGTTGACCAAGGATCTCTGCCCCTTCGGGTCGTCACTTTAGGGCAAGCTAGGAGCGGCCGAATCAAGTCCTAAATGGGTGAGGTAAAAGGTTAACTGTCCTTACAAGAAGACTGCATGGACTTGTATTCGAGACATTGCATTTGATGGAGGGCTCATGATCGGATAACACGGAGGTCAGTGAATAATACTATCGACCCCAGACATTGTCATCCTCCAAGTCCCCATAGTTCCAAGCCGGCGTTTTCAGGTCTTGGTCTTCCCGTTCTCCTTCACCGTCTGGCTGTATCAGCCTTGTCTGTTCAGTCGTAGACTCAGGGTCATCATCCTCTTGATCATTGGCAGGAGATGTTTCGCCAACCGGCGTCCCAGATGGCCTCCTAGAGGCTGAGTTAGAGGAGATCTTGCTCATAGTTCTTTGGGGCTCACGATGCACGACATACTGGAAATGCTTATGCTCGGGCTCGACCGCAGTTGACCCAAATGCTCGCTGAATGTGCTCACGCTCTGCTTCTTCCGCCTTTCGGTCCTCCACTACAAGATCAACGAGTTGACCGCGACTAGAGGTTTGGGAAGTAGGCGAGTCAGTTCCCTGTTTTGGGGGAACTTCGGGACGGGAGGTAGTGCCAGCACTGCTCTGCGTCCCGCTAGTGCTGGGAGCACGAGTCTTTCTGCTTTTCCTTGCTTTCTTTATTACGTGTGCCTGCTGGGAGTTTAACCTGGGGGGAGCGGACAGTCGTTGGTCTCTTGGTACTATGTTGGCGGTAATAACAGGATACTGACATAGTTCAGCGTCGGATATCTAGATTTACGTGGAAGTTAATTTTGAAAAATGCACTTACATTAAAGTCGCCGAATTCCAGTTCTCGAGCCTTGGCAAAGAGAGCTTCATCCTCGTCATCCAGAGCGGTCTCTTCGAGCTCCGTGTGTGCACGATATCGGTTCAGGGTGCTGCTCCGCCGACTCTGACTGCTTCCTTGGGAGCCTGCAAGCAAGGGGGTTCGACTATTGGCTTCCCCCGGTTTGGGGATCCAGTATTTGGCTTTCCCACCGCGCTCGTACCGCATACCATGCATTACTCGTTTCACGCGAGAGTCTGATTCTGCATGCGCAATGATGTGGTCACCGGAGTCGAATAACCGGTATTCGTAATTTTCGCCTCTCAAGGTCATCTTCGTATCCTCAATTAAGTCTTTGGGCCCGAAGGCATCCCGGAGAGCGTAAATCACAGGAAGCCGGGCAGCTGATATGTTGGGGTCGGCGTAGTCATGCCAGGAAAACCCATGCCAGTGAGTGATGGCAAATATGGGCATCTCGAAACAGATCAGGCTGTCTTGGATTGCCGCAGCCAGGTTGTCGGGTGTATAACCTCCAGCACCGTTGGGTAAAGCTCCTAGCCACTGCAGGATTGACAGGAAAAACCCCTGCCAATAGGAAGCAAAGATGATAAGTTTCACGCAGAGGAATTTGGGAACAGGTCGAAAGGGTGCCAAGTCATTGTGAAGGCAAACCCAAAACATCGCCAGCGAATAAAGACTAATGGTAACACTAATATTATACACAATTCCTGTCCAAAGGTAGCCGGATGTTATACCCAGATATCCTTCCTGGTAGGTATCTGTTGCTTTCATAATAATAGAGATGATGGCCAAAATGGGTTTGAGCCATGTATACTGGAGGATCCCGCGTTTAACGGCCAAGAAGGTGTGTGGGTCAGAGATATCGACTTTGGGAAGAAAATGATTAAGGGGCCATGCATGCTGAATAGGCTGACGACCATGGGTCATTATGATCACTGCTCTCTCGCCGCCTAGGAAGTTAATAAGTAACTGGAAGAAGGTGTAGATGGTAAAGGCCTATTCAGGGGGAAGCTTGTCAACAACCAAAAGGATTCGAAGGGTTCTAGTATGGAATGTACCTCGTAAACGTCACGGATCGGAGCCAGCCATAGGGACGCCCTTAATGACACAATACTCGCCCAGGACGATGCCGCATATATTGGCACCCTGCTGAGATTAGCGGGTGCTAGGCAACCCAGTCACGGAGGATGTAGAACTGACATGAGTAAAATCCGAACGACATATCGCTGGAGGAGTGGTTTCCGATAGTTTTTTCTAATCAATATCGATTAGCATCGAACGAAGGAGGCAGTATAGAGGAGGAAAAGGGGACGTTGGGCGATGTCGTACGTCTGAAGCCATATAGACCTTGCGGGGAGAACAGAGATTAGTGAAGCTCACACATTTGAGAAACTGGAGGAAGATGGGGTCTGTACACAAAGGATAGCAACGAGGCAACAAGCGAGGAAACACCGGCGACTAGTACTACAGCTTGCGCTAAGCTCGAGCCTGTACCACCAGAAGATGAACCTGCAATCATTGTCCCAAAGACTCGCGGCGTTCGACCGCGTGCGCTACTGTTTTGAGTCCCCAACAAAGCATTCCGTAGCTAAATCAGAGCATGGCGGGGCACAGAGCACGGTCTGATAGAGCAGAATCTCACAGAGCCAACCCAAAAGGATGAGATGGGGAGGACAAAAGGAAATCCCAAGAGCAGAAGCAAAATCCGAGAGATCTGGACAGGAGGATCAACCTCCATCTGACCCATCTTGAGCTTGCCGTGTTTCCCCCCACCGCCTTCCAGGCCACATGCAGTACCCCGTCTTTCCACCACCATGAGCTTTACTTTAGCTTCTTCTCATCATATGTTTCTTCTTTTTCTTTTTGGAGGTGGAGGGCAAATTCCATTCAACTGCGTTTTTTGGTTGCATATCTAGAATGATTCCCCTGGTGGATCGGGATAGCCCTCTGTTTGGGGCAAGGAAAGATTGATTGATTGTCCTCCTACACGGAGTCGTCATGTTCCTAGGCCCCTGCCGCGGTCTTGGGGATAATGCGTAATAATGGCTGGCTCGTCCTTGACAACGTTGGCCTTGATCCCGGATCCAAGCTTTAATTGGTACGTCTGCGTTTTATCAAAAGAAGTGAATTTTCCTCCTTACAAATACTCAGGTTCTTCCTCCTTCAGCTGATTGTCTCTTGCTTCCTGTAAGTTCCCTTGGTTGTTTCCTATACTGTATGTCCTCGTGTCCCCCCCTTTCCCCCCCGCTGACAAGCTAGATAGAGTGCTGTTCTTCTTGCTTTACTTTAATCGTCTGTTCGCAACCCTTGTATCGTACGGAATACGCGCTTACACATGGCATTACTACCGCGCATATGTTGACATTCACGCCCTCCAAATATCATTGCTTGGCGGGAGGATTTTCTTCAAAGGGATTCGCTATCACGGGGTAAATGAAACAATCTTTGTGCATGGGGGGTTCATAACTTGGCGTTTCTGGAAGCGCACGGTCAGGCGCACGGATATATCACGCTTGAATGATAGCAAACTAAGTGCAGGGAACGATCCTCAACAGTCGAAGGGTGATCGTGATGATGATGCCGGCAGTGGGAATAGCGGCCTGAGCGAGCAAGAAGGGGTGAATCATCCAGAAACGCTTCCTTGCCGCATTACGGTCAAGTTCTATGGGCTGGAGTGGTTTATATATAACAGAACTCCAGCGTACGACAGCATTTTGGCTGGGTTCAGCCCTCCAGACTCGAGTGAACCACCGGGGTCCAGCGACGGATCACTGGATTCCAGCCTGAAAGGTAACCAGCAGCATGTGTTGTTTGCCAGCGGGTCTGCGCCACAGCGGGCGTCTAACGTCGAAGGTGATTTTGCCCACAATAGAACAGGTAGAGACACAGTCGGCTCTCAGCAAGGCAAGGATCCTGGGCCAGAAATAGGTGACACCTTGTCTAGGCTGCTCCAGCTGCTGCCGCTGAAGCTAGACTGTGAAAAGGGTGCTATTGTGATGGGAAACGAGAACACCAGATCTGTTCTGACAACGACCTTTGATGCCGCCACTGGTTTAATTGAAGCCTGCGATGCTGGCCCTCTGGACCTTTACCGACAACAATTCACCTTCAGGTTCAAACATCCGGTTATACAAATGCGGCCAAATCCAGATTTTAAGCAGAACCAGCTATCTGCTGCAAAGGGACTCAGCACGGTACGAGAGGAAAAGCCAGGAACGAAGCGCAAAAGAGATACTATCTTTAATTACCAATTTCAGAAACGCAGAGTTTGGCATACTATTCGCGACCTCATACCATACTTCCAGACGTCAGTGGAATCATTTCATATCCCTGACAAGCGTACGGGCCTTGGGCCTCGAAGTCCGACCGACCCTCGTAATGATTCGCGCTGGGTTGGTCTCTCTCGATATCTTGATGATAGCAGCCAGGATGATCATGGAGAGTGGGATTCGGTCGAGTACGGCAGATTTTCCACTGTTCTAGATAGCCCTCGCATGACGGTCATTTATTTCTGGGACATCCCTGGAGTCGTCAGAGCCTCTTCCACTGCAGAGGAAATGCCCCCCTCGAAGAATCCAACGGATATCAATGGGGCCCCTCCCCCCGAATGGGGAATCGATGTCAAAATTGAAGGAGGTGTGATTAACTATGGGCCCTGGGCTGACCGCGAACGGGTTGGGCTGCAGAACATATTCTTCCCCAATGCCTATCGAAGTTCTCAGCCGGCGAAACCTTTGCGACAAGGAGACTTAAGGCAGAGCTCGGCGTTTAAATTGAGGGTAGAAATTGACCAAGAGATGACTCTGCGCATTCCAACTCGAGAGCCATCCAAGGACTGGCAATGGAAGGGGCGTGCGGATGCCGTACGCGCGACATCCAAGCTGAAGAAACAACAGCGGAGACGACGACAGCGCGCTGCGGAAGGTGATAAAGGTCATATTGGTCCTGAAATTCGCCCCTTTGGATGGTTCTCGCTTCGCATTGCGGAAAATTCAACCATAAATTACACAATGGATATGGTCCCGGACAGGTCAGGGTTTGTGACCCAACTTGACCTCGATCTCCGCGATTCGAGGATGTCGTCGAGTGTCAACCATGCAGTGTTATGGAAATGCCCCAGACAGCTTCTAAGCTGCGACCTCTCGGTCCCACTATCTTGGAACAGCCTTCGCACATGGAAGTTCGACGTGGAGAATGAAGATATGGAGTTGTTTCTGTTGAGAGATCACATATTTCTCCTAACCGATCTGATTACGGACTGGGCCTCGGGTCCTCCACAGGATTATTACACGTTTGTGCCTTTTATCTATCGTTTAAATTTGTCGTTCACCAACATCCGACTCTTCCTGAATGTCAATGATTCGAACATTATTAGCGACCCTACCGATATCACTGACAATCGCTTACTCGTGATTAAGGGTTATAAGCTAACATCGGATGTGCTCATCCCTCTGAACAAATACAGTCCGGAGCAAAATGCTGTGGAGTTCAATGTGACTCTCCAAGACGCTGGAATAGACTTTGTAGCCCCAGCGTGGGACACGCTACACACGTTCTTGAAGAACAAATCAACAGCTACTCTGGAAAATCTGGTCCTTAGTGGAGCCTACACTTACTTTCTTTCCACATCAGCAGAACTGACAGATACACTGCTGCTCAATATTGATGGCATCTCTCCCAAGTTGTATTTATACGGGTTCTTGATCAAGTGCTTTATGATTGTGAGAGAGAACTATTTTGGCGAGGAGGTGCATTTCAAGACTCTGGAGGAGTTTCAAGAGCTTGCATACTCGCATGATGAGCCAGAGGTATACAACGGGATAAATCCGAACAGGAAATCAAATGACCTAGATGTTGTGCTGCACGTTACTGTCGACAACCCTTGTGTTTTCCTCCCGGAAAACATGTACGACGACCTCAACTGCCTGCGGCTTACTTCCCCTTCAATAGAGATCGATTTACGGTTTACAAACTACTACATGGACTTGCAATTCTCACTTGCCCCCCTGAAGGTGGGACTGGAGTCTCATCGAAAGGTGCCGCACCCGCTATTGTCCGAGACCCAACTATTCATTGATGGAGCCTCAATTTATGGTCACCGCATATTTGGCTTACCTCCTTTAGAGCCAACTTATGTCTGTAACTGGGATTTTAGCCTCGGGGATGTTATTGGAGAATGTTCGCCAGCTTTCTTGACTTCTCTGGCAGCTGCGCTGCAAAGCTTTGACCTCTCCTTTGACAATGAAGAAAACACGCTTCCACCATTGTTCCCCGCTATTCTTCATGACGTGACGTTCCTACGCGCTGAAATTAACTCGATTCATATCTCAGTTCTTTTAGATAATGCTGCCATCCTGCTGAGTTCTGGACCCATGACGACGAAATTTAATGACTGGGCGAATGCCAGATTTTCGAAACGAATGAGCGTTCGCGTTCCGGAACTATGTATCACTGCCATTGACTACAAATTTCTTGGCCGGTTTGGAAGCATGGCTCACTCTAAAGTGCTCCCTTTAGCTTTGTTCCAGAGTTCCATAGACTTAAAGATGGCTCAGCGAAGGAATGACATCGTTGAAAGCCGAAAGCTGCAACAAGAGCACATTAAAGTGCACGACCAAAGGACTCAGAGGACTCCATGGCTCCTCTTTGATTGGGAGGAGATCGAGCCTGATGCTGAACATCTGAACGTCGATACTGTAGTCCCTCCGACTACCGCTATTCCCACAATGCCCGAACCTTTATTCAAAGCTTCTGGATTGCTGGCCTCGTCCCCTCTTAGATACCGCACTCAGGATGGAGGCAATCCAAGTTCGAGAAGTTTCCTCCTATCTCATGAGACCTCAAGCATGGAAAGCAGGCCCAAAAAGGGAGCACGTAGTTTCACTGAAACGTCGAGCATCTCGTCTAGGGAGCCAATAAGCGATGGGAAATCTGAACAAATCACGGGTAATCAGAGACTGCGCCTTCCTGAGGAACGGAGAACCGCCTCTCCAGAAGTGATAAATGGCTTGGATGCCTCGAATCCTTGGGCTATGCCCAGTTTCTCTCTTCACACAATTAAACTAGACACGTCCCAACTACCATCGCGTCAAGCATCCGAGAGGAACTTTCCTCAAGAAAATTCGCCAGCGGCCAAGTTCGACCCTTATTTTTCACCATTTGACGATGACAACATAACCCACACGAACTTCATGATTAACTTACCAATGGGCATTAGAGGTACCTGTACACCTGAGTTTCTTTTCATACTCTCTGCTTTACTGGAAGCTCTACAGCCACGACATCCAATTGAAATCATCGATTCGCTCCAAAAGGACATAATATCGGACATCGTGGGTTACGAGAAATCAATGAAAAGACCCAAGAAAGCCACAGCCGTCATAATCCGAGCTCCTGTCATCTTAGTGAAGCTAATCAATTCCCGCGATTTCCCCAGCACTGACGAAGTCAGTTTCCGGGATGAATATAGTATAGAGGTCTTTCACTTAAACACGGCTTTTAAGACAAAAGTCGAACGACAGAAAGGCGACCTTCTGAAAGGAATTAGCAAAAGTTCTACGCTTCATGCCACTGCTGATAGCCTTTCTCTATCCGTTGAAAACCGCCGAGTCGACGGCTGTCAACAGAAGTCCGAGTTCTCTTGCCTTCTAGGGGACATCGGATTTTGGCTTGTGACTGCACCAATGCTGAGATCAAATCTACAGATTCGAGCATTTGATACCGTTACTTCAACAAAATCTGTGGAGCAGCTTGCTTATCTTGTTCGTCGCACAACCACAATGCTTGACTCTGCAACGTCATGTTTCCAGCAGAACTCTTTACGTAGCGACAAGCGGCTACGTTTTTTGATATATTACCTTACGCAACTGGCAGCTCATATACCAGACCCAACGTTCCTTACTCGAATTTCATATATGCTTCGGATTGCTCCTGGGCATTTGCGACATCATGACTCCTGGAAGATTATTTCCCGTATCCGCAATGTTTATAATAATTTGTCGCAAATCCAACAGCAAGATGTGATCGAAAAGTGCTCAAAAGATGATATGTCATTGCCTACCAATGCGAGGAGTGTCGTGCTCTCTGGGTTCGATCAGTGGCGGGCTTGGGATCTAGCACATGTTGGAAAAAGCTATGTGATGCGCAGGATATGGGGATCGCCAGACCCAACCCCGGAGGCCACGCCGTTAGCTGCATGTTTCTCATCGAGCGTGAAGCTCTTCCGCTTCTCTGTTGACCCAGGGCCTAAGGAAAGCGATTTTGTTGTCCAAAATCTGTCAACCGTTATATCATCCACCCCTCAAAAAGCTTCTCATATGAGTATGGAAGGCAAGCAAAAGACCCTGATCATTTTCCAATCTTATTGTTCTTCCATTACTCTTCGCCTACGATGGGAAATTCTTGACTTGGTGGATGGGCTTGCGAAAACAATGTCTACAGTCACACTAGAGTCCGCAGTGTCTGAAAAGGATTCTGGTGGCGAACCGGAAGAGCCTCGAGAGATACAATTTGTTTTTGGAACCGATCTAGGCTCTGTGACCCTGGATGGTATCAATATTAAGCTAGCGCTGATTGGTAAAGCCCTTAGAAGCTCTCTTGTCCTCAAGTCGCAGGGCGCGGAGGACTTGAATAGCCTGAGTGTGTTGATAAGTGCCGAAACATGTACCTCAGAGCTCTCTAGTCTTTCCAAGCCTCTCATGCAATGGAAAGTCGGTGATCCACATATGTATTGTTCCCGCACGACCGAGGACACTGAAACTGAGATCAAGCATGAATGGAAAATCGCTGGGTCTAGCCGAAAGCTCCGTTATGATATGGACGAAGATCCGTTGAGCCTTGCCCATACAGCAGACCGGTTAATAGAGGATGAAATCCAATTTGTCCACCAACTGGTTAAAAACTTGAACCTGCCAACGCGTCAACCTACCGATAAAGTGGCGAGACAGAAGCCGTCACACAACAAGTTCCAGGTCGCCATGTTTCTGGACGACTATCGACTCAGCTTCTGCATCTTACCGTCCTTGACATATATCATCACGGGTGAGGTGGCGCGAATGTCTATTTTATCCAAGATGGAACCAAAAATTGAAGTGGATTTCGACCTGAAGAAGAACCTACATACCTTCTTGTCCAATGAACGAGGAAGACTGGAAGCTTTGTCTGAGCTAGGGATACCGCCGATTAATGGCCGAGTTATCGCAAACATGCTGGCCAACCGTATGGATGTGGAGGTTGATACCACCATTGAATTCATCCAGCTGGAGGCTAGCTCGGTGCGAAGTCTCCTTAGTGTCCTAACTAGACCTGAGTTCTCCCATTTGTTATCTGATCTGAAACAAAACCTCGAAGTTTTGAAGCTTCATTTTGGGGAGGTTCTTGCCCTAGATAGCCGTTCTCCGCAACAAAAGGATATCTCCAACTCTCATACGCTTCTATATAGAGCCCGGATGACAATGGCTGGGACCAAGATACACGCAACGGCGCCTGGACTAAATGGTAGGAGTTATTCTGCGGATATGGGCTTTAGCCTTGGGATGATACGCATGCGCCTTGACAATGGTCTGGATAGTGGATTCCCAATGGAGTACCCAGAATTCCACGTCGATACATCTAACATAAGTTTTGATTTAAGCAAAACACACCCTTGGAGTGATCGTTCATATTGCAGCCTTGCTATTGATGCCAAGGTTAGAGGAACATCAACGGCCGACGAGAATGGAAATATCATGCGAATGTTCCATCTGACCAGCAAGAAATTCGACATCGAGCTCTTCCCCGAGGCAGCGGCGCTAATTGTTGATGTGGCCGCCCACCTTCAAGAACGCATGAAAACGTTGGATTTGTCTCACGAAGTCAAACGCTTCAAAAGGCTAAGACACCGCGGTCATACAGAGGCGAAACTAACAGTTCTTGCTACGCCAAGTATTGAGGTTTATAATAATGATAGTCAAGGTGACGATCTTTTCGATGCTATATACTCATTTGACCTCAACAACATTCAGATATGTTGGAACATGACTACCACCTTGCAAGCGGCCTCTTCTCGGAAACCCGATGATTTGGTGTTCTCTATCAAACGCGTGGATTTGTCAAATAAACGGACAAACTCGGCCAAACTTCGGATAGAGGATGTTCAATTACAGATGGTTCCAGTTTTAGGGGATAGGAGGAAACGTTCCCTCAACTCCGCATTACTCCCTGAGCTGGTTTTCAATGTAGCATATTCCTCAACAGGGAAAGATGTCCGATTGGCCTTCCAAGCTGCTGGAAAATCACTGGACTTAAAAGCTACCTCCGACTTCATACTGCCAGCCAACATGATTCGAAACTCGATGGCCTCTGCTAGCAAAATCATCCGCGATGCTAACTCGTTGCTCGTCTCAAAACCATCAGATGATGATAACGCTAAGCCACGCGCTTTGTTTGGCAACAAACGCGTGCGCTCTGTCTTGGTTGATGTTGATTTCGCCGGGGCAACCGTCTCCCTTCAAGGGAGGCAGAGCAATAACCAACACACTCTTCTCACAGCCACCTCAAAGAAAAGTAGAGTCCCAGAGTCGAAGTACGGCCAGTTTATGCAGGGAGACGCAGGAGCCACCGCCACCTTGCGGGCGCCCGGAGTCGCGCTGAAAGTGCAATTCGAAGATAGCACCGAAGATAACTCGACACTCAATGCGGAATTGAAAATTGATGCTTCGGCAAATGTGCTCTACCCCAGCATTGTTCCGCTGATGAAGCAGATATCGGACACTGTGAAAGAAGTCATGGGGGATCAGCCAAAACCCAGACGTCCATCTGGAGCTATGATGTTGCAACCACAGAGATTGATGCAGGAAACTCCTCTAGACACCAACGACCCTAATTCAATTCTTGGACGGTGCAAACTGAACATTGGCCTTTTAATTCGCAAACAAGAGTTCAGCCTGAGCTGCCAGCCCATTGCTAGAGTGGCAGCTACCGCCGGATTCGACAGCGTGTATGTGGCCGTGAATACCGTTCAGTCCGATGAAGATGGTCAATTTTTGGCGCTCTCGGTGGCCTTCAATGCATTGCAAGCCTCTGTGAAACATGTGTATTCCAATGAGTCCACAGCCAGCTTTGAAGTAAAGTCGATGATTATGTCATTAATAAACAGTAAACATGTCGGGAGGTCAAAGGGTATCTCGGCCGTTTTGCGCGTGAGTCCAATGCAAGTTGTGCTCAATGCAAAGCAAGTTCAAGACCTCTTGCTTTTCCGTGAGATTTGGGTGCCGGCAAATGACCACCTAGATGCAAGCCCCCCATTAGAGGTCCAGCCATCCGAGACCCAGGCTTACATCGTGCAACGGTACCAGCAGGTGGCTACAGCCCCAGGATTCCCATGGAATATAACTATCGCTGTCCAGAAATTAGAGATTCAACTTGACCTCGGATCAACGCTGGGAAAGGCGCAGTTCGCGATTGATGATTTGTGGTTGTCGTCTAAAAAAACGTCCGATCGAGAGCAGATACTTTGCGTTGGGTTCAAGACAGTCGGCATCGAGAGCAAGGGCCGAATGAGTGGGCTGGCCGAGTTTCAGAATATTAGGATTCGAACTTCTATTAATTGGCCGGATGACGGCCTTGAGAAAAAGACGCCATTAATCCAGGCTTCACTCTCGTTCGACCAACTTCAAGTCAAGGCTTCTTTTGACTATCAACCTTTCCTCATCGCTCATGTCTCCTTTTTCAATTTCTTGATGTACAACGTTCAATGTGCCTCAAACGATTCGAAAGAGCGCCTCTTCAGCATTCTGGAAGCGGGCACGGTACGGGTGTTTTGTACGAGTTTAACTGCATCGCAGTCCCTAGCATTGTTCCAAACCTGGCAGCGGCTTGTGCAGGACAAACAGGCAGCTTATGAGGCATCCTTGAGGGAGGTCGAAAGGTATCTTCGGCGAAAGACCTCGTCTTATTCGGATAAGATAGAGCTACCGGCTCGGAATGTAGCTAAGAAAACCGACGAGAAGGTTGAAAAGGCGCCGATATCTTTGCAGACTGGGATTGTTGTGACGATCAATGCGGTGCACATTGGTGTCTTCCCGAGCAACTTCTTTGATAATCACGTTTTTAAGATTGAGGCTCACAAGGCTCAAGCTCGTTTTGATGTGTCATTGGACGACAGCAAAATCCATAGCGCCTTGGGGCTTACGCTGGGGCAGTTGCGTGTGGCGCTCTCCGCCATTGTTCGCTCCGGCCCCGTGGCCATGGAGGATCTTCTTGTCGACGAGATTACTCATCGCGTGATAGAGTCTCGCGGGGGTACGATTCTCAATGTTCCCCGACTTGTGGCATTGATGGAAACATGGCAAAAGTTTGGAACCCATCAGATCGCGTATACCTTCCGCAGTACCTTTGAAGGCAAGGTGGACGTTGGGTGGAACTACGCCCGCATCAGCTTCATCCGGGATATGTGGGAGAACCATTCTCGGGCCTTGGCTTCCCGACTGGGCAAACCACTGGCGCCATCTGCAGTCCGCATTACGGGCGGGCTTCCTGTCGAAGGTGGTGGCGATAAGCGCGAACAGCAGGAAAAGATCACCGCCGTCGTCAATGTGCCACAGTCCAAATACACGTATGTGGCAATCGAGCCGCCGGTGATAGAGACGCCGCAGCTGCGGGATATGGGAGAAGCCACGCCACCGTTGGAATGGATTGGTCTCCAGCGGGACAAGCTTCCTAATGTCACTCACCAGATTATCATTGTGACCTTGTTGGAGATTGCGAAAGAGGTAGAGGATGCGTATGCGAAGATCCTGTGGTCGTCATGAGGCGTTTTGGTTTTTGAGTGTCCTTGGGCGTGGGAGCTGATTCAAATTGTATATATAACTAACTAGTTAACTAGGCTGTATTATTATTAAACCCTCCGCATATAATTTACGAGATCACGCTTCTCCCAGTGTCTCTCATTGTTGTAGATGAAGTCGTCGCAGCAAGTACTCCGTAAGTAGACTATTCCCAATATGGAAAGACAGTAGCTTACCTAAGTATTGATGACAACAGCGGCGTGAGGTATTACGGGCTAACCCTTTTTGGGCTCCAAGAACAGCTGATATTGGGTGTAGACCAATCACAGCTTGCCATTCCACACAGCTTACCTAGCACCTGCAGAGGTTTGTCAATTAATCAAAACATGAATGTTTCAAGTTTAGTTACGGAGTACGTACTACAATCCTGGCAGGAGCGCTGGGCCAAGTCCGGAGTTGCCACGGAAATAATTTTGTCTTTATAGACAATGGAGTTCAATTGGTCCCAGAAGGAGGGAAGAGGGGGGAGGTTGGGACCGTTGGGTGATGATGATTGATTACCAACCGAGAGCTCCACGGGATGACGAGGTAAGGTAATTTACTTTACACCGGTCAGACAAGAAGACAAGAAAAGAATGATGATATCAGTGGTAAAGAAAAGCTTTAATGAAGGTGTATTGGAATACATCAGAGTTATTCTAATATTATATTATTATTGATTGCCTTTTGTTGTAAGCCGTTGTAGCTCTAATGAGGGTATTCTGGTTCAAGAGTAATACTTACATGGAGGGGTAATGTACATTGACAGATGCAAGCAGTAATGCAAGTACAATACTCAAACCCAGAAGGAAAGAGAGAGAGATTCATAAGACGGAGGTAAACGGTAACAAAACGAGGGGCACAAGCGGAAACACTGGACTGGGCCCAAAAAAACGCACATCCCAGATTTGAAATCGGAAAAAATCCCACCTGCAAAAAAAAAAAAAAGCAGAGAGAAGTGAGAGAGTCCCCACCTCAGCACTCTCGCTTCGATTCCCCTCCTCCTCCTCCTCCCTCTCCTCCAAAACCTTCCTCTACTCTCTCTCTCTCTCCCTCCCTCCCTCTCCTCCCCTCTACCTCCTCCATTCTCTCCCTTTGGAGCAGCGCATATAGGTCTTTTTTTCCTATCTCAGTTTCATCAGGTCGAGCTAGCTCTCGATCCTGGTTACCTGAGTGTCGTTTTGCTTCTTTTTCTTTCCCACCCCTCTTCTACCTTTTTTTTTTCTCAACCCCGCCTCTTAAGGCATTAACCAGAAAAAACCGTCAAGATGGTCAAGTACGTCAACATCCCTTTCATCCATCATAACCCCTTCAAATAAACATGTCACCGATCGGATTGCTAACTAGCTGTTCTATAGCTTCACTATCGAGGAGGTATGTTTGCTCTCCGCCGAGTTCCCCCCGAGTGTCCCGCAGCTATAAATTTTTTTTCCTTGGGAGAGAAGAAAATTAAGCAAAACGGAAACCTCAGAAGAAAAAAAATGGGGAAAAAAAAAGAAGGATGAACATCAAACTAATGATAACTAGATCCGGTCCCTCATGGACCGCCAGGCCAACATCCGTAACATGTCGGTCATTGCTCACGGTTCGTACTTTTTTTTTGTTTTTTTTTTTTTTGCCCCGACTCGCCTGTATTCTCTGCGGCTTATACTAAGTGATATTCTAGTCGATCACGGAAAGTCCACTCTCAGTGACTCCCTGGTCCAGCGTGCCGGTATCATTTCCGCCGCCAAGGCTGGTGAGACCCGTTTCATGGACACCCGTCCTGATGAGCAGGATCGTTGCATTACCATCAAGTCCACTGCCATCTCCTTGTACGCCAAGTTCCCTGATGAGGAGGATCTCAAGGAAATCCCCCAGAAGGTCGATGGTTCCGAGTTCTTGATTAACTTGATCGATTCCCCCGGTCACGTTGATTTCTCTTCCGAGGTTACTGCTGCTCTCCGTGTCACTGACGGTGCTCTCGTCGTCGTCGACTGTGTCTCCGGTGTCTGCGTCCAGACGGAGACTGTGCTGCGTCAGGCTCTGACTGAGCGTATCAAGCCTGTCCTGATCATCAACAAGGTCGACCGTGCTCTTCTCGAACTCCAGGTCTCCAAGGAGGATCTGTATCAGTCCTTCTCTCGTACCATTGAGTCCGTCAACGTCATCATCGCGACCTACTTCGACAAGGTCCTCGGTGACGTCCAGGTTTACCCCGACAAGGGTACCGTTGCTTTCGGTTCCGGTCTCCACGGCTGGGCTTTCACTGTCCGCCAGTTCGCCGTCAAGTTCGCCAAGAAGTTCGGTGTTGACCGCAAGAAGATGCTGGAGCGTCTCTGGGTAAGCCCTTCCCCCTCTCCATTCACGGCTAAATTTGGTTGACTAAACTCTCTGCGTAGGGCGACAACTTCTTCAACCCCAAGACCAAGAAGTGGTCCAAGACCCCCAGCGATGGTGTTGAGCGTGCCTTCAACCAGTTCATCCTGGACCCCATCTTCAAGATCTTCAACGTCATCAACAACGACAAGCGTGACCAGATCCCCGCCCTCCTTGAGAAGCTTGAGATCAAGCTTACCAGCGAGGAGAAGGACTTCACTGGCAAGCAGCTCCTCAAGACTGTCATGCGCAAGTTCTTGCCCGCGGCCGATGCCATGTTGGAGATGATCTGTATCCACCTGCCCTCTCCCGTCACTGCCCAGAAGTACCGTGCCGAGACTCTGTACGAAGGTCCCCCCGACGATGAGTGCTGCATTGGTATCCGTGACTGCGATGCCAAGGCTCCTCTCATGCTTTACGTCTCCAAGATGGTTCCCACCTCCGATAAGGGTCGTTTCTACGCTTTCGGTCGTGTCTACTCCGGTACCGTCAAGTCCGGTCTTAAGGTCCGCATCCAGGGTCCTAACTACACCCCTGGTAAGAAGGAGGATCTGTTCATCAAGAACATTCAGCGTACCATTCTGATGATGGGCCGTTTCGTTGAGCCCATTGAGGATGTTCCTGCCGGTAACATCGTCGGTCTGGTTGGTGTTGATCAGTTCTTGCTCAAGTCTGGTACCCTCACCACCTCCGAGACTGCCCACAACCTGAAGGTCATGAAGTTCTCCGTCTCCCCCGTCGTCCAGCGCTCCGTCGAGGTCAAGAACGCTCAGGATCTGCCCAAGCTGGTCGAAGGTCTCAAGCGTCTGTCCAAGTCCGACCCTTGCGTCCTGACTCTCATCAACGAGTCCGGTGAGCACGTCGTTGCTGGTGCTGGTGAGCTCCACCTCGAGATTTGCTTGAAGGATCTCGAGGAGGACCACGCCGGTGTTCCCCTCCGTATCTCTGACCCTGTCGTCTCTTACCGTGAGACCGTCAGCGGCACCTCCAGCATGACTGCTCTGTCCAAGTCGCCCAACAAGCACAACCGTCTCTACGTCACTGCCCAGCCCCTTGATGAGGAAGTCTCCAACGCCATCGAGGCCGGCAAGATCACCCCCCGTGACGATTTCAAGGCTCGTGCCCGTCTCCTCGCTGACGAGTACGGCTGGGACGTCACCGATGCCCGTAAGATTTGGTGCTTTGGCCCTGACACCACCGGTGCCAACCTGCTGGTTGACCAGACCAAGGCCGTTCAGTACTTGAACGAAATCAAGGATTCCGTCGTTTCCGGTTTCCAGTGGGCCACCCGTGAGGGTCCCGTTGCTGAGGAGCCTCTGCGCTCTGTCCGCTTCAACATCCTTGATGTTACCCTGCACGCTGATGCTATTCACCGTGGTGGTGGCCAGATCATCCCCACTGCTCGTCGTGTGCTGTACGCCGCTACCATGCTGGCTGATCCTGGTATCCTCGAGCCCATCTTCAACGTCGAGATTCAGGTTCCTGAGCAGGCCATGGGTGGTATCTACGGTGTCCTCACCCGCCGTCGTGGTCACGTCTACACTGAGGAGCAGCGCCCTGGTACTCCTCTGTTCAACGTCAAGGCCTACCTGCCTGTCAACGAGTCCTTCGGTTTCCCCTCCGAGCTCCGTCAGGCCACCGGTGGACAGGCCTTCCCTCAGTCTGTCTTCGATCACTGGGCTGTCCTTCCTGGTGGTTCTCCTCTTGATCCTGCCAGTAAGCCTGGTCAGATCGTTGCTGAGATGCGTAAGCGCAAGGGTCTCAAGGAGCAGGTTCCTGGCTACGAGAACGTAAGTAACATCTCAATTCCCCGACCGACTTGCAACCCTCATCAACCCGTTTTCAAATGCTAACTTCTTCTACCCAGTACTACGACAAGCTGTAAACCCGTTCTATGCAGACCGACTAGTTTTCCGGCCTGTTTTGGTTGGAATCCTATGTTTATGAGATTGATGAACGCAATACCCTGCCTAAGTTAAACGGGAGACCACCAAAAATTACACCGACGCAATGCAGCTTAATGTCGTATGGATTTTCGAGTATCTAGAGCAGTAGAAACCTGGTTTGCTCATGCATTTGCCTCCCTTTTCCCTTTTTCATGCTCTTGTGACGTTAACGACTGTGAGGGCTTTTACGTACTAGCTGTTCTCTAGTTGGACACGAAAATAAAAATATATGATTTTCTCTGTTCATTTATGTCCCTGTAGCATGTAGTGGAGTACTTTTTATTCCTGTTTTACAGATCTCGCAGCCTGTCGATATTACCTATCTCCCACAACTTGGTGTCGGTCGAGCGATTGCACGTGACCTAACCGCATCCGCATTTCTCGCGCCGCTTGGGCAGCTCCTCTGCAAAGCTCCATATTTTTTTTTTTTTTTTATGATCCTGTGTCGTTACCTAGGACCCCATCTCCCCTCTATTACAGTCCATGAGATGACTTGATATCCCAATCGAGCTACCACCCCATTGACCTCAACGACTCGAGCTGTCATTCCCGGCGCTATTCGCAATCCTAAGCTCTGCAACTTCACCTTGCCTAATCCCATTATTACCAAACATTATAGCAGTTTGGCAACCCACGCTATTTGCTCATCTATTCGGTATCGAGTGAGCTTCATCTGTGCGCCACCATGCAGCTTTCAGAGAGCGAGGCGGAGGAAGTCAAGAAATGGGTGGTCAGGAAATTAGAAGACATGTAAGGCTCTCGGAGTCCAGCATCACTACTCATTGGAGCAGGTTATCCTTCGCTCAGATGATCAAGTCCTCCTCGGAGTTTCCCCCTGCTAATCTCGCTCCCTACAACGCAGCTCGGATGCGGATTCTGATGTGCTTGCGGATTATGTCCTGGCTCTTATCCGGTCCGATGTTCCCGACGAGGAATTACGCAAGGCTTCAGTTGAGAGTCTTGAAGATTTTCTGAGAGAGCGTAAGCTGATTCAACTCGTCACAGTTGGGGTTTCCAATACAAGATTATTCCATGGCTAACTCATTGCCTGACTCTTAGATACCGCCCAATTTGTCGATGAACTTTTCGCTACCATCACATCCAAGCAACAGCCACCGTCAATCCCCGCAAACCCCCAGGCTCAGACGCAAGTATCTCAGGTCGTACCTCCTTCTGAACCATCCTCTCAAACCCCTACACGATTGAATCCTCAAGCTGCCTCTTTCAACGCCGCTTACGTTTCCCAACCCCATGTTGACAACTCCACCACCAGCCGCAAGCGCACCTACCATGATGGTTTCCAAGGCGAGCAGGAACGTGAGGATACTGGCCACCACCGACAATTCAAGAACCCGCGTCGCGGGCGTGGATTCGGTCGAGGTGATTGGATGGGGCGAGACGGCCATGGGGCTCCCAGTGGGCCTGGGGCGTTCTCTCCCCCATCCCAGGGTGGCTTCCCAGTCATGCCTCCTGCCTTTCCATCATTTGATCATCAGAATGACCCGATGGCAGCTATGATGGCTCTCCAAAGCATGGGATTCCCTCAAATGCCCGGAATGCCCTCAATGCCCATGCCACCTACAGGTCAGGGACCTGGACAGAATCCAGTGGGACCCAAAAGCACTGAAAAGTGTCCATTTTATGAGACGCAGGGAATCTGCTATTTGGGAGCTGCTTGTCCATACCAACATGATACAGCGGCAAACTCCAAAGACGATGGTAATAACCCCCCCCTTTTAAATAATGTGCATGAAAAATGGACCGTTGCTTATTGGTGCTAGAATATGACCCCAAAGCGTCGAGCATTGTCACAGATTTCTACAAACGTCGTCCAGATGGTCCGACACGTGGGAGTGACAGGGGCCGTGGACGCGGTCGTGGTGGTGATAGAGGCGGTTTTGGTGGGCGTGGGCGTCGATCTGAGTTCTCTGCTACCGGTCCCACTGAAGATTCCTCGACCAAAACAATTGTCATTGAGCAGATCCCTGATGATAAGCTGGATGAGTCCTCTGTTCGAGAGTTCTTTGCTCAGTATGGAGACATCACTGAGATCTCGCTCCAGCCACACAAGAAACTTGCTCTAGTAACATATGGTGATCATGCTGCTGCGAAGCGTGCGTGGTCTAGCCCTAAGGTGATTTTTGACAACCGGTTTGTCAAGGTGTACTGGCATAAACCCAAGGGTGAAAGAGGTAATGACCAACGGCCTACGCTCGGTGATGCGCGTGAGGTACCATCCTTCAATAAAGAGGAATTCGAAAAGCAACAAGAAGAAGCGCAGAAGGCACATGAAGAGAAACTGAAGCGACGTAAAGAGACGGAAGCAGCAAAGGAAGCTCTGGAGAAACAGCGCGAGGAGCTGCTGAAGAAACAGCAAGATGAAAAGGAGAAGCTCATGCAGAGAATCGGTGGAAAGGGTCTGTCTGGTGCTGGCTCTCCGGACGGAGCAGCTGAATCCGCATCCGATGAAAATGCCAGCGAGCAGACCAAACAGCTCCGCGCTCAACTTGCGGCTTTGGAAGCGGAGGCTAAGAGCTTAGGAATCGATCCCAACAGCTCCGAGACGCCTTTCCCCTACCGTGGCCGTGGAAGAGGCTATGGCGGGTACTCCGCGCGGGGTGGCTACCCGCCGCGAGGCCGAGGGTACGATCCATCATATCGAGGCGGATATCGAGGACGAGGCGGAGCGGCTCGTGGCAGAGGTGGTGTTCTCCGTCTGGACAACCGGCCAAAGCGAGTCGCCATCTCAGGCGTCGAGCCAAACTCGGAAAAGGACGAAGCCCTCCGACAATTCCTTATCGTACGTTTCCTCGTCCGCTTATTTAGTGACGTAACACACTGACTGTTTGTTAGGGCGTGGGTGAATACGAATCTATCGAAGCTAACCCCGAGGAACCCAACTCGGTAATTATCGCCTTTAAAGAACGCTACCAAGCTGAGAAATTCATGTTCGGGCCCCGCAACATCCCCTCCGTCGGCGAGGTCCAATTCACCTGGGTTCCTAACCCGCCGATCAGCGTTGCGCCTACGACATCTATCTCCGGCGGCTCAGACGAAGACACGATCATGGACTCTGCCGGAGCGGTAGATCAGTCTACGCTTCGTCGGGACGGTAACGCGGATGTTGACTACGATGTTGCGGAGGTTGATGATAGCTGGGAGTGAATTTCAGTCTTGTAGTTGGTCTCGGGATAGATTTGCTAGTCAAGCACAGCAGCAGCTGGTTTCTTTTTTACATCGATAGTACTGGGTTGAAAATGAGAAGATATTCCTGGACTGAACTGATTTTGTTGAAGGATCCTTGGTCTGCTGTCTATTTGTCTAGTCTTTGTTCGAGTGTACATTATCTCGTTGTGGAATGTAAAAATACTACCTTGACTCGGGTTGATTCATCCTAACCTGGATGATAACTAACTACGATCATTGATTTGTTTATACAGGTCCATAAATCCTTCATACCTATCTATTTTCTTTTTTTTTTCTTTCTGTCATCTATTTTGTTTATGCAGAGTTATAAAGATAGTAACAAACAAAGAGAAATAGAAGCTAAATATATATATATACAATGTAATGTGCAAATGAAGTCAAGAACGCAGTGGAGCTTTCTTTTTCTTCAAGACCGGACGCACTCCTTGCTGTAGGGCTTTCTTCTTCCCCTGCTTCTTCACCTGCTTCTTCCCCTGCTTCTTCACCTGCTTTATCTCCTTCATCTCCTTCACAATTCCAGACCCAGATCCAGTCCCAGACACATCCTCCTCCTCAACAACAACCCACGCTTTCCCTTCGAGGATTTTCTCCCCGGGCACAGGATACCTCGAATACGAATAAAGCGCTGGCCGCGTAACAAGCAGGACCTGTTTCCAACCCCCCTCTGTGCCTTTACTCTCTCTTTCTTCGCCCTGCAGATCAACCACCCTCATCTCCGCCGCAGCAGAAGAACAATCAAACAGCATGCACGCCAACCCGTCCAGCGCCCTGGCTTCCATTTTCCGTCGCCAGTAGGCCATGCCCATGGCGTGGCGCGCGCGCAGGCCGTAGATCTGCACGAGAGAGACGTATCGTTCGGTTTTGTCTGCGGCGGTGTTCTGGTTCTTGAGCAGGAGGTGGGCGGTCCGGCTGGATAGGAGGTTGGTGACTAGGGAGCGGGCGAGGCGGTTGATTTTGGGGGGTTCGAGTTTGGGGGCTGTTGTTGTTGTTTTTTTTTTTTATCCTGTTAGATTTCTCTTCTTTTCTTTTCTTTTCTTTTCTTTCTTTCTTTCTTTCTTTCTTTCTTTCTTTGTGTGTGTGTGTGTGTGTGTGTGTGTGTGTGTGTGTGTGTGTGTGAGGGAGATAGATAGGTGAACACGTACCGTTCCCATCATCATCACCATCGCCTTGGAAACTACTCCTCTGCATATCAACATCACCATCACCATGACCCAGAGAAGGAGAAGGAGAAGAAGTAATAAACGATATCTGCAGCTTATGACTCCCCCCGCCGCCGCCCCCCCGCACAGGCAGCAACGCCGGATTCCTCGCGCCGAGATAGCACCAGAAAGGACCCGTCCAGAACCGGTGCAGGACGTCCTTGATCACGTAGATCGCCAGGAACGTCTCCGGGACCGTATGGCGGAATGGATACGGGAGCCGTGCCACCAGGGCATCGAAGTCGTGCTGCTGCTCTTGCGCCACGTACCCCTTTACGCTGGCGAGGAGGTGTCGCTTGTTTTCGGGCGTCAGGGCCCGCAGGGACCCCGTGTCTGGGAGGGCGTAGTCGTAGGCCCATGATTCGATGAGATGGAAATAGCCGTGTATCTGCTTGGACCAGATAGAGGGGTGGGGGGGTGCGGTTGTGTCTGGGTCTGTGGATATCAGGATCATACTGTTGGGTGTGAATATGTATGCAGAGTATCTCTCTCTCTCTCTCTCTCTCTCTCTCTATATATATATGTGTGTGTGTGTGTGTGTGTTTAGAAGGCTCTCGAGGCTATGTTCTAGGGTTTCTTTGTCACCACAGCACAGCAATGAATAATTGTCGAAGAACAAGATGAAGATGAAGACAAAGAGATATTCATGGAGATGCATGAAAGAGACGTTGACTGTTTGAGACTCTTTTCTCCCTAGAATCGTGCATCAAGACAAAGAGAGAAATGAACGAAGAAATAGATGAACTACTACATCTTCGGCGGAAGAAGTAGAGAAAATGATCGCAGGTTGAGTGTTTCGCTCGTTTGACTTCTCGGTCAGATCTTTCTGTCCAGTATTGTCAAGGATATCATGAATCTTCATTATCTAGACTATCTGCTAGTATGGTCTATTTTCATCTATTGAGAATTAGATATCTAGGACTATATAGACGGTCCGGCCATGTACATTCGCTGTGGTTGCCACACTCACAGGGGTATTATAAACCAAACTCGGTTCGCAGCGCATCCCCGAACCGCTTAATCGCCTCGGTGATGTTTTCCGAGCTGGCAGCCGCAAACGTGGTACGGAAGAACATCTTGTTCTCATCCAGTCCCTTGGCCTTGAACCAGCTGCCGCGGGAGACAAGGACGCCGTTCTTCACCGCGGCGTGGAAGACTTCTTCTTCGATAGCTTCACGGGTCTTGCCAGAGGAAAGTCCGGGGTGCTTCTCCCAGTTGATCTGAATCCAGTGCTGCATGGCGATATTAGATTAGCTACATTTCGAGCCCGACATGAAGAAAAAAAAAAAAAACAAAAATAAAGAAAGTATGGCAAACTTACGAACATGCCGGCCGAAGGAGGGACCCAGCTGGCAATCTCTCTGGGAAGATGCTTCTCGCACGCCTGGACGAGAGAGTTTCTGCGGTTTGTGTACTGCATGCGCAGGTTAATTAGCCAGTCAAAGTACCCGGCGTGTCCCCAGTGCTCGTCAAGAAGCTTGAAGAACACGATCTGAGAGACACCGCTAGGGTTCTGACAAGAGACTTCGCAGTTTCGGGTGAACCGCTCGACGATCTGTTCGCAGCCGATAATCCAGCCGACTCGCGCACCGGGGGAGAGGACCTTCGAGAAGGATTCGAGTCGAAGAACACGGCCGTCCACATCGAGGCTCAGATAAGAGGGGACAAGAGACTTTAAGAACTCTTCGTGGTTGGCGGGGGGGGGAACCGGCTCGCTGCCAGCGCCGGTGTATGGCTGCATCTGCAGGAAATAGTATGGCTCATCCTCCACAATGTAGATATTGTGCTTTTGCGCGACTTTGTAGATAGCCTTGCGCCTTTCCAGAGATTGGGTGGCACCGGTGGGATTCTGTCCGGTGGGAATGGTGTAGAGCACAAAGGGCTTGCGTGCACCTCGGGCAGCCTCGTCCCAGTTGCTTAGGACTTCGTCGAGCGCCTCCGGGCACAGGCCTTCCTCGTCCATTCCCACAGGCGCGACATTGACTCCCTGTGGAAGGGCGGTCTCTTGTGCACTGGCGAAGGTATATTCTTCCATCAAAATGTAGTCCCCTCTTTCGCAGAGGAGTCTGAGTGTTGTATCCCATGCGAACGTGCTACCGGGGTTGAGACAACATTGCCAATCGGAGTACGGAGGGTTATGGATGAGCTATCTTTTTGGTTAGCAATTTCTTAGCCTGTCTTTTTTTTTTTTTTTTTTTTTTTTTCCGCCATACCTCAGTATGCTCCGTCACGAATCTCAGCAATTGAGCTGATCCAGTCGCTTGTCCATAATTAAGGGAAATCTCAAGGTCTGGAAACATTAGTGAGGTCCAATCCAGTGTCTCCCTAGAAACCTAGCTCACCATATAGACTTTTGCCATCGCGAATATCGCTCTTCGCGGCAGTCAAGACGCTTCCAGACTGGCGAGTGGCTTCGGGAGAGAAGGCTGGGGGGTTGGGGACTTTGATAGAAAGCTCTTCAAATGGGAAATATTCCGGGGATGGCAGTCCACCGCCCAAGGAGATAAGGCCTAGAAAGAAAGGAAGATGTTAGTTGGATCTCAGATTACAAGGGCTCTGGAGTACGAATACCCACCTGGATTCTTTAGATATTCCGCAGCGCCTTTCAAAGTCGAGACCTAATCCATCCAAAGAAAGCAAGGGTCAAATCAAGATTCCCCCTCTCTTCCAACTAGTTCGTGACCAACTAACCTTGCGCGATTTCGCTTCGAGAGACAGAATGTCTGAGAAATGAATAGCTTATCAGTCACCGGTCATCAAAAAATGCTAACGGGCCTGGAGACACCTACGATCCCATCTCTTTGCCTTGGGTTTGGTGAAGCATGCCTATCAATTGAAAAAAGAGAATGCCCCGCAATTAGATTTCTTCAATAATTTCGACATATGTATTAAATAAAAAAATAAAATAAAAAAAAAACTTACAGGGCTCTTGAACTTATCACTGCTAGTCGCAGGCGCAACACCAGCAGGCATCTTTGCGCTGCGGGCTCTCAGAGCTTCAATACCATCGACGGTCAACGGCGCAATGGGGGCAATGCCATTGTCCATGTCCAGAGCAGCGGGGGGAGCCATTTCCCTTGGGATTTTCGACTGGACTGAGAATCGGATATATATAAAAGGATGAAGGTAAGGTCAAGGGAAAGGATGGAATTCTGGTGGTAGAGAGAGAGAGAGAGAGAGAGAGAGAAAGAAGTGAGAGAGAGGGTGTATAAGAGAAGAACTTTGTGGAGTCAAGTGTGACTGTGGATCGATCGGTTCCGTCGGGAGGTTGACCACAGTTCGGATGGAAATCAACGCCATCACTTTTTTAAATGTGTTGGTTTTTCTTGTTGTCTAATTGGGAGATGATGATGATGATGATGATGATGATGATGATGTGTTGGTAAATAACACTCTACTATAGACTAGGAATCATCCATTTCTTCCCTACTGCGCATAGTCAAGGCTATCACCGGCATCGGAGTCAGAATGTATACAGTAGGCAGATATTCCCCCAATAATGCAAGATATGATGCTATAGAATAGCCATCTTGACGCAAGACTGACACCCTCTATCCGCTCCATTATTATGTCTTCTGCGCCAACCGGATGAGTCGAAGATGTCGAGTACGCTAGGACTTTTGGTATGACCTGAATTACGTAGCGATGTGGTCCAAGGAGATCTTTAGCAGTGAAGCTAGGCGACTTTTCTTTCGTATCCTCCCAAGGTCTCGGTGCATACAAAGCTGTAGTCGCGTTGGCTTGCAATGGGAATTAGGGGATCTAGAAAGCTAATAAAAGCGTCCACCTAAGCATCCAAGTACAGACTCGGGAGCCGTACATATCATCCGCAATCAAATTTCCATGTTTATCCAGCCCTACCCAGTATCCATGAAGTTCAAGTTCACCGTTAGACTGCTGGTGATCTCTGAAGGCCAGGCCACGTCGATGTCCGTGTGGATGGCCGCGGGAGACTTGACCATGGCGATTTATTTAGAAAGGGTGCCCTGAATAAAATCCATAAAGTCGCTCGTACTCGTCTATCGCCAATGGAATTGGTATCATCGGAGATGCGAGAAGGAGGAGAATTGCGCAGTAGTGGGCTCCTATGAAGTAGAGAAGGTAGATTAACAGTCTATAGGATGAGAAGCGACAATTCTTCACCTTTTTGCCAGTCCTTGGCCGGGTACATGGTGAAGTTCGCAGGGATATTCAAAAAAAAAATTGTATTGCAAAGCAGGCTTGCAACTATTGGTATAGTAGTAGAGTCTTCAAGTCATCCAACCTTTCCAACACCTTGCAGTGTCAAATAAACATCAGTTCCCCAGCCCCAAAGACTCTGCACGGCAATACTGCCCCCAAAATATTCCGCATAAGCCCGGCTCAGTGGGAGACCGTACCCAAGCCCTGCAATGCTACTCAATTGGCCACTGTTGGATGACATGGTATTGAGGGCATCAATGTTGCCGTTTTCCTCCATCCCAAGGTCGGAAAAGGTGGTGAAGCTATATGACCAGATATTAGGCAAGACCTCCGGAGATATCCCACCACCTCTATCCCGAATACGAATTGTGATGCTCTGTGATGACGGAGTCGAGTATTTGATGGATTCATTGGCATCTGCGGTCCCAACCACCGTATCGACCTCAAACCCAACATCACTGTCCGACTGGATACCCTGGGCTACTTTTGCTTTGGCAATTGACTCATGTGAATTCCTACCAGGAACATCCGGTGCCGCAGCAATCGTCACCTCAATGGGTTCGCGTTCGTTGCCGCTTTCGACAGTAGCCCGGAAGGCATTCTTTAGCAGTTCCGTAATAATATATTCCACATGTACAGGAACTTGCGCGAAGGAGGCATCTGGTTGTCCATCGATTTCTAATCGTGGACGTACACCATATTTCAGCTCACATATCTCCCCCACAAACTCCTCACAGAGCCTCACAATACGCGCAGGTTGCAATGCAGTATCAATCACTCCGATATAATTAGAGGGGGAGACACGCTTTTGTGACTTGGGCGCGTCTGCTGCACTTTCACAAACGGGTTGAGAAGCGAAATGAAGCGCTAGATGTTGCTCTGCTATCAACCGTGTACCAATTCGTGCTCGCAGATGCGTATCTAGAAAACGCGTCACCTCGGCCGTATCGATGTATCTTCGGCACTCAAGAAAACCACGGGCAAGAACTGGAATTGTATTCGCATGCGTGTGGACGAGGTCTGCGAGGACCTCGGCGAAATGATTTTCCTCCTCCAAGGTAGTGACCTGCCGCTTTTGGTATGGGAGAAGGGTCGACAATGAATGAACATAATTATTATAGATTTTGGAGACATGTGGATTCGCGACGACAATAAATGGGAGATTCCGAAGAGCTTCGATGCGGGATGCCAGTCGTGCGGGGAGCAAAGAAAGGGTAAAGTTGGCGGAGGCAAGGAGCGCATCTTTCGACAATGGCGGATGACCGTGCCTAAAAATCATCCATTAGGAATTACACATATCCCCGGAACACCGCCCTTCGTTAATGGAACTTACTTGAGCAAATCCGCGAGTGTCAAAGGGCGACGTCGACTAGCCGCAAGACGCGCAACTTCATCATTTACCCCCGGGGAAAGGGGATTGTCAGGAGTCGTGTACCTGAGGAAAGAGGTAGAAAACCCACGCCTTACTAGACTACGGGAAACAAGGACTCTGGGCTGGAAGCCATACCCTACAGACAGTGTCTGAAAAGGTTTCGTTGCAGCCATAGTAAGTACCAGCCATTCTGGTCTATAGGTTGTAGGTAAGATGGATGTCCCCAGGATGGCTGCAATTCACTTGCGCGGGAAGGCCGGCCCGCTCACGTGCCGAGTCTGGTTATAGAAATAACAGAGAGACGACTCAACACTCATCCCACTTTAACAAAAGAAATATGTTATATTTACATTGAACATGGATTTATTGTTGATTTCAGTCAAGACAAGTAGATCTTTAAGCTTTGGGTGGCTCCAGATAGCTCTGTATATCGCCTTCGAAAAGCTCAATGCTGTGCTGCGGCCAGGGCCACCGTCTGGTCTGTGATTTGGATAGACTCCAGCGAAACTCTCCTATTTACGCGGACTATTTCCGACAGTGCTGGGCGGTTAAAGATCAACCAAATCGGTACTGCTCCGGGGGTGATAAGAGTAAAGCCTCGTAGAGCTACAGACATGATGATATACGTAGATTTGGACATTGAATTGGTTAACAGAACCATAATTGAAAAAAGAGCTGGAGTTGTTTTGCGAGAGGAAGGGGAAAGGGAAATCCAGTAGTAAAGGGGGTGATGGATGATATATGCAATTTAGTTCAGGGTAGTATGTAAGTTATTGCATGAAGCATGGAGGTGCAAAGCTGTCGAAGATGGAGCCTTCTGCGTTAGAATGCTCCTATCTCTCAAGGATCTAAATAGTCAGTATTCGTATCCGTACAAAATTAGCGTAGTAAGGGAAAGAAAATCCCATAGTTATAGTTACTATAACTCTTACTGTATCAGCAGTTGTCTTGAACCCCCTGGCGTGAATATATATTTCTCATGCTTGTCGCGGCTCCTTCGGTTGCAGAGGAGCCCTGCAGTTGTTTTAGCTGTTGGGTCACCGGTTACCTAAATACCCCCCTTCCCCTCCAAAAACAAGGTCACTTGCACTTGTCCTTTATTCCAGGTGTCCACCATTAACCCTTTGTTTCCTTCCTTTAGCAATAGAGAGAGATCTCATAACAGAACCATTATTTCATTAGCCCTTTCACATCTCTTCTAGGTACATTTAAAAAGAACAAAGCAGAAAGAAAAAGACGAGAAGAGAAGTAGATGATTGAGGTGCTTTAACACCGAACACGACCAGGCTTGATCAAGGCGTGTTCCCATCTGACAGGCAACCATGTCTCCTTCCCCCCCCCCTTGTCAGTCAGGCATGGTACTCAATTCAAATTCGTAACTCGTACATCTGATACATCCATGGGGCTGAAGAACATGCAGCACACTTCCTGGAGGATGTAATTGTTGTAGCGTTCATCGACGACATTATCAAGGCATGAGGACGGACTTTGGATATTTTCTCTACTACTGAGTTCTCATTTCGCCGTCCTGCTCAACGTGGATGTGATCATCTGCTTCGAGATTAAATACCGCGTCCTCGGGAAATTCGACGCTGAGGCAATCAATCAGTCAGCTGGGTTGTCTTGGTTTTCTGAAATAGAGAAACGGGAGCAGTGACAGCAGATGTCTCTCTCTCTCTCTCTCTTTCTCTCTCTCTCTGTGTGTGTGTGTGTGGAAGGCTGGCTGACTTACGTGAAGCCTTTAATGAGGGTATATTCGTGCTTGATGTTTCCTCCCTCCAGCTTAGCCTTTTCCTTGGCCCTGTTTTAATTGAAAGGGTAACTTGTTAGCTACTGGGTTTCACAAGTCCAAGGAGGTGTGGTCTCTTACTGCTCCAGCTTCTCGGGAGGAGAGTCCTTCTTGAGAGTGACCTATAGGTTGGAAGGGTTAAAAGGAGTTGCTGCAGTTAGTCAAGGGACAAAGTGATAACGAACGTTGTAAAGTGGCATTTTGAGCTGGTTGAAATACGAAGGGTGAGCGACAATAACGTATGAGGGAGCGAGAGAGGGGTGATAGTCTATTCCTGATCGTACGGGAAAACCAAAAGTCAGTCGATCTCAGCCGAGGGGGTGGGCAAAAGCGGATTTATAGCTTTTTGCGGGGAGGAAGAGGGGTGACTCAAATCAACTATTTGATAAGGAAGCAAGTACCTAGTGTCACCACCACAAACAACCATTCTCAGTGATAATAAAATGAGGTCTGTGGCTGTTCCCTATCTACTAGCAGGTTACTAAGAGCATCGCTATATTATGCTTGGTTCTACACAATCTTGCCTATTTCCTTTTCCACCCTGTAGTGAACATGAATTGCGCCTCGAAAGCTATCTATCCCCATTGGGCGCAGTCCGAAAGAAGGGTTCTACGGGGTGTATCGAGAAGCACGCGTCTTGAATCAGAAAAGTGGGTCGTGGGAACAGAATTACTACCTGAAAACAGCCTGATCATCAGAGTTTATTATTCGTTCTCAGAGTGGCTGTCCAAGAACTCATTGAATACCTACCAGGTAATGTTGTAGCCTTCGCAGAGTAGATGGTTGTATTGCGGCAGAGCCCGCCCCTTTTCGGCGGATGACGTATTTGCAACGGATAACGATATCTTGGCGCGGGGCAGTCACGTGCCAGGTAATCACGCCAGATGACGACACATTGTTACGCAAGTATCTCACCAAACGATGTAGGGATGGAAGGGTCTGCAAAGAAGACGTATGTCTCTTAGAGTATATTATTCCGATCTTGATAGATCTGGTGGTTCAGTGCGTTAGATACGCCCTCCCCGCCTCGGAATATCGTATTCGAGACTAAAAGAAGCGTAGGTATTGATCCGAAATCTCCAACCTCCCTCCATAGTATTCTTGTCCTCCTTAGTTTGCGGGAGTAGTGCTTCGCTGAGTGGTTCCTTAAGCAATGTTTCTGTGTGTGTGGCTAATTCCGCAAGCGTGCGATATTGGTTATGCCAGCACTTATCGATAATATTATGATGAAGGTCGTCAAATTATGACGTTGAAATGTTGACAAAATCGAATTGAATTCAGGTCTAACTGAGAAAGGAGATAGATGCTTGAAGGAAACATGAAGGTCTAGAAAGGAAATGGTGGCCTAAATACATTGGGTAATCCTAGGGGTAGCTTAATGGTAAAACACGATAGTAAATATTGGTAGAGATGGTTGTATGTCCATTTACTAGCAGAACAGCCTTAGGCACTAATATAGGGGGGCCCTGACTATTTTTACTTATTAATTATAATATATTTTCTACTATCTCCTATATTAGGGATAGCCTATATTTTAATATACCCCTTTAGATCTAAATCTTATCTAATTTAGATCTACTACCTAACTAGGCTGGTTAGGGTAGAGCCCTAGTTGCCTGTTTTGGTTTAGTGTCTGATAAGAATCCTTATCGGATATTGATGCCTGAGGAGTCCAAGGGCCCGCAGAAACTTTTAATAATCGGATCTCGGGGATAGGAAATTCCGCCCGAAAAGAAAAAAAAAAAGGTGTTTTTTATGCTAAGCTCCTTTGGCTGTCGACGAACGCAACTAATCGAGAAAATCTCTTCTCTACATAGGAAGATTGACGCTTCCTGAGAGGTCCTAGACCTCATTCCCCAGCCATGGAGCAACAAGCAAACAGGACGCATCGCCCCACTAAGGAAAAGAAGAAATATGAGGGTATGTATAGGTCGTTTTGCGTCGCCGCGAAAGCTCTGATACCCCATGTTGTGATGAAGTCCTTTACTCACATTTCGCTTTAAACATCTAGGGAAAAATCCGAAGGCATTCGCATTCTCAAATGCTGGAAAAGGAAATAGGGCAGGCGCAAGATCGCACGATGTATGGCCTCCGCATCCGCTTTTGATTGCTTCAGAATACGGAGCTAACTACCACGCCTCCTCTAGATCAAAGAGAAAAGACTTCATGTGCCCTTGGTTGATCGCTTGCCTGAAGAGGCTCCACCGCTAGTTGTGACAGTCGTTGGACCCCCGGGTGTGAGTTTTTGCCCTGGCTCGACCGAAAGGACGTGTAAACGGCTGACAATGATATTTTTACCTAGGTTGGAAAAACGACCCTCATCAAGTCCCTCATTCGCCGATACACCAAGCAGACACTCAGTACACCTAATGGCCCCTTGACGGTGGTAACATCAAAGCGGCGACGTCTGACTTTCCTCGAATGCCCTTCCGACTCTCTCGCCAGCATGATCGACGTGGCCAAGATTGCCGATATCGTCCTTTTGATGATTGACGGCAACTACGGGTTCGAAATGGAGACAATGGAGTTCCTGAACGTTCTCTCTTCCAGCGGTATGCCAGGAAATGTTTTTGGCATCCTTACTCATCTGGATCTCTTCAAGAAGCAAAGCACCCTCAGAGACGCTAAGAAACGTCTTAAGCATCGATTTTGGAGCGAGCTTTACAACGGTGCCAAACTTTTCTACCTCTCTGGTGTAGTTAACGGTCGCTATCCTGACCGTGAAGTGCACAATCTCTCCCGCTTCCTCTCGGTCATGAAAAACCCTCGACCCTTGGTATGGCGCAACTCCCATCCTTACGCCCTTGCAGACCGCTTCCTGGATATTACGCCCCCAACCCAGATTGAGGAAAACCCAAAGTGCGACCGAACCGTTGCTCTGTATGGGTATTTAAGAGGAACAAACTTTCCTGCTCAAGGAGCTCGCGTACATGTACCTGGTGTGGGTGATTTAACAGTCTCTGGAATCGAAGCACTTCCAGACCCTTGCCCAACTCCCTACATGGATCAGCAAATCGCGAAAACTTCTGGCAAAACGAGCAAGCGCAGGTTGGGTGATAAGCAGAAGCTGCTGTTTGCGCCCATGTCGGATGTCGGAGGTGTTTTGGTTGATAAGGATGCAGTCTATATTGATGTGAAAACTTCGAATTTTAACAGGGACTCCGATGAGGAGGATGAGGATGCGAATGAGGACCGTGGTTTAGGAGAACAACTAGTGGTCGGTTTACAGGGTGAGCGGAGGTTACTTGGTGCGGCTGACACCGGTATGCGTCTCTTTCGAGGCGGAGAAGCCATCAACAAGGCAGATGATCAAGTCGGTGCCACTGGAAGGAAGCACAAAAGAAACGTTCGGTTCCTTGACGGGGAGGAAAACCAGGATGTTTCTGGAGATGAAGATGAAGGGTTCGAAAGCGGGGAAGACGATGAAGAGGATGAACTGGATCAAGGTGACATGGAAGACATTAGCGACGAAGATGGAGAAGGTTTGGATATTTCTGCGCCTTCGGACTTTGGAGAAAAGTTTAAGGAGAGGCAAAATGGAAATACTTCCCGGAATGACACGGATCTTGAATTTGCCGACAGCGACTCTGATCTTGGCTCCATCTCTTCCGCTGAAGACCAAGTTCTGGAAAGCGATGTGGACGAGGACGAGGACGAGGACGGGGATGAGATCGATGGTGAAGATGATGGTACAATCAGATGGAAGGAAAACATGCTTGCCCACGCCAACTCTCTGCACTCCAAGCGCCCCAAGTATCGAATTGCCGATCTGTCGCGCATCATGTATGACGAGTCAATAACCCCAGCTAATGTGATCCGACGATGGGGAGGTAAAGATGAGGAAGAGGAAGGTGCTGGTTCTGAAGTTGATGAAGAGGACGATACCTTTTTCAAGAAGACAAATGTTGAAAAGGATGATGAGGCCGATTACCGTGCTGTCCCTGAGTACGACTACGAGGAGTTGGAGAAAAAATGGCGCGACGAAGAAATGATCGAATCTCTACGAGTCCGCTTCGCGTCTTCCAAAATGTCCGGTATTGGCGACGATGATGACGAGGATGATTCTGATGTCGACGATGCCTTTGACGAGGACGCTGAAGGGGATGGTGACTTTGAGGACTTAGAGACCGGAGAAGTCTTCAATGGATTCGACGAAGGCAAAGACCAAGAAAACGAAGAAGAAAACGAAGGCTCTGTTGACTTAGAAGCCGAACGTGAGCGCAACGCGAAAAAGAAGGAAGAGTTGAGGCTTCGATTCGAAGAGGAGGACCGCGAAGGATTTGCGAACTCGAAAGACAACTCTCGACAAGATGGTGCGGAGCCGGACGAAGAGTTCGGGGAGGACGAGTGGTACGATGCTCAAAAGGCCAAACTTCAGAAGCAGGTCGATATCAACCGCGCCGAGTTTGATACACTTGACGCTGCTTCGAGAGCTAGGGCAGAAGGCTACAAAGCGGGAACATACGCACGCATTGTGCTCGAGAAAGTACCTTGTGAATTTGCTACAAAGTTCAACCCTCGATTCCCCGTAATCGTTGGTGGGCTGGCCCCTACCGAGGACCGCTTTGGATATGTCCAGATCCGTATCAAGAGACACCGCTGGCATAAGCGGATCCTGAAGAGCAACGACCCTCTGATATTCTCTCTTGGTTGGCGTCGCTTCCAAACACTCCCCATGTACAGCACATCCGACAGTCGAACACGAAATCGCATGTTGAAGTATACCCCGGAACATATGCATTGTTTTGCTACTTTCTACGGACCTCTCGTGGCGCCAAACACAGGTTTCTGCTGCCTCCAGTCCTTCTCAAACAAGACCCCCGGCTTCCGGATTGCTGCCACGGGAGTGGTGTTGAGCGTGGATGAGCATACCGAAATTGTAAAGAAACTCAAGTTGACCGGTGTGCCGTACAAGATCTTCAAGAACACGGCCTTCATCAAGGATATGTTTAATTCATCACTTGAGATTGCCAAGTTTGAAGGCGCGTCAGTTCGAACCGTCTCCGGCATTAGAGGTCAAATCAAGCGGGCCCTGAGCAAACCGGAAGGGTACTTCCGTGCAACATTCGAGGATAAGATCCTGATGAGTGACATTGTCTTCCTTCGCGCATGGTACCCTATTAAACCACATCGCTTCTATAACCCGGTCACCAATTTACTGGATTTGGACGAAGCTTCCGGTGATGCTGGATGGCAGGGAATGCGACTTACCGGTGAAGTCCGGCGCGAGAAAGGAATCCCCACGCCCCTCGAGAAGGACTCGGCCTATCGGCCAATTGAGCGGGCTACGCGCCACTTCAACCCTCTCCGAGTGCCAAAGCAGCTGGCTGCAGATCTTCCTTTCAAGTCCCAAATCACTCGGACGCGGGCGCGAAAGGACAAGACTTACTTGCAAAAGCGTGCTGTCGTACTAGGGGGAGAGGAGAAGAAGGCTCGAGACCTCATGCAAAAGCTGAACACCTTGCGTAACGATAAACAAGCCAAACGAGCGGCAAAGCAGGAGGAGCGCAGGAAGGTTTATCGCGCGAAGGTAGCGGACAGTCTGGAAAAGAAGGCGGAAAGAGAGAAGCGAGAACGCGATGACTACTGGCGACGAGAGGGGAAGAAGCGAAAGAATGATGACGGAGAAGGTGGTGGAGGGAAGAAGCGCAAGTAATGAAACGGCATCCCACAGGTTCCATCCATTGCTGGGACTCAATGCCAACCCTGCATCTGTATATCCGCTGTTGAAAAGTTTTTTTTGCATTGGATAAATTCTGTGTACGTACCTACAAGTGGCATGAGAGATGGCGTTTAGAGATATCCAACAACCTTGTTCTACTAATTTTCTTCCCTTGCCCCCTTCAAGGATGCATGTGTCGATATCCATTGCTTCGATTCATATTCATCTCTACCTGTGAGAGTGAGATAGGGTTCTGCCTCAATTGTCGTCCTATTTTCCAAGGCACTAATAACACGTGATTGCGTTGCGGACGCGTCGATTTCCCGTGTCTCCGAAGCCTCGCATGCAAATCAACCAGGTAACAGTTGCTTCTTGTTATTGTGGGTTAACCACTGGTTATTCCTTTTATTTTCTGAATCCCTCCCCCTTGTTCATGAGCGCCGGCAGCTTCAAGGGGAGATAGAGAACGGTCTAATCCGTCGTTGCTGACGACCTGCGCGTGTAGATTCCAGAGGGATGCTCCATGCAGCAACCTACATTGCGGAATATCGCAGATCGACCCTTTCGTTAATTCGATCGCTCAATCGTGGGTTGCCTTGACAGCTCTATTTCGGACATTCCCGCGCAAACCCCCTCAATCTTGGGATGATTAGATCATTCGTACCGCTTGGGATCACTGGCGATCGTCCCCTCCCCCCTCCCCCTCGGCAGAATAAATCTCCCCTGAGCCGATACATAATTGCCAATTCAGATACGGTGTTTTCTATGCTGATATTCGACGTACTGCGCGGTTCGCGGGAGGAATTGAACTAGGAAAGCACACGAGTTTCCAGTTCGACTCGCCCTACCAGATATTGTCTTCGATGAGAAAGATGAGCGGTCCCTTGCACCTCGATAAGTGCGAACACATGCATGGTGCGCAACCTTCTTCGCTGACGAGTCGGCATGCTATGGAAAATGTTGACAACCAAAGTCGCTTGACCTCCGATGGCTTGTTGAGTGCGATTCCGGAGGAGCACGGCTCAGCTCAAGACGCGCTAGACAATGGGCCACCGCGACTCCATACTGTGGGAATAGCCTCCAATATCTCATCAGATCAACACCCAGATTCAGGGCCTAAGAAGCATTTTAAGGGCTCTCAATCCAAGCCGGGTATGGATAAGGATGGCCAAAACCAAGATCGGCCATTGGGACCCGAGAAAGCCGCATATAAGCTCGCTAAATCCCCAGAAACTTCTGTAGATAAGGGCGAGGTAGTAAAACATGAACGAATTGGCTCCAGGTCGCCGGCTATGGGAATGGAGGTTGATGTTCTTCAGGCTCCAGCAGCGGCCCAAAGCCAATTTCATCATCATCATCATCATCATCATCATCATCATCATACATCAAGCGGGGAAGGAAATGCGACAGGCGTTATTCGGCCCTCTAAAAATATCTCAAGGTCTTCCAACGTGCCTGGTCTGGACGGTCTTGGACACCGTCGTTCCAGGAGTATTGGCTCGTCTTCCCGTGATTCTAGAATTGCTGCGGTATAGTACCTCTCATGTCCCTTCTTATGCCTTGTTCCTGGTGGCGTACTAGAATGCTAATCTAGCTACAGTTGTCGCTACAACTCCGCGCGCGCTTGTCGCATGCAGCCGCTAGGGTTGAGAAAAGGCGACAGTCGCACAGTATTCACCTGCAGTCGCCTACAAGCATGCTCAAGTCCAACAATCCCACTTCTATCCTTAGTGCAGCCGCTCTAGCAGGGCTAAGGCGATCAGCACTCGTAGAAGAAATTGAAAGCCAGCGCTTAGGAAACGATTCTCCAAACACGACGGTTTCTGCGCCAGATCCTCCCGCTACCTCCTCCCTTTGTCCTCTTGACGCCGCAGTCCGACTATCTCCAGCCAACCTATCAAATGGCGCATCGTCAGAAGTTGACCTTCAAAAAAATCCCCAGTCTTCACTCTCAATCGGTTCAATTCCTTCAAAGCTTGCCCCGGCGGCTGATATCGTTGCTAGTCGTATGGGCAGCCAACGGCGTCGACCGAACCCGAATGCACCAAGTATCGCTTCTTACCATCCACCATTTTCTCTCCATCGACGCTATCATTCCCAACAAGAACTTGGGATGATGAGGTCAGCTTCCGATTCCGAGGCTCCATTTGTTCCAGAAACACCTCCACTTCAGCCGTCGGTCCCTAATCTTAGCGCCGCATACAATGGTATATCTAATCCCACAAAAAGCTCATCATCAATGGAGCAGGACGCCATTGAAACTTTGCTTTTCATGTCCAGCCCAAGTCATTCGGGCTACAAGTCGACCTCACAAAATCCTCAACCGCAGCTCAGCCTACTCCCTATTGGCGATTATGTCCCCCAGAGCGCTAAGATAAAAACGCCATGGGGGTCGAAATCTCCCGAAACTGCCAGTGATAGTCAATCGGCACGGAAACCGCTGGAAGCTCAGGCTGGAGATGAAATTGATCGAATGCTTGATCAAATGGACAGCGATAGTGATGATGAAAAAGAATACACGTCGACCAAGTCTGCGCGCCTGCAAACTAGCACCCTTAAAGAACCTCACGCAGTTCCTGGGCCATAGGAATATGATGGCTTCTATAGAGTACTTGTGGGAGCTACATCGCCACTACACGTTGCATTGTTAACAATTGTCTGTAAAAATGGTTTAACTCTTGGGTGCTTTTTGCGAGAGTTTGATTTAATGCAGTATGAAAGGCGATCTTTTTTTTTTTTTTTTTTTTTTGAATATCTTTAGCCTCACTGTATAGGGACGTTTGGTGGTTTTATCTTCAGAATAAAACCTGAATACATTAATTAATGCAAAGGCCACCGTCTTGCTGTAACCCGGCGAGCATCTGTTTATCAGACTAGATGACCCCGCTGTATGCTCCAACTTCCACCACTTCCACCACACCAGAGAAAACACGGACATATACAACCAACAGCAAAAGCAAAGCAAAGCAAAAATGAGCAATTCTCTAAAGTCCTCCTCCTCCTCACCCTTCGAACCTGGAGTTTTCCTCCCTGGCGGCCACAACACCGACCCTCCCCTCCCGCAAGACAGCCCCACGACAGGCTACCAACTGAACCATTCCATGCTCCGCATCCGCGATCCACAGCGCTCGCTCCATTTCTACATCACGCTCATGGGCATGCGGACCGTTTTCACCATGAACACCGGCCCCTTCACGATCTACTATCTGGGCTACCCGTCCAGCGCAGAGGACCGCGCCGACCTCCCCAGGTGGTCTGCGAGAGTGGGAAACCCCCGCGTGCTCACGCAGACCCTGGGTCTGTTGGAGCTCTACCATATCCACGGGACGGAGAAGCCCCTCGCAGAGGGCGGGTACGAGGTATGCAACGGGAATGTGCCGCCGCATCTAGGGTTTGGGCATCTGGGCTTCACGGTCCCGGATGTGCCGGCGGCAGTGAACAGGCTACGGGATGCAGGCGTGCCCATCTTGAAGGATCTCCAGGTTAGTTCTAGGGCGAGCGTGCCGCTCAGTTCGTGGGAGGAGGAGCGGGGTGTTGGGTTGGGGGAGATCCATCCGAATTATACGGCTTTGTTTGACCAGATTGCATATGTGACTGATCCGGTGAGTATTACTACTAGGACTACTGTTGTTGGTCTTGTGGTTTGTGACTTGGTTTGTTCGGTTCTGCTAATAATCCCGTCCAGGATGGGTACACGGTTGAACTGGTTCCTCAGAATATGCAATCATAGTCATGAGCTTCGACAAGGTATTTGGACAGGACCTCCAGTAGTATTTCGGATTCAGATATCATTTTATTTTTGTAAACGGCGGACCTGTGATTTAGGCAGAACCCCCTCTGCCGTTCACCAGTGAGTTACTATACATATATATATTAGATGTGTTCCGGGTAAAGAAGTTTGAACCTAGAATTGTGTTGGCATTGGGCTCCGCGCCCCCCCCCTGGGCGAAGAAGCATATTCGCAACCGAGACACCGAGCTGTTCTGCCTCTTCGTCGCACTGGACAGCGGCCACATCCTCCGCAACAACCTCCGACGTTCCTTCGATGTTAAGAACCGTGGCTCGCAAGCTAAGAGTGGCCGCAGCCGGGCGCTACCTGCGTCTTCTTCTTCTTCTTCTTCTTCCCCCCAGGGCAGGGGCTCCAGAGAAGACCACACGCCAACCGGGGACGAGCATCCGCCCTGGAGGCTTCGAAGCATCGCTCTCTCTGCCATGCCGCGCCATCTCGAGGATATCTGGACGGTACTTTATTAGAATCAAGAAATCAAGCTAAGCTTTTGCACGTCCCGGCTCATGATGTAGTTTCACCAGAGAGTATTCTGTGGCTGTAGTGTAGACAGACTGTCCGGGTGTAAAACAGGTGGCCATCATGGTTTTCACTCCAGTCAGCCTGGAGATTATGCTGTCTGTCTTTCAGAGATATTTCGATGGCCAGGAACAAAGAAAGAAAGTTGACCCAATACCAGAATCATATTTTTCTCTTTCTGACTGCTACTAGGCTAAACTAGATTAAAATAACCGTGCCACAATACCTATAGGGTATGGTATATGTATATATATATATATATATATATATATATATATTATGATGCAGGGAAAGTGTGAACATATGAAAATGGTATTCATGGGCTACATAATTTACCAACATTAAGCTAAATTCCACCGGAGCCCATACAAACAGTGTACCTATAAACAGCAAAGCAATAGTCGCAATATCTCCAAAGAAGAGAAAGCCCAGAAACTCCCAACACCGGTTCATCAAAGGCCTGGGTCATAACGGCCTATGTAGTAGTGGGCAGACGATTAAACCTCGCGAACACGCGTCTGCCGTTTCGCGGTTCCAATATGGGTGTTGTGAACCTTGGTCGCAAACTTGAGACTGGTCAAGGTCTCCGAGAGATGTGCTTGCAGTGGGCTCACCATAACAAACATCAGCGTCTTCGAATTCCCGCCCAGCGAAAATTGAAGAAGATAGGTAAGCTAGAAAAAAAAAAACATCTTAGTTGCATCCCTATAATTTTGCACAAGAAAAAGGCACAAACCTTGCTGTTCCGGTATGGAATATGTCCTCCTTCCTTGCCCTGTCCCAGAGCCGCGATCACATCTCCCAGGCAACTCAAGCTGCGGTTGATACTCTGCGTCTCCTTCAACCTCTCGCCAGTTGCACCACTGTGGCTCAGTCGTTCACTGCCAGCCAAGTCGACCAGATTCAGAGTTCCTTCACTCCGCTCGCCGGTAATGTGGTTCTCGCCAATGAGCTTCAGGATAAAGACTGAGTGCGATCGGGAAGAACGTTCGTTGGCCTTGGTTGCGGCCACAGAGCGGTTGGCAGCGGCTCTCTTCAGGATGGTCTCAACCATCTCGGGGGAATCCAGTCGCACCGTGGTAACATCGGTAATGATGGTCTTGCCCTTTTGCATGTCGTGTCGTATTTCGAGCTTCTTCTTGTCCAGCTCTTCCGCTTGACCCAGAAGGTCGTTAAGGTTCTCGTTGTAAACTTCCACGAAGTTGCCTTCCATGGTATACCTCCAGCCTTTTTCTTCCAGACCGGTTGCTGTCTCATAGATTTGATGCACCGCGCGCGGAATCATCCCATCCAAGGAGGACATGGTGTGTGTCTTACCACTACCAGTCTGACCATAGCAGAAGATGCAAACATTATACCCATCAAGAGCACTTTGAACCAGTTGGCTGATCTCTTCGAAGACATCGCTGTTCTGCGCAGATGGACCAAAAACGTGGTCGAACGAGAAGTTGCTGTTCTTTCTTGTGACTGTCCCGAAGCTGCTCTTTTCTTCCGGACCTAGGATGCTGATCTCCTTACAATCTTCCGCCTGATCCGGGTATTGAATTTGGGCGACATTTAAGGCTCCATCGGACCCCAGCGCGGGGCGAACTCGACAAAACACCCGAATGTTGCCTTTGAGCTCTTGGACTTGATTGTGCAGCTTCCTCCTCAGCGTCTCTTCCTTTCGTAGTTTCTCTTTGGCCTCGTTTGTTTCTGCCACGGCATCCATCATCTGCTGGTTAAGGCGCTCGAAGGCCCCGGATTGTTCCTCCCTTCCAGATTCCAGAAACTCAATCCTTGCCTTGAGCGCACTGATAGAGGACTCGAGAGTCACGCTGTTGGAGCTAATTGTATCTAGGTTCTGTCGGAGGTTCATGTTGTTCTTTCGTTCCCGGTCAAGCTCAGTTCGCAGGGCTTGCATCTCGCCTTGGAGTGCAGCGAGCTCTTTGGCTTTCTTGTCGAGTTCAATCTGCGCTAGTTGAGCGTCAAGGGCAGTCTGTGAATGAAGTTGGTTAATCTCTCGGACCCGTACGGATTTCTCGTCATCCAACTCATGTTCGAAGCGTCGCTTTAAATCACGAATTTCCAACTCATGTTGAGCCTTGATTCCTTCAACCCCCTTATGGGCTTCCTGTCGCAATGTCTCTAGCTCCATGCGCTGGCGAGACATGAGATCGTCCATCTCGATTTCCTGCTCCCGTTTTGCATGTCTCAAGGCATCCTCCGCTGCTTTCATCTGGGACCTAATAGATTCAAGTTCAACTCGGATAGACAGGTTTCTCTCTGTGAGATCCTTTTTCGATTCTTCCAGCTCACCAACTGTCACAGGTCATGTTAGAGTATGATCCTACTCCACTGATCGGGAATTTCCTACCTCTCAGTTTGTATACTTCAACCGCCTCCTTAAGGCCCGAGCTTTCCTGCCCAGCTTGGCTGATACGAGATACGAACATGTTAAAGATGTTTTCCATGTTTTGTTCGCGCGATTCTTGGTCCCATTCGCCTCCTGTAGAATAGTTAAAAGCTTTGATCGTGGTTTCTTTGCTAAGAAAATTGGGGATTGGGGGAGGTTTCCTCTTCGGGGAGGGTTTGGGTAGGGGTTGAGAGTTATATGGGTTGACTGGGGTGGAAATTGGGGGGATCTTTGTTGATGACACGGGCTTGGGGGTTCTGTTTTGCATAGGAGACAGGTTAGGGTCCGTTACTTTGCAGGAAAATGGGTCCAAGGTCAAATGCTTCATGTCAGGGTTCAACGTGCGCTGGAGACCAGACAAGGCACATTGAGATGGGGGTTCTTCTCGGCCAAAAACATAGCTCAGGGCTGGAGGTGAAAATGCAGACAGAGGTGATATAGGCGTAGAAAGAAGAGGGTGGGATGTTTGCCTACCCTTACGCTTTCCTAGGACTCGGTGGGATTCCTCCTCATGGGTATCTAAAGATGTCGCAGGTCGGGGAATCGAGTGACCATTCGGCCTTCGAGAGCTGCTCAGCGAAGAATTGGGGCGGGGCCCAGGACCAACTGTTGAAGAGAAGGTCCCTTTCGTGGTGCGCGAGGCGGAGGAGGCAGATCGGGTCAGGGTCGAGGAGGCATGCGAATTGGCCCGAGTATGGACTCTGGTTGTGCCATTGACTGAACGCGCTCCAGAATGCGTTCCTGCGCCCGTTCTGGTACTCTCGGTGGACTGCGTGGTGCTCCTCGTACGGGGCGGTTCTGCGTCTGTCAGCTTACCACGACGCATCTGTCGAAGGTCACCTGAAAAACATACGCGGCACTGCTGGAGGCTTGTTCGCGATTGTACCCGGCTGGGCCAGCCTTGAACGAGAGTTTGTACCGGCTGGGTTCATCTCTTTCAGACCGGGAATGCGAGATCCAACCATTTTCGATTGCGTCTGCTGTCGCATTAGGGGGGAAGTTTTCACCGGGGAAGTATCTCAAAGCAAGTACCGGGCTGCTATTTTCCATCCCTGTAGCAATGAGAATCACCACAACTTCCTCTCACCAAGCGTAGTTCTCTATCGTAAATCGACTTCGGTGCGAGTTGTCGAGAAGTATGCAAGCACACCAGAAAGGGGAGGGAGACCAAAAGAAACAAACAAATCAATGTGGGTTGTGGTCAGGCAGGCTGCAACATGTCAGCAGCAACGCTGCATTGCAATTTGACCGATCCGAAGCAAGCTGAGTGGGTGTGCGGGTCGGGTCGAATGAAGGGGGAGGGTTGACGCTTCAAAGTTCAATGATCGAAGTCACTAACTTGACTTCTTTCCCTTTCTTCAACTCCGTTTCTGGAGTGACGGCGGGCGGTAAACAAAGTAGACAAACACAACAAACAATGATGACTCAGCATTTTCCGGCGAGGAATACGCTAGACCAGACTGGGACTAGTGGTAACCGTGTCACGCGGTTTCATGTTGGAAACATTCAGCAAATCCCCATAAGCTGGATAATTATATGAACATGAACTAGTTAATTAATTCTTCTTAGGTCTGATATTAATTTCAAAATAAACAGTCTGGTGTTTATTATGATAGTGCAATAATTCGAGTAGGTGGCGCCGCTTTTAGACCCTTTGTCCCCAGTCGCACGAATTAACACCGTTGCTACCTAGGTATTAGTAGGTATTGTTATATCGCCCTTGTGAACAGCCTCTGGATTCCTCTCTCTCCCCCCGCCTCCTCTCTCAAAAAGCAAGCATTGATTTTCTTCTCCTTTCGCCCTGAATTGGTTCCTTCTTGGGCTTGCTCTCCTGTTCTGATCTATCCCAGCATTATGTCTGGTCGTTTCGTGCGTTCGTCCAAATACCGTAAGCCTGTTTCCCCCCCCATTCCCCCCTTCTCCTCCTGCCCGCAATCTGACAGGTAGCAGGCCACGTCTTCGGACGACCAACGCGAAAGGTGCGTCGCAATCCGCCTCTAGTTTATGACAGAGCTCGAATTACTCACAGTCCGGCAGGAACAATGCTATGATAACCTCCGCATCTCTCGAAATGCTTGGGATACGAATCTCGTCAAGGTTTGTCGTCGTCACCGCCCCTGAACCTTCCCGTCGCAGCCGGAGTCCGCCTAACAAGACCGTCAGGTAAACCCTCGGTATCTCTCGGTGAACTGGGAGGCTGGTGGTGGTGGAGCCTTTGCTGTGATTCCCCTGGAAGAACGAGGCAAATTGCCCGAGAGAATTCCCCTGTTTCGAGGTCACACCGCGGTGGTATTGGACACGGACTGGTGAGCACAGACTATATACTATGAGGATATTTTCGACGACTCGAGAAAGCCAACCTTGCTAGGAATCCTTTCAATGACGAATTGCTTGCTTCCGGTTCCGATGATGGCAAGGTATGAATATTTGTCGCTCCACTGAAGGCTCTCGCAACGCTCTTAAACTAAACGATTCTAGGTCTGCCTTTGGCGAGTACCTGAAGGCTTCACGGTCACTCCTGACGTTCCTGCCGATGACATTCAAGACATTGCGCCGGTTGGAAAGCTCAGCGGCCACCCAAAGTAAGCTCAATGCATTCAATTGGCCTTCTCCCATCATCAACCTTGTCATCTAACTCCCATCTAGAAAGGTGGGGCACGTGCTCTTCAACCCAGCCGCAGAAAACATCCTGGCAACGGCCTCCGGTGACTTTACAGTGAAGATCTGGGATATTGAAGCTGGAGCAGCCAAGTTGACCTTGAATCTGGGCGATATTGTGCAGTCGCAATCCTGGAGCGCAAATGGTTCGCTCCTCGTTACAACCTCTCGCGACAAGAAGCTGCGGATATGGGATGTGCGTCAGGAGCGTCCTGCGCACGAAGGAGCAGGACATTCAGGAGCCAAGAACAGTCGCTCTGTATGGCTTGGAGAACATGATCGAATTGCCACTACCGGTTTCTCCAAGATGAGTGACCGACAACTGGCGCTCTGGGATCTCCGTTCCCCTCAGCTGCCCATCGACGGATTCAAGACTTTGGATTCTATCTCTGGCGTGTGCATGCCATTCTGGGACGACGGTACTCAATGTTTGTATTTGGCTGGAAGAGGGTATGTTTTTGTGTTTTTTTTTCTTCTTTTTCTTCCGGTTACGTTTCTAGCTGCCAGGATACTAACAATGCGCAGTGATGGTAACATCCGATACTTTGAACTGGAGAACGACAAGTTCGAGTACCTTTCAGAGTACAAGTCCGCCGATCCCCAACGTGGTATCGCTTTCATGCCCAAGCGCGGTGTGAACATGCACGACAACGAAGTTACATGTGCCTTCAAGACCGTCAACGACACCTATATCGAACCCATCTCTTTCATCGTTCCTCGCCGGTCCGAGACCTTCCAGGACGACATCTACCCCCCCACAACCGGTCTTAAGCCCGCCATGGGCCCTTCGGAATGGCTTGCGGGTAAGGAAGCCATCCCGCCCAAGATCTCTATGGGTAGTCTCTACGAAGGCGAGGGATTGAAGGAAGTTACTGGTATTGAAGCCAAACCCACTTCTAATGTGTCCAGCGAGCCCGAGCCCAAGGCTGTTGAGCCAGTGAAAAAGGCAGCTGAACCCACTCCGGAGCCAACATCAGTGGTGAAACCAGCTCCATCCATGAAAGAACAGGGTGCATCCATGGCTGCTATGGTGTCCAAGTTCGCGGACGAGGATGAAGCCGAGCCAGTTGAGGAGTCCAGCTTCGATGAGGCCCCGAAACCAGTGGAGCGGGCTTCACGTTCCCCCGAGACTGTGTCCCCGTCCGTCATGGCTAGCCCATTCCTCCGAAAGGACGAACAGTTCAAGACACAGTCACCCGTGGCCTCCTCAAGCCCCATCGCCAGCACACCAGGTGCTTCTACCCCCGCGCAATCTACAGGCCCCACTGCTGCCGGAGTCTCTACCGATGCTGTGTCCCGTGAGATTGGCGCCATTAAAGAGCTACTCGCTGAGCAGACCAAGACTATTGCCTCGCAGGCGCAGCAGATGCAGAATCTGACTGCGGAGATAGAATCTCTCAAGGCTAAGCTGGGCTAGCCTCTGTTTTCTCCATTCTCCTTTACATCCTATTTACCCACTTCTATTCCTCCCCGGTCCTCTATTTTTGTGTATTTTACACCCTATGCTTTTTTTTTTTTTCCCCTCTCTCTTTATATTACAATATTTTTGTGTTTTCCCTAGCATATTCAGCTGCCAAAAAGGATGGTCTCTCTTTTTGTTGTTCATAGCCCATTAGTCATTGTTGTGTGTGTTATAACTATCAGGTGCCTAGGTATTATTTTTGTCTATGGCTTACAGCATGATTGCAATGTGAATTTGAATACTCCTCCTGCATTTATTTTGTCTTTTTTTTTTTTCTTTTTTTTTTCTTTTTTCTTAAAGATATTTATCTGTTTATGTAAATTCATGGTTGATGGAACCCAAAGATCAAGATCTAAGGGCTAGAAACTCTCTAATATCTTTAAAAAACCTCTTCTCGCGCTCAATCCAAGGGAAATGCCCACACCGATCATAAACAATCATCTTAGAATCTGGAATCCCCTCCTTTGAACGCTCGGCAATCTTCAAGCCACAGATCAAATCATCTCTCCCGGATATCACTAGGGTTTTCGCCCTTACCCGCTCTAACCCCGTAATCATCTGCTGTGGATGCTGGAGCTCTTGGTTCTCGTCGCACCCGTATACGCTCCGGTAGCACCAAATCGGCATTATCCGGGTCCCGATTGCAGCGAGGAGGGAGGGAACATAGACAGCCGGGTTATAAAAGTAGAGAGACCACCTGGATTGTACGGAGGCTGTGAAGGATTTATCTGTGGTTGGTTTGGGGTTGGGGGTTTTCTTCTTCGTAGAGGGGGAAGGGTGTTGAGTAAGGTCTTTGTCCTGTAGATCATCCTCATCATCATCATCATCATCATCCTTTAGGGCTGCACTAGTAGCAGCAGCACTAGAAGAAGAAGAAGAAGAAGAAGAAGAAGAAGAAGAAGAAGAAGACACCGCACGATCCCGTAACCCAATCAACTGATGATTCAACAGAATAAGCTTCGACACCCGGGTTGGATGCATCTCAGCGTACCCGAGCACGATGGCCCCGCCATTCGAGTGGCCCATCAGGACCGGGAACCGCAGAAGGTGGAGGTGCTCTCGAAGGTCGTCGAGATCCGAGGCTAAATGAGGCATGCTGGACATTTCCGTGGACGAGCGCGGCCGGGATGAGTTGTCTGTGCCTCGGGGGTGGAAGAACAGGAGGGTGTAGGGCGTTTTTTGGCCTTTCTCTGGATCGAGCTCGAGGAGCGGGGCCAGCCCTGTTTGGAGGTATCGGGATCCGATTCCCCAGGCAGGACATTGGATCACGATGAGGTCTTTCGAGGATGGTGGTGGTGGTGGTGGTGGTGGCCGGTTGGGCTGGTGGGTTGGGGGGTGCAGGATGATGTATTCGAAGGTTAGGTTCTTGGTTGGGGAGGTGAATGTGTGAGGGCCAGGGGATAGAGGGTGATTTTCCTCCTTGGGATCGCACATCTGGAATGGATGGCTTGGTTTGTAAGGCAGCGTGAAGTTCTTGTTGAGGGTTGAAATGGAAGGTGGTGCAATTATCCTATACATAAATCTCGATGTGCAGATCTATATGTTTCGTGGTGCCTGAGGTGTTTTTGTCGGCGTGACGTCACGGAGCTATATAGGAGTGTATATAATCGAGCAGAATCTCTCTGAATGCTGGAATCAGCCCTTCCTCTATATTAGACGACATGAGTTTCTAGAGATTTGGTCAATCCTATTTTCTTCGTGGTGCTGAACCTCGCAGGGTTGAAGTTCTGGTGTCTCATGCGGTGCTTATACAGGACCTAGGTTATGATTAGCGTAAGCACCGGTCTAGATTGAGCTAGATGTGAGCTAGATGTGAGCTAGAGAGAGAGAGAGAGAGAGAGAATCTTCAAGTCATATTGTTATGTCTGCGTACTCGTTGATGAGGTATACTAGGGCTAGCTCGTAATATATCAGGTTCTAACTATGGAGTACTCGAGACCAACCTTTTATTCACAAATTTCAGAATATACAAGTCAAATTACTTTATAACTAACTGTATATTCGAAAACATGATCTTTAATGCCATCTGTTTCTAACGTAGTGCACCATTTCTGCTGACAATTTGCTGCCCCCCATTGGATAACTAGATGTCCGGGGAACCTGAGGCCAACTCCGGTCCGACTTCGCTGCGGAGAACTTGGGGATTTTCCCAAAATCCAATAAGATGAATGAATCATCTCTCCTCCTCCTCCTCCTCCTCCTTTTTCATTCCACTGTGCTCTCTTTCTTCCCCTCTTGATCCTTACTTTAAAGCCTCTTGTGGTCTGCTGTGAACTGCGGGCTCTCTCCACAGATCGCAATGCTTCTCTCTCAGACCCGGGGCCGTCTGCCCTCGACTCTGCGGAGCTTGACGACTCGAGCTTCCATGTAAGTTACCACCCTGTCTTATGCTGCCTTCTGGGTCAATTGATCTTGGTATTCACGGCTTCTCTCGTCTAGTCGTTCCCTTTCTACTACCCTCCCTAAGCAAAAGGCCTCTGCTGCCGACGAAGAAAAACCCATCCTCAACAAGGTCTCCCGTCATGTCACACAGCCCATCTCCCAGGGCGCCTCCCAGGCCATGCTCTACGCCACGGGCCTCACCGAAGCCGATATGAGCAAGGCCCAGGTTGGTATCTCGTCCGTCTGGTACAATGGAAACCCCTGCAACATGCATCTGCTGGACCTGAACAACCGGGTGCGCGAGGGCGTGCAGAAGGCCGGCTTGGTCGGCTTCCAGTTCAACACGGTCGGCGTCAGTGATGCCATCAGCATGGGTACCGATGGTATGCGCTTCTCCCTCCAGAGTCGCGATCTGATCGCCGATTCCATCGAGACCGTGATGGGAGGACAATGGTATGACGCCAACATCAGTATCCCCGGCTGCGACAAGAACATGCCCGGGGTGTTGATGGCCATGGGACGCGTGAACCGCCCCAGTCTGATGGTTTACGGTGGTACCATCAAGCCTGGCTGCGCCTCGATGCAGGGCAACGCCGATATCGATATCGTCTCTGCCTTCCAGGCTTATGGACAGTTCATCAGCGGTGAAATCAACGAGCCCCAGCGGTTCGATATCATCCGTCACGCCTGCCCCGGCGGCGGCGCCTGCGGTGGTATGTACACGGCCAACACCATGGCCACGGCCATCGAAGTCATGGGTATGACTCTCACGGGATCCTCCTCCAACCCCGCCGAGTCCGAGGCCAAGTACGCCGAGTGTCTGGCTGCGGGTGAGGCCATCAAGAGGCTGCTCGTGGAGGACATCCGCCCCTCGGATATCCTGACGCGCCAGGCGTTCGAGAACGCCATGATCGTGGTCAACATCACCGGTGGATCCACCAACGCGGTGCTGCACTTGATCGCAATCGCCGACTCTGTGGGCATCAAGCTCACCATCGACGACTTCCAGGCTGTGTCCGACCGCACTCCTTTCCTCGCGGATTTGAAGCCCTCCGGAAAGTACGTCATGGCCGATCTCCACAACATCGGAGGTACCCCCGCGCTGCTCAAGTTCCTGCTCCGCGAAGGCATCATCGACGGATCCGGCATGACTGTCACCGGTGAGACCCTGGCCAAGAACCTCGAGAAGGTGCCCGACTTCCCTGCCGACCAGAAGATCATCCGGCCCTTGTCCAACCCCATCAAGCCCACCGGCCACATCCAGATCCTGCGTGGCTCTCTGGCTCCGGGTGGCAGTGTTGGTAAGATCACGGGTAAGGAGGGAACCGTGTTCACCGGTAAGGCGCGTGTCTTCAACAACGAGGACGACTTTATCACCGCTCTGGAGCGGAAGGAGATCAAGAAGGAAGACAAGACTGTTGTGGTCATCCGGTATACCGGACCCAAGGGTGGACCTGGCATGCCTGGTACGTTCCTTTTACTCACACACCCCCCCCCCCCCACCAAGTCAAAAATAATGAATAATAACCAACTAATAACCCCCAATAGAAATGCTAAAGCCCTCTTCCGCCCTCATGGGCGCTGGTCTCGGATCCTCCTGCGCCCTAATCACCGACGGCCGCTTCTCCGGCGGCTCTCACGGGTTCCTGATCGGGCACATTGTCCCCGAAGCCGCCGTGGGCGGACCCATCGGTCTCGTCAACGACGGCGACGTGATCACCATCGACGCGGACAACCGGGTCCTGGATCTCGCCGTGGACGAGAGCGAGCTCGCGCAGAGAAGAACGCAGTGGGAGGCCGACAAGGCGGCGGGCAAGCTGCCCAAGACTGGACTGGAGTTGCGGGGAACTCTTGGAAAATATGCTCGGAGCGTGCAGGACGCAAGTCACGGGTGTATTACCGATGCGCTTGATTAGATGATTCTCTCTCTATCGGACTGTCTGCTGTATACTTGTACGTACTCTGTAGGATGATTAATTTTGCGTAATAGCCGAATGAAAAGCAATTACTTATCACCTATCTATCTATCTATCTATCTATCTATCTACCTTGGATATATAGAGAATCATGCTTCTACCGGTTGTTTAGTTTGTATCTATACTGCATTCTCTGCGGAGTACTGGACTAGACTAACAAAAGTAACGTACATATATGCATATGCATGTATCTACCCGCAGAGACAGAATACCGACCTATCCACAGGCAACTCCCCAACACAGTACCTACCTAGTATACCTACCTAGTATACCAAACCTACGCTACCAAGTCCGTCGCGTGCGCGTCCACATCCTCACGAAATCCAGCTTCTCGCGAACCCCCAACCCCACCCGCTTGACTCGACCCAGCCGCGCCAGGGAATCCCCCACGGTATCCAGCAGCGCCTGCTCGCTAGCCGTAAGCTCCGCACCGTCACCGTCACGGTCAGCGGAACCAGCACCAGCACCAGCACCAGCGACCGGCTCCGCAATCCGCACCCGGATACAATGCGTCGGTGCACTCAGCAGCGTCCACAGGAAACTCACATAGCTCGCCGGGACCGGGGTCACCACGTCGACGGGCGTGTACCGCAGACTCACGGGGAAGATCTTGGCGGCCGGCGAGGCGCCCAGGAGGGCGGGCGAGAGCGGGAGGATGGCGCGGCCGTTGGTGGTGGTGCATTCTGCGAAGGCGACGATGGGGCGGCCCGGGTATTTGCGGGCGAGGGCGGCGAGGTCGTACAGGGGGGTGTCCTGGGGCGGGTGCAGTTGCGGCGGGGCAAAGCAGCGCAGGATGGCCTGGAGGAGCGAGAGGGGTGCGACTTGGCGGGTGCTGGGGTAGGAGGCGGTGAAGATGGGGTCGAAGATGGCGGCGAGGTACAGCGGGTCAATGGGGGAGGTGAAGGAGGAGGCGATGATGGAGTTGGGGCCGGGGAGGCGGGCTTGGTGGTGGTATTTTGAGAGGGAGCTGTACGTATACATATATTCGGTCAGTTATATAGTCAACAGCAGTGAGAAGAAAAGGGAAAGAAAAGAAAAGAATGAATGAATGAATGAATGAATGAATGAATGAAAAAAAAAAAATTGTAGATGCATACCCCTTTCGCACACCGTCCACTTGTAAATCAATCCACCATATACTGGGAATCCCCAGGATACACCAGAGCGAAGCCTTCTTGCCCAACGCGCCAATCGGAAGCCATTGTAGAATGAGAAAGTAACAGGCGCACGCGAACACGAACAGCGGCAGGCGGAAGCAGAAGAGAAACACTCGCAGCGGCAGCTGGAATCCCACGGGCTGCGATGGCATGGGGAGAAACGGCGCGATGCCGGAGCCTATATGTACACACTGCTGTTAGCTTGTCCTCCGACCACCTGTAAGAAGTAGAGGACTCCTCCTCACCTCGGTCTCGAAACTGGGAGAATTTCTCCATGGCTTGTCTTGTCTTGTCTTGTCGTTCAGGCCAGTAGATAGCGGTGGTGGGTGCTATTTAGCCATCGCCAAAGGGACAGGGAACAGGAACAGGTGTCTTTCTTATCCACAGACACAGCTAATCAGACCCACACAGGATGCTCGCTCGCCGGTCGTTGCTCGAATTTGTGTCGCGACCCCGAAGGCTTTTTGAGGTTTTGGCGGGTGACATGTGAATCGAGGATGCCTGGGTGCCTGAGGCTGCGGCACTAACTGGGTTGTATACCTTCTACATCATGGATCGGATATATATATAAAAGAAAGAGAGAATGGCGTTGATATGATAATAATACCTAGTCTATGTCTAACAGTGCCCACGCTCAGATATGCAAAAGAGAGGAAAAGATCAAATCAAAAAACAAAACACACAAAAAAAAAAACAAGCTACAATCTATATATACATATATAAATACTTTACCAAGACTCAAGATTCGTAGTCGTCGAGTTTATCATGCGCAACGGACGGCACTCGAAACGTCCAAATAGCTACGCCCACAAGACAAAATGCCGTGGCGGTCATCATCCATGCGATTCCGATCCAAGGACCCCCGAGCTCCAGGCCAATCTGGAACACAGTCGTGATCGAAACACTCGCAATGACGTTGCCAATGGATTGCAGGACTTCTATAACGGTGAACAACCGCGCGGTTTCCTCGCGGTGCACCAGTGTGGTGACCAGGGATCGCGTCAGGTAGACAAACCCGGACCCCGATGTTTGGATAAGTAGGCTCGGGATAAGCATGGCAATGTTCGGGGACAGGCCAATGCCTAGCGTTCCGACGGCGAGGAAAATAATGCTCGCACGCGCGAGCAGGAGGTCTTTTTTGTTGGACTTCATGGTCCGCAGGAGGTATCGAGAAATCATGGGGAGGATCAAGAGGAACAGAGGGATGGTTAGAGCGGGTTTAAAGGAAATAAGAAAGTTGGCCTCCGCGAGGGTCCAGTTGTATCGCGTGGAGATGTACTGGATGAGGAACCACGAGGAACCGCGACTGAGGCGATATACGAGGAAAGCGGTTAGGAGCAAGAGGATCCGACGCGCGCGGAAGATAAATGCGTACGGGGTGAGATAGGACCGAATGACCATACGCAGCGAAGCCAGGAAAGGACGTTTCTTCGCGCCGGTGGCGAAGGTAGGGTCTTCAGTGTCATCGGAACCGCTCCTTGAATCTTCGGCCAGTTTCCCCCCGGAGAGGCCCTTCGTGTCTCCGTCCGGGGAGAGGTGACCAAGTTCCACTTCGGTCGGAGGCTCCGTTGCCCGAGCGGGAAACGCATTCTTGGTTTCCGGCAGAGACAAGGCAAACAGCATGCCGACAATCACGACACTATATCCGATTAATAGCGGGATCCAAGGATTCAAAACCATCAGCCAGGAACTGGCGGCACTAGAAACAAAGTCGGCGCCCATGCCGGCCACCCCGAACTTGAAGAACATCGGGGCTCTGGGGTAGGGTAGAGGTTAGCATTTCCCGCCAATCCAGGGCAAAATATCTGAGAATTGGAGACATCTGGTATACCTTTCCTCCTCCGTCGTGACATCCGACATCATGGTATAGATGATGGCCAGGGCGACGACCGGCCCACCCCCCAACAGCCACGCCAAGCACGAGGCCCATACCGCACGCAGGGGGAAGATATCGGAAAACCAGATGACGACCAGCACCATCACGCAGTTGAGAATGAATCCGGGGATGCCAATGCGCATGACCGATCTCCGGCCATATCGATCGGCCATCAAGCCATAAGGAATGGCGAGAAACACACCTAGACGGATGGTAAATAACGACCCTTTGGGGGCTTAGAACCCGGAATTCCAGGAAGAAGGCATAGCCCCTCCCCAATGTAAATGCCTACTCAGGATCCCCTCGAAAAACTCCATGTATCCCTTCACCGCAGCCAATTCACTCTGGACTTCTTTGCCCTTGCATAAGTCCTCCGGGACCTGTCCGTCCGGGCCGATTTTGCTGGGGTCGACCTGCAAATAGTGTTCGTGGCAGGCGATCGATTCGTAAATCCTCGTCATGGGGCCGCCGGCCATCACGTAGCCGACTTCGACGGCCAGAATCATGGTGAAGAGCGTGACCATCAAGCGCATGCGGATGTTTCCCTGGATGGGACTGGCGTTGTTGGGCTGTTGCTTGGGGGGGTCATTGTCGTCGGTGGCATCCTGGGGGTGGTGGTGGTGGGAGAGAAAGGGAACATCCTCGCTATTGCGAGGGTGATGAGAATCCGCGGGCATGGCTCCAATTGAGCATTTCTGATAAGAGGGGGAAGATTGCAAGTCATGGACTTGATATATTATCTGTAGCGTGAGGCATAATCAAGTCTACGGAGGGAGGATGCCTAGAATCCTAGATTGTAAGGGGCGACGACTCGGAATCAGCGGGTGTGAAATTACAATACCACGGCATACCACTTGAATACAATGCTATTTTTATACAACGGTATCGGATTACGCCAAGACAGGGGTTCAGGGATTCTAATACAAGACATTGTAGTCATCTTTTTTTCTAATTCAACCAATCATAGCCTGGAGTTCATCCCGTGCACGCTCGCTCGGCCTCTTCCCCGAGCTTGTGACAATACCATTGTATCTAATACATGCATAAATACATCCATACATCCCGAGTCCTTAGGGACGTACACAGTACTCGAGATTCGAGGTACAACGTACCCGTAGTAGTGCACTGTACGACTTGGATGCAATTCGATAACTACTCGTACTACGGAGTATTCTCCCGGACGTCGGTGAAGCAGATGTAAGAGGTACAAATTCACAGCGCCATCTGGGTTGAAACATGGTCGGTGGTGGTGGTGGTCCCGACCATCATAATCCACGGGTACCTGCTCACATGGCATGGGTGGACGAGATCAGCCAACTCAGCCGCTTGTCACTTGCTCACGACGACGACGACGACGACGACGACGACAACGACAACAGGAACTCGTCTGGCGGAGCCATGCCCACACCCAGACCGACGTAGCCAGCTTCCCCAAAGACAGTGCCGCGCGCTTGCACCATTGCCGAAATCTCGAGTAAAAATTCGTACAGAATGACCACGTTCGTCAGGACGTGGCCGAGCGTCGCAGATCCCGGCTCCTCGTCCAGGATGGCGGGGTCCTCGTCGCCTTCCCCTATGTCTTCCTCGGTGGTTCGAGGGTCCCTCGCAGGTTGGTCGGTGGGATGCGGCGCGTCCACGGGGAATGGCTGCGCCAGGCGCTGTCGGAGATCCTCTGCCGCTGCGAACCGTGATTCCGAGGATGCGCGGGAAGCTGGCGGCTGGATAGAGGGCTCTCGCAGTGGAGACCCTACAAGGCTGCGCTGGGGAGAGGATGCCAGGTTCCGGAGGGCCTGTCTGCCCCGAAAAGTTCCTTGATCAGAGCCGAGTTGCGGCGTTTGGAGTGATGCAGAAGAAGAACCCCGACCGACGGGCTCGGGAACGCTGGAGTGGCCGCCCGGTTCGTCTGTGTAGTGCAGCAAATCGTGACGAGCCGCCACGAGAATATCAAAGTCCGGAACGGTGTGGCACCATTCCTGGACCTGTTCCACCAGTCTACGCAAAATAACGGTCAGGGTGGGTGCGTCCCCGGGAGACCACGACGGTTCCTGGTATGCCAATTGGATCTGCTCCAAGATATCGGGAGAAGAAGAAGACGACGACGCTGTTGCTGTCGAAGTACTGTAGCGGTATTTGGAAGGGTCCACGAGGAGCCAGCCGTCAAGAGCCACCAGCGGCGAAGAAGCAATGTTCATGAGGGCCTCCGTCAGCGCCAGATTCACAATGACACTGTTGGTGAAAAAGCTGTCTAGGGAGTTGAGCAATTCGTGCACGATCGGATCATCTTGGTGAAGTTCGAGGGGCAAGGCCTCCGCTGGATTATTGTTCGGATTATTCGACGGAGGGATGCATAGGCGAGACTCGAGCATCCACCCTGCATCCTTGAGGTAGTTGCTAAAGGAGTCGTCCAGGGTAGGCTCACTCAGAATAGACGTGGCCAATCCGAGCAGCTGGCCTAGTTCCGCGTTTAGTGCTCCGACAGTACGCTGCTGGGCGGGGTGCCCTGGGATGGTCCTGATCAGAGATCGCGCAAAGGAGGGATGTCGCTGTAAAATAACACTCAAGAGCCGTAAGGTGGCCAGACGAGTCTGGAGATTGGAAGACTGGAGTCCAAGTAAAGCAAGGTCTCGGAGGTTAAAAAGAGACGGCGACGGTCGTGCCGCTTCCTCGGAGAAGGCAGCTAGGACATCGAGAGACTTTCGCCGGCTCACGGACATATTCAGGTTCTTCTCAGCTTTGGGGGTGGAGTCGGCGGGCGATGCCAGGAGGAAATGGAGAATCCGGTGCACGAGGTCCTCCTGGTCTATCGACGCCAGAATACGATACAGATAAGTCAGAACAGCAGCCGTTGAACCACCCTCGACATCAGACGACTCCAGCAGCGAAGGGTATCTAACGGCAGAGAACGGACGGTCAGCAGCACGCAACAAAGGATTCCAAAAGAATCGAAGACTCACAGAAGTTGCTCCAAGAACAATACCTGAAAGTGATCCAGTAATGTGGCATTCACCTCGGCCGATTTACAGTGATCAATGGTATCCTGCCAGAACAACAGGTAGGCCATGAAGGAGTCGATAGTGGCGCCGAGCGCAGGTGGCAGAGCAGTCGCTTGCTGTGCATGATCCGAGTGCGCGATAATATGCGGGACATTGGCCTCTGAGTCCACATTAGGGGATAAACTAGACAACCGGGGTTAGCTGCAGTTCGATTATCTTTTGACTAGCAAATACTCGCCTGCCCAACTGGCTATACAAAGCACCCAACCCCGTAGCCATAAGAGTGGCCAGGTCACTCTCAATTAACCATCGCTCCAAGTTCTTCGATCGCGACGCGGTCTCGATCAAGTAGAGGAGACCGGTTCGAGCAAAGTCGCCAGCCCGCCCTGCATGATGGACGTATTCCACCAAGAGATAGAACAGCGGAAAGTCGTCTTTTCTCATAGCCCCTGCGAATTCCACCCCACCGCTTCCCTCCCGCTCTAGATCCTGGTCGTCTGACCGAGGGGCAAACCACGCGGGGAGAATGGTAGGTTGCAGACGGATGTTGTTCGCAATGCCAAAGAGCAGCTCCACCAGTCTGCCTTCGACATCCTCGGAGTGTTTATCTGCCCGTCGAACCAGATCTACCAACGCTCGCGCAAACAGTCGATTATCCACCACGCCATCCACCTCGGAATCTATCAGCGTGTTGAAGAACACCGTCGCGGACCGGAGCATCGCCTCATCGTTGGCAGAGAGCGCAAGCTTGGTTACGGTAACAAAGATCTGAGAGGACGCGGCATAGGCCAGACACGGATGAGGCGCGGGCCCCCGAGATTCATCGCTGAGGACGGAGTTCAATCGTTCGATGCAGGTGCGCGTGTGCGTGATCGCCGCTTGTTCGCCGGAGGGGGAGTTGGTCGATCGCCATATTTGCTGGGAAAACGGAAGTTAGTTGGCGGACCAGGAGCAGCACACCATCGAGCGACTCACTTGGAGGGTATTGCATGTTCGCTTAAAGGCTGTCAATCGCTCTGTCGGCGAGGTTGCGCGAGGGCTCTTGGTAGACAGCGAGCGGGAGCCGCCAATGATGCGAGACCACTATTGTCAAATAGGTGCAAGCAAGGTCAGCAGGAGACGCGTTCCGTCTTGAGCTTCGAGAGGAACAGCACAAAACGTACAAAATCCATAGTTCTATACGCACAGCATGATCCTACTTCACAGTAGGAAGCATGATAATCAGCACAACTGGTGGGAGAGACGGACAGCGGGAGAAACACCGTCAACACGATCACCTGGAAAGGGGACTCATAGTGTGGATATTGCCGAATCCAGACTAGTCCGGTTTCTCGTGTCGTCAGAAGTAGATCTGGACATCCAAGATGTTGGCGAACAGGTCATTTATTTCATCAATATATCGCCCTCCTTATTGTTTGATAAATCGGTAGTCGGATACAGAAATAGCCAAGCTCAGGTTGATTCTTGTTCCCCCCGCAATGGAGGAATCCAAACTGGCTCAGAGCCAACCAAGCAACGCGCCCTTATGTACACGCACATTTCACGAGAACCATCGAATAGAAGAGATGTCATGGCAGTCAAGGTAGTCGGTCCCGAATTTCAGAGTTTTAAGGAATCAGATATAAAATAGAGTAGTCAAAAAAAAAAAAAATAAAGAGCCTGTTCACAGGGCAAGATGCACGCCAGCCCACCACCGCAACGCCAAAAGAGTATGCGCTCCATCCCGGTCTAAAAACACAATAAAAGAAGACACGCTGCCCATCATCCCATTGAGAAGAACACTCGAGAAATAAAGAGAGAGAAAGCCACCGCTGGGGTTAATCGCTTTCGTCTTTGGGTCGCCGACCTCCCCGCTTTCGTTTCGGTTGCTCGTTCTGATCACTCCCATCGTCTTCATGTTTCCTTCCGGTCGGTTGGTCGGGGACTTTGGCAATGATATCGGCTAGAAAATCCAGTACTTCATCCTTTGCGACGGCTTGTTTGAGGTGGGAAGCTGTTACGCGTTTCGAATTGCGGTCTTTGGCTTCCTTGGCCGCTTTGGTAACGAGGGAGATCATAAAGAGTTCGAGTGCTTTGGCTGCAGAAGTGAACGAATTAGTATATATATATATATGTATACCTTTCGGAAACCGTCATTGACATGGGTAGAAGGATGGGGGAACATACACACTGCAATGGGAGTCACCTGCGCGACCTTACCGACATCCTCATCGGCCTGCATGATGCGCTTGATGCGCGCCACCGGGAATTTCGTCTTCACCTCGACCCCCGCTGCCGGAGTCGGTTTGGGGGGCTCCTCAGGGAGGAGAGGCTCCATAAATTTGGCTTCCGGCATAGGTGCGACCTCCGAGGAACGCGCGATGCGAGTCGAACGACGGGCCATGTCGGGATCAAAGGTAGGATCGGAATAAGGAGGAACGTATTGCTGGGGGATCCTGCTGGGAGTAATAGGAGATTGCTGGTAAGGCGCGGTGAAGAATGGAGAGGCGTCGTAGGAGGCGCGATGAGCGAGCGGACTCGTGAATTGATAGATAGGCTCGTTGACGGAGGGGGAGATGGTGGGCTGGAGGGTGGAAAGGTCGGGAGATCTTGGTCGATAGGAATTATCTTGATCTGTCATTGCTGTGGAAATACGTTTTCAGTGACAAGTTCCCTTTTTTTTTTTTTTTTTTTTTAATTAATATTATGTGTTTTTGTGTACAGTGGAGTGGGTTTTGTTATTATGCGTCGGCGCGTCCACCCCAGTCCGAAAGTAGCGACTAGTGTTTTTTTGTTTCTTTCTTTCTTTCTTTCTTTCTTTCTTTCTTTCTTTTTTTTTTCTTTTGGGATTATGAGGGGAAGCGTTGTTATTTACCTCAGCCCCAGAATCGTTGGAAAAGGTCGATTGGAATTCAATCCCGATGAAAGAAGACGTATAGTAAAAACAAGTGCGTGGCCCCAAGAAGCAGGGACGTGGCACCAACAGCCAGAGAAATCACAGTCCCGGCTTTCTTTCAGAGCAGAGCAGAACGGTCGACCCTTTTTAACCTTGGGCCCCCATTCACTTTCACGCTAACAATCAATCAACCTTTTGCAGCTTATATAATCTACCCAACTCCATGTCTCCCTGCCAGATTCTTCATAGCCTTCCCCCCCTCCCTAATTATTCTCTATACACGTCTAAATATGATTCTATCAGCTATGAAATAGTCACTCTACCTAAACTCAGCTCTCTCTTGCCACCCGGTCCACAAAGTCCTTCATGATGGGTACCACGCTTATTGGTCTTTCCGACGCGTGATCCTGAGTCTGCAGAATAATCCATCTTTCAACCCAACTTTATTCATCCCTAATTTACCTCTTGTCTTGTATGTTGATTATGTATTCTTTGAACTTCGACGTTGAATGATGATACAAAGAGCCCAGAGATGTCAAAGGTTTCTTGTTCTTCCAGGCTGAAACTCCCAAGTATTGCCAGGACCTGACCTGATGCTGTTCTAGCATCTTCATCGTTGAGGGATAATAACTTGATCTAATCTGATGTCGTCGAAGTAAAGAATAGAATCAATATTAGCTATGTTTATATATCTCTTCTGTACCTAGGACTCCAATATAATAATATATAATATATATATATGGACGGAGTAACATCGCTGGTTGTGGAGGATCGACATGCACCCGACGGGCACGTTCTCAAAGCCAACGCTCAATTTCCTTGCGAGACATCGAATTTTAGCGTCTAGATTGGTCCAACCCCCAAGGTAAATGAAAGGAGCATACCTACCTATAGTATTCTGATCAACTTGAACAGCCAACAGTAGTCTGTACCTGTGAAAGAGTGAGTCTTAAAAGATGGGAGACGGAGATAATGTTCTTCCGCTCCGAACAGTCTTCTCCTCTCCGACACCAACTCGGTCGTTGCGACTCAAGTAACCATCGTGCAGAATTTATTCCCCAGCTTCCTGCCTCTGCTGATTCTTGTGTGATACGGAACGTACTGCTGAGGATGGAGTGAGCGTCAGTCAGAGTCATGTCGTCTTCCTTTGCCTCTCCGGCTGCTGTCTTCCTTCTGTAAGCCCAACTTTTTCCAGTTGAACTTACCTCTTTTTTTTTTTCTTTTTTTTCTTTTTGCTGCCTGCTTCTCCGCCCGTATTCCCCATGGCTGTGGTGGATCAGCCTTCGGGCTTGATGGACATTGCAAGGTGAGTCAATTCGTGTCTAGATCTCCCTTGTGCGCCGTCAATGACTCACGCATGATTTTTGCCTTAGCTCCCTGACCCAGGACGAAATCCCGTTTAAGCTGCGATGTGCTATTTGCAATAAGCTCGCCGTGAATGCATTTCGTCTTCCATGCTGCGACCAAGCGACCTGCGAGAACTGTAGGCACCCTTCATTCAGGAATCTCTGACCACCCAAGATCCTAACCAAAGCCATAGGCCAGATATCACTCCCCGAAACATGTCCTGTTTGCGCGCACACTCCAATCTCGCCCGACCTGTGCAAACCGAATAAAGCCCTTCGCACTACCCTGAAAGCATTCTTGCGGACGGAAGAGAAGAAGCGCGAGAAAGAGCGACAGGCAGCAGTCCCGGCTCCTACCCATAATGTTCCCGCTGTGGACCCTGTGTCCCAAGCGCCGCCGCAAGAAACTCAGCCAGCGTCGCTCCCAGTTTCCAATGTCGCCGAAATAAATGCACCCGATGGGATAAGCGCACCGAATTCCAGCGATATTCAGTCCGGAGAACCCGCTGAGATCATATCGCCGGCATTGGACAGACCGCCTGTTTTCAATGGGGACGAAGAAAAGACCGGGGTTCCCACCCAGGTAATTCCTCCTGGCCTCTACAAAGTACTTTTACACGCAGACCCGAACTGACTCTGGAAAGGATAAGAATTCTGAAGACGGCCCTTCCGACCCAGCGGAGAATGCCAACTACGTGGAGCAAAATGGCCCTGGCGAAGAGGACGACGCCGGTGACACCGAACCCGCTCGCCAGGGACTGGACCAAGAACCAGGCTCCGGTGCAGGCTTCCCTAACCAGATGGGATACAACATGAACCCCGCAATGTTTCCTGGTATGGGCTGGAATCCTAACAGCGGAGATTTCAACCCAATGGCTCAATTCATGGGCAATGGAATGATGAACTTTCCGAACCCGATGGGTACGTTTAGTCCCCCCCCCCCCCCTTTTCTTGATATGCCCATGAACTGACGGGTTGTAGGAATGGGCATGGACCCGATGGCTGCGAATCAGGGGATGCTTGGAGGCTACGGGATGAACATGAGTGGCATGAGTAATGGCATGAGCATGGGGATGAATTTCAACGCTGGTCAAGGGATGTACGGTGGATGGGACGGCTCACAGAACAATATGTGGCATGGCCAAGATAAATTCAATCCAAGTGCTTTCGCAAATGGTATGGGCGCGCAATATGGCGGCCCCTCTGGATATGGCGGATATAATATGTCTCAACCCAGCGGAGTTCATCCTCAAATGCAGCAACAGCAGTTTCCTACCCAAGAGTTCCAGAATGGCTATTACGGTCCTGGTTTTGGCAGAGGCAATTTTCGGGGTCGTGGCCGTGGATTCGTTCCTGGCGGACGGGGGGGCCGTGGTGGCTTTGGGGGACACATGCAAGCCAGCTACTCCTATAACACTACTAACCATCAAGGCCTCCAAAATAATAATTCCCCTAACTTGAATCAAGAGATCCCGTCCCAATTGCCAGAGGGTACGTCTTCCGGTGAGGCCGCCACCTCTGCAGAGGCCAAGCACCGTGATGAAGGAACAACCTTGGTCGATGCAACCGGTTCTAGCAAAGATCCAGAGTTAACAGAGCCCCTTAATAACAACACAGAAAGTGGTAGCGGGGAACCTAGACCGGCCTCTGATGTGCCCCCAGATCAAGCTGCGAAAGAAGAAGAAGAAGAAGAAAAAAAAGAAGAAGAGCAACAGCTGCATGGTATTCCCACGATTGACAGTCTTGACCATGCTAACCCTCCCCACGGAATACCAGGCAGTGGCCCACTGAGCATGCCGGGATATATAGGGCCTAGTTTCGGTAGAGGAGGTTATATGCGAGGCCCGTTTACCGCCAGTCGTAGCGGTGGGTTTGGTGGGCAGCAGTTCATGCCAGGGACTCACATACAGCCCCGAGGACAGGGCGTCGAGGGCGCCCCAGCTGCCCCCAGAGCGATGAGAGAAGGTCTCCCTAACACTAGTGTCCTACGTCACAGGCAGTTCCAGAATTCGGGGCGTTCCTCTATGCCCCCAACCAAGGCGTTCGAAGGCTCCCAGACGTGAGTTTTTTTTTTTTTTTTTTTTTTTTTTTTGCCCTCTCCAATCGCCTTCCATGTCTGAATTCGTTGTAACCTAACATGCGCTGTTCAGTCCACAACCGGAAACGACCCAAGAAGACCGACCCCCCGGATCACCATCTAGGTCTAGATCAAGAGCTAGGTCGAAGTCGAAATCGAGATCAGAAACCAGATCCCAACCTCCAACACGATCGCGTTCAGACAGCCGTCGTCCATACCGTCAACGATCCCCAGGCGCTGACGATGCAAATGATTTAGATCGCCAACGAGACCGTCCAAGACGGGCACCGGCCAGCGAAAAGGAACCACCCGCTGTAGAAGATGACCACCGGTCTCGTTCCGCTTCTGTTGAATCCCACAGATCGTCACGGTATCGAGAAAGGGACCGAGACAGGCGCAGTGGTCGCCGGTCGCATCGGTCTCACCGTCATCGCAGCCGGAGCCCCAGTCGGAAAGTAGATACCAATGTTGATGACCGCCTTTCGTCTATTCCAGAGGAGAGCAGCACGCGATCCCGAAACAAGACGTTTGCGCCCTCGGAGAATACCAGCCGCAGTTACCGATCTGGTAAAGATCGCTCTAGTCGCCGGGAAGAAGATCGGGGGCGGGACAAAGATGGCCGCCGCCGTGAGCGTGAGCGTGAGCGGGACCGCGACCGCGACCGTGACCGTGACCGAGATCGATACCGAGAAAGGGAAAAAGATCGGGACAAAGAACGAGATCGCCACCGGGAACGCGAAAAAGACCGTGATCGTGACCGGAAAAGATCCCGTCGTGATCGGTCTGAATCCGCAGTTGATAGCGATTACTCCTCTCGACACCATTCCAGGAAGGTCAAACGTCTCCGCGACGACGATATCCGCACTAGTGGCGGTGATAGAGACCGTGCAAAGGAGATGCGGGAAAAAACACCCGCGTCCTCCAAAGCCCTCGAACCGGAAAAGGATCCCCACACGTTGGAGCGAGAGGCTCGTAACCGCGAGCGCATGCTGAAGGAACAACAGCGCCGGGAAGCCATGCAAGCGGACCGAGACAGCGGCAAATCCAGCCGCCGGCGTGACAGTCGTCAGGAACGAGCCACGCAGGGTGGACGCCGCCTCAACTACAAATATGATGACGAAACCAATGCTAAGCGGGCAGCGCAGGTCGAAAAAGAACGAGAGGCCAATCGCTGGGACTAGTTATTCCCCCATCCGCTGCTGCTTCTCTCCGTTGAGGGGGGGGGGGGGGGGAAGTTTCTCATCACCACCACCATCACCCCTCCTGGTTCAACCTCACAACGAACGTAAGCAAGGTCAGCAACATATAGACGGCATATGGCATTCTTCTAGATTGCAGTGTCACCCAGGCTCAGATTTGGATTCACAGGAGATAGATGGGGCGTCTGGTTCTTGCCTGGAAGTGCAAGCAATGTGCTAGAAATTCTTACTGCCCCCCTTGTCGCAGGGGAAATAGCAAATACAAATGAATACATGAAGACCAAGTCATTATCTGCACAGAGTCTGTAATACCTTCTCATCACTATCTACGGTAGTTACTCGTTAGTGAACTATGGAGTAGTAGTAGTTATTCACAGCCAGCACAATAGTGAAGGTTCAGTGTTCCGCCTGGCGCTAAATTAGCGTAGAGGCTTGGCGCGCCCAGACCTTTCTTCCTACTTGATTCCACGCTGGATGTCACTTTGCGTGAACTACAATTCAACATCCCCTGTCCATCTTCCATCCCACTGGATGTCCTGCATTCTGCAGATCATGCGCAGATAAACGCCTTGGATGCAATCCCTACTGGCTTCCAGATTCCTGGGATGAGGAAAGGAGCTGCATTTCTGTGACTGTCCTTCGATTCATTCAACCGGCCCTCCTTCATAGCTCTAGGATAAACCCGCATCCTCTTAATGAGCAATCAACCACTGCACTGATAGTTAATTAACTGCCAGAATCAAGTGCATAAAATACGTAAGTTTCTTTTTTTATCTTCACCTTTCTAACACTGAGGGTTCTTCCTGTCCCCCCCCCCCCCTCCTCTCTTCCTCTCCTCTCTGCCTCTTCTCTCCTCCCTACGCCTCTCTCCCACTGTCTTTTTTACCCTCACCCACACCGACTCACTGTCATAATGGCGCCAATAAGGTCTCCTGGACGTCGTCGGTGTCTCTACGGGTTTGCCTTCCCCTCTTGTTCTGTTTCTGGGACTTCAGATATGCTGACTGACGCTTTTCAGTGCCGAGTTTGAGCAAGTAGTCGACAAGGGACTTGATTCCTATGCGGAAAAGGACGAGAGCGTAGCCATCCAGCACCTCAGCTCGAATTTTGCCCGGACCCGCTCAGCACGCTTGCATGTGGAAGGTTTGTTGTTCTCTTCTATCCCACTTGGCCGTGCGAAACTGAACTGACTCGACCTGTCCAGATTGTACCGTTGGCTCATCATTAGATGCAAACAGCCCATCAAGGTAAAGTTGCTTGCTTCCTTTGGACGCTTCCTTTCCCTGAGGACTGACTCAAGGGCATCTAGAAGAGGCTATCAGTCGCTGTCCTTAGAACAAGGTCTCGATCGGGAGTATTATCCTGGGTCCCCTCGTGGATCTCTCCAGCGTGTTTTAGAACTTTCAAATCATCCCGGTTCTTTGCAATCTTTCCCGTGTGTCACCCCTGTGTACTCGCATGGCAGTGAACAGCCACGCGGTGCACATCCGGTTCACACAAAAACTTACAAAGGCTGCTCCCCTGGCCTCCACCTCGCGGCCTCCAAGGTCACAAGCCTATTCCAGAGAAGCAAAAGTGTGGTAGAGAGCGCCAAAAGACAAGCACGCACCCTTGGATCCCATTGTAAGGCTATTTCGAAGTGCTTCTCTCGCGATTGTCGAAAGATAAACAAGGCGGACATTCGTATTGTTAGTCACCATCCCTATTGCAAAACTGACAGCACTCTTTACGATACCCCCCCTCAAGTTGGAGAAATCAAAGCCGGCAAAGTCGTGCGTGAGCTCTTGGCTTATCCCCCAGCCACTGACACCCCTTCAACCTTCCCAGCCCGGCCCAAACCCTTAGCCGTTATCCCCGAGGTACCCCTTATATCGCCCCAAGAAGCGCATCTTACAGAATTCACCTATCCAACCTTTTCATCTTGCAGTTTATGGGAAGAAAAGCCCGATCTTACTGCATGCTCAAACGGCACAATGGATCTCCCTCGAACATCACGTTTCCTGGATCCCACATCCGCCGTGGCGGCTCTGACCAAGCACAAGGCAGAGGCCATTAAACTCGCCCGAGAACAGAGCACCGCAGTGCGAGAAATGTGCCGCAGAGCAAAAACAGAAACACCACCTTATGAATTTGAAGAGCTAATCGGGAAGGGTGCCTACGGGCGTGTCTACAAGGGCCACCAGCTCCCGTCTCGCAAAGTTGTCGCTATTAAGGTCATGGATATCGACTCCTTAGATTACAAGTCTGTGCGGGATTTCAGGGACGAGTCGATCAAGGATTTTATCCATGAAACCAAGGTGATGAAGCAGGTCAAGGATGCCGGGGCAAAGAATATCAACGAGATCATCGAGGCGATATCGATCCATTCGCAGCTGTGGTTGGTTTGTGAGTACTGCCCTGGCGGTAGTGTGAGAACTTTGGTAAGCCAACTCATCCCTCTCCCGTTCTTTGTCTTCCGCCGATTGTTGCCCGTCGTCACTAATAGAATTGTAGATGCGAGCTACGGGCGACCGACTCGACGAGAAATTTATCATCCCCATAGCACGAGAACTGGCTGCTGGATTGCGCGCTATCCATGATGCAGGCATCATCCACAGAGATATCAAAGGTAATGAACCCCTCTGTTTCTTGTTCACGAGACGGATGAATTTTTTTTTCCCCCCCCTGACTTGGTTTTGATTAGCCGGGAACATTCTTATCCACGAAGAAGGCAGACTGGAAATTTGTGATTTTGGTGTCGCCGGAATTCTTCAATCTCGCATGGACAAACGCTCCACGTGGATCGGCACTCCCCATTGGATGCCACCGGAGATGTTTTCAACTATTGGTCAGGCACATCGGTACGGTAGTGAGGTCAGTCAACACATGGATCGCCCTCACTGGCGAGATAGTGCTAACCAGATCAGATTGATGTTTGGGCCTACGGATGTACTCTGTTCGAATTTGCCACGGGAAACCCCCCGAACTCGAACCTCCGTGAGCGAATGCAGATAGGCCGGCAACTCAACCGCAATACACCCAAACTCGCAGACAGCGATAAATACAGCGAAGGCTTACAAAATTTGGTTGCCTTTGCCCTTGATTCCGACCCAACTACGCGACCCACGATGGCGGACATTCTGTTGCATCCTTATATCGCCGACTCCGAAGAGGAGTATCCAACGCCGTCCCTCAGCGAGCTCGTGCGGAACTACTACCAATGGTCACAGCGTGGAGGCCAGCGGATGTCATTGTTTCACCCGGGGGGTGCAGCAGCAGCGGAAATGCCGGGTGCGGATCCAGACTCTGATGAGGACTGGAATTTTAGCACTACGGATGACTTTGAACGGCGGTTCTCTGTGATTGACCTGGACCAGATCGCAGCCTCTCTGGCGGAAATGGAAGCAGAGATAAACACGGCCAAAAACCAGCCCCAGCAAGAAAAGCTCAACGAAGAGCTTGGCGAGACAGAAATGACCGAGGAAGACAAGGCCAACTTTGATGAACGGGTGCGCCGAGGTGCTGCTGCCATGGAGGGTCTTTTCGATGAAGAAAAGCCGATCTACAAGTACGAAACCAAGAATGATTTTGTGCCAATTGAACCGAAGGCGCCTGTTTCTGATCTCCCATTGCGTACGGAGACGGACCGTTCTTCAGTCACATCCACGTTCATTGACATTGACATTGGCTCCTTCGACTCATCCCACTATGCCGCTGGAGCGTCTTCAGCCCAGCCATTCCAACTTGCCGACGCGGATACCATTAGAGCCAACAGGTCCAGCGGCCGTCAGAATCGCGGTTCTAGCGAGAGCCGGTCCCGATCCTCCAGCAGCGAAGTGAGCAGTACCGCCGACTCACAAGACCTGACCTACCAGCCGCGCGCAGGTCCACGACCGCCGACGATGGACTGGAAATTCCCAACATTCATGCAGCCTACTACGGAAGAGTCGGAGTCTGAACAGGAGCCCGAATCAGGGGTAGAGACTGGGTCTGGATCCGACTCCGACTCCGAGAATCCTCTGGGTTTACAGCCACCTGCACAGGATGCCGTTGGCCGGCGGGCCACAATGGAATGGACATTCCCCGTGATGACTGCATCAACAGACACCGACGATGCTGACCCGGGCGATCAAAGCAAGCCACATCACCATGCACCAGAGAGCCGCCAGAATACTCTCAGAGCAAGCGATTCCGAGCTCCACCCCGCGCCTCTTCGCACCAGTGACCACAACACTCTCCAAGTGAACCACATCGGCGAGCCCGGTGAGTCGCGGCCCTCGACAGCATCCTCAGACTACGATCCCTTCCTCTTTGACCTTCCCACCACCACCATTACCACCACCACCCCCGATGGCATGCCTACCCAGCAACAACGTTTCGTTGACTATGAATATCCAGAATTGCTTACCTCAGTAGGGTATCCCGAATATGAGCAGTCGTCTGTGCTAGAGGGTCCAGGTCCTGACGAAGAGGATCCCCACCCGGCCTGGCAGAACAACACCGAAATCGCACGGCCCGTCACTCAGCCCGCGCCCAATGGGCATACCGAACCGTTCCCAGCCGCACTCCCCTCGAAGGAGGAACCGCGCCGGTCGTTTCTCACTGCGGACAGCTCTCCCATGTCGGAACCCTTGCCCACGGCCAGATATGACCCGCGGGCCAGTAGCACTGGTGAGGAGCCCAAAATCCAGTTCCCGGATCTCCTGCCCCCGCGCCTTGAGGTCCTGATGGAGGGTGCCGGTGATGCAGCGGTGACCGCCGAGTTGGATAGATTGCTGGGCGACTTCCTCGATGCGCTCTCGGCCACTGGCGAAGCCCTCTCCCAGACCAAGATCCGAACCGCGGGTCGGAGCGATCAGAGCGCGTCACCGGACAAATTGGAGTGATTGATATTTGTTCTGTATCCTTTCGGTTCTGGATGATGTATTTAGTAGATGGGTCTCCTTTTTTTACGTGGTACTACTCGGTACTTTATGTTGTCCGCTGGTTAATAAAGTAGATACAATTCAGGCTTCCATACGGAATAACTCCGTTCATACTCCGTTCGCTACGTAGACCGCCTTCCCGAATGGGCGAATGGGCGGCGTCCCAAAAAGGAAAGTCCGATTGCCTGTTCCGGCACCCTGTTGAATTGAAGGGGTATCTCGTGATGTACTTAGTAAGCAAAGGGGGGTTATTACCCTATATTAAGGCCTTAGGCAAGCACACAACCCCCCAATAGACACATATATCAATATATCTAATCACCTGCTTTTATTAAGCTACCCCTAGGATTATTATATATCCAATAATTAAGAGTCTTATATTTACTTAAAGCACATAAATCTATACTAACGACCCCTACTAAAACCTACTAATTATTAAAATACTAATGACCCCTACTAAATCTACTAATTAGTAAAATACTAAGCGCAATACCTCTAACTACTAATAATAAAGATAATATAGTAAGGCTTATTAAGCAGGAAGACTAGCTAATATAGTAATCCTTGTTTAAAGTACGGGCGAGAGACAATAATCTATAGAAAATAATAGAAGATAGCAAGAATTATCTATAATAATCTACTAGATTAATTAGGGATAGTAGAGAAACTTTACTAATAAATAATACTAGGAATTCTATAGTATTATTATAAGACTTTAACTTTGAAGTAGTACTCTATAAAATAGAAATAAATAAGTATAATTATTAGATTATAGAATTTAGGAAACTAAAAGATTAAATCTAATATATTATTTCCTTAAAGGTCTACTACTTTTATTATAAGCTAATAGAAACCCTAGAAAAGTAGTACCTTAAACTAAAAAAGTATATAATAGTTAATTAGAAATAAATTTAAAATATAGCTTATAATACTTATATAAAGGTAATCTAACTTCTGAAAGGTAACCTAGTTAGTTAGTTAAATAATTAGGAATTTACTATTTAATAGGTAATTAAAGTAAATCTTAAAGTTATAATATTACTACTAGACTAGGTAGAAGACTTCTTAAATATAATATATTATCTAGCTCTATCCTAGACTATATCTTATTAATTAGATCATAAAAAGGAGATACTAGCAGGAATATTATTATTCTATATTATAGTAAATAACTTCTATAATATTATTAATATATTCCTGTAGTAATATAGTAAGACTAGTAGAGGGGCTTTTAAACTAATATTTGCTACTAAAAATATAATAAATATAATTAGTAATAAAGAAATATCCCTACTATAGGATAAGAGAATAAAATATAAGTATAGATATAATAGTATAGGAAGAATAGACTCTAAAAGGAGCACTTTCAAGGACTTATATTAGTTATATAATATATATTTTTAAAGGCATGAATAGATATAATACTTTTATCTATTTCTAGAAAAGGCACTCAAGAACTTTAAGGAAAGGAGTATAATAAGGAAGCTAGTTAATATATAACTTAAGATAAATAAGGCCCTAGTTAAAAAGATAGCAAAGGAGTAAGAATAAAATAAATAAGACCTAGAATAACTAGAAGAAAGAAGTAATTAAGGAATAGATTAAATAAAAAGCAGGAATAAAGATAAAGTTAAAACTTTATTTAATATTTAATTTAAAACTATACTATATTTATTATAGTACTCTATTATTCTTAATTTAGGATTATTAATTTATATATTTAATAATTTATATTAATTTAAGTAATATATAGAATTAATATAAGATGATTATATATAGGCAGGAAATTTAAAAGTACTTATTATAAGATATAGAGATATTAGTATATAGGTTATAATTTAAAGAGATAAAGATATAAAATATAGCTATATAATTCTTAAGAATATAGCTTACTATAAAGAAATAATATATAATCTAATATTACTTATATTACTAAACTAAATAGGTATCTATTTTAAGAATAATCCTAACTTTAACCTACTCTACATATCTAAAGGTATAGTAATAGCCTATCTTAATAAGAAATATAGCTAATTTATAATAGAATATAATAGTAAATTATATAGTATAATAGGCCAGGTAATATTCTAAATTATTACTAGTATTAAAGATATAAAATAGTAGTATTTATGCCTTAAATATCCAGGACTATAGGTATTAAATTACCTAGTTAAGAATATTAAGGGGGTAAGGATTAGAAAACCTACTATAGTAAAATATAATACCTGTAGTATAGTAAAAATAAAGTAAAGAATTAATTAAAAGAACTATATTACTATAAAAGGACTAGATCTATAATTAGTAATTAACTTTTATAACTTTAAAATAGGGATAAATAACTACTAAGCCCTACTATTAGTTATAAATAAATAATTAGGTTTTATATAGGACTACTACCTCTTAAATTAATATATAGAGATAATTAAAAATATCCTACTTAACTTATTTACCCTCCTAGAAAGGCAATATAATATCAAATCTTAAATAATTAAGTTAGATAGTAAGATAAAGGGATAGTTAGAAGACTTTATATAATCTAAAGAAGTAAGACTTGACTACTCTACTCTATATATACTAGCCTAAAATAGAGGTATAGAGTACTTAGGGGGTATAATAAAAGAGAAAGTATATATAATAAGATAAAAAGTAAAATTATCTATATTTCTATAGCCTAAATATATCTATATAGTAGTATATTTATATAACTAAATACCTAAATATTAGGTAGGATAGAAAATACTAATTAACTAATTCTATACCTATATTATCTACTAAGATAGAGTAATAGTAGAATATAAGAAATCTTAAGGAGCTTACCTAAAAGTATATAGTTATAAGATATTTATAATAATTAAACTATAAGTAATTATAATAGTAAAGTATGGAAAGTAGTTTAACTTAAGAATATTTATAGGATATATAATAGGATATAAATCTACTAATATCTATTAAATATAGAATCTAAGAAAGGAAAGAAAGATTATTTATATAAGAGATATTATATTTAATAAGGAAGAATTCTTCTTAGAAGATAGAGATATATTTATCTAAGTAATAAAGAATAACTTCCTAATAATTAAAATTAATAAATTTAAATAAATAATTAAGGATATTAAAGTTAGAACCTATATTCTAATCTAGGAAGTATTAAATATAGATTATCCTATAATAAGGAATATTCTAGAAGGTAATTTTAATTTACTTAATTATCTAGTTTAAATATCAAGATCAGTACTTAAAGCTATAGATAAGGATAAGAATACTAATATAAATAAGTAAATAGCCTATCTAATATTACCAGGCAGCAGCCTAGAATAATTAGCAGCAATATTAGTAGGTGCTTACTAATATGAGATAGCCAAAACTAAAAAAGAAACTAAGCTAAATAGAAGCTACTAAATTATATGGAAATCAGTATTTATAGTAGGGAGGTTAATATAACTAATCTAATAAAATAGAATACTAGCCTCTAAGGTAGAAATATAAAGATAAAATAGGTAACTAAAAAGTCTAATTAAAACCTACCTAGATTAACTACTAACCCTTCTAAAGATATACTACTAAGTTAAAAACTACCTACTATCTAAAGAATTTATAAAGGCAGAGCAGGACTACCTAGCTAGCTATAAAATAATAAAAATATAGGTAAAGGTAGATAAACCTAAGTATATAAAAGTACTGGAATGTAAATAGGTATATATATATAAAAATAATTAAGATAATAATCTAACTAAATATAAAGCATGCCTAGTAGTAAGAGAAGATTAATAAAAGGATTTAATAAAAGACCTATATACTATAACTCTAATAGTAAGATTTCTTTAAACCTTCCTAGTAGTAGTAGCCTAATTTAATCTAGAATTAAAGTAATATAATATTATAAATATATTTATTAATATAGATAATAATAAGAAAATATATATAAAAATATCTTTAAGATATTAAAAATTAGATAAAGTATTAAAGTTAAAGAAAGTATTATATAAACTTAAATAATTTTCTTACTTATAGTAAATAACTTTCTAAAAAATCCTAAAGTTACTAGGATATAAACCTATCCTATATAAATTATATTATATTACTAGAGGTAGGATCTTGATATTCTTTTATATAAATAATATTATATTTACCTATTATTAAAAATTATTAGTATAAATACAGGCTACTATATAAGAGCTTCAGGACTAGTTTAAGATAATAAGAGGAAATAATCTATAATAATTTCTAAGAATAGAGATTACCTAGGATAGAGAGAATAAGCTTATCTAGCTAGGTTAGTTAGTATATATTAATAAGATTGCTAACCTAATAGATAAAAAGGAAGATCTAGATACTATTCCTATATTAGTAAAAATAGTATCCTAGAAAGATTAAGATAGAGTATCTTACCTATATATTTAATAATATTAATAGAAGGTAAGATTTATAATATATATAATAATTATAACTTAACTAGATATTATATTTATAGTATCCTAGCTATCCTAATACTTTATAAATCCTAGTAAAAAATATTATATTAAAGTAGATTAATACTTATAATATTTAAAAAGAATAAATAAACTCACCCTATAATTTAGAGGTTCAGATAATTACCTATTATATAGTAATACCTTATTTATAGATAATTAGGACTAGAGAAGCTTATAGGAGTATATTATAAAGTTATTTAGAGATATAATAAGGTAGAAAGCTAATAAGTAGATAACTATAATAATCTTTATAATTAAAGTAGAATTATTAGTATTATTATATATAGTAAAAAAAGGAATCTTTACTAAGTATTTACTAGATAAAATCTAGGTAGAGTTAAAGAATCTAATTATTAATATTTAATATAATAATATGCAAACTATCTAACTAGTAAATAAGGAAATTAACTACCTAAATATAAGGCTATGCTATGTAGATATTTATAACTACTAGATTAGGCAGGAAGCCTAGAAGGAAAGAATAAAAGTATTATATTATCTTACTACTAAGATAATTATAGATAAGTTAACTAAGATACTATCCTACTAAAGCTTTAAGGCATTTATAAAGGATTTAGGGATAGTAGAAAGACTAAAGTTAATAAATAACCTATTACTAGATATAATTTAAACCTATCCAGGATAAGGATAGTATCTTAAATTATATAATTATAGATTCAAACTAGATAAAATCCTTTAAACTTAAGGGGGTATATTAAATTAAAGGGGTATCTTATAATATACTTAGTAAGTAAAGAGGGATTATTACCCTATATTAAGGCCTTAGGCAAGCACACAACCCCCCAACAGACACACACATCAATATATCCGATCACCTGCTTCCATTGAGCTACCCCTAGGATCATCATATATCCGACACACCCTGGAGATCACGTGCATTACTGGATGCGGGGTAGCGTCTTGGCCAACGCGCTAAACCGGAAACAGGTCTATCAGCTGACCCCGCGAAGCTCATCTCTCTCTCTCAGTAATTATACAGAAATTAATAGATATATATATATATATATATGTGTGTGTGTGTGTGTGTGTGATATAAGAAAGAAAGGAGAAAAGGAATGAAAATAAAAGAATTGAAAGGAAAGTCATTTGATTACTGTACAGGTGACTCGGAACCAGCCCCCATTCATCATCATCCCCAATCACCAATCATCAACCATCAATCATCCCCCCGTTTCTTCGCTTCCTTCCATCCTGCTTCCTTTTCTTCTCCTCTGACTCCGCTTGTCAGGACCTGGAGTAGGAACTGCTTTGTTTCTCCGCTCCTCCTTCCCTCTGTCGGCTCTCGTCTCGACTTCAGGCCCGAGGGCCTTTTCGATCTCAAGTATATACCCTGCGACATCCTTCCCCCGATCTTTCCCGCACCCGTTGGGGGGAAAAAAACAGTGAACGCGCGCGCGCTTTATTGATCGCATCCAAGCGCACACAAAGAAGATTATTTGAAAGCCGTCCGGGTATCTACAGGCCTTCCCCGTTCGATGGTTCACTCAGAACCTGCCCAACCGACCGAGAGGTCTGGATCCGCGGCCAACCCACCTGAGTTACACGGAGCTAGCACGACGACAGGCTCAACATCTTACAATGAAACTCGATCAATTCCCTTTGTGATCCCCGGCGATGAAACCCTTGCGTCCTCCCCCCTACCCACCGCTCCGTGCTCCGAAGATTTGATGCGCGATGCGCCGCACAAAGCACACTCGGGTCATTCCCAGCCTCTGCCATCACTGCAGATACGCACCGATCTACTAGACTCTATTCAAATGAGTCCTCCCAGGGATTCGGATTCTTTCATCCATCATAGCATCTCCTCCAACAGTCTTCCGCATCGCACTCCCAGCCTGCGGGGACTGATGGTGGGAACAGGTTATAGTGGGGGTTCCTTATCTCCCGCGTCCCTTTTATCGTCTCCCCAGCTAATGGCTATGGGAGATATCACACCTCTCCCGTCCCCGATCGGCGGTGGCGCATCATCGTGGAGACTCCCTCGCCGCAATTCGCAGTCGCTGTCTCGCACATCTTCGATAGCCTCGAGGAACGGGTCGAGTCTCAGTTTGCGCCTCGCCGAAGTCGCACCGCAACCATCTGCTTCCACGGAATCTCGGTCCCGTGGCAAGCCATACGGGATCATAGACCGGCAAAACAGCGACAAGCTCCTAGAAACCCCTAGCAAACCCCCTCCGGAGAACGCTCGCAAACATGCGCGCAACCGCAGTCTAAGCGAATATGTCCCCCCCGGGAGAAGCATTCCGGTCAAACCTCGCCCCGTGGCTGTCTCTGGAACGGGCATCCCCCAGGGAATCTTGTCGTCCTCGAGCACCGACTCCAAGTCCAACAACTTGCACCGAGAGCAATATTTGGCTGTTCACCGAGGGATCGCTTTGCCCTCCGTGCGGCCCCCGTCGCCTCCGCGAAGTAGTGGATTTGATGAAGGCAACCATGAACCGGTCATCACACATCCCTCAGGCGCACAGGGTGCAGACGAAGTCTATTCCGTGCGCTCGATCCGCACCCAACAACCTCGAAGATATCGCAAACTACGACAACTGGGACAAGGAACCTTTAGTCAGGTTTCTTTGGCTGTGCGTATGGAGAATAACGGGACCAGGGAGAAGACTCCCGAAAATGGTCAACATGAAATGGTTCCAGCCACTCAGAAACTCGTTGCGATCAAAATTATCGATCACGGCCCTGCGGGGGGCGCCGACGAGGAGCGACTGGAGGTTTCGCTCAAACGAGAGGTGGAAATTCTCAAATCATTGAACCACCCCTCTCTTGTCCAACTCAAGGCTTTTGGTAGTGATGAGAAGCGTGCGCTTTTGGTCTTGGATTATTGCCCTGGTGGAGACCTCTTTGATGTGATTTCGAACAATCCCAAACCGATGGCCCCAGGACTTATCCGGCGCATTTTTGCCGAATTGGTGGCTGCGGTGCGGTATCTTCACGAACATTACGTTGTCCATCGTGACATCAAACTTGAAAGTAGGTTCTTTCTTTCTTTCTTTTTTTTTTTTTTTTTTTTTTTTCACTTTTCGAGGCCGAATCCTAACGTGACTCTCAGATGCCCTTGTCAACCTTCCCATCGATGCACTCCAAAAGATCACTGACTGGCGCACTTACGACCGGGCTATCGTAACTTTGAGCGATTTGGGTCTATCCAGGCGGATCCCAGAACCACCAGACAGCCCTCTTCTGCATACGCGATGCGGAAGTGAAGATTATGCGGCCCCAGAAATCTTAATGGGACAGCCCTACGATGGCCGCTCGACCGATAGCTGGGCGCTGGGCGTCTTACTCTACGCGATGATGGAAAATCGACTTCCCTTTGATGCTCTTCCCGGAACTCGAGGTGACCCGGCCAAACTCCGAGCCAGAACCCCCCATCGCATTGCACGCTGTGAGTGGTCTTGGTATCGGTTTGCCGATAACGATGGGGAATGGGACCGCGAGAAGGGCCGGGACCTGGAAGGCGCTCGGGAATGCGTGGAGGGACTGTTGAAACGCAGCACGAAACGCAAAAATCTCGATGAAATTGCGTCTTCCGAGTGGGTTAGGATGGCGATTGATGTGCCCAGTGGGTTGAGTCGAGGGGATAAGGAAGTTCCTTAGAGCTGGTCTCTGGTGTATTTCTTTCTTTCTTTCTTTCTTTCTCTCCATCCTCGGTTGTTACGATATCAGTTGACTACTGGAATTGGTGCTGGAGAGGACCAGCACCGCGAGGATCCTTTTTTTCGTTCGAATATCTTGGTTAGAGATTTGATGTTATACCCTTAGAACCCAGCCAATATCTTACTGGCCCACCCCGCTTATGTTTACTTATTGATTCATGTTTACCTGCTATGAAACTCTTGCTCATGATGAAAAGCCACTCCAGACCAAAGAAATTATGATGATTTGGCTGATGATAAACCCTCTGAACAGCCTTAGTGATGGTTACACCAAGCACTCGGGCACGCCTACTATCGCGTCTTTGTTCTATCTGTTCAAGATTCAAGACCATAACCAAAGCGAGCTCTTGTAAGATGAGGCACTGAACTATTTCATGCTATAAAGCCCAACTATATCCTTTTAAACATTCACTTCTGTCCATCCAACCAGGTCTTGTTCAGAAACCGCACATGCCCTGCGCAATCGATCTATCTCCCTCACCCGATGGATGCATCGCATCGCCACGATATTCGAACAAGGGGTACTATCACTGCGACGGCCTCTTCATCAAGCGAGTACCGAACGTTCAGATAGTACATGTACAGGTAGGTACCTTGGTTGTCGACTACCTCATCTCTTTGAGCTCCGTTGGTCATGATTTGACATGCTGGGATTCAAGCCACAGGGTTGAAAGATCCCTATCGGATTCGGATTGACTTCTCCATAACAGTAGTAGTAGTAGTAGTAGTAGGTGGATATGTAAAGGGTGTGAAGTGAAATCTTTTATTCTCCTAACAACATTAAGGCGCTTGGAAGACGAACTGAACCCTGCAACAGTTTTCGCCAGGGAGACTGCTATATGTACAGAAAAAAAAAAAAATCGAACAAAAATCCATTACCATGCCTGTTCCCCAACCCATGGATAATGCCGAAGAAGGATGATGCTTTGAGCGCCGGAGTGAAGAGATTTGTGGGTGAAAAGATGTAAGGCAACCGTTCTAATACAAGGTAAATGAAAGTAAATCTAAAACAACACCCTTCCCGCTTGACTGAAACAGACCATAAAAAGTTAAGGGGTTGTTTTGCAACGACTGGTGACAAATAAGACTATCGACTGAAGTCCTCCTCCTCCCCCGACCTCTGGGAAGAAAGGGCGGGGTTAAAATACAGCTGGACGCGTGCGCGTTCACAGAATGGCCTTCTTCGCCACCTAAAAAAAAAAAAAAAAAAAAAAAACCAAAGTTAGCCATCCTCATCATTGAATAAATCAGCCAGCCATGCACCTACCGTCCAGGTTCCGGCAATGGTGGCCACAATACCGCCGGAGATCAGCATGGGCTTCAGTCCGCGGGTACTCTTGAAAACCATTCCACTGACAGCTCCCGCGGCGATGCTGTTCGCGGCATCGTGTTTCCCTCGCGCGTATCCGGCAAACGAGTTCAACCCGTTGTAGACCATAGCCACCACTCCAGCAGAGTTTCCGAGGAAAGGACCGCGTCGGGTGATCGAGTTTAGAACACCGTTCAGGCGGATTTTCGGCGGCGCTGTCGCCGGTGTTCGGCTTAGCCCTTCGGCCAACCCCCAAGCTCCTCCCAGTGTCAAAGCAGCAAGATAAGTCGTTCCAGTTCCGTAACAGAGATCGTCGGACCACCCTCGGGACGGCAGAATCGATTGAGAGCCGGGAAGCTGATCAAGGGCGGAGTCCTCGAGCGTCAGGTAGTCGAGGGTATCTTGGTTCAGGCCGGACAAGGGGTGCAGCTGCGTAGGATCCGGAATGGCGACCTCAGAGAGGAACGAGGTGGCATCTTGAGCGCTTGTAGGGTCAAAGACATCGTCCCCCTGGCCTTGCGACTGTTTGTGACCGCTGATAGAATCCCAGATAGCCATTTTTGGTAAATTAAATATAAATAACGGAGTGGCCCCCCCCCAAAAAAAAACAAAAAAAAAAAAACAAAAAAGAGATTCGAAGGAGGGATGGAAGGAGAGCAGTCGCTAGGAACACGTAGCAGGATACTTGCAGTTCTTCGTGATCTTGTCGTCGTCGTCGTCGCAGGGAGTTTCGGGAAATCGAGAATCTGAGGATTCGGAACAAAAACTTCAGCTCCCGTGACGAGCCCGGATCTGCTGATGTAAGGCGGTCGAAGATATCTCTCGGCACGGACTAACCGCAATCCCGAGTCCACGTGACCGCTGATCGGGTTCCTCTGGATATCGGAGAATATATACGCCGGGACTAACCGCTTTTGGAGGGACCCGCCTGGAAAATCCACACGAGGCAAAAAGAAAGATTGGAGGAAACGCGGGGATCGGTGCTGCCGGACGTTCTTTGCAATTGATTGACAGGTGGGAATCTAGATATGCTCGTTGCCGACGGTCATGGAACTTGAACCAGTTCGCAGCGTGCCCCGAGACGCGGGGTCCATTGACATGGAGGACATCTGCCAAAATACACAGTTACTGCCCGAGGACACCCTCCAAAAAATTGCCAAGGGTCCGTTGGTGAAATTCACTATTGCCTGCGATGATATCCAGTAAGATTGCATTCGGAAACTATCTCATTTTGGCTGAAATTCATTGCAAGGGTCTGATCGCTCCTACAGGAAAGTCACGAGGCTGTTTGAGAGCCTGAGATTGGCATTTGCATCAACGGCGGTCACTCATTCTCACACTACTGCTGCATGCAATGCGTTGAGCGCCTTTCTGGATGCGGCATTTGTGTCGAAGCGGGAAGAAACCAGGCGACTAGCTCGATCCCAGGAAGTATGGGTTTCTGTCTTCGTGACCTTCTTAAACCGATATAAGGATGTAAAGCCTCGTCCGATGAAGCAAGTCCTCGAGTCGCTGGTAGTCATCCTGGCAAAAACTCGGGACGAGCCTCAAAGGGACTCTATCCAAGAGAGGATTGTGGACGAGGTCCTCCCCAGTGTTATACTTGGCGAGGCCCGTTCTCGATTGAAGGCCTCGATTCTTGCCATGGAGATGTTGGTGCGCAAGAACGCGATCCTGCCTATCGAGCTAATCTCAGCGGTTGACGCCTGGCTTTTGAAGAACCCAAAACAATGGCCCTCGGTCCTGCAAGAGGAATGCCAGGTTTCAGGGATAGACCCCTCGCTTTTCTTGCGGAGATCTTCTGAAGATACAGCTTCACGTGTGAGCTTCCAAAAGACGGCAACTGAGATTCTGGTTTTTGGCGTTCTGAATCGAGCAAAGGCTGTCGAGCTGGCGCCATCTGTTGGAGAGGTTCTGGCATATTTCTTCCAGAAACTGCAGCTTTCAGTCGACTCCTGTATCCTGTCCCGTGAGGATGGAGAGAGTTTGGCCTCGGTCTGGGTGAAACCGGTGAAATACTTTCTATTGAAGAATCTGGATATCTTGGAAAAACTGTCCAACCATATCCTTCACAGCTTGTTTAGTGTGAGCACGGGTGGTTTCCTCCGTTTCATAGAAACCTTGCCTTTAAAAAGCCTCCTCGATGGTGATATGAGCAGTTCCTCTTCGGCAGAACTCACGGTTCTCTTTGCATCATTGCAAATAGCAAAGAAGACCGGCTTGGTCCATGAAGATCGTCAGTTTAATATCTTTACCCACTTGAATATGGAAGTGCATGGGCTGATTTTATCCCAGTTTACTTTTCCAGGGCAAGCACCGCAAGCAAACAGGCGGAGAGCGCGATTGTTCTGAAGAGCGAGCTCATCGGTCAATTCCTCTTCCACCATGATTTTAACATTAGAATGGCCGCGCTGTCTCTCCTAGTCACAGCGCCATCCACAACAAAGCCAGTTTCTGCGGCTGCTATTAGGGTTGTGCTTAAGAGTTTGCCGTCTCTTCATGCCGAATCTGATCCCTGCTCTCGAGGAGAAATCTTGACCCTCATCCGTGGATTAATCGTGCGTGTGAAAGGCGGAATTCTAGCAGATAAAGAGAATCCCGTTGAAGAGAAGATCACTGTAAACAAAAAGAAGCAGCTCGTATTTGCCCGGGACGATGCCGAAACTGAAGCATGTATGAAGAACTATCTCGAGTTTCTCTTGACGGATTTGCGACCGACAGCCTCTTACCATCGCCATATCATGGCTCTCAAGACTCTGATTCTTCTTCTGGAGTCGGGATTGGATGATCGCTACACAGGTTCCGTATCTGGCAAACCGGAGGGTCGCCAGGTGAGGTGGAAATTCAACATGGATATTTTTGGATCCAGATTGTTGAGGCTACTGGTGGATCTTCTGCTGGACCCCTTTGAGGAAGTGCGAGGAACAGCTCTTAATATTCTGAAGCTGTTCCCATTGCCAGTTCTCCTGGGTGGCGCGTCTCATTCAGCTGTTGGAAAGCCTGAGCTTATAGATGCCATTACCAAAGCAGAGCAGCTAGCCAGCAATACCAGCAGAGCTGACCATGCAGATACGGTTGCCCGACTTTTTTATCTCATCTTCTGCACTGCTAGTCAAAGCAAGGTAAATGATGATGGTATCTTCCATTGGTGGGATACAAAGGCTGGAGTCGTTGAAATGCTCCTTGGGAAACTGGAAGAGAAGCTGTCCCTTCCAGAAGGGCTTTTCCACTCATCTCTGCGTGACGCCCCCCTTCATGGGTACCTTTGTGCCCTCAGGTATTGACCGATGAATATTCTCTCTATTTAGTCCCGCGGTTAACTGAGTATTTTAGGTACATCGTTTCGACCCCCAACTTCTACTCAGTCATACCTAATGACGGGCCTGTCGACGGTGAGATCTGGAGAGCAATTCATTCAAGGATCTCATCTTGCTGTGATAAGATTTGGGACGAAGTAAAGCCCGTGCTATGCATCGACTCACCTGAAGGGCATGCAGCTGAACCCATTGAGGACCTCAAAGTAGGCCCTAAGGATATTCTTTCCTACTCCTGGCGGGCCCTTCGAGAGTCTAGGTAATTGAATCCTTCTTCCAGTGGTCTTATTCTCTGCTAACATTACCAGTCTTCTTCTCAACGCCACTCTTTCCAACGAGACTTACGGCCCAGAATTAGGGTTGAATAGAGAAGACTATGAGAAAATTGGGAGGGCAAGCTTCACTCAATTGGCCGAGCTCCGCCACCGAGGAGCATTTTCGACCGTTGCTCAGACATTCGCTTCTTGTTGCCAGCGATGCGGACAATCCAAAAAGAGGGAAATCTCTGAGCTTCCTCTACTTTGGTATCAGGTGCGCTCATAATCTTCCAGAACGAGACAAAAATGGATGGGAACCTGAAATTTTTTAACATTATTTACAGGAAGCGAAGAAAATCATTTTTGAATCGGCCTCGAAACTCACCCGCCGCTCAGCAGGTCTGCCAGCTTTGATAGCAGGAATTCTTCTATCCAAGCCCGGAGGACCGCTATTCCACCAAGTAATTCAAGAACTTCAGGATATTTCCCACCTGCCTGCGAAACACGACGAACAAAACCAAGTCCTGGAATTGCCTCAGGTTCATTCGATGAATTGCTTGAAAGAGATCTTCACCAATGCTAGACTCGGCCCTCACACTGAAGCCTTTATCATGCCCGCCCTGAATCTATCAGCCGAACGTATGGGCTCCCCGATGTAAGTCTCGTCATGCCAGAAAATCTCGAATCGAATCCAAATCTCTAACTGCTTTCAAGATGGGCTTTGCGCAACTCAGGCCTGATGCTCTTTAGGGCTTTGCTAAACCGCATGTGCCGCACAGACTTTGTGGGTTTCGGAGGCCAGTCAGGATCAGAGCCTGGTGCTAGAATCTCCTTCCAGAAGTATCCCGGTCTTGTCCCATTGCTGTCGGCTCTTCTTGAGCCTCCAAAACAGATCAAGATCGCCGAGCAAGGGGATACGGCTATGGTAACAGAGCGGGTGTTTCCGGCCCTCGAACTTATTGCCGAAAAGATGCCCAACTCCCCAGATACTAACGATGATATGTTGCGTGCGCTGGTTCGCGAGCACCTGAAAAGTCCAGTTTGGGGTATCAGGGAGCATGCAGCCCGCGTGTACGCTTCGTTACTGAATCGTTCCGATATTATTGAGAACATTCAATCACTGCTCAAGGCGCGCGATGCCAAAACCCAAAATTATCTCCACGGGGAGGCCTTGTGTATTAAGTATTCCTTGCGCAGGTTTTCCTGTCTGCCTTTCGCTCTTTGGAATGGTATGTTCTCCCTAGCTTCTGTCTTGTGGATTGCATGTTAACTGGAAAAGAACGTGTCGGAGAAGTGAAGTCGACCATAGAAGCAGTTTTCTCATCATCGTTTCCAGCGGCTGTATCTCCTTTCCTTGTAACAACCTTGTTGGAGATACTGAGTGATGCCGTGGAGAAGAGCATCGAAAATGGCGTTGAAGGTATGTTTTTGCCTTTTCTTCTTTTTTTGGTCTTCAGCAACATTTGACTAAGCTTAAAAAAAAAAAAAAAAAGGCGAAATGATCCCACTTCTCGACAAATTTTTCGAAACTTACGATATCATTGACAACCTGGATTATGTCTTCGATTCGTCTCATCCGTCTTGGACCACCCTAAGCACAACTCGTGCGTTTTCTCTCCTTCGTAGAGAGCTGGCATGGATCACAGTTCTGAAAAAGTTGGTCAAGGGCGAAACGGATGATCTGGTTCCGTTTATGCTCCGGATTGCTACTCTTGATCCCAATACTTGTCAATGGCTTCTGGAACAGACACATGCTACGTTCGGGGTAAAGGAGCATTACCGAGGACCTTTGCTTGATCTCTACAAGTCTACCATTCTTGAAGGTTCTCCTGTGGAAGTTAAGATACCTGCCATCTCAAATCTGGCGGCTAACTTGCAGTTCTTGGTCGATTTTAACAAGACCGAAGTGCCATCTATTGACTTGCCCTGGGAAGCCCTGGCCAAGGAAATTAGCATTAACTCGACCAGCAAGGGTTTTAACAGAGATAGAGCCGATGTGGAACTGCAACTTCAAGGGTGTCTGCTGGCCACAAAGTCAATCATCTTACACCAGGAACTCTCTGAGACGGAGATCCTGCAATGGGCCACACGGCTTCGATTCGCGTTGCAGGAAGATACGGTAGGTCGAGATTTCTTTTCTGGTTCAGGGCTGCGGACTAGATCCACTAATGAATGAAACAGGAATTCACGACGAGATACGCTGCCGCAACATCCATTACGGCATTCGCTCGAGTATTACGTCCCCTGGGAATGGCCCCTCGTGTGGATGCAGCTTTCCTAGAAGTATACTTGATCCTGTACGATTTGCTCAATGACGACGACGAGGAGCTGCGTGATATCGCTGCTTCGACTGCGTCGTGGATTCTCTCGTTTTCCTCTGTCTCTCCTCCTCAGAAGAACGTCACCCTCTCCCCACTAAACGCAAGCGAGCTGTTCGCAGCCTTTATTGCCGAAAACTACCCAAGCTCCCAGCTCCTCGGTAGTAGAGCCATCCGATACATCCTCGGGCAGGAGTCGCGAATCGGGGACTCAACCTCCAACGCGCGGTTGCTCACCGTGTCAACTGTCATCCATGAACTTCGGCAGGACAGCACAATTTTGTTCGAGGAAGAGAAGCAGAACCTATTCGTTGAAGAGGTCCGCGAGATTGACATCTGGTCGGGAGTGTTGAGCCAGCTGGCGCATTCTTCCTATAACGAACCCCTCCTCAAGGAGACATTCCAATGGGTCTGCGAAGGCCTATCCTGTTTCTCAGAGACGCTTGCTAGCGAGAACGGCGAGGATGGACTGATTGGGTGGACGTCAAAGCCTGAGACCTATATCCTGGGAGTCCGGGTGATCAGCCTTGCGAGTGTGATGGTTTCCAAGGACTTTGCTGGTTCGGGGCTTCTAGGCGAGGGAAAGGCCGCCCTGAAGGATAGACTGCTTACATTGCTCGGTCGTGGGAAGGAGGGTTTGCTCCATGTTGATTTGGTTTCGCGGATTCAGCTTGGGTTGGAGAGTTCATAAACTGGGGAACACGAGGCGAGGATAGACAAAAGTTTTAGACACGTTAGATATGAAGTTATGTTATGTTGTTCATTGCATCGCAATCAGCCTGGGTGATGGGATGGTGGCTTTCGTCTGCGCAAGTTTTCCAAGTCGCTGGCTGGATTCTGGTAACACATCTTCCAACCAAGAAGTGTCCAGCTGCGAGATCGAAGTCACTTATACCATCCTGATAATAAAATTGAGATGCATTTAATTCTACCATTACTTGATTTCGTTTTCCACCCGCATTCCTTTTATTTTTTGTCATACTAACGCAGCGGCTCAGCAGTTACAGAGCTCAGGTACCATGCGTGCAAATGTGGTCATACTGATCGTCGTTCTCGTCGCCCTTGGTACAGCAGGAATACTATGGCTGTACGCCCGGCGGTTGCAACGCAAAGTGAAAAGAGACTTGATCGTGCTCAGGGCAGAGTCACAAAGGCAACAGCAAATCCAACAGGCTGCCCAGGCTGCCCAGGCTTCTCGTGCATCGTCTAGAAGTCGCACCAAAGGCAGGGGAGATGGACAGGGAAGAAAGCACACCCCCTCTCATGGGTCTCGAAACAGACAGCCAACCCAACGGAAAGGAAAACAGCCAAAACAAGGGAAGAATGAAGATGCGCAAGCCACGAACGATTCGGGACGTGCTGGGTCTAGGAAGGCATCTGGGTCTGGGTCCACCCAACCTCCCAAGCAGGACAGTTGGGGCAGTACGGAAATCCCGGGGGTAGAGCAACCACAAGAACATCACCAGGGCCAGGACGAGTGGGCTACAGCGGGAAATGCAAAGGAAGATAATGCGGGAGAATGGACGAACAACGCGGCTACGGGAACCGTCGAGGCGGGGGATGATGAGTGGAAGAATAATAATACTAATACTAACAATAATGACACGCCGGATGCCCCAGCGGAGACTACATGGCCAAGTAATAATGACAACAACAACAACAACAACAACAACAACAGCAGCAGCAGCAACGGCAACGGCAACTGGCAAGACGAAGAATGGGGGAACAACAATGCTCAGAATAATGACCCGGGACAAGAGGGCGGTGGTGGAGCATGGCACAGCACTGATGGGATGGCAGGAGATGGACAGGAGAAGGGAAATCTGAATGGAGCTGGAAATCAGGGGAGGGGGAGATTTTGGTGATAATGGCTGTATAGTTAGTAGAACTTTCCCAGTTGTATAGAAGAGCGAGATGGTTACACTTCTGGTCTCTGTGGAACTCCGCACAAGTGACGTGGGTGAATTTCCCCCCCCGCGGCGGTGAAGGCGGTGAACTTCTGCTAAGGCTGACGACTGACGACTTCTCTGTGTCTTGACCTCTGCTGGCTGCGGATTTTCCTCGGGATACTAGGCATACGCATAGATCTTTGCTGTTGTTTGTCTCTGGGTTCTGGAATTTCCGCTTTCTCTTATGCTCCTTGCCCCTGTTTCGCGTTCTCGAAAGATCAAGGCTGCCTGACCAGCCTCCGGGCTTAACTATGTGGAACGACGAGGATAACAACCCGTACGGCGCATTCGATAGCGAGGCTCGTCTATCGGAATCGTTGCATTCGACTACAATTAGTCCTCGTAAGAATCTCGCGCCTTCTATGCCACTGGATTTTGGGTCATATTGCTAACGCCTGCAAGCTCTCTACAACCCCGATTACCCTCCTCCACCGTCCAGCCAATCCTCTAACCCCGATACATCGGACTACATTTCGGGACCACAAGACTTCAGCGAGGATGAGGCTGCACTGGACCATGCGGATCAGAGCGGTGCTGGGTACCTCCGCAGGAGTGTTTATGACAGTCGCATAGAACAGATCCTTTATGAGAACCCGGAGATGCCGATCCTTATCACCGATGCAGGCAAGAACCATGAAGGCGGTGGGAGCTTCATCGTCTATACAATACGGACTGGGGTAAATAATTGTGTTTTCGCGCCTACCTCTGTTGTGTACTGAGCGATTCCAGGATTTAGAAGTTCGGCGACGGTACTCGGAATTTGCGTCGTTACGACAGACCCTCGTAAACCTCCACCCAACCCTTATCATCCCGCCTATCCCCGAGAAGCATTCAATGGCAGACTATGCCGCGAAGCCCACGAAAGCCAAAGAGGATACTGCGATAATCGATCTCCGCAAGCGAATGCTCGCGGTATTCTTGAACAGATGTCGCCGAATGAAGGAGGTCCGCGAGGATGGAGTTTGGTGGAGATTCCTGGACCCTAACGTTAGCTGGGTATGCTTGAAGATAGTGGTGTTGAACGACCAAGGGTTCGTTTCTAATTTGGCTTCATAGAGCGAGGTTCTGCATTCCCATCCGGCTTCGTCAGTGCCGAAGAACAATCTCAAGGCACCCCCGCTCGACCCTGCAAACCCTACTCCCGCTCATGCCTGGCTACCGGTCCCATCGACCTCCGCAAAGTTGAAAAACACCCCGGGTTCTGCAGCAACAACAACAACAACAACTACTACTACTACTACTACTACAACGACTAGTACAACTACATCCCCGATTGCGGAGACCCCCGGTCCGGAGATTCTTGGCCGTTTCCCGCCTGAATCGCGAAAGATGAGCGAAAAGGACCTAGATCCCTACTTCATCAACTTTGAGGCCTCTACGAGGGAGCTCGAGCTCCTTCTACAAGGAAATATGGAGAAAGTAAATCGGCGCACGCTGTCGCATTTGTCTTCGCTCTCCGCAGATTTGATGGAACTGGGGGCGCGCTATAATGGGTTCTCACTATCGGAACAATCTCCGACGGTTGCTACTGCCATTGAGCGGATTGGACAGGCAGCCGATACATCTTACATTGAAACGGAAGAGCTGTCGTCTGCTCTGAGCGCAAACTTCGCGGAACCGATGAGAGAGAGCGCTCAATTTGCGAGCGTCGTCCGCAGTGTCTTACGGTATCGTGTCCTCAAAAGGGTGCAGGAGGATATGACAAGAGAGGAGCTAGTGAAGAAGAAAACTCTCCTGGATTCTTTGGAACGAAGTGAGATGGAGGCCAAGCGCATCGAACAGTATCTTAACCGCACCTCACCCCACACAGGGGCAACAAAACCCCAACGGTCCTTGTCTACCTCGTCAACATCCAGCACCCAGGCTGGCTCTGAAGGAGAATCACGTCCTAGTGGCGAGGAGACCGCGTCGATTGACTCGGATTTCCCGCCGACCCACGGAGAGTCCCACCCCGCAATCTCACCACAGCGGTGGCCTGAGTCGGGGCAAATGTCTCCTCCCGCGCACCGGAAGACCTCGAGCGGAACTTTTGTGGCAAACAAAATTTTCGGTCGGATTAGCCATGCTGTTCACGGATTCGTCGATGTTGACCCCGAACGTACCCGACGGGATCAGCTCGGGAGAACTAAAGAAAGCTTGGTTCAAGTAAGGTTTCTAATCTTCTTCGCGATATAGAAGTGCATACTGACTGATCTGTGGGGTAGTTGGAGCAAGCTCTACAAGTATCCGAAAAGGATGTCAAAGATGCCAGCACGGGGATTTTACAGGATCTGAAACGCTTCCAGAAAGACAAGGAAGCAGATCTTCGACGATACATGGTATGTTTACCTAGCCGATACATACACCGCACCGTGCAGAGCTAACTAGATTGTCTGTCAGGTTGCCTATGCCCGATGCCATCTTGACTGGGCACGCAAAAACCTCGAGACGTGGACTGAAGCCAAGGACGAGGTGGATAAGATCGTGGCTCGGTAGTTTTGCCTGCAGTTTCGTGTTTTTTTTCCCGGGGACGGCGACCTAGAGATCTAATCTGAATTTGGGCGTTGGTGGAATGCTCCTGAAGTGAATTTCCCGAGTGGCTTCTCTCTCTATTCCTTGCGACCGTTATTTCGTTGTATGCTCCACCCTGGATCAGAATATGTACCGTAGCAAAATAGCAAAATATGCCCCCGATGAAGGCTGCAGCCCCCTTTCTTTCGTTTGGAGCGAGGACGATGGTGATTGATCGCCTTGTAGTAGGAGGTGTGACAGGCAAAGGAAGACCACATTGGTTTTCTTTCCCGAGACTCTGCCTGTCCAACCGCAACTTTGCCATCTCCATCTCCATCCGCTGTAAGTCTAAAGAACCATCATCCATCGTACGGAGGATATTGGACAAACTGCCCCGGTATGTTGAACGGTTTATTTTGTTTCCCCCCTTTTTTTTTCTCGTCACGACTGTTGACAGATGGATCAACTCTAGGGTGAAGCTCGGTTTGCACAGAAATTGTCCTCAGATGAAACCACCCAAAACGCGATCCTGTTCGTCTTGGAATAATTGGGATAACTATTGATCGGGATTTAAAGCAGCCTTATTAACTAGTGGGTCGGGGCGTTTTTTTTTTTTTTTTTTCTTTTCTCGTCTCCCTGCTCCAGGATCAACAGGCACTCCACGTTTAATTATCTTCAACGTCATCACTATTCACACCTGCTCGTCATTTCTCTCTTTGTGGAAGCAATTCCGGCTGCTGATTGTCTCACGGACCCTTTTCGAATAAACTACAACGCCATTGACCTTCTGTGGACGAAGATCTACAGGGTTGCCGCACCCGGCATCCTCAGGGACCTTGCCCGTTCCCCCCAAAACCCTCTTAGAGCTCCACTCTTCTTTAGGCTCCTTTAAACATTGACATATGTAATGGGTTCATTTTGACAACCCCTCGAAAACGATGCGCTGACTTTTTCGGGCACTTCACACTTCCCTCCCCTTCATACTGGATATGCCCCAACCCTTCGCCACGCCGGGAGACAATGAGCCCCCAGGAGGGTTCTCACGGTTTTTTGCAACCAGAATGTTCGGCAAGGCGGGCGACTATGAGTTATTACCATGGGGTCTTCCACATTCCCAGCCCGGGAAGGATGCCGCCAGGCCCGGAGCCATTGCAATCCGTCGCTTGTTTCTCCGCCGCTGTCTCAAGATGACAGTACTTCTGGCCGTGCTTTTGCTAGTTTCCCTCGCTGTGGCATTGAAAATCAAGCCGCATCCGCGTCGTCGTCCCGACTTGCCATTGTCTTATCCTGCGACACATCAGACGGACCTGCGGATCCATGATCCCAGCCTTCTCCGCGTGGGAGATACGTACTATTCCTACAGTGTGGGCGAGCATATCGCCATTCACCAGGCGTCGAGCTTAGCTGGGCCCTGGGAGAAAACCGGTTCGGTTCTCCCGGCCGATAGTGTCATCCCCAAGGGGGACCGGAAGGCCCCCTGGGCACCAACGACGATCCAAGTAGGCGACCGGTTCTACTGCTATTATGCCGTTAGCAACGCAGGATGTCGCAACAGCGCCATCGGAGTCGCGTCGTCGGCCTCCCCGGGACCAGGCGGATGGGTTGATCACGGGCTGATCATTCAATCGGGCAAGGGCAAGGGGTCGGACGAGTACCCGTTGGATCAATCCAACACCATCGACGCGAGCGTTTTCGTTGCCGATAACGGACAGGCGTATCTAAATTTCGGCAGCTTTTGGTCCGGTATCTGGCAGATCCCGCTGGGGCAGGATCTGATCTCCCCCGGTGAGAATGGCAGATCCGATGTGCGTCATTTGGCTCGTGAACCGGCTGCTGTCTTCCCGGCTAGGAAGAATGCGAATGGGATTTGTGGTGACCCGAGTGGTGGCCATCCGATTGAGGGGAGTTATCTTTCGTATCATGAACCTTACTACTACCTCTGGTTTAGCTGGGGGAGATGTTGCGACATAACCGATAAGTTTCTTTCTAATTTTCCGGGCAAAGAGTGTGGATTATCCCCCTCCTCCATTCCTTGTTACTGATCAGGTAAACCTGGCTAACTGGAGTGCCAGGTATCGCATTAGGGTTGGCCGATCCGATAGCCCGCAGGGTCCATTCCTGGATAAGCAAGGGAACGATCTTGTGGACGGCGGCGGCGAAACAGTCTACGCCTCGAATGGCGATACATTCGCCCCGGGGGGGCAGGGGGTTTTGGCCGAAGAAGATGGGGACATTTTATACTACCATTATCGTATGTCTGGAAGATCGTATCTTCACGATGTGGATTGGATCACTGACCCTTCTTCCATCTAGTAAACAAATCTGTCAGCTATGACTTTTGGGTAAGTTTGCCAGAACTCTACCATGACGTGAAGCTAAGGTTAATATGTATGTAGGAAGCACGACTCGGGTACAGCCCGTTGAAATATGTAGATGGATGGCCAGTTGCACAGTGAGGCTGGTTCCTCACTAAACAACCACAGTTACTACTACATACAGGTCTTTTGGGGGGGGGGGGGGGGTTTACTCGGGAACAGCAGGTCCTATAAACCACTTATCTTAAATTGAGTACAGAGAGAGAGTACATGTTGTTTATTGTATGGGCTCGAACACAAAACCCCATAGACGGGTATATAATGAATAGAAATCGAACTTGCACAGAAATGTAAGGGTATATTATATTATACACATAGCACACCATCCATCCATCCATCCATCCATCCATCCATCCATCCATCCAACCCAAGGTAGGACACGACCACAGAAGAAAGAAAGAAATCAAACATCAAATATCTACAACCACCCAAGCAACAGTCCATGCTAACCCGCCCTCCCATCTTCTCCATCACCCTGCGACTAGCCAAATTACCCACCGCGACGTCCGCGAAGAAGAGGACCCGAGTAGGGAAGATGAGATTCAAGAAGGGATGTAAGAGAGGGGCAGGGGTCGGAGTGGTGCTGAATAGAGGACATTGTGTATATATCTATGTATATATATATAACCACCGAGTTGTACAGCACAAAGAGACAAGATGAGTCGGGTGGTGTACAATGTAATACTCCGTAGTTACAGTAGACAGTACGAAAAGAAAAGACTCTACAGGAAAACACTCGAGTAACTGGAATGGAATTAAACAAGCTGACAAACAGACGTATAAGCCGGTCAGACGCCGTACAAGATAGGTTCCGCTCTAGAAACGTTGCCAACAGGAAAGAAAGCTTTTAGTTGTAAAAACATGGAAACTTCATGCTGAGACCGACCGGAAATCAGAAATCGTGCCTTCCAGTATTTAGAAAACAAAACATAAATGCAAGGGCTGGCTGGGGTCTACCGTCCGAAACCCATATGATGCTGCAGAACGAAGGGAAAGAAAAAGAACAGAAAATGCAATCATGCAAAAAGGAAAGAAAGAAAGAAAGAAAGAAACAGTGACTGGAATGGACGAGAGAGGGAAAAGGGAAATCAAACCCATCGGGGTTACCATTTCACTGTAGAATCATCAATCACCAGAGCTTACTTTTGTGCGATAGCCCTGTCTGTCGTCTAAAACATTTCATTTTCACATTTCCAAAAAAAAAAAAAAAAAAAAAAAAGAGAAAGAAAATAGATTAAGAGAAAGTAGTAAACCATCCATCCACACTCTAGTCGGAGACTATCTGCTCCTCATCAGGTACTCGTAACTCGACCACCGGAAGGTCGTCGTCATCATCCACATCTAAAGGAGGGATGTCGCGGATGGATGACTCGTCCATAGGGGTTCCTGGGAAAACGGGTCCTTGGCCAGGCGGGCTATCCGTGAGTGATGCCAGTCGAAGCTCGGAATCGCTGATGTCACCGCCTCCCACGGCTTTGTTGCTGGCGTCGTCGTCGAGTAGATCCTCGTCGTCAGAGATCGGTCCCGGAAGCTCTGTTGTGATCTGTAAAGCGCTATGAGCATCCGTGACTCGCTTGAAGGACCAGGAGGGCGGGCTGGGGGAGCGAAACGAGTTTGCAAGCGCCCCGCTGCCAAAATCTTCATCATCAAAGTTCATACCTTCCAGTCGATTGGTGCGGCCGAGGCTCCGTTCCCCGTACGAGGGGCTATTGGAATATTCCGGCGGAATGTCATCATCCCTGCTCTTCATTTGAGTTCCAATTCGCAAACCACCATCTCCCAATTGGTGAGCTGCTCCGACTCCGGCTAATGCGCTCGACGACCCATTGCGGGAGGAGCCGCCGAGACGCCGGCCTTCCCCCGAAGGAGACGGTCCGCGGGATTCCTCTTGTGAGTCGGAGCCCTCACTGCCAGGACGGGTGGATGATTCGGTAATCTCCTCGAGGATTTTACCGCCCAGGGGGCGATCAGACCGACGCCGGTAGAACAACAGATACGCCGATGAAGTAACAACACTCTGGGGGTCAATGGATCGTGATACAGATGAATCTACACACGTCAGGTTCACATCATTGGGGGGGGGGGATAAAAAAAAAAAAAAAAAAAAAAAGGCACCCCAAACTTACCGTTATACTCGTTCCACATGCCTGTCATGAAATTCTTCGCATATGCAGTGTAATGGCCTCCTCCAAGCCCACCGTAGTGATTATCGACAGCAAAAAGGTCATAAACCAAGCTCTTCCCATCTTCAGGCGCCTCAACTCTGCCGGTCAAATCTAGGCCCTCTACAGGGAAATCGACCATAATATCCAACTTGTCCCGGAATCCACGGCTTGCGCTAAATCTTTTGAGGTGCATGACAAGAATGTCGGGTGTCTTCCACAGTTCGAATTTCTTGCTAGCCCGACGGTGTTCCTTGCAGCGGGGGCAATACCAGGCATCATTTTCTGACAGAATTTCCTCCTTGTTGAACTCGTCCAAGCACTCATTGAGCGTAACACCTCTCTTCTTGCGCCTCTGGCGAAGCATACGTCTATTAGCCAAGTCAGGATCAGCAAGTCGCTCCACGTTAGTCCACGTAGGTGCTCCACGGACACCATCACGATCCCGGCTGTCACCAGTAAACAGAGCATCATGAGCGTCCTCACTCCAATCCAGAACAATAGCCTCACCAGGACAAACCAAAGGACGTTGTTGGGCTTGTGGCTTAGGGGTGGAATTGCGAGCAGTAGTAGTGAGCATATCCACTTCACTATCCGAGCTATTGCCGCGTTTGTCTTCAGTCAATTCCTCATCACTAGACTTCTTCTCAGCTGCCTCGGATGTAAGCTCGAGCTCATCATTGCCAACTCCGCTTTCTTCCTGGGTTTTGGCGGGAGGGGCCTTGGGCTTTGCTGCCTTCTGGGACTTGACAGCCTTTGGTTTGATGCGTGATGACATCTTTGGGTAATCCTTATTTTCATCCACTGACGAAAAGCCCAGAGGCACAGCCTCGTTAGTCTTCACAACCTTTATCTCGAAAAGGCTATGGAATCTAGCTGGAATAGAGCTCTCAAGACGGGCGTTGCGCGTGGAATCTTGCGAAGAATTATCGTCTGTTTGGTCGGAAGCATCACGCATCGACACATCCACCATACCCTCCTCACCGTCAACCGAAGTAGTCTTGATCTTGGAGTCGGCCGACTCTGCGTCGTCCTCGTTCATGATAACAGTATCAGAATCCTCTGCAGATGCTTCTTGCGGACTATCATCAGATGCCTCTTCATTCAGGAAATCACGAGTAGTCATTGGGGCGACCTCGGCAAGGACCTTGCGCATAATGCTATCGTAATCCATTGCCTCCTCGCGGTTAATAATAACATACGATGGAACTCCAAAGAATTGACGTTGCGAGTTCCTATAGCTGGTAGGGCGCTGCCTCTCAACTCTGTTGAAGATTGGTACCAACATCTTATCCGCCCTGGGCGAATCAAAGCTCAGCACTTCCTCATGGCTCGGACGTCCAAAGGAGAAGTGGCTCTTTTGCGGCTTGTCAGGGTTGTAATTTGTTGGGACAGACTCGACTTCAAAGATAGCAATATCGTCACCAGAGCTAATATGGTACTCAGCAATTGAACTTGTGTTGTCGAACATCTTGTAGAATTTGCATTTGTAGATTTCAGCCATGACCAAACGTTGAGGGTCAGAGTCCATCTTCTTCGCAACCAGCTCCTTGAGGGCCTTGATGCTGGAGTTTTTATCGATCTCAACATCGACTAGAATCGGTTTCTTGCGAAGAGGGAAGTAGAAAATCTCCTTACTCCAGAGATTCTCGATGGGGAGCTGGAGGGTAAGGTTGTTGAACGGATCGAAGATGATGCTGACCTTGTCACAAGCAGGGCAGACCAGGGTCGACTTGTACATACCAGCAAACAAATCCGTAATAACGGAATCATTGCGGGCTTTATAGATATCCCAGCACTTGTCCGCAAATCCTCGTAGCGCTTCCTTATCGTGCACCATCTCATCTGTCGAGTCAGGTTTCTCAATGTACGGCTTCTTCTGGATCCTATTCAAATCTTCTTGCAGGCCATCGAGGAGGAACAAAAGAAATTCCTGGGAATCCTGTTGTCCATATCCTGAAAACGCCGGACCGTATCGGCCAATCGTTTGTTTCAACTGCCTAGGAGCAAACGAGGATTGTCCGTTTTCATCAAACATCATGCGTAAGAGATTAGCGTATGCTTTGGCAACGTCTCCGTTGTGGGCTAAAGGGTTGCTGGGATTAAGATCTTGCTTGTAAACATCGTCTTCGGGGAGTCAGCAAACGTTCTACTACCTGGCAATCCCAAAGCCAACTTACTTAGAAAATAATAAGTAAGTTCCTCCACGCTGCGTACACACTGCAGAGCAGAGTTCATGTAGCACGTGTTACCCAGGTTGCTCAAGCCTGTATTTCCACGGGGTTTGCCATCTTTGCGTGTTCCCCTGGTAGGTTCCTGGATTGGGGACGAGCGACCGCTGGGAGCAGGGCTTTTCGTCTTCAATTTAGACGGGACATTACTTTTCAAACCACCGGAAGAAACACCAAGACGGTTGAGAGCTTGCTTGGACAACTCTGACACCCACTCTCCCCCGCTTCCAGTCCCGGAGACTCGCTCTTCGAGAACCACAATGTCGTTATCGCCAAGTCCCGCCAGGTCCAGAGTCATCCGTCCGTTGTAATTAGGGTTAGCAGTTTGGTCTTTGGCTTCTTCCAGCAATTCTCTTTGAGATCCCTCCGACAGCGATAGGAAGGTGTTGAGATCAAGAACAAGGTTGGTACCGGCATTCGAAACGAGAGGTGAAAAAGGCGCGGGAGAGGCGCTGCGAGACGCAGCCGGCGTAATTGCAGCAGATGTGGTTGCACTTGACAGGCCACCTAAGATCCGCCAAACGCGAACCTTGGTCGACATGTCAATATGAACTTGCTCCTTGGCGTGCTTCAGCCACTTCTGGAAATTGGTTTGTCGGCTAGATAGTGTCTTGACAGGTGGCAGTGTCTTTTCTTTCAAGACCTGTGGGGTTGTCCCCGCTGATGGGTTTGAGAGCTTCAGGATCGTGTAAATCGGGGGGTTGATTTCGTATTGAATATTCTCCGACTCGCCCGATGCATTGGTGTTGTGAGCATATCGAACGATGACTGGGGACTGCTCCGCTAGCCCGTACCATTGCATAATTAGGTCCCAACCCTCTTGAGGCACCACTTCAAAGTCTTCTCCCATTCGTAGTCCCGGGCGCAAGGGAATGAATGGCTCTTCATGCTCATCCTTGAAGTGAGTATTGGCGGGGTCTGTGACGAGGACAAGATCTGAGTTGTCGACTGGACCGATTTCGCCTTCCGCGGCCGACTTATCCACCTGGTCGGCATGAGTCGAACTCCGTGCAAGCACCCGCTTTAACCACGACATAGAAACCACATAGCCCTTCTGGCTCTCCTGCAACGGCTGCATCATAAAGCAGGTCACCTTCGCGACCTGGTCATCGAAGCAAGGACGTTCCGCAGGCGGCACGGAGCCTTGGGTCTTTGTGTTATTTTGTGTCGCTGTTTCCGAGTTAGTATAGGTGGACATGCTGGATGGTGTGTGGTGAGTCTGGTCGGATCCTGAATTACCATCGTTCCCCGCAGAATCGTCGTCCGAGCCGGCTGTATCCATAGCATCGGGGTTAGCGGGTTGGGGCTGTTCATCTCTTTGCGTGTCTAGATCCATCTCGACATCGGGCTCCACCTCTGGCGCTTCCCGCTTCACACCTGGAGACGCTGGGCTAGCATCATGCCCGGTCGGCGGAACGCTATCGTCTCTCTGCTCTGAACCCGACATATCAGTCGCAGGGTCACTGGCAAGGGTAAGCCCTGCACAGGCCGCGGAGGGATAATCGACAGGACTACTGGGTAAATCCGGGGTTGTTGGTAAGCGAGCGGGGGCCTGGGATTTGGTCCCTAGAACTTCGTCCTGCAGATGGGCGGGGATATAACGAGGAGGCGGAGAGGCTGAGGAACTCCGGGTGCGATTCGAAGCGGAGGAAGGCGACAAGCGAGCACGAGGGGTCTGGGAGGTAGAAGAGGAGGAAGGCAATTCGGAGGTGTTATGACGGCCGTGACGTCTTCCGGCCTGCGAGGCTAACGACAAACCCGGAAGGGCAGCTCCTGGTCTGCGAGGCTCTGCTACCTTGCGGCGCTTTGTGGAAGACGTCGTGACAGTGAGCTGCGCACGTCTCGTGGCAGCTCTAGGTAACACGGTGTGGGAGGATGGGGGGGGGGTTTCGAGGGAGGAAGGGAAGAAAATGGCGGCGGACAATCGGTCGGGAAAGCCCCAATAAAAAGTGAGGGAAGGGAAAAGGAAGAAAGTTGAATGGATTAGCTGTTAGTACAGCAGGCAGTGCAGTAGTATCCAAGGGAAAACCTGAAAATCCGGATGCCGTTAGTTGGTTATGAAAGGCGGAAGGCTCGTTTAGTCAGGGCCTAGACACAGGAGCTGAGTGATTGGATTTGGTGGGGAAGAAGAAAAAAAAATTATGATCAAGAAAGGACTAGGGTTCGTTTTTCTTTGATAGATTCAAATATTGTCTGGTTGAGGGTGGAAGTAGGGTTGATCTGACACTTGCAGATTTCTGTGGATAGTGAAGTTATATTATTGCTTGCTTGCTTGTTTGGGAGTGCGGATGGGGAGCCTGAGGTTGTGCAACAGAACAGATCTGGAAAACTGGAAAATTCTTCCATGTTGCTTCTCTTGTAGCTATAGCTTCATCTCCTTTTTTTTAAGTACCTACCCTACTAAATACATAAACCCCGGGTCTCGTCTCGAAATCACAGAAGAACAGTAACCCCCCCCAAAAAAAAAAGATTCACTTTTGCATCCCAAGCAGAGTCCAAATGCTAACCAACCAGCACCCTTCTGAAGTAGGAAAAAATTACCCCATCACCGGCTTCAACTCATATCTGGCAACTTCTGGAGGTCATAGAATCGATAAAGCTCATTGTCCGGCAGAAGAAAGACGACATCAGCTCTGTTTCCATTCTCTGGGTCGAAAACCTTGTTCGTTCCTACCACTTGAGCGATATCCCCTTTAAACCCTTGCATTAATATCTTGCACCCCTCGCAGAGTAGAAGCCCGCATCCATTTGAAGTCTCGCACTTGAAAAATGCTGGGGTGGGACAAATGCTGCACCACGGGTTCTTCGCCTGGTTCGTCTGTCCCGAGACTGCGACTAAACTCTCGTATGCAGCCTCAAAGTCAAACGAATCGATATCTCCCATGGAAGCAATAGTGTGCCCTGGGCATCTCATAATGCGAATCCTAGCTTTCGCGCATGAAGTGCACATCCGAGTCCCCTCCTGATCATTACCAGCGTGACCACCAGAAAGCTCGTAGTACTTTCCATTACCAAAATTGAGGGCCTCGACCGTTGTATCTCCGAGCCCAACGATGCCATAGGCGAAGTTATAACACCAGTGGCAGGGTTTTGATCCATCTTTGGGATCGTGATCAAATACTATAGGATGTGCGAAGAAGGTGGAAATCGTCTGGGTCTGGGTTTCCGGCATGGACGGTATCTGAGCTTCAAAACCAGCCAGGTCGTCCATCTTATCCGTCTCCTGCTCATCTTGATACATAGACAGAGAATGCAAGTATTCTTCGCTCACGACAGGCCTTTGCGCAGAGACGCTGGGTAGATCTGGTTCTTCGAAGGATTTGGCCAGCTTCTCTGGACGATTTTCGTCGGCATTCGATGGTGGTGGCCGCTTTCTTTCTTGAGGAGGGTTGTAATCTTCTCTCTCGCCCTTATCAATCCAAGTGGACTGGACTGGGGATGTCATTTCGTGTGTCTTTATAGCGTAATTTTCGCAATCCCTTATGTTTTCGACGAGTTCAGTGGATGGGTCAACGTCGAGAAAGAGCATTTTAACTGTTAGTTCGCCATTAGCAGAATGTTGAACTTAAAGACGATGAAATGAGAACTAAGTGAACTAGGTGAAGACGGAGCCTATAGCATGTAGCACGGGATTCAAGTTGGTAAGTGAGGTTGAAATGACAGCCAAAGTCTCAAGGGCCCTCTTATCCATGTATATTGCCTGACTAGAGAATCGACGGTAAATTCACGAGTCTAGAATATTAAGAGTCACAACTCTAGTAGATGTTCTATAAGAAGAATAGAGCCTCCATCTTATCCACCAAGGATTTCAGATATCGGATTGCGTGCGTTCTAATCAGTCAAAATAAGAAGCAACTACAGCTATCTAGACGAAGAGCAAGGCATGTACATAAAGGACCTCCATAACCCTGATATAAAACCCTCCTCAACTACCTATGTAACTACCGACTGGAGTTTCCCTTCCATCAGCGTCTGTCTGTGGACCGTCCGGGTATGTCCCAACTGGATACAAAGCGCGTGACATAACTGACGAGTTCCAACACACAGACGATAATCAAGAATATGATAGAAATGTGAACAGAGTTGTCACTCAAGGGGCTTCCGTCGCTGTTAGGTGCTCGACAGCAGTAACAGGGGTGGAGATCTCCATCCATGGACTTCGGGGGTATATCGTCTAAAATCATTAGCTGGAGAATGGTTATTGATGATATAAAGAACTTGACTTGCCGTCCTCGTCTGTTGGAATTTCAGGATCTGCAGAGTAGGAACACTCGCTATGCTCGAAGTCTGAGTGTTCATTTTCTGAATCTGAAGAGTATTGGAAGCACTGGCTGCATTCCCAGTCTGAGCATGTGTATTCGGACTCTGAAGAGTTACAAGACTCATCATGCTCGAAGTCTTGGTTTTGGTCCACCGGATCGATTCTGAATCCCTCGAGCATCTTCTATATTTTATACACTCCTCTGTGGACGTAGAGCACGGTATTCATGTCTTAGCCTCACAAGACGAAGAAATCGAGCAGGTTTGCAGCTCATCGACCACAAAATTACATCATGTTTGTATGTATACCTTTAAGTGAGTCATTCCTTTAAACTTTAAGAGGTGTTCTAGGTATAGTGCATTCCGCGATGGCCGGTTGCATTGTCATTATTAGATCGAAATTATGTCTTCGTTATGTGGCGCTGTTTTGGTCTACATGAAATCACAAGTACGAGTAGAAATCAGGTGGAAGTGTATAGTGATATATTGAGATTTCAGGTATATCAAGAAAATAGATCAAGAGCAAGGTTGGAATACATGAGGAAACCCGAATATATAACTCAGAACAGAATGTGCATCTCAGTATAAGCAAAAATAGTAATCGTCCGTGTCGGCCAAATATGATATATTTTATAACTGTTCAGCAGAAGCGAGGTTTTGAAACAGTCCCATGTCACTTGCGATCAAACTGAATAACATAAAGAAGCCCAGCAGCAAAAGCAACAAGGAGAAGAATGATAATCCAGAGAGCAACGTGATCCGGATTGCACTTCCCCTTGAACTTTCTCCAAAGTCTGGTGGCTTTGGAGCCTTCAAATTCTGTTGTGGCACTGGTTAGTCTTCCGTACTACTTGCCCGACTAAGAATGAGTAGACTCGCCTTCATCCTCATCACCAGGTTCCAGCTTCAAGTGAGAATACTCAGGAGGCATTTGGATTGCCGTGTGTGCTGGAGCATACGTGTCACTGCTATGAGGGTGCCAGGCAGTCTGGGCTGGTGCAGGGCACTTGGGATAGTCCGTGTTGTTTGTCTGCTCCATTTCTAAGGAATAGAAAGAGATGATATGAAAAGTTGAGTGTTTAGTGATGGAAGCTATTGCAATAATGTGGGCTTAGGTTGAGGATGGAGAAGGCAGGAGAGTAAGAAGGAAATCAGGAACGGAAAGAAAAGAAGACAGAAAGAAGCGGTCTTAAATAAGTCTGACAGGGTCACATAGATAGCGAAATATTTATTCCATTCTGATGTAGTTATTATGCGCGTCTTAAGCAACTATAACGCAGGTCTTCGCTCATCCCCGGAAATATCCAGCGAGGAAGTTCTAGCACCATCTACGGCTGGCTTATATAGGCCTCCCAATAATCCCAAGTCACTTTGTCTGACTTAGATGCCGAGTAGATTCCATAGGCTATCAAAGCCAGTAAAGCCAGAATCAAAGCAACAACGCCAACGATGATGATACGTCTACAACAAGCTGACAGCTTTTGCTTCTCTTGTGAGACTGGTGAGGATTGGCAATCTTCAATATATATTAGTGTCCAGTTAAACTTTCATAAACACTAATCAGGCTCTTCATACGAACCATGCATGATATTGTGAGGTTCAACCCCCTGACCTACCTCCAGGTCTATGCCAGGGTATGGAGGAGGTTGGATTTCATTAGCTTGCAGCATCATTTCTGGAGCCATACAGGTCCCAAGTGTGAAAATATAAGTGCAGATATAAAGAATCCTATAAATATTTGAATTGCAATTAAGATGTCATTCTGAACGATGAATTCCATCAGAGACAACTTCCTCGGAATTGCCTACTTAAACATTTCGACTGAGTCACAGACAATAGATATTATTAATACGAGCAAAAGGTTCAAAAAAAAGCCATGTTTGATGCCCAGGAGATGAATGCTAAATGGCGTTAATGTGAATGATTGTCCTTGGGGTTATTCGTAGAGCATGAAGCAACTGGCTGACTTGCAAAACCCGCATAATTCAGACCCGGTCAGCTTATTCACAGGAAAGAAAACCTTTGGCTCTCCGGCATACATACCCACCGTGATCTCCCCTTGATTATTGGCAGTGACCTTGGTGCAGGTCAAAACTTCCATTGCCTCTGTACCTGGCGCAAAAGCACCTTCTACTGCCTGAAAAGCCGTGTTTGGTAGCGTCAACGCGGAGGCCATCAACTGACTAGTTGCCTACTAATTCGTCCACCGTTTGAGGTCTGGGAGAGTAACTGTCTCCTGTACCGAAATGTTCATTCAAGAAAGGCATATTTTGGGACCAGTAGCCGTGATACGCTTCCCGTATTTGGTGTTTTGGGGAATATTTTCCACAGTAGGCGATATTTGAACAGCAGTGAATCCAAGACCTTGGATGTAGTCTAGCTTGTCCATAATACCTGTCCATGACCCTCCACAGTACTTGAAAGAATCACAGGCCTGGCACAGCGAACCGTCATAATTTGCTATCAAGGGTGTTAGTTTCACTTCGTTAATTGAAAACACAGAAAAAACACCGAAGAAACAGACATATATAGATCCTTCCACCCATTTTTGAGCCAAGGGAGAACTCGCGGCTGCTATGCTGCTAACGGCCGAGAGCAGCGCACCGAAATATGTGTACTGACGCGTATTCCTCAAGTTCAAGGCCCTGGGACCTTTGGAAGAAGGGGTGGTTACAAAATAGTCTCGCAGTTAGAGGAGATGCTCGAGAGGTCTTATTATCAAAACACTGATGCGCGTCTCAAGAAGGATGAATAAGGCCCCATAAACAGAGAGACAGAGGAGCCAGCACTGTGGCCAAAGAGACAGCCGCATTTAAGAGCTTTAGAATTCGATCTACAAATACACCGGCCATCCAAAATCCCTCCCCTATGACATCTCTAGCTTCTTGAGAGCATCATTGCGAGGGTATATCCGGCCACTCCATCGAAATCAAGCAAGGGGATGGATCATAAGGGTCCGTTGCCTCAAATTTTGTGAAACAACACTCTTAAAAGGGTTTTAATTTCACTTCTCATGACATGGGCTGTATGAAGGAGGATCAATTCGACAAGGGTTGTCGTTGGTTGTGGGGATGGATATTGATCTGTTGTTGTAGTTGATATAGTGATGCCTGATATTCATAAGGCACCCAGGCACCCCTGGGACACACCAATCGCGTCCTGAGGCGCCAAACGGCAAAGCTTCCCCTGGCGAACAACAACAATAGGAGGATCACCATCAACACCCATATCCTTCCCTCCTTACAGTGCCTGGAGCTCCCCTTTTTCATGACGAAACATGGCTGATCTATCATCCGGCTGTGTGGTCTCTCTCACGGACGGCAGGCAGGCCACCGTTCGGTATATTGGAGCTACGCACTTCGCCGGCGGCGAATGGATTGGAGTCGAATTGGACGATGCTACCGGCAAGAATGATGGATCCGTGCAAGGAGAGCGCTATTTCGATTGTGAAGCTGGCTTTGGGATGTTCGTTCGGCCATCTGCTGTCGCCACAGTCATCGAACAGCCCGCCCGAACTGCGAAGCCAGCACCAAAACCAACCCCCCCGGCAGGCAGAGGTCGAGCCCAAAGTGGTATATCTACAGGCGCAGGATTTAAAAAGCCCGGTTCTATATCATCCTCGAATAACAAACGCCATAGCGCCGGCCCTTCCAGTCCGACACCTGGCCCGAAAGGCGTCGCGCAGCGGTTCTCCCTGAAAGTATGTATGGCCAACGTAGCCCGAAGAAATGCCTCTTACTTACCTCCCTTTCACACAGTCTCCCGCCAAGTCGCCCACAAAGCAGCTATCGACCTCCTCCACTCCTCTCTCTAGCCGTTCGTCAATTAGCGGCCCACCGCGACCATCTGCCGTCGCACCGAAAGCCCGCGCTACAGGCACCAAGACTTCTATGGGCCCCCCACCTCCCTCGGCCGCATCTCGTGCCTCCCGGGCATCTATACAGGGACCTACAAGAAAAGCGAGTAGACAAAGTCTCCAAGGCCCTCCGGGATCGTCAACTTCAGCGCTATCGAAACGCCCGGTTTTAAGGCCAACAGCCCCTAATAGAGCTTCGGAGGAAGTAGAGGACAGTGGGGCCCAACCATCAGATCCAGATCTTGATTCTCAAGATGCCGAGGGTGATGTTGGCGATACCGGGGAGTCGGTCCCCAAAGTGTCTAGGCCTACACCAGGCGCCTTGCGAAACAGTTCTACCCGACCAGGACCCGTTCCATCCTCCTCGCAGCGGTCAGCTCAGAGCAGCGCAGTAGTTAGGGAGCTCGACGAACTGAAAACCAAATTGAAGGTGATGGAGAAGAAACGATCCGACGACCGAGAGAAGTTGAAGGCTTTGGAGAACTTGCAGTCAGATCGGGACAAGTTCGAGGGTATCATCCAAAAGTTGCAGGCAAAGTATCAGCCACAGCAGCTTGAAATAACTGATTTGCGCAAGAAACTAAGAGATACGGAAGCGAGACTGGAAGAAGTCGAACGACTCCAGGCAGAACATGAGTCGCTAATGGAAATGGCGACTCTTGACCGTGAAATGGCAGAGGAAACAGCCGATGCCTTCAAGCATGAGTGTGAAACACTAAGAATAAAAGTCGAAGAACTCCAGTTAGAGGCCGAAGTCTTGCGTGAAGAGAACGAGGAACTTGGACAGGTCATGAGCCCAGAGGAGAAGTCCAGTCATGGATGGTTACAAATGGAGAAGACCAATGAACGACTTCGCGAAGCCTTGATCCGTCTTCGTGATATGACCCAACAGCAAGAGGCGGAGCTAAAGGACCAGATCAAGGAACTCCAGCAGGACCTGGAGGACTATGCAGCGATTAAGTCCCAGTATGAGTCTACCAAGGAGAAGCTGCTTGTATCGCAAAACAACGTCGAAGATCTCAAACAGCAGCTCGAGACAGCCCTCGGTGCCGAGGAGATGATCGAAGAGTTGGCCGATAAAAATATGCGCTATCAGGAAGAGATCAACGAGCTCACTGCCGCAATTGAAGACTTGGAGGCGTTGAAGGAAATCAACGATGAACTGGAGTGGAACCACATTGAGACGGAGAAACAGTTACAAGAGGAGATTGACTACCGTGATACCCTTTTCACTGAACAGACTCGAAAGATTTCTCAGCAAGACGAAGCTATAGAAGATTTGGAATACACGCTGGTTCGCTTCCGAGAACTTGTCTCTACATTACAAGCAGACCTGGAAGATATGCGGGCTTCTCAGCAGATCTCGGAAGCGGAGGCCACGGATCTTACAGCGCGCTCTCGAGCTATGATGGATCTAAATTTGAAGTTGCAGGCCTCAGTTGCAAAAGCACAAACAAAAACAATCGATATCGAACTCAGTCGGATGGATGCCGAGGAAGCTGTTCAGCATTTGTCTATTCTAAAACTTTATCTTCCTGAATATTTTGAGAGTGAGCGCAACTCTGTTCTTGCCCTCCTACGGTTCAAACGCGTTTGCTTCAAGGCCTCCCTCATGAATAACACCATCCGAGAGATAATATCTGAGCAAGCGTCGGTATCCCCTGCGTTAGAAGATGTCTTCACCGCTCATGACGTTCTCGAAAAACTTCTCTGGATAGCTTCCCTTTGCGAGCGGTTTGTGAACTACATCAATAGCTGCCCGGCAGAGAGCTTTGGAAGTGTCCAAGGCGCATTATTCGAGCTCGAACCAGTGGAACGCGCGCTCAACTTCTGGCTCGAAAGCTTGAAGAAGAATGAGATGAACATGAAGAAGTGTGCTGTGGAACTACAAAGATCGATCGCTCTACTATCACACCTTGCTGAGACTCTTATTCCTGCTTCGCTTGAGGCTTTTGCTGACGAACTCTGCATGCAATCGATACTAACACAGTCGTACATCGATCATACTGCCTCATCCATGTCACGGCTTCTTGCTGTGCTCCAATCAAAACTTTTAATTCCAGAGGGTGGTGATGAGGAAGCCACATTCCTTTTCAGCAAGATCGAGAGCTTTGTATCCCAAGCACGGGGCTTGAAAGTTTTCATGGGGAAAATCTATCGATCTGTTGATGAGTTGCGGTCAAGATCTCTTGCTCTTTCACACGACGTTTCCGGATCTTTCAAGCAGGCAGAAGAAGCATCTAAAGATCTTTCAAGCTTAACTCGACAGCTAGGAGAAAACATGGTACTACTAGTCATTGATGACAGCCGCACGGAACCCATTTCCTTGGGTGAGGCTTTAAGCCACATGGCCCAGATCTCAGCGCTCTACGCCCAGTCCTCGGGTTCTGGAAGCGATAACAGTGATGCTATGACCTACCTCTTCACCATGCTGCGCAGTCTAGGCGGTACTCTAGAAGAACTGGGTTCTATTGCGTCAGATCTATCCATAACGTCTGAGTTCGAGAAACACTCGGCTCCCTGGATTGCAAGATCGGAAGAGCTCAAGTCCAACAAGACAATCTCTCCGGATGCAGATGAAGAAATCCGTCGCTTGAAAAACGAGCTCCATGAAGCATCGACAGCCTTGGGAGTCAAGGACAAGACTATTGAAGAGCAAACCATCAAAGTCGAGCTCGTCGAATCACGCATGCGTGAAGCAAGCAAAAAGGCTGCTGCTGTAAAGGAGCTGGAAACCAAGATCGAAGAGATGAAGACAAAGGAGTCAGATCTGGAAGCCGTTGTGGAAAAGCAACACAAAAGCTTTCAAGCCCTCGAGGCGGAACGCGATGACATCAAATCTCGGCTTGATAGAGTCAAACGAGTCTCTGGAACTCCCGGAGCAGCTGCAACTGACGGTGTCGTTGTCGACAGCGCTGTTTCCCTGGCCACCATGCGGGAGAACGAAGCACTCCGCGCCGAAGTGGAGAGCCTCCAAGCCGCCGTACGCTTCCTCCGCGAAGAGAACCGGCGCTCCAGCATCCTCGACCCATACTCCGTCCAACGGTCTACAGAAATGTACTCGTGGCTTGAAGCACCACTCACGCAAACACCCAACCCCCAACGGGAAAAGATCCAACAAACCGCCTCCGAAAGCCGAGACATCCTCACACACCTCCTCAAGCTCACGCAGGAATCCAACATCTGCGACCTCAAGTCCACATCCGCATCAGCAGAAAACCGTACCGCGTGGCGCCCAGCAAAGACCAAACCCCGCTACCAAGTTCTCCAACAACGCGAGAATTTCGAGCGTTGGGCTGAATGGCGCGACGACATCGTCGCCCACGAACGAGAACAGGATCGGGTCGTGGCTGCGAAAAAGGAACGACTTTCTCGTCATCGAGTTACGGAACATACCTCACATAACTCCTCCGTCTTTGCTACTGGGTTTTCTCAAGGCATGGGACACGGAGTGATTGGTCGAGCGTGGCAAATGCTCGGCATGGAGCAGGACGGCCGCAAAGCTACCGAGAAGCCTGTTACAGAACCTGCTATTGCACCGACGTTCTAAGCCAGACATAACCAGTCAACCGCAAACGAAGTGGAGCAATTTACGGAGCATGGCTGCAGAGTCGATCTCATCGTCGTCATCCCTGGGCATGGCATAGCATAACATAGCATAGCCACCAAATCCTGTGCACTGTACTATTATGACATGCCTGTCTGTCTATCTTCCTCATTTGCGTCCGTATCCACCCACCCACCCAGACAACAACAACAACAACAACAACAACAACGAGCCAGGCCTCTGCGCCTATGGTTCAGAGCACACAGACCGCACAGCCATGAAACATAAGACAAGGGAAAAAAAAAAAAATATCTAATCCCTGTCTCAAACCAATTTCCGTTTCTAGATACCCCCTGAATTCGATGACGTGGCCCCCTATCTATCTCTTCAAAAGACCAGTCCGATGTTGTACATACTATACTATATTCTGTACTTTACCATCCAGCACATTCCATTCCGGATTCTTTATTCTCCCAATGTTTACGACGGAGTACATACGATTGCGAAGTATCCGTACGGAGGAGTCCTTGTATCAAATACGACCTAGGTCTTCTGAGCTCTCTCTCCTTGCCCAGTCTTGGTTAGCTTTTCAGTCATTAATTGATTGGAGGCCGTCCCCAGGGCTAGGTAGAGAGGTTACCTACCTTACCTTGCAAGGTTCGCGGGTGCTGCTGCTGATACACACATATATAAATATATACAGAATACACCTACCTTTCACCTCATGGAACAAACACATTTATTGAATATATGAAATCAAGAAATAACCTGTACAGAATTGATAAGATTAAATTGAAGCTGCCATAAAGCAAATGACTCATGTCCTTTAGCAAGCCAGTACTGAAGAAAGTTAAAAAATCTTAATCTCGTCATTAAGAGCTATTATATTTTGAATCAGAGTAAGATCGTCATGAATGCCAGGAAAATATATGAAACATGTATGTAGAACAAGATTCCAAAAAAAAAAAAAAAAATGCAAAGAAAACAAAGAAAACAAGCAAGTCAAAAACGCCGGCTGAAAGTTACACCTCGTACATAGATGAATAGGTAAAAGAGGATGATGATATATCGAGGGTGATGCAAGTATTAGATGTTGGGCAAGTTGAGGGGGTTGGTGTTTATACAATTTTTATGCAAGGCGGAAGAGAAACAACGGTTGAGAATTCAGTTCGTGGGAAATTACAAGCAACGGGATTGTCGCGAGATTAGAGGTTGCCCGAGAGAATGGCTTCCGTGGCTTATGAGAGAGGTCGTGAGTTAGCGTTGGGTGGAAACTTGAGGGAAATGCATCCGGAGCTTACCAGAGTTAATGTAGGGACGCTTGGCGTCGAGGCTGACGCCGAATCGCTTCTCAAGTTCCTGCTTGATGCTCTTCTTGGTGACGGTCATCAAATCGGCAGTTCGGAGGATCTCGCGGATCTCCGACAGAATTGCATCGTCGCTGGGGAGGTTGGGAAGATCTTCCATTTCCATATCCATGTGCCGGCTCAGCATTTCGGAGGGTGCCAGCGACATCCGGGATGAATAGCGAGGCAGCTCAAGCTGAGACATGGGTCTTGACGTTGGGAACGCATACTCGGACTGTGCAGGGTGGTATGATTTGGTTCCGTAGGAGATTCCAGAGACTTCAGAACGGTCGTCTCGAGATGTCTGAGCTTCCCATAATTCGGCCTGGTATTCCTCCCACGTCTTCTTCGGAATGGAAGCCGGGTCGAATTTACCTTCGTCCGAGATGACAACCTTGCGACCTTTCTCACCCGTGATAACACGAGTATTACCCCAGGAGAAATCGTCCATGTGCCAGAAGGAGTAAAGAGGGAGGGCCAATGAATACACAGGCAAGGCAAGAAGATAGATAAACATCCACCCAACCATATCCCATTTCCGGCGAACAACGAAAACGAGAGCTTGCAAACCGTAGATTGCCGCGAGCAAAATGAACGAGGTGTACGGGATGGTTGAGGTGTCCCTCACGATCCAAACAATGAGATAGATGATGTAAGCGATAGTGACAGGCATAATAACAGTACTGAGAAGGTCAAGGAAGACGATGAACCTCATACTGAAGCAGCAGAAACCGCACAGTTGCTGGAGCGGAATAAGCTCAATCAAGTTGTGCACAGTAGAATTAATCCATCGACGACGTTGTGACAGCAACACTGCCCAGCTCTCCGGGGCGATTGTCCAGGCCTTGGCATTGTAGATGTACTTGGTCTTGTACTTGGGATGATGCTTCAGGAGCAAAGTTGTCAGGTACCGATCTTCTCCCAGGTGCAGGAGATTCTTCATATGTAAAGTGTCAACGCGAATTTCCGAGTAAGCCTCGACGATTTCTTTGCTGACGAAGAGGGGCTTGCCACTCTCGGCGGATCGAATGCGATACATGGTGAAGCAGCCGGGCAAACAGGTAACCGATCCGAAAAGACTTTCGAAGGCCTTGGTGAGATTGTGTGAGATGTAGTATTCGTACACCTGAATCATAGTCACTGCCGAGGTTTTGGCATTGGTCAAAGCGGTCTCTCCACAGACACCAATGACGCGAGTATCGTTAAGGAATGTCGAAACCATCCGCGTTGCCGCATCTTGGGCGACGACCGTATCGGCGTCGACCTGGAGGATGAACTCATAGAAAGTCGGGTTCACTCCAATGATGTTGCGGATCTGGTGGTGCATCTCAAGCTCCATCGGGCTCATAGGATAGTTGTAATGGACGCGGTTCAAAAATCGCATGAGGACCATCTGCGAGTCACGCTTGCCTCTGTTTCCAGGGCGGGAGACTTCCGAGGGCTTTCCAACTTTGACAACAACCAGGAACGGCACGATATGACCCTGGACCTCATAGAGGCCCGAATAAACTTTACCCATATTGTGTTGTTTCATGCCTTCTCCTAAACTCTCGAAGCTGAGTGGTTCAGGATCCACGGACTCCGGAACGCCCAAGATGTCCAGAACAATCCGAGGCGTAGGGCGGTCGTTACCTTGTCCAATAATCATGCCATCACAGATAACCACAAGCAGCTTACGTTTGTCATCATACCGCATGCGGGCCATCGAGTCCATGGCACGACGGAGGGAATCCTCATCTTCGGTATAGGCCGGGACCTGACAAATAATAAATTTATCCAGATTCTCGGGCATGTTCTTCCTGGAGAATTGCAAGGCAGCGGCGAACTTGAAGACAACAACGGAACAGACAAGACACGAGATGGCGAGAATGAAATACCGAGCAAACAGACACTGCGTCGAGTTACGCGTGTCAACGTGGCCAACGAAAAAGAGATTGTCTAGACAGGTCATCATCCGCTGGCGCAAGACCGAATCGATATCCAGGCTCTCCCATTGCTTGCTCACGTCCTGGCCGGGCCGGCCTTGGAAGAGTGAGACAACCAGCGGAGACATAAAATCGCTATCGACGTTATCAGGAATGGACTGCCCTTCGGGGGCTTGGATCCTTCGGCCCCCCGCGACGTATGTGGTCAGGTCATAAACTTTGCCGTCGATGACACCAATTGACTGCGATTTATCGCCGAGTTTTTTGATGTAAGCCATGGTGTAACCAACATATCCCTGGAAGTAGTTTGATTTGAGCATCTTCATTTGCTCATAAAACCAGTCGGGCCGGTAGTCCCCGGTGAAGTAACGGAAGTCATGATACTGGGCATTGGTGTCCGTACTGGTGGAAGTAGTCGATCCCGAGGTGTTGGTCGACTGGTAGTTGAGGAGAACCAATTCATTGACGGAGCCGGTTTGGCCCTGGCACAAGGCTGAGACCTGGACGGGGAAAAGAGTAGTGGAATCAACCCCGGCATATTTTTTCAAGGCTGACTGCGGAACAACATCTGGGTAATGGGAGGGCATGAAATCCCCAAGATTCAGCACAACGCCGCGAATGGCAGTGTAGGAGTTGTGTCCATCTTTCCCATTGTGCGAGGACAGTTCGGCACTCGAAAACACATGCTGCGTAGGACAAATCAAGACAGGGAATCCAACCACGATGAAAACAGAAATGCCACAGCATAGCCAGATGAGCAAGTTGATGGCAAACTTTTCGCGCCAGGCAACCTGAACATCCTTCCGCTTCATTCGACCAATATAACGGATCGCAAAAGTCGGGACGTAGAATGTGAGGAGCCAAACCAGCGCCATCCAGCGCTTTCGAGAGCCGGAAACAGGTGCGTCATCAACCTCCTCCATCTTCTTTTCATTGCCCTTCTCCAGCATCTGTTGTCTTGTTTCCAGGTTTCGGAACATATCGCCCGAGTTAAATGCAGAACCGCCAGCATCAGAGCGCCCGTCGAAATCCCGGCTACCATTTGAACCCTGCTTGGCTTCATCGCCATAGATATAGGCACCAGGGGAATGCTCCGCCGGGTTGAGAAGCCGAACCTTAGAGTCCATGTATCCCGCACTCCGTGGGTGCAGCAGACCGTCACTGCCCTCGTCGTCGGCCGGGTAGGAAGGAATAACACGTTCCCCAATCTTGGCGAGGTCCGCCCAACATCTTTCGCTGAGAAAGACACCGGTACTGCCGACCCGAGCTTCGTTGCCAGGCCATCGTTTCTCGTCCAGGACGACCTCAGCCTTCTCCTTGTCGCTCCCTACCACCACGTTGCCGACCTCCGCGAGGCCGAGGAACTCCCCAAACGGGAGGAAAACGCTAAAGTCTGCGTTCCGCAGCCGCTGGCTTATTTCCGCAATACCGAAGGTCTGCACCTGGGCACGAACACACTTGCTGTCAAATTGATTCGCAATGCGTCGGTCATTGGGTTTCAGGCAGAAAACGAAGTACGGATTCAAATTGCTTGAGCTCAGACACTTGTTCAGAATATCCAGGGAGGAAAGGAACTGGCCAGCGGCGCATTGCATGCCACCCATCAGCATTCCGGTCTTCCTTCTGGCGGAGTTTTTGGCCGAGCTGCCGGCCTGACTTTCCGACTCCTCGGGATCTTCAGCCACGGCGGCGTCGAAGGTGAGTCGGGACGCCGGGCTAGTCTTGCGTCGAGCCAGACTCGGCATCCGCAGAGGCTTCGAGCTAACTTGCGCCTCCATAATAGCGGTCCGCTCCTTGGGGTGAGTCACAGTTTGCAGGGCCTCTTGGCCGAAAAGCTCTCTGACAAAGTCGCTCCGAGTCGAGTTCATGATGTTCATCAAGTCGCCCGAGATCACCTCTGCATTCTCCTCGAGCAGACCCGTCACCGAGTAGTCGACCTCTCCGGCAAAGTGCTTCACGGTGAATGACGAGCGCGCATTTTGAGACACCAGACCAGCTCCGTAGCCAGAACCCCCAGAGCCCCCACCGGTCACGATGGCGGGGTTTTTATTTTCGAACCGTCTACGCACAGATTCGAGAAATTGAGCGTCCGTTCTGCCCCGTCTAGTCTGGTCATCGAGGATGCTCAGGAATCCGTTGCCTTGCTTCAACAGCCCACGCACGGCATCCGTGTTGTCGAAGTAGCTGGTAGCAGGCACCGCGACTTCTTCACGTTCCAACATATCGGCCTTTCGATCGAAGAAAGATTGTAGACAGAAGTTGTACAAGGATTCAACGGCGGCGTTGTTCAACAGCTGATCGAGAGTCGATCCGGTCGAACAGGCCTGGGCAAACCCGGGGAAGTCAACGATTGATACCGTATTGGCTACACTATCTTCCGCGGCGCAAATCCTCTGGTTCACATTCTCGATAACGTAGGCAACCAAAAGAGAGTATAGGATCCGCGAAAGCTCATCGGCACTCTGCCTAGCACCCTGCGGGTCAAGCATCACCGTGACTCGCTCCCGGTGAATGGTCTTGGTGCGGTAGCCAAAGCTAGCTTCCAGTTCCGCGACCCCAAGACCCAAGAATGCCGCGATAATGGAGAGAACATCCTTGTTCTTCACGACCGTGACCGTTTCCCCACCCTCGTGCGAGTAGCCACCCGATTCCTCCGCGGAGGTCGTCGTCGATTGGCCACTCGCAAACTCGAGCTGGCCAATGTGGAGAATGACAGCCAAAATCTGACAGATCTCCGCAATTTCACTCCGGGGAAATTCCAGCTTTCGGAGGGCTGTCTTGAAATGCTGGAAGCCATCCGCATCGTTGATTCCTACTTTCAACTGGGTTGGGTGCCCCAGGTACCTCCATCTCTTGTGGCTGACGGACGCGGACGAAAGCTTACCAGCCGCGGTGGTGACGTGAATGGGGCTGTCCAGACCCAGATGGGTTTTCTCTGCGGCGCTTGTTCCGGCCAGGAGATAGTACAGAACATGGAAACTACGTTCACCGGTGGGCACAGAAGCGATTCGGCTCCGCTCCAGTCTGTGGTCGATGATCTTGCCACCAATCAAGGTAGGGTTAACGGAGGAGGATCCATCATACTGCAACTCCAGGAAAAGACCGGCTTTGGAAGCAGTCGGGGTGGTCAGGGACTTTGTAGTAGTGAGGGTGTCAAAGACGAAGGCGGCATAGGACAGTTTGGAGGACAATGGGGTTGAGGAGAACGAAAGGAACGAGGACAGCAAGTGTGAGCGAATGGTGGTTTTCCCCGCGCCACTCTCTCCTCTGTATATGCTGATTAGCAAGCAATTCAAAGCCGTGGTTGGTGTTGGGGGGGGGGGGGGGGGTTCCGTTACTTACAGAAAAACGACCGCTTGGTTTTCTCCACGGGCACCCAAGCGCGTAAAGGCACGTCTAGCCAGGTCCTCCGCCTCCCCCATGGCACTACCCTCCTTGGCGCCATCCGGGCCCTTGGAGGAGGAGGTGTAGCTGTTGAGGCTGATCAAGGCATGGGAAGAAAGGCGGGCCGTGGGTAGGCCGACATGAAATCTAGGAGATAGTGAGTTAGCGGGTGGGCAATACCCTGAAAGATAGAGAGAGTACGCTACCGGCTCGCTAGATGCGCTGTAAGGTGCGTATCCGATTGTAGATGGGCAGGTAACGAGGGGAGGGACGACTGGGTATGGGACGGGGTATGTCCCGCGGGCAATGGTCCAACCATGGCGGTGTGTGTTGAGAGGCCTCACGCAGAGGAATGGCGTCTTCCCAAAAGCAGAGTACTGGTGATATCACGATAAACGACAGTGGTTTTCCGTGGACTCTGGAGTTGAATTCGATGGAGAAATCAGGGTGTTGCCCACGTTGGAGCGAAGGGAGGGCTCTTTTCGGGTTCAAGAATGTTTGACCGCGTTGGATGGTGAATTCCTAACGACTAAGGCAGAGGAAGCACATTTCCTGCAACAAGAGCAAGGACGATCAAAAGGACCGCAAAAGATTGATCGCTAAAAAAAAAAAAAAAAAAAAAAAAAAAAAAAGAGGACCAGTCGTCAGAGCAAGCAAAGCGAAGTGAGTGGTTACAGTAGTCTGAAGGCAAAATAGAGAGAGAGAGAGAGAGAGAGAGAGAGAGAGAGAGGTGGGGAGGGGAGAGCAAGTCAAAACGAGAGACGATCACCAGGCGAGCAAGCAGAGAGGAGGAAGGAAGAATACAAAAATAGAAGGTTCCGCCTGGATGGAGGATGGAATAGAGGAGGATGGATGGATGATGGATGATGGTGGGCGGATCTTTGAGAAATCAGGGATTTTGGGACTGGCTGGTGATGAAGAGAAAAGAAAGGGTGTTTTTCCCCCAATATACTTAGTTACTAACTATAGTAGACTTTTAGACTGTCCAGGTACAGACGGTATGCAAATTACACATACACGGTCATTAGTTAGTTACGAGCTAGCGGCTTACACACTGACCTTGGGTTTTCTTTTTCGTCTGTTCTTTTTCTAGTCTCCGGAGTCCCCGTGGTGAGAATTAAAATAACCATCAAGATCGATCCAGTTATATACTACTACTAGTATAGTATACAAGTTAAGGTTGTTGCTGGAGATACAGAGTACCTGAGTTCTGGATGGTTTGGTAACTGCTGACTAACGGCTTTTCTAAGCATTGGTGGGAGTCCGAAACATTTCAGTCTCTATCTAATAATAGGGGCAACAAGATCCAATATATAATAAGGAAAAAAGAAAAGAAATACAAGTTTCAGTTTTACAAATGAGGCGAATCAATCAATAGCACATCAAACCATCCAACGCCACACAGATCATGAAAAGGGGCATTCCCACCCTCTCTCTGAGTCTCTACTCCGACAAGGGATTCAATAACCTATGCAGTGATTGTTATATATCAGATCCTACCTACCTAGCCATCAGGATCTGCACTTACTTTCTCCATCATCCCCTTTGAACTTCTTGAACAGAGACCAGGATTGACCGAGCAAAGTGGAACTCCTCATACATACAAGTAAATTTGATTTGAAATTTTGAAAAGTTCTTTACAGGTAATGCATGTCACCCATATGACAGCAGAAATTCCCCAAGAAAAGAAAAGAATAATGATTGGGTTAGAGTGAGACATTCGGTACCTGTGTTGTGTTGACCCGTGGGTGAGACATGGGATTATTTATAGGTAGTGGCTTTCTATGTATTTTCCGCCGCCGCATTCAAGACTGTCTGTACAGTTACAGAGATGAGGATTTAGACGACTAGTAACCTTCTTTTCCTAATAAATAACCAAAAGGAAGAAATTCGACTACTTCAGCGAAATCGTACTATAGGATCTTAGCGTCTCGATGAGGGTCCATGATTCTGAACATACCGAGGGATCTCCAATCAAGTGTACTGTGTAATACTCCAAATACACGTTATTTTCAATCTGGTATGGTCATCTCTCGTACCAAACCCCCAAAATAGTAAACACCTCTTCTCTCTCTCTCTCTCTCTCTCTCGCTCTCTCGCTCTCTTTTCCTCTTCGCTGGCCCTTCTTCTTTACATTGTCTGATCTTCATCTTCTGCTTGTCTTTTTATCTTTTAATTCGTTTTCTTTTTTCCCCGAACTCTCCTCCGTCTGTCTCTCGCTCAGTACACCTTTCCTAACCTCCATAATAATACTAATTCAGGGTTCGCGGGTTTGTTTGGTCCATCAACATTCACTTCTGATCCCCCTACCCTCACTTTCGCTTTCGCTTCAACCCCCTCCCATCAGAAAAAAAAAATTAAATATAAAAAAAAAAAATTAAAAATAAACGGCAGTCCGATTTCCACCATCCTTGCTCGCCTCAACCCAGCCGTGTGTATATCTACATCATCTTTTCTGGAGGGTCCTGCTCGTCGGAAGACCTCCCTCATGTGTTGACTAACCAGCCAATTTTTCACGCTCGCTACATTCCCAGGGAGCTTCCTGGGGATCTTCTGCTCCTAGACTCATTCCACTGGAGAAAACAAAGACACCACCATGTCGAATCGTTTCTCCGTCTATTCTACCCAGTCCGCTGGCCTTTCGGGTGGTGCCCGCCCATCTACCGCCCAAATTTCTACCACAACCTTGCTCAATGCACTGCACGCACATTACACTTCAGGACAGGCGTATCAGCTTGATGCGGGGTCCAGCCTTGTCGTCAACACTTGGCTGACTGCTACCCATGGGGGGACCATAGATCGTGAGCTGGCTGTGAGAGCGTGGGAGCATGCCAGGCGACGAGCGGAGGATGGATGTATTGTACTATGGTTCGTGTTCTGAGTTACCCTAACCCTCCCGAACTTAGTTCCGAAGCTGACCTGAATAGCTCGACTCATCAATCCACCCCCTCGCTACTCGAACCTTTTCTGACCTCCGTGCCTCTATCCACCCCCAATGTCACTTTCGCGGCGCTTTCCGCACTCAAACCATTCTGCTCTGCGGTGACATCCTTCAACCCGGCGTACTCGCTTTACTCTGCTCTCTCCGCTAGCTACACATTCACCCTGAAAGGTGACCTGGTCGCTCTCACGTTGGCCCTCTCAACGTCCGGCATCAATGTTCAGAAGGGACTGCTGGACATCCCCACAGAACCGGGGTATCGTGCCTTTGATGTATTCTATTACCTTCTCACTTCCTCGTCAACCGCAGCCGAGCGGGAGTTCTTGGCCTTGAAAGAGCCCTCTGCCTATGTCCTGCTTAACAAGTCCGGGACCTATTCTCCTCCATCCTATCTTCCCACCGCCGATGATGCTGCCGCCGCAGAAGATTTCAGGGCGGCCCTCAAGGCCATTGGGATCAAGGGAGCTGCCCAGCGTGGTATGCTGTCGGTGCTTGCAGCTCTCTTGAAACTGGGCAATGCCGCCGGATTTCTGGTCGATGAAGAAGAACTCGATGAAGTCTGCGAAGAGGTCGGAGATCTGCTAGGCGTAGACCCGGACATTCTTCTCCACAAGTGCGCCACCGATGAGCGGGAGCTCCTGATTACCGGGATTTACGAGGCATTGGTCGACTGGGTGATCACCAAAGCGAACGAAGCCATTGCCAGTGAGATCCAGGAAACCGATCTCAGTGCCAGTGGCTCCGGTCGCGGAGGTCACTTGGCGGATGACGATACCGTCAGCATTTCGGTTGTCGACATCCCCAGACCGGCCTTTGGAAAGGCTGTCGTGATGCGAAATGTGTTCGACGACACCATCGGAATCAACGCGGAGATGAAGGAAGATGGCGTTCCCGTACCACCTGTCGGGCAAGCAATTGCCAGCGAGGTTACGGCTGCCGTCGAGCAATTCGGAGCCGATCTGGGCCTCACTGCAGATCCTTCACGGGACTACGAGCTGGACAAGAGACAGGGAGTGCTCGAAAAGGTCGGAATGGACGTGGACGTGGATTCTTTCCTTCGCACAATCCTCATCCCTGTCGAAAGTGAGGGAGTATCCGTCGGCAAAAGAGGCCGCTTCGACCTTGCTACCACTCTGGGCAGCAGCAGGATCTGGCACCACATCTCCATTCACCCCAGCGATGACCTGCCAGAAGCCCTAACTGCACCCAGGCTGCCGACGGCAGCCTGGTCGGCCGGCGTGGTCTCTCGTCAAATTCGCGAATGGAGATTGGCGGAATGGGCCAATCGCCGTCTCAAGCAGTTCGACTTCACTGCCGACTTCGACGTGGATGAGTTCGTTGGCCGATACGCTCGACTGGGGTGCGCCGATGGCAGAGATGGGGTTGAAAGCTGGTTGATGGAACGCGGATGGACCAACGGTGACGCCTTTGTGGGCCACCAGCGGATCTGGATGAGGGAAACCGCCTGGTGGGAGGCTGAGACGATGATTGATCTCAAACCAGACGAGCCACCATCCGCCAGTGCTTACAACTTTGGCAATGGCCTGCTGGACCCAAGCTATGCAGGCACCCCCATGGCCGAGTCGACTAGTCTCCTAGGCAGTCGAGACAACCTCACTCAAAGACAGAGCATGTTGGCTCCTAGTATCCAGGGCGCTGCCAAGTCAATCGCGCCCAGCGTTCCACATACCATGAATATGATCGGCGACTATGGTTTAGGTACCAAGGGAGACGATAAGAAATGGGACAACATATACTATGATGGCTTGTTGGATCCCGAAACTGGTGATCCCAAACACATCGAGAAGAGTGAGATCACATTCGGTCGCCGCGCCTGGACTTGGTTTGTCTGGGCCCTGACTTTCTGGATTCCGTCCTTCCTTCTTCGCTACGTCGGGCGGATGAAGCGCCCCGACGTCCGGATGGCCTGGAGAGAAAAGTTGGTTCTAGTGTTCTTGATCCTGTTCTTTAATGGGGTTGTCTGCTTCTACATCATTGCCTTTGGTGACCTTCTCTGCCCCAACAAGGACAAGGTCTGGAATCAAAAGGAAGTCGGCTGGCATACCACCGACAACAACTTCTTCGTGAGCATCCACGGGCATGTTTATGATATTAGTAAATTCTGGCGATTGCAACACAGCGATACCTCAATTGAAACTACCTCGTCGCTTATGGAGCCATTGGCGGGCCAAATCCTGGACGCCTACTTTCCACCTCCCCTGACCCGGTTCTGCGCGCCCTTTGTGACCGATGATAGCATCGCTTTACAAAATAATGACACCTCTGCCACGGAACTCCAGCCCCTGGCCGTCCACAAGACCGGCCCCATCCAACAAGCAGACACCACCACCGCCCTGCACAACATCACCTGGTATGAGAAGATCTTCCTGCCAAAGATCAAAGAGTACTACAAGGGAGAGTTGGTTTGGACTCGGTCTACCGTCGCGTCGCAAGCGGAGAACAGCGATCGCAAATGGGTGATCGTGAACGAGAAAATCTACGACTTGACGGACTATTTCTACACGCTGGATGAAATGAACAAGCTGGATACATACAAGTTCCTTCCGACTAGTTTGACGGACCTCTTTACAAACTATCCTGGTACTGATGTCACCGATAAATGGCAGACTACACCATCCTTCCAGAACGCCCATAACTGCTTGGAGTACGTGTTCTACAAGGGCAAGGTGGATTTCCGTGATAGCCCAAGGTGCACAGTGAACAATTGGATTTTGCTTTCATTTTCCATTTTGATTTGTACTGTCGTCATCGTGAAGTTCCTTGCCGCGCTTCAGCTCGGAACCAAGCGTCGTCCCGCGCCGCAAGATAAATTCGTCATTTGCATGGTGCCGGCATATACTGAAGGCGAAGATGCCCTGCGCAAAGGTCTCGACTCGCTCACAGCGCTCCAGTATGACAACAAGAGGAAGCTCATCTTTGTCATCTGTGATGGTATGATTGTCGGTGGTGGTAATGACCGACCAACACCTAAGATTGTGCTTGACATTCTCGGAGTCGACCCGAAAATGGATCCCCCAGCGCTTCCCGTCAAATCCGTCGGCCAGGGGAGTGACCTGCTGAACTACGGCAAGGTCTATTCCGGTCTGTACGAGTATGAGGGCAATGTGGTCCCCTACGTGGTCGTCGTGAAAGTTGGCAAAGAGTCTGAGCAAAGCAAATCTAAGCCCGGTAACCGGGGTAAACGTGACTCGCAAGTTCTTCTTCTCAGTTTCCTTAACCGGGTTCACCACCGTGCGCCGATGTCTCCTCTTGAACTCGAAATCTTCCATCAAATCAACAACATCATCGGTGTGGACCCAGAGCTCTATGAATACTGTCTGATGGTGGACGCCGATACCAGTGTCCGGGAGGATTCACTCAATCGTCTAGTCGCTGCATGCGCAAATGACGCTAAGATTGCCGGTATTTGCGGTGAAACCAGTCTTCAAAACGAGGAACGCAGTTGGTGGACGATGATTCAAGTTTATGAATATTACATTTCCCACCATCTCGCTAAGGCTTTTGAGTCTTTGTTCGGGAGTGTTACTTGTCTTCCTGGATGGTAATAACCCCCCCCCCCTTTTTTTTTTTTTTTTTTTTTTCCTCTTTGAACTTTTGCTGATTGTTCCAGTTTCTGTATGTATCGCCTGCGCACCGCCGACCGCGGCCGCCCTTTGATCATCTCGGACAAGCTTCTTGAGGAATACTCCGATGGCAATGTAGACACTCTTCACAAGAAGAATTTGCTTTCCCTCGGTGAAGATCGTTATCTGACCACTCTGATGACCAAACACTTCCCGACCATGTCTTATAAATTCATTCCCGATGCCTACGCAAGTACCGCAGCGCCCGAAACATGGTCCGTTCTTCTCTCTCAGCGACGTCGGTGGATCAACTCGACCATCCACAACCTGGTGGAACTGGCCGCGCTGAAAGATCTATGTGGATTTTGCTGTTTCAGTATGCGATTCGTCGTGTTGGTGGATCTCCTTGGTACCATCATCCTCCCCGCCACCTGTGTCTATCTCGGATACCTTATCTACCGCGTGGCTAGCCATACTGGACCGTTCCCCTTGATTTCGATTATCATTTTGGCTGGTGTGTACGGTCTCCAGGTCATCATCTTTATTCTTAAGCGCCAGTGGCAGCACGTCGGATGGATGATCATCTATATCTGCGCCTACCCGATCTACAGTTTTGTCCTGCCGATGTATTCCTTCTGGAAGCAGGACGACTTCAGTTGGGGTAACACCCGTGTCGTTCTCGGAGAGAAGGGATCGAAGCGTGTCGTCGCCGTGGAAGACGAGCCTTTTGACCCACGCAGCATCCCACTCCAACGTTGGGACGACTATGCCCTTGCCAACAACCTGCCCGGCCGACGCGGCGACTATGGTGCTGGCCAAGAGAAGTACGGCAGCCGCTATATGGACGACATGGCGATGGAGATGGACGACATGCACTCCAACTACTCTTCTGTGAAGCCCGCCTCCACCATCTTGACTGGATTCCCCAATCAAGCGCGCCACTCCAGCGCCTACCTTCCACCCCAGTCCCCCGCGCCCTTTGGCGGAAATGTCCCTGGCAACCGAAACTCGCATCTTTCCAGCTTCACGAGGTACACTGACCACCCTCTCCAGGGCAGTGCGCAGTCACGGCACATGTCGATGGGCAACCTCAGCCAGTTCCAGGAGAGTGGGGGGAGCACCAACCGCCACAGTGTGGGCCTGATGCAGAGCACCGACAACCTCCTTGGAGTGCCACGTCGTAGCTCGCGCAGTCCCGTTGGGGGAGGACTCCAATCGCGACCCACGAGCGCGTTTGACTTTCGTGGGACCGGAATGAACGGGCCAGATGAGGCTTCTATCACCGAAGCGATCCGCAGCTGTCTGGCGGAGGTGGATCTTGACACCGTAACCAAGAAGCAGGGTACGTTCCTTTCCTTATCAATTGACGAGACACACCTACTAACTCGGTACACAGTTCGCGCTCTGGTTGAGCAACGACTGCAGACAACACTGGTCGGGGACAAGCGAGCGTTCCTGGACCGACAGATTGACAACGAACTGGCGAATATGTGAAATATAGTCAACTTCCCTTGGGGGGGGGGGGAAGGAAAAGAGAGAAATAATGTAGTGCATCCATAATCAGGGCCGAATTTCGGAGGCATGCATGGCGTTGTTTGGTTAAATTGTTTCTATATTTCTTATTTCTTCTGAGCGATAGCGGATTATGTGGGTGATGTTAATAATACGACTACATATATTTAGTTAGTAGTACAATATACTCCGTACTACTCCATACCTTAAAAGAGTAGAACTAGTATGTATCAGCTAGCGCGTCATGTGCCTTCCCCTCACTCATCTCACTATCTATATCTACACCCAGGGTAAACCTCACCTCACCTCACGCCCACACAACTAAAATCCATACATACATACACACAGCATACAGAGAGCCAAAGCAACCACCGAACAATGAACTCATCAAGCCCACCCCCACCCCCACCCCCACCCCAACCCCAATCTCCATCTCCATCTCCATCTCAATCTCAATCTCAATCTCCAACCCAAACAGCCACCAAAGAAGCCACCAAAGAAGCCACCACAGCATTCACAGCCTCCCTCCGCTCGATAGCCCAAACCCACAGCGTCGCGCTCCGAGACCGCGCGCGCACACTGCACGACAACGAACCCGCGCTGGCGCGCCAGGAAGCCGAGCTGGCGCGCTCGACGGCGGCGCTCGCGGCGCAGAATGCGCAGTGGGGCCGCGTCGCGGATCTGGCGCGCTCGGGCTTGAAGGAGATCGGGGACGTGCAGAACTGGGCGGAGCTGATTGAGAGGGATCTGGCGCTTGTTGAGGAGACGGTCAGGATGGGGGAGGGTGAGGATTCGCGATCTCAGGATCGGTCTTGTTCTCGTTCTTGTTCTCGGGATCGATATCGATATCGATATCGGGAGAGTGGTGAGGAGGAGGAAGAAGGGGAAGAAGAAGGGGAAGAAGAAGGGGAAGAAGAAGGGGGTGGGAGGGATTCTGGTTCCAGTGAGGTTAATGCGGAGGAGGATGGCAATGGCAATGGCAAGGAGAATAATACCAAAGGCTGGTTTTCATGGTGGTAGTAGGTAGTAGTTAGTACTCCGTAGATGAATGAGTTATCCAATTGTTATACAACTGTCAGTTTAGGTATGTTTTACTCTGCCATCGTATACTCCTACTCCCTCCAAATATCCGTCTCGTCTAATGCAGGGCCGTCTGGCTGGCCCTGCGCATACCCATACTCATCCCATTCATCCCACTGTGCTAAACTGAACAGGTGGCGCATCGTCGGCCGGCCATGAGGGCAGTTCCACGGCTTGTCGATCGTCCCCATGTTCCGCACCACCCGCTCCATTTGCTTCTGCGTCAGGTTCTTCCCTATCATGATGCTGGATCGGCAGGCGCGCATGGCGAACATCTTCCGCACTTTGCTAGGGCGGGGAATGTCGGCGTCCTCTTTCGTTGAGGCTGTCTCCGACAGGAGAACGATCAGTTCTTCCAGATCGCGAACGTCAAAGACAACTTCCTTGCTGAGAGGCAGCGACACAAGCCGGCATCGGCGTCCGATCGGCTCGTCCCCGCTGTCGTCCACCTCAACCACGAACCCGTTCTTTTCGAGCGCGCTTCGGTTCTCGATCACGATCTCTTCCTCGACCGCTGTGAGGTCGAGGCGCTTGGGATGCACCAGCCGCTGGTTCTGCACGACCGTCTCTGCTTGCAGGCGCTCAAAGTTGAACTTTTCATCCGACGCATGCTGGTCGATGATAAAAAGCTCATCGTCTCTGGCTTTCTGCTCTGTCTCGCCTTGCGAAGATCGCGTCGCGAGGATGAACCCGAGATTGAACTGGCCCAGGATCCGCATCCGAGCAAAATCATCCTTGGTGACGGTCAGAGACAGTCGCTCTTCGGCGGCGACCTGAGACAAGCGAGCCTCTGTCTCGTCCGCTGAGAGTGAGGCATCCTCCACATGTTGACCGAGACTGTCCTGGAGTCTCTTCGCCTGGGCTTGGATCCGAGAAAGAGAGCCGTCTATAGTCGCCGTAAGTTGGGCCGTAGAGTCACGGTGGCCGGCTCCCTTATTGAATTTGTTCGCACGGCTGAGAGTGTTGGCCTGTGGGAGAGCAGCCTTCTCCTCTGCCTCGCGAATAAGCCTTTCGACTTGGGCTTCTTCGTGCCGTTTCTTCTCTTCATCATTCATGTTCGCATCCGGCGCAGCCTGCGTGGCTTCACTTTCTTCACTTTCTTCACTTTCTTCACTTTCTTCAACTGAACCTTGGCTTGCACTGTCATGGTGGTGTGATGGTGCATACGTTGCAGAGTCGTCTTCTACTTCTTCCCCAAGTTCCTCTTCGTTTTCCTCTTCGTCTCCTTCTTGCTCGTCGTCCTCCTGTGGCTCCTCATCTTCACCTTCGCTGCTTTCTGTCGGCTCCAGTTGCGACCCTGGGGCCGCAAAGTCCCTCATATGCCGACCAAATATGCGAGGACGAGAAGGCGTATGGATTCGCCTTTTCCGAGTGGCAGCACTAGTGCTTGAATCGGCTGTCCCGAGCGTCCTCTTCCTAGGCACACCACTACCTACCATGGACGTAACCGTCCGATCCCCAATAGTGATGGTGGCAATCTCGGCTGGCACTCGTCTAGGCCGCATCCTGTCAAATGCGGTCTGTATCGCATTTGGGGTTTCCAAGAAGTCTTCGTGTGTTGCAGCCTGTTGCTCTTGTGGAGCGCTGCTTTGGGGTTCATTATCGTGATCCTCTCCATCGGAGATATCCTCACTAATCGACCGCTCTTCGTCAGAGGCATTGCCTTCGGTGGCAGAGACTTGGGTCCTCTTGGGTGACTTATTTATCTGCGTTATAGGACGGGCAGGTGTAGGAGATTGTTTTTGTAGACCGGTTCCTGCTCTGACAGAAGAAGCAGTCTCTGCTCGACTACCACGAGCGCCAAGGTCAGTCAGAAGCGTCTTCATCCTGTCTTGGGATCTAAGTTGACTCTCTTCAGCTACATCATCGCCATCAGCTGATTCTCCTTCTTCTTCTTCTTCTTCTTCTTCTTCTTCTTCTTCTTCTTCTTCTTCTTCTTCTTCTTCTTCTTCTTCTTCTTCTCCTTCTCCTTCTCCCGCACCGGTATCTAAGGCTGCAGATCTAGCAGGAACCTCGATCTGGCTCCCCCCCAAACGTGATTTAACGTACTGCGGCTTCGAACCCACAACCTGCGCCTGGGGCACCGTCTGATCCGCAGATTCAAACAATCGATTAAGAGCCTCCTTGAGCGACTCGATGAGCGCCCCAGCGTCATGCAATAGAATTGTCCGCTTATCCGGCGAGACATTCACGTCGTAGGCATTGGTATCCATGTGAAAGTCTGCAAAAACAAACGGCGACTGCGCAACGTTAAAAGACTTGTAGACTTCATTGAACGCTTTCGCAATCTGCGGCAACCCACAGGGACGCGAATTGACGAAGAACATCTGGCGATCAGGCGTCTGTCGCCCCTCTCCAAAGACCGGTCGCGAGACATGGCCTCGAACCTGGATCCTATTCACCTGTGTACCCCCCACCGTCCGCCTACCAGCAGCAGATGGCTCGAATTCCAACTCCAACTCCAACGGGATCAGCGCCAGAAGGGTCTTTGCGCCGTAGACATTGGCGATATTCTCCCTGGTCGTTGGATTACCGTTTGTCGTGAACACGACCACGTTCCGCGTCTTCCCCACGGTATTCTTGACACTGAAGCGTACCCCCGCACTCACGCAGGCGTACGCATGCAGGAGATTCAACACCTTCCCGTATTCCCGCTTGATGTTCTTTTCCAGCTCCCGGCGTCGCACGGGGAGTTTCTTAAACAGTCCCTCCACGGACGCAGTCGTGCCCTTCTGTCCTGCAATCATCTGGGTTTTCTTGAGCTTGCCCGATGGTTCGAACTCGAGCCGTGTGGCGCGGGGAGCTTGGTTTGCCTGGGCGGTGGTGATGTGGAAATCCGAGAGGGCGCATAACGACGACAGAGCTTCGCCGCGGAAACCAAAGGTCTGGAGACGGGAGAGGTCATCGAAGGAGGAGAGTTTGGAGGTGTAGTGCTTGAGTGCTATTTATTTCCTCGCCTCATTAATTCTATGAATCGTAGCGAAGAGACTGGCTGGCTGGCTACTTACCGACATTCTCGTAGTTATCGGGAGAGATCCCACTCCCATTGTCTTGGACCTCGATCAAGTCCAGACCATTATTTCGAAATCGAACCTCTAATCAGAACCCAGATTCATTAGTTCGTTCTAAGTGATATATATATTGAGAAATCCCACCGATCGAAGAAGCCCCCGCATCAAGACTGTTCTCAACGAGCTCTTTGGCCACAGAGCAAAGGTCAATAATGACCTGGCCGGACTGGATTTGGTGAACCTAAAACAAGACAATCAGAACGAAAAAAAGAAAAGAAAATCAAAATCAAAAGACGGATAGAAGTAAATTCGTACCGAGCGGGCCTCGATGGCCTTGATGGTTGCCATGTTCATCCCATCGTGGGGATTTTCAGAGTTGAAACGACGCGACCCTCGCGGGTGTTCGCGATGCAGCGATACATACCGTGATCAAGGCTGGCCTGTCCTGCTACAAGTTCACAACTGAACAGCTGCATGCATTCATTTTCTGCCGTTTATTCTTATTGATTGGTTTGTGCTATTCTGGAAATGGAATTATGTAGAATTATCTATTCATGATTTATCTCTCAATTAGACAGACGTACGGCCTTGATTTCATAACACCACCAAAAAAAAAAAAAAAGCCTCAAAACTCCGATAGATGCAAGCATTAAAAAAAAAAGGAAAGAAAGAATCATATCCTCTCTCGGATTCCTACCTTTTCAAGCTCTACAGTCAGCCAGTCCAGATGCTTATCACCACTGAGAAGCTCCGCCATCGCCACGGCCTGTTGGATCCCCAGACTACGGCCGATCTTCATCAAACACTGCGAGATCCATACCATCATGCTCGGGGTCGTCCCGATACAATCAGCGGCGATGAACAGAGGCCATATAGTACGAATCACTCCCACTGTACGGCCCCCCCCGAGCCCCTTGCCCGGGAATGTCTCCGTAGCCCCAAAAAAGTACGGCACGCTGGCACAGATATCCTCTGCCAACTGCCGGGAGAGAGTAACGCTCTGGGCGAGGCTCTGTCGGTACTCGCGGCTAGTGGCTGCGTGCCGGCGTCCAAGAAGGTCGGAGAATGATGCGACCAGTTGGTGGAGAATCAGACGCGCCACGCGGTAGTAGTTCCACCACGAAATCACATCAATATTGGGGTAGAGGTGGTATTGGTCTCCGTAGATGTGCGCGGGTTGGGGAGTAGCAGTCGGAGGCATCTCGATCACGGTATAGTGCCAGGTAGAATCAACCGACATTGCACGAGAGACTAGTTCCGCGTCTAGCTGGAGGGCAGTTCTGATCACCGTGACTGGTTCTTGGAGCAGACCGTCTCGCATTGTGGCGCATAAATCGCAGACTTGCGCGAGAAGGAAGAAGAGCTCATCACTAGGCCTTTCTTTTGGATCGCGACGGGCAAAAGCGTCATTGGAATAGGTAATCAACCAAGCGGGGGTAGGCGCTTTCAGCCAGATGTTACCCAGAACCTGTTCCAAGAGGGGTTTAGCAAGGGGAGAAAAAAAAGAAAGAAAGAAAGAAAGAAAGAAAGAAAGAGATCAGCAATGAAAGGTATGGGGAGGGGTTACAATGTTCATTCGAAATTGACTGAACAACTCCATTCCAACGGCGTCTTCGAGCTGCTCGAGCCCACGCAGCTCGACGAGTCTCGCAAACCCTTCAACATGATCCAACCATCGGTCTATCAGGGGAGGACCTTGACAGGTCATGACCTGTTCGTCAGGGAGGTTAGAAGCGGCCACCGGAAAGCCCCCCCCCCCCCCCCCCTCTGGAGCGAATCAGAACCGAGAACACACTCACTTCATACATGCTCAGGAGCATGACGGCGGTTAGGGTGGCATTTGACCTGGACAAGACTTGGTCGCTGAGCACGATATTGGTCTCGGCCAGGGCCTTGACATACTCCTGTCGTGCAGTGAGCATAAGCTGCGGGGACATATGAATATTCGACAAGGCTGCCAACCCCACGGCATTGATCGACGTAGTGATGGCAAGCCCTGACTGAGACGACATTATCTTGGGCAGGAAGCCCAGATGCCCTCGGGCCTGATTGAGGCCACTACCGCCCACATAATGAGCTAGGATGAAGGCTGTGCCCTGGTCGTTGAGCGGGATGGATATCTGTTGCAGCATGGCGAACTCTGATTGACCACCCAGTCTCCGCCGCTTAACTGGTGACGCAGTGGGGAAAGGGACAGCAGAGAACACCTGGATTGAGGTTTCTTCATCCTCAGAATGCTTGCCTCTCACCTCGGCGCTCTGGTCGCAGAATCTACCCGCTGAGACATCGCGATACCCATAGCACAGGCGATTGCCACGGATGCACTGCGAGCAAGAGGGGCGCTGCTGGTCACACTAGAACTATAGGGTTAACTATCTGCTGAGCCATGTTTGTGAGGTAAAAACATTCCAGCTCCCAAGGCAACACGAGCGGTGGATATCGAACATACTTTCAGACGGCGGATGCGACACCATCCACAGGCGGGACTCAATTTCCCTCGATATACCATGGAAAGGGCTGGACAACGAGGAGAATACCAGAAGCAGCTAGGAAATTAAGATGATCGTTAGACTAACGGCTGAAGAGCGCGGGCGGCGTTCATAAAATACTCTGGCCTAAAGTGGAGGAACGAGGCTGTGAGATTTTTAGCTTAGCGAATCACCATCACTCCTAGATGTCGGCTCGCCAATGAAATAAGCTGCTCAGTCGCAACTAAGGTCAGAAGCTTGTTCTTATTCCTTGCTTGGTCCGCAGGTAGTGGAAGTCTTGGTGGGTTTCGTGCCCTACGTATATAGGGGACGTAGAATTATATGAAGATTTAGGTCTAAAGTGACTGCGTAGCCCTCAAACACCCCTACATATCCCTCCATAGATAACGTACTTTTAATCTTTCCGAGAATGAACTAATATCCAAGTCGACTATCAATTCCCCACGCTCGAATGCGCCCTCCTTCAGCCACGGTTCTCGTGGGGTTTCACGTCATCCGAAATGCATTCCTAACTGGGGGGGCCAGAGGGCATAAGTCAGTCCTCCACCACAGATATAACTAGAAACGCTCTCCTCTAAGAGATTGTATTATTCTCTGGTCCAAATTCTGAGCTACTTACTTCCGTGTCGAAAAAAAAGATCCCAAGTCTACCTAGCCACAATGAACTGGCTCTTCGTGGCAGATCTTGTGCTTTATATCATCCTCCTCCCCCTCACCGTCTATAACCTCTGGACCCATCTATGGGCCGGGTTCTTAGCATGGTACTATCTGGGGGTGTTCTGTGCCGTTCGGGTTATTGCCGGAGGTCTAGGAGCGGGTAACAGCGACACCATGGTCGCCAGCATCCTCATTGGCGTTGGCACATCCCCATTGATCCTAACCGTTGACGGACTCGTTCACGAAGCGTATGTCCTCCCTAGTCGAACAACCCCCAACTCCCAATGGACAAGCAAAAGGCTAACCATCGCCTCTGATAGTCGCGTGCTCCGCAACCCCACCGCTAATCCGTGGATTGGCTGGGGCTTTGTCGCACTCGTAACGGGGGTGTCAGGCGCTGGCGTTGGTCTCTCTGTTTCCGGCGCGCTGGATATCTACAACGGCCATCCTAAACCGAATAGTCTCGGTCACTGGCAGGCCGGAGCGGCATTGTTCGTGGCAGCCTGGGCATTGGAAGTGATCTGGGCTCTGCTTTCTCTGCTTCCTTTCAATCGTGCGAGAGACGCTCCACGGGGTCGGGACGGAACTCTGGTATGTTTCTTTTTCCTTTTCTAATAACAGCCCCTGCCTTGGATATACAGGGTGCTATTGGACTCAGCTAAAGCTCTGGAATCCAGCTTCTGCACGCCTCCTTCGTGGCCCTTGTTTTTATCGGAATCCGCGTGATCTATACTCTCATCTTCGTCTGCACACAACGAATGGACCTCAGTCCCATCACTGGGACGACAGCGGTGCGAGCCGTGCTTATATTCCTTCCGGAGGCATTGGCGGCTCTGATGATTACGATTGCCGGGCTGAAATCGCGGAACCGACTGCTCAAGGTATCGAACTCGTTTGAACCTTGAATTATGATTTTATTATTATTATTATTATTATTTGTTTTTGCGGTGGCATGCCTGAGTGATGGTGATCGTGATAGTGATACCTGGTAATTAATTGTACATGAATTTGATATACATATAGATACAGAGTAGATACTAGATATCTAGTAATAAGATTGATAAAATAGATGGATATATACATACATACAACATGAGGAAACAAATCCTCCAGGGAACTAAATTAAAATCTACAGGCCGAAGTACAATTAAAGAAGTACATACTACCGGAGTAGACTCAGCCCCAGCCTCAGTCCACCTCCCCGAGCAGCTTTCCCAATCCGGTAACCTAGAAGCGCAGCTGAAACCCCCATCCAACTATCGAGTCTACGCCGTACTGCCAGACTATAACAGTATAACTAGGTATGGATGCATATAAAATCCCTTTCTCCTTTTCTCCTTACATCAAGATACCATCTACTTCTACTTCTGATCCTACCTCCGCGCTTCACCTACATATATATATCTATATATATATATATACAACAACCCCACCATCCAGCCACAAAACAACCCAAAATGTGTCTCCTCCTCCCTTTCCTCATCAAAAAATCCGCCTCCAAGAAAGCCGCCAATAAGCAGGAAGAGCAACAGGCTCCCAGACCTGTCCCGGGGGGGGATCTGCACAACCCAGTTGGTCGCCTCGTCCTCGTGGGCAGGAGACGAATTGAGATGAGATGATTTACGTCTCATCCTCTTCTTCTGTTTTGGATGGTGTTAGTACAGTGTTCGTTGATGTTCTGCTTCTGCTTGTGCTTCTGGTGAAAGTGAAGGTTGTGGATGCTGACAGAGAGTATGGTAGGTTAGTTACCTAGTAGTTCGGTACTAGTTGGTTTGCCGAGTTAGGAATACCCCGGATTTTGCAAGACATACGGGTGGCGTGCATTGAATGGGTAATATTCTTGTTCATTATTCATAGGGCTTTATCAATATTCAGCTTATAAGTGCATATTTCAAGTCAGCATGGTTCGGAATGATAAATGATACAAATAACAAGAAGCCACAAAGCAGAGGTGAACGCCAGCTAAGCCCAAGTAGAACAGGTAAATCTCGTCCGTCTCCCACCTAGTACGCATCAAACCGATCCGGGAGGAGAATGGGCGCAATCAAAGTCCACAAGTAAATCGCGTAGCAGACCCAGGCACTAATGATCTTCACCCAGCTGGCCCAGTAGGTTCGTCCAACAGGGGCAAAATCATCGACAGCTTCGGGGTCCAGGTTCTGGGTCAACAGAGTGGCGACCCAAGTTGTAGCCAGGAAAAAGATAATGTGGAACAGAGAGTAGTTGTACTGGGTTGAGCCCCTTTCATCATCATTCGTGTCATCGTCGTCGAACTCGTCGTCGCTATCGTCTAAGGCGCTGGCGGGGAGACTGCCGCTAGCAACTGCGGCACGGAGAGCCTCCGCGCGCATTTCCCGGCGGGTCGACGGCTGTTGGGTAACGAGGCTGTGTTCGTTGTAGTCCGACTCAAGCTGCGAGTAGTTATGGCCGCCCTTGGAGCCGAGAGCAAATCCCTGGGTAGCGGCGCGCGTGGTGGTATAAGCAATGGTAGCCATGGTAACAATGGCGCCGAGGACGATGGTGGCCGTCCTGGTACCGCGAGCACGAATCAATGGGTTGCACTGGTTATCGTCGGGTTCCATCGAAACAGCGGACAAGGTCAAGTATGTGCAATAAGCAGCCACCATCGCAGCCTGTGCCAATCCTGCCCGGGGATTGTGTTCCTGTACTGCAGGCTGCACAGACACGACCGAGATTATGAGGAAAACGACAAGATTGATCTATCTTTGTTAGCGAACGACCCTCAATAAAATGAGGAGAGAAAAAAAAAAAAACATACCGTGATCGCTGCCTGGTTCATAGAACAGCCTCCTCTGGCGAAGAAGACATACATCAGAACAGTCATCGCAATAGACGAAAGATACATGCTCAGGGTAGAACCAATAAGCAATCCGCGCCACAGGCGCGAGTCATTATCTTCAATCTTCCGTAGACACAGTTCGGCCCAGGAGTGCGCTAAATCCACAAGAAGAATCAACCCGAGGAGGAGGAAAAGCATAGCGCAGATGAACGCGATGTAGTGGCCGTATACGAAGAAGAACGACTCTGGGATGAAAAAGGACATCACAACAAACAGCAGCCATAAGATAACCTTCGGGCCCCAGAATCCATTCTGCAGCACTGCGCGGCTATCCTTAGACGACCGAACACCAAGCAAGAGCACGGCAAGAACCAGATGGAAAAGCCCAAGACCGAAGTTGATCCGGTGAACTGCCACCCAACCGTAGCACTCTTTGCCATCGCATTTGATTTCCATATAGTCCAGGGTGAGGTGTTGCAGTTTCTTGAGCGCCCATGGCGTGAGCATAATCCACGACACAATTGAATTAATTAAAAGGATGAAGGCGTATGCGATTCTCGTAGCCATACTAGATCATTCAAGCCCAGTCAGTAACCCCCGCAGCACGCCTAAAGCACACCGAATGGCAGTGCTCACCTATTATTAAACTTTCCACATGCACTACACACAGCAGAACATGTTGCAGCTCCGCAACAAGAGCCGACGGTGGTGATAAGCTATTAAACATGGGTCAGCTTTGTGGTTTAGGCGGCAGGAAGGCATCTCGGTCAACACACCGTAGCGGCGCTGGGAAGCGCCATAAGCGGCAAAGACAGAAGCCCTCCCATACTGGCAGCCAAGTCCTTTGCAAAGAAAGGGTGCTAAACAGGGGATGAGAAGTGTAGATGGAGAGGATTGTGGCGTGAGGAGAAGTGATGCAACTGACTGACGACCGGCTAACCATGTCGCTGCCTTCGTCATGTGCCGTTAATTACCTAAGTCGATTTTCATCACGTGAAGATAACAGCAGCAAAAAAATGTTTTAGCTTTGGTCCATATTGCAAATTTTTGAACAAAGCTTCAACAACATCCGATATGGTGTAGTGGCTAACATCGCCGTCTCTCACACGGCAGCCGGGGGTTCGATTCCCCCTATCGGAGTTTCTTTTTTCTTTTTCTTTTTGGTATCCTGTAACTTATTCGCTGGTGGAACGCTATGGGTTGCAAGGTTAAGTTGTTACTCAAATCATTGTATTCTAAACAGCGCATGCAACAATCGCAAAGTGAAGTATATACAGTGTAAACAAGATCCGAGGTATGAAGACGAGAAGAAAGGATGAAATGAAAGGAAAGAGTATATCCAACCCTCTAGTGATATACCAGATCATATGACCGCAATGCCTAATGAACCCCAGGTATTTTTAAGTAAAAAACAACACAAAAGGAAAGCCGAATATATCATGCAAATTTTCCGGGGGAGATTCCATTATCCAGAATGTGTATACTGATGATTCCATTTCCCCACAGCGGAACCATCGGACGACCGAATAGCTTAAGCGAGTCTATCATGTTCAAACTTCGCGTGGGCAGGCCCGTGCAACCGTTTCTCACGCCAGATAGTCCATAGGCAAACGAGGATTCCTCCAACACCGGAGAAAAAGGTCATATAATATGCCGACTGATAGCAGGCAAGCCCGTCGGTGCAATCCCGCTCTCCATCTGGACGGACGATAGAGTGATGGTCGTAAATACTTCCGTAGAGTAAGTTGAAAATGTTACCGCTGAAGACAGGTGCAAGAGTCATCACACCGAAGTTTTGCGAGAGACCGGCGATACCGAAGGTGTGGGCCGTGAGCGATGGGAAAACACCGAAGAGAAAGCCGTACGCAACTCCTGTGAATCCCGAAACAAGAACCAGGTGATTCGGATTTGATATCGATGCACCAGCAAGCTGGGTAAGTGTGAACACGGACGCGGATATGAACAAGCACCAAAATCGCGACAAGCCGAATTTGTGCAGAATATCGGATCCAATACCTAAAAGCAACAGGTTGGCCAAGTTCCGGAAGCAAATCATGGAAAATACTAACCGCTGGAGAGACGGCCAATAAAGTTGCCGAATGACAAAACCGAAACATTCATAACCTGTCGCTGCTGTATAAATTTCGAGGTTGCACTATTATCATAATATTCCCAGAGGGCCTTGGCCTACGAAAGAGTCAATATACGTCATGTAAGTTTCAGAAGAGAGCTTACGCCATTCCCAATATTACTAGAGAAAGGGTTAGTACGGCAACAAGAGAAGATAGAACGGGCAGGGAACATACTTGATCGTCATCAAACCAATTCCAGAAAGAAGCGCCATGGTCATGAAAAGCTGCCAGAATTCAATCTTACGCAGTATCGCCAAACCTCTAATGTCTGGATGATGTGAGTCGAGAGGAATATCAGGCAAATGATCATCATCTTCTTCGTCAAACTCATTCAAGATCTCCTGGGAGGTTCGTGGGGTTGTTTTGGAAACCAGAGATGACAGCTCATCTTGATCGGTGACTTGGCCAAAGGAATGGGAGTGTGAAGCGGCGGGGTGCGATCTATCCCGAGCTGCCGGGTACGATTCAAAGATCGTGGAATGCTGCGTACCTGCTTCATCAGTCGGTTCCAGATCAGACCGAAAGTCGGTAGGGTTGACACTGTGGAAAGGCCTGGATTCTACCGAACGGGGCCGTGATACAGGCTGATATGGTTTAGAGGGAGGAAGAAGACGCATGAAGGGTAAGCAGGCGAAAGTGAGTAGTGAGGTTCCTAGTGCTAGCAGGAGAAGAAATTTGCCAGTGTTGTCGTTAAACAGGATAGCTGACAGAGTCGACCAAAAGAAAGCGCTTAGGCCAAAGGCAGCAAGGGGGAAGGCTGTCGCTGTTCCACGGTGTTCGGGAAAGTTCGTGGCAGCTAGAATTCAAATCTATTAGCTTATCGAAAAACCATTTAAACCATGTCAAGTAACCTACCGGTCTTGATAGCCGCCGAAAAGCCAGAACAACCTCCAAACCCAGTCAGGAAACAGAAAAAGGCAAGGAGGAACACCGCCATTGATCCCTCTCCACCCACATAAGCTGCCCCCCCCCCAACACAAGCACGGGTCAGTGTACAATCCTTTATTACTTCTCGGGGCCCTTCAGCCTACTCACCCAGGTGAAGCGGGAAGTACCCCAGACCGAGGCAAATGACCGCAATGAACGTTGTGAGTCGTGGGCCCCGATTATCGGTCAAAACCCCTAACGGAATACCGCATGCGTACATACCCAGGTTTCCTCCAGCACCCTAGAGGCTATAAGTACTATAGACACTTTCCCGATGAGCGTGGGGGTGGACCACTTACTATGAAGTTGATCGTGGTAGACGACAGCTTCATCTGGTGGGCGAACTGGGGCGCCCATGCGGAGTACGCATACTATAGACGATTCAGTATTTCCACTCCGAGGACTTTCCAAACAAATTGGATCGAAGGTAGCGAGGGAAAGTCGTACATTGGTACCGCACGCGAGAGCCACGAGTGTCGCCGCTACAACGGTGACGATCCGCTTGGCTTTTTGAGTTGAATCTGCCATGGTGATCGATTGAGGTGCCATGCACCAACTCTTATCTGTGTTCTAGTATGGCATATGGCGGGGGGAGGAGGGGTAATCGCAAGGACGAAAGCCGTCAGAGAAGTAAATGACAGCTGTGGTCCGCTATCGGGGACAGAAATCCAGGAGAGGTACCAATCGGGAAGGGTCGACTGTAGATGGGAATACGATAAACGAGATGATGAAAAGAGTGTAAGTATCAAAAAATGAAGGAGCGAGAGAAAGAAAAGAAAAGAAAAGAAAAGATCAAGAGTAGACAGAGAGAAGGAGTGAACAGGGGTCAACCGAGGAATAAATGAGTGACGATAAGGCAAAGTGGCGTTGGAATTGATAGGAAGTTGGGAACAGTACCAGGTACCTACCCAGACCGCATGAATCAGATTTCGTGATTCGACTGTATACGTAAACCTGGGGGTGCTTGTGTGAACCCTGTTGTTATTAACTAATGGTAGTATTAAATTAGTTAGTTAGCATTCCTCTACAGAATTATTAACTGTTTCTTGCATAGCTTGCGAAATTTGGCAACCAACTCCGGCTATTGAATATTCTTAATTCCAGGAGTTAATAATTCTGTTCACACGACAATTTTAATTAGCAAACCATTTGTCAAGTGATGGTAGTGAGGTCGTGCGACAGCCCCTGAATAAAGGCTACGTATTACTCTGTATCTAGTGTCGAATGAACTGAGATCTATGAAAGCTAAAATGCCAGGGCAGATTGCAGAATCGCAGACAGAAGATCTTGTGATTTTTGTTGGCCTCCTGACTATTAGTAGTAAGTATAGACAAGCTGCCACTTGAGGGATTTCTGCATCCAACGTCCGATAACATGAAGGGGTCCAAATAAATCTAAGCACGAAGTCAGGGAGGAGGGAGGGAATTTGAAAAGAAAAAAAAAAAAGAACTCCGATAGGGGGAATCGAACCCCCGGCTGCCGTGTGAGAGACGGCGATGTTAGCCACTACACCATATCGGATGTTGTTGTTATTGTCTGGTGCTGTTTTGACATTATGAGACAGAGGGATATGGAACCAATAAGCCCCACTAACTTTATAACAGAATACACGTTATTACATTAGAATTGGAAATACGCCCAGTATGTCTGCATGGCAGTGGACTGGAGATGCGCCTTATCGCCACAACTTCCAATTAATACTAATCAATCATGGTCTCCATCATTCTCATCATCATCCAAGCCTATTATAGCTGTCGATATATCAGGTTTTCTAAATCCCGCCCCGGTCTCCGATAGTTACTTGCTCGGGTTTTCAAACGGCCCAAAGCCCCGGCACTTCTGTTCCGTTCACTGATAACTAAACTCAGTACTCCGTACTCCACTATAATTCCATGTGAAACAGCCAGTAGTGATTTGCGGCTTTTAATAGGACTAGTGGTAAGTATGAAATAAAAAGGAAAAACTGATTTGGTCGTTGAAGTCTGTACTCATCAATTTAGAAAGAAAAAATTAAAAAACGATACTCCGATAGGGGGAATCGAACCCCCGGCTGCCGTGTGAGAGACGGCGATGTTAGCCACTACACCATATCGGATGGTTGAAATTCCGTTCGAAAACTATGTTACAAGAGCCTAGTGTGCCCTCTATCTAGCTATTAATGGTAAATATACCATTCCTTATCTGGATACATCGTACCCGTTTAAACTCAAAAGGACTGGTAGAACTACGTACTATTATTTTAAACCAAAGTCCCATAAGGTAGTACCGAGGTAGGTATACATAGGTACTCCATACTAGGAACAGAAGATCCGAAAGGCGAAATCTCTGTCTACCTCTCTCGCTCACGCCTTCTCCGTGGAAACAATGTGGGGCACCTGGTCAGAATCAGATTCCCCATAATGGACGGGTACATCGGTAGCGGGTTAGAATACTGGAAAGATAAGAAGGGGGGGGGGGGGAATAGGGCAAATTTCCTGGAAGGTAGGATTGCTAATGATCATAACAACACAGGAGAATGAAGAGACAACAAAGAGCAAGAAAAACATGTCAGGTAGACCAACAATATGTCATATAAATTATCTCACTGGTCCATTTTCACACATACATGCAACCATCCCAGCCAACACCTGGATTCCTGTTCAGATGGCTGGGAATATTCCTAGATAACTCACCTGGGACGCCATCCCCAAACTAGCACATCATCTCCGGACTGATCATGATAAGAAACCGAGGATCCAGACCACCTCCCCTGCACAATAGAGCTAGGAGAGACCAAGAAGCAGAGTCGTAGATGGGATAAAATAGATAATAAAATAAGACACAATTGATTTCAGGGAATAATAAACACACAAATCATCAAATAGCTACCCCTTTTTCTAATATTTTTTGGGTGATTTTTCTTCTCCTTCTGGGGTTCGTCGCTGCGGGGAAAAAAAATTTTTGGGCTCCGTGGTTCTCCGTCTGAACATGCTCTCCTCCCGTCTCACGTCGGAATTAAAGGTATAGATAGTTGCATGGATCTATAGCAAACAAGTTGTAGAACACAAAAATAAAATGTGGAAGGGGCTGGAAACAGGATCATAGTAGAGGTGATTTTTGATCCGATATATAACCGGTCGATAGACAACCGGCTAATGATAAGACTTGGGAAGGGTATCAAAAAGATCATAGGAGACCAGAGCATTCAGCGATACGTGGGGTCCACGGAGACTTAAACCCTCGGAGCGCCTGGATTTAGACGCTCTTGGGAGATCTGGCAGGGGAATTACAGGGTTGCTCCACCACATCAGACAGCCTCATGCGTTTGGCCAATGGCTCTAGAGGGTTGTCGTGGGCGGAGTGATTTCGATCATTTGAGTGTTCGACAAATTGTCGTTCCAATTCGGCTATGCGTCGTTTGAGTTCTTCCTCTCGGCGCTGAGCCTCATCAAGAGACCGCCGCAGGCGCACTTCCGAGTCGCGTACGATCATCTCAGACCGACGCGCAGTTGCATCGCTCTGCTCGAGTTCCGCGACACGTCCCCTGAACAGGCCATTGATAAGCTCCAACTCGCTCACACGAGTCTTCAACGAGGTATTCGCAGCCAAGAGGTCTTCGTAGGTCTGAGGGGATTCATGATGGCGATCCACAGGTGCAGATGTAGACGTAGGAGATTGCTGACGTAGCTGAACAGGAGGCAGAGAATTCGGGGGAGGAAGGGTGTGATTTTCGAGGGTCACACTATCAAACATATGCTGGGGCGCGATGTTAGAATTGTGGTGTTGTTGGGTATGTGGCTGGTGCATGGGAGGAATTCCAGGAGTCTCCGTTCGGGGGACGGGGGAGTTGGATCGGTCTGAATGGCCCGGCGACATCTTCCGCGACGCGCGACGATATACCTGGGGGCCTAGCGGGGGAGTGCCTGCCTCTGATCTGGAGGAGGACAAGCCATTTCCATCGGCAGCGCTACCAGACTGTTTGAGTGGAATATGGGTGTTAGCGACCGTTATCTCTACTCGACCATCGGGCGCGAAGAGTGGGATCGAGGAGGCCCCAAAATTTTTTTCGGAGGATCAAGGAACTTACTTTACGCTTCGGCCCCTGCCCAGCGGTCTTGACCCTATTGCGACTCTTGATCACATCTGTTTTGAGGCTGATTGGACGGGGTCTTCCATGGAGTTTGAGGAACAAACCGCAGGCGTTGCAAAGGACGGACCCAAGTTCGTCTCTGCGCCATAAGGGAGTCTTGGAAGTCCCGCAATTCTGGCAGATAGGCTGTAATTGAGGACGTTTCTGATCAGCAAAGGTGCTCGCCATGATTATTTCCGAGGGTGAAGCAGGAGACAGAAGGTGAGAGCGGGAGGAAGAAGATGGGGTTCGTGGGAGAAGAGGCGCTGATAGTGGATGGAAGGAAGAGCGTAGGGTTGATAAGATTGGGGGAGAGATTTGATGGGCTGCAGTGATAAGGCCGGGTAGCGGTGCGGTGCCAAGACTCCATCGGCTGCTGATAACAGATTGGGTGAAAAAATAAATTGGAAAAAAATGAAGGAAAAATTGAGAAAAAAAAACAAAACAAAACAAAACAAAACAATCATGCTGCATGAAGGGTCACTTACCGGATTGTTGCCTTGTCCTCCAGTAGTTGCAGCCGGGGATGATGTCGCGTAAGTCATATTAGCCATACTGGGATGCGCATCGCTACTCGAAGTTCTAACGTAGGGGAGATCTTGTTAGCTGATTATGGTCCTGATAGTCGCGAGAGAGAGATAGTGGGCAAGTGAATAGCACACGGCTATGGACCCCAATAGCCTGGTGTTATTTCTCCATGCCATTCAAGGGCCAACCCAAATTCCTATCGCGATGGAAATCGCAGCTTCCTGGGAGATATACGTACCGTAGATTCGAGGTAGGTGCGGATGCGACCGAGGCGAGGACGGATAGACCAGGTAGTGAAGGGCCGAGAGAGCTGGGAAATCCGCTGCTACTGCTGGTGCTGTCCTCCGGACTTTTCTCCAGTGAACTCGAAGCCAGCTCGGGGAGTGTCGTGGAATACTGTGACGATGCTGACGATGCCCCAGGCGCAGTATCCGTTGTCGACTGACGGGATATAGACTGGCTGTCAATGGAGGACGACGGAGGATTATACGGGAGGTCGTTTGATTGCGAGGTCGAGGGCGATGGGGGATGAAGGGCCGGGTCGATGGGCGACGCCCGGAAGAGAAGCGAAGCCAGTGTGGAAGTGGTTGTAGAGAACCTGCTAGAAACTCGGCCTCAGATGACCGAATTGAAGGATGTTCGAGGTCAATTAGTCAATCGCGCCGCTATTGAATTTATTATGAGGGTTATATGCAGCGGAGGAAGTAGGAAGATTGCGTGTCGTTGCGAGGGGGGACCAGCCACGTAAAAAAGGGAGGAGGGATGATATGGAATGTCCTCGAGGTCTCGTCCACCCGTCGGAATCAGATAAAAGGCAAGAGAGATTTTGCGGAGATGGAAGGGGAAAATTAGAACGAGAAGAGTCTGATCTTTTTTTCCCTTTTCTTGTCGCTGTTGATCTCGTAAAGTCGTTTTCTTCCCGGTATCTGGAAGGATAACGAGCGAAAGATCTGGGACGAGGCCGATAGATAGGAAACCGAGCCGCAGAGACCCAGACGAGACCTGATAGGCTTGTAAGCCGGGTATATGGAAAGCGGGCAAGAAGAAATGAATGGTATTCCTGAAGACGTTTGAGGAGCGAAAAAGGAACAACCGGAATGATAATAATAAAACTGGCACTATGGAAAGAAAATGGGATGATAGATTGGGGTGATCGGATGAAAATATATCGGGGGGCCTCGTATCGCACGCTGTTCGGAGACCATCGACGATTATTGATCAAAATCTGTGGAACATTTTTTTTCCTTCTCTCTCTTTCTCTACACATAGCGTAGAGAATGTTCTTTTACGGGGTTGATTTTGAAATTGAAAATGCCTACACTAAAGAAATGGATCAAAGACATCTACAGTGCTGACATGAGCTCACATAAGTAAGCCAAGTTATCCCCCTTGAACAGCCCTATCTAGAGATATGTACCTGCACCTTTTATGCAGCCTAGGTTCTACTTGAAATCCGTGGTACCAAGTAGGGGACAGGTATTCTTATCATGTATGGGGGGAATTGAGCTGAGGATTATGATTGACGGTGTATACTTCGGCAGCCGCTGAGTATGCACTGTACATCTATATTACCTAGGTAGTAACTATGAAGAGGAGCGTATCAAGCGATGATTTGATATTACCTATAATGGCCAAAAGCATGCCTTACTCTTGTAGCTAAGTCATATAAGAGCCTGTCTATCTCTGGTTAATTGACTATATCAAAGAAATAGGAAAAGTTAAGAGCTGCTTATATGGCTCTAAAGGATAATGAGTAGGGGTCGACATTCACTGTTGTTCTTTCCATGACTGAATCATTGATGTAAGAAGTACTAGTTAATTAGGACAGTATTATGTCAAGTGCCTCATCTCATATGAGATACATACGGAAACATCTGTTATTCTTCTATATAGAACAAGAATGAGCTCATTCTGTATATTCCTCCAGCTTCTGGTGTGAAACGCCGCATACCTTTCCCCGAAGTGTTCCGCTATATGATGAGATGAAAGGCTGGAATTATGAAAAGACCTTCGTGGATGATATTTCGTACCATGAGGGCCATTGGAAGCTGTACGAGACCTTTGGAATTGACCCAGAGAAGGGAAGTCTGGTGGTCTTGGGGCTGGATCAGTATGTCTCGTATGTTATGAGGTGGTAACCTCGGGTTTCTGATATGTCGCATATGTGTATCCCACTCTTATACTTGAACATACCTTGGTAAAAACCAGCCTAGCTCGAGATGGCCATTCCAGTCGATGAAAGGATGATTACGGCGAGGATCCTGTGTGGTTCCTCATTCCGTTTCAGGGGGTTTATTATGGTCGACAATCCTGAAGCTTTGGTGGAGCAGTTCGACACCTGACACCTGTGGCGGTGCGATACGTGGTAATTACCAATCCCGTGCTCTCTGGGCCAGTCAGTACAGTCTAAAACGTCGCCGCCTGGCCTATAGGGCCCAAAGCGCTGTAAAGTTGGTACGTAACGAAATGGTCACTGTAAGTTCGTTAATTGGCAAGTTATTACCACGTATTATAAGGTAACTACAGGTATGCCGCAATTATTCCTCGCCTCCTGCAGCGCTGGTTCTTCCTCCTTCTTTTCTCCAAATATCAACCACGAATGACGGACTTGGCTCCATCGACTGCTTCCTTTCTCTCTTCGCCATCTTCTACTTTGTCATAGCCATAGGCTATCATCTTCCCCTCTCTTATTTTGATCCATTCATCCCCTTGTCTTCTCTTCGTCGCTCCCCTTTTCTAATACCCCGGACTTGGAAACCAGTAATGCCTTGAAGTACCCGCTGCTTGTTTCCCTCTACTTTTTTTTCCCTTAATTTGCAACTTCTCTTTCTCGCCTTTCATTCGCCTTTCTTCTCTCGCCTGCTCCTCCTTTTGTTAGAACCATGCCCAAAGGTAATCGACCTGCGACGTCCGGTTATGCCCGCCTGGCCCAGGAGGAGGAAGATAGAGCTCATGACTTGTACGACTACTCCGATGACGATGACCTGCGACAACCATCAAACACCATTTCCCATTCCGCCCCTCAATATGCTCCCATCTCGTCCCGAGCCCAGATGCAGTCTGCGGCTGTAGCTCCCCCCACGGAATATCGCCGGAGACTGAGTGGACACCACCGACAAGCGCGGAGGAATTCTGGAGTAGACATCAAAGCGATCAATGCGCGTCTTGAGCGCTGGGCGGAGGAGATTGCCTCCAAGTTCAAGATCCACCGCGTCAAGGGAAAGACATTGGAGGAGGAGAAGCTGGAAATATACCACTCTGTCTTCCAAGCTCCCAATGGTGTCCAACCGATAACCGCTGAGGAGCTGGACTCGGAGGAAATTGAAACCGCTCAGCGGGAGGCCCGAGAGGGATTCGAGGAAGTTGTGGAGAGTGTCCGGCTGGCCATTGAGTTGGGTGTGCATCCCCGGATGATCTCCCAAGGAAGTTCAGGCAGTTACTTTGCACGGAACAGTGAAGGTAAGGTTGTTGGCGTCTTCAAGCCGAAGGATGAGGAGCCTTATGCATCTCGTAACCCCAAATGGACCAAGTGGATTCACCGCAACCTATTCCCTTGTTTTTTTGGACGTGCTTGTTTGATTCCCAACCTGTCATACGTCTCCGAAGCTGCAGCCTATGTGCTGGACGACCGCCTCCGCACTAACCTAGTCCCTTATACGGATATTGTGTGGCTGTCGTCGAAATCGTTCTATTATGACTTTTGGGATAGGAGAAAGGCCTGGATGGGCAAAAAATCTCTTCCTCCGAAGGCCGGCAGCTTTCAGGTTTTCCTGAAGGGCTACAAGGACGCCAATTTGTTTCTCCGAGACCATCCTTGGCCTGATCAGACTAACACGGGATTCCGCGCCGAGGACGCACCGAAGCGCAAGAAGCGACCTTGGAACGAGTCTTGTCGTCCGTCCGGGATGCAGTCCGACGATGAGGATGAGGAGGGGTTCGGGAATGGATATGCCGCCCGCACCCCTTCACCCCAAACAGAGAGCAGGGAACGACGATTCCACTGGACAGAGGCTCTGAAACAGTCCTTTAGGGAAGAATTGGAGAAGCTGGTTATCCTGGATTACATCATGCGCAACACAGATCGTGGCTTGGATAATTGGATGATCAAGATTGATTGGAATACGGAGGAGGTTTCAATTGTTGCTGACCCTCCAAAACCGAATGGGGTCCATCATGACCAAGAAGATGATGACCACCTACCTCCTGCCCGTCCAGTCTCTGTCAACTCAGCTAAAGCATCTACCCCTTCCTATCCGTATCGACGACACGAGGCAATGGTGGCTGTAAGCCGCACGGGAACACCCTTGAATTCCCAAGAGCCCCAAGCATCTATTCAAATCGGAGCCATTGACAATAGTTTATCGTGGCCATGGAAACATCCTGATGCTGTTCGTCCCCTTTCCCGCTACTTACAGTTAAAATCTACACCTCACTAACATTTCCCAGTGGCGAAGCTTTCCATTTGGCTGGTTGTTCCTGCCCGTCTCTCTCATTGGACAGCCCTTTTCTCAGAAAACCCGTGATCACTTCCTTCCCCTCCTGACCTCGACCGCTTGGTGGAGTGGCACCCAAATGGCACTACGGCGCGTGTTTGCACAGGACGATGATTTCAAGGAGAGCATGTTTGCTCGACAGATTGCAGTTATGAAGGGTCAAGCATGGAACGTGGTGGAAACATTGAAGCATCCAGACCATGGCCCTTTGGAGCTAACCCGACGACCTCGTGTATGTGTTTGGGATGACCTAGTGGATGTCCCTGTCGCAATTCCCCTCCGCGGCCCATCAACGGAGGGCCAGAGGCGCCACTTCAGGAGTTATGACCGCTACGATCCAGATAACGAGGAGATGGACATTGGCGCTTCCATGTCTTTAGCCGACCAAGATCTGATCGGCTTTGGCTCACCCACCAACGAACTACCTAACCCGAATAGATTTGAGCTCTCGCGTGGCCGCAATTCGCGGGATTCTGGACCTGCCCCAACTGCCAGCTCGACCGATTACGGATTGAGCCGAGATAGCAACGATGAACCCGGTCACGGAAGAAACGAGGACCACAACTGGCCCTCACTCCCTCCTCGGCCCGGTAACAAGCACCAAAAGCATGACTCTGTGTCCAGCGGGCGCGGGGGGCCCACCTGATCTGGAGCAGCGACGACCTGGAAGGTGATCTCGGCTATGCAGCTGCCGAGGGAATGGAAGGAAACCAGCGCAAAGTGATTGTTGAACGATTGGAGGCCGTCAAGAGCAAAAACCCCGTTTTTACCTGGTGCTAGGCTTCCATTTCTCAATTTTCTCTTCTCCCCCCTCCCTCTCTCTTTCTTCATTTCTTGGCGATATGTTTTATACTAGACTTGAGAGTCTCATCTCCTTACTTTTCCCCACCTCCGCTACCACCACCATTACACACATTCTTATGACTTTCATTTCACCATCATATATTTTTTTATTTAGCGTCTTTGTTATGGCAAAACTGGCATGAGGAGTCCGGTAGCTGCGAGGAGTGGGGCTTTGGTTGGGAAAATATCTACCATAACGTTGTACTGTATATAGACATTCCGCCGGCTTCTCTACTAATAACCGTGATCCCGGAGAAAATGGCCATCGATTTTCCAATCCAACTCAAGATATAATAAAATCCAGACCCATGATCAACTGGAGTGACTGTGGAGTGAGGCCAAAGTGAGGCCGTGGTGAGAAACTCTAGTTACCCGTATCGAGCTTACACCGTAATCTTATCTCGATCGGAATCTTGCTCTTGGCGACAATCACATCAATGATCACACTCGAGGAAGCATGCATGACCTCCACTTAATACACTCTCGTTCTCTTCCTTACTTCTTCCTCTGTTCTTCGCAACCCTCCTTTCCTTTGTCGATTTCCACCGTGGCTAAGAGAGAGTTCTCCTCTTGAAGAACTGCTCTGCGTTCCTTTTCGCCACCATCTGCACTTCCCGCCTTGCTCTCGAGTCCTATCCCTTCCGATAAGGTTGAAATAGCAACCCCCACGGCTTTTATCGCCCTCGAGCCCTCCTCGATGCCTCCTTCTACTACTTGATCCTCTAATTTCCTCGCGCTTGATTTGTATTGAAGACCCACTTGCGAGTTTCTCACCACCCTCCCATATCTTAATACCCGCGGCAGGGAAGGAGCCATGGCATCCCACGCCGCCATGCTCCTGGACCCTCGGGCCTACAAAAAGCAACTCCAGAAGAATGGTAATGATCTACAGACCCCTCCTCTACAATCTGAGCTTTGCGATGAACTATGCGCTACGTCTGGAACCCAGGATGAACGTTCATTTCCCTTTTTCCCGCTGTTCAGACCCTCCCCCACTCCTATCGAAGACCCCATCGGCTCTGATGCAGAAGGCTCATTTATTCAAGGAATAGGCCAGCAGGGAGTCAACAATCAACAGCGTGGTGTACCCTCCCCAATAGCACCCCAAGAGACCGCTTCTGCCGCACACCATCTTCTCAACCTGCCGCGCCCGCCGTCCGCCTCCCGCGGTAGTCCCATGTTGCGATCGCAGAACCCGTCCTCGGTTGGATCGACGAGTGCAAGTTCCTCTCCTCTACCGGATAACCAGACAGAACTGGATCTCAATTTTCAATTTACGACTCCTTCGGGCTCAGAGTCTAGTGACGGCAAGCGGAGCGCAGATCAGGTTGGATTAAACGGTGATTTCGATTTGCGCCATAGAAACATGATCGAGGATATGTATGGAGTGAATCGACGTACAACCCTTCCTCACAAGAGACAGAGGACAGATAAGGATGGACATTCAAAGGCTAACAGAAGACCAATAACGGGTAACAATGGGCTAGGAGAATGGATGAAGGAGGATGATGACCAGGAACAATCAACCTCCCTGGCGATTACACCCGATGTTGTTGATTTGACCATTGGTAAGTGATGGTGACTTGAATTACCCCCCAAAAAAAAAAACAACGTGCTAACGACTAGGGGATATAGATGGCTCGGCGGGGAACAATGACGACGACGAACTTCAGGTCACCGGCTCAAATAATCTTAGCATTCAAAGAGTATGTTATGGAAAGCTAGAAAATGCCATGATCCAAGCGGTCATGGTTCCTAAACCGGCTGTACAAACTATTTTTGGGGATTCTGCACACGACTGGCCTTCAATGAAGTTGGGAGTGCATCGACAGGCGGGCCTGGGTAACCACCGAATTGACATCTCAGATCCGCACGGGAAGATATTTGGCGCCATTGATGCAAAGACAGCTGCTGTGATTGTGCCACTTCTCGATTCCCCGGCTTTAAAGATGGATGTGACGGGTCGACTGGATGTTCGAAAGAAATTGCCCAACGAGATTCCTTGGTCTCCCTGCTCGTCGCTCTTTCGAGCATCTATCAATTTGTACGGTCTCCGCAAAGATGCCGAAATAGTCGGGAAACATCTAGGCCAGCATAATGTTTGGCTAGCCACTCCATTTTCGGTGGAGCAGGGAGTTCCTGTGTTCAACCCACACGCAGAGAGACGCCGAATACAAACATCTTGGGCGCCTGGGGGTCCTCAACGGAATCGAGCCGGAGTCAATTACGAAGTGCGGACAGCTGAAGAGGTCAGCGATGCTGTGATGAAGATGTTCGATCAGCTTCAAAGTGCCGATAATATTCCCGAAATGGAACCTCCATCACTTGTAACAACCCCCCTCCTCCGGCACCAGAAACAGGCCCTCTGGTACATGACACAGAAGGAAAAACCTCGCAAGTTTGGGCCTAAGGAAGAAGACAACAACTCCCTTTGGAGAATGGAATATCGTGCAAATGGGGCGAAACGGTACCGTGAGATTATCAGTGGTATGGTGATGGAAGAAGAGCCTCCTCAAAGCTTGGGTGGATTGTTAGCCGACATGATGGGTCTCGGAAAGACGCTGAGCATTCTATCCTTGGTCGTGTCTTCATTAGACCAGGCTCGAGAGTGGGCGAATACGATCCCCCCGCCTGGATTAGTTCGCAGCTTGCCAGGTATCCGCAACACGAAGACTACTGTCCTCGTGGTCCCGCTCAGTACCGTAAACAACTGGGTTTCCCAAATCAAGGAGCATTTACAAGATAATGCTGTTTCGTCATACGTGTTTCACGGATCCTCTCGAACTTCTAGCGTTGATGAACTCTCCAAGTATGACCTGGTGATTACCACGTATAGTATTGTCCTGAGTGAGCTTTCGGGCCGCGGCTCGAAGCGGGCCGGGATGAGCCCGCTCCTAAAGATGAATATGTTTCGAATCGTCCTGGATGAAGCCCATACAATCCGGGAGCAAAGCGCCGCTCAAACGCAGGCGATCTTTAAGTTGAACTCACAGCGCCACTGGTCTGTTACGGGCACCCCGATCCAGAACCGGCTGGAGGATTTGCTGTCGGTAACCAAGTTTCTGCGACTATTTCCCTATGATGACCGAGGCCGATTTGGAATGCACATTCTTAGCCGGTTCAAAACAGGCGATGCCACAGTTCTGGCCAGCTTGCGCGTCCTAGTAGACTCGTTCACCCTCCGCCGAGTCAAGGATAAGATCAACCTTCCGGAGCGGAAAGATAAGATGGTCATGTTGGAGTTCTCTGAGCCCGAGAAGCAGCTGCACGAATTCCTACGGAGGGAATCCAACGTGATGATGCAGGTGATCGCGGGAGAGGATAAAAATCGAATGAAAGGCCGAATGTACCATCACATTCTGAAGGCAATGATGATTCTTCGCCAGGTCAGCGCACATGGGAAAGAGCTTCTAGATAATGACGAGCGGAGGAGAATCAAGGGCATGAGCGTACATGATGCTATCGACCTCGAAGAGGGGTCTAGCGATCCCACCGGAGTATCGGACAAGAAAGCATACGAAATGTTCACCCTAATGCAAGAATCATCCGCTGACGCCTGCGCTGTCTGTGGCAAACGCTTGGAGGAACCGAATACTGACAGCAACGGCACTACGGTTCCTGGAACAGCGGCTATTGCGGTGATTCTGCCTTGTTTTGATATTATGTGCCCGGATTGCTTCTCCCCTTATCAACAAGCCTTTGACGCGCAAACCGGAGGCCCGGGGTCTTACGATATCAAATGCTCCGTGTGTGACGGCTGGATTCCGACATCATACTCGACGATCACCGTGGGCGGCTTGCAGGACTACACGATGAACCAAGCCCAAGCGAAGCAGAGTCGGAAGCAGGCCAAGACTCTGGGCGAGTATGAAGGTCCCCATACGAAGACGAAAGCACTCATAAACCACCTTTTATCCACGGCAGAGGCAAGCGAACAGCTCCCTCCCGGGGAGCCCCCGATGAAGAGTGTTGTGTTTTCAGCTTGGACCTCCCATTTGGATCTGATTGAGATTGCCTTGCGGGATAACGGACTGACAGGATATACGCGACTCGATGGGACCATGTCCCTCGCGGCCCGCAATAAGGCGCTGGAGACTTTCCGCCTTGACGACCGAATTACCGTGCTCCTGGCCACTATCGGAGCTGGTGGGGTCGGCCTGAATCTTACAGCAGCATCGCACGTCTATATCATGGAGCCACAGTATAATCCCGCCGCCGTGGCGCAGGCCATTGACCGGGTGCATCGACTGGGACAAAACCGGGCGGTGACAACGGTACAGTTCCTGATGAAGAATAGTATTGAGGAGAAGATCTTCGAGCTGGCAAAGAGAAAGCAGCAGCTCGCCGATATGTCCTTGAGTCGGGGGAAGTTGGATAAAAAGGACGTTCAAGAGCAGCGGATGAAGGAATACCGCAGTTTATTCAAATGATTTTTTTTTCTTCTTCTTCTTCTTCTTCTTCTTCTTGCAGGTTTGGATTTGCACTTTGATACCCAGGTTTTATCATTCCCATTCTTTTTTCCTCATTCACACATTCGATTTAGATTAATTATTAAGAGATAGTACGACGCAAGTCACCCTTGAGCGCTAATAAAAGAAAGATGCCACCCCCCCCCCCTCGTTTTCAAAACCAAAGTAAACTTATCTCCTTCCATAAATTCCAACTTCAACGGCCCCTAAAACATCCTCCAACCTCCTCCGTAACCTCCGCAAGTCTTTTATTTTCGTCTCCCTCTCCTCCTCCACAAGCCTCAATTCCCCCTCTAGCTCGCGGATCCTTTTCTCCTGCTGGGCCTCCGAAGACCCAATCCCGGGAAGTACAGAAATCAAATACTCAATCTGCTGCTCCTTGATCACGAGATCGCGCGCAAGTTCCCGCTGCCGACTCGCAAACGTGCGCGGGGAATCCGGACGCGGAGGCAACGAGGGATCGACAATACCCTCATCCGCTCCTCCTCCTGTCGCTGTCCCTGGAACTCCTACTGACGGAACAGCACCCGGTGCCGGTGGCGGAGAAGCCTGCTGCGACGCAACGACTGTAGCAGCCCCCGCTGGGATAGGCGGGTTCGTCGAGTTCTTTTGGATTCTGGCGAGGGCCGGAGCGGCATCCGGGATATTTGGGGGAGGGGTGGCGGGGGAGTTGTCGTGGTAGGTGGTGAGGTAGCCGAGGGTAGCGTAGAATTGGGTTGCGAGCTTGGTGGTGTTAGTTTGGTTATTTCTGGAGGAGATTGAGATGAGATGAGATTGGGGGGGGGGGGGTACCTGGTCAAGACAGGTTTGGAGTTGGGTTAAGATGTCTGCCATGGTGATTTGTGATTTTCTTTCTTTCGTTCTTTCTTTCTTTCTTTTTCTGTGGTGTGTTGTTGTGTGTTTGATGGATGGAGTATTTGCTTTGCTTCTTATTGGCGATAGACTGACTATGTTAACTATTTGGACTCTGTAAAGAGGTTATGTGGAAGTTATATGTACCTAGGTATATGTACATAGTCACCGCCTTATGTACTCGTAAACTTATAACTAACTATATATACTAACTATACTATACTATGTAAATGTTTTGCGCAAATTCTAACTATATACCAGAGATTCATTCCATCACACTATAGGCATTGAAATAACTAAAATGATCTCAACTCGATCCCTTCTCACAGGAATATCCCCCTTTACCCGTCGTCTCTTCCTCCTTCCACCGCCGCCCAACTCTCCCTCCGCTTCCCACTCCGATCTCCAATCCTTCCTCCAATACGCGACACGCACAAATCTCCCTACTGCCAGTACACTCTACCAAGGCACCCACTACGAATACACCGTGCAGAAACACCTGCGCCGCGCAGGGTTCAATCTTTACCGGATCGGCGGACGCGATGACGCGGGCATCGATCTCACGGGGACATGGCACGCTGCGGGGCCGGTGACGAGTCCTGCGGTCCGGGCAGTGGTGCAATGCAAGGCGCTGAAGACAAAGATTGGGCCGAGCGTTGTGCGGGAGGTGGAGGGGGTTGCGGCGGCGGCGGCGGCGGCGGCGGCGGCGCAGGGACGGGTTGTCGGGGTGGTGGTGAGTCCGCGGGAGGCGACAAAGGGGGTACGGGGTGCATTGGGGCGGAGTACGGTGCCGTTGGTGTGGATGATGATGGAGAGGGATGGCAGGTTAAGGCAGGTTTTGTGGAATGCGAGGGTGCAGGAGGAGCTGGGGATGGCGGGGTTGGGGGTTGAGGTGCGGTATTCGATTGCGCGGGGGGAGAAGGAGGAAGAGGTTGCTTTGACGTGGGAAGGGGGGGAGGTCTTGGGGATGGATGAGGTTGAGGAGCAGATGCAACGGTTGGGAGAGCAGTGGATGGAGCGATGGGAGGAAGATGGAGTGGTGGGCTTGTCCAAGGAGGAGATGTTGGATGTGGTGGAGAGGTTGGTTCCTGGGACGAGGCCGTTGATGCTCTCGGAGGAGGAGAGGGCGGCGGTGGTGAAGCATCTTGTACAATCACTATAACTTGGATATACGTAATTGCATTATAGACGGTAAATATGTATAATAATGAGAACGGATCAAAATGCCATTTGGGTATCTATCCTATATTTATAACCATATCATACTCCCGACGCCAAAAAAGAAGAAGAAGAAGAAGAAGAAGAAGAAGAAGAAGAAAAGAGCCCGGGCTAACCCTGCATCGTTGACCAGAAATAGTTCGAGTAGAAGAAGCGCGAGAATTTGGGGTCCAGGTTGACGACATGTACGTCTCCCTTGCGACTGTTGCGGATAACGGCCTTGGTGAAGATGCCTGCGTCGTCGGGTTCGATATCGATACCAAGAGACCGGTAGATTTTCAATCGGAGTCTGGTTCGTTAGCAGCAGCCACATTTAAAAAGAAAGAAAGAAAGAAAGAAAGAAAGAAAGAAAGAAAGAAAGAAAGAAAGAAAGAGGAGTTTTCTATCGTACAGAATAGCATCATCGGCCTCTCGCTCTCGCCGCGTCACTTCATCACCCTCCAGTCCTTGAGCCTCAAGATCCGCCAGTCGATCCTTTAGCATCTCGAGTTCACTCTCGAGTCGTTCGCTTTCGATCTCTAGTTCAGACGCAGCCTTGGCGATGCGAAATTTCTTCGTGTCTAGCTCGACCATCGCGGCGGCGTGTCTCCCCGCGTCATGGGCGATAACGGCCTCTTCATGTTGGGTGCTCAGAGACTGGAGATGGCGAGAGAGTTTCCGCAGAGAGGATTCGGCTTCACGAATGCGCAGGTCGCGAGACTGCTGCAGCGTGGTGAGGGAGTCATTGACACGGGAGACGGCTTGTTTATCGGGTTGGATGTTGAAGTTGCCGATTGTGTGGTGGATGAGCTGATAAGTTAGTATGATTCTGGGCGAGAGATCGGGGGAGAAGCTTACATCGGCTGGATTCTCGTCGAGCAACATGGTGGCTGCTGGCTTGTTCTTTGGGATGAAAGGACAGAAAGTGAAGGTATTCGCAGATTCGCAGACGTTTGTATATTTCACTGTCTGGTATTACAAATACGGTTGGGAGGGCAACCGCCACAGTCCCACATGCACCGCCTCATCTACTGTACTTCCAGCTTTCTTTTCCTCTAACCCTTTCGAAAGAAAGTATCCATACCATAGCTGAAGATCGCAAGTTCTATATAGCCAGCAAGATGAATTCTTCCAATCTTCCTTGTATGTTGCTTCTCTCCTGCTGGTCCAGTGAGAAGAAGAACAAAGAGAAGTGAAGAACAAGCTGTACTGACTGGTCCACAGATGCCGCTGATGCTGAAAGGTCTCTCCTCTCGTCTCTTCATGTGCGTTCGAATCAAGGCACAAGATGCTAATCGATCCATAGCCCATTGAAACCTGCAGAGCTCCAGGTTCTACGTTCTCAATATGAAAAAGAAGGCGACTACGTGGGCGTCCAGACCAAATTCAACTACGCCTGGGTATGCTGCCTGCTCTTTTCTTTTCTTTTCTTTTCGTCGTCGTCGTCGTCGTCGTCTTCTTCTTCTTCTTCTTCTTCTTCTCTCTTCTCCGCTCACAACATCCTTTTAGGGCCTGATCAAATCCAATTCCCGGTCTGAACAACAAGAGGGTGTCCGCCTGCTATCCGAGATCTTCCGCGCCTCCCCCGAACGACGTCGTGAGTGTCTTTACTACTTGGCCTTGGGCAACTACAAACTGGGCAACTACGGAGAAGCCCGTCGCTACAATGATCTGCTTCTAGACAGGGAACCGGGTAACCTGCAGTCGGCTAGTCTGAGAACCTTGATCGATGACAAAGTCTCCCGCGAAGGCCTCGTGGGTATTGCCATCATCGGAGGCTTGGCCCTTGCGGCGGGGGTGGTGGGAGGCATCCTCTTCCGGGGATCAAAGCGATAAAGCGACGGATCGAGGTTGATCTAGGGTCTGGGGCTTGGGGAGGGGTCTGTATATATGATGACGACGAAGACGATGATATCCATCTCCTGCTCTTGTTCTTTTCCTGCTGGTTTCGTTGTGTGAGTTGTGTTTTTGTCTGGGTCTGGTTTAGCATGTCATGTTCTTTGGGCGTTTCTGTTGATAACACAGGACAAGAGATGGCTTGAGACTGGAGATTATAATAATCTATTCGTATTTATTTCTTCATTTCCCTTATTTCCCTCTTGCTCGAGAAACTACACGTAGAAGAGTAGCTTGGAACGAAAGGCAGGATAACTGCGCCACAGCCGCGGTTAACTGAACGTCATTTCGAATGATCCTCCATCCATCCATCCATCTCTTGGAATCTCCTTCATCATCATTCAACCACTGCTTTGGATTTGGATTTGGATTTGGATTTGATGCTGCCTTTTCTGGTTGATTTCTTTTTTACTCTTCTTTTATCGGCTTCCCCTATATAGAGTCTTCCCCTGGCTGTAGAGGCCAAAATGATCTTGCTTGGACTGGCGCTTGACCAGTGACTTTGAAACCATGAGCATCGCCTTCATTGCTTGAAGTGATTGATTGGCCTTATTCGTTGCTTTCAACCCCTCTCTCTTTCATCCTTGTCTCTCCCTGGTCTCTTCTTCCTTTCTTCATCTCATTTTCTCATCCGTCCTTCCTCCTTATCTGCTCGTCTACCCTTCCCATCATGGCTGATACGGGCGATCGCATGCTGTGTCATGCCTGTGGCTATGTGTGGCCGCGCAGTGAGCATGAGCTAGAATGCCCACGGTGTTCTTCTGACTTTACAGAGATCGTCCGTGGATCCTCTGTCTATCCTTGTGAAAGAGACTGACCCCGCGCAGGTTGAAATTCCTCCCGATCCAGACCCCGAGCTGGATTCTCATCCCGATCCTCCCATTTCCGTCCCCCGCCAACGGTCGCCTTCTTCCCCCCCTCCTCCTCCAGCCAATCCATGGATGGATCATGACCCCTGGGCTCACCAGGATGATGATGATGATGATGATGAACCTAGTGGATGGGAAACAACGAACCCGGGCTACGGATTTACTCGACGCACTTATCGATCCCCCAACGGTCGCTTTACCTTCTCCAGTACCACCTATACCCATGGCTTTCCCCGCAGACCCTCAGGCTCGCAAAGAGATGTGACTATGGATCCGCTTGTGCGCGGCATAGACTCCTTTTTCCAAAGTATGACCGACGCCAACCGCCCTCTCGGTCACGCATCACAACAAAGACCTCGATCCCCGGGGAGGATGTTCGACACGAACGATGACTTTGAGCCCCCCCATGCCGCAACTCGGCAAACGGAGTATCACCCGACCGGCGGTTTGTTTCCTCGGGATGCAGATGGACCCCAGCCGATGGGGACTCCTCTGCGCACGTTGGGCGAGTACGTTTCCCCTCCCATGTATCCTAACCTAACGGCCTTGTGGGGGGGGGGTCTCTAATAACGTTGTAGTATTCTGGAATTGTTCCGGACCGACGTGGGCACTGGACCAGGCGTACGCGGGATGGCTGGCACCACGCCCCTCGCGCTTCTGTCGGCTTTGTTGAATCTAGAACGGAATGGCGATGCGGTATACTCTCAGGAAGAGCTGGATCGGGTCATCTCCCAACTCGTGGAACAGAACGGCAACCGGACAGCGCCTCCTCCAGCCACGCCGGATGCCATCCGGTCGCTTCCCAAAAAAGCAGTCGATCAAGAGATGCTTGGTAGTGAGGGCAAGGCGGAATGCTCCATATGTATGGACTCTGTTAAGGTAGGCGACGAGGTCACCGTGCTTCCTTGCCAACACTGGTTCCACGCACCATGCATTGAGATGTGGCTGAACCAACACAACACATGCCCACACTGTCGCCGGAGCATTGACCTGACCACGACGCCGGATTTAAACACTACGACGACGCCGTAAGTCGCGCCCGCATCCCCGACTCTCGCTGACAGATTGAATCGCTGATGATCGCTTCACTTTTTTCATGCAGATTCGAAGGGACCTCTGGGACGAGACGGCTCTCGGGCTCGTCCCGGTCTAGCGTTTACCCATCGTTGAACACGACTGATGAAGAGTCGGACTCACGTCCCCGCCGGGCCAGCCGTGGCGGCGAAGGACCGGGGGGATGGGCAGGATGGGTTCGAAATCGATTTGGCGGGGGGACTTGAGATATTTTGTTTCTTCCCCTCCCTCCCAGTGATATTGTTTTTGTCTATGAACATATTGATTGAGCCTAAATAACCATTTGAAGGATAGACTAGTCCGCGCAAGGAAAAAGAAAAAAGAAAAAAGAAAAAAGAAAAAAAAAACAAGCGGGCGTATGATGTGACGAATGAAAGGACATACACATTTTGTATGTATGAAATGAGCAACGCTGAATGAAAGAGAATCTACACTGATTTCCCTCCCCCTAATGATCAAAGTTTCAACCAGTTCTTCCCTTTTTCCTACTCTTGTTTCGCTGAAGAATGCTGTCACAGGGTCGCTAGAGGTGGGGAGACCGATTTGTCGTTGTAGAGATGGACTGGAGGCTGAGGAGCTATTGGAGGCAAGGTGTACGGGACTTGCTTTTGATGGAAGACGGCGTACTATCCCTTTCTGACCCTAGACTCCGTACACTCTACTACTATCACCTAGTGTGTATGTGTATGTGTATAATTGAACTATATGATGTGACCCGAGTAGCAAGATACTCAAATCTCGCTGCAAATCTCCTTCAGCACTCCACCTAGCCACTCGAAATCGCTTATGTCCAGATACACCTGCGCGCTCAATCTGGTCCAGAGGGCACCGCCGTGGGCGAAAACAGGCACAAAGGTACCTCTCTCGACAAGCTGGTCCTGGATCCAGCCTGACAAGCGGCCCACGTCCTCACAGCTAACCGTCACCTCTCCACGAGCATCTTTCCTTACTTTGATTCCGGATCCAGATTCCGCCACGAATTGGCCCGAACCAATCCTCACAGGTAATCGAACATTCGACATGGCACAAGCCATCAAACGACTCCCTTCCTCCCCTTCCTCCTCCTCCTCCTCTTTCAAAACCTCCGTCCCTAGAATCCGGGCAACCACATCCGCTGCCTCCTTCGCCAATTCCTCCAGATACCCGTAGATCTTCTCCTCGCCGCCGCAGACTTCTTCCCGGAACTTGATCGCCTCCGGGATACAGCAGTACGCGGTGTCGTCGGTCGTAGCGACGAACTCGAACAACCTCAGAAACGCAGACTGGTCTGGGTCGCTTTCGACCGTTGACGCGAGCAAGCCAGCGGCCCATTTCGCGCTTTCGGGGGCAGGAATGAAGCCCCAGGATGTTGGGAGGGTGGTTCGGATAAGGTGCTGGTGACGCCGGGGAACGTAGAGAACGGCACAGCCACGAGGAACATAGAGCCATCTTTATTGATCCCGGGGGGGGGGGGGGGGGGGAAAGGACTCGTTAGCGATGACTTGACTTCACAACTTGACTTGCAGAGAAAAAGAAAAGAAAAAAAAAAAAAAGAAAACATTACTTATGACAATTAGTCGTAAAAAAATCCGGCTGCAGCACACTCAAATCCAACGGAATCTGGCCCACGCCATGCGCGGCATCAATCACGCTCAGCACGCCCTCTTCCCTGGCCACGCGGGTGAGCTGCTCAAAGGGGAACCGCACGCCAGGCATACTGACGATGGTATCGAAGACGGCGAGCTTGGGGTTCAGGTGCTCTTCGTCGCGGAGCTGGCGCACCAGGGCGCGGAACCGCCGCACGATCTCGCCATGCGCCAGCGGGAACGTGTACTCGACTTTGCGGAGATGCTGGAGCGCGGTGGACTCGCAGAGCGCCACGAGGGAGCGCTCGACCGCTCCGTAGACGGTATCGAAGTAGATGATCACGTCGCGGGGGGTGAAGGGGAGGAGGTTGCGGAGGACGGTGTTGATGCCCGTGCTGGCGTTCTTGACCAGGACGCATTCTTCGGGGGGGACGTGCAGGAGAGATGCGATGGCGGTGCGGGCTGCGACGATGGCTTTGGGTTGGGTGTAGCGCCGGAAGACGTCGGGGCGGGCTTCAGAGGCGTGTTGATAATCGCGGAAGACCTTTTGGATGGCTTTGGGGTAGGTGCCGAAGGAGCCTTTTTGTTTTTTTTTTAAATATCTCTTAGTATACCGCGGTATAATGGAATAGGGTACCGTACCGTGGTTGAGATTCCGAAAGTCCTCATCGATCAGGAAGAGCTCCTTCATGGGAGCACCAAATGGTGTTGGACCGGCCATTGCAAAGTCAGCGATAACCTGGATGGATGTCAAAGCAAAACAAGTTGAGAAAAGAAAGGTGCAGTTTACAGAGGAAACCAGTGGTTATATGTGGATATAATACAGTGGGTGAGTAATGAGTCACTAACTAATAAATATATGAACTGCGGAGAAAATCCCCCTCAGTTATGCAGCACTATGCCAAAGCTCTGTTCTGTCTGTCCAATACAACATGCATCACATCACTCATTATCTTCACTTCATGCCTCGTCCAAATGAGTCATATCACCGCTTGCCCTTCTTGCGAGGTGCAACCACCTTGAAAGCCGCGCTGCTGGTGTCTTCCTCCCGTGGTGCGCTTGATGACCCCTTCTTAGCTACCTCGCTCCAGCCCCCGCCGTTCTTCTGCTCCGCCAGAGCACTGGCCGCCACGGATTCGACAATTCCCTTGTCAGCTAGCTTGCGTCGTCGGATAAACTCCTCGGCGAACCGCCGTCCATCGAGCGTCTGGGAGTTGGCATAAACCGAGTCCGAAATGATCTCCGTTTCCGCCGGAAGAAGCTGCAGTTGCTGAACAAAGTCATCCACTGGTTAAAAAAAAAAAAAAAAAAAGTTAGCCTTCAAGCCTTGGGAAACCCCGTAATTGATATAGGCGTAGCTTACCATTGATGTTGCTATTTAGCCCCTTGCCTAGTGTGAGCTTGGCCCATTTGGTAAACTCTTCCATAGCCCGGTTCGGGTTGGAAGATGCGCTGCTCACAGGCAAGGATCGCGCAGGCGTGCTAATAATCGTGGCTGGCTTTGGCCTCACTGGGGAGACTGCCGCACCAGGAATGGAACCGCTGGCCGAGCGAGGCCCGGTGGGTGCCGCAGGTGGTGCCTTGGCCTTACCGCCAGCACCAACCGTGGTCCATGCGCCAGAGCTCGCGGCGCTGACAGAGGACACAGCCGGAGCCTTGCTGGCTAAATCAGCATAGCGTTTGCCGACAGAGGAAGGAACGGGTGAATGGCTGGTAACATTTTGGGTCGCAACAGCCGCCGCCGCCGCCGCCGCCGCCGCTAGACGCTGCTTACGGGCCTCTTCTTCCTTCTGGATCTGAGCCAGAGTCTTCTTTGCAGCACCAGTCGTAGGGGTTTGGGTCTTGTTATTCCACACCGATCCCGAAGCAGCAGGAGCCACGGGGGATCCAGCGCTCGCCCAGTTAGCAGTGGATGGGAGACCAGGTGCCTGGACTGCAGCTTGGCTGAGACGCTCCTGTTCCGCAAGAAGCTGGGCGCGACGAGCGGCCGCTGCCAGTTCTTCTCTCTGTGCAGCATTGCGGGCCTCGGCTTCTTGGATTTCCTTGAGGGACGGTCCCTTGGGCATCTCGTTCGCCTCCTTAGCCCAAGGGGCGATCGAGGTCGTAGGGGCTTCCACAGGGGTTTGGGTCTGCGAACGGGAGTTGGCCGCTAGAGATTCAGCGACATTCTGGCGGTTGCGCTGGGCTGCCGGAGCTGGGAGGGGTGAAGCGGAGGGTGGGGGAGGGAATGGCTGTGGCATCGCTGAATCACCCTTGGTAGCCCACGCGATATCACTAGCGGCTTGGGCCTGCTGCTGCTGTTGTTGTTGTTGTTGCTGCTGCTGCTGGCTTTTCTGCTCCTGGTGTTCCTGCTCTTGCTGCTGTCGTTGAGCAGAGGCCGCCTTCTGAACCTGCTGGGAAAGAGTCAGGATAGGCTCTTCGGTTTCGACTACAGATTCAACTATTTCTAGCTCGGCGACGCTTGACTCAAGTTCAGTTGGCTGAGATGTCGGATGAGTAGGCAAGCCCTCGGCAGTTCGTAGGCCGAATTCACCTTCCTGAATTCTCAGTGCGTGAAATTGCCGGAGTCGTTCCTCACGAGCCTGTTGGTCGAACAAGCTGTCACCTTGTGCGCTGTCATACTGCTCTTGTTCCTGCTGCAGTCGAGCTCGGTCTTGAAGCATAGTTGCCACCTGCTGGGAATGAAACAAGTTGTCCGGCTGGCGAGCAGAAAAAGAAGCGGGGCTACCAAAGGCGAAAGGGTCAGGTCGGGTCACGTTCAGGCGATCAAGGAGCGTAGGGAGCTGATCTTGGCTGGTGTTCAGGAAATCGGTGCCAATCATCTGGGGGCCGGCATTTGGCAGAGGGTTTGGTCTCATCGGGCCAGCACCATCAAAGAAAGCTGATCCAGGCTGCTGCTGTTGCTGCTGTTGTTGCTGTTGCATAGGACCCTGGATAGGGGATGGCTGGAAACCAACAGGGGAAGCGATGCTGCCAAAACTAGGCTGACTATGAAGGCTATGGGCGCTCGAGTGGTGTTGAAGTTGATGAGGATGTATGCCGTGAGGGACGCCCTGGAATTGCATCTGCTTCATCAGCGCTTGCTGCTGGGCAAGATGTTCCTTCTGGCGCGCCATCAGGTACTGCTCCTCCTGCTTTCGGCGCTCTAGGGCATTTTGTTGCTCAGCGGTTAGCGTGGTACCGAAGCTTGGGAAGCTGCCAGGGAAAGGAGGTTGAGCGGCGCCAGCGGTGCTACCTGTCCAGGTATTGGGAGTCGGTTCAGGTCCATGGGGAATGCCAATCTGTGGAACCAGGAAAGGCTCCCGTGAGTTGCCAATGCGTCGCACTAGTTGCGCTAATGGCTCAAACTCCGGATCCTCCAGCTTTCTGATCTGTAGGTCAGGGCTGAAGAAGCCTGCCTTGAACCAATCATGCATCTCAAGACCAGTCCAGGGACCCTGAATGTTGCCCTGGGGGTCCCGGTAGATCCAACGCATCCGATCCGGCATCACCATGGTCCGCTGCTGAGCCGCAGGAACCGAACCACCAGCGCTTCCAGGAATCTGACCAGCCTGTGCAGCTTCAGGGGCCATGGCTGGGATGGAGCCAACAGCGGAGACGGGGGTCTGGGAAGTGGAAGTGGTTGCAGGCTGTGTGGTTTGACCGGGTTTATCCCCTTGCTGGACCTCACCTGCTTGCTGAGAAATGTCATCCAGGCCGCCTAGATCTTGTCTGGCCTGTTCACCTTGAATTTGTTCCTGCATGGCCTGGGGGAAGAGTGATCCTAGTTTGCTTGATCGGCCAATGCTTCCTGTGCCCGAGATTCCAGCATGAGGGCTGAACAGGCCACCTCCTCCCAAAGTCGACAGGCTTGGGGACTGGAGGTCAGCCATTGAGCCAAATATCGGGTCACCAAAGCCACTGACAAAGGCAGACCTCTCCTTGGTTGGTGTTCCAACCGCACCGCTCGACGGCCATCCTGAGCCAGCCCCAAGAGACCCCAGTCCCGCCAGGCCGCCGAGGTTTGAAAAGCTGCGGTTACCGGTGACGCTTGAGGTCTGGCTACGGTCAACGGAAGGCAAGTCCATTCCAGATCCAACGCGACGGATCGAACCAAAGGCGGCCGAGTCGCGCAAGCCACTGAGCCCAGGGTGGTTAGTGGTTTGAATGTCCGATCCATCAGTATCCACATCATCCACATCCCCTCTATCGCCGTGGGGGCTCTGGTACGGGTTCGTATTAGTAGGACTTGTAGGTTCTTGGCCTAAGAGGTTTGGGGTAGGGTTGCGGGAATTTTCATGGCTCTGCATCAACTCACGGAAGCCAGGGATGCTGGAGGTCATCCCAAAGGCAGAGAACCCAAGCTGGTCGACTGTCTGGGGTGGCGCACTAACGTCCTGAGAGCCTCCGAGCGCCGCGCTTCCGCTACGAGGTTCATCCGGAAAGGGGTTCGTTTCGCTTCGGCTAGCACGTGTTTTGAAATTTTCTCCCCAGGGTGATTGCGAACGCTTTTCTGTCTCATTCTCACCTAGACGCTCCAGATTGCTCAAAGACGGCTTCTCCTTGATGGATGACTGCATGTCCTCGGAGCTATCCTTCGAAAACAAGCCCTTCAACCGACTCTCACCGCGCAGGCTACCGAACCCCGGTTTCTTTTCTGTTGTTGGGGTTTGCGAAGCACCGGTCCCCAAAGAGAACGCACCAAAAGCTCCCATCGGCGAAAAATTGGCGTTTTGGGAAGCTGACGGCCACGGAGAATTCGAACCACCACCTAGTGCCACAGGATTGGTCGAACTGCGCTTCAAAGAACCAAATGGAGAAGTAGCTTCCGCTGCCTCTCGAGTTTGAGTTTCTTTTTCCTTCTCTTCCCACTTGGTGCTAGATGTGGTAGTGTCCCGAAAGTCGGTCTTGCGACGTAGGAGGGATGGAGGTGGAGTCGACGTAGTAGGTTCGTCCCGGAAAAAGCGAGAGCCTCCAGCCGTCGGGGACATAGGATTCCCAGTCGATTCGCCGGTTTCCCGGCGCCTGGGACCCGCCCTTGCCGTGCTAGGGGACGAGGAGTTGTATGTATTCGCATTGCCTTGGGGGTAAGAAATCGAAGCTTTGCGCCCTGGTGCTCCTCCAGTACCTGTATTATTTTCTTTCGAAGCGTTCGTTGGGGGAGGCTTAAGCGGGGAATTGACCGAGAGGGAGAATGACTGCATACTCAGCACTGGATCTAGTAAAAGAACGGGGGAAGAAGAGAAGGGGGGAGAAAAAAAAACCAACCTCTTTCTCATCATCAGTCATATCCACTAGCCCCAAGGGCTCAACCTGCCCTCCATGATCCCAACACACTTCAGGTCCAGACGGATTATCCTTATGGTCATCCCGCTTTCCCCAAGCTCCATTCAGCGGGGATGGCTCAATGTGGGGATTCCAGTCGGCCACAAAATATTCGGCGACATTCTTAATCAAAATCCCAGACTCGCGCTGAACCTTGTACAGACTGAGAAGTTGATCTTTTGAGTACCGAGTATCGCTAGACACTCCGTTACGAACTGCGCTGGAGGGGAAATTCGAGGACATGTGCGAGTTATAGGCACCGCCAGTCGGAGTGGTAGCGGATGGAGGTTGGTTTGGATCTCGAGTGTGAGAAGGGTTCGTAGCAACTGACGGACGGCGGAAGGTTTGTGTTGCTCCATTCATGCGAGTGCGAGACCTAAAACAGGATGGTTAGACTAGGAAGAAAAAAAAAATTCTCGATCAAATCGATAACGAAAATGAATCTTCGATAGGAATCCCCCCTCCAAGAAAAGAGAGAGAACAGTCAATAAGATAACGTCTGGATTAATCCGCATACCATTCTCCGCCGGTAGATCCATCGCCTCTTCTGCTTGAGGAGTCTTGGGTGTTGCCAGCGGCGGCGGAAGCAAAACTTGAAGGGAGTGGCGTCGGCATTATGGCGTTGACGGAGTTGCTAAAAGACGGCGAATAGAGGGCCCAGGTATTGATGGGAACGAGAAAGGCGGAAGGAAGTTTCGAGATCTGAAACTGTGTTAGAGACACTAGCTGGATGTTGTGGGATGGGACAAGTTGTAACGAGTGTAGGAGACCAGCGAGGCCCAAGAACAGGTTCCGCAAGCTCGGACGGGCAGGCAAGAAACTGTGGGCGGGGGGAGAGAAGAGGGAAGAGGGAAGAGACAAGAGGCAGAGGTCACATACATTCTCAAGCAGCGAATTCTGAGGGCAGACGGAGAGGAGGATTGAAGTCAAAGTCGAGTCGAAAACAAGAACGCTAGACGATCCAAGTCGAGATCAGAAAGAAGATCGAAAGAGGCTTGAGAGAGTTCCTGAGAAAAATGAAGAGGCTGTGGCGAATTAGCAAGGGGGCGTGGTAATACGGAAAAGGGTATGATGTTGGTATTGTGGTATTGTAAGGATGTTGGCTGTTTGCAGTTTGGTCACTGCTAGAGTCTCTGTACCTTACTCGATAAGTAATAGTTACCTGCCTCCGTGAACAGATCACCCTTTTTTCTTTTTTTTTTTATTCTGTATCACCATAATACATACAGTACACCTTGTCGCACACCAATACAAAACACGCACACAAAAACTTAGATTCTTCGGTAAAGCAGCCCTGCCACCACGACTCATACCAGAACCTGAAGATGTCTGAGATGCTCATGATCCTCCAACTGTGCATCCAGAATGGATAATTAAACTTCTAGCAGAACCCTACAAGCTTTACCGTTCCAGTCACTCGAGAAAGCTTCCTGGGAGAGGGTGCGTGGCCACAATCCCACGACAGACCTACATCGATGTAATACCACGACCCACAGTTACCGGCTGTTGAAACACAAACGCTGCTAGCAGTTTCTCGACGTGTCGCTTCACCAACGGTATGGTATATCTATCAGAAGCTTGAAATCTGCGTCAAAGAAAGGGGTTTCCCGAGATCTAGAGGTTTGTTCATACTTTGCTGCATCAATGTGGATAGCTGTGAGGGATGATTCTGCAATGACTTCAGGACTCCAGTGAGAAGCTACCAATCTTGTTTATATCCATTGCATGGAATCCAACCATGTCCTTATCCCTTACCACCTTAGAGGGCCCATATAAAAGAGAAAAATAAATAAATAAAACAAGACAGCATCCAACCTGCGGATCCAAAGCAGACCTTGAAAAATTCGACACAGTATGCGAGGAATGGTCTGGAATGTGAGCCACACGTCTCTCCACACGCCCTTCTCCAGCCTTTCTGTACCACACACTCTCCTAAACGCGTCCTCCGACATTCCTGTTAACACTTGATTTTGCAGTAGGGCGCGTCGCCAATATGCTCATGGTGGGGTTTGTAGATATCGATCGCAGCACTGCAGCAACTAACGACTGCAGATTAGCCTGGACAGAGATCCAAGACCTGGATTCGCCGTGGTTAGAATCAGAAATCGCCATCCATGATGGTTCTGCTCATCCCTTGGTTGGGCGTTATATTATGCAACGCAATCGAGAGTATTCCGAACCATTCTCTTCATCTTCCTCATCACCTTCTTAGAACCTCTTGATATATACACTGTTCTCTAATCGGATACTTGGCTCAAGATCTCCCTTGGAAAGTGTCTGATCACTATGGCATATTGTGCGTCGATTCGAATTTGCCTCGTTCTATTGTTGCACCGGCTCAGCCCCGAATCTTCTAGGCGTAGGTCCCCGTGTTTGCTCTGAGGACAGCCGGGTGACAACATACCAGCACCGTAGTCGTGATGTACCTAGGCAGATGAATCAGATGAATAAATAAAGACGTACTTGATTGATTGAGGTAGTTGGGGGAGGTACTTAAAACGCAGAGGGAGTCAATCCAACTCGTCCAGATCACTCCTCAGCCGTTCTCTCTCTCTCTCTCTCTCTCTCTCTCTCTCCATTTTTCTCCCTCGAACAATCTACAATGCCTCTCTTTCATACTTCAGAACGAACCAGCAACAAAAACATCCCTTATGCCTGGTATTGGAAAGGCAAATCTCTCCGAACAGGACAAAGACGGCTCGAGATAATCCAGCCTGTATGCACGGGGGTTTGCTGCCCCCCAACACCTAGTGTGTTCCATCCAGCAGAGCCTCGTGGGTGCGAATGGAGCAGTCGTGCACATTGCAGTGGTTGCGCTCGCGATGACCGGGGGAGGTGTTTCTGTCCGTGGGATAGAGATTGTTGCTTCCCCCCCCCTCCTCCTCCTCCTCCTCCCAGGGGGCGAGGATCACATTTTGCGTCGCGGAACTTGGCATCGTGCTCTGGGAACCTCTATTTCAGGTCCCGGTGTGCTTGTCTGGTCTCGTAATGTTTGTTGGTTTACTTAATTGTGGGCAGGCGAGATGGTTGAGGTTGTTGTGCAAAAAATGATCTTGATGAAGGTTGGGAAATCTATATAAATATTTGCGGGAGAGATGGACCGAGGCAATTATATCCTGATTCAGGGGAATGCCAACTCTTCAACGAGATTATTACACTTACTTACTATCTTGCTATTTTTCCTGTCAGGTTATAGTTATTTGTATTTCAATATTCTCAGCATAATTAATCTTTACTGTCTGTGGCCCTTTGTGACGCCAACTGCCTCGGTTACCATAACACCAATAAATATTCATTCCTCCTCCCCCGCGCGATCGTCCATCCAAGCGTGACGGCGATCTGATACTATTAATCCTGCCCAACACACCGGCTTCTTCAGTCTGCCATAGTCTGTATTCTTCACCAGTAGATACACAGAACAAAAAGTAATAGAGACACCTGCATTCGCCATGTCGAAAGCAATCTTCCTTTCCAAAGTTGAAGGCAAGCCTGGGAAGGTTTACTATCCCCTCTCCCTGCAGACTTTACCTCAGCCTACTCCCCAGGGCACGGAGCTGTTGGTGAGAATGACCGCGGCGGCTCTGAATCATCGCGACGTTTTCCTGCGACAACACCTTTACCCTGGTGTAACCTTTGATGTCCCCATGGGTGCAGATGGCGTCGGAACCGTCGTGGGGGCGGGCCCTGGCGTCTTGAACCCAGAGCGATGGCAAGGGAAACGGGTCATTTTGAACCCGGGAGTTGGCTGGAAGGACTCTCCTGATGGTCCGGAAGATCCTACCGGCTACAAGATCATGGGAGGTACCAAGTTCTACAATAAGGGGACTTTGCAAGATTATATCACAATCGAGGAGTCGGAACTCGAGGAGGCCCCCGAACATCTCTCCGATGCAGAGGCCGCTGCTTTACCTCTAGCCGGGTTGACTGGATGGAGAGCGCTAGTGTCGAAGGCTGGAGAGAAGAACTCCAGCAAAGGAGCCGCGATTTTGATTACAGGAATTGGTGGAGGGGTTGCGCTGAGTACCCTACTTTTCGCGGTCGCAAGAGGCGCCGATGTCTATGTGACTAGCTCGAGCGAGGAAAAGCTTCAGAAGGCAATTGAACTGGGTGCTAAGGGAGGTGTCAATTACAAAGAGGATGGCTGGGAGAAGAAGCTTCTGGGTATGCTGCCCGGGGGAAAGAAGAACTTTGATGCCATCATTGACGGAGCCGGCGGTGACTCCGTCGAAAAGTCCGTCAAACTGCTCAAGGCAAGCACCTTTTACCCTCTCATCCTACCTCGTTTCTTGCAATAGGGCTAATATGGATCAGACCGGCGGTATTCTCTCTGTCTATGGAATGACGGTCTCCCCAGTCATGCCCTTCACAATGACGGCTGTCCTCAAGAACATTGATGTCCGTGGCTCCACCATGGGTTCTCGCAAGGAATTCAAGGACATGGTAGAATTCGTTAAATCGCACAAGATCCACCCCGTGGTGTCCCGTACTGTGCAAGCTGAACTAAGCGATGTCGCCGCCCTCGATGGACTGTTCCAAGACATGAAGGATAGCAAGCAGTTTGGGAAGCTGGTCTTTGAATTTGGGAAATCCTCTGGAAGTAAGCTCTAGATCCGGAATCGGAGGGGACTAATGGAGTACGAACATGTCTATCGAAATGAGTATAAGTCAGCTTTGATAGTGTAAATAAAATAATGGGATATATTATATTGCTCTTGCCAAATTTACTCACGTTGACTTGGTCGCGCTTTCTTTTCGTACAGAAAGGCACCCGTCAGGATCAACTCGAAAGCTCTGGGCTTTGGAAGCGTGGATATCCAGTCAAACATCATTCTTTTGCCCAGCAAGACAGTTATTTATCTTATTGAACTGACGACAGCCGCCTTTCCTGACTCTAGGATCGTTGACAACAGCAGAGTCATGGACATGGATACCGAAATGGCGCAGCATTACGGCCCTGGAATGTCCTTCTATCTGTCACATATCAATTCCGCAAGGGAAAGGGCAGATAGAAAGCGATCTCAACTCATGGTTGGTGTCTTGACGGCTGATAGTGGTCCCTGGATGCGTATCGACGGCATCTCGTTTCAGCAAAGGAAAAGTCACGCACTAACGAGATTTCTACAGAGATATTGCGCAACATTGCGAGAATTATATTCCACCAATCAGATGCTCCATCGTAAAATAAACCAGTTATGCTCCGACAGCCTCCAACTCACTCGCGATATGACCAAACTCAATCGACATATGGGTGCGTTCCACGGGGTCATCCTCGAAACTTGCCAAGCAGATACCCTTACTCGTTTGATTGAATCGATCTACGAAATTCACGGCTGGAAATTCCCTGGGGGACTGATGTTGGGGGAGCATGTGGACCTGGATCGGGAGACTCTCTCCCGAATATACACGGAAGCAGCGAAAGATGTCAAGAAAGAAATGGTGACAAAGAAAGCCGTCGGTCTATCCGAAAAGTATCATGTTGCCCTCCAAAGATACGACCAGGTAAGTGCACCGAAACTGGTTGCTGATTACCTTCCCATTTATCGCGCCACCTCCTTACGAGGGTGCGTAGATTGTCCACCACCGAAGCGCCAGTCCTTTTCGAACGGAATGCATATTTGCTCGATGGCTGGGGGCAAAGAAGTCCACCCACCCAGGCATGTATCAATTTTGGGAGCGACTGTTTCCGGTGTGTTATAACCGAACGGTGCAGGAGAGCTCTGAAATGTTCTGAGGCTGCCAGTCGGCAGAATGGTGGTGGGAGTTGGGCGAGCATCGACGGTGCATCTGTTTGGGGTACCCCTTTAGGTGGAGTGAGACATGGCCAAGGGGAAGGCGAATGGTGTTGAGATATTCTTCCATCCAGCAAAGCGTTGATTGGAACTGGGAAGAGCCGGGATGATTCCCTTGATTCCACGCTCAGCTAGCCAGCGCAGCCATCGCAGGGACGATCCTCAGGAGACTGCTGTGCCCGCACCTCTTACTGGCCATGTTTCTGGTATTTTTTGCCCGGTGCAGACGCCTTCACAGGAGCCATAATGTGGTTGGGTGTCCCAACCGTAGAGTGGTTGACGGACCCTCAAGCAAGCGGAGACGTGACTGACCAGGAGAGAGAGAGGGTTAAGTATCAGTCATTCTGTTCCGTGACGCGGAAAAGCTCTCCAGGGGACACTTGTGTCGTGCACGGGTGATAGTAATTCTGAAAGCAGTCCACCTTGGATATAGAGGAAATAACAACGGGTTGGCAGTAAGTAGGACTGGAGCAGAGCGCATCTTCAACAGGGTCTCTATCCTTCTAGAAATGCATTATTGATTACGCAAAAATCGTATTCCCAACTCTTTGAGATGGTCCAACTGTCTCCGTAGAATTTGCCGGGAAACGTGTGGGGACTATCTTGGGAGGGGACGGGTTTGTCGTTCATCGTGATGCTTAGTGTAGAATCAAGTAACTAGTTCGACCGGCCATGGCACGCTGTTACTGATGATGATGATAATACTAATAATAAAGATATTGGTGAGTGTAAGCTTTCAGTACGGAGTATTGTGGGAGAATACTGGCCCTACCAGCTAAGTGGATAAATAGACACCATATCATTACTACTAGTATGTAGTTGAGAAATATATATAGAAACCACCTGGATAAAATAATACTGTTTCCGAAATGATCCTTTCTCAACGAACATATGACTTTTCTTCTTCTTCTTTTTTTTTTTTTTTCCGGTCCTAGCAGCATGGGTAAATAGGTAGGTAGTCTTTGGTATCCGAGGCTTAGAAGAAAAAAATATATGATGAAGGTCGTCAAATGATGATAGTAGAAAGTTGACCGAAATGGGTTCAATTAGGTCTAACTAGGAAATAGAGAGATGCTTGGAGGAAGCATGGAGATCTAGAAGGAAATGGTGGCCTTAAATACACAAAGTAGTCACGTGTCACTATCTTCTTCTTTATGGTGATGCTGCTTTATGGTGGTGCTGGTTGCATTCACTAAGTGCAGCACTCCAACACACCCCCCTTAGTAATACATCTATTACATGAAGCTATTCAGAGTCTATCTCTAACCTACCAAAACCTAACCTCTCAATAAATTTATCAAATTTTATAGTTGGTAGTATCTTAGTTAGCCTGTTAGTAATATTATCCTCTCTACTAACTATTTATAACTAAATTCTGCTATTTTTAATTACCTCTTTAATAAAGAAGTAGTAAATATCTATCTAGTAAAGTATAGATATATAATTTAGCTTCTTTACTAATATAATAGTATTTGCAAAATTAATATATAAAGGTATAGTATCTTTTATAGACTTTTCTAGTCTAATAGCTATATATAGCTTTTATAGCCATATAACTAGCTTTATTACTGTATCCTATGTAATAAATTTAGTAATAATTAAACTTAAGATAACTAGTAATTACTTTACTAATCTCTATATAATTAGTACTTTAAATATAAAAAATATAAAGCCTTTTATTAACTTCTTATCTTTATAATCTATATAAGAGATATTAATATATATATATAATAGATTATCTAAATAGCCTAAGACTATTATATAGTCTAAGATCTTCTTTAAATATTAGAAAACTTATTTAATTATATTATAATCTGACTTGCTAGGATTATAATTCCTCTATAATAGTTATATTATTGTATATTAAATATCTAGTCAGGTCTAAATAGTAATCTAATTTAATAATCTAGTTAACTCCTAATAGTAGGCAATATCATCTTTATCTATAGAGACATACATGGTATCTGGAATAATACTACTAGTATCTAGTATCTCTCTAGTTAATTTCCATCCCAGAGTCATTAGTGTATGACATGGCCAAAGATCATGGAAATTCTATTTATAGAGTATCTTTTGGATATATGTATATTAAGATATTAATATTAGATTATTAAGTAGTCTATAAATATCATATCTCAAGAACTATATAGGTTTACCTAGTTACTTTAATTTAAAATATCTTTCTAGCTTATCTATAAATTATTAAATATTTACTTTATTAGGGCTAGTAATTATTATATTATTAATATAAATAATAAGTATTAACTACTAGTCTAAATTATAGTAAAAGTATAAGTTTTTATTAATTACTTTTATACTAATTTTTACTAGAATATTATGGAATTTCTCATGCTAAAGAAATACTGACTATTATAATTTATATAGAGCTTAAAGTAATAGATATACTATATTATCTTACTTATTAAAACTAGTTAGTTAGCGTATATAAATCTTTTAATCCTTAATTATTATATTAAGATAGGTAGTTACCATATTAAATTATACTTATTTTAAATTAAAATAAGTAACTATACTTAAAAATAGCTTTACTAAAGTATCTATTATTACTGGGGAGTAGACTTAGTTAAAGTCTATATTTAGTTTTTAGAAGTTTCTATACATAATCTATCTTATATAGAATTATAATATATTATTATTTATATCTAACTTTAAATTATATACCTATTTTTCTAGTAAGATCTTTATATTCTTTAATAATAATATAAATTTATAAGTCTAAATAGCTTTAAGCTTACTAATTTAACTTTATATTACTTATATCTAGTAATCCTTTTATAATAACTTTATTACTTAAATATAGCTCTATAAGATTCTAACTTTATAAGTCTTTATAAGCTTAATCTCTAGTATAAAACTATTAAGATCTAGTAATATTATAGTAATTATATTGGATAATTCTTCTAACTTTAGATAGGATCCTAGTAAATAAGGTATTTCTAGAAGCATTTTTAAAGATAATATAAACTAGGATTAAGATTATTATTCCTATTTTACCTCCTCTTCCTATAGTTACTTTGCCTGCTTATCTTTAAAGCAAATACTTTAGTATTAACCCTTTATAGATCTTGAAGATCTCTATAGAATAGTAATATTACTACTAGTATCCCTACTAGCAGGATTCCATGCTTTTACCTAGTTAACTATTTCTACTTTCCTAATATTAAATTTAACCTACTTTCTAGTCTTTAAATGCTTCCTTTTTAGTATATCTAGAGTTATTAGAGCATAGTTATCTTTAGAAGGTTCTAAAACTAGTAAGATCTCCTTATATTAGGTAAATAACTCTAGAAGCCTTTATATTAATTATAATACTAGTATCCTTTCAAAAATAGGTTAACTAATATATAGATTATCTATAGTAAAATAGTTAATTATCCCTTTATATCTACCCTGCCTAGATTATTCCTCTATACTAGGTCTTACTATCTCCTCCACATCCTTACTAATCACTTGATTGTTTTGCTTGGTGATGGTTTCAGAAACAGCCCTGGAGGCAGGCCCAGAGGCAGGTGGCCGCTTGGGTATGATGAGTTCGATACCTGCCTCTGGGTCAGGTAGGGTGGTTTTAGAGACAGCCCCAGAGGCAGGTAGGTGCAGAAATATCAAGTTAGCACCTGCCTCTGGTTCTGGTAGGTTTGGTTTAGGTAGGGCTAGATCAGGTATTAATATTTAAATTCTTCCTATAATAACTTCATTGTCATTTACTAATAGTAAGGTTTAGTAAGATATATTATTATGGGTTATTCTTCTCCTTTTAGTATTAATAGATATAGTTACTCTAGATAAACTATTATTATTTAGTTTTAGTCTATTAAAAAGTTATAATTATATTCTATCTATTCTATTAATATCACCTTTATTAAATATCACATCCCTTAACTAAATTATCTTCCCTATATCTAGATACTATACCTTGTAGATATAATCTCTATTATATCTAACTAGTTAACTAATTTTTACTCTAGGTAATATTTTCATACTTTTAATCCTATTCTTATATAGAATATTTATAAATATCTTATATTCCTATATATAAATATATTATAGATTAATATCTTTAATTAGAATATTTAATCCTTTATAAAAAAGTTATATAAGTAACTTTCTTTTATTATTATCTTCCCTAACTAATCTATTTAAAATATAGACTATTATATCTATACTATATAGCTATATTATTAGTTCTATTTTTACTTATATACATATTATGCGGGTAGTCTAGATTATATAGCTATTAAACTATTTAATAGTGCTGTTTTTCTTGGGGGTTTGTGGTAGTATTAGTTTATATATAATACTAAAATCCTTGCTCTACCTAATATACTTATTAAATTTAAGAGTAGAGTTAAATCTAACCCTTCTAATATAGATACTAGTTATATTTAGCTAATTATTATATATTTTCTTTAATACCTTTAAAAATTCACTTTTTGCCTTCAAATATTATATAAAAAGGTATCTAGAATAATTATCTAGAACTAGTAGGATATACCTAATACTATCTCTTCTAATTAGTTTGATTTCTTGGAGATCTATATATATAAATTATAATAATTTTATCACATATAATTATAGTTTTCAGGATATCTTTTTCTTTAATTTTAATAATTAACATACTTCGTAGTATGATTCAGTATTCTAATTAGTAGCAGGCAAGTTATTAATAGCCAAGTCATTACTTTTATTATAAAGTATTACCTTGTTGTGCTTTAATTATTTAATAGATAGATAACCTAATTATTAATATAATAAGTTTATTAGTATAGTAGGCATGATCACTACCTTATTTAGAACTAAAAATAGGATATTATTATCCAAGATAATATATTTAATTACCTTATTTATTACTATCTCACGAATATATTAATTTTTCAAGTTAAAATAGAT